GGGTTTAAAGTAACTTTAATATTAATAATAATAGTAGTAAATATCTAGTATCTATAGCAGGTATATATAGTATAGGCAGTAACTAAGACTCTAGTAATATCTTAATTCTTTAGAAGTTTAAGATAAGAGTTAAGATATTAGAAAGAAGCTTTTAATAATATATTATATAATATTAAAATCTTTATAAATTTTAGAGATATATTATAATACTTCCTATAATAAAAGCTTTTAAATAAAATAGTATAATTAGTAAATCTAATCTAGAGATTATAAGTCTTTAATTAAGATAAGTTAAGAATAATAAGAAAGTATATAAATTAAATTATAAAAAAAATAATATTTTTTTAATATAATTATAAATTCTTTAGATTAAATAAATAAAATAAGTAATATTACTAGACTTTACTAAAATATTATTAAATCTTTTTAATAAGATAGGGTTTCTTAATAATAATATTTTTAATTAATTATTTATAGCCTAATTATAATCTATAAAATATTTATTCTTAACTCTAGAATTAATTATAATAAAGATTAATAGAATCTTATTAGGAGTTTCTAGATTAATAAATAGAATTATTAATTTAGATTAGTAACTTTTTTTCTTTATTATTATTCTAGCTATTATAGCCTTTAATAAATAAAGAGAGTACTAGGAGTATCTCTAATTATAATTTAGATTAAGGATACTCTATTTTCTAATTTAGGGAATATAAGATATTTAGTAGGTAGGATTCTAGTTAATAGGGGGTATAGGTCTAGTTTAGTAGTAAATATAGAGGTATAGCTGGTTAGTCTTTAGTTAGGGTATAAATAGCTGCCTACTAAATAATTAGTACTGCTACAGTAATAATACAGGTATTAGATTTGATAATTAAGGTAATAAGTAATAGATAGATCTATTAGGTCTTTAGCAGGAGTAGTAGTAATAATAAGATTAATAAGGACTATAGGAATTTAAGTAGCAGGAGTTAGCTTTAAGATAGATTAGGGAGGCTAGGAATTCTTTATAAATAGGGGTAAGATAGTACTTATATAATAATAGTAATAATTTTTTAAATTTTATAAATAATTAATAAAATTATAGTATTATAATAAGGTCTTAAAGTATATTAATATCTCTTAAAATTCTTAATTAATAGCTTATTTTAAAATTATAAATAAGATATCTTTATTTATATTTTCTTTTAATATAAGATATTAGAATTTAGTAAAAAAAATATTAAATTTATAATAAATTTATTAAAAATAAAATAAATTAATATAAATATTAGCTTCTAAATTTAGATCTCTAAAAACTTTCTCTAGGATTTCTAAAATCTTAATATAATTATTTAATTTATAGATTCTATTTTAAATATATAATAAGATTTAGATATATAGGATTTCTTTAAGGTAATTAATTATATAAGCTATTCTATTATTTAGGGTTAGAAAATAATTAAAGTTTATAATTATTTTCTAGTAAATTTAAGAAGTAAAGTATTTTAAGTTATTTTATTAGTTATTAAACTTATTAGGATTAAGAAGTTATTTAAAGATTTAAGTAATAAAAATAAATATAATAAGAGTAATAATAGTAATAAAAAAAGTAATAATATTAATATCTTTTTTAAAAAAAAATAATAATTAAAAAGGCATATTATTTTAAGTAAGTACTTTAAATAACTTCTATTAAGTTTTTTTAATTTATATTTTCTAGTACTTAATTATACTATCTTTCTATTAAATATAATTAAGAAGATTAGTAATAGTAGAGTATAAGATAAATAATTTATAAAGTTTTTTTATAGTAGTAATAAAGAACTAGTATATCTTAATAATATACTATCTTAATTTATTAGGGGTATTATATAGGAGGGTTTCTATATTTTTAGATAGTATAAGTAGCAAGGCAGGCATGATAGTAGTAATTAACTTCTAATAAAGAGGAGCTATATAATATTAGGAGATAGAGTTAGATTTAGATATTTATTAATTAGAAGTTAATTAGATAGAATAGTAGAATAATAAGTATCAGGTAATAGATAGAATATAGCTTAAAGAGCTATAACAGGATCAAGGGCAACATGGCTTAAATATAGGAATAAGGGCGGACAGTCAAGGCAGAATCTAACTAGATAGGTACTACGGCTTCGCGCCGTAACATTAGGTTATAAGAAAAGTAATATTTTTTTTAGTATAATTATAAATTTTTTAAATTAAATAAATAAAATAAGTAATATAGTTAGATTTTACTAGAGTATTATTAAATCTCTTTAGTAAGATAGGGTTTCTTAATAGTAGTATCTCTAGTTAATTATTTATAGTCTAATTATAATCTATAAAATATTTATTCTTAGCTCTAGAGTTAATTATAGTAAAGATTAGTAGAATCTTATTAGGGATTTCTAGATTAATAGGTAGGATTATTAATTTAGATTAGTAACTTTTCTCCTTTACTATTATTCTAGCTATTATAGCCTTTAATAGGTAGAGAGAGTACTAGGGGTATTTTTAATTATAGTTTAGATTAGAGATACTCTATTTTCTAATTTAGGGGATATAAGATATTTAACAGGCAGGGTTCTAGTTAATAAGAAGTATAGGTCTAGTTTAGTAATAGATATAGAGATATAGCTAGTTAGTCTTTAGTTAGGATATAAGTAGTTACTTATTAGGTAGTTAGTACTACTATAGTAGTAATATAGGTATTAGGTTTAATAATTAAGGTAATAAGTAGTAAATAGGTCTATTAGGTCTTTAGTAAGAGTAGTAGTAATAATAGGATTAATAAGAATTATAGGAATTTAGATAGTAAAAATTAGCTTTAAAATAGATTAAAGAGACTAGGAATTTTTTATAAATAGAAATAGAGTAATATTTATATAATAATAATAATAATTTTTTAGATTTTATAAGTAATTAATAAAGTTATAATATTATAATAAAATTTTAAAATATATTAATATCTTTTAAAATTCTTAATTAATAGCCTATTTTAAAATTATAAGTAAAATATTTTTATTTATATTCTTTTCTAATATAAGATATTAAAATTTAATAAAAAAGATACTAAATTTATAATAAATTTATTAAAGGTAGAATAAATTAATATAAATATTAATTTTTAGATTTAAGTTTTTAAAAACTTTCTTTAAGATTTCTAAAATTTTAATATAATTACTTAATTTATAGATTCTATCTTAGATATATAGTAAGATTTAGGTATATAAGATTTTTTTAAGATAATTAATTATATAAGTTATTTTATTATTTAAGATTAGAAAATAATTAAGATTTATAATTATTTTTTAGTAAATTTAAAAAGTAAAGTATCTTAAGTTACTTTATTAGCTATTAAATTTATTAAGATTAGGAAGTTATTTAGAGATTTAAGTAATAAAAATAAATATAATAAGAATAATAATAATAATAAAAAAGATAATAATATTAGTATTTTTTTTAAAAGAAGATAGTAATTAAGAAAGTATATTATTTTAAGTAAGTACTTTAAATAGTTTTTATTAAATTTTTTTAGCTTATATTTTCTAGTACTTAATTATATTATTTTTCTATTAAATATAATTAAAAAAGTTAGTAATAATAAAGTATAAGATAGATAATTTATAAAATTCTTCTATAATAATAGTAAAGAATTAGTATATCTTAATAATATATTATCTTAATTTATTAGGAGTATTATATAGGAGGATTTCTATATTTTTAGGTAATATAAGTAGTAAGGCAGGTATAATAATAATAATTAATTCCTAATAAAGGGGAGCTATATAATATTAGGGAATAAAGTTAGATTTAAATATTTATTAACTAGGAGCTAACTAGATAAAATAGCAGAATAGTAAGTATTAGGTAATAGATAGGATATAGCTTAAAGAGCTATAATAGGATTAAGGATAATATGGCTTAAATACAGGAATAAGGGTGGATAGTCAAGGCAGAATCTAACTAGATAGGTACTACAGCTTCGCGCCGTGACAGATAATCTTCAAGAACTCTGCCTTCCTATATAGCTTACCTCCCTATTAAGATAGCTTATTATTCTGAGTTAATAAGATGTTCTATTTCTATATTTATATAATCTAGTTAATTAAGGCCTTCTCCTAATATAGCTATAGAAGGTTCTTATTTATTATTATTAGTATTACTAGTATCTTTAGTTTTTTAAAGCATGTTTAAAGTATAGAGTTAGGTATATTAAATTCTCATGCAATCTTTATAATATTTGGTTTTTTTTATTTTTTAACTATAATAATAGCTTCAAGCAAGCAAGATTTATTAAAATCTAGAGATTTAGGCATGTTATGTTGTAATAATAATAAAAATAAGTTAAAATATTAAAAATCGCGAAGAATATGTGATCGCGAAGAATATGTGGCGCACCTAAAGCGGGTAGCGGTTTAGGTGGGCAGAAAGGCATGGATATACGTCCTTGCGTTCATTGTACGGAGTATAAAGGGATAGAACGATAGAAATATCAATTGAGACGCTCAGAGGGTACTAGGTAGTTAGAGCTATGAAATGGTTTACATATCCTTAGGTAAACAATATATATTGAGGCAAAATGGGCTCAAAACTTTATCCTCGAAGTCCCCTGGTATCAAGTACCAGCCAAGGGCTTATTATTTGGTATTTCAACACAAGATCCCCAGGGTTATTATTACTCCAAAAGAAGTGAAGGGGGACATTGGTTTGAATTCTCGGGTTGGAGAAGAAAAAAGGCGATGGGATTAATGCAGCAACAACTCCGTAGAATTGCCAATGACTCCTTGATAGCCCAACACGACGCTTTTCCTAAATAGGAATGTTATCCCAAGACCCGGCCATGGACTATTATAACTACACGATAGAAGAACGTAGAACAGCAGGAGTTCCAAGTTTAAAAAGAAAAATGGAAAAAAAAAAAAAAAAATAAAGGAGAAGGAGGAGGGAGATTCGGTCCCAAGAAACTGTAAAAAAGAAAAAGAAAAAAGAAAGGGTAAGCGAGTAATCAATAAAATTCACCTCCTAAACCGCCCCAACCTACTACTCCCCGTATCCGACCTCTGTGCCAGCGTGAGTGGTTGTGGAAAAGGATGTGGTGATGATGGCGATACTGGAGACTGCTGCTCTTGTGAAGACCGACGTCGATTACGGTCCCATGCTTTACGGAAATGTTGCTGCTCGTCACCGAGTTGCTTTGCGCGGTGGTGGAGGAAGTCTTCATGGGCTTCTTTTTCGTCATGTAGGGCTTTGATCTATTTCATTTGTTAGTGCTTCTCTATATTGTTTATGTGTACTGTGCATAATATAATGCAGGTACCACCTCATCATTCGGGGGGTTCTGAATCGAGATGGTATCTGCTATGTAGGAATAGGGGATGCACTGGATGGGCCAGGAGAGGTATAGAGGGAGGTAAATTTACTCTTTGGAATCATCTTTATTTCCCTCCCTCCCAATGAGGACCAAAAACAAAAAAAAATTAAAAGAAACAGAAAAGAAAAGAAAAAGGAAAATAAACTTACATATGCCAACCACAACTCCTGCTCTGAGCTCCAAGCCTTTTGACATCGCGCCAATTCCCCCTCCGCAAAGACTAACTCCCGTTCCTGATCCATCGTCCATCGACAGTGATCCTTGATGCTGGCCCAGCTCGCAATGCGCACAAGCCTCGTGCGTCTGCTGTCTCTGCACCCAAAACTGCTGCTGCTGCTGCTAGCGCTGGCGCTGGATAGGCCAAGTTCCTTCGTCCTCACCGCCACATGTATGTGATCGCCCTCGTCGTAGGGGAATGTGGGGGTTGCGTAGACTTCGACGTCGGTATCGTCATGGTCGGCGTCGTCTTCCATGTCCATCACAGCTTTGCCTTTCAATTCGGCCCGCTTGGTGAGGAAAGGCAGCCGGAGGACGTACTTGACGCGCTGGTTGACTCCCATGATTGTGACTATGCACGACTGATTGTATAAGGACAAGAGAATAACAACGCCTCAAAATGGATCCAAAGGTATCCTGGATAGCAGTCAAATTGAGGGCTTTGTTTTATTATTCCCCTTTTTTTTTTTTTTCTCTCCCTGGCTTTTCCGGTGAAATCTCTCCTCGTCTCAACGTGCTTCTTACCCCGTCCCTTTATATCCCCATTCACACTCTCTAAGGACGCAACATTGATGATACCATACCCTCTGTTTTCTCAGGGAATCCATTTATACATCAGATCCTTGCCGCCACACGGGTCGAATGGACTGTGTTTCTCCACATAAGGCGTGTAAAGCGACTCACAAGGCGACAAGAACGCCAGTCGTTGTCTCCCAATGGGGCCGTATGGGGAAACCCCTTCCTACTTGAGGTGTCAAACTACCGACCTCAGTCTAGACTCGTATCTCCTGCCGCTGTTTGGCTGCTACTCTAGCAAAGGCCGGCAGCTCGGTCCAAACTAGAATGTAACGCAGAGGGGCTGATTAGTCTCTGACTCAGGGAAACAAAAGGGAGGACAACAGATAAAACCACGTTCCCTTCCTAACACCAGACAGTTTCAATTCCCAAGAGGATAATGTTGTGTCCGCTGATCCGCGGCACTGCCAACGTGGCAGCCAGAGAGCCTTATTCAACCATAGGAGATAGATATAATCGGGACGCTCCTTGAGCTCCCAGATCGAACTCGTAGAAAATTAGACCGAGACCTTGCTCCTCCTCCCTGGTACCTGCGGACTCAGCAGGCGCACTTTGTACTATACTATTCGAACCAGCAAACTCGTCACAATCGACGGGTCTTTGCCCAATGTCCTGCACATACGGTAGCAATGCTGGGGATGTTAATCTTCCCGAGTACTTCTCATCAGGAGTCAAAAATAATAAACTTTACAGCCAGTGGGATTCCAGCCAAGCAGAGGGCACACAGAAGCAGCGGTAGCCATATGCGCTGCATCAACCAATTACGGTCCTCCAAGAATAATAATATAAACAAGAAAAGGAAAGAAAAAGGAAAAGAAAACACCTTTGGGCAGCTGACTTTTCAACACCCAATCACACACTAGAAGAAGAAGCCGTACATCAATCCAGACGCTATACAGGACACCCAGGTCACATCCATAATGCCAAAAAGAAAAGAAAAAAAAAATAATCCCCATTGCTAAAGGCAACCCAATCGCCAGTCAAGTCCATCCATTCCATCCATTGGCTCGCCAGCCCGGAACAGCCCGGCAAAAATGTAACATCAAGTGAGCAAATCCAGAAACAAATCAGTCCAACATCACATTATATTCCAAGATGCTTCAAGAGTAGGGCAGTGAGTTCATCTGTTACCGGATTGATCTGTGAAAATAGACCGCTGCGGCAATCATAGGCGCCGCGTGTAGCTGGTGGCAGGCCGATCTCTCGGGTATCGAGAGCTCGAAAGGCCTCCCAGTGTGACTTTTTCTTTCCTTTCCGCCCTCACTTGCTCGCCAATAATGACGCTAACCAATCTTCGGTGCAAGTCAGCTTCTGTCCAGCGGACGTGACCCGTCCCGCCCGCTCTCAAATCCTCGTCAGCCAGTTCCCGCCTAAACCTGTGCACAATGGCAAACTGAAGCTTAGTGACTGGAACACCATAGGTATTATCCGATGTCCATATCCAGTCACCTATGATGTCAGAGTGCGCATCGGTTGGGTGGTAAGGAAATTTCTCGGGAGATCTTTTGGCCAACCGATAGAGACGACGAAGCAAGGAATAGTGCTGGTTCGAAAAATAAGCGGGAACAGGAGAGAATGATTGTCTTTCCGGTGTCTTGCCCTTCACTTCTTCCATCTGCGGAGAATGTCCATTCACTAGCTGAATAGATTCGCGGCTGGATGACGGTGGTGATGGTGACGTAGTTTGTTCATTTTCCAATTCGGCAATTGACGAAAGTGAGGGTTCGCGTTGTCTAAAGTCGCTGGAATTTGCAACTTCCTGGTATAATTCTTGATCGACTTCTAGTAGCTTGACATCGGGTCTCTCAACGATCTCTTCTTCTTCTTCTTCTTCTTCTTCTTCTTCTTCTTCTTCTTCAACCTCAGTGTCCTCATCTAAAGGGCCAAGCGGCTCGATTGACTTCCGAGCTGGCGCTTTTAGCCATCCGGGTGTCAGACTAGTAATCCTTTGGTACCAGGATGATGCTTGATTATCACCATTAGCGCGTTCTGGACGCTCGGGGGTAAATTGTGACGGTCCGTCGACGGGTGCTTCCTCTCCTGCAGCGGCATCCGACAAGCTAATGTTTTCGTGCTCGTCCATTTCTGAATTTGACTGGTGGCGTTGCATCTCATGCTCGTACCGGGTGGTTGGATCAATTTGAAACATCTCATCCTCTGAGTCGTTACGAGGGCTGGATTCCAAATAACCCTCCGATTCAAGTCCAAAATCCAGGGCGTATTGCTCGGCAGCTTGTCGCCCTTGGGAGACAGTAGATGATGGAACCCTCTTCGGGGAGGACTCGTGTAAAGCATTAACAGGGCTGCTCTTCCCATAATAATAACGAGTACGGTTCGGTGTATCTTCTGCGCGAAGTATAGCAGAGAGGTCGACATCTTGGTCTCGTAGCTCCCGAACTCGGGAAGGCCCCAAAAAAGGTACCTTGTTTTGCCCGTCTACCCAGTACGCTGGGGAGAAACTGCTGCCATACTCCTTATGTGCTGGGGTCGAGCCCCCCTTGGGAGAGCTCAGGTCCACAGGCGGTTGCACATCATCCCGGATATCATAACCCTTCGACCCGTCATCCGAGTAGTTTCCTTCATCCTTAGCTTGCTCCTGCCAGATGTCTTCGTATCCATCATCTTCTTCGTCAAGGTTGTAGTCAAACTCGCCCTCCTCTACTTCCTCGGGCATCTGGGGAGAGTGCTGGTTTCCCGAGGATGGGGAAATTCGGTAATAGGGGTTTTCTACACTCCCAGTGCTGGACTGGCCACTCGCTTCACTATCAAGTACAATGACTTGGCTCGAATTTGCCATTTGGATGGCCCTACTAACTGCTTCTCTCTCTCTTTGCCACTCCTCAAAACGGTGTTTCATTTCTGAACTTGGCGAATCAGATTCGACAGTGCCGTCATGTCCGAGACGTGGGGTTCTGGATACGTTCGTGCTTGTTTGTTCGAGGACCGGCCTGGGTGAACTTTCTCGTATAGAAGCTAATTTCCTTGTTTCTGTTAACCTCCGTCGTTTTGCAATCTCCTGTCCAATTCCGAGACCCATTCGAAGAACTCGTTGTGAGTCGGAATTCAAGTCGCTAAAGATCGTCTCTAGACGCCTCCTAGGTTGATCAAGATCAGGAGATCCGTGGTGCACTCCCGAAATTCCCTGGAAGTTTGGGGATGCTTCGCCTACGCCTGACCCTCTTATAATACCTCCAAGCACAATACCTGTGCGTACAATCCGAGCCAAACGAAGAAACGGTTTGTTTCGTGCTGCAGCGGGGGGCGATTGGTGAACAAAAACGGGGGAGGAGCGCAAAGATCTCGTGGTTGTAGGCTTGCTGGCTAGTGGCGGGTATGAGAAATCAAAATGAGAGTCGGCATCTTGCCTATTAGGTGACGATACTAGGTCGATATTCGCATCCGGGGGTAAAGTATCCTCACGTTGGTGATCCAAAAGATTGGCCTTTCGATTAATAACGCCATTTGCTTCCCGCTCCAGAAAAGGCTTCAAAGCGCCGCTGGCAACCTTCGACTCTCTCCTCAGGCCATGTTGCCTGGACGATGGCAAGGTATCCAGTGACACCATGCTGAAACCTTCACTCTCCATGATTGAATCAAATTCTCTGTGTTCATCTGTAGGATCCTTCGTAGTTTGTACCACGCTTAACTTGGGAACACTGACTGGTGCTGCATCCACAGATTGGTACAGCTCCTTGCTCCTATCATCCACCAAGGATGGTGAGGTCGAGGCCGGATAGATGCGTCCAGGTCGAGGAGTGCGGCCAGCATGTAATTTATTCTCAGATGAAAGAATCTGCGTATCTCGAGTCGGAGACGGCATTTTCGATGGAGTTGAATTCAAGTCATCATCGTCATCTTGCTCGGAATTGAAGCGGTCTATCGCGTCACCGTTAGGGGTATCGTAGGATTGCCTAAAATCTACTGGGTGAGAGTGTTGTTCTTCAGCAGCGTGGTTGAGATCTGGAAGCTCAGTCAGAACGCCGTCCTGAAACGAACTCCGAAGATCGATGTCGTCCTGAAGCCCGTCATCAGAGTCCCCATCTCCAGCAAGATTCAAGGGACTCCAGCTCATCCTTTCCGGTTCCATGCCAGCAACGGCCGGTTCGTCCATGGCCGGTTCCTCCACCTGTTCCTCACCATCCTCTGCCACATCTGAGGTGGGTTGGTATTTCCTCGGTCGGCCTCGTCTCCTTTTCTGCTCACTTGTACCACCAGGACCTGGGGTGTTGCCGGGGCTAGCTGTAATCGGGGTCGCATCGAAAGCGCCCGACTTCCTTGGTCGACCTCTAGGCCGTTTGGGGGTTTGATCCGGTTCATCTTTTAATGGAACTGTTGTGGTCGTTGTCGACGGTTTAAAACGTTTACGCGATGGACTGTCTTGATCCGCTTGGTCGTCGTCCTGTGTTGCCTCGAGGGTCACGCGAATTCTCCAAGGACTAACATTACCACCCGCCTTGTCCGGAGAAATTGAGCCCGGTCGGCGATTTAGTTTCATTGCTGGAGAACCCGGGAGCAAAACATCGTCGAAGCGAATCGAGTGGCCACTTTTCGCAGGACTGAGACTAATACGCGACCGTTTCCTCCTTCCTCCCCCCGGGGTTTGGAGAATGCGAAAGTTTGCTGGCGACATGAAACTCTGGCGACCGAGGAAGGGTTTGATTGGAGAGGAAACCAGATATTCGATATCGCCGGGGGGCCCAAGAATGTCCGGGGAGGAGCTTGAGCTGTGCGAGGACATTGCCGCCTGCGAGGGAGACTGCGACCGATGGAGACCGCGAGGGGGCAAGGTTGAGTAAAGCTACCAGCGCGTCAACAAGCCAATCCCAAACACGACATGGTTACTCCTCCACAGGAGACCAGAAGAGAGTCAAGCGATTGAAAATGGCCAAACTTTACGAGGACTGGAGGCAAAAGAAAGCCGATGGGATCGCGGGGGAAAGCAGTAAGATGCGTTTATGATGGCATTCCGCAATGCATAAACAAGCATTCCCTATCAGGCAGGTGGATGGGTGATTAGAGCCTCAGGCCGCCACACGTCCCCGGCACTCTATGTGATTATGTCAGCATCGGGGATACATTCTTCCGTTCCCTGAAATTACGGCAGCCCATTAATGCCAAAATAGCAGAGCCTCCACAATAGCCTCAATCTTGTCTTTGTCTCTTTACTCGTCCATGTTATAACTATCCCTATTCCTCTGAGTTCCTTTCAATCCATCAAAACCCTCACCCATGATCATCGCACTACCAACTCTTTGACTTCTCGCTCAGTTAGGTGCCCGTCAACGTTAAGCAATAATGATCGACATGGCGCCTTCCTTTTCCCCGCACGCCTTTTTTGTTTTCCCCCGCCGGAATCCGTCTGATTCGGTTTAGCGCGAGTCCCTGGCTTCATTTGGCTTTGTTTCTTCTCAACGCCAGCGAGACGGAGATATACTTTTTACTCCCATCATCAACCACCCCGGAAGAATTCAGCTCTTCCTCCGTCTTTCATTTGGATCATTCCTTTCATTCGTCATCGTGGCTCGCGTCAATCGCTCCCAAATCGGCCCAATCCTGTTTGTCTGAGCTCTATCCCACGATTTCCAAAGCTACCTGTCCTTGGTGTCTCCAGTCAACGCGGCGGTCAGACTCGCCCTCAGCGCATCTTGATTCGTCTTAGAGCTGCTGCGTAACAGTGACCCCGGTCAAACTGCCCCTGTCACCCCATCCTTTGCATCCCTTGGTGCGATTACGTTCTAGCTCGGTATTTCGCCAATTTCGCTGGCCAATTAACATTCCTGTCCCAATTCCTGCGTTTCCCCGTGGTTCTTGCTAGTGCCTCTCCCCGCTTGCGAGTTGCGACCCTCCGCATTATGAGGGAAATCTGAAGAATAGCCTTCCCCGGAACAGGACTATTTGTACATCTGCTATGCTCCTCCCCTCATCTCTCTTTCAGCTGCGTGATCAATTCCGGTTCTTGATCTGTCCCGCGCGGTTCTCCATTCGCGTCGTCGTTCTATATTCCTATCTTTTTCTAGGAGCTTTAGCACTCCTGTTTTACGTGATGTATCTCAAACACTCTCTACCGGCCTTCCTCCTTGGATTGCTGGCTCACGATGCTGTGGCTACACCCGCGCCAGCATCCACTTCGGAGTCGGCCCCAGACTCGGTCCCGGATCCCTATAAGGTCTACACCATCAGTGCCAATAACATCACCGCTAAATTGATCGGCCGTGGTGCGCGTTTGACCTCCATACTAGTCCCCGATCGCGACGGCAAGCTTCAGGATGTTATCGTTGGCTACGATGACACTACAAAGTACGAAAACGACACCAACTACTTTGGCCCCGTCGTTGGCCGCTATGCCAACCGCATTAAGAATGGAACCTTTACGATTGATGATAAAGAGTATCACGTTCCCGAAAACGAGAATGGTGGCCTCGACACCCTCCACGGTGGGAAAATCGGCTACGACAAGCGCGATTGGACTGTTACCGCACACACCGACACCTCCATCACCTTCTCCTTCTACGATCAAGCACTCCAGGGCTTCCCCGGCGACGTCCTCACGCACGCGACCTTTACCGTAGGCAATGATATCACCCCCGAAAATCCCAAAGGTCTACCCCAGCTTACCAGCCGAATTGTTGCGCTGTCTCTAACCGAGAAAACCCCCATCATGCTCGCCAATCACATTTACTGGAACCTAAACGCATTCAGAGAGGAGAACGTCCTAAAGGACACAACACTCCACCTCCCTCTTAGCTCACGCTACATCGCCTCGGACGGAATCTTGATCCCCAACGGCACAATTGGCACAGTGGACACTGCCTACAATGGCGCAGCAGACTTCACCTCCCCCAAGCTCATCGGCAAGGACATCGAAGAAGCCGCGGGTATTTGCGGTACGGGCTGCACTGGCTACGATAACTGCTTCCTTGTCGACCGTCCCGTCGGCTATGCTGCTCCAGACTCCATGGTTCCCGTCGTGCGCATGAGCTCTAGCGCCACCGGTATTGGTCTACAGGTCTCGACCAACCAAGCCGCCATTCAGATCTATTCTTGCAATGGCCAAAACGGCACTGTCCCCGTCAAGCCCTCCCAACTCAAACGCAATAAAGAGGACGGTGTCGACGGCCCCGCTGTGGTGAACCAGTACGGCTGCGTTGTCATCGAGACTGAGGACTGGATCGACGGCATAAACCGGCCTGAATGGGGCCGCCTCCCTTACCAGATATTCACTCCTGACGGCCCTGCTGCTGTCAACTTGGCCACATACCAGTTCAGCACTTTCTGAATTAGTGCTTCCACCTCCTCTCTAGGACACTTCACCTAAGGAGGGGGTTTTCCTTTCTACACTTTAATTGGATACTTAAATTTAGCTCCGACCATGTACATCTTCCCGCCGTATATATAGTTTCCCATGGCAAATACAAATACAGGGTCCAAAATTTGGGTCTAATCACAAAGCATATCATCATATTCATCAGCGCCTCGAATCGATTAATATGGCACTATACTGTTCGGGTATCTTATCCAAAAACTATGGTAATAAAGAGTGCAGAAGGGAATATGCATGGTGAAAACAAGGTAAAATAAAAATAAATGAAATAAAAAAAAGAACCTCCGGAGGATGTATGTTGCTTGTCTGTACACGGTAAAACTCCGCAATCTACTCCGCAGCTCGATCCTTCCGGGTTTTCTTCTTCCGGGGACGGAATAATCTGTATAGTGACAGGTGAACTTTTTAAACCGAAGTCCAGACTCAGGTTGTTCAATTATTCACCAGGTTAATTTCACCCCCAGCCGGCTAAAGTCCAGCTAGATCTATCTCCGCCAGCTCGAAGGCCTGACCGTCGATCAGGAATGTGGCCATGCGTTTCTAAATCCCGGCTGGCACCTGCAAGTCCATGTTGCAGGTACTTCTCTCGTTCGATCTCAACGAGACCACGAATCTTGAGGCTAGTAAGAAGACTGGCTCCGGCCCAGGGCCCGAGAGACTCGACTTCGCGGAGGACACCTTGGACAGGAGGTTTGCTATCCTTATCTTTGTTGCGAAGGAGTTTCTGTTCGATGGGATCGATCTCCGCTTCATCTTCATTTTCTTCGTCGGTTTGTTCGGGGGCGGGACTTGGGAGTTCGGTTGCGTTTTTTTCCGTAGTTTCGGTAGATATCGGCCGGGGGGAGAGCTTCAGTGCGTGCAGCTTTTGTCTCTGTTGTTCAATGACCTTGCCGCGGACAGGACTCCAGCCATATTTTTCAACAAGGCGGGCTACCTCGTCAAGAATTCGCCGGCGGATACCTGGGATTTTGGCTCCACCGCCAATGAATACAATTCGCGACATGCATATTCCGCGGGCATCTGGTGGTAGACTGCACAGTGCGTTATACACCAATAAAGGGATAGGTTTTTCTTCATCGTCCAAGTCGCAGTCGGCTACACCGTCGGCGAAAAGAGCCCTTTCCACGGGCTCTGCGAGTCTAATATAAGGAAGTTCAACATAGGAAGAACCGGGATTTGAGGGAGAAGGGATTGACACTGTCTTCTGCATAATTGAAGCCATCGGTTGCTCATAAGGTTCTTCAGAGGCCTCGTGAGACTGGTGACCCAAAGGCTTGCACCACACAAATCGGCTGGCAAGCTCTTCACAGAACTCAAATTCCACTGAGATCTCATCGCTAGCGTGCGTCTCCCCGCCGCTTCCAGAGGCAACACGCGTAAGCATTCGACCTACTTCATGTAGCAAAGGTTTCATGGCCCTGGTGCTCCTTTTAATTGCAACCTCTCGATATTCATAGATCCCAGAAACAGTAGTCTCCGCCCATCCCAAGTCAACCACCAAAGCTGAACGCAGACCAGCTGCAATCGTAGCCATTGCAGCGCTGTTCAGCAACGAGATGCTTGGGAACCGCCATCGGCTAAACAACGTCGATAGTATGGAGGACAGTAACGGGTGTGGTAAGAGAGACGGTACGACGAGAACGAGCCGTGATGTACCAGCATCTGTCAACAAGTACTTGTTATACGTTTCTCGAAACGCTCGCTCAATTTTATCCTCAACAAGTCCCAGGTCGATATCGCGCAGGTCCATCCCCCACAACTCATATGCGCCCGTCCAGCTTTCTGCCTGAGCTGGCAATGACGGTGAACCGTCCGGCCCAGCGCTGCCTTTCAGCCACCCTCTGTAGTCTCCAACCCTCCGCGAATCCTCGGGACCAAATCCTACCATACACAAGGGCGTACTCTCCCCTTCAAATCCAGCCCGGAGCCACCGCGTTCCTAATTCGAAAATAATAGCATCTTCTTCGGCACGGAATGCGGAGCTGGCAGACGACGTACTCGCAAAGGAGGTATTGCTGCTGCGTAGTTGATGCTGAGGCGTATGCGGAGGAGACTTTGCAGAGTGACTATGACGCAAACTCATTGAGGCACTTTTACTGCCAGATGAGGCTCGTGTCTCGTCAAGGGAAGTCATATGAAAGCTTCGTGCCGTCGATTTCGGAGCAGTTTAGGATGAATCGCGGGGGAGATCAGGAATATTGTGTAGCGTGGAGAGAAACGATCATGCTTTTTCTCCACCAAAAAAGCTCATTCGAATGACTTTTCAAATCATACAGGCATAATTAACGCCGGTCAATAGTGAACAAACAATAATGACTTTAAAAAATGCCGATTAGAGCTTCAGCACCAAGAGGAAGGAGGAGCGATGACGAGCGCGACAAAACGTACTTAAAGTGACCGCTTCATGTGGACGGATCTTCGTCGGGCCGTCGCGCCAGCTCGCCGACATCAACAAAACAACGTCTAGGGAGAGTTCACGACAGCATTGAATCCGCCTTATTGTCGCACTTTTTTGGTGTTTTAATCTTGGTAATCTCACAATCTTCTGAATGGGGATCCCTGGGTAAGAATATTTTTCTATTTCCTCTCGATTGGTTACTGTGATGGTGTCAGAACTGGACCAAAACAACATCACCCGAAAAATATATATCCTACCACACCAGTCACCACACGCGCCGTCTACGACCATTCTCTTGCTGATTAAACCAAAACAGGCTTATAAATGCACTGGGACCCGGGGAACGGATTTCCCTGTCGAAGTTGGCCATTACTCACCTGGAAAGGACAAGACAGCCCATACGCATTGCAGTTGATATCTCAATATGGCTGTTCCAGGTGCAAGCTGGGCGAGGTGGCAAAAACCCAGAGCTTCGGACTCTATTTTACAGGCTACTGAAGATACTAGCTTTGCCCATTCACCCACTATTTGTGTATGACGGGAAGGATAAGCCCCCTTTTAAGAGGGGCAAAGCCGTATCAGGGCGCAGTTATGGAAATGCCCCAATTATTCAACTATCCAAGGTTCTCATTGACCTGTTTAAATTTCCCCGACACGACGCACCAGGAGAGGCGGAAGCGGAATGCGCAAGGTTGCAAACAGCCGGTGTTGTCGATGCAGTGATGAGCAACGACGTGGATGCTATAATGTTTGGATCTAAGTTCACGGTGATGAACTTTTCAAAAGAAAGTGGCAGTGGCTCCGGGGCCGCAACCCATGTCACTTGCTACCAGATGGCGAATGGAGACATGTCAAAAGTAAAGCTTGACCGCTCGGGGATGATTTTGTTCGCTATGCTTAGTGGAGGCGATTATCTACCATCAGGAGTTCCCAAATGTGGGAGCAAACTAGCAGCAGAGATTGCAAAGGCAGGCTTTGGTGCCGATCTTTTGGAGGCATTGGATGCAGACTGTGCAGATCTGGAAGCGAGGTTGGACGAATGGAGAGATAGGCTCCAGTATGAGCTTGAGGAGAACGAAAGCGGCTACTTCCAGACCAAGCACAAAGTAGTTCGAATTCCGGAGACGTTCCCCGATAGAACAATACTATCATGGTATGCTAAGCCCGTGGTATCGCCAACCGAAGCAATCGAATCCCTGAGGCACCGCCTGCATACTGCATGGGACCAAGATATCGATGCTTTGCAACTGAGGAAGTTCGCCGCGGAGGCATTTGAATGGAATTATCGCTCTGGAGCGAGAAAAATGATCAGGCTCCTGGCCGAGCCTTTGGTTTCTTACAAGCTTCGTCTTGGACAACACCCTTTGGACCCAGGAATACCCAGATTATCGGACAACGATACACTGGTTTTGCAAAAAGTCTACAAGAGCAGAACTAGCTTTAGTACTGATGGATTAACTGAGCTACAACTTGAGATTATTCCAGTTGATATTGTCGGCTTGGACTTGTTTGCTGAGGAACCGAACCCCCCATTGCCTTCACAAGAAACAACGATTTCGGGTGACGAGGAGGAAGGGGGAGAGGGAGAAGAGATTAATGCTGAAATTACTCCAGCATCTCCAGTCAAGAAAAGGGTTACGAAACGATATGACCCGTATTCTCCAGAGAAGGTGTGGATTTTTGAGACGTTAGCTTTAATGGGTATCCCAGAGGTTGTCGAAAGCTGGAAAAAAGAACAATCAGCAAAACTCTCTGCTCCGAAGAAGACAACCAACCGCAAGAGCGGTCCCAGGAAACGAAAAGAGTTAGATCCAGGCATGAAGCAAGGCAGCATTTTGAAATACGGTACTCTGAGAAAGCGTTCTGATATGACTGAGTACAAAAGCGCACAATTGTTTGAGGCCGCAATCTCCTCTACGCCTCCGACAAAGTCTCCTACTGGCTCATATCCAGGTACCAGCGGGTATGGTCTACAAACAATGGGAACACCCCCAAACCAGCAAAACCGGATCGATGGGTTCGATTACTTGGTTGATCGATTTTCTTCGTGCAATCTCTCGCCATCTCCAGTAAAGCACCGCCCAGCCGCAACCAGAGCTCGAATCGCAGGTCGACGTACAGCTATCAACTCTAGCGGGTCGGAGATAGAAGTTGTAGAAATTACAGACGGCGAAGATTCTCCACCGCCCGCCTTTGCAGGAAGAATCCAGATGAGTTATTCAAATGCGAGTTACAAGGAGCTTCATTGCCATAGGTATTTCTCACAGCCCTCCGATTGTGCAAGCCCCCGTGGGAAACCAAGGCAGCCTCGACCTGTGCTAGAGCAGCAAGATTCGGCGGAAGTCACGGAACTTGAACAAGCCATTTCTTCAATAAAACTGAGTTGCGAAACGCCTAAGAAGAAGAAGCTGCCCAAAAAAGACACCTCAAGGAAAATTTCTGCAGAATCCGAGCTACCAACCGACAACCATGGTCCAGCCGTCTTAGAAGAAGCTAGCAAGGAGCTCCCCATGCTAAAGCGTCGAGTCAGGGGCCGCACAGATAAAGAAGCTAACAGCGATGAGAAAACCGCCCCGGGAACAAAGAACGAGACAATATTGGAAGAACAACACCGTGGCCAGGCAAATTCTCAAAATAGCCCGACACACCTTGAATCGATCACAGTATGTGGTGGATACTGGACAGTGGATACCGCTACAGACACAAAGCCAACTAAAGCTGAGAAGGCCAGGGAGAAGAAGAAAAGAATCGCACGTGTTAGCATTTTAGACCTGACTTGATTCCCTTTCAGGGTTTTCCTCTTGCACAGTCCACACTTGGTCTTTTTGGCCATGCTTCTTATTCAGTATAATTCCTAGTTACATTAGCCTGTTGGGATTGATTATAGATGGTTTTTTTTTTTTCAGGCATTGGCCAAGGATATTTCGTTTCAATTAGAGCTATATATCAAACCACATTGGCTGTACATTCACAATCGATAGATAGGGAGTTATAAATATAATCAACTCCAATCGACTCCCTCAACAAGTATGTATGTACTCCGTACGATATATTAAAAATTCTATTTATAATCGCACCTTTCATTAAATCAGTAGTTAGTCTCTTACCTTTTTTTTCTTCTGAGTCTCTAAATTTTAGTATTCATCCTTGTTAACTAGTAACTATAGTTAGTATCTCTTAACTAGTTAGGTAGCCTTACTGGTAGCCCCCCAGGGGAAGCCTGAAGGGCCTTTTTTGACTCCGCATACGTACATATGGACGGACCTTGGATTGAACTAAGCTAGTGTTTGATACTACCTACTCCGTCCGTATCCACAGACTCCAGAGTGGCTTTCTAAGTGGGTACACGGGGCTGGACGGAGCATATACTCGATACGAGATAGTTGGAGTCTACTCCGTACTCTGTTTGGATAGTGCATGCTACACTTACAGCAGACAGACAGGGAGAACCGAACAGGTATGTGCAGAGTGCTCTATATGGAAATAGGTGGAGGTACAGATTAAGAGACCAAGTATTCTTCTACGGAGTCCGGAGTATCCGTATACAGAGTAGCCAGGGATCAAGTAATAGATTCGTGTATATTCACCATGTACATTATTATTTCTTTTTCTTTCAGTATTTTTTTTTGACTTTCTCTAATACTTACAAACAGTGCATGAAATGAAATTATTTAATCAGGTCGTTCGGTTCAATGTACAAGGTGTCCCCTTCTAAGGGATACAATAAGTCAATAAGTATGTAAATAGGCATTAAGGAGAGTTCAGGGTAGGATTGATTAGAAATGAAATGCGAGAATGAGAGAAATAAAAAATAAAAAATAAAAATAAAAAAACCAAAAGAGCTGCTTGGCACTAGGTACGTCGGAACATATCGATAGATTGAAATAGGTTGAAAAAAGAAACAAGGATCCTTAGCAAGAGAAAGGGACTAGGTCGAGGCCGCGAGTCTAGTAGAGCCCAAGCAGGGGCAGAGCCAGTGCCGCCAACCAGCTAATGGACTTCATGGAGACGGAAGACGCAGAGCCAGTGAAGGGGGTGCTGGATGGGGAAGGAGTCGATGTTGCTGATGGGCCATAGGCGCCGGTGGACAGAGTCGTAGGCTTAGTCCAGGGGTTAGGGATCTCCGTAGAAGCGGTGGTGGTAGTGGCCGCGGTAGGCTGGGGGACGAGCTCGATCTTGGAGGTGGAGCCTGCACTGACGCCCGTGTTTGTGGCGGTAGAGAAGGAGACTTGGGGTACGGTCACAGTGTAGGTGGAGTAGGTAATGGTGGTGGCACAGGGGGCACTGGTGGTCTCGCCAGTCTCGACAGGAGAGGCACCGGAGGGCGTGGCAGCGCCCGTCCCGGTGGTAGTGCCCGTCGCGGTGGCAGTGGGAGCTGGGACGAGGGTGATGGTAGTAGGAATGTTGGTGACGATGGCTGGGTTCTGGGGAACGTAGGCAGCGCAAATACCGGTCATGTAAGAAAGAGCGGCCTGGACTTCTGATGTAGAGGCTCCCCAAGCTTGAATACAAGAGATGACCTTGTCGGTAAACTCTGAGGAAGGACAGAAGCAGGAAATATCACTGTTCGAGTCGCAGTGGGGGAGGAGGGTGAGCCAAGTGTTGATACATTTGGGGACAATATCGGGGCACGAGTTCGTAGAGACTGGCGTCACAGCAGTGGAAGATGTTGTCTCCTCAGGAGATGTGGAGGAAGGCACCGCCATGGTGGAAGTCTGAGTAACCGTCGAAACAGTGGTGTAGGTGGATGTGAGCGTGTGGGTGCCGCTGGTGATCGTGGTAGTCACTGGGCAGGTAGTAACAGTCTCCCAGGTCACGATAGTGGTAGTCTCCTCCGCAGCAGGAGTAGTAACAGGAGCAACAGAGGTTGGGCCGCTGGAGGTCAGGGCTGGAGTCGCAGAGGCAGTGCATCGGGTGCAGATGGTCGAGGTACTAGTGAGTGTAACGGTCGAGGTGGTGCTGTAGGTGTTGGTAACCACGGATCCGCTGGAAGTTGAGGTTTCTGTCACGGGGCAAGTAGTCACGGTCTCCCAAGTAACGACAGTCGTGGTCACGTCCTCTGGGGGCACAGAAGAAGAGCCAGCGGTGACGGTGGAAGGAATGGAAGAAGAGCCGGCAGAAACAGTGGAGGGAACGGAAGCAGTGTCAGTACCAGTGGGAACGCCGCCGGTAGGAACAGAAGAAGAGCCAGCAGAAACAGTGGAGGGAACGGAAACAGTGTCAGTGCCAGTGGAGACACCGCCGGTAGGAACAGAAGAAGAGCCAGCAGAAACAGTGGAGGGAACGGAAACAGTGTCAGTACCAGTGGGGACACCGCCGGTAGGAACAGAAGTGGTGGTGCTCTCAGCAGGAGATGTGACTTCAGAGGTTTCGCCGCCAGGGCTGCTTGGGGTCGAAGTAGCAGTGGAAGTTACTGGGCACACAGTGGTGGACGCGAAGATGGTGGAAGTAACCACGGTTGTCGAGTCCGCAGGGCAGTTGGTGACCGTGGGTGCGCACTTGGTGATGGTGATCTCACTGGTAGTATACACAGTGGAGGTGGTCATAGTAATGTGAATGGAACTGTCAGGAGGAGAAGTCACTGAAGAGACAGATGGAACCACAGGTGTGGAAGTGACAGGGCTCGACCCAGTGGGAGTTGACACTGCAGTGGTGGAAACACCAATAGCAGGAACACTAGTAGTAGAAACACCAGTAGTAGAGACATCAGTAGTAGAAACACCGGTAGTAGAGGCCTCAGGAGCAGTAGTTGGAACTGCCGGGGTGGTCTCAATGGTAGATGTAGAAGTCTGCGTGGTAGCAGGAGGGGTGTATGTCGTTCCAGATCCGCAGTTGAAGCCAATGCTGGAGATACCCAAGTCGCAGTCATGGTGTTTACTATCATGCGGCAGCTGGAAGCTCACGGAGGTGGCACCACCACACTGGTCATTGGTGATCTCAGAGCCACCTGAAGAGCAGGAGGCGACCTTTTTGCAGGTAGAGCCATCAGGCATGCCAAAGGAGATGTGCACATCTGTGTCCTGCGAAGTCGCAAGGTGGAACTTGTCAATAGAGAATCCTGATTTCTCAGACCCACAGGAGATGGATGGGGATGAGGAGGAATCCTTGCTGAGCTTTCCAGTGATGCATTTGTCCTGTAAGAGTAAGTAGAGTCAGTCTCCAGATCTATAAATAGGGACAAAAGAAGCCCTAATTGACTTACGAAAGTGCGGGCCCGGAGACCCTTTCCAAAACTAGACTCGCAGGAGAAGCCGGAGAAGTCCAGGCCGCCGTAAGAAGAGAAAGATCCGATGGAGAGCTCGGCCCAGGTGAAACCGTGCTGCTGGTGCTCCGAACACTGGTTGTCGGTGTTGTCGGGCGACGAATAGCACTTATCACTTCCCCACCACTAGTGCCCACGTTTAGTATCTAAGCAAGGAGAGTCATGGGTATAGACTTACCGAACCAGTGGCCTGCGCCGTGGCGAAGAGGGAAAGAAGAGAGACCGAAACGGCCTTCATATTGGAAAACAATATAGAGAATGGAGAGACAGTAGGGGTCAGACAGAAATCGATATCGAAACCAGCGACAACGACAGTATGTCAAGGAAGTATAAGCTGAGAGAAAAAGACCGAAGCCAAAAGAGGGAAAGAAAAGACAGATGAACGAGAGTCTGGCTTTTTAAAGAAAAGGGAAACAATCAACTGGAGAGAGAAAGAAGAGAGAGAAAGAAGAGAGAGAATGGCGAAGATGGCTAACAACTCTTACAACCAACTTCAAAGACGAGGGCGAGATACCGGGTCTTTAAAGACTTCATGGTAACACAACCTCAGCAGCAGGGGCCCAACAAAGGGGACAAAGAACCCTGGAGAAGCAAAGTAAGACAACCTGAAAGCGCCACTGTCGCACATTCAAGCCTCCAGTCTGGTCGAGGGAACTAGCGCAGGAACCAGCGGCTGGTTCGTTGCAGAACCGGACGGCGCGAAGCCATCGCCAATCAACGGACGTTTCAGAACACCCACCCACCAAAGCTGGTCGTGCAGAAGCGACTCGCCTTTCCTATTAATATATATTCACATCGCATGATAGGAAACCAGGGGTCGGGTTGCCCGGGATTGACAGGACAGGAGACAAGGAAAAAGGTGCACGGCATCTGGCGGCTTGCTCTGATTGCATAACCGCCTTGAAAGTGGGCAGTCCCTGAAGAACCCTTCGCATCAGTCCCTGCTAAATGACCCTCTGGAGGGTCCGGAGCTGTAGCTGTTTTTAGTACCTCGCTTTGTCCAAGTCGAGAGGTCACCAAGGGGGGTGGAACTTTTCAAACAGTATGGCATTGGCTAAATCTCTGTAACACGGCTGCAATATGCAAAGCCAGTCGATGCAAAAAAAAAAAGAAAAAAAAAGAAAAAAAATTGAAAATAATAGTAGTAATAGTAATACTCATCATAATAATAATGACAGCAACAACAGGAACAGTCAAATATGGACATCAGAAAAAAAGAAAGAAATGAGGGGAAAAGACAAGGGTTGAAAAAAAGTACTAGACGTTTCTGTAAAACAAGGTATATCCCTAAAGCCACTCTGACTCCCAGGCAAAGCTTCATCATCATCAAATTCAAACTTTTGGCCATGGATTGATTTCTCTAGACCATCCAAGCCTCGTAAATAATATCTTCCAGGCCCCTCTGGGGAAGAAGGGGGGGGGGGGGGGGTTGATTCCCGATCATTTTCCCATTTCAGGGAAGGATCGTTCGGAGTGATTCACACCCAAACATGATATGAGAAAAGAAATAATAAAGTAATTACTAGATCTCCATCTCTGCGAACTAAAGAAATGGAGAGAATAAGGCCCCTCTCCCTTGTGCATATGGGCAGGCCATTAAAACCATTAAAATGGGACCTGACTGCGACGCTGGGCATTCATAAGCTTTCGCCGTACTGCTTCCCCTCCGGCATAGCCGCTCGCTTTACGTTTTCGGGTAGGTGTGCGTTGATCTGTATGTCGGGCATGTCGAAATACACTAGCAGGCCGTGAGGGGGAGTTGGCTGGCATGAATTCCCGATGCTGTGGCAGCCGCAGCAAAGCTTGGTATCGATTGTGATTGCGACGGAAAGCAGTCACAATTCCACAGTCCAGATGATTGAGGAACCGCTCGGCACTGTTGGTTTGCTGCGACTCCATGCCTCGATTCGGAGTCGGGGTGCCTGTCATGGCAGGTACAGCCGAAACTGCCATTGGAGATGTAAGTGCATCGTCATCAAACAGTTTATCGAGCTCGTCGTCCGATGAACCATCTCCAAAGTCAATAAAGTCGTCCACATTCAGTGAAGCCTCAGGGTCATCCTCATCGTCGTCTTCTTCAAAGGAGCTGTCAATAGCAAAATCGCGAGACGGGTAGAAGGCCTCAGGGGGACCCATGACCTGGCCACCAGGAGCAATGTCATTTCCAAGTGCCGTCATCATTAGGTTGGCACTTGAGGCGAGCATGGGGCTCATGTCCGTATGGTTGGGAGACGCAAGGGCATCCGTGTCACTTTCTTCGATGAGATGCATCGTGGTGGCTCGTGGGCTATTGTTGGCAGTCCCGCAAATACTGGTAGCAGCAGATTCAAGCCAGTCATGGCGCGATGACGCATAAGCGGGAATGATTACAAGATGTTTGCCAGTGCAGTCAACCAATGCAACCGGCTTATGCGGATCCGCAACGAAGGTGCCCATAATGGGGCCTCGTCGACGGATCGGTGTCTCGCTCTTGTCATCACCTCCAGGTACTAGGGAGGCTGAAGAGTCACGGCGAAGAATGGACCGGGGGTGGGTGATTGTGGCAGGAGGGGGGAGGTCTTCATCTGTAGTCTCACCATCATCGGCTTGAAGCGGGTTAGCAACACAATATGCAAATCAGGCGGTGTAAGTGGTGGGGTAATTGTAATGCATACTCTCATAACCACTGGACTCTCCTTCGGAGACGGCATCAGACTCGACGTGGTAGATGTTAGAATGTCCATAGTCAGAGTCGGCATAAATCTCATCAGATTGTCGGCGAGAAGGACGGCGTATCACCTCATTGTCATTTTCGATCATGCGACGAAGCTGAGGATCAAGGCTATCTTGCTGAAGGAAATCGCTTGGAATCTCATCCTCCGTGTAGGAATCACTGTCAGAAGAGGAGTCGGACTCTTCTTCAAAGTGCACCCGGCGGGGTACAGGGGTCTCCACTGCGGTTTCACTAGCCAGATCGGTTTCACCAAAAGCTTCCATGGCACTGTACAGCTGAGCCTCATCGAAAAACGGGTCGGCAGACAGAAGCAAATGTTCATCAAAGACATTGGGACCAGCCCAATCATGAGCTTCACCGACCGCTGAGGAATTTGCGGTACTTTGGAAGCCATGCTCATCCTCGGATTCCAGAATCAAGAGCTCCTCCAGTTTCTCGACGTCTTGTTCCTCGTCGTCACCATCACTAATATAATCCACAGCAGCATATACATCATCCGAGCTGTCCTCGAGATCTGGTCCATCGCTGTCGTCTTGCTCGTCGTCGGTGTCGTCATCATCGTCCGATACTCTTGTCGTCTTGACACGCTTAGTAGACTTCATACCCGACTTATGCGGCCGATGTCCATAAGACGGGGTGCGAACAGCTGGCTGGTCGTCCTCATCATCTGCATCGGAGTCATCCGCTTCGTCACTCAGCGCCTCCATGGAGGTCACTGAGGAGAGACTTGAGACGGATGACGACGACGCCCTTCGTTTCCGGTCTGAACTGATTGGACCAATGGAGATTGACTTGCTGGATCTTTTGGAGTCAAATTTATGACCGGAATTGGAGGGGGGACTGGAATTGTGGTAGTGAGCGTCCTTCGCGACGCCTTTCGAGGGCCGCTTGGGCGAGTGTGTTTTGGGCGGCATTGTTGTTGAACAATGGGATTGTTGTAAATAGTGGTTGGTCGTTCAAGGGGGGCTTGCTTTGGGGATAAACAGCAAGCGGAACAAACTGGGGGGGGTGGAGAGAGAAGAAGAGGGTGGAATTGATAAAGTTTGTTACCCGCAATAGGATCAATTGCGTCAGTACCTGTTGCAAAAAGGTGGGCCCAGATGTCTATAGAATGAAGGCTGAAGAAAACGCGGAGCGTTTCTTTTTTATTTTGGTTCGTCAAGGCGTTAGGAAGAAAGACAAGGCTTGTTATTGGATCGTTGGGAGAGGATATAGAGGTGAATGGCAAAGGGGGGTTCGGGTCGGATTCGAAGGGGAGGAGGGAGAGAGGAGAGGAGGAGACAAGCGTGCTGCAATCTGGCCACAAAAGCACCTTCCCGCCCGAATCGGACGTCCAAGTGCTTCTTCCGTGAGTGTACTAAAGGGCAATTCCGACGCTCTTGGATGTTGCGTCGAAAGAGGAACAGATAAGTCGTCAAGTCAATTGGAGATACTCGGAGCTGCTGGACTGGGGTGCCTCGGACAAGGCTCCCCAGCGAGGAATCTACAGCTCAACGAAAGCCATGGCGGCACGGGAACCCTTGACGATATCTGATATAAAAAGAATAGAATAAAAATGGGTTGGAGGTTGAAGTGGTTTGGAGGACGGAAAGGCGAGCGTTCTGCAGCGATGGATGAAGGAAAGAAAAGGAATGAGGGGTGAAGTTAAGATGTTTGGGGAGGAGGAGGGAAAAAAAGAAGAGTCCATGGCGTCCGCAGCGAGGACGATCCCGTACTGTAATCCGTAATTAGGTCCCATTACCGTAACAATACAGTCTCGGATTGCTTGGAAATCCATCACTAGTGGAGTCCTGGTTGTTGTCACCAAGTGGGTCACTATCAATTTAAATAGATTTCATTGGTTAGAGATGTTAAAAATGTGGACAACCATTGGTGGACAAGTGTTCACCGCCTCTTTTTCCTTTTTTTTTTCCTTTTTTTTTTTGTCTTTTAGACTTTTTTTACTTACTGCGTACTATTTTTTCTCTTTTTCTTACTCTGGCCTCTCCAGTATTTGAAACCAATCAGTGAAGGTCCACGAATTGAGACATGTCATGTATTGTACGAGGTATTATACGAAGAATCATGAGATACCTACAAGTAGGCAGTTCTGGGCCCAATAATGTAGTAACTTCATTGACTCATTGAAGAGCAGGGGGGTAATGGATTATGGAAATGAATCATAATAACATTTCACTGCTCTTGTGCTAAACTTCCCTATACGTTGGCCAGTTGGACAAGACAACGACTGCTGCAACTTCGGTTGGGTACCTTAATCTGCACTACAACAGGAGTGGGCGGGACGCAGCAGTACAACGGACAACAGACAAGGTACACCTCACCAATGATCTGGAGATATTCAGAGTTCTAAAATTGAGAGTCCATCTTGCTCGAGACTCTCCTCTAAGGCTTGCTCCAAGGTAATAGGTTCGAATATACAGAAACTAGATGGCCTTACCAGTCATAATTTTGGTTCGTGAGTCACCAGGATCTCCAGACCAACCAACGCATCAGTGATAAAATTCGACAACTCCAGTGACTCTCCCCTCCCAGTGTGTCAGTCAATCCTTCTTCTTCTTCTTCTTCTTCTTCTTCTTCTTCTCCTCGTCGTCGTTGCTACTCCGTGGTACTCCGGACTTGGCAAAGATACAGAGTACATTGCTGATACAAATACAGGAGGAATATCTATACAATCCGTGAGACTACAGACATGCAGGCAAGAATGCAGATCGTTCGGAGCCTCTGCACATTGATCAAAGAGGAGGGGGAACACTTTGATGGCGCGCGGAATGCACGACAAGTTTGAACTTAACCTAAATGGAAGAAATGCATGCCTAATCGTCCAATAGTTCCATGCCAGGGCATTTTCTGAACCGTGCTCTCCCCACTTCATGACCTACCTGCAGGCTACAACTAGTGCATCATGATCAAAGATTATTTCGAACCCGTCAGTCTTGTCTTATCTTATTGTCTTAGTACCCAAGTCGATTTTCAGCAGTGTCACTTCATCGAGCCGAATTCAACGTGATTCATCGGGTTTGTAATATTATGTTGACACGCAGAAACTCCAACAACGAAAAGCGCTGGGCAAGATTTCGTTAAGGTAAGGGGATCCTCGCTCATTCCATCGGGTCAGGATTGGTTGGTTACGCCAGTGGCGGCTAAGCTACTGTACCATTCCCGGGCAGAGGCTGGATAGCCGTTCAAAGGTAAACGAATGGATGATTCATACATTGTGATTAACTTCCTATTATATTTCTCCCACCACCATACTGCTACTACTATTACCCCAGGTACGTACTCCAGAGTAAGCGACCTCTGTAGAAGATACAAGGCAGGAGTCTTTTTCTCTTTCTTCTCAAAGGAAGCAATTAATAAATACGTTCGCCTCACCCGAACCTCCTCATACGGTACGATCCTCGCCCCTCCCGAAAACAGTCACCCGTCAAGATTTTCGGTTTCTTTCTCCACCGTAGTGGCAAGCAATCTTGGCGTCTGAAACCCTCATCAAAAATACAGAGAGTGCAGACTTGAACAGGCCAGAAATATCATAAGATCCGGATCATGGTTGCAGGTTTTGCATTTGATTTTTTATTATTTCATGATAATCGTACGGCAAATCTACAGTCTGCAAAATCGGCCGAAACATACGGAGAGACATTGGTAGTAAGTACCTTTGCCCCAGAGCGCTAAGGCAAGCATGGATGCCATACTCCGTAGGCATACAATACAACCCAACTTGAAGACGCTGGGGACTTTCGACGACTTTGGCTCTGGGATTGGTCCAAAGAAGCGGTAAACGGGACAGACAGCTGGCTGCCCCAGTACCTACTTTGCGGTCCATGGGACCACGATGCATTGCACGAGGGCCTTCTTCTATATTCTGAACAGACTATGGATTCGACGGTTTCTGTAAATCAAAAATCCTACCTAGGTAGGCATGGGTCAAGGATAGAGCGCTTATCCTTGGTCCAATCAATAGTAACTGGGTATATAAATTGTACAAAAATAAGGATGTAATGCTACTTTGATCTTCCTATTAAACAGACAGGTGATATATTGGCAATGCAACACTGAATTGAATGATCAACACGAAATGAACATTCTCCAAAAAAAAAGATGTTCGGATCTCCGATACGGGGAATCGAACCCCGAGCTGCCGCGACCATTAACTGTCAGTTTATGAAAGGCGGCGATGTTAGCCGTTACACCATATCGGATGTTGAAGAAAATGCGACGGTTTTAGATTGATAGCCTTAAGCTTTGTCCATCCGCCGCCCCACAAAGTTCAAACAAGTAGTAACCAACACGGCAGAATAAATTATGTTCTTCAGGAAAAGTTACCATGGTCTCGAGCTACCTATTTTCAGCATATGAACGTTGAAAATAGGAAAGGAAAAAAAATCATATCCTCCTCTCTACGGGGTACTTTGAGCATTACCTACTCCGTGGAATGAGAATCACAAGAAGAAGGAGAAGAAAAGAAAAAAATATAATGACTCCGATACGGGGAATCGAACCCCGAGCTGCCGCGGAACTTGCTTTCGATTAATGAAAGGCGGCGATGTTAGCCGTTACACCATATCGGACGAGATGTTGCTTGTGATCCTGATTTTGATATAATAGCTAGGAATGTAGATGCCAAAACAAACCCTTGTATCCGGCCTCTTGCCTCTTGGACCATTGTGTTTGCTTTTATTCATATACAGATCTTAAAGTCTTCATCATACTCTTGTTTTTATGAGCGTCGTGAAGCCTACTCTACTCGTCTATCGGGTGAGATATATACTCACACTCCCCATCTGTTGTGGCGTGCAATATATATATCCAGATGTAGATGCTGCGAGGCGCATCGTCCCAGGTAAAATAGTAGGCATTAGATAATTATCCATTTGAAAAGTACCTGCGTCATAATATCATCACGTCTTCTTACCCCCCCCTCCTCCCATAATCAAGCTTCTCCCACCGCATCGCCAACCCACACACCAAACAAAGCACCCCCGCCGCAACAACCAAATAAAACTCCCTCGCAATCACCTCCGCAACCGCATCAACAACACCAATCTGCACCTCTGGATCCGGAGACTCCCACACCACAGACGTCACTCCAGCCAGTGCCTGCCGCAGTTCGTCATCCGAGTACCCTCTATCCCCAATCGCATCCACCAGCAATGCATACCCCACGTTCTGGAAGATAGAACCCGCAACCGCCAGAACGATCGCAATCGAGCCCGTCTGGGCCATATTAGACAACACGGCGCTGTCTACTCGATCCTGCGGATTACGATTGATGACGTTTGAGATCCCGATCCCGTGCTGGAACGAGCAACCGAGCCCGATCCCGATCAGGGCTTCCAGACCCAGGATCTGGGTCTCGGAGAGGGTGCGGGTAAGTGTTCCTGCCATAGCGCCGGCACCGGCAATCATGGACACCCCGCCGGCGATGTAGATGAGGTTATACCTGCCAAGGATAGGAAGGAGACCACCGACCAGCATGGCGACGACAATGAAGACCAGGATGAATGGTAAGATGCGGACGGTTTGCTGGAGTGGGTCAAGACCACGCGTGAATGCGAAGAAGAGAGGGATGTAGTAGAGCGTTACGCCGTAGGCAGCGCCTGCACAACCGGATGCCCACCACAGCGGGAGGAGGTCAAAACGGGACAGCAGGTGTAGTGGGAAGGCACGCTGTTCGGGGGTGGTCAGGATGCAGAAATATTGCTGGAGGGCCCATGCGATGAAAACCACACCGAATAGCACCCAGACGGTGATTGAGGATGCCGAGCCCCAGGGCCAGATAGGACCCGAAAATTCTAGAGCCAGAGCAAACAGTACGGGGACGGCCATGTTGAATGCGATCCCCAGGGGGTCGATGCGGGATAGTCGGTGGAACAACGGGATGTCTGGGCCGATGTACTTGCTCGGGAGGCAGACGAAGGATACCACGGCACATAGCCCGGTCCAGGGGAGGTTCATGTACAACGCCCAGCGCCAGGTGGTGCTTGGATTGGAAGCGAGGGCTGACCCAATCGGGCCTCCGATGACTAGGCCAACTGCCCAGGCTGCGCTGAGCAAGCCAAAGAGGCGGGGGGTTTCCGAGGGAGTGGCAAAGACCGCCATGAAGGTGAAGTTGCTAGAATTGTGAGTCTCCTTCCTCCTTTGCTGTCTCACAGTGGGATGGGGGACATACATACCCTTGGGAAACAATGGCAGCACCGAGACCCATGATGACTCTCCCCACAATGACAGTTGAAATGTTATGTGCAGCACCGGCGACAGCAGCGCCAACCATGAAAACAATCAGGCTGGTGATGTAGATCCAACGCAAATCCAAGCAGTACATGATCTTCCGCGAGAGGGCGAGGACGGCAAACACCGAGAGACTAAACGAGAGTCCAATCCAAGGGAGGAGCTGGATGCTGCCGAAGGCTTCATAAAAACGAGGTTGGATATTGGCGACATTGCTAACATCGTATCCTAACATCGTGAGTTAATCCAGACGGAGGGATTCCCATCAGAAGCTATAAGGAGCCCATACCACAGATGAGGGTGGAAAGCAGGGAGACCGCAATGGTGCCTTTCCACCTCCAGTCGGGAATGCCATCTCGAGGATGAGCTGCTGGCCCCGGAACATCTAGAACTGGACCATCTGCGTCGAGTTTCTCAGTGAATCGAGTCTCCGAAGAGCTGGAGGTTGGAATTTCATCACCCATAGTTGCAAGAAACGGAGGGAACAAATATCCAGAGACTAATAACACGACCAGACCAAGACACACTATAGAGGTATTATACTCCCTCGCATCTCACCTCGATTATGTCGACTCAGAGTAGTCACGCATCAGCACTTGGAAATGAGACTGAACCTGGAAGTCCGCTAGTGTTACCGAAAATGGCATCCACAGGGAATCGCCTGCATCATTCACTCAAGGGCATTTCATCCTATCCAGTAAATGCTACAGTTAAGTCATTCACTGATAACAAAAATAGCACTTCACCTTACACCACACAACCACCACAAACACACCAGCGCTACTATCCACTGCCAAAGTCTCAACTGGATCAACCTTAGTATTGAATTTGTTTAAATCCCAGTATACAAATAAATAAGCACTAGCGGCGGAATGACCTGTATGCTACAGTAAACAGACAGGCTTATATGACTCTCTCATTGGGTTAGCAGTATATATATAGTGAGAGTCCTGCAAGGAATCAAAAGGGCTGCCTGCTATTTACAGAGTAGTCCACCAAATAAGTTGACTGCAACAAATTCCCGTGCAAGTAAAACAATATTTATTCTAGGATCTCATATGAGGTGAATGAACTCTTACGAAGATTAGTTAATGCGCGTGTAGGGCTACAAATCTCTTTTGTGTTAGGTTTATCTAGTCAATTTGGAGAACCAAATACCATAAGTCCGATATGGTGTAACGGCTAACATCGCCGCCTTTCATAAACTGAAAGTTAATGATCGCGGCAGCTCGGGGTTCGATTCCCCGTATCGGAGTCACTTTTTTTATTTTTATATTTTTGTATTTATTTATCCCCCCATCTGTCTTGCATTATTACTTGCTTACGGAGTATATCACTGTCGTCCTACCTAGGTAGTAGTGAGATTATGCTTTTACCGGAGAATATTCTTGCAAGTATATCATTGAAGCCAAGAACCATGTCAGATTATGTATCTAACTAGCTGATAATTGTATATGTCAATATATCCTCATTAGAATCAGAACAAATCATTAATCATCACTCATGTGCCCGGATACGGCGCAACCTTTGGTGTCGTCGTGTTCGAGCTGGTAGATCTACCGAAAATAGACAGGACCGACTTGGACCTGGTTGGTTTCATAGAATTAGAGTCACTCTTTGACTCGCTGGCAGTCTCCTGCTTGGGATCGTCCTTCTTCGTCACCTGAGCCTCACGGGCCTGTCGTGCTTCTTTAATACCTTGGTGGACTTCGGCAGTGGAGGCGCCGTGTGGTGCTGTGGTGACGAGAGTTTCCGTGCTCCTGATTTTGGTACCATCAGCGGACTCCTCGTTCATCTTTCCAATTTCGTCTTCCGTTACAAGTCGCTCGTTCTCGATACGAACTTCGCGGCCGCGTTTGTGGCAGTACCAGAGGACGAAGAGGAGGACTATGCATGGTTAGCACTGCATATTTATCACTGCTCGCGGTAAACAGAAATACTTACTGAACAAAGCCAATGACCAAAGAACATTCATACCCAGGGCGGCCGGAAACCGAGCCCTGAGGAATGCTATGATGGATCGGAACATCCCTACGATCGCGGCAGGTTTCCCGACCAACTCCTTCAGGTTGGGTACTTTGATGCCCATCTTGTTCGCGGCAGCTGCTGCCTTGCCGATATTATCGACATTGATTCCGCTTTGGGTCGCCCGCTCTGCAGCGGCCGCGATAATCTCTGGAGCGAGAGACTCGGTCCATCGCTCGGGGAGCTTTTCGATCAGCTTCTGCAGAAAGCCCGGGAGCTGCGAGTATGTGTCTTGTAACTGCCTGTTGCCGTTGGTGAGCAGCATCTCGAGATCGTGATAAGCGGTTGGAACGCCGTTGATCAGGTCCTTGAAAATGAGCTTGAATTTCCGGAGGAGTTCTTGCGTCTCGTCGCCGATTGAAAATACCCTGTTATTGTCGGCGGCGAGGTTGAGTCGGTCGAGGATCTCTGTCATATCTTCTCTTTCTTGCGCTGCTTCCTTCAAGTTGTTTTCCCGAGCGGCGGTGGTAGGGGATCCTGTAGTTTCTTTGACGACTTCCTTATCCTAGTTGCATCGCACTAGTTAGAAACACTTAAAAAAAAAAAAATAAAAAAAAAAATCAAACTCTCCCTCCCCTAGGAAGACAACCCAGAGGGGAGAGATACCTTCTTCTCATGATTTCTCCTCCACATCCAACTCCATGACTTCATCTTCTTCTCCGGTTGCCGGGGCTGCGAACTAGGCGCAGAACTCTCAATCTTCACAGAAGAAGCCTGTACGCTATTCAAGGGCTCCGTTTCCGCGCGGGATCTCATCTGTCTCGCTTCTTCGCCCAGTTCCCTACCGAACTCCTCCGCCGGCGACATCGGTAGCTCTGTCTCTATAGTAGCCTCGAGAGTGGTGGCGGGTTCGGCAGCTCGGTCGCCGGTCTCTGGGGGAAGGGGACTGGATATCTGTTCCATGGCTGGGGAGGAGTCCACGGCAACATTCCGCAAGAAGGCCTCATCTTCAGCTGTTAGAACGGGATCTTGCGACTTCCGACGGGATTTCTGGGATTTGGCTTTGAAGAGGTTGAATTGTTGCATCTTGGCTTAGTTCATATAGCGAGATAAGAGGTATTGTGGAGGAGATGGATCAGGGAGAGTGTAAAATATAGCTTTATGCTATTGCAATCTTTGGAAGATCATCTAACTGTGGAATCTAAATCAAAGGTTGGACAATAATATATACTAGGGATGATGGGAGGCTGGGGTCGTGTTGTTGATGAGGATCAGAATGGCGATGATATCACTATGTACTGCTGCTGCTGCCTGGGGCAGCACAGCTCTTTTCGGCCTTAGTCACTCACTGCACCGCCACAGCTCCTGATTGGCTGATCAGAAGTATCGGATCGGTACAGGTTATCTGGATGAAATTGATTATTATTTTATATGGTATATGTGGCCGAAAGAGGGTATTTGGGTTTGCTACATGTTGAGGTGTCAATATGGTGGGCAGGAACTACTTCCCCATGGGCAGTGGGAGACTCATGTATTATACTAGACGTATAATGAAGTTGGTCTAATATGAGAAATGATAAGAACTTGAAGACTTAAGAAACATGCGGTGAAGTAAAATTTCCAGTTGATATACTGTTTGTGGAGTCGACCTGTTGAGAGCGTAGCGTAAGGCTATCTCCTTGGCCGACATAGCTAGTCAAAGGGGTTCTTTACATCTAGTTAGGAGCGCACAATTATGTACAAGGGGTAGCAGACACCCGCTGTCTGAGTCGGCAGGGAGATGCTTTTAGAGCTAAACTAACATCATCAACCCGAGCTTAGGAGATGACAATTCTGAGTTTCTTCCCACTGCATGAGGTCCTGTCTCTTCAAAGTTCCTAGACTATAAGTCTGATCCCCCGGAAATCTTTGTGAACTCAAATTTAAGCAAAGAAGGGTATAATGGCCCGCGTTATTCTGCCAGAGCCGTGCCAGGATGTGGACAAGAAGGTGGTAGTTGTTGGAGACGTTTCTCGGCGATATCGTTGGGTGAATATACACTCCTATACATACCGCCTATACCCGTGGTAGATCGGCTGCCAGGATTTTTATCAAGATCTTTTCGGTTGTGGGTCTTATCAGAGGGCCTCTTCTGTTTCGAATGATGGAATTTCAATCTGTAGCGTTGGCTCGGTATGATGCCGGCCGAGAGGAGCAAGAGATTTAGGAAGAAACGCGGTTGGAATTGAAGGGCGATGGCTGTATAACGAATGCGTATGAGTTACCCTAGTTGACGAAAAGTGGCTAGAAATGGCTGTGATATTGCGGTGCATGCGCGAGGAGGAAGGACCGTTACGTCCATTTCGAGTCCTCTGATCCGGCTGCATCTTGGGCAGGAGGCTTGACAATATCCAGAAATCGACTATGAAATCTTTCTATCTCTGATTGAGAGCAATTTTCCTTTTCGAACACGGGCTCCTTTCCCACCTTGATTAAGGCAAGCCACTTCCCGTAGCGCTGATAGTGAAACTCAACCGTCTTTGATTCTAGGTCCTTTGTAGATGGGTATAAAACACTCACTCTCCTAAGCGCCGGTAGACGAGCAATCTGTGCACACAACACAGCCCAAGATAACTGCTCACCAAGAGGTTTAACTCTATCCACGAACAGAGGAACCGGGCGCAGCTGTAAGTATCGAACGCTGTGTCGCGCGTGGTCAGAAAGACGATCGAAAAGGTAGGTCAACGACGCGGGATTTGACCGAAAGGTGAAAATTATCCCGGAATAGAGGACTGGAAGTGCTTCGCGGTAAATCTGGCTGTTTGCTCGAAGAAGTGCGACGGGGAGTTGTATTCCTGGCGTTAGTGTGTATTGGAGCTTGACTGGAGGTTTATTATCGTGTCCGGGACCCATATGTAATCGGGGACCGGATGGATTTTTCTCAATAGCGACGTGAATCAGCTCGAGCTGACTGGAAGAGACTGAGAAGACATAGCTGTAGATGATGTAGCGGATCTCTCGGGGGAAAGCGAGGAAATACGAGGGCCTCAGCGGGGTTGGATCCTCGTCGCATGAGCCGATAGTTTCAGACACAGACTCCGAGTAGTCAGTCCTGATTTGCTTTACACTCATGATGGATATATTTGAGTTGTTGTCCCAACGGGAATGAAGCTGTAAGGTTGTCGAACTTTTGAATCCAGCAGTAACACAGACATCCCTCAGGTAGCCTCATCCTTTCCTAATCGGGTAATCACCGAGGGGCCTTGCATAGTCCAGAGGATTCTGCGGTCAGATTGAAATGAGTTGAACAGAAGATACCTGACTCATAAACTAAAGTATTCTAGTCCACTCAGGATATTTGCTGGAGAGCCATACGCTAAGGTTGGGGGTCTTGTTAACAAAGGGCAGTGCCGCTTTCGAAAAACTCTTCTCTCTTCCAAATTGGCCCCTTCGGACAACCTATTGGCAATGTATGAAGCTCGAGAAGATGGCTGCATCGCATGCGGAGCGGTTAGGTGTACATGGCGACGCACATGAACATGCCAAAGCATTCTGGATGGATGATAAAGGGCGAGAAGCTTTGGAGAAGTTATCTTACTCCTTAATATCCGACATATTATCGCTGCCTTGGTTAAATATCCACACCTACATAGCCTCTTATAATGATACGCAGGGCTATTCATCTCCCAGGGAAACGAGGGGAAACGAGGCCCTATTCAGATGGGACAACAAGTGACGATTGGTTTCGCTATACAAGAGGCCGCTTTCTGTCGAATGAAACCCACGAAATGGCCATCCGTCAAACTGCATTCGATATGGCGGAGCTGGCAAAGTGCCTTCGAGAGATTACTGTCTTTACCGATCAAAGGTCCTCTTAAGAGTAGTGATGTCATGAGGTAATAGATTGAAATCTATCTTATCTTATCTAACATAGATAGATAGTGCGGATCTCGGGTGGAAATACGTTATCCGTGTTCTCGGAATCCGGGGTCCGGTATTGCAATACCAACCCGTAAGATACGGTCATGACAAACTACTTCCGTACAGAGACATGGGTACATTGACAGGCGACACAGGAAGAGACACCGACCAACCAACATTGCAGTTCTGTACTTTGAATGACAATAAGATGGAATCAATATCAATCTTACCTTTTTATTATTCTATCTTCTATCTATTCGAAGCTGTATCGTACTCCTTGCGCACGGCGAATATCATCGATCATGATCGTCGTCTGGTCCGGATTTCGGCCCCCGCATTCAGCGTACCTTGAACTATAGTACTATACGTATTCATAACTAGCATATATTCAGCACCGTCTGTAGTCTCCCTCTCAACAACATCTCACTAAAATCTCTATAACCCTATCCCCCAAATGGTGCAAAACAAGACCCTCGTGTTCGCCAATGTGCCCCAAGGCCTCCCCGTCGCCGGGAAAGACTTGACCATCGAGAACCGCCCCATCGACCTCAACGCCCCCCTCCCACCCGGCAGCGTCCTGGCCAAGACCCTGCATATCTCATTCGACCCGTACCTGCGCCACCGACTCATCCACCCGCACGCGGTGACCGAGTTCCCACACATCCCGCTCAACGAACCCATCCCGAACACAGGCATAGTAAAAGTCCTGGCCGCAGCCCCTGCATCCCCAGAGGCAGAGGCAGAGGCAGAGGCAGAGGCACCCTTCCCCGTGGGGGCCATCCTCCGCGGCATGGTCCCGATCCAGGAATACGTCGTGCTGGGCGCCGCCGACCTGCCGCAGTTCGAGCGCATCGCGAACCCCCTCGCGCTGGACCTGCGGTACTTCCTGGGCCCGCTGGGCATGCCGGGACTCACGGCCTACTCGGCGTTTTACGAAATCGCGCAGCCGAAGCCGGGCGAGACGCTGTTTGTGTCTGCGGCGAGCGGCGCCGTCGGGCAGATTGTGTGCCAGCTGGCGAAGCGCGAGGGGTTGCGTGTGATTGGGAGTGTGGGGAGCGAGGAGAAGAGGGCGCTTCTTGTGGATCGCGTGGGTGTGGACCACGCTTTCAATTATCGGAGCGTGGGGAGTGAGAATGTGCGCGAGGAGTTGCGGAGGTTGGCTCCGGATGGGATTGATAGTGAGTTTTAACTACTGCTTCCCCCCCTGCCTGCCTGCCTGCCTGCCTAATACTATGATTATTGTTTACTCATATATTTTCGGCATAGTTTACTATGACAACGTAGGCGGGGAGCAACTCGAAGCTGCGATTTACGAACTAAACCACCGGGGCAGGATCGGTATGCGTTCCCTTTTCTTGATGCCAAACTTCCCCTGACCGGAAAAGAAAAAAAAAAAAAAAAACTAATGACTGGACAGTGGCATGCGGCTACGCCTCACAGTACCAAAAACCCGCGGAACAACGATACGGAGTCCGCAACACCGGTCTGGTCGTCGGCAAGTGTCTGACCTGGCGCGGATTAAGCGTGTTCGAGCCCGAGTTCGGCCCCAAATACGGCGAGGAGCACCTGAAGCGCGTGCAGGAATGGATTCAAAACGGCTCCATCAAGCCGATTCTGGACGTGACCAAAGGAATTGATCATGCTGCCGAGGGGCTGGTGCGGCTCTTCACCGGGGAGAATATTGGGAAGGCGGTTCTAGATTTAAGTCAAGAGGAGGAGGAGGAGGAGGAGGAGGAGGAGGAGTAAACTTGTGTATATATATATCATTATATGTAATATATATCATTATATTCAAATACTTGGGTTGTATCTAAAGGCAGGGATTAAAAAGGCATCCCCCCATCTGCTCCTCCTTGCAATGAGTTGGTTTGCATTGCAAAACAGTCCCAGTCTGACAAGAAGCCTCCGCGCAAAGGGTCGCTCAAGGAATCCAGGAACAGCGGCGAGGCGTCCTGCGGGTCCGGCGCAAAGGGGAGGTCCTCCATGTCTATGCCCAAGGATTCTTCGCCCGCTACGCCGGGATTCTTCGACGACCACATGTTGATTTCCTCGTAGCCGCTGGTTGCATTCTTGTAGGGATCCAATTCCGACAGATTATTATTAGTCCCCGCGGGGGCCAGCCCCCGTCGCCGAATCTGCAGTCGACTGAGACGTTGGCTGAATCGCATCCGCTCCGAGAACTGCTTGTACAATTCGATCAGGGAGTCGCAGAGACGTTTGATCTCCATCAGCGAGTAATGGGATCGGTCGATTGGCGAGAGACCGCGCGAGATATCCTGCAGGAGGTCCAGATCGGACGCTTCGGATGTCGCGACCAGAGTGCTGAAGATAAAGTAAATCGGCCGCAGCGAGAAGAGCGGCACCACCCACGCGAGAGAATTGATGCACTTGTCGGTAATGGACGACGACCGCGACGCAAAGTCTAACATCACCGTGAGCGTCAAGAGCGCGTTGCGTGCGTTCTGGAGGCATTCCTGGTGTAGTTTGGGGTCGGAGCCCTTCATGCCCAGTCGAATCACCGAGGTCATCATCGAGTAATAGACGAACTCGAGGTTCAGCCACTCAAAGGACAGAAACTCATTGTCACAGCAGGGGGCCTCCGACCGGTATTGTTGGATTTTCCTCGCAATTCGCAGCATGCGCTGCTGGAGCCCTACGAATCGGTCTTGCACATACGACGGGGTGTGGCCGGGGGAGTTCCAGTGTCGGGTTTCGCGCAGGAGGGCGTCCTGCACGGAGGCAATCTCAAGCAGGGTCAGCAGCATCGCATGCCCGGGCCTGGTGGGGACAAGGACGGTCGAGTCCACCTCCATGACGTCCGAACAGGCCGGTTGATACACATGTGCGGACAGCGCTTTGTCGAAGACATAGCATTTGATAGAGATCATTCGGATTTCCGCTCGGTCTTGTTCCGGAATCGATTCTTTGACGGGAGACTGGTTCAGCGATGCGCAGATCCGACACGCGAGCCGATTCAACCGCCAGCAGCCCCTCATATTCCCAATATCCTGCATCAACATTGCCTATCGGGCGATTTTTTTCTTTGTGAGATTCTGTTCTGCATCTTATATGGGACAGAAGAAATATGGGTCTTACCGCAGAGACGATGGCTTGTAAGAGGGATAACTCTGGCTCGGCTCGAGTGTCCAGTTGCTTGAGGGCGACGAGCACATTGCGCCGGTATCGTAGTCGCGCAAGGCCCAGATGCTTGTGCATTCTGTTGCTCTTCGAGCTCGAGTCCGTCGCAGTCAGAAAGGCGTATGCCAGGTAGTTCACGCAGATGATGTACCGGAGGCGAAGTTGGTCATGCACACTGCATTCGACCAGGCTCAACCCCATCTGTTCCAAACATTCCTTCGAAACGGTTTCATTAAACTCCAGGAAGTACGCCGTGGCGACGTTACTTGTATCATCTGCTGGATAAGTCAGCCGCATCCTTGTAACTGTCGAGCTAACGTACGATTGACGTACGATTGAGAGCCACATGCAGAAACTCGATCGACGGGTACATCCTGGGATCGTAGAATGCCGACCGATTCTGCCCAATCTCATCTAACCCCTCGAGCTTGGGTTCTGTGTTGGCCACTTGTTTCGCGAGCCTGATGGCTGATTCGAGAACAAAATGGCGTTCCCTGGCGAGATCCTGCGCGTTTCCCGAGTGGTGGTTGCAGAAATATCTCTGGAGATCTATCGAGGCCAGCGCCTGGCATTCTGGAGATTGGCTCTCGTCGACGGCATCGCTCTTGCCGGCGTGAGCGCGTTTGCTCTCTGAACCCAAGACGGACTGTGCGCGTCGCTTGCGCAGGCCCAGCGGTGGGAGGGAGGAGGGATCGATGTTGTTGTTGTTGTGGTTGTTGTTGTTGTTGTTGTTGTCTGCAGAGCTCGGTCGCAGCCCGCTCTCTGGGGACATTTCCGACGGTTCCGGCGGTTGGGGGTCTTGCACTGCGTCTTCATCCCCGGCCGAACTAAACGGGGTATCCTTGGGCGAGAAAAAGGCCCTCGACTGCTCGTCTGTCAAGTTGTTGTTCGACTGCTGCTCATCTATGGATTCCGACTGAGATCCAAACGCCCTAGAGCTTGCCTGTCTGATCGATTCCTCTAGCTGCGACATTCGCTGCAACATTTCGTCCATCCTACTCCTGCAAAGGCGTCTCCTATCAGCCCCGTCTGTTAGTCGTACCTGGAGAGGTTCAGACTTACGTGTCAAACCGGTTTGCTTGACTGGTACTCTTCGGTCGCTCACGAAGACAGGCAGTCTTCGTCAGAACACAGTTGCTACATGGGCTTTGCCGGTCGCATCGGATCTTCTTGAGATGGCATAAATCGCACTGTCCAACGATGAGCATGATGATCACATACGGAAGCCTATGGGGGGGTGCTTACTGCAGGTGGGAGTCGATGGGACTGCATTGTGTCTTCCCTTACAAGATGAGTTCAGATGGTTTTTTTTTTCCCGGTGGCGGCAAGAGAGAGTGAAGGTTTAAATAGTGATAAGAGGAGAGTCTAGAGAAGATAAAGAGATAACATCCTTCTCAACAAGATAAGCAGAGGTGTGTATTCTTGGAGTGCAGTCTTCCCTGCAAAGAGAATGGCTTAGGATCTACCTACTATGGAGGGGATGAATCCTAGTCCAGTTTCCCCAGGTTTCCCCGCAGTTTCTTTGATGCCACGATGGGAATTGCCATTGAACATTCGATTGAGTAAGAGAAATGAATCTGTGCAAGTCATTGAGAGAAGTGGAGTACAGGGTTGATACAATATTAGGATGATATCATTACTGTATTGTACAGGGTTGATACGTATTAAGATGATATCATGACTGTATTGTAAAGGCTTGGCACCCTAACCTACCCTACCCTATATAACCCTATTATAACCCTACTCTACCTTACCCTATTATACCCTACCTACCCTAACCCTAGCCCTACATTACCCTATATAACCCTACCGACCCTAAAATAGAGATCAAGTACTTGGGATATCATGACTGTATTGTAAAGGGTTGGCATGGATTACTATGCAGTAACCCTACCATTCTGAAAATAGAGATCAAAGTATCTACAAATATATCTAGTTAGATTCATCCTAATCAAAGATTAAAAACATAATTAATGCCGACTTTTCATCAGGATTGCATGAACAGGGTCAGGAGATACCTGGAAATCATAATCAGTTCACACTCTCTAGCTCTCACTCAGGTCCACTCACAATCGCCTCAAACTCATCATTCTTGGGTCTCGTCTGTCCCGGCAGGTTCTTGATGTCGTAATGGAGAATGATTTCCGCCATCAGGAGCTTGATATTGACGTGGCCCAGGAACCGCCCGGGGCACGCGTGTCTCCCATACCCAAAGGACAGGTCGTGCTTTCCAACACTCACGTACATATGTTTGTTCTCCTCTCCTGATACCTGGCGCGCGCGGTAATACCGGAGGCCGTCGAACTGATTGGGGTTTTCGTAGTGCACTGGGTCCATGTGGATGGAGCTGGTGGCACACTCGATCTTCGTCCCCTTGGGAATAAAGGTGCCATCGGATAGGGTCAAATCCGCGGTGGCCGCTCGTTGGAATGTAGCTGGATTCAAAATGTCAATACTTTTAAGAGCCCATCATACATACACACGGCGCAGGGGGGGCATACAGAGATCCGGAGCCGAAATGCGTTGGCTTTCCTTGATGAAACTGTCGAGCTTCATCATGCTTGCCAGGGACTCCTTGCTGAAATGGCCCTGCGGATCGCGGGGCGCTTGCTCCATCTCCTCCCTCAACATGGGAATGTATTCAGGGTACGCCGCCAGGTCGTACAGACATTGAGTAACGGACGCAAAGGTAGTCACGGTCCCCACGGCGACCAACGTCATCTGGTACAGAACCTGTTCGTCCAAGTTGGTCGCCAGATGCTCGTTCTTGCCCGACGTGAGATGATCGAACATGGACGGAGGATCTTCCAATGGACCACCCTGGCGGGCTTGTTTCTCTCGGATTGAGTCTGCAATGTAGCGGCGGGCCCCGTACCATTGGTCTTGGATCAATTTCCTTTCGGGGAGGAAGGCCCGGAAGATTATGGGACGCAGATAGGGCGGCCAGGCCTTCAGCTTTTTGATGGCGTCGAAAGTCGAGATGACGTACCCGGTGGTGCAGTCGATCCACTCGTCGATTTCCGTGACCTTTGTGCAATGGAATACTCGGGCATTTGCCGTCCCGATCAACTTCAAGACCCGGTCATGCACTTGGACAGAGGTCCAGTCTATTGAAACTTCAGCAACCAATCGTTTTTTTTTGGGGATCTCCGGGCTTGTTAAAACTCACCCTTGTACAGGCCAAACTCGCTGGAGAGTTTCCTCTGCAAGATCTCATGGACGATTGGAATGAACAAGGCTAATTAGGGGAACACAAGTTAAGCCTAGATTGCGAGCTGGGGGGGGGGGGGACAGCGACAGAAAAGCTTACGAAGAGACGGGGTCATTTTGGACTTGATCGCGTTGATAACATACTCGGGTGGACCGCCAAAGCGCGTGTATTCGACTTGCATATCCTGGAGAGAATATAGTCAGAGGGAACGCGGCCCGGACTTGAGACTCTCTGTCTGTCTTGGATGAAACGTACATTATCAATCGAAGCCTTGAAACTCAAGTGCGGATGACTCTTCAACTCATCCAGAAACCTCGTGGGCAGAACGAGCTTGACGCCATCGTTTGTGTTCATTCCAAAGATTTGGTCCGAGTACTGCGTATACCCGCGCCACATCAGCTCGCGAGGACGGTAGCAATACTCCAGGGCCCGGGCTTTGGCACTTCGCATCTCCTCTGCTAAGACCAGGGGCACCTTCAGCTTGTGAGAGGAACGGGTCCAACGCCAGAACAGGGTTCCCACGGCCAAGAGCGCATAGACAAGCCATTGCGATGTAATATCCCAGTCATCGAGATTGATTGCATGCCCACTCCAGTGGGACAAGGATGTGCTGAGCCTGTTCATTGTGTGGTGGTGGTGGTGTTTTGAGGTTGCCTCTTCGGAGGAGATGTGAAGTTATCCCAAGACTCCCGCTATCTTAAGTGTGCCACTAAGATAAAAAGGTGGAATCCGGAAGATGGGTTTTATTTTTATTCTTAGTCGTCCTGTTATTCGTCCAAAGATTATCCTCACAGCGTTATCTGTTCGTTCGGGCTCCGGACCCGATTCCCGGGAGAGAGATAGAGAGAGATAGAGAGAGAGAGATAGAGATAGACACAACCGGCTCGTTAAAAAAAAAAAAAAAGGAAAGACTGACTAAAATTCTTCAGCGGTCTCCAAGTCTTTCTTGTTTCTTCCTCTTATACAATCTCCTCACCATGTCTTCATCCCCCCAAGCCCAAGCCCTCGCGGGTAAAACCGCCATCATATCCGGTTCCTCCGCCGGCATAGGCGCCGCAATCGCGCAGGAATTATCGACCCGCGGCGCAAACATCGTCCTGAACTACCCGTTCCCCAGCCAGAAAGAAGAATGCGAACAGGTTGGCCAGGGACTCGGCGGCTCCTGGATCGCCGTGGAGGCCGATCTATCGACGCTCCCAGGCCCCGCCTATCTGGTGGAACAGGCCGTCAAGGCCTTCGGCGCCATTGATATTCTCGTGAACAATGCTGCTCGCGTCCCGCACCAGCCGGTGGGCACGATTGATCCGGAGACGTGGGAGGCGACGTTTCGATTGAATGTTCGGGGCACCTTGTTGCTCACCCAGGCCGCGTTGCCGCATCTTCGGCCCCGCAAAGAACCGTCCTCCTCCTCGTCGCAGACGCACGGCGGATCTAGGATTATCTGCATCGGCTCAGGGACCAGTCGCTGGCCCGAGGACGGCATGACCGTGTATTCGTCTACCAAGGGGGCGCTGGAGTCGATGGTCCGCGTGTGGGCGAAGGAGCTTCCGCCCAAGTATGGATGCACGGTGAACTGTGTTGCGCCTGGTCCTGTGAACACCAAGACCTTTCGCGATGGATGCGGTGATGCGCTCGACGAGGTCCTGGAGCACTATGCGAAGTTGACTCCGGCCGTGGGCGCGGTGGCCGAGCCGGAGGATGTGGCGTATGCGGTGGCATGCCTGGCGGATGAGAGAGCGAAGTGGATTAATGGACAGTATATCCAAGTGAATGGAGGGATGTTGATGAGTTAAGAGTAGAGATTGCTATTCGCATTACATATATGTATTTCCAAAATAAATAAAATAAAAGAATTATATATTATATTCACTAGTTTCACTTCGCCTTGGCCCAGCACGTTTCAAGAAATGGACCGAGCCTCTCTGGAGCCCAAGAGGGCACATATTGGGTAATGTCCACTCCAGGGATGTCAAAGACTCCATAAGCCATGCCAATCATCTGGGTGCAGATGACAGTGTTCAAGTCCTCCTTTCCTTGCGGGAACAGATGGTATACCCCCCTGTTTGAGGGCAACTCCTCGGTGATATTCCTAGAGAGATCCTCGACGGAGACATGAGTAACATCGAATGCCGAACCTGCCCTCGACTGGTCAGAAATAGATTGCATAGCATGGGAGGTATGATGAAGGAAAACAAACCGGTCACCCTCTCAACAAGCTGCACCAAGCCATCCAGTGAGATCCTCTCCCCCCTGATGGCGATTTCACGCGGCCAGTCCCCCGCCGGCAGGTCAACGAGAGCCGCGACCCCCCTGGCCACATCCCGGGTCTGCGTGAACACGACGATGCCCGATCCGTCCCCCGGCACCACGGCCTTCCTAGCCGGGAGGTCAAGGAGGATGTGCAGCGGGAGGAGATAGCTCTCGGCATACGGCAGACCCAGATAGTCCATAAACAGACCATTTCGGATACAGGTATATGCCATCGAGGGGGTTTTCTCTAGGAGACTTCTGGCCTGGAGGTGGGATTCCCTTGGAGGGTAGGGCATTTGTCTGGATGCTTGTTAAGCCACGGCGGCCCTCAAAAAACCCCGAATGGAAATTCAATAATCCATTCGTTAGAAAAGATAGCAGAGCACTTACTCCGGCGGCACATTATAGTCGATATTAAACTCACTCGGCACGAAGCGGGTGACGACGCCCGAGTCTGCGGCGGCCTGGATAAGATTCAGTTGCGCCTGGGAGGCGCCAGGCCAGAACAAATTAATGGCCGAGATCACGGTGTCGATCTGATGTTCTTGCAGTTGGGACGAGATTGCCGCGACGTTGCCGTAGTCAATCTCGACTAAGCTCGCCCCGGTCTGGTCTGTCTTGTGGGTTTCATGCTTGCCCGAGCTACGCTATATATATATATATACTTAGCGGTGGACAAGGAAGCAGTGAAGGACTGGGCATACCTGGCGGGTCAGAATGTAGACGGTATGTCTTCCTTGCTCGACAAGGGCATGGACGATTGTACGTCCAAGGTCCCCGGAGCCACCGGCTACCGCAACGATAGCCATATGGTTCGTAAAAAGTTGGTGCAAGTTGATGGGGAAAAAGGGGGGGGGGGGGGGGCTGGTTCTGAAAAATGGATCCAGAGGTGGACTTGACACAATATCTACAGCCGCCATAGTTCGGCGCGCGAGATTCCCCTCGGAAAACAAACGGAAGCCATCGGCCGACGGGAAAAGTACAGGCCCCGGTTACATACAGTCGTCATAAGTCTAGAATTGGCTGGATGGACGGATACGTTATTCAGATACGAAGATCCTGGCTTTCCCGGGGGCAACCCCCTATCTCAGGTTCCATTTGAGTTTACCGAGGCGCTAAAGAAATAATCTATCCTAAGGGAGGAGAAGAAGAAGAAGAAGAAGAGGAACAGTAGGAATGACCGTGTGTACCAGCGCATTGCCTAGTGATGAAGCTCGATTGCTGATGGCCCTTGATAACGGTGCCGCGCGTAGAAGAACCAATTCCCGAGAGCGACTAGCCCAACAACACCCTCGACAGCGCAAGCATAGTCTGAGAAGCATAGTTAGTTAGAGACTGAACGCGAAGAGAATAGGGCACGGGGATCCTTACTCATATCAGTCGGATCGCTGACAGGCGCCGTGGCCGGGAATTGGAAGAAAACAAAGGTCACCAGCCCAATAAGGACTGTGCCAGCATTGCAGATATAGCCCAACCAATTGGGGACCCGGAAGGTTCGAGTCGAGGGTAACATGTCCTCCGAGCGACCTCGGATGAGGAGCAGGAGTGGCGGGACCGAGATCGTGACCTGCTGGAATATCGCGGCGACACCAATCGTGGCGTTGAATGCTGGGATGGAAGGTTAGCAACAGAGAGCTGCTCTTGATGTAAGCTTGGGGGGGGGGGGGGGGGGGGAGGCCTCGCTTCTCACTGACCAAGAGAGGAAATAAGATATAGGACGCCAATCAAGAACATGACCCCAAAATTCAGGAGGACGGACCATACGGGGACGCGCAACTTGGGATTGATTTTGCTCAGGTGCGATGAAAAGGCCAACCCCTTGTCCCGGCCGAGACTCATGGTCATCATGGACGCGACTTGAGTGCAGGCGATGCTGCCGAATGGGAGCATCAACAAGATGAGGACCGTAAATACAATGCTGCACGCATTGGAGCGTGTGGCTTGCAGCCAGATTTCAAACAGCGGCAGCCCATTGGCATTACTCAGGACTGCACCCATGTCCGTGAGGCAGTACAACATGGAGAGGGCAAATGCAAACGTTGTCACGAACGAGATCACCAGGGCCGACAGAATTGTCTTGGGGACGACCACGGGGGCGTTGATCACTTCATCCACCAGATGAACACATCCATTGATCGGGCAAAACACGATGATCGGAGCCGTGAGAGCGATCAAAAACTCCACGCCAGTCGGCCATCCCGACGTTTCCACGTAGTTGAGCCAGACAAAACTCGAATCTTGCTTTTGCTCGGCCCTGGCTAAACAGGTGATCATGATGGTGAAGAAGGAGGCGAGACTAAGCACGACTTTTTAATTTTAACCCCCCCCCCCATTCCATTAGTGTCGATTTCGACGGTTGGGGGAGGGAGACATGACTTACATCCGAAAGTATAGAATTTGGGGAGTCCACGATGGCCAAAAAGGTTGGCCACTAGGGAGAGGACGTTCATGGACTGAAAGAGGAGAAAGCTCTGCCATGGATGAGCCACAAAGTTCGGGTTGGCGTTGTAGATGAGGGCATAGACGCATTGGCAGACGGCGCCCTGACTGGAAGCGGCCATGGCCAACCACGAGAACCAATTGAAGAAGCCGGTGAAGTAGCTCTGTTCGCAGAGGTCAGCAACCCATCCCGAAAGCAAAGGGGGGGAGAGCCCTTGTTTTTTTCACCCACCACTTGTCGATTCACGGCTTTGGGCGCCAGCAGCGAGGCCCAGTGGTATTGCCCCCCCGTCGTGGGGTAGGCCGAGATCAGCTCCGCGAGTGTGATGCCGATGAAAAAGTAGATGACCGGAATACAGATCAGGGTCCAGAGGGTCACCATGGGGCCGTAGATGAGGGAGATGATCATGGTGACCGAAAAGACTAGCCAGCTATTGCTCATATTGTAGCCAGCCGCGAGAATCCCCAGCCAGGTCATCTCCTTCTTCATGGTGGCTACAGGGTAACCATCCAAACTAACCATCTCTCCCTCCGAAGTCTGCACCATGGTATCGGCGATGGTGAGGGATTTCTGCAGGGGGGCGTCTGGTGGTGTCTCCTTGCCTCCCGAGGGAAACTCGGCTAAAGCGGTGCCTCTGTCTATCATGGTGATACGAATGGGAAGAAATATCAAAGATGGAGGGGGGGGGGAAAAAAAAAAAAAGGTGAATGGCCTGGCTTTGATTGACCAGATATATACAGAAGTTACTTTTATTAGACTAGAGGAGCTCCGCGATATCAGAGATACCCTAATACTATACTAGTGGGTAACTCTTATCAATAAACTATATGGGACACAGCGGAGAACCTCACTTCCGGCCCAAGATTCAAAGAGCAGAAAACGATAAGAGCCGGAGCGAGGAGATCCTGCCAATCAGACCCGCGGTAGAGTGTAACTTGGCCTGGGGGTAACTGAGATGACTGAACAGCATCATATTCGGTACCTAACGCTGGATATAGCAGAGATGATCATATATCATTTCCCATACATACATCCACCAACTGGAACTTGTTCACGGCCTTTCAGAGTCCAAATCCCAGGTGCTTTCGAGCTGGTTTTAATGGAACGAATCCCCGCGCCTTCCTACGGACTCCGGTCTCCCGCCGGCTTTTCGCGTCCGAGGTCCGGAGGGGGGATAAACTGAGGTCTATACTACTCCTGCAGGAACCGGAGACCTACATGCAGCCGCCTGCAGGGCTTGTCAACTTGATAGATATTTAGTGTAGGGTTACATGTACAGAAGGATTGATGATGACCGTATATTCTAATAACCCTAACCTAACCCTAACCTAACCCTAACCCTAACCTAATCTATTGGGGGTTTCTAAAGAGCTTCCAAAAGCCACCCAAACCCACGCATCGTATCGTTCAAGTATAACCCACTCCGTCGGTGCTGCGGAAAGTTGGCATAAAACACATGCGGCAGCCCCGCATACAAATCCACCCGCGTGGGCACTCCACACTCGCTGCGCAGCACCCGTTCATAGATTAACGCTTCGTCGCGGAGGACATCCATCCCACAGATCTGGAAGTAGGTTCGCGGAAGACCCTGGTGTCCGGTGGGCCAGTTGAATGGAGACCACAGATGCGATGCCAGATCGGGCTGGTATGCCTCGCCGTACATGCGCATGGCGGCTTCGGGGAGAATTGGCGCATTCCGGTTCTGTTCGCGGCTGAGGTACATCGGTCGGTATTGCTCGGGAACAACCTCTGGGTTCAGGAGGAGGGGGATATTAAGCCAGAGGCCCGTGATCGTGATCGCGTGCGGGAGCTTCTCGTCGCGCGCGAGATGCGATAAGATGGCCGCGATGTTCCCCCCGGCGGAGGTGCCGCCAACGATGAATCCGGCGCTGGCGTCGGCATTCAAGCTCTCCGTGTTTGAGGAAATCTGAAAGGGTTACGTTAGAAAGGGAAGGCCCCCCGCCGCTTCCAGCATACAAGATTGGAAAGAGAAAAAACATACCCATTTCAGCGCATCCCACGAGTCCTCGACCGCTGTGGGAAACTTATGTTCCGGAGCCAGACGATACTCGACACTCAGTGCCACAGCGCCGTACTGCTGGACGGCCTCGATACAGTTCCGGGCCTCCATCTCAGGACACCCAAAGCAAAAGCCGCCGCCGTGGAAGAGAACGACCAAGGGACGACGAGCACCCGGGGGCTGCTGCTTGGGCTGATATACCAGGGTCCTCGCCGTCGTCCCATCCCGCAGCGGGATCTCGATCGTGGAGTGTGTGACATTTGTGATTGTAGGGCTCAGTAGAGCCTTCCTGGCAGCCTCCTTGTAAAGAGGATCCCATTGTAAGCGGGTTGGTGCGATGCTCTCCACCCGATAGTCTTTGTCGAAGCGAGGGCCGATACCGTTGGCGATCAGCTGGGAGCGGACCAGTAGGTTAGCGATCTTAAACAGGAGTCTTTCTTTCTTCCCTCGCGGTGCTGGAATACTGACCTCCGACAGCTCGGGATCGATTTCGCCCAGCTGCAGCCAGGTTTCTGGATCTTCGTATGCCATGATTTGGGATCTGTTTCGGTGCTACTAACGACGACTTGGTTAGATGGGCCATCCATTGGCCAAGTAAATATGTAAATAGGCTGCCTGCCGCATCCGCCGCCCTCCGGGGGCTCGGGATCCGGGGACGTATCTAGTTATCTTAGGGCAGTTTCGCTTAGAAATAACTATGTATGTTCACTTAGTTCTCTATCCCAAAACCCCTTTCACTTTCTATCCTGGTCTCATATGATTACTATTCTTCTTTAGAATGGACTGTCCATCGGTCCTACACCCTCTCCTGGGTCGAGTGGACGGAAAAGCGCAGGACGGCGTAACCCAATTCCTGGGTCTCCAATATGCAACTCTACGGGATGTATTGGCTCCGGCCCAACTGGTCGATTCTACTACACCGAACTCCTCCACGGTAGATGCGCGCGAATATGGGTACGGGATCTCTCCTGGAACCACCGTGTGCGACCTGAGCTAACGATACCGGGGCGGACGACCAGACCACCCGTCATTTCTCCGCCAGGGTCGGCAGAGATGGAAATGAGCTTCATCCAGCAGCGCCTGCCGAAGAAGAAGGTGCCCCCGCCGTCTGCACTCGGGGGCCTCAGCCTGAATATCACCGTGCCTGCTGCATATCCGGAGCGGGAGGGACGACGACTACCGGTGCTCGTCTACATTCACGGTGGCGGGTTTGTCTTTGGGTCCAGCACGTATCCGCACTACGACCAGGCGGAGGTGGTGAGGACAGCCGCGGCGCGACAGACTCCTATTATTGCAGTCAATATCAAGTAAGGCCTTACCTACTCCTTTTTGGCCTACTCGAATTCGGTCAATAACAAATGTTCTGGGAATCTATAGCTACCGGCTCGGGATCCCTGGATTCCTCACATCCCAGGAGCTGCGGAACGCCGGGTACGAGGCCAATAATGGCCTGCGGGATCAGAAGGTGGCCCTGAGATGGATCCAGCGATATATCGCCGGCTTTGGGGGCGATCCGACCAATGTCACCGTCGTGGGACAGAGTGCAGGTGCCGGTAATGGTGTCCCCCGGAGCTTCTTCCTGAAATGATTCAAGATCTGACCGGCAGTAGCTTCCGTCCATTACCATCTGAGGTCGCCCGAGGGTCTTTTTCAAAAGGCCGTGCTACTGTCAGGGACCTCGTTTTTGATGCCTCCCGTCACGCAGGAAATTGCCGAAATCAGGTACAAGATGGTCTTGGATCAACTCGCCCTGGGGGAGAAGACGCTGGAAGAATGCATCCAGACACTCACCCATGATATCCCCGTGGACCAACTGGGTACCGTCCCCCTGCAGGTGCCTCTGGGGCCCGTGATCGACGCGGAGACGGTTCCAGAGGCGGCGACCTTTGCAGCCTTGGATGGGAATTATAAGAAAGATGAAAGCATCCAGAAGCTCATGCTCATCGACCTACAATCAGACGTACGTGTTTACCCACCTCCTCTTCTCTCTCTCTCTTCTCTCTCTCTTTTCTCTCTCTCTCTGGGTGACGTAGAAGTTGACAAAAAAAGATAGGCCACCATCTTCGCCCATGTGAACCTGCACGCGCGTCTCAATGGAATCACTGCAGCATTCACAGCATCCATGGAGACATACTTCGGGACGGAAGACGCCCGGAAGCTGCTCGCCTTCTACAAGGTCGATTCCGCCACCACAACCACCCCGGATCCAAACACTCTGAGCGCCGTCGTCCGTTTCTTCACCGATATCTTCTTCTACGCTCCGGCGGTGCAGGTGGCGCAGGCATTCGCTGGCTCAACTCTGGCGCATTTCAATGAAGGCAACCCGTGGGCCGGGACATTCCAGGGCCACGCAAGCCACCTGCTCGACACGGCTTTCCTGTGGCAAAACTACAACTCTTTCATGGAGCCCGCCGTGCGAGCCGTCGCGGAGACGTTCGCCTCGGACCTAGTAGCCTTCGTGGTCGGGGAGGCGCAGCTGAGCCGTGCGCGGTTGCCGGATTATCAGCAGGACGGGGAGGTGATTGTCTACGGGCCCAGTGCCGAGGGTCAAACGCGGGAGATCGTTGGGGCGATGGACGAGCGCGGTGGCCGTCGGGTTGGCTTCTTCCAGCTAGCTGGAGAGATTGGAGGACTTGACCGGGTGCGAATGGCCGCGCGAGGATTTTTGGAGAGCTCAATGTAGACCCTGATTTGTACGCCTAAACCGGTTGATTTTACTAGGGGAAGAGAATCGAGAGCTGTGCAGGTGACATGTATACCGTACGTAGTACGAATAGGATCGTGATACTATCCCCACTGTGGCCACCATATCGTATGCGTGCGGGTCAGGTAGACGAATGAGAGCGAGCCTATACTCACGTAGAGAGAGAGAGAGTGCCGGGCACCGGAAGCCGCGTTTCCTTGTCAATGGCACGCGATTCACAAGTGGGTTTAGGCTTAAAAGATGCAGTCCGTCCTGCACTATGTACTCTCATCCAGCATGGCATGCTCCCAAACCCTAACCGCAACGCCCCCCGCAATGTCTACTACTACATCAACCTCGATCCCCGAAACCGCCGCGGCATTGGTCTTCCTAGCACCGGGGCAGCGACTCCACCACGAATCGCGAGCGCCTACTCCCCCGGTCACTGCCGGCGCGGCCATCGTGCGCATCCTCCGCACCAGCGTCGTAGCCTACCTTCGGTCTGTCTTCGCGGGGGATGGCACCCGCAGCTACCCGCTCCCGACTCCCATGGTGCCCGGGAACCACGCCGTCGGCCGGGTCGTCGCCGTCGGGCCTGACGCAACAACCCTGACGGCGGGCCAGCTGGTCTTCGTAGACGTCACCCTCCGCAGCCGCGACGACCCCACCCGGGCCGCTGTATTTGGCATCCACGAGGGCTTCGACGACGAAACCCGGCGGCTGATGCGCGGCGAGTGGCGCGACTCCACCTACGCGCAGTACGCCAAGGTGCCGCTGGAGAATCTCTTCCCACTAGACGAAACCACCTTGCTCCTCCAGGGCCAGGGCCAGGGCCAGGGCCAGGGACGACGACGACCGTCTCCTTCCTCCCTGGGCTACTCCCTCGACGACCTGGGCTACATCCCGCGGCTGGCGATTCCCTACGGCGGGCTGCGGACCCTGGACCTCCAGCCCGGCGAAACGGTGATCATCAGCCCGGCAACCGGCAGCTTCGGCAGCGCGGCGGTGTTCCTGGCCGCGGCCATCGGCGCGCGCGTCATCGCCTTCGGACGCAACGAGCGCAAACTCGCCCAGTTCGCCCGGGGCCCCTACAGCCAGCGCATCTTCCCCGTTCCCATCACGGGCGACCCGGGCGTCGACGGCGCCGCGCTGGCCCGCTACGGCCGCGTCCACGCTTACCTGGATATCTCGCCGCCCATGGCCGCGGGCTCGACGCATTTCCGCAGCGCCATCACGGCCCTCGGCATGAATGGCCGCGTCTGTCTGATGGGCGGGCTGGCCGAGGACACCGCGCTGCCCTACCACGCCGTCATGCACCGGAACTTGAAGATCTGCGGCCGGTGGATGTACGAGCGCGAGGATCTCCGCAGGCTGTTGGAGATGGTGGAAACCGGCGTGGTGCCCCTGGGCGCGGGGATCGGTGCGCATCTGGTCGGCAGCTTTGCGCTGGAGGAGTGGGAGGCGGCGTTTATCGCGGCGGCGGAGAACACGGATCCGGGTCAGTATGTGCTGCTTAGCCCCTAGATGCTACTACTTTTTTTTTTTCTTTTTTTTACGGAATAATGAAAAGAAGAACTATTATTGTTAAGGCAATAGAAATAAGTGTACAGTCTAGGGGGTTTTCTCGTGGAAACAGTGGCAAAGACCTGGAGTGTTTCAAAGAAGTGCGCGTTCAATTAGATATACAGATTTAGAGATCGATAAATAGATACCTTAAAGGGCCTTTTTCTCGTTGTAATACTCGGGATAGCTGGGTTGATAGCCCAGGATATAACGCCCCCAAAAGTTCATCCCCCACAACACCACTCGCCCAGCGACCAGCCCCATCCACCGCGTCGGCATCGGGATGCCCAGTGGCGTATCGGCCGCGTGCAAGAAGACAAACAACTGAAACGGACTGGGCGGCACACCGGCCTTGCGACAGTCGTCCAGATAGCCAAAGAAGTTGCGGAAGAAGCGCTGCTCGCCCTCGTAGTCCTCCGGGGTGAGGTTCACATCCAGCACCAGCGGTTCCGTGGTGGAGGCGTTGTTGATTGTGTGGTAGACTTGTTTCGGAATCACCGCCTTGGTGGGCAGGGCCGGGTCGGTGGTCGAGATGGTGATCCAGGGGGTGGTTGCGTAGTCTCGGAACAGGTGGCATGTCCCCGAGACGACGTGGAAGTGCTCAGTCTGATGGATGTGCCAGTGGAACGGGGGGACCATGATCGAGGGTTTCTTGGGATCCCAGGCGGGATGTTGGTTTCTCAGCAGGTACTCGGACCCGGCCGCCTGGAACTCGAGGCTGGAGGCGCCATCTTCGTAGTAGATTGGATTGTCATCTGCGCGAAAGGTCTTGGGTGGAAGAGAGGCTCGCAGGAATGAGAACATGGTGTGAGAGATCGAGGATTGTGTGGAGGGAGGACAGATGAGGGAGACGGATGAAGAGTATGTATCTTTATTTTGCGGTGCATTCGGGGTCCGGAAACCGGTATCCGGTACAGATTAAATTTCCTGTACAAAATCCAATGGTTACCTATTCTTATACTAGATATAATATATAAATATATAGATATAGATATAGAAAAGCCGAGGTATCCATGCCTTTCTGCCCACCTAAACCGCTACCCGCTTTAGGTGCGCCACACATTCTTCGCGATCACACATTCTTCGCAATGTTTTTAATATTTGAAGCTATATAACAACAACAACACTAGTAATCAAAATAAAAAAACTCTCCAGCTTCTTTAGCATGTCTTGCATTATCAATTCCTCTTTGAATTGACTCCTGCAAGCGTGGAGGGGGTAGAAAACTATATACTTTCTTTTTCTACTTTGCTAACCTCTTCTACTCATATTCAGCATCCTTTACCTTCCTATCTTTAATTAATCAAATAGCATCACGAACTCTTAGAACCCCATTACTAGATAGACCTTTAATCTGGCGCTTAATATAAACCCGGCGTTAAGGCTCTTGCACGGCCCTAATCCTTTAAATTACTTCCTGGGTCATTTTTAGCTCCTCGAGCTTCTCTGCCTAATATTGAAAGAGTTTTGATATATTCCGCCTTGCCTAGTCAGATACCTTATCAAGTTCCTTTCTAACCTTTGCCTGATTCTTTAGAAGAGCCTCTATTATTGCTGGAGGACTGTTTTCAACGCTGGAGGATAGTAATGGTAGTGGAGATAGGGTTCGACAAAGGTCAATTAATATATCTGGTATATCTATCTGATTCGCTAGTTTTTTAATAATTTTAGTGCCATTAACTGGCCAGATACCGCGTTCTTTAAAGGCATCTCGAATAATTCGCTGTAGAAAGGTCTGGTTGCGGATTAGCTAGATAATCTTTAAGAACTCTGCCTTCCCATATAGCTTACCCCCCCATTAAGACAGCTCATTAGGAGTTGGTGGGATGTTCTATTTCCATATTTATATGATCTAGTTAATTAAGGCCTTCTCCTGATATGGCTATAGAAGGTTCTTATTCATTATTGTTAGTATTACTAGTATCTTTGGTTTTTTGAGGCGCGTTCAGAGTGTAGAGTCAGGCACATTGAATTCTCATGCAATCTTCGTGATATTTGGTTTTTTTTGCTTTTTAACTGTGGCAATAGCTTCAAGCAAGCGAGATTCATTAAAATCTGGAGATTTAGGCATGTTGTGTTGTAATAATAATAAAAATAAGTTGAAATATTAAAAATCGCGAAGAATGTGTGATCGCGAAGAATGTGTGGCGCACCTAAAGCGGGTAGCGGTTTAGGTGGGCAGAAAGGCATGGATACCGAACTGTGGATCTAACCTTATCATAAATTATGGTGATAAGCTTATCTTAGGGTTATAATTATGAATTGATATTACAGACTGGAAATGTACGGACATTATTATGAACGCAGACTATTCTTGGAACGTCTTAAATATACATTCGATTCGGTACGAGAAATGGCAATATATATATACAGTCTTGAGTCGTCATGTATTGATTAGAACCCCACGTGGATCAAGTCAGCCCGGGGCTTGCGCATTTCCACAAAGTCGGCAAGCACCAGAGACGACATCCTGCGACGGTACTGCCACACCCGGTAGTGGTTGTACATGGGCGTAGCGCCCGAGGGAGTCTATAGGCATATTCGTTTAGCAGAATACCTTTTGACAAGTGGAAAACACACAAACAGCGAGGAAGGTTACTGTACCTGATGATAGGTTGCGCAGCCGGGAACCAGAAACGAAGGTGTGCCTCGGTTCTCTCGGAGCCAGTCGTTATGCAGCTTTTGAACAAGCCGGTCCGGATACAAGGCGTAGTTGGATTGTTGTTGCTGCCGCTTAATATGCTTGACCATCGCACAGTGATAGTTGATCTGGATTTCGACGACGGTGGTAATGTTGGACCAATAGTTGGTCGAGTTGGGCCCAAGGGTGAGGAAGAAGTTGGGGAATCCGGTAACTCCCACACCTGTTGCGGGTAATCTGTCAGCTGGAGAGATCTCACCAGTGTGCTGGGGGAAGGAGGAGGGGGGAAGCATTACTCCAATAGGTTTCCGGATAATCACGCCAGGTCTCGGACAAGTTCTTGCCTTCCTCTCCATAAACCTGGAAATGTCCTCCCGAGTCGTTCATATCGAAGCCAGTTCCCCAGATCAGGACATCGATCGGTCGCTCGACTTCCTGGTCAGGCCTGGCAGAGTCGACAGATACAATGCCCCGCTCGCTGATCCGCACCGGTTTCTCCGTGACGAGCTCAACATTATGCTGGTTGAACATGGAGTACCAGTTATCTAGAAACAGGACCCTTTTGCAACCAAATGTCGCTGTGGGACGCAGCTTGCGCCGGAGCTCCGGGTCCGGCACCTCGCGGTTCAAAAAGGCCATCGCAGCTTCGTGCATGGCTTTGTTCTCGGATGTTCCACTCATCCACATGTTCTTCGTCTGGTCAAACTGTTGCATTCTTCAGTCAGTTGGGGGTTCCTCCTCGGGTACTTGGATCGGATCACTCACAAATCGGCACCACCACGAATGATAGAACCGCAGCACTGGGGGAAACAGCCAGAAGAGCAGTCTCTGCCAGCGTGGGATGACATGGTTGTTTCGTGGTAAGACGTGCCCAGCGCTCCGCTGGTACATGTACAACTGGTCCACGAGCGGTTGGATCTTCGGCCCAACCTGGGCTGCACTGGGTCCTGTTCCGATGAGAGCCACGCGCTTCCCCCGGAGATCATAGCCTGTGGGCCACTCCCCCGTGTGAAACTGATCCCCTTGAAAGTCCTCGCGACCTGGAATGGCCGCGTACTTAGGACGGTGGAACCCGCCACCGTTGTCAAAGACTACATTGGCCGTCCACCGTGTGCGGTAGCCGGTCGACCGGTCTTCCACGAGGATCTCCCACAGAAACAGCTTCTCGTTCCACCGTGCCTCATGGACCTCCACATTGAAGATGGTCGATGGTCGCAATTTATACTTATCGGCGTAGTGGGCGTAATATTGTTGAATCTCTGCGCCTTCGGAGAACTTCTTGGACCAGTCTGGGCGATGACAATGTCAGGATCCCGATCACCAGCGGAAGCATCGGAAAAAAAAAACAAATCACTTACTCGGGTTTAAACAGGTTGGCATGACATAGGCATGGCTGGGAATATCACATGCTGCCCCAGGGTACCGATTGCTTCGCCAAACGCCGCCAAAGTCATCATTTCGGTCGAAGATGACAAACTCATCGGCGCGGAGGGTGCTGGTTCTGAGGAACTGGGAGCCCAGCGACACGCCGCACATTCCTGCGCCGATTATGGCGCAGAAGATGTGTTTCTCGGCTGTACTACTGTCTTTGGTTGCCATGATTGTTGATGTGGGTGGATGGGTGAGGGAATGGTGGAAAGGGAAGACATTCGTGAACAAGGTAATTCCTTGACCTTTAACATCCTTCGTTATCATCCGAGCTTCGAGCTCGTCCATAGACCATCAACATCTTGCTTGGATGCTGGGCCGGAGTCCGGGGTCCGGTGGAAATCCGCAGTCCGTGGTTCCTATCGTCGCTTATCGTGATGGAGATGAGCTTCAGCTTCAGATTATCTCTTATCTTGGGTATACCTGATGATAAATTTATGTGAACCAATATCATACTGTATCAGCTAGAAAGCTCTGTCTTGACACCTTTTTAGCTCAGCGGTAAAGGTCGACAATTTATCTTGTTGAAATATAGAGAAACTCTACGCTGAAGGTTAGGAAGATTCCGGAGCGGATTAACTTTTTTTTTGGGGGGGGGGGTCAGGGTCAGGGTTTAGGGTTGCATAAGAGAAGAGAGTACTCCGTCCGAACCCTAGGGTTTTGTGCACCACTGCAGTCAAGTTCAACAGGTTTTAAATCAAGGATATTATTCAATGATTATATTAATGATGTGGGGGATGTCTCAGGTAGAGTCGTCTAGAGCTAGGAATTGTTGTCTTGTTACTGATGTGAAGAACTAATCATCATGAATAAATAAAGGAAAGACAATATAACTATAAAACAAGATTTCAGGATGGGATGATATTACAGGATGTGGATTGTTTGAAAATCACAACAGGTACAATACTGCAGGCTCAAGTACATAACTTTCCACAGGAAAAACCATAGCAATAGGGTCACTTGACGAATATGCTGAAAGACAGTCCCAAACAGAATCAATAAACAGATAAGAAAAACAACACCCGTTGAAACACAGAGGAAAAGAGCAGGAAAAAAAGATCAAGGTCAATTAGCCTTCTTCTTGCGTCCACGCCTGGGCCTCGTTTCAGCCTCCGCTTCGGCATCGTCCTTGCCATCGGCCTTTGTCTTCCTCTGCCTCTTCTGAGTACCAGAAGGTGGATTTTCTTTGCTGGCGCCCTTGGCCGGACGGCCCCGTTTCGCAGCCTTGGGCTTAGACGCAGCAGCAGGAGCCTCATCTTCCTCAGAAGCAGGGGCGGCCGCCTTCTTCTCACGAGGGCTGATCCTCCTAGTAGCAGCAGGGGCGGCCGCCTTCTTGGTTCTCTTAGCCTTGGGTGCCTCTTCCTCAGAGTCATTACTTTCATTGTCTTCATCGCCCTGAAAATCCTTTTCCACCTCAGCGCGGCCACGCTTCTTAGGCTTTGAAGCTGAGATGGGGGCTTCCTCCTCGCTATCTTCCTCCTTTTCACCATCCTGGCAAATCTCGTTAGTTTCTCATATACAGCTTGGGGACTAGTCAAAGAAAAGGATCTAAATACCGCGTCATTCTTGGTGTTCTTTTTCGAAACGCGCTTCCGGAACCCTGTTTTACCAGGTTGATTCATTTCAGGATCCTATACAGGTTAATATTTCTGTCTCTCTCTCTCTCTCTCTCTCAAAATAACTCTTTTTCATAAAGACGAGCATAAACCTGCGCAAAATAGAAAAAAAAAAAAAAAAAAAAAAAGTGAAATAATTCGTAACTCACCCCCTTCCAATCCTCATCATCAACATGGCCCTGCTCCACAGCCTTTTTAACCTTCTCCTGATTTTCAGGAGAAAGCTCATCAAACCCATCGATAGTAGAGAGGTCCTTGTCGTCGCCAACAAGCTCACCGAAATTGGCAATAATCTTAGGTGTGACACATCCCCTACCCAGACCATCAGTAACAAACTTCTCCACAACATAAAGAGCAAAACCGCGCAATAGGAAAAAGAGAACCCCCAAGGAAAAGCAAACGTACCAGTGTCTCCAGAAGAAGCTCTGGAAACGCTCCGTGTCGACCCAAGTTCCCAGACGAAGCTCGCCCTTGAGAATCTTGACTTTGTTGTCTTTGCATTCCTTATTCTGGCAGCCTGCGCGGCCTGTGGAAGCCTCGTCTGGTTCGCAGTTAGCATGTTTCTTTGCTCTGGTATATAGAATCCTGGAGAGGTAGAGGGGAATGTAGTGTTGTATATATAGGTACCTATGCGGTAGGAAGGCATGTTGTCGGAGGCAACGAGAAGTACAGGTGAAATTAACTGGAGGTTGGAAAACTTTTTGAGACAGAAAGCAAAGTATGTAGAAAAGAAGAAGAGCAAGCAGAAATTATAGAGAAATGAAAGAAAGAATGGGGCGAGGCGAGGATACATCAAGGAGATGAAGGGATTGCATGATGAAAGAAAGTGTGCAAGTTGGCGAGGCATGAACGGAATCCGCCAAAGACCAAGTCCGCACTGCTGTTTGCTGCCATCTTCTCTTCTGCCCCTCTTTGTTTTTTTTTTTTTTTTTGCCAGCTTTGATGACGGGGGTGATGCAAAATAGACTACTGAGTCCTCAATTCAATAAGGACATGTTTTTTTTTTATTTTGTTGTTTGTGGTTAAACTTGAGAGTTCGCGCTCTAGTTGCAAAGATACAGTGATAGATCAATCCATCTAGATAAAGGTAGACAGACCTTCCTTGCATCTACTAGGCCTAGAACCATTGAAAGTTTCTACTGCAAATGTATTCATTATCTCTGTTCTACTCGTTCTTCCGTTTCAAGCGAATGGACTATGTATGTTCAAGAAAACAAAGAAAGCGATATCGAAGAACGTTCCTAGGCTTGGGAGTCTAAGAATGAATGGAAAGCTAAAGATAGAAGCCCGGGCAGAACAGAAATATGCAACAATGGAATGGTTTTAACTGACACCAGGAACTCAGGAATGTTTCTGTGCCATGAGGTCCAACTCGAGCCTTTCAAGAGCGGTGACATGTTTTCTGAGCATGACCACTGCACCTAAACTGAGACGCGAAAAGAACACTGATGCCTTATCTTGGTCATTTTGTCCATGAGACGTGCGGTTATGATGCTCAATCATACCGAGCGCTTCAATGATGGCTCTGCGTAGTAGTTGTGGGCGCTCCGGACTCGGATCAGGGACATAGTACCAATTCAAAACGTCTTCCAGGCCCGCAACTGGGTATTGCAAGGCCCGATGAATAAATTTCCTTGTTAGAAGGAATGCCTTCTCTGTATACTGTGAAGACTCGACCCGTCTGCTATCTTCAACCGCAAGAACTTCGTAGCCTGCTTCGTCTGGGAAAAATTAGTATTAGGAAAGAAGAATTCTGACAGGAAGCAGCATACTGTAAAATGGAGCCTTGACCAAAACAAGCCCCATTATGGAAACTAAAATTTGCAACACAGTTGATTTTAGAGGTGACCAGGTCTCATCCGGGTTCTCAGTCGGCCACGTTCCTAGAATACTGAGGCAGATTTTGCCATCCTCATACAAGTTCGGATTGACAGCCCCCTGTCCATTAGTCCAGGAGTGGAAGAATGTGGATGGGGGACTGTTCGGAAAGTCTTCGTTCAAGTGAAAATCAATAAGATATGGGGCATGTTCATAGGGCGTGCCTTCCGGTCCAATGATCATCACTCGCAACAAGTCCATCCTCGACTCCCATGTGCGCACAAATATACCCGGAGGTAAGGACGACTCCAAAACCTCAAATTCTTTGCGAATACGCTTCATTCGTAGTCTTGATGATACCAACGTAGACTTGGATAAAAAATGATGGTCCAAGGGAGGCGAGTCTTCCAACACAACAAACCCCTGAGGACATGACGATGGTGTAGGAAAAGAGAGGATGTGGAGTATATTGATTTCTTCGAATATTTTAGCGGCATTGTCGATGCTGGACTCTCCTTCATGATGTGAATCGGGCTTTTCAGGGGGATTGATTTCGGATACCGCGGTCACAACCACTTCCCCACCCTCAACCATCCTTTCCGGAACAGGAATCAGTTCATCAGAGTCAGCAGAATCATAGGATTCATCTTCAGTCATCCAATTATCGTCAGCGCTGTCATTATCAAGACGCTCACCCCCCTCATATTCAAATGTGTGGAAGGTTGATGAATCATCTCGGGATCTGAATGGACCCATGCCGGCAAGGGTCAAAAAATCAAAGGACTGGACAGGGACAGCTGGTATAGATTCGTCCAGATCTATTACCATTAGGATCCTCTCTAGGGGGACACAGATGTCACGGCAACTGGCGGCGCCGGGGAGACGAACAGTGATGATACCGTTGGTGTCCACCCCAACTATTTTCCCAAAAAAGTTGACCGAGGAGCTCCCATCAGTATTTTCATTATGAACGCTATACCGCCGATGCGTAGGGGATGTATTTATCCTTGTCGTGTTTTTGAACCACGCCGAGTTGATCATCGCCGACTTCATGGCCTGAAGGTAAACAGACAAATCAAGGTATGTGATTGGGGATAGGAAGCTCAGCTGACAAGGACCGACGGCTCTGACAGGTTCGTCAGAGGGTGACGGGATTATGGCAGACCGATCAACCGACTCCGGTGCCAGGATGACTAGGTCGTCCAAGAATCTGCTCAAGCCGCCGTAGGTGGTAAGCTCGTAGATAGAAACATTGGTTATAGTGTCGCTAAGTACCCCAAGAGAAGAGTAGGGGTTTAGGGCATTCCCTCCGTAAAATAATTCCACCATATTATCGTACCAACGGACAGACGCTATTCGTTCTCGGCTGTCAACCGCCTGAACAATACCAACCTGAGGTATACGCAATGCCCCCCTCATGCGGCTGCGTAGGAAGTGTGGAAATGGCTCCGCATTATGTGTAAGAGGTCCTCCAATGGCTTCGACCCTATCTTTTAGAACGACTATATTTCCAGGCCAAAGTTCGTCTTCACCACTAGCAATCTTGTGCAACGAGGTGCCTTGTTCAGCAGAAACAGTTCCATCCTGCCATTGAACGGCCACTTGTGTTCTGGAAGAGACAATCCGAAAAATGTTTAGATCATACCCAAAGGTCTGGTCCGCAGGGATATGCCTGAATTGAGAATACTTTGTTACAGCACTCGCTGTGTTGCGGAAGCGGACTCGATCCCCGATCTCGAGCTGGGAGTCACACCGAAAGCTCGACGATGAAGAACTTTCGCTTAGCGGACGGCCGAAGTCGCATTTCACGGCGGTTCCTTGCAATGCAGATGCCCTCATAACCTCGGAATTCGGGGTTTGATATCGGGACTCCGCGGAAAATACATTAGGGCAGAGCCAGTCGATATGTACATCCATTGAAGGGGTTGCCATTACATAGCCCTGTACCAGCAAGCTTTGCATTCCGGGAGGGAGGTCTCCACGGCTGATATTTGATGCATCAGTGATAGTCGCTTGGCCGGGGAAGATGAACTCCGTCTCTGATGTCCATAGATATTCTCCGTTCCCAATATCGTGTGACTTCAAAGCATCAGTCTCGGGTAATGAAACCACAGCTTTGGGGTTAGAACAAAGTGGAAGCTCGAGAGCGAATGGATCCAGTGGGGAGGTAACCTTCAGATTTGGAAGAAGCAAAACCGCGTCGCGTTCGACTTGCTGAATGACTCCCAGCTTCTGACGATATATGATAAAGTCACCCTCGGAAAACTCCTCGTGTTTGGTGAGATCTGATAATGAGATATCGTAAAGTAGAGGAGGACCGAGTTCGGCATTCTCAGCCGCTTGAGAGCCCACCATATTGTTGAGCGGCTTTTCTGTGAATCTGAGGGGCCCATACTCTCCTGTCACCGGGTCTACTGGTTGAAATGCAATAGGTTCTAGAGTACATGTTGCGGTTGTACTGATGATTGTTCCGCTGATGGTATCATCCGGGTGCCGTTTTACCGTTTGCCCCAGATCCAGGACTCGATCGACGAGTTCGAGGTCGTCTTCATGGATGAGAGCACAACCATGCGAAGGCTCAACAAAGCTGACAAAAACGTATCCTTTGGGAGGCTGCAATTGTTAGAAAGCCATCCCTCTTCTCAAGAGATGAATAGAATAAGTAACCTACCACGCCGGTTGTTGTAAAGCTCATGAGATCGTTTTCGGGGATCTCGGTATACCTGAGGATCAGAACATCCGACAGCAGTTCATGTTCATCGACCTGAAAGCTCAACGGGTCAATCCATAATTTGCGGGACGATCAGTGTTGGAATAGGTCAAACGTACATCGTATGGGGTTCTCTGTATTAGGAAAAGATTAGACTCAAGCAAGCTATCGAGGCATATCCAACTCCACTACTTACGACGACATGTCCCAACAAAGTGGGGTTTGATTTGAGATAGCATGCATCATCACGATCGAACTAGGAGCGATTTAGCAACTTAGCAGGAGATGAAGTAGTAAGTTATGCCACCTTCTGATTATGCCTGTAGACTGGAACAGGAGAGACAAATCCCGAGTCCATTGGGAAGCAGACGAGCGTGATATGAAGCTCAGGATAATAGTACTAGGAGCGGCTGTAGGTAGGATAAGGCGTTGGGAAGAAACACGGGTATCGTCAAAATCCATGAGATCAGAAAAAGGTTGGGACAGGGTGCATTTGAAAAGAGGATATGGATAAAATAAGGGATTAATAAGACCAAGAAGAGCTGTCAAAAGAATGAAAAAGAAATAAGAGGGTGAGACAGACGAGGGAGGAGAAGAAGGAGAAGGAGAAGCAGAAGACTTCCGTATAGTAAATAATCCTCTCGATCAGAGAGCAGCCAGCTGGTGTCACATGGTGCAACACCACACCCAGGTCTTAGCAGTATAGCTTGAATCCCCGTGGCTGGGAAAACTCCCGCTGTTGCAGAAACATGGATCTGACTCTTTTTACTTTCCCAGTAGATCTCGCATGTTGGAGCAGTTGATTTCCATGGGATGTTGAATTCCTCCCAATCACTGGCTCCACACACCACCCACTCAGACTTTGCCCGAGACTGCGAATTCCTCCTTCTCATCCCATCACCCTTCCCTTCTTCCTGTTCATCAGGCCACCGCTTTACTTCAAGGTTTGAACCTGATTGTTCTTTATCCCCCACAGCCGACTAGAAGACAACTCCGCGGCAAAGCCTATTATCATCATTCCTTACGTCAAGGCCCCCCCAGGCACTACTAGACCGCATCACCCAGCGAGCCCTCACCTCAGTCCTCCCAACTATTATTACCGAACCCGCTTTCCATTCAACTTTCTTTTTCATTTTTACCTTCTTTATGCGGAAAAGAACCTCCGCTTGAAAACGAAAACGAAAAAAAAAGAAAAAAAATATGTCCGAACCAGGCCCAGACTCAATCCCGACCAGCGCAGACCCCCGCAGCAAGCGACCGCTCAAACGACGCGCTGTAACTCCGCACTCCGAACATGCCTCGCAGATAGAACACCTCTTCCGTGATCCCTCTAAAGAAATCAGACTTCCTCAAGTCTCGCAGCCACGGACCGCAGCGTCCCTTCCTGCGCCTCCGGAGATCGTTGCCAACGTCCAGGGTTCTTCGGCCGGCGCGGGATCTGGAGAGTTCCATGTCTACAAGGCGAGTCGGCGCCGCGAGTATGAACGACTACGACTGATACAGGACGAGATTGATCGGGAGAAGGAGGATGGAGAGTGGGAGAAGAAAAGGGAGGAGGCACGGCGGAAGGATGATGACAAGACGGAGAAGAATCGGAAACGGAGAGAGAAGCGAAACGCGGCGAAACAGAATAAGCACAAGGGGCCTTCCAACAACAACAACAACAACAACAACAATATCGGGGATAAGGGAAGTGATGATGATGGTCCTAATCCATCCTCGGCCAAAGGGGCTTCTTCTGCTGGGTTGAGGATAGGACAAACATGGTCGACAACTGATGGGTCGCATGAGCCAGGCGTTGAAATCCAGGGTGTGATCATTCACGATGATTGAGAATCTAATTCTAGATAAAACTGGCTGGGGTCCGGAATGTACGATATGAAGATACCCATTGTGATTTTTTGTTTTAAGTCTAGGATATTCATACAAATCAAAGATAATCATGCGGCATTATGTACGCGTTTTTATTACCCTGTTCGTAACCTCTAGTCATCCCCACCGCTGGGGTTAGCAGCGGCCTGCTGTGCAGACTTACCGCTGCAAATATCATCTACACGGAGCAGCAGACATGCGGACTATCTCATCGTTAGCAAATGAAACTGGGTTGGCAAGAATTTCAAAAAAAAAAAAAAACATTGCTTACCTCAACAGCAGTCTTAATACTCTGAAGCTTGACCGCTTCAGGCTCCCAGACCCCGTATTCCTTCATGTCCACTAAAGCGCCAGAGTCACCGTCAAGACCCCATGTGGTGTGGCCCTCGACGTGCTTGGCCCTCAGACGAGTGAGGACACGGATCGGGCTAGCGCCAGCGTTCTGTGCAAGTGTACGTGGGATAACCTCCATGGCGTCGGCGACAGCCTTGTAAGGCCACTGCTGGACGCCTTCAATAGACTTGGCCAATTGGCTAAGCCTGACAGAGACAGCCATTTCAATGGCACCACCGCCAGGGCACAGTCGAGGGTGGAAGATCACGTTCCGGGCAACAGACATGGCATCCTGCAGATTGCGCTCGATCTCGTTGATAATGTCCTTGGAGGGACCACGGAGGAGGATTGTGCAAGCCTTAGGGTTCTGGCACTTCCTGAGGAAGGTGAAGTATTCGTCACCAATCTTCTCAATCTCGAAGAGACCGCATGCGGTTCCAACATCGGACTCCTGGAGATCGTCCACGCGGTTGACGATAGTGGCACCCGTAGCTCTAGCAATACGGTTGTTGTCCGTTTTCCTCACTCGGCGGAGTGCTGTAACATTGGCCTTCATCAAGAAGTGCTGTGCGAGATCTAGATAGGCAAAAGGGTTAGTTTGATATATGATCTCGTTAGTTGATAGAATGACCATTCCATACCAGAGACACCCTTCTCGGTGATGACAACATCAGGCTTCAGAGCTAAGATAGCATCGCACATGTGCTTCACTTGCTCCTCTTCAATCTGTAGAATTCGGTTCCAGTCATCTTCCTTGGTGATTTCAATGTTGGTTTGGGATTCACCCTTCTTGTACTCCAGAGGGCAGTCCAGGAGGATAATTCTGGGGTTCTCGATTCTCCTCCGCATCTTGGGGTGGGTAATATCCTTGTTAACCATTACACCGTCGATAACCTCGCTGTCTTCAATTTGGCCACCGGGGATCTTCTCAATACGGGCGTATCGCTTAATATCGACTTCCCTCTTTCCACCGCCAGCATCGAAGGACACAGTGCGGACTGCCCTCAATGCCAGCCCACACATCAGATCCGACCATCTAGAGACGAACTTTGTTCCGATGGATGACTTGATCAGGGTATACATAGCCTTGTCATCATCAATATCCACAGGCAGCGAGACCTCCTCCACGATAGCAAGCGCATCTGCCAGGGCACGTTTGAAAGCGGAAATGATCACGACGGGGTGGATGTTACGTTCGAGCTGAGGAAGGGCCTGGGCAAGCATTTCACCGGCTGCGACAGTTAGCATAGGTTGACATTGAAATTGATATAAGATAAGAATTGCAGAAGGGGGGGGGGGGGTTGAATGAGTACCAAGAATGATAACGGTCGTAGTTCCGTCTCCGACTTCCTCGTCCTGGGTACGGCTGAGTTCAATCATGCTCTTCGCGGCGGGATGCGACACTTCGATTTCTCGAAGAATAGCATGTCCATCGTTGGTAAGGACAATTCCCCCCATAGGGTCCAGAAGCATTTTCAGCATGGCCTTGGGACCTAGACATGACCGAATGATATCCGCAACGCTGGGGGGGGGGGCAATTTACGTTAGATCTGGAGCGGGGCAGGGGGTGGGTTTCCCACGTACGTCTTTGCAGCGGTAATGTTCGACAGTTGAGCTTTGCGACCGACCTGTCTGTCACCAGAGTTGGTGTCTAACGAACAAGTTAGCGATCTGAAGAGGGAATAGGGGCGACTTCATCAACCAACGTACTCATCACCACCACCGGAGCCTGCATGTTGGCGGCGGTGTCTGGATTTGTCCGGGGAGAAAAAAGGTAAAGAATACAAGTCTCGGGATAACGGCAGGATTAATATCCAAGAGCCGATGAGCAGAAAGACAGATAATGGGAGCGTTCTCAAGGATGAGATGTGGAGTGTTGTGCCCGCCTTCACCATCAAATTTCCAGCGCACCTGGAAGTGGGATTGCGGACTGGAAGCTCACCGCCACTAGCATTCTTTGGGACTAGTTTGTTTCTCCCCTATCTTCTATCGGCTGCCTGAGGAATCCGTGCTTCGGCCACTGTATGGATTGTGATGCTTCGTTCACATCTTTTTCACCTTTTGGATGTATTTTATGGGAACCCTATTCTCCTGGGATATTGTTCAAGTGCGGTATCTTTATTTGTGATATTCCCCAACAATTTAATACCCGCATGCCTAAATTTCCACCATTCAAAAGTATCCTTAAAAGCGCTCTCAGATGTATAGCATCGCGCGACAAATCCCAGTCACACCTTCATGAACCTGCCCACCCACTGCAGCTTTCTGCGTACATGACCACACATGTTCTGCATGATTGATGAGCCGTTCCTAGAAGGCGGCCAATTCACCTGTTCCTGTCCGTCTTGCTGCCAATCCCAGTTCTCACAGGCCCGGGCTTCATACACGTAGTATCCCTGCCCAGCACATTTCGGATCCAGCATGTATTGATTCCTCTTGCGACATGCAGCAACATACCCTCCAACTGTAGCTGCGCCGCCACTCAAACCGTCGACTCTCTCCTTATCAACACACCCGAAGTCCCTCAACCCGTCGTTGCAATTGTAGCAGTAAGCTTGCGCACAGTCATTTCCTCCTCTACTTTTACCCACCTGCCCCTGCTGTATGCAAGCCACTGAGCCCAAAGCCGGGGCCAAAGCCAAAGCCGAGCTCGAGTTCGAGCGCGAGGCCGACACCCATCGATTTCTCCGCGGACACCAAGTCATATGCTCTGGACGAGAGCGTGCGCCTCCATGTTCCTCCTGCCCATTCGCGTACCTTGCACCACACAACCCCCTAGTCGAATCTATAGTCACCTTCTTCTGGAACCAACTGTCTGTGTGTGTGTTCTTGTAGTTTGCATCTGTGGCGGGAAGTGTGCTTGCTTTTGAGTTCGCGGGAGCCAATGCATTCCTGCGTCGAGTGAAACAGCCCTTTTCTTTCTGTAGTCTTTGAGCTCGCTCGGCTTGAATCTCGCGCATGTTATTCTGCAGGTGGATGGGGATTTGAGACAGAGCAACTTCATCGAGATCGAAAATCACTTCTTCTTCATCGACGAGGGAGTTGGTGTCTGTTGCTGTTTTGGGGTTGCCTATCCATGGTTCCATTTTGGGGGGTTGGCGGTGATTTCCAGTTGGGTTGAATAGATGTTTTTTGGTATTTTGGAGGGTAAGCCCTGTTTTTTTGGATGATTTGTGATGAAAGGAAGATAGCTTTATGAGGGGTCTTGATTTTTGAGGATTGAAACAGAAGGTTTTGGGAGTAAGTTGTTGGAAATCTGCGTTTACTTAGTGTTTAAGAGATCAACACCAACAGTAGTTTTCCAGGTCTACCCTTATTAATGGTATCCATGGGAATGAAAGAAATAGGTGTAATGGAACAGCTTTAGTCTCTTTAATATAGCTGGTTTATATTATTGTATTGTTTCTATAGCAATGGAAACAAAGATCGGGCACTTCTTTCACTTACAAAGGAAGTGTTTATTTGCTCTTATCAGAGCTAATACACTAAAAACATAGCCAGAGTGAGGAAGACAAAGTTTCAATGAGATAGGAATATTATATTCAAAATTAGGGTTGTACATGAATAGTAGAACCAGGGGGTATATAATTCACGTAACAGAAGGGGAGATCATATGTGCCAACAGTCTTTCAAAACCCATAATAGGAGATGTAGGAAAGTTAAAATTCTCGGCTTTCGCCAATTTCGCAAATGTCAAAAACCCCCGTTTCGGGGATTTCGTGCTTCTTCAATGCCTCCTTGAGCTTCTCAGGAGGCTCGAGGACATCCTCTTCTGTGAGTACCCAAGTACCCCAGTGCATACCCAGTGCTTTCTGACATTGAGTATCGCGGAAGATTTCAACCGCATCATGAGGGTCTGAATGCATGGAGCTCATAAACCACCGCGGCGAGTAGGCACCAATCGGGATTAATCCAAGATCAAAGGGACCCCGGAACTCACCGACCTGCTTGAACGCAGGGCAGGAGGGAAAGTTATACTCTGGGGCGTGATCATCGACATCATCTGGAAGCACAGGTACTGTCCTGTAGCCAGTGTCTCTAGATGTGCGCATACTTGGTTAGCCATATATAGGTGGCAAGGACGGTTCATGCTTACCCTGCAAAGTACACCTTACGTCCTTCAGCCTCAATGTACCACGAAGCCCAGAGGGTCTTTGCACGATCGAAAACGCCGCGGTTGCTGGTATGCTGACAAGGCAAGCAACCGATGCGAGCTTTAATGTCCTCTGGTTTTGAGCTCGTGCCTTCAGCAGGCTTTTCTACTTCAGCCGTGGAATTGGGTAACGGAGATAGCACAATATCCCGCTCCTCCCACCAATCGAGTTCCGTCATGTTCGTGATTCCGGAGCGATTAAACCATGCTTTGTTACCAAGGGGAGCAAAGAAATGGCAATTGGGGTGTCGCGAATGGATATCTTTAATGGTTGGTAGAGACAGATGATCGTAGTGATTGTGGGAAATCACCACTGCGTCAATGATGGGGATCTCCTTGATCTGGCAAGGAGGTTCCGTGTAGCGCTTCGGCCCTAGCCATGACAGCGGAGAGCAACGATCCTCAAAGACCGGATCGAATAGCACCCGAAGTCCGTTCGGGAACTCGACAAGGTAGCAAGCATGGCCCAACCATGTTGCGCGCAAAGCAGGAGTTTCTCGACTACGTAAGAAATCTGGTTTTCGCACAGGAACCGTCGGGGGGGTGGTATCGGGACGGTTGCCCTTTCCAGAAACTACGCGCCTGTACAGACAAACCTAATTAGTGATTTTGCACATGTTTAGAAATGTATAATTTTTTCTCACCAAAGTGCCTGAGGGGCCTTGTTAAAAGGCGCAACCCACGAACTACAACATTGTCAGCATGGAAGAGGTTCTCAACAATCTCCCGCCTGAGCTAGAGACGTACTCCCAGGGATTGTCGAAGCCACCCTTGCGATGGTGGGTTTTCTTGTCCACGCCCTCGGGAGCTGGAGAAATAGGCGACACGGAGACCGTGAGGGCGTAAAGAACCGTCGCACTGGAGGAACCCATCTTCAAAGGCGTAGTAGAAAAATTGCGAGAAGGAAACGCACTTCTTCCCTGATGACGAAAGGAAGACCAGTGTCGCCAAAAGTATTGCATGCTGAATTAAATACGCGCGAGAGTTCACGCTACAAGTCAAGGACGACGGATCTTGCAGGGGGAACGTGAATGCGATTCGAATCCTTAGAGAAACAACCACCTAGGTAGTCCATGATATGATGTAGTTTCTTTACTGACTCCGATTAATGGGTATTTCTCTTCAGGTTTCCACCAAACCCGACCGAAGTAAGCCAACTCCATTACTTCCGCTATCTCCAGCCGAGAACAGGCCGTTTTTGGGATGTGGAGTTGTTGTAGTCGGCGATTCCTCCGCATTCGAACCTATGAGTAGTGAGTCCTGATGGTTCCAAACCGAACAAAGCCATAGTTCCCTCACGATCATATTATTTCGAGTAGATGTAGATTTTGATTGGAAGGGGAGATGTCAGACAAAGTACTGTGCATGGAACGTTCTTTTAGGTCGCACAGCAGATCGGCCCGTATGTCTTTCCGACTCCGCGTCTGCCCACCACACGCGATTCCAGTACCTCTTGACTCCGGCAAGCTGAGGAAAGAACTAGAATCAGCTTCTGAATGGTTTACGGCTGATGGTTGGCATGGACCCAACTGGACCTCCCAGTTCTCCAGGATTACCTTCTCCTGGGGATTTACTTGTCCAGCAGAAAAAAGATGCCATTCAGGCCGCCGCGCAGCCGACCGGAGATGGAGGACTTCTCTCGCAGCTGACTAGCAACCCTTTCTTCACGGCCGTAAGGAACTACTTACTCCTGGTTTCATTGATTTGGACAATTTATATTCTAACGTGATCGTGATTGATAGGGATTCGGCCTTGCGGGACTTGGAGCCGGTCTAAGTCTGGCGCAAAAAGGTATCCGACATGGCGCCGCCCTCCTTCGCCGACGTATGCTCGTGGATGTCGAAATCAGTATTAAAGATGATTCCTATCCATGGTTTCTGCACTGGATGACCCTTTATCAACAATCACAACTCAATACAGCTCGGTCCGCTGCCAGCAGGTCTGGTTACATGGACTCGCTTCTTCACCGATTGACTCCTGGAATGCGCCATCTGTCTATCCAAACGCAAAAGGTTGAACACTCAAATGGAGCTATCCACACTCATTTCGCGTTGGTGCCGGGACCAGGAAGACATGTTCTACGGTACAAGAATGCGTTTATTTTTGTCAACCGAATGCGAGAATCCAAGTCGCAGGATCTTCAAACTGGCCGGCCGTGGGAGACCATTACCCTCACCACCCTCTATTCGCATCGTCATATCTTTGAAGATCTATTCAAAGAGGCTCACGCTTACGCCGCAAAATCACACGAAGGCAAAACCTCCATCTACAACAGCTGGGGTACGGAATGGAAACTCTTCGGACAACCGCGGCGAAAGCGCCCGTTAAACTCAGTGATTCTAGACAGGGGCGTGAAGGAGCGGATTGTAGAGGACGTCAAGGACTTTCTATCGAGCGGGAAATGGTATCTAGACCGCGGGATTCCCTACCGTCGCGGATACCTGCTATATGGACCACCCGGCACGGGTAAAAGCTCATTTATCCAGGCTTTGGCAGGAGAGCTGGATTATGACATTGCCATCTTAAACCTCAGCGAACGAGGATTAACCGATGATCGGTTAAATCATCTCCTCACCATTGTTCCAAACCGGACTCTAGTATTACTGGAAGACATCGATGCTGCGTTCTCGAACCGCCGCACCCAGACTGATGAGGACGGATATCGCGGTGCCAACGTGACCTTCTCAGGCCTCCTGAATGCCTTGGATGGAGTCGCGAGCGCCGAGGAACGGATTATCTTCCTCACAACGAACCACGTTGAGCGGCTAGATGAGGCCTTGGTGCGGCCCGGGCGAGTGGACATGACAGTTCGCCTCGGAGAAGTTACCCGTTACCAGGTCGGTTGCCTGTGGGATCGATTTTATGGTGAGATAGACACAGATGGGTCCTATAGACAAGCATTCCTGAATCGACTCGAAGAATTGGGTCTTGTTGAGGATGAAAATGGCCAGAAACCGGACCGGTACACTAGCGCGGCATCATTGCAGGGCTTGTTCTTGCATAATAAAGGGAATATGGAGGGAGCCATTGCCATGGCCGACGCGCTCACTCACAATCTCCATGATGAGGCAGCGCACCAGCATTGAGCGAAGACCGCTCACTTGTATATTGTATATTATGGTGATAGACTTGTGTTGTATAGACTCCTTGGGTACGCGATGTACTGTACGAAATTTTCCATTTAGGATACACGACCACCAATAGGCTGAATCCAGAGAAAGACCAAAGGGATAAAGAGTGTATTTTGTCAAGTATGCTGTCCATCCTAATAATTCTCATCTCCGTCCGTGCAGCCCAACCGTTGCCGCCCCGCATATTCCCTGGTCAGCTTCGGCTTCCTCAGCTTTCTGCCATCACACACTCCCTGCTCTCTTCATTCATGGCATCATCAAATCAGAGAAACGCTCTGTATCCATTTTTCTCTCATTGGCAGAAGGCAAATTGACTCTGGGATAGATTGGCCGGGCCAAAGTTCCAATCTGATGCTTCTCATTCCTCCGTCTCTTCTTCATGACTCCCTGCCATATGGCCTGTGACGCATGGTGCCTGAACCTTGCATTGTTCAGCGCTTTGGTAAGAGCGAATGAACGTCCTTATTTACCTCCCTGGAAGCGCTGCAACTAAGACTAAGCCACTACTTGTGACCAGAATCTCATCCGTCCGACGGGCCAGGGAGGTGAGGCCGTTAAGCGCCCGCGTGGGCTCCCAGGAACACATGCAGCACAATACCAGTTCTTCACACTTGCAGGAGCCTCTCATCATTCAGACCCTGGTGACTCCACCAAGATAACTTTTCGATCATCAATAAGCCAAGATATGGCGGCGTGTAAACTTGTCACACTGGCCGAAGGTTGGCTCTTAGACCGCTCCAGCCGTCATGGCCATGACGGTATATAGTAGGGAGCCAGGTATCCATCCACTGGTTGCTTTATTCTGGTGACGCATTAATTTCCCGCTCTGACATTGCTGGAATTCTGTGTACATGGTTTGCTGTTGATTTGGCGTTTGTTGATGCATCGACAGCCTGGCGTGTTGATACACGACTGCCGTACAAAACCCATTGGCAACCGGTTACTTTTGCATCATTGAAAGAGAAAATCGAGCAAGGGCTCTTTCATTTTCAAGCTTGGTCGATTCTCCGACGTCGAAATGAGCCAATTTCAGCTTTTCCCTCCTCCTGCTCCGCAGGGAGTCCCCAAGAACCCATTTCGAAAGGGACCTAGGAGACCGTCGGTCAGCACTCAGTCCTCAGTTTCGAGTCCTTTAGAAGACCCCAGGGGCAAGGGTGCGGAAGCCAAAGCTGTGGTATTACAGGTTGTCGAGCCTAGCAGCATTAAGCCGTCACGGAAAGCACACATCCCTCCTCCCTCGCCACGATCATCCACCCCAGAGGCGAGACCAGGTTCACGATCGCCTGAATCAATTTCCAAAGCCAGCCCAGAAGAACAAAATGTTTCGAGCCCTCTTCCAGATGATAATAAGCTGTTATCACCTGCTAGAACTAATGGAGATGGGGAATCCGGTCGTGCACAAAACCCTGCGCCTGTCGCTGCCTCTCCAATCGTCCCCATGAGGTCGATATTCCCTCGTTTCAACCCAGATGCACCACTCGGTCAACAGCAATACTGCAATGGCGTCTCTCAGAACTTCTCACGACCTCGTACCAGGCCTGCAGAGCTTGACTTATCTCAGGCCCCAGAAATCGATCGCGCACTGGGACCCAAGACGGTCCCTGCGAGCGTGCTGGATTTTCCGGCAGGTCTTCTCGATCCAGTTGATGTGGTCTACTCTTCTACAGCAGAGCTTAGAGGGTTATGGGAGGCAGCAAATGGCCAGAGGCCAGAAGGTATTGGTGGAAATTTCAGCCTTCGAATGCAACGGTAAGCATCCATAACTAGACCCATCATTCCCAATTTGGAAATATCCAGACACTGACTTGCCCAGCCTCGACGCCGCGACTTTCGTCTTTGGCGAGGCTAATGCACCCTTCTACACCATGCAAACATACTCTACGGATGAACTATCCATATCGAGAACAAACCCCTCCAACCCTAACACCAAGATCTCCATTATGATGCTCCAACTGGAAGACCGCCGTCGTCGGGAACCCCCCGACGACGGCCTGGTATCCCACCTTTTCTCCCAACTCGCCGCCATGCTTGCAATCGAGCAAGCAGAGGAACTAGCCCGGCAACACAGACTTCCTCTCCTCGAAGCAGCAGAGGTAGAAGCCGACGCGCTAAAGCGTGCAGCCGCCCAAGAGTCTTGCAGACTTTCCTGGAACCCCACAAAACGCCTCTACGAGCTCCAACACCCATCCTTGAGCAAGCAGGCCCCAAGCCCAGCCCTAGTCGGCGCAGCGGGTATGGCTCTCTCCCCTGTACGATCCAAGTACTCGGGTGTCTTACACATTACTGTTTCTACCCCATCCGCAAACCCCACGGCAGAAACAGCCCCAGGTCGCGCTCAACCGCCCACCATCCTCGTCACAGCTCCCCTCCCAAATAGCTCTATCGACGCAGCCGCTTCACCGCGCACATCAACTCTCCCTCTCACGGACACAGACGAGCCCCTCGCCTCCTTAGACCTAGGCACCATGACGCTGACGATCTCCACACCCACAATCACAAACACCATTCCCTCTCTATACGCAATCGACTCCATCGTCGCTGCGATTCTCGCCGTTGCCGTCTCCGACGCAGCTACAAACCCTGTACTCGCAGACACGCCCCTTTACAACCCCCACAACAACCACTCTCTCTCTCCCCAACCCCAACCGCAACCGCAATACCCACGCACACCCACCACCCCATTCACAGGCAAACTCGTCGCCACGATCGCCGAGCGCGAAGACGCCCAAGCCGGAACAGACCTCATCTCACGAATAAAATCCGCCGCGTCCCCGTCCCTCGACAGACAAACCAAGCCCGCCGCACGATTCAACCCCCAAAAATGGCTCTCGCTGCCCTTTCCCCGCTCAGCGCACTCGACCCCAACCCACCTCCCCCAACCCGAGCGTCGGAGTAAACGAGCTAAAAGGCAACCACCCCCATCCACGGGCATCAGCATCCCGATGGTCGCGGAGGAATTCGACCTCGAGAAATACGGCCGCTACGGTACCGGTTCTTCGCGGGAGGGGGAAGAGGTCCCTGGTGCAGCGAGGGGCGCCATCAAGTTACTCTTCTGGGGACTCAAGTTGGTGGTGTTTGCGTTGACGGTGGTGTTTAAAGTGCTCAGTTGGGTTTTGGTTGCTGTGGCGAGGTGTTTGACGAGTGAGAAGCTTTGATTTCATTTTCTTTTTTTTCATTTCTTTTTTTTTTTTTTCAGTGGTAGGGGAGGTGGGGGAATTGGTGTGCTGGAATTTGGACTATCAAGTTATTCCTGCCTGGGGTGGGATAATGGTAATGAGGTTGGTTGGTTTATGGTAGTTCGTATATACGAGTTATGGTTTGTTTGGGATATAGTTATTGATTTACCTCAATGGTGCTATGCTTGTTTTGGATATCCTAATGAATTACTAGGTACTTTTCCTTCTACTTGAGTGAACTTCTTATATGGATTTTGTTCAAAATGTTGATTTCTCTCCTAACGCGAAAGGGGGTTTCTTTTCCACACCACATAGCCAGGAAAAAACTCTGGATTATATATATATATATATAAAAAGAAAGGACAAAGTCAAACCTTTGACTCCAGATTTAATAAACACTCCCGCACCGCTTCGAATCATTAATTGATAAAGGATGACTGGCCGCGCTATGGCCTCAATATACTGTTAAGACATAGAGGAAGAAGAAGTTGGAAAGAAGAAGGGGGTGATGATGTTCATATTCACCACATCATATGTACGTAGAACAAATACCGCTGACGGATCTGCGCAACATCGTACACGATGTACTCGTTGTACAGCAGGTTTGCGTCGTTGCCTTCGCGGCTCGTGGTCTTGATATTCGGATCAGGCATTTGAATGCCCTGAAGGTCTGGATGGACGCAGCCTGCATCCTTCCAGCCACCAGGGATCATGCGACCCTTACCCAGGGTAGAAATGCTTCCCTTCTTCTTTGCGTTCTCGCCGGCGTGGTAGTCGGAGTTGGAGAGCTCCAACATAGGGTTGCCGAGTTCGACATCGCATAGCATGAGCAGGCCCTTGTGACCACTGTTGGAGGACCAGCAGTAGCCGGCAGATTTGCTGGACATGTCGGCGAAGTAGACGCCTTTCCCGAACATGTATCCGCTGACGGGGGCCTCTGGGGGTGCGATGCGGAGACCCTGACTGAGGATACCACCGAAGTTGGTACTACGCGAACCGTGCCAAAGGAGGTGGCGATTGCTATTCTGGAGATTGGCGTATGGGGATGACTTGAATCGCTCGTGTTCGCCTTGGCGCTCGATTCGGAAGATATCGATCACCTGATACTACGTTAAATATTATTCGGGAGAATTGTTAGAAAGAAATGTAACACTCACGCGGTAGTTCATGTGGTGAGTGGATCCACGGGTCTCAAAGAGGTATTTCTGGAGTTCGACGAACTCGGTAGACTCGTGGTCCACTATGTAGGGTTAGATTGACTGTCTCATGGGCAAAAAGGAAAAACCTTACACTGTGTCATCTCTTGCAGCCCCAAACCTTGGAATTGCCGATCGAGAGGGTTCACATCCACGATCTTGCTTGAGTCTTTCACGATGCTGTTGGCGACCTCCATATCGGTTAGAGCTTCAAGAAGCTCAACCTCCTTCTTGATATACACCTCGCTGTCTAGAACGGGGGGTCGGTTGCGACCAAATACGTGTGGGATGAGGGTGAAGTAACGGTCGCTTAGCTGTTCCATAGCCGGGCGCAACTGCATGCCATATCGAGTGGATGCCAAACTGGGTGTGGCTGCAAGTTCTGCTAGTTCCTTGAGAGTCTCGAAACCTGTCTGGAGGGTTCTCTTGCTCAGTTTACCCAAGGGCAACTTTTTGGCATCATAGGACAGATTGGCCATGGTAGAAAGGAAGTAGTCCTGGTTGAATATGAAGCTGATGAGGTTCTGAATCGCAGTGGGCAGGGTGCTGCGAGGGATCGGCTTCGACGCCTTGCCAACTGTTTTGGTATCCTTTCCGTCCTCCTCTTCACCATCACTATCTTCGTAGTTACGCTCGATAAAGGTATATTTGCCGTTCTTGGGGGTATTGAGTCTGTCTTTCCATGCGAGACCTGATTTATCCTTGAATTTCTTCTCAAATGCAGCTTTGGCGCCGTCTAAAGTGCCGTCACCCAGATGCGCAGACTGACCATTCTCGCCAACTCTGCCCCAGCGGGCCCAAACCTGATACTTGTCATCATTTTTTGAAACAAGTAGCTGGATGCGGTAGAATTTGTTGTTGTTATTAGCGGCGACAGTTTGATTCAGAGTAGCATCCCAAATCAGGCCAGATTTGGCAATATATACCGTTGGGTCTGTATCCGGGTTAGTTTGGTGGACGAAACTATCGAAAAAATCGAGTCACCTTTCCATGCGGCATCATTAGGGATGTAGGACTCATCAACTGGGACCTTAACGGTCTTTGAAGTGGCCATTTGCGCATTCTCAACATCAGCTTTAGGTTTCTTGTTAGAATCATCCTCATCCTCATCCTCATCTAGTGCCACCTTGGCCGTTCGTTTCTTTTTCTCCGCCTTCACAGGAGCTGCACTGTCATTTGCCTTCGCTGTGCCATTGGCTGCGCCAAAATGATATGACTTCTCCGAAACCGGCTTCTTCGCCTTGTTCGACTCCAGTAGCCAATCGATGGATACAATCTCGCATTTTTTCAGGTTGCAAGCTTGTTGATCTGGCATCGCAAGATATGAGCAAAGATAGAAGAAGCCATGTCCGGGGTAGCGTCCGACTCACATTTGGTGCCGTTCTTCTCTACTTCCTTTTCGGTGATGATCAAGTGGGTGCAGTCCGCTGTGACGGAAGAAGTGAAAGTAGCACCATGGCCTTCCACAATTGACTTCAAGTCGGCTACAAAGGTGCGATGACATGTCAGTCCCAACATTCCACGCGTTCCATTGGAATCGCCATCAGGGGCAATGTCCGGGGAATGACGGAAGCGGGGGGGTTCACCTTGTTTGTATCCGGAAAATGTGCCGCTCGCCGCAATCACGAGCCTTTTGAAGGATCTTGGAGGCATTGGGAGTAATTAATGGGAAATATCCAACCAGGGAATGCAAAAAGACCAAAAGAAAATGAAGAATGAGAATGAGAAGGGGGGAGGGATGCAGATGGATATGATATGAATACGAAAGGATCTCGAGAAGATGGTAGAGAGGCGGAGAATTGGCGCTAGAAGATCTCTAAAAATATCGCGGCGCTCGGAGCTTGGATGGACAGAAAAAGAAAAAAAAATGTCTCTCTGACTATGTCAATGATGCTCTTGAAGGTTGTAAAAGACAAATTGAACATTGACTGAGAAGCAGGAGAACGGAAGCTTTAAATCGTCTTCTGTTGGGGACGTACATACATGGATCGCCTGAAGCTCCAGGCTGCCATGCCTCTGGTGCCTAATAGGCTAACAAACCGACAGGCAGAGCTCGAAATTGCAGGGACCGAACGTTGCTTCCTGGCAGATTTAAAATATGAAAAGTTGAGCCAATTCTTTTCGTGCTGTTGAGAAGGTCTTCTTGATTTATTTAGATCCCCTCTCTTCTCAACTGGGAACCGGAGTCGTGAGAATACGGGGGGAAGCCAAAAGAACATATAAAGTATGACACAGTCACCCAGGTAAGATAAATTTACGAAAATCTTAATCTCAGCTTGTAGATAACCGCTGGACTTCACAAATCTATACTACACGGCAACGTAAACGAGATGGCGCATTTTCTGGGATATATCATGGATCAAGGGAATTCCTTATCTAGTCATACTTTCAACCTACCTCCTAATTGACCAGTTGACCTCCGAATCGACCTCCGAATCGACCCAGATTATTTCCGTCTGAAGCTGCTGGACGTAATAAATCACAGGAAAGACAGGAGGAATGTCTGGTAGTGTATTTAGGGCATGGATGCCTGTCAAGTATCTTTGATAGTCTATCCGGATGTATATTCCATGGGCTTAACCAGACCTTATCACATATTCTATATACTACCTAGGTAGGGCTCCTTTATTTGTTGGCTTGGTTCTTAGCCTCTTGCTGTATGTAAGACATAGCAGGTTTATAATTCTCTCTTTACCCTGGCATAGTAATTAAAATATTAAATCTTTATTTATAACTCTCACTATCTACCTTCCCTATATGTAGTGGTTTGCTCAGTCAAGTCTTTGAAATTAACAAGAAGATTGGTTTCTATAAAGGCACCATAACTCTTTATCTTACATGGCATTATGAGATTGACCAATTGTAATTTAAATATCTTCATTAACTAGTATCTTCTGTTAGTAGTAGAAAGCTCCATATGCTTCAGTGTGAATCAAACCTCAAATATTATCTTAGTTATTTCCATATATGCGATGGCTTTCCCAAGACACATGAATTGCCCGCATCCAAAGACAAGCTCCGTGGTTCTTTCTATCTCATCCCGCGATTCATTATCGGCCTCCAGAAATTACTCTAGTCTAAAGAGATAAGTGTCTTTTCCAAAAATTGTAGAAGACCGCAGAAGAGAGGATAGGTTCGCGCAGATAGTAGTTCCCTCTGGAATATGAACTCCATGCATTAGCTCTCCTCCTTTTGGTATATACTTCGGGAACAGCCCTAATCGAGGGGGATGACTGTGAAGACCCTCGTATATTATGGCCTAATCATGGTTAGTCGGCTGCAAAGTATGGTTGATTAACCTCGGCCTCTGCCTTGGATGATGACAGGCTCCCCTACTTGTAGATAAGGAAGGTGTTTTATCTCCTTATACGGAATTGGCGTGGCCTTGCCCTCTTGGAAGGCGGTTCTGATTTCCTCTTTCAGCCTCTGGTAGACACGAGGAGTGGTGATCACATTAAGGAGTGTAGCCTGAATAGCAGAAGCAGTAGATTCGGAGCCTGCGACCAGCATGAGGAAAGCTTGTCGCAGGCCTAACACGCGAGTTCTCTGCCCCATGTATGCTGTACCCATTATTGACTTTGAAGTTTGAAGTCGCCCCTAACTAGGCAGTTCGGGGATGAGTGTGGTGACGTAGTGGATCACTTCGTTGGTAGTGGGCCGTTGGATGTAGATATTATTAATGCTGACCAGAGCATGTCCTGGCCTTGCACGGGTCGGTGCTGCTGGGCTTTCAGCTTGGTACCTTTCTGTATGTAGGTCATGACTCTGCCTGCCTCCTGTGACCCTGATTGCGAGGCATGGTCTATTTCGGCCCGGGCTGTAAGTCCAGTCTGCTTCCTGCGGCTAGGCGTTGGCCGCACTGGGTGGAGGAAGGAGGTGATCCAGGTGGTCTTGTCTGTCTGTGGGTTCGCGCCCCTCCTGGATGGCCTGACGCTGATAGATCGGGGCTTCGACCTCCCTCCGCATGAGGGTCCAACTTCGACTAATCCCCCCCCCCCCGGACGGTATTAGGGACCCCAGGGATAGTGTATTTGTATCACCAACTCCAGCGCCTTACGAGCTTCATCCCGAGTAGGTGGTTCTGATGAGCTGAGAGGAGACGGTCGTGAACTCGGACTAATATAGAGAATATATGGTTATTGGCGAGATTATACCCAAGGACATAGCGAAATCGGACCTAATAACCTAGCGCGTGATAGAATAGTGTATATTCTATATTGATTTTGAAATCTAGCTCCTATATAATTTGTCTTATATAGGAATATATATATAAATAGATATAAATCAGTATATTGTTTTCTAGCTTATTCAGGGTTTCTTTCCTCCTTATATCTGACAGGTTCCTCCATCGAGATAGAGGCAGCAAGTGGGCTTGTTAGGCTTCTGGAAAAGGAGAACGTGATATAGAGTGAAATTGTACTCTTTAAAGGTGTATATTGAAGGCCAATTCCATGATTTGTAGGTCCTAGGGATCTACCCCTTTGGTATTCCCGTGGCTCTGAGCCAGTGACAAAGATGATGATAGAGATATAAAGCTGGTAGGTGGTTGCATAGAAGGTACCAAAACTAAGTTAATGCTCATACTAGTTGAAATACCTAGTAACATATAAAGATGAACCATGCCAAAGGCCAGGCCAATATCTATAAACACGAGCGTGACACGCTCCAAGACATAATATCGCGAAGTAAGGAGATGGCGGCCATTATTGCTAGAAGTAGATAACAAGAAACAAGCCAATGAAAATAACAATATCTATACTGAGAAAAAGGCTTATCTTGCAATTTTTGAATGGAGAGCACATGACAACAAAATCTTCAAGCAGTAAACTGCAGACTATCAGGTAAAAACTAATCATGGGAGCAATAAAGAGGGAAGTTGTACAGAGCACTTGCAGTGGGAGAAGAGTATATAAATGCAATCCCTAACCGCCCCTTCCGACCTAGTCTCCAGGGTCGCGCGTTACAAGGAGCAAATACGGCAACTTGATATTAGTATTCAACAGTTAAAGGCCGATAACGCGCATTTGTTCCAGGAAAACCAGATTTTGGAGGAAGAGAACAATTATCTTATAGCAAGGCGTGACCCTGGAGACTAGGTCGGAAGGGGCGGTTAGTGATCCCTCGCTTGCTATAACATCCTAGGGGTTTGCCCCAAATGCTGAGATATGCCCCAAGGATATCTTATCCTGCACTGTAAGATAGTTTGTTCACTTCCTCCAAAATCTGGTTTTCCTGGAGCAAATGTGCGTTATCGGCTTCTAACTGTTGAATACTAATACCAAGTTGCTGTATTTGCTCCTTGTAACACGCGTTGGTCTTCTCCAATTTTTTCCTTTCTTCCTCCAGATACACCTTCTTGCGTTCTTGAGCCTCCAATTTTTTCCTTTCTTCCTCCAGATACACCTTCTGACGTTCTTGAGCCTCCAATTCTGTAGCTTTGCCTTTGATGAGCTCCATTTTCTGTTGCTGACACGCCCGTTGCGCCTTGTGGTTTGACTCGCTCTGTAATTCTTCGTCAGTGCTATTATTGTACTGTAGGAGGTCTGCACGAGCTCACTTTTTTCTCGAAGCTGGCATGATAATGTTAGCATTGTTGGAGAACAGCCTATAGTGAAGGTCCTACTTACTCAACAGGCATGGTCATGAATCTAATATCATGTGGTATGACCAGGTTAACTTGATAGAGAGACACTCCAGTAATGAGTCTTGAGATTGTTAGAGTTGTATAATAGAAACAGGAAACTCCTATTAAGCGTGAAATAAGAATGTCTTCTACGGAGTACTTATATAAGTTAACTGTATTCTATAGTAAATAAACCCCTTTCTTAAAACTACTATCAATGAGAAATCCTTTGTATGGTAGTGGGGAATATGGGGCTAGTATAACAAAGAATCCCATAGCAACTCTACATTTTCCTGTTGGCTATCATTAGTCTATAAAAAATGGTACCACCTTCAACCTTGTATACCAGGATACCTACAGGCTATGCCTATCAATTACCATTATAGGATAGACAAGCCCACTACCTGCCCTTTGATATATGCCAACATAGGATCTTACTGCATTAGTTTGTGAAAAGACAGTTATGGTCGCTAGAATGAAAGCTCTGGAGGTCAGTGGCTGCAGGTATCCGTCCCTTTTAGATCCATTTATTAGTTGTAAGCTTAGGATTCATGATATATAGTTGGATTTTGATCAAAACTTCATTAGCAGGTTTGCTTGGGATCTATGGAAAGCTAAAGCACTCAAGGAAGTTGCTTTTATAGGTACAGTCTTCTGCACTATACCGGTATGTACCTTTCCCCCTAATTCCGGAGTTTTTGGCCGGCGAGAGGTTCTGAGACCTGAATAACCACACATATCGAGTATGCAGAAATCATGTCGATCAGTTCCTTTAAGTATCCGGGAAGGCAATGCCGGGCTTCATAAGCAGGCCTGTTTTCAGCCGTCACATTAACGAGGCAGAAATTAAAAGAACCTTGGAAGAAGAAGAAAAACCAGGGATGCCTTCAGAAAGAAGCAAGTCGAAGAAAAACGAATTTGACAGATAAGCAAAACCCACGCCATGATCAACTGCGCTGCGGCATTAATCAATACGAAGTGGCGGAGTCTTAATAAACAGAACTAAGGATGGAAAAAAGATACAGAAATTAGGTATCCCTGATTTTTTTCTTGATTTTTCTCCTCTTTTTTTCCGCGTTATGCATCATTTTCTCGGGTACGAGGGAGTTCTAGACTGGAAGAAATATGAATGCCTATTCTTATAAAAAAAAAAAGAAAATGTAGTAATGTGAAGCCCTAACCAGGGTTCTGGGATTGAGCACTACCACTCCGGTACGTACTTCCGTCGGAGTTGGCATCGTCACCGACTCAAGGGGCCTTCAGAGACCTTTCCATTGGTCACAGACACAATACAGGCGGTCAAGACTGATTATACAGTTCATGAGGATGAGGCTCAGACAATTCCTTCCGATGCTAAGTGGTTCCACCAATCCAGAAGACAACAGTGTGCGTAACTCGGGTCCAGATCCATGAAAGGGGCCAACCCTTGCTCGTAATAATCACAGCGTTCAGGTTACCGAATTAATCATGGTGGTATTTTCGGTGATTGCGTGGCATGATACTTCTTTTACCAGGGTCCTCAACCGTCAGCATTAGGAGAAATTAGTTTACTTTACATTACGTTAGTAACGTTACTCCTTCCGCGAGATTGGCTGATGGACATGGATGAGTGGAGGTAAAGCTTACATAGTTCAAGAGAGGCTCTGCCCTAGCCATAATCTCACTTTAACTCCGGGCACTGGCAATTTCCGACACCTTGCAGAGAATCAGAATACGTAACCCTGGAGGAAGAGATGAACGGCCAATCAACGACATTTGTCAGTATTTCGAGTGATCCCCGTCACAATGAAAAGCGAGGAACCGCTGAGCTGACTGGGACTCGTACTATTGGTATCCGCTTCTGTGAATGGGATGAGCCAATAGGCTGCGTGTGCCCAAACCGGCGATAAGGATCGGGCCAACCAAAGATCAAACGATCCGTCGGAAAAATGGTGACAGCCGTCGTTCTGTTAAAGCTTTCGACAGCTTTATCAAAGATATACTCCGTACGGAGTACTTGGATTAAACACACAAGATCCGCGCGCATAATCCCATAAGCTCCTTACCAGCTTCTTCGCCATAAAGGTTTAGAGTCAACAAAGGCCATTCCATATTCATCGACAACCTGTTGCCATCGGGCAACCACCACCGCAGATGAGAATCTTCCAAGGGTTGCGTGCCATCTGCAGCCTTTCAGCGATTGAACAATTAACGAAATGAACTCCTGCGACTAGCAGCAATGAAGCGCGGGTCGCATTCACTTCGTAACTGAGTTTGGGCGTTTACTATGAGACATACCGAGTATAGCGGACATCATAGAGCTAACTGATACCCAGGTATTACGAGTTCACAGAGGTAGTTGAGGCTTGGCGAATGGAAGAAGCGCGGTAACACTTGGTTGAGATGAGTGTCCATACAACATTCAGTGGCATCACTGATATTTCCCTGAAGATATACATATCAACTGGCTAAGAAGAGATCGGCAGGCGGATGGAGACTTCGCTCTCGTGTTTACTATTTTCGGAATATTTAGATTACATGGAAAAACCACTCAGGTGTTTTTAAAACCAGCATTTCTATTGGTCAGAGTCTAAAAGGTGGGGACAAAATAACGCGGAGAACGGCGCTTTAACGGCCCGGCTGCGGATGAACTGGGCGCCCGCGGTGTATCAATTACGTCAGGCCGCGTAAGATACACTCAAGCACCGCCGCAGCAGGGTCCTCCCCCTGTGTATTGGCCCGTACACCCTGGATATCCGAAAATTACGACCAGTATTGGTTACCATTTCCATATCAGGACTAGACCAACTCGTCTATCAGGCAGACATCCAAGACGCCTCAGCCTCAATCCATCATCAAGAGACATCAATCCCATCTCATCCTATCCCCTTTCTCCCCAAGTTTTGTCAAGTGGTTCTCAACCTTTGGAATATCTATATTTTCTCCGATCTTTGTATTTATTATTATATTCTGTCATCCCAGGCTGGCTCAATCTGGTCTCTACGGACTCCTGAACACTCACTCCATCCAACAACAACAACAACAACCACAACCCCCCTCTTCTTCCCGGTAGACAGTCGCCATTCATTTACTTTCGACTGTGGTAGTATACGTGTATACATAAGAGCGACGGTTCGATCTCGCGTTCCCTGGGTGGTCGGATATCTTATCTGTCCTCTTTGACTAGTGCATAAACTGATTGTTGATGAAGACCACGGACAACAGAAGGCTTGGTAGTAGACTATTCACTTCACTGCCTGTCTGTGTCACTCGAATTCAGCTCAACTAGAACCTTTGCCTTGGATTCGTCCGCAAATAAGTGAGTCATTTCTCCCCGATCTCCATGAGCCCGCCTCCTCTTGCTAACGCCTCCCCAAGAACATTCAACCATTCACAATGAGTTCTTCACAAGAACATGACTCTATAAGAGCCCACCCGAGGCGTCGGCCTTTCAGGGCGTCGCGTCCTTCCCTGGAATCATCCTCAGCGCCTTCCCATCCACGGCTTAGAAAAGGAGAAACCTTTCATGCATCTTCTCGAAGTTCCTCGGACCGTGACCTCATCTTGCCTCTCCTCCCCCGTCGTTCTCCCACATGCCCCGGCGCCTTGGAAGCTATCGCCGCTGGACAACAGCGTATGTCCAACATTTTGGACCGCCTTGATCTGAACTCGTTCAATACCCCCACATCAGGAGAGGATCACGACGACCTTCCTGTCCCCAAGGGTCTACTTGAACTTCACATTCAGTCACAGTCCAGGAAAGAAGGTTCCGCGGAACCCCGTTCGCGTCAAGCCAGCCCCATGCCCAAGGGTCTTGCTAGGAAATCCCAGAGAGCGCACTGCCATGCGTCGGATAGCGGGCTCGGCACTTCCATCAGCAGCGGCCAGTCTGTATCATCAGCGAACAAAGGTACATGGTCAATTTACAGCTCTCCTCACCATAGCATGGACTAACTCCCTTGCAGTAAAAGCGGGACAGTTGTCGTATGGTAGCAACACAGCCACTCTCCAGCGATCACAGTCCGCAATCACCCGTTCAATCACAGCTCTGGAGCCTCGGGATGCTCAGCAGCACAAACTCACTCCCGGTGGTCGTACAGAAATCGAAAAGCATATTCTGGGCCCCCTGTTAGAAGATGAGTGTCTCAAGCCATTCCACCCTCTGCTCGAAGATGTCCGTCAGCAAATCGAAGATGAGCGCATTTCTTCTCTGCGTGACCTGGAAAAGACCGTCTTTTCCTTAGCTCCTGTAGGTGTATCCTTCTCACCAAGTAAAGGTAATGTTACTTATATGTATTCTCTCTTGCAGGATGTCAAGATTCACGATGCTGCCTATGTTCGTTTCTGCCAGCACACCATCCTATGCCTGGGCCAGACAGTCTCCTTCCTGAATGACCGAGACCTATGCATGCCTGCCGATAGGCAGTACTCCAACGGCTACTTCGTGGATCTCCTAGAGCAAGTGACTCGTTTCAAGAGAATCCGAGATGAGATGCGTAAGAGAAGTGAAGAAGGCAAAGCTGGTGAGAAGCGGGTTGCCTACAAGTAAGTCATCATTCCTCGGATAGCATAACAGGCTGAAATTAACTTTGAACAGGGAACCCAAGCTCATCGTGGAGGGTGGGCTCTCTCAGACCGGACGGCCTCTCGAACTCGTTGCCCAGAAAGATGGCAAACTTATCTCCCTTCGCACCGGAAAGCCATACGAAGAGTTGGCTGTACCTTCGATGAAGCGGACCCTGAGCTACGGATCCGCCGATGAGGGTGCTCAGCGCTCTATGGCCCGTCGTAAGAAGAACGCCCCTCCGATGAACATCAACAAGAAGTGCAAAGACTGTGACAAGGTCTTTTCGCGGCCTTGCGACCTTACGTAAGTTCTTCGCTATCTTCCAGACTCGAGTATATCAGTTGCTAACTCATCAACAGAAAGCATGAGAAGTCTCACACTCGTCCCTTCAAGTGCCCTGTCCCTTCGTGCAAGTACCACACCAAGGGGTGGGCAACTGAGAAAGAGTCCGAACGTCATTATAATGACAAGCACTCTGAGGCTCCACGTCTGTACGCCTGCCAGTTTGAATCTTGCTCTTACAAGTCTAAGAGGGAGAGCAACTGTAAGCAGCACATGGAGAAGACTCACGGGTGGGTGTACATGCGCTCGAAGAACAATGGCCGAACTGCCAAGCGATCTTCTATCCAGCAAAGCCCTGCTCCCTCCAGCAGCAGCTCTGCTCAGCCACAACACGACCTATCCAATTGGGACATGACCCCTGCTTCTGCAACCCCCGAGTTCAAGCATGAGTCAACCGGTTGGGACATGGGCCCTCATTCCGAGACCCCCGAGTTCTCCTTCAACGCATTCCAGCCTCCGATGGCCGGTATTCCAACCCCGGTAACTGGTACTGCGGAACTTGTTACTCCCACAACAGGAACCATTAACTCGCCTTCGGAGCCGTACGATATGGCATCCGAAAACACTGCGTTTTCAATCCAGGATATTTTCCCCGATATGAAGGCGAGTGATGGTGTGCTCTTTACCGGCGGAGACTTGGACTTCGTCGACTTTTCCAACCAGCCGAGCATGTTTAACGACTTTCTCACTGGCTACCCTGATATCACAATGCAACCCCAGGGTATGAACTACGGAGACATGCAGCAGCCTCAGTATGACGACGATTCTGCTGGCTTCCTTTTGGATGTTTACAATGACATGCAAACGTACGGGATTAACCCTGGAGGTCTATAATCGCGTTACGTATCGAGGTTGAGAGAAACCCTGGTGGTTGAAAATCTTGGTCAATGTGTTATGAATCATCTTGGATGGCAGGCGATCTTTTTTTATATTCTTGTTAAACCACTTTCTGTTATAAAATGATTTTGTATAAGTGGCGCTCGATCGCCTTACCGTTATTAATTACTCTCCTCCCGAGGAATCCAATATCCTCTCTTGCATCTGCTCCTTTTGAAACAAATTGGCAGCAATCTATAGCGCAATCTACTTGGTCCAGCTACAGGCAAACCGCCTCACTTCGGTCCCTTCAATTCAATACTTCTCCATAACTTGTCAGACTTTCCAAGACAACCCACATTCGTAGCTCTACACCCATTTCAAGCCCGAACGACCCTGAAATACGCCTGAGTGCTTTCCACATCCCTTGCCTCTTCTTCCCCATCTATAACTACGATGTCGCTTGCCGCGTAAACAAAGTGCCGTCATTATAACAGGAAGAAGCAGCATGATGGACAAACAGCACTATTCTATTTTACTACGACTAATTCTTAAGAAAGAGAGAGAGAACGAAAGAAAGAAAGTAAGAAAGAAAGAAAGGAATTCTAACCTATCCGGAAAATATTTCGCAACTCTACCCCCTAAAGAGAAACTACAGTCCTGTTCCTATTAAGAGAATGGATGGAAATTGAATAAGAGAGAGGTAGACTATCTAACTCACTATATAGTCATGCAGGCTAGGTTAGGTATAGTATATATACTGTAAGTTCATTCATGACTTTGGAGACTCTTATGTAGTTTGGGATGAATGCGCCTGATTCGAACCAAGGAAGATTCTTACACGGAAGTATAAATAATCTCTATTATGCAAGGCAAGGTCCCTGATGAAGAACTACACTTTCTGATGTCCCATCCATTCATCTAGGAGGGTTCCTTGCACCTTTACTATCAGAATCTTTATTCTATGCTCAATACTGCTAAGAGATCGTCTGTTTTGAAGTATTATTTGTCATCATACAACACTTTTCTATACGACATGGTCGTCGTCTACCTCGACAACGCAATGTCGTCAATTCTCATGATCATCTTCACTGTCTCAGCGGCAAGCTCAATGGCGCTGGTGCTAACCAGGAGGGGTTGCAGGATATTCTCCTCGGTGATATCGTCCTTCACACCGCCGCTACGGATGCTGACTCCAGCGTTGTGCTGGCCCTGGGCGTGACGGTGTCGGAGTTCTGTGACGACCTTGATCGAGTTCAGGCCAGCGTTCTCGGCAAGAGTGGTGGGGATCACTTCCATGGCTTCCGCAAAGGCCTTCCAGCAGATCGCCTCCGTGCCCGTGAGTTCACGAGCACGCATGGCAAGAGAGTGGGCGACTTCGATTTCGGGAGCTCCACCACCAGCAATGAGAGCACGCTTCTTCACAAGGCAACGGATAACACACAGAGCATCGTGCAGCGAACGCTCTGCTTCATCGAGGATGAGACTGTTGGCGCCGCGAGCGACAATCGAAACGGTTTGGTTGGCAGCATTAGCGGGGGCCTTGATGCCGGTGATCTTCACGTAGCGAGCCCCAGAGGCCTGAACCTCCTCCACAACGTCAGCGGTACCCAACTTATCCTCGGTGAAAGAGTCAATGTTCGCAACAGGCTTGCAGCCCAGACTCTTGCACAGGAACTCAACCTCGTCACGCTCAATGTCCTTGACGGCCAAAATTTTAAGCCGAGAAAGGAAATGGAGGGAAAGATCGTTCACTGCGTCACGGAGAATAGACTTCTGGATCAAAAGGACGTTGCACTTTGTCTTCTGGATCTTCTTCACCATGTTGAGGAGATATTGGCGCTCCTCCTTCAGGATCTTGTCCATCTGGCGGTAGTCGTTCACAACAATCTGGTTCTCCATCTATTTTCTTAGGTTAGGTTGATTTATATCGCTAGTCGTTAAAGGGTCAGAAACATACATCAGGCTTAGGGGGGCTGAGCTGGAATTGGATTAGACCTATCCGGGCCTTCTCAATTCTTGTGGGACCACCGCTGCTCTTGATAACGGACTGGTTCAACACCAAACCATCAATCATCTCACTATCTTCAATTGTTCCGCCAACCTTCTTCACAATACGGATATTCCTAAGATCCACATTTTCGGCAGTCTTGGGGTCGACAACTTTGAGCACCGAGTCAACGGCCATCGGACCAAGAAGGCTAGAGTGCTGCGAGACAATCTTGGAGGAAAGGGAGGTGGATGCGGCCTGGAGCAGGGTGTTGCGGTCCGTAAGGTTGATCGGACGGGAAATGTTGTGGAGGATCTCGACCGCTGCAGCAGCGGCTCTTTGGAAGGACTCAGAGATGACCGTGGGGTGAATACCCTTGGCGAGCAGGCGCTCCGCAGCACCCAACAGGCTTCCTGCAATCACGACCACAGAGGTTGTTCCGTCACCGGCCTCAACATCCTGGGCAGCACTCAGATCGACCAGCATGCGGGCAGCTGGGTGCATAACGCTCATATCCTTCAACATTGTGTTTCCATCGTTGGTCTGCGCGCGGGGTGGTTAGTTAGTGGTATGCGTACTACCGTCGGAGGTGAGGATTCGTACAATGATTGTGTTGCCTTTGGGTGTTTGGATCTAGAATAGAATTAGCAGTTGCGCATAGAAGTATTCAAGAACCGAGACATACCATCTTGTCCATTCCCCTGGGTCCCAATGACTGCATCGCGGATTAGCCCCTCATCTGTGATATCGAACCAGACAAGCATACCGTTCTGATGGCATCGGCCACAGCTATTTTTTCATTAGAATATTATTCCGCATTCAGCTCTGCGTCACCAAACATACCTCTAGCTGCTAGAATGTTGGACGTCCGCACCGCCATAGGCTTCTCCTTGTCCTGCGAATTATCAGAAAACGGCCCACAGTAATTTCCCCTCCGCAAAGCGAACACACCTTGAAGGAGGTGCTGCTAGGAGCAGCTTGGGAGACTGCAGTGGCCATGGTAGATGAGGCTCTGATGCAGAAACCGTATATCGATCCAAAAAAAAAAAAATATTAAGAGAATCAAGAAAAGGGGCGTTGACACAGACAGGAAAGATACCGAAGCTGGATCGATGGCGGGCTCTGGGAAATTCTGCGATTTGGGCGGTGTTGCTTCTGGGGCTTGGCGGCCACTAGCGTCAACAGCTCAAGCTGGGCGAGAGAGAGAGAGAGAACAGCTCTCGACGACATCACCTTTCTTCCCACTTTGCTCTTCATCTCCATCTCATTCATTAATTCCTTGATTCTCTACGACCGTCTAATACTTCTCCGACTGTTGTACTTTTGATTATCCGCTTTCCTCGCCCTGTGTCTAGCCACTATCTCTCGCCATGCCTAGCGCCACGGGAGAGAACTGGGAGAAGTACAAGAAGAACTTCGCTGATGACGAAGAGCCTGAGAAGAAGATCACCCCTCTCACAGATGAGTTAGTTAATCCTTTACTTTTTCTTGCATTTCCGCGATGCGGTCGGGCTATAGATGACGCGGTGGCTGACTTGCTGGCTCTAGGGACATCCAAGTACTCAAGACATATGGCGCGGCTCCCTACGCAAATGCATTAAAGAAGCTAGAGAAACAGATCAAGGACAGGCAAGCGAGCGTGAACGAGAAGATTGGTGTTAAGGTATTTGGCCTTACGACAGCGAGAAGCGAGCGGAATCTGTCGAAACTGACCTGCTTAGGAATCCGATACGGGCCTGGCACCTCCACACCTTTGGGATGTAGCTGCAGATCGACAACGTATGGCAGAGGAGCAACCATTGCAGGTGGCTCGCTGCACAAAGATCATTCAGGATGAGAAGGATGCCGACAAGAGCAAATATGTCATCAATGTCAAGCAAATTGCCAAGTTCGTCGTGAATCTAGGGGAGCGCGTGAGCCCTACGGATATCGAGGAGGGCATGAGAGTTGGGTACGGGCATTCTTTATCTCCTTCTACCGCCCATGCTAACTATGATTCTCAGTGTCGATCGAAACAAGTACCAGATCATGTTGCCACTTCCCCCCAAAATCGACCCCAGCGTGACGATGATGACCGTCGAAGACAAGCCCGATGTGACATACGGAGACGTCGGAGGTTGCAAAGAACAAATTGAGAAGCTACGAGAAGTCGTCGAAATGCCACTACTATCCCCTGAGCGGTTCGTCAACCTGGGTATCGATCCCCCCAAGGGTGCTCTACTGTACGGTCCTCCCGGTACCGGAAAGACCCTCTGTGCCCGAGCTGTGGCCAACCGAACGGATGCCACTTTCATTCGTGTTATTGGTAGTGAACTGGTTCAAAAATACGTCGGTGAAGGTGCCCGAATGGTCCGCGAGCTCTTCGAAATGGCCAGAACCAAGAAGGCATGCATCATCTTCTTCGACGAAATCGATGCCGTCGGTGGAGCTCGTTTCGATGACGGAGCGGGCGGTGATAACGAAGTGCAACGCACCATGCTTGAGCTTATCACGCAGCTGGACGGGTTTGACGCTCGAGGTAACATCAAAGTCATGTTCGCAACCAACCGACCGTCAACTTTGGATCCTGCCCTGATGCGCCCTGGACGAATTGACCGCAAGATCGAGTTCTCGCTGCCCGACGTCGAGGGCCGTGCTAACATCCTCCGAATCCACGCCAAGAGCATGTCTGTGGAGAGAGATATTCGATGGGAGCTGATTTCTCGACTGTGCCCTAATGCTACGGGAGCAGAGCTGCGAAGTGTTGCAACAGAGGCGGGCATGTTCGCCATCCGAGCTCGACGGAAGGTTGCGACAGAGAAGGACTTTTTGGCGGCAGTGGACAAGGTGATCAAGGGTAACTTGAAGTTCAACTCAACAGCAACATACATGCAGTATAATTAGATTTTCTCGTTGCTCTATATCTTCAGGGTGGGGGGGGGGGGGGGGGTTACATTGCGTGCATGGGCTGGGATGTGTATGATCAAATTTAGCTTAGTGAATCAGTCGTCTACGAGGTCCATAAATGCTTACACCACTTTCCTGTCACTCTTAAGAGACCTCCTAATATAGGATAGACATTCCAGCTCGTGATGCCCACGGTTATCCGAATGTCACATGACTGATCTCAGCGGCTCATTTCGGCACAAGCAAGCAGACCGCCAGGCTAGTACCGACGAGAGCATGGGGGGTTGCAACATGGAGGGCATGAATTCCTAGGATAATCCTTAGGGTATACAAAATACCCAAGATCCAGGAATACCTCGACTCCCACCACTGTATACAATCAACTTCGGCCACCCAGCAAGAGCCCCCGGAACTCTTCGCTAAGTAGTCGGGTTAAAAGAAGGACCGGCCACGTGCCTTGCCGGGTTCGGCCAATGAAAAGCTGCCGGCCGCCCGAGGTGATTACCACTACGCAGTCTCTGATTGGCCACTTTGGCCCCGATCCTCTCCGTCGGCAAGTAAGGCTTGATTATGTCAGCCGGACTTCCGCTTCTTCGTTCGAGCAGAAACAGAAACGGCAATCCCGCAAAAGTGCAGCTTTTGGCAAGCACCACCACCTTCTTCCTTCGTCCCTTCTCCCTCTCTCTATCTTGTGTGTTCTGCTTCTTACACTTCCTCCTTACCCCCCCCCCCCCTCTCCCCTCTTTCGGATTTATTGGAGAAGTCTCCCTTTTCTTGTGATCCGCCATTATGAGCTCCGTGAGCTTGCGGAGCCTAGCTCCTGCCTCCAAGGTGCGTTTTATGGCCCTCGGTTGCGACTGGATCTGATGCTGACCTTGTATTTCGTATAGATCTCCCGCGCCTTGAGAGATCAGAGACGTCTCTTTTCCTCCTCCCGTCCTGCAGGTACGCATTGAATGACCCTCGCCGGGGAAAAGACCCTATCCCGCGTGTGCTAACGAACCCCTTCACCAGCCCGCATCTTCGGCAGCAACCCTCTGCGCGCCAAGGCCGCCAATGGCTATATCTCAGAGAAATACCCCGTCATTGTAAGCTAATAATGTCGAATGGGTGCTCAATTGCAGTGGCTGGATTCTGATTGTGCTTGTTGTAGGACCACGAGTATGATGCCGTCGTGGTCGGTGCGGGTGGTGCCGGTCTGCGTGCCGCCTTCGGTCTGGCGGAAGCTGGCTTCAACACTGCCTGTGTCTCCAAGCTTTTCCCTACTCGATCTCACACAGTTGCTGCCCAAGGTGGTATCAATGCCGCTCTTGGAAAGTAAGTTTTGACTTTCTCCCGGCCTTCCGCCATGGCCAATTGCGCTAACCCGTCCGAACAGCATGCACCCTGACGACTGGAGGTGGCACATGTACGACACCGTGAAGGGTTCCGACTGGCTTGGTGACCAGGATGCTATTCACTACATGACCAGGGAAGCCCCCGCTTCCGTTCGTGAGCTGGAGGGTTACGGTTGCCCCTTCTCTCGTACCGAGGATGGTCTTATCTACCAGCGTGCCTTTGGTGGTCAGTCTAGGGAATTCGGCAAGGGCGGCCAGGCCTACCGTTGCTGTGCTGTCGCGGATCGTACCGGTCACGCCCTTCTTCACACTCTCTACGGACAGTCTCTGCGTCACCACACGAACTACTTCATTGAGTACTTTGCTCTGGATCTTCTGATGGAGGATGGCGAGTGCCGTGGTATCATCGCCTACAACCAGGAAGATGGAACTCTTCACCGTTTCAAGGCCCACCACACCGTTCTCGCTACTGGTGGTTACGGTCGTGCCTACTTCAGCTGTACCTCCGCCCACACCTGCACTGGTGACGGTATGGCCATGGTTTCTCGTGCTGGACTTCCTAACCAGGATCTGGAGTTCGTCCAGTTCCACCCTACCGGTATCTACGGTGCTGGATGTCTGATCACTGAGGGTGCTCGTGGTGAGGGTGGTTACCTGCTCAACTCTGAGGGTGAACGTTTCATGGAGCGTTATGCTCCTACCGCCAAGGATCTGGCTTCCCGTGACGTCGTCTCCCGTTCCATGACCATGGAAATCCGTGAGGGCCGTGGTGTCGGCCCTGAGAAGGACCACATCTACCTGCAGCTCAGCCACTTGCCTGCTGAGCTTCTGCACGAGCGTCTGCCCGGTATTTCCGAGACCGCCTCCATTTTCGCTGGTGTCGATGTCACCAAGCAGCCCATCCCTGTCCTGCCCACCGTCCACTACAACATGGGTGGTATCCCCACCAAGTTCACTGGTGAAGTCCTGACTCAGGATGAGAACGGTAACGACAAGGTTGTCCCTGGCCTGTACGCTTGCGGTGAAGCCGCCTGCGTCTCCGTCCACGGTGCCAACCGTCTGGGTGCCAACTCGCTTCTGGATCTGGTCGTCTTCGGTCGTGCCGTTTCCCACCGTGTCCGTGACATCGCCCAGCCCGGCAAACCCCACCGTGAGCTGAGCTCCGATGCTGGTGCTCAATCTATCAAGGACCTTGACACCATCCGCACCGCTGACGGCCCCAAGTCTACCTTCGAGATCCGTAACGCTATGCAGAAGGCCATGCAGACTGACGTTTCTGTCTTCCGTACCCAGGAGTCTTTGGATGAGGGAGTGGAGAAGGTCACTGCCATCGACCAGATGTACGACCAGGTCGGCACCAAGGATCGCACTATGATCTGGAACACTGACCTCGTTGAGACTCTGGAACTCCGCAATCTGCTGACTTGCGCGTAAGTACCATCCTATTCAAAAAAAAAAAAAAAAAAAAAAAAAAAAAAAGAAATCAAGAAAATATCAGCGACTAATGCCCATTCTTATAGTGCCCAAACTGCCGTTGCCGCCGCTAACCGTAAGGAGTCTCGTGGTGCTCACGCCCGCGAGGACTACCCCGAGCGTGACGATAAGAACTGGATGAAGCACACCCTTACATGGCAGAAGTCGCCTCACGGCAAGGTCGACATCGGCTACCGTGCCGTCGAGCACAACACCCTTGATGAGAACGAGTGCAAGAGCGTTCCTCCCTTCAAGCGTGTCTACTAAGCGTGCGCATTTAGAGTGGCCCCCCGGTCCAGACCCATATAAAACGGATCTAGGAATTTTGAGTTGTTGAGGGGCGGTAGAATAGGAGAGTCGTCTGGTTCGGAAGGGAAAAAAAAAGAGCGTCATGAAATTCGACCCTGTTTATTTCCTATGTCTTTATATGTGTATATCCATTGTTTTCTCCAGGCGATGAGTTGGGAGTACTCACGTTCTATTTGTTTTTTTTATAGCCATCTGTTAGCTTATTATACAATTGGAGTTGTCTTTTCACTGCACCTATGTGTCCGGATGTTCATGGTCGTGTTTTCGGTATAATGGAGAGAAGTCCCTCGAAGCCACTCGACGGACCCGACGGGGGTGGGTTTCTTTTTCTGCAAACAAAGAGGTGAATTCCGTTACGCCCTAGGGCAATATCTCCTTCCCAATGCTGATCTGGCGCAGTGCATGTTTTGCTGTTTCATTCTTTGGCAAACTCAGAAACGTCCATGACTCGACTCGCTGTTCGTCAGAGTACGACTTGCCCAGCAAATAGACTTTGGTATGTCCGTACCAAAGGGCCATTTAGAGGCTGCTGTTCGGTCGATCCATGTACCTCGGGGATATGTCCAGAGGAGGGTAGCACCTTGGTGTCTGCAACGACATATGCCGGGACAGGGAGAACGACTGTCACAACCACAGTAAAAACAGCAACGGCAACAATCACAACCAGAACACAAACCACAGGCAGTTTCAGCACATCCACACGAACAAGCACTGTATCAGGAGCTCCGACGTCCTCCGGGAGAGCGCAAATGCACAGTCTACCACCGTCGGTCCCATTGCCAGTCCCACAACAACAAATCCAGCAGCGAATCCAACAGGGCATGTCCAGAACCCCCACTCTGCCCTTTATCGGAGGGGGGATCGTTGGAGGCGTGCTTGCGGCCCTGATCATTGCAGGACTAGTCGTCGTTTACATGATTTCGCGGTCCAAAAAGAAGCAAGAGAAAACGGTTCACCCTGCTTCGCTGGCGAAAAGCCCACGAAAATCCGCCGGTGGAAGGCTTCTTCTTCTTCTTCTTCCCAGGAACCCGGTGGACCAGCAGCAGCAGCAGCAGCCAGTCGACAGTCCAGACATTCCCCACGGCCAGCAGCTGGGGGCACGACACTGTAACCAGTACAGGTCCAGAAGCATTATACTCCTGAGTTCGTCACGGACGACCCAAAACTCCAGCCCCCGGTACGAGAGTCTGTTTTGCCGGCTTATCGGGCTGAATGGAGGAGGTTTTTCCACTACGGTGAGAGGGAAGTGGAAGATGGGAGGGGGCTCTTGGTTAGGTCTTACTGTACTATATATTATTATATATACATGTATATAGATAGATTTCCGTCGCTCTTCTATTACTTGTGTTGATAATAAGGGACTTGGTTGGACTGGTTGATCTTCTTGGAGTTTCTTAGGTATATCTAGGCAAAACATGAATAGACTCGATCTATGTTTATATTTTATATTAACCCATGGATTTGAATAATATTGTAGAACCTCCCTTTTTTTTTTTTTTTTTTTATATCGCCTCCTTAACCCTTTTTGTGTGTTTCGTATAGTCGAAAAGGTTCACCCAAGAACCGATTACAAAAGACCCTTAAGGACCGAGGTCTGTTCAAGGACAGCACGCTTGCTGCAGCCACCAATGGCATCCTTGAGCTCCACTGCGCGCTCGTAGTCCAGGCAGGTGCGGACATCGTCGCCGAACCGGGCGTCAATGCCCTTGAGCTGCGCCAGCGAAAGCTGGTCCATGGGGACGCCGGTGCTCTCGGCCAGGGCCACCACCCGGCCAGAGATATGGTGGCCCTCCCGGAAGGGCACGCCCTTGCGCACCAGATAATCGGCGAATTCCGTCGCCAGCATCTCGGGAGTCAGAGCGGCAACCATCTTCTCGGGGATGACGGTCAGGGTGGACAGGACGCCCGTGGCAATCTGGATGCTATCGCCCACGGTCTTGATATGGTCCAGAAGAGGCTCCACGCTCTCCTGCAGGTCCTTGTTGTAGGTGGTAGGCAGGCCCTTGATGGTGCACATCAGACCGGCCATGTGGCCAAAGGCGCGGCCAGCCTTTCCCCGCAGAAGCTCCAGGCTATCTGTTCATTCAACCCGAACAATGAGCCAAAGTTGCACCAGAGGCGGAAAAAGAAACTTACCTGCGTTCTTCTTCTGAGGCATCAACGAGGAGCCGGTAGAATAAGCATCCGACAAACGAACGTAACCAAACTCCAGGCTGGAGTAGATGATCAGATCCTCGGCCCAGCGAGAAATCTTCAGCATGAACGAGCTGCCCCACTGCATGGTCTCCATGGCAAAGTCACGGTCACCCACCGCATTCATGGAGTTGTAGAGCAGGCCATCGAAGCCCAGCTCCTTGGCCATCGCTTCACGGTCAATGTGGAAGGGGTTTCCCGCAAGAGCCCCAGTGCCCAGAGGGGAGCGGTTGACCCGCTTAGTGACCTCACGGAGGCGCTTGAGTTCATCAGTAAAGGCCGTCGCGTGGGAGAGGAGCCAGTGCGCCCAGCGAACCGGCTGGGCCTTCTGGAGGTGGGTGTAGCCGGGCATGAGATAATCTATCTCACTCTCTGCGCGGGCAATGGAGACCTTGACCAGGTCGGACAGGAAGCCCTCCAGCTTGCGGAGCTCGTCGCGTAACCACAAACGCATGTCGGTTGCAATCTGCTCATTGCGCGAGCGGCCCGTGTGCAGCTTGCCTCCAATCTCCTTGCCAATGATCTCCGACAGGCGGCGCTCGTTCGCTGTGTGAATATCCTCGTCGTTCTCCTGGATGACAAAGGTGTTGGTGCTCCATTCCTCTGCGATCTGCCTGAACCCGCGCTCGATTTCGGAGAACTCGCGTGCGCTGAGAATGCCTGTCTTTGCGTTGGCTCGCGCAAAGGCAATAGATCCCGCGATGTCTTGTCTCCATAGGATCCGGTCGTAGGGAAGGGACTGGTTGTACTGGACCATAAGGGGGTCGAGACCCTCTACAAAGCGAGTGAATGTGGTTAGTCCTGGATGCAGGTAAATCAGAGCGTGGAGGGGGGGGGGGGGCTACGGGGCTACTGACGAGTGAATCGACCTCCCCAGAGCATGTTCTCTGCGACAGCCTTGGGGCCGCTCATTTTGGATATGCAATTGGTTTGAACTGGAGATGAAATGAGGTGCTGTTGTCGTGGGCGAAAGAGTAATTAACCTAGGTAGTCTATGACTCCGCGATCAAACAAAATGAATCATTCGGTGCGGATTGATTTCTACGCTAACCCATTTCTGGATGTCCTTGTCCGTCATCGGCGTGGAATGAGATGAGCTCGAGATTTGGCTTCATTTCTTATTATATTTGGATAGTATAACTCATTATTATTTAGTAATGTGTCCAGTGAGGGGTTAAGTGATGCCAGTTTATATATACACATATATATACACATATATATACGATGATATTATTTATTCTTACATGTCAATCAAGAACCATGCAACCCATATATTAGACCCAGCAGTTCAATGTTGACTTTGTACAATCTCTAATGGTACTCCGTACATCTCCCAAATTCTCCAGCCAAATCCCGAACAAAACTGCGGCTGTCAGAGTAACGTGGCTGTAGCTGAGCCCAGCGACGTGACTATTGTCTTACTGTCTCAGTTTGCTACACTGTAGGGCTCAGCCAAAGCAGCCCTACTGTTCAAACCCCCCGGTCTGGTGCGCGACCTAAAGTGGAAACGATCTCTCTAGTCTTGATCAACTCCCAGGAGTCAGGACTCCCAGCCGAGTAAGATTTCAAATCCAGAGAGATCTGGACCTGCATATCCCGAGGACTTTTTTTTGGGGCTGAAGGCTGAAGCCCAGGAACCGGGAACAGACTGCAGTGATCTGCTGGAGGGGGGAATCTGCTGGAATCCACTTGGGCTGGCTGTCAGAAAGCGAAAGGGGTTAACAAACCAGTCAGATCCATGTAGATCGCAATTAGGGGGTGGAGGGGTGGAACAGAACGGGATTCCCGGTGGGTTGGTTAAGGTAGTTCAAGGTTAGCAGAGCTGGAGATTCAATAGTTGCGCACGAGCCTGATCTACATGAGAAGAGAGTGGCCAGTAGTATATTGTCCCTTGGAACAAAGAAAGATGAAATTGACGAGTCAAGAATCGTATTGATGGACTAGATAGAAGTGAGGCAGAATAATACCTACCCTACTTATGATGAGGATTTTACCCCTGAGAGGGAGTGAGATATCAGCCGCAGCAAAATTCAAAAAAAAAAGAAAAAAGGGGCGAAAGTCGAGCATTATATTCGTAAGAAAGAGAAGAGTATACGGAGTATAGCATGATGAATCTATTAAGTGTCGGAAACCTCTTCCGCATGGAATATTAGTATGGAGTCATGACTCTGGAGACAGCTACATACCGGTTCGCTTCGCTTGGAACTCAACAAGAGTAATCCCGATGAAACACCGAGTGATAACCGTTCCATGTCAGGTACGTCAGTACAGAGTACTAACCGTCTCACGGATTAGTTTTGGAAGCTTAGTTCTGGTCCATCCTGTAAAGGGCTCTGGTAACCGAGATTGTTATTTGAGACATCCGAGTCGGAGGAGCCGAGGTGTGGCGGTGCTCTGCAAGATTCGGTTTTTGAATTCCCTGCTGGCAGACTTTTCATGTTAAAATTTCCCTTGTCTTTTTTATTATTAGTAGTATTATTATTATTATTATTATTTATTTATGATTTAACTGACGGGGAGAACTTTAAGTGACTGAATGGTACTAAGTATATCTAATGCCACTACAATTGAGAATTAGCTAGGACTTGATCTGTAGCAAGTACGCGGTAGAAACACAAAAATCACTATAAAAGAAATCCTGACGAGAAAAAAGAAAATGAAATCAACAAATGGAAATAATAAAAGAATGACAAGAAATATCATAGGTCATAAATCATCACTTCATCAATCTTTCCTCCCTCCCCCCCCCCTTTTTTTTTTTTTTTCCTACCATGGGCTACGAGGCCCCACCATCCAGTCCTCCATTGCAAGCCATTCACTCCACCTGGATTCAGCCATGCGAAGCTCATCTTCTGACGGCCCACGAAGAGGTCTTAGAAATGGGGTTTGCTCATCAGGAAGGATGTCATAGGCTGACTTGGTTGACGCCCAGCCGGAGCTCTTGGCTGTAAACAAGTAATTCAATCTTTCCTGCTTCCAAATGGACCCAACACCAGCTAGCCAATCGCCCCCAAAAAATGCCTCGAGAACGGCGGGCATGTCGTTGCCAGTCACGATCAGACGCTGGATATACGGCCGTAGTGAGAGATGAGAAGAGCCATTGGACGGGCCAGCAAAGTGGTTGACTGGTTCCGGCAATCGTTGATAAGGAAGCCGGATATTGACAAAAGCCGCCAGAGACTGCACGGCGACCGTATGCTGTCCTTCCTCAAGAAAGTGCCGCAGGCAAGCCAAGTACCGCGGATACCAGGCATCTAGGTTGACCTGGAAGAACTCTGCGCGGAGCGATGGCACATCAGGAGTCTCAGGACTTGGCCCCGGAGAGTGGGCAACTGATACAGGTTGCAAATGATCGTGTCTACCCGAACCGCGTTCAGTTTCCAGACACATGGATTCTGTGCAAGGGGATTGTGGTTTAGAGAAGACCGTCATAATAGAATAAGAGAGAAGAGACCTGGGAGAAGAGGAGGGAAGACGAGAAGAAGAAGAAAAAAAAAAAAAAAAAAAAAGAACCTACTTGCGGGGTGACAAGGCAGCGATGTGATAGAAGAGGGGTCGTGCATATCTATACACGGAGAACTTTCCCAACATTCTCTTCCAGAATCCTGCACGTTCAGAGTCATTTTTCTGATTTGACATATATAGATGCGTATATGTCGGAAGGAATTGACGGTGAGGAGGGGGAAAGCTCAGAGCAGGCAAAGCAATATGATATCAAAGTTCGTAGAATTTGATTTCGATCCAAAAAAAAAAAAAATAATGATCCCAAGATATTTTGGATCTCTGAATTCCGATAGAGCATGAGGGAAAGGAGGGAAACGGCCTCATCCTTATATCTGCCTGTCATCTTTCCCTATAGGGAGACACACACGGTGTTTCCGAAGTACATGGTGGTGGACAGCCAAAACGGAAAATGAAAGACCGCCCAAGAACGGGACAATTTCTGGTTTAAGCGCCGTTCTAGTAAGCTATCTGCGGGTTCCACCGCAGAAGACTTGGGCAAACCGAAGATCTGACTCTATCCCGGATTCCCGAGATGTGGCTACTGAGTAATGAGCCACAGAACTAGCGATTCAGAGCGTGGCTGTGCAAAACTGCTTTGTTCCTCGGTACATGTATGGGAGGTAGGGCTGCGTTGCCCTAAATAGTCGCTCCCTTTTCGGAAATGGTCCAGGAGTCCGTCGAGAGAACTATTTGCTTTTAGTCTGGCGCTCTTCCTTCACTAAAGGTGAAAAGAAATGAAAAAAACCGACTTTGGGGGTTTGACCGGGAACTCTTCCTGTTCCTTTCTTCGGGATGGTTACTACCTAAGTCCTCGAGTCTATTGAGAATGTTACTAATCTTCCTGTGCAATTCGAGGGCATCTTCGGATCAGAGTGAGAGAGAGAGAGGTGAGAAACCTCCCGTCTAGCCGAGTGTCGTGAAAAGGGAAGAAGATAATTAATATTAACAACCCCCGATATTAATTTCAACAAGCGAGGCGAGTCGCGCTCTGCTAATGACAAACCATTCAGGGGCATCTCCAATAGTTGAATGGCGTTTCCCCGGCGGAATGTGACAGCTCTCGTCGTCAGTGCTCTTGCGGCACTGTCCAGGTAACCCACCTTCATCCACACATGGCCGGTCTGTCTCAAGTGGGAAAGGTGGTCTAGCCTAGACTAACAGAATCTGCTCATCGTCATCTTACATATGCATCCTGTTCTCAAACTCTCTCAAAACGTGGAGGGGAGAACCTTCAACTCACGCGGTGTGAGAACGCAAGGGTTGAGTTCTGATCAACAGACAAGGAATGGGTCAGACGGTTGACGGTACTGCTGTACACATGTCCAGAGTAGCCTACTATATTTGGAACCGAGGCAATATTGGATCATCATTCATCGACAGAGTGTGGAACTGCATGACCGGTCGTCAGCACCTCCTGGTAAGAGTCCCAGATGCAGCAGCATGTGGCTTTGAAGATGGTGAGCCTCTCCGGGTTGCTACTGGTCATAAACTCCTCCTCTCCATTAGCGGCGATACAGCCCGGAGGTTAATTTAATAGTCCCCTTTAGACCCTGTTTGGCGTCAGTTCACTAGTGTTAGTGGCATGTCTCGCTAAAGATGAACCAACCTGGGAGTCTAGTGAGATCTTGCTCCGATCCTGCTCCAATCAATAAACATCGCAAATATGACGCTAGAATTGCCCATTTTAAAAAAGCAAAAAGAAATAAAATAAAATAAAATAAAATAAAATAAAATAAGCAAAAAAAAAAAAAGCAAAAAAAAAATGAAGTAGATGATGACCCAAGGATCTCCATGCCATGCGCTGAATATCTCCCTCCACCATCCCACGATTCTCTGCCTCGCGATATAAGACCGTCAAGGTTTCTCTCTCACGATGACCATCAGCTGCGTTCAACTCCTTTCAACAAAGTCATAGATACTCGGAACGCGTCCCTACCTTTTCCTCTTCTCACCTTATCACAATCATGACTTACAAGTCCAACTACGAGCCTTATGTGAGTTCACTTTCTTTCCGTGATTACGGGCCAGTGTCTGACGTTTGTCTCTAGACAAGTCAAAGCTTTGACTTGAACAGGCTTCGACCTTCCGAAGAGCTCCTCTATCCTCTGGGAACTCTCTATCCTCACGTTGTCGCTCTCCAGATGCAATCCGACGACAACCCATGGTCCAGAGCCAAGAACTTCTCCGGCTATCATGATACCTCGTACTGGGCCGAAGTCTCTTCTCCACGATCCCTCCCGGAGCATTACCTGAAACCCACACCACGCAGGTACAGCGGTAAGTGACTTGCTCGTTTTCATTCTCCTCTTTAGGAACTACTTGTCTTTCACCCCTCGAATTGCATCTTACCTGTCATGCATACTAACGCTGCTGCAACCTAGACTCTACGGCGTCTAGATTTGTTTCTAGAATCCGACGATTCCTAAGCCGAGATGATATGCGACGACGCCAGCGATTTGAGTGAGAGAGACGATTCAGGAATCTCATTGTCATCGTCATTTTTTTTTTTTTTCTAAATTTTACCTTTTCTCTTGACCCTGGAGATACGGTAGAACTCGGTTCCATAATGGAATGCCTCCCTTTTTTTTTTTTTTTTTTTTTTTTTTTCCCTTCTCTCTCTCTCTCTCTTCTCTTACTCGCCCCTTGCATAACTACGAATAATGTTTGAGCCACCACGCGTGAAATAATACCCTCACCTGTCCATGTTTCATTTGTCATCTTATCTCTCAAGCATGCTCTACCTCGTTCCTTGGCTTTTTCTTTTCTTTTTTTTTTTTTTTTTTCTCACAATTATGTTGGTTTGGATTAGCAAGGAGTTTGTCGGGCATCATCAGAAGCAAGGGCGAAACAATCACGGGCATTTTTCGGTTACATTTGGTACTTTACTTGGTCATTGATTGATACACATAGAATAGTTAGGATATTCGGGATTCCTATTACTCAAGCTTACTAGATTATGAAACTCGCACTTTTATTTTACCTACTACAGCATACTTGGATTCATGTACACACCTATGTAGAGTACACACACACACACACACAACCAACATCATAATCAACTCACTCTGAAAAACACTCTACAAGGAAATTGTGACATAAAACCAATGGAAAAGAATCACGTAACGACCGATAAACTCCCGTCTCCGTCCCGACCCATGACATCTCGAACCTAACCCAATCTAATCTACCCGACGATTTGTACGTACGTACGTATGTATGTAGGTATGTATGTATACCCGATGACATCCAGAACCTACAGGAGACTTGAGTGCAGGAACAAGGCCACATCCTACCTACCTAAGGTTGAATAACCCGTAGCTCGATCGATAGTTCCCCATCGGGCAACCGGCCCGACTGATCTGGATCTACACCCAGAAACAATACCTAACTAGGTACTCCGTAGACAGCCGGCGGGCGCAGGAGAACTAAGAGCCCCAACCAAAACTAAGTCTTACATGCTCTGGAGGGAGCAGGCACACTCCGTAGAACACAGCAGCTAAGAAGTGAGTAGAGTGGTGGGCCAGAGCTAAGACAACTCCAATCTGATACCTCCGACCCTCATCCGGGAGGAGGAGGGAGGAGGGAATCGGAATCGGAATCGGGCTGTCGGAGTGTAGGCAGTTAGTTCTCCCTCCGTGGAATTGGATGGATGCAGTCAATACTCATTACTCCGTAACTAGTTAGTTAGTTACATAGTTATTATCTATTGGTTAGTGGCTTATTCCACTCCAGAGTCCAGTCCGTCCACAAGTAACTAGTTATCGGTAGTACGTACCTAGGCTAGGGTACGATAATGCATTGTACCTAGATATGGCCGCACCCCGCATTCTGTATCATATAGATCGGCTCTGCATACAGGGTTGGTTAGTACAATGCGTGCCATTGGAGGATGGCACTGCATGCTATCTAGGTACCTACTTACTTACCTACGAGTCCTCCAAGGTTACATTTGCCATTTGCCATTAGACTGCTGGACTTGCTTAGACTTACATACTTACAGAGTACGTAGCCTGGTTTTATCAGGAGAGCTAGTGTAAGTCGTGCTTCCTGAGAAGCCAGCCCTCGGCCAAGCCAAGTCAAGCTGATGCAGGTCCAGCATTGCATTCTAGACGCAGGTCAAGTTGGAGATCCGTGCAACTACTAACGAGGTAACTAACTAACTAACTATACAGTGACGGTCACAGTAAGCAGACCGGAATCCGGCAACGGTTCCCTCACGTTCAGGGAGGAATTTAATCTCCTCTATATGTGTCTTGCCTTTTTTTTTTTTTTTTTTTTTGAAGAATCATGTGCTGAGTTTGGCAGGTTCCATTCCTCTCGACTCCAAGGACCGAAGCGAAGTATGTAGGGCCAAAATGATGACAGGAAAGGTATTTAGTCCTAGTAAAATATAAAAAATAAAAAAATAAAAAAAAAATAAAAACAGTCGGTGAGCATTCTGGTACCTGGCTTTGTCATATATCACATTTAATGGGATATTGGATTTGTCACGGGAGAGTCTTCAGAAAGGGGGCTGGAAGTGAGAGATCATATCAGATGTGGGAATTGTGGTTCGTGTCGTGTACGTGCGTGGGTGTATGTGCAGTTCGAGGCATTTTTGTCCTACTCTCTAGATTCTACACTGCATATGATGGCTCGCTCCATCCTTGAACGTGAACGGATGGGATCTACTCCGTACCTCCAACTCAATCAAGTAATCAATCAGTCACTCAGCCAAAGCATGCTTTTGAGCAAGTTTGTTTCTCCGTAGCAAGTACAAAATCAACTAAAAATAATCAAGTCATATTATTCTCCTTAAGAGTATCCCGGATTCCAAATAAGCCCCTGCGCCTGTGTGACTGGACAATCTTTGTGAGCAAGCAGCAATGTTTTCAAATTGACAATTTCTTCGCGCAATTGAGTGACAGTCGTGGTAAGTGCATCATTTTCGGACGTGAACAGTTCGACCTTGGCTTGGAGATTGGCAAGCCACTGTTTCTTTCGTTGTCGACATTTAAGTGCCGCAACACTAGGTCGGTCAGTGAGGTTTTCATCACAGAGAGAGATGGGATAGCAAACGTACCGGTTTCTTTCCAGGAAGTTCTTCCTCTTTTCTTCGTCAGTCATTTTCTTCGTATCATTTTGGGGTTTCTGGCTTTGTGCGTCATCTTCCGAGTCATCGTCATAAGAGAGTTCCGTACTGGCGGAGCCAGTGTGAAGTTTTGTCTTTTTATTTGATCCCTGGGCAGGCTCTTCTGCTTTGCGCCTGTTGCCCGCCGCTGTTGTGGCCTTTGTAGATGCATTCTTCTTGCCTCTGCCCTTGCCCGCTGGTTTCATTTGTTCCTTCATATCTGAGACATCGTCACTGCCTTCCCTTCTGGTATTTACCACGCCATTTACGTTGCCTGAATGGCGTCTATCGTTGGTCTCAACGGTCTGGGGTGGGATTGCAGCCTGAGCGGCTACTGTGAATTGGTTGGGAGCTGGTTGTCCGCCCTTGGCTAGCATGAAAAGTCCGTTGGCGGCGTCTGCGGCGTCATGGTGGCCAAAGGGATCGACAGCAGCCGGTTGGTTTCCTTTGATTTCCATAGCTGCTGTTACGGTGTGAGCCTGGTCGGGTTCGGGAACTGGGTTAGATGTAGGTGCAACGCCGTTTTTCTTGGCAGCGTTCAGCGCAGTGCGGTGGAATTCAATAGTCGACGGTGTCGCGCCCCCGCTTTGCAATTGCTGGAGAAGAGCTTGTGAGTTAGGGCTAGGGGCAGGGAACATAGAACCCCCACCGCCCGGCGTCAGTCCAGTGCGCAGCGACGACTCGTTGGGGGTCGGGAAGCCTCTGCCAATACTATCAAAGTAATCACTGCCTCCAGCAGGGCCTGCAAGCATTGCAGGACTCAGGGGTCCTGAGCGCAAGGAGTTGGACCAGTTATAGCCGCCTCCACCAGAGTTTGCGCCGGGCAGTGCAGGTGATGTGAGGGCTGCGACAGGAGGAAGGATCGATTTTCCCGGTGTTTCACCCGAGGAACCACCACCAAACGACTGTTCAAAGGGATTTGGCTCCAGGGCGAAAGGGTTGTGGACAGAGTTGAAATAATCCGGGGTATCGGTGGCGCTGGTTGCGGCTGGTCGTGGGGGACGCGCCAGGACGGATTGGGGGTCAACTTCTGGTTTCTTCTGGTCTTTGGATTCTGTTGAAGTTTGTGAGTCTGAAAGCCACATCAAAATAATATTTCAGTAAGCGAAAGAGGTCGTGGGGGAAAACATCAAGTCGCGACAGCGCGTTCCGTACGAGAGAGCGTGTGTGTATAGTTGCAAAGAGATAAGACCCTTCGACGTCATATATGAAAGAGGTAAAAGACAATAAATATGAGGGATGACGAAAATAGTGAGGTCATCCCGACACGTTTGAAAGGAAAAAGAAGATCTGGGGAAAGTATGGCACGCAATCAAGGGTCAAGCAAAAACAAAAAGACATTCTGTGTTCCACGGACTCGACACGAGAAAAGAAGGGACGACTAGACTAACCTTCGATTTTGATACTGGTCTTTTTAGCATCCATGGGGGAAGAATTACGCGTAACAGTATTAGTTGGTAAGACTGCCGGAGCGACAAGCGCAGACATCGTCACTCCCAAGCAAGCAGTATATATTAGTCGACCCAAGAAGCTGCAGATAGCCTAGGGTTGAACAAAAAAGAAGAGAGAAAGGTGATTGGGGTGAGTGGCAAGAGGCAAAAGAGGTGTGTGTGCGCAAAAGGAAGAGCACCCCCAGAAAAAAAAAAAAAAAAAAAAAAAAAAAAGGAAGAAGAAGAAGGGAACAGAAATAAGCAATACACACAGAGAAAGAAACAAAAGAACAGATATCTCTCCGAGGTTCAGTCACGACAAGTTCCCAATAGACAGTTCGTGAGGTTCTGCACAACAAGGGCAAGTCAAGACCGTAAAGCAAAAATCACCAGAGAACCCAAGTGACGTAGTATGGTGTTAACACAACTGAATTTTAAGGGGGAAGTAGAGGATGATGTTCATGCATTATTGTTTTGTACAGAGGTGATAGTTTGTGGTGTACCCCAGGAATAGAGATCACTGGGTATGATGATGATTATGATAGTTGCTGGTGCTTCTGACAGACAACAACAACGATGATGATGATTATGATGGAAGAAAGTGTTAGAGTAGAGAGAAAGAAGAAAGAGAGTTGTGACGTAGTCTGGGTTGAACAGGGAGGATTTTAGGGGGAAAAAAAAGGATGAGGGGAGGCGGTCGATGGCCAAGTAGTGGTGAGGTAAGCATCTTCGCGAAAACTTGAGACTCATGCAACCCTGGATGCGGACTCATACAAAAACCCACGGATGGCCTGTAGTATTTTGATCATTTTCTCTGTCTCTTTACTAACCTGTCTGGTTATATCCAAACTTCCTCCCAACCTCTTTTTTTCTTTTTCTTCTTTTTTTTTTTTCAATTTTCCCGCTCCCTTTGCACCATTCTTTATCACCTGTCAACCAATAATACTCGAAAAATGACCAAAATCAACCACAGTGATTATCAACCCACGACGGATTTAATATTATGCAGCAAATCCTCCGTGTTTTTATGAGCAGAAAACTTTGGAGATGGTGGATTCCGGCAATACTTTTTGAACCAATGTAAATGACGCAATTCCGGGGACCCAGATTGCCTGGATAAGAGCAGCTCAAAACCGGCTCAGCATGTTACTTTCCAGGTTGGATCAGTCAAGAATGAGGTGCTTGTACTACCTAAGAGCTCGGAACATGATTATTAAATACAAACAGCCAACACTTCTCGAGTTTGTTAGGAGACCTGGAGATCTGGCCAGATTCTAATGAAGGGAAAAAAAAAAAAACCAGGATGAGGTCACGGTGACGACGCAGGAATTTTCATTGTGTGTTCAGACCAACTGGATTGGCCACTCTCGAGGGTTGGTTGTGACCCACCCGATTTCCCCAGCCAATCACGGATCTACTTATGAGTCCCCGCTTTCAAGGCCCACCTATCCTTGACCGCGTTGGAATCTGTCGTTGAAGCCTCTCAGAGTCCAGAGACTCCAGACAAATCACAAGAAGAGCGCACTGGCTTTGGTGTCGGGCGGTGAATGCTGTCAGGGCCAGTGGGAACGCGTTAGTCCATTAGGCGCGTCTCTGGTTTGCTCAGGGGCCACCTACGGGTGGGATCGAACCACTCCTTTCCCCGTTAATTGGCCCCAGTACGGGTTGTCGTGATGACGCAATATCCAAAGGAAGGTCTGTTCCGTGCACATGCATCACGTGAGGAGTCACTTGCTGTTCTCGTTGGAGGGCCAGAACAGCTTCCAAGGATTTGACCCGACTCTGTGTTGCCACGGGGTTTCTTTGGTTGCGCGAAGAAGAAAAGTAACGATCACATCAGATCCAGTGTTCGCACTGTTGCCGTAGTAGCTTTGATCAATATGCTGGTATCCGATCAGATATTGGGTGCTTGGGACTAGGACAGAAGTACTAGTTTAGCTCTGCGAAATATACCGAGGATGCTAACAATTAGTTGGTCTCGTGTCTTCTACAGAGCAGGGATCAGCAAATGTTCCCTGTTTTCACCTCCTCTTTCTAATGCTGATTCTCTCCACATTTATGGATGATCTCGGAGTTACTGGTCGTCGATAAAGTACGGGGTATACCTAGAGGATCAGTGAGGCATTGTGAATTAACACTCCAGGCATCTTCTGGTTGAAGTTCAACCAACTTATCTGCAGTTCATAAAACTGCAAACTATGGTGCAACATATAGAAAGTACATTATTGAGGCGTCTATAATTCCAGGTTCCTCCACTTAGATCGACAACCCTTTCCCGAGATCTTTGTACTCTCCTGAGGTTAATGTTGATGGGGAAGATAGAACAGATTTATTTAGATATACTTGGCGACGATCAAGCTCGTACCTGCAGATGAGAACGAGTCCGAGAATGTAATGGGATCTGTACGCTACCTAAGTCTAGCCTATGCATGCTGTACGTACAGAAGGAACGACTGGAAGCAAAACAGGCACCTAGGTAGGAGAGGGGGCACAGTGATCTCAGAATCCATAACAGAGAATGAGACAAGCTTGATTATATATATATATATATATATACCGGCCACATAGCCCGTATTAAAGCTTGAATGTTCAATCGGCGTTAGATATCCCAAACATTCCAAGACACCCTCTACAGCAGAAAAAGAAAGAGATAAAGCAGTACCTTATAACCTTAACGCTCCACGTACGTCATATGCCTTTAAACCAACTAGTGATAACTGGCCCAAAGCAATAAGATCTACACATCCGAGTTTATCATCACGAACCTCGATAAGTCGAGTAATTCCAAGGCCCTAGCAACACAGGGACATGATAATGCCTCCATCCCTCTTCACCTTCCTGGCCACGTCCCTTCACTGTGAACTTGACCTCCACCTCGGGCCAGAAGCTTTCGATTCCCTGCGCCTCGTACCAGGGCCCGACCTCAAAACGGACTGCCCAGTTTGTCTTGCTGTCGGCCGCCGGGAGGCTACGGAGAATCGAGGGCACAGTTGCAGATGTCGAGGCTGTTGGGGTCCAGCTTACGACTCGGCCGTCTGCATTGGTCGTTGCCGTAAATGTGATGGGTCCTTGGGCGGTCGAGGGGCCGGACAGGAGTGTCAATGTTACAGGTAGGTTTGCGGCGGGGGTGCCCGTGAGGGTGTTCAGCACATGGCAGGTGATTGGATCGCGGGACATCGCTGCGGGAGTTTGTAAGATAGACTCGGTTGTGCTGGTGCAAGGTCGTGGTTGTGACAAGGCGGGAGACAAGGGGAGAAGGTGATTTTGGTAGAGACTGAGACGATCTGCGGCTTTACCCAACTGCTGGTTCGACGGGGTATAACTCCTGGATCCAAGGTCCATGGAGGGGGAGTCGGGGGGGGAAATAAAGAGAAGATGACGAGTAGTAGTAGAAAAATAAGAAAATTGAAGAAATGAAGAATTTACCTTGCGTTCCTGGTGATCTCCCAAGCCTTTTCTATCTCCGCCGCCCTTGCCATCGGAGAGCACCGACACTTACGGAGTATACCTACCGTGGGGCATTCAAGAGATTTTTCGGGGGCTGATAGCAAACGAATCGGGATTCCTATACTTTCAGGAATTCTACTATGGTTAGTATACTATATGCACCTATATACAGATCTCACCACCGTGCTGTTGTAATTTAAAAATGAGCCGCGCGGAGGAATTTGTTGCGGGAAATGGTAGGTAGGAAGGGAAGAGAGAAACTGGTAATAGATATATTTGCAGTAATTTTTTCTCTCGCTGTATTACAAAAGGCAGAAATCGGTTGCTAATTAATGGCATGTTCAATGAGAGTAGTTATTAGGTTATCGAAAGTTGTCTATCCAAAATTGTGCAGAGTTCCAACGACAAATGAAAGACTGGAACAGACAAAAGAATACTCTCTTCCTCAGCATATAACAGACAGACAGAACCATGTTCACTTCTTTGTCCACGGAATGTCCATAATGTTAAATTGGTAGTTGGACACAGTTTATGGTGGATTAATCAAGAACTGCAACCTTATTAAGAACCTGGAACTTCTGCACTGCACTTTTCACAAGGAAAGGGTTCCCCATGAGGTAACGTTGTTGAAGCCGCATTTTGGACACTTCATTTTCGAAATTGAAGATGGCTTGGCTTGTTCCTAATTGGACAGTTGATGCCGCAAGTGAGGCGGTGAAGATACTACTAAGTCAGCCCTCGCGGCAATTCTCTCAAACCCCTTCAATCCTTCCTTATGACTGCCGAATCATCCAAAGGTTGTATTGCATGCGGATGGTCGGTTGACCAGCAAGATCAATGCTTCTATTCAAGTCATGTCAAATTATTTTATGGGGCAAGCAGACGGGGTGTTTGGTCGATTGGGTCCGAAGTGATTATGAAAGAACGTTCTGACGAGGGTCCAAAGAACGAAGTGAAAACACTCCAATACCTTGAAAGCTACCCTGATATCCCAGTCCCAAAGGTTCTGCGTGATTGGGTCGATAGCAATGGGCGATATTTCGTACTCCAAGAACGGATTCAAGGACAAACACTCGAGCAGGCTTGGCCCTCATTGTCAGAAACCCAGAAACTCGCTATCGCAGACCAAGTGATTGGGGTTCGCAATCAGCTGCGACAAATCACGTCGAATTCCATACAGAGTGTCGATCAAAGCCCTTGCTTCCCTAGCTTGCTTTTCTCTGACAGAGACTCTCATGGACCTTTCCATTCCGACCTTGAACTCTGGGAAGCCATAAGCCTAACCCTTCACAATCCACCTGAAAGAGCATTTCCTCTTCAAGCCTTGGAAAGCAGCCTATGTCCTCACTCATTGCGATCTCAACTTGGGCAATATTATAGTTAAAGACGGAGCTTTGGCCGGAATACTCGATTGGGAGTTTGCTGCATTTTATCCTGTGTGGTACGAGTATGTCTCGGCCTCTTGGGGATGGACTGAGGAAGATGCTGAGTGGAAGAAGCTACTCCAAGAGCGTTTCCATGTCCATGGTGATGCTCATGATGACGCAAAGAATTTCTGGAGGATTTTGCGTCAAATGCGAAAGTACCCAAATTTAGATGCAAAAGGCCAAGAGGTCTTGGAGGGCGCCCCCAACACTGAGGAGTCCTGGAAAGATTTGGCGTCACATTGGACCAGAACGCTTTCCTATATGGTATCTCGCTAATGCTTCGGTCTTCCATGCCCTGGAGCCTCTTAATTTCCCGGTTCCTGCCCAGTTTCCTTTTTGAAATACGAAGCAGGTCAGTGATCAGATCATGGTGCTCAGGGCAGGGCAGGGCAGGCTCAGTGAGTGATCAGGTTTGATTACATAATGATCACTGATCAGCTCAGGCCGGTCAGGGGCAATTCAATTCTACTCAGGGAGCAAAAGCGGCGAGGGGGTGAGCACTAAAACGGAAAGAGAAAGCCAAGAGTTGCCAGACATTTTCCGGTATATATGTGATCATCCAGACACTTTACGTTCGGACTTTGGAGGTTGAGTTTAGCTAAGCTCGTCGTAGAAAAGCAAGCAATTTATTGGCGGGGCAGCGATCCTGTTGTAGCCTCAGGCAGAAAGAACGCCGTTTGCACGTGCCACTTTGGCAACGGCTTAGACGCTCTGCTGCCCTGTTTCCACACACGGGCGGGTTACTGAGTTGACTTGGCTGCTGATAGCGCATAATTGTAGCTAATTTTCTCGCCTTCGATCGTCAAAATTCCTTGAATTTGAAGCTAGAGTAAGAAAGCACCAATTCCAGTTGTGGCTGTCTTGCAAAAGTCCTAGCCATTCTTCCAGCTTCCCGAAGCTTCGGTGTGGCATCCAGAACTTTTGACCTGTTGCGGGGGAAGAAGTACCTCGTACGTGATAAGTTTACCCCCTCATTGGCCTCTTTCAAGCAAACACCCCGAGTCCTAAAGGTCGTTCTGTCTGACTAAATCTCTGTGCACACTGTTAGATTTAAGTGATATCTATCGTCGTCGTTTTCGATATGTCTTCAACCGCTGTTGTGCAGGCCGATGATCTGATGGAGCCTACGCTCCAGTCGATTGTTAGCCAGGATACCCTCCGCTGGATCTTTGTCGGAGGTAAAGGAGGTGTTGGAAAGACTACTACTTCGTGCTCCCTCGCAATTCAGCTTGCAAAAGTCCGCAGATCCGTTCTACTCATTTCCACCGACCCCGCACACAACCTGAGCGATGCCTTTGGTCAGAAGTTCGGAAAGGAAGCCCGCCTGATTGATGGATATTCCAACCTCAGCGCAATGGAGATCGATCCCAACGGCAGTATTCAGGATCTCCTGGCCAGTGGTGAGGGACAGGGTGATGATATGTCTGGGCTTGGTGTTGGAGGCATGATGCAGGATCTTGCCTTTAGTGTACGTACCCTCACAAGAGACGGATATGACGCTCTCCAAGGTATTATCGTCCATTCCACTAATGATCTCAGATCCCCGGTGTCGACGAGGCCATGTCATTTGCCGAAGTCTTGAAGCAGGTCAAGTCCCTGTCCTACGAGGTTATTGTCTTCGACACTGCTCCCACTGGTCATACCCTTCGCTTTCTTCAGTTCCCCACGGTGCTCGAGAAAGCGCTTGCGAAGCTTTCACAGCTATCATCTCAATTTGGGCCAATGTTGAACTCGATTCTTGGAGCTCGCGGTGGGCTGCCTGGTGGCCAGAATATTGACGAGCTTCTGCAGAAGATGGAATCCCTGAGAGAGACAATCAGTGAAGTCAATACTCAGTTCAAGAACCCCGACATGACAACATTCGTCTGCGTCTGTATCGCCGAGTTCTTATCCCTGTATGAGACGGAGCGTATGATCCAGGAGTTGACCAGCTACCAGATTGACACACACGCCATTGTGGTCAATCAACTCCTATTCCCCAAGGAAGGCAGTAACTGTGAACAGTGTAACGCGCGGAGGAAAATGCAGAAGAAGTACCTGGAGCAAATCGAAGAACTATATGAAGACTTCAATGTTGTCAGAATGCCGCTACTGGTTGAAGAAGTCCGAGGAAAAGAGAAACTTGAAAAGTAAGTTTGAGAGTCCGATACGTTGCTGCGGCCTTGGCTGATGACTATGACTGCAGATTCAGCGATATGCTTGTACATCCTTATGTCCCTCCTCAGTGAAGGGTATGATTATACTTCACAGGTTTAGTATGAGACTTTTCAGAATTGCGTCGAATATCACTATTTTGGATGAGTTATGAGAAAGAGATAGACAATAATACACGAAGCAGTTTGATGCTTCATATGATGATCTCGAGTCTTGCACCTGGCAAGCCAATGCCTCGACTATCAGAAAACCGTATATTTCGGCACTATCCTGCCATCCGCCCCTCCTATCCATTTCTTTTTCCCTTCCCTTTCCGCCCCTTCTCTTACAATCCGCTCTTCGCCTCTTTCTTTTCTTTTCTTCCCCCCCCGATATTGTTGCTTGTTCACTGGCTGCTACCTTATTCGCCACCTCGCCTCACTCTGGCCCCCTCAAGGCTATGGCTATTCGTATCTATAACTATCACACGATCGACTTTCTCGGAGATCTTCAGCTTAGTCTCTCGTCAAGGTAGGGAAGACCCCTTAAGGCCGTGAAGCTGATAGGCTGGAACTGTCTTCAGTCCCTCAAGGTATGTATGATATTTTACACATACGGTCATCCCCTCCTTAGACATAGCTGCAGTCTGCGAAATGGCCTGCTCTTCCTGGTAACCTCAAGGGCCTTGCGTTGTCTGGTCCGGAAAGGTTCTCTATGGCATTCTTGCTACGTCGGTAAGATCATATTCTCTGATCCTTGAGAAACTGGACTTACATGCATCACCAAGCATACAAGCGACAGATAATGATGAATTCTAACTAGTAATGGCAGAGTGGATCCTCGTGCTCCAGCCATATTTTCAGTGACCTTTTCCGGAGGAGGGTTAAACTGCCAATGTCTTAAGCTGTCAGTTAGTTAATGTCTGTCTTCCTAGTCAGCTTGAGCTCGGGCATGACAGTAAATGGGATGGATCTCTCTAACCCGCAAACAAAGTGAGCTGCTTTTGGGGATTCGATACCTCACTGCAATGAATATGCCGGTCTACCGCGGCAGAACTGGCTGGACGGGTCTAGACTCACCCTATTTCGAGACATCAACCCCCGGTCAGTGTTAAGTTTACGCTCTGGATACGATAGCAGACACAATTGCATTCGTACGGAGTACTCCACAGATAATTCGCACAATCATGGTGGATATGGAACAATGAGCGTTGCAGGCGTCTTAAGGTCTTCCCTTTAGCACCCCTTCAAGGTCGATTCAGCCACCTGTTCTTTCTTTCTGTCTTTCCTTCTTTTTTAGCTGTTGCAATTGGATATCAGATTAGCTACTGTAAGTCCATGTGCCCACAGAGACTAACAGCTTGTAGGGAAGCAACAATTAAGGTGACTGTTGTCACGAGGAAACCTCACCATTACTAATTATACTATTAAATTAGTTAACTAAGTGTTTCGTTTTCACTTGGCCAGCTAGACAGAAGCTGCACGCCCCAGCACGAGCCAGTACAGTGGATCGCGGGAAAGTATAGTCGTGACCATAGTGAATCCTGTTAAGAATAGTTATTACTCCGGGTCTCTTGAGACGCTGCGTCAAAAACAAAAGCCAAGCATTCTGCCCGAAATGGACTCTTGCATATTCTGTCCAGATTGGGGTTCGGAATATCTGTCTCTGACTCTCTCCAACACTTGTCACGGCTGCATCAACCATGATACCTTTAGGCTGAGCATTCCAGATTCACTGGAGAAAAAGGAACCATTTCAGAAAAAGAAAATTGTCTTCCTTCCAGGCTTTGAAGAGACATGATTGGCTCTCTCTTGAAGTCCAAGACCGCCTGAACTTAACGTGGTTTCTTTTTCTTTTTTCTTCTTTTTTTCAGATCTTTTGCGCACGAAAGTTTTATACTATGGCCCCCAGTTTCATGCAGGTGTCATTTCGCTCCTGTTGGAGGGGTGCTAGCACTCGGAAGCTGGAAACGAAAGAAATTCCTCTGCCCGTAAGAAACCTCTTTAACTCCCTAGACTCGAGTGGACGAGTGAGGGTCGCCAACATAAATGAGGAGAAACTGCCGGATGGACCCTTGGAATCTCCATTCCTGGAGCCACGGCATCATACATAAACTGGCAGACCACTTCAGGTGCAGGAGACAGGTTCACCGCAGAATTGGTTAAGAAGGTAAAGGAACAAGAAGAAGAAACACTTGCGGGCGCAGCAATCTGCCAAAGACATTGGCAGTTTCATAATATTGCCTGGATTTGTGGGAAGGAACTAGCTTCTCTGGTGGTTCAAGCCTCACTTTTTTTTATTATTATTACCGGCGCAAAGGGGGTTGGATGAAAAAGAGTGAGGCGGTTTCGCCGGGGTCCGACATGAACAGCAGACCTAAAGCGCTCTCCCAGCAAATTTTCCTACTGCCTGTCATAGGTAGGATCCATTATGCGTTTCTCTAGTTGCCTAGGTGCGATCTTGCCCGGAACCTTTTCATTGTCTCCAATGTTTTACAGGCTGGGCTGATCAGACCGCGAGTCCTTCTGTTCCTGGGCGTCTCCGACCTTTAAAGGGTATCTCCACGTAGAAGCGCTGACCGTTTTAATTCCTCGTTCCTTTGCCTAATATCTCCTTGCATGGAAATGAATATGTGGAATATTTATACCTCTATAAAAGTCTTGCGTAAGTGTTTGCTTACCTGAGTCTTCATAACTATCGTTGCTGCCGCCGTCCGTCATCATCCCGGATGATGTACTTTTTTTGATTCCTCCAAAGGACTTTTCTCAGCCATATATACAATACATACTTACACATATTCCTACCAGAGTATAAACAAACAATGTCTCAAGTTCAACAGTACTGGTTACCGGGATATGGACTTTCTCGACATATTGTTCTAGGACAAATCCAATACTTCCTCGGACCCTCTGCTACAGTCCGGCCATATACTTACCAGGTAAACCTCAGACCCAAAGAGAGAATCTTATAAATATATATATACCTTGGGGGATGAGCTATCCTAACTTGGATTCTTTATGGGTCAAAAGGGGCGCGAAGGTTATTTGATTGTCGGCATGCCTTTAACAAGGGTCTCTGTCCATATTTCCTCATCCTTCTCGACTTTCTTCCTTTTTAGGGCATCGTCGCTAACATCCTCGCCAACAGAAACAAATAGACGACCTCACGATCATGTCGCGAGAATATGAAAGACAAGAGTCGCTCCGAATGGCAGGTGGCACTGTCAATAGCTCCAGCAATCCCCAGTCAGAACCCTACATCAATGAGATTATACCGGTTCGGCTTTCATCAGGGTCTCGTCGTCGTCCAGGCGATTATCGAGGACGATAATCTACAATGCTATATATATATCTTCCCATCGCTACCTACTCCACCTCTATATTAAAGACCATGCCTAATACCCGATCTCTTTTGTTTGTATAGCGTCATCCATCATGAGTTCTTTGATATCCTACATCACACTACACTGCACTACACTACACTACCCTCTATCTTGGCTCTAGAACCTCAGCACTACGATTCCTCTCTTTTCCTACCTAGCCTACCTTTCAGCCGAAAATACAGAGCTCTCTCTACAAGAAGAAATCTCCTCACACTGATTCGCACTCTCGGTTCTCGTTCCCATTCTCGATCAGATCAGTGCTTGCTTGCTTGCTTGTTTCGAACTGCAAAGATATCCTTAGATTTCTTTTCCGTTTCTCTCTCTCTCTCTCTCTCTCTCTTATACTGGATTATCCATTGCTGTTCTCGTTTCTCTTGCCTCTTATCTTCTGCTTTAAATCCTTCCAAGTGAGCTATAGATGATTCGGAAGTCGGGCATTGTGTGTATTACTACTACTACTACTACTACTACTACTACCTAGTACCTATTAGAAGAACAAATCGATAAAACGTACCTGAATAATAGAATGGGAGGTAACGTAGAAGTAATAAATCAACAGCTGGACTGAATTATTAGTTAGCTGAATATACCTCTGGTGAGAGATTCGGATACGATATTTATCCATTCCATTCCCTTTTGGGACTTCGAAAACATGTAACAGGGATAGAATTATCTACTGGAAAAGAAAGAAGAAGAAAAGATAATAATAGCCCTAGAATCGGTAGATTTTTTTTTCAATCATCTCTATAGATCATTCGTAACAACATCGATCAGGTCAATCAATACATGAAGACGATTTTTGGGTCGTGAACAGAGAAGCATCTCCTATCCGAAAATAAAAAGGAAAAAAAAAAAAAGATAAGCATGGAAGAAAGAAAGATATGAGTTGCTCTCTCCAATTTTTCCCTTTTCTTCTTCCTCTCTCTCTCTCTCTCTCCTCCATTCCTCTCTATCTAGTCCTTCTTGGTGCCTCTCAGCGCCCGGAAAGGATCGGAATATCATGCTTGTTATGTTAAAAGCAGGAGAGCCATTCTGGAGAAAACGGGATAGTATAGTAGTAATAATAAGGAAATAAGGGATAAAAAAACGAAATCGAAAGCGGACCACCTGAACGCCGGCCTGATGCCACTCTGCTAGGTTTCCATCGTTTAAGAAGCCCATACACTCTGCAGGGGGAATACTACCAACATGAACAGAACCAACAATTGAATGGGAAAAGACGAATTTTGTTTTCAAAGCGAAACGGGCGCAAAGGAGGCTGTTTATTTCGCAACGGCCGCACTATAAAAATCTCAGGTTAGTTGAGAGAAAAAAGTGGGGGAAAAAAAAAAAAAAACACCAGGAAGGCGAACCTGAGAACTTGTGTCCGGAAGAATGCACCCTTCGTCTTCTCGATGACTTGCTGGTATACGGACTGAGGGGGGTGGTTCATGATGACTGTGCCCTCCTTGTAATCAATCTTGGCGTCCACTCGGGTATCACGGATCAGGTTCACAATCCACTTCTCACCCTCGTCCTGGTTGAGTCCGAGACGGGTCGATAGGTCCCTAGTCATAGTTAGTACTGCTTTATACGCATATAATGTTGCTCTGGAATTCCCCCATCAGAAAAGGTACATACTTGATATCAATGCGCTGGTGAATCTTGCAGTAGCTCTCAGAGATCAGGTGCCGGGCAGCTTCGACAAAAGCATCGGCGGCGGAGACAAGGAAGAAGTCGCTGCGCAGCACATCCTCAGCCTCACCAAGCTTCTTCTGGGCTTCCTCGAAGTCGAAGTCGACGTACAGAGCCTTGACGAAGTCGGTGATGGGGTCGGAGTACTCGTATCCCTCCTGGCGGACAACGCGAATCAGATCCTTCAGCTGCTTCTGGTACAGGCTGCTGTTCTTGTGTGCACGGTTACGGTTGGTGATAACAGCGGCGGCAAGGTATCGCAGAACCCAAGGGCAGCTGGTCTGGATGGTGTTGATGTAGGCGGGGGAGAAAAAGAGATCGGTGAGGACATCGCGGGCGGGGTCGTGGTTGAAGAAAGGGAAGAGCGACCAGTGAATCAACCAGGAACGGTTCTGGAGCTGACCCAGAGGGTTGTTGAATAGACGGGTTTCAATCGAATCCTTGACTTTCTGGACCTCCTCCATGGCAGCCTCCCAGTTGGTGGTGAGGATCTCCGAAGCCAGTTTACCCCATGTGGCGGAGGCAACCTTGTCGTTGTCGGTGGAAAGAACACGGAACTGATAGAGGAGCTCAGCAGCGTTTCCATAGCTACCACAGCTGTACTGGAATCGACCATAATCGTAAAGGCTGTTGAGCATCTCAACGGTGACTCCGTGCTCTTCCTCCAAGAACCTCAAGTTGGCAACCTTGTCGCTCCGCAGGTTGGCCACCACACTCTCATCTTGCAGCAATTCGGTAATCTTGGCGCTCTCCTCCTGGTAAAATTGCAACTTGGCGAGGACCTCCTCCCTTTTCTTCACAAATTCACTGGGGATCGAATCGGAGTTGTTGATTTCCTTCCACAGGTTGGCCACATAGTCGGTCATGTTGGTGTGCTTGAGAAGCTCGTATTTCGCACGGACAACCACGGTTTCATCATCCTGGCCGGAGCTGAATTCGAGCAGGGGGAAAACCAAGTGACGGTCGAGATAAGGGATCAACTTGGGCAACAAGTCATACTGGTTGGCGATCTCTTCAGCGGTCTTGGGTGGGTGGGCGGCGGCACCGCTGAGGAGAGTCTCAGCGGAAGGAGGAACGTTAGCTGCCATGATGAACAGCAGAGAGAGAGAGTAGGGGGGGGAGGAAGAGGAGGGGGAGGATGAAGAGTCGACGAGTGAAAGGAGAGGGATAGAGGAGGAGAGGGGTTGAAGATGATGGCGGACAACAAGAGGTAACGATCTCTTTCCGTAGTGTGCGGCCATCTTTTCATCTTTTGCGCTGGCGAAAATGTGGGCGGGAGGGCTGGTTGGGGCGCTAAACCCCACTGGGACTAGTGGCAGGTCTCCGCGCAGAAAGCAAAAAGTCGTGCTTTTGTCGACCTCCGAATGGCTTAATATCGTATCATTTGTCAACTTGTCCCAACACCTTTCCTCATCCTACGCCGTTGATCTCGGTGGTCGGGGTCTCTTAATTCTTCGGAGGGCGCGTCCAACATCTCACCCAAGCTATACCTTGGTTTATTTCCTTGCTCCGATGGCGTCTCTCGTGCAGTCTCTACCAGCCTCCGCTGTTCGCAAGCAGTCGACGACGGCACTCTCAGGCTATCTGCGACGCGCTTCACAACCCATTGCTTCTTCAGGATTACATAGCTCAGTCTCTTCATGCTGTTTGCAGTCTAGATCCCTCAGCACCCGTAAGTTCTAGCTCTTCCGTCTGCCACCGGTACTCGTCCGGTACTGTATAGACATAAAGCAAAATCTGGACAGAAAACAGGAACAAAAAAGAAAAAGAAAAAAAAACCGAAAAATCCCTACATTCTCAGTGCTAACTTTCATACCAGGAACATCATCTCAATTATCCCAGCGCTTCCCTTCGCATGTAGCCTTTTCTACACAGCAACGTCGAACCTTTGTGGTGCAACTGCAACGCCAATCCCAGACCGTTAAGGAAAATACCTCTTCGACTACTCGTCCTCCACCATCTGCCTCTAGCCTGCAACTCACAAACCTCCCCTACTTCATCCGTCGAACAGCCTCCAACCAACTTCCTGTATATCTCGTTACCAAGGCTGGTGGAACCAAGCAGCAAACCAAGATTCAGAAAACGGAAGGTGACCTGGATGCTTTGAGGAACGACCTTGCACAGTACCTTGGCCTTGAATCTAGTGATTCTCATGCACCCAAGTCTCCTGATGTCACTATCAACCGACTTACGGGGCATATCATAGTCAAGGTATGCTCCCCCAAAAATGTATTACTTGTCCTGAAACTAATCAATATCAAACAGGGCTGGCGAAAACCCGAAATCCAAAAGTTTCTTTTAGAGCGCAATTTTTAACCGTGACTCTACCATCATCTGTGCACCCCTGGTCCATCCTCTCCTCGACTGCGTTATCCACTTCTTGAACTTTGATATCCGTGTATATCTACCGAACGAAAAAAAAAGCCCTACCAGGTGATTTGCAATAAACGTGAAAAAAGAACTAAAAAGAAGACAACCTTAAAAAAATATGTGCAAGCGACAGGCTAAGATAATAAAGCAGAATACAAGGCAAGCCGCAGGTGAATGAACGGGGCGAGAGGGAAGAAGGATACAAAACTCCTCAACCATCATCCGCAGCAAAGCCATGCTCTTTTGATTCAACTTTATCCTCCCCCCTATTTTTTGTTTCTCTCTCTCTCTCTCCATCTCATCTCCAATCATCGTAACTTTTTTCCCTCTTGTGTATTTTCTACTATCTCCGGGAGTTATGTTGCATCTCTTTGTTATCCTTTCTTTTCTTCTCGTCTTATTGTTCTCTCTCCCCTTGTCTCTTTTATTATCGCTAAATTTCTCTCCTGACTTCTGTATTTCTGGCGTGGGGTTGTCTTTCTGTCGCCTTTTTTCTTCTTCTCTCGCTTTGTTGCTTTTTCCACCGCTACTGGGTAGTTCTACTTGGCTCTGTCGTATGGGTTAGGCACTCTCTCTGTAATAGTACATGTCCAATGATCTCATGGCTCTTTGTCTTTGAATCGATTATCATGGTAAGGAGTGTTTATAGGCTCCATAGTTTTTAGTCTCGACGAATGGCCTGATTGGTGTCCGCATCTCCGATACATTGACGGCATCTAAGCATGGTCTGATGGCTTAGATGTCGTCATTGGCCCTTCGGATAAGTACTAAGTACTAGGTAGTGATACTTCTCCCAGTCGTACCATGAACCTTTCGATAGGCTCTGAAGCCCACCAAGAGGGACTGCAAGAATGATCACTACATTTGATAGCAGAAGAATGGAAAGGATGCCCAAATGCAACTATGATATGATTGTACCCATTGAGACATCATAAGCTCTTTTCGCCTGAGGGTATTGAGCATTGTACAGCGATAAACACACAAGGATACACAATGTCACGCCTCACAATAATCTTTCCACCGGCGCCAGACAAGGGAAATGACGAAAGTAGGAAAAGAAAATGAAAAAAAAAAAGGTTGGATAATAGTTTACTCAAAAAGTGAATAGAAGACATGACAGAAAGGAAACGTCACCCAAGGCACATCCGGAGCTAATTCGTGCCGTCTTCGCTGGAAAATAATCAAAAAATAGAATAGGACCGTAACCTGTTCATCCCCCCCCCCCCTTTTTTTTTATTCCGCAAGCCGTGCATACGTGATCAATTGTCGAACAACGCCCGGATCGACGTTTGGCATCAGCAGTGCACCTAACAAGCTTTCTTTTCTGGGAAGAATCCCTGAGGGAAACCTCAAGGTAGAGTTTGTATCAGCATACTTTGATTTCTCGGCTAAACGCCGAAGAATTGCCAACCCCCGATTAATGATAGAGGAATAAGCAGCAGCTTCGGCTTCGGCCTGAGCTCGAGCGGCATGGGATTGCCGCGCATTCGTGTTGGGTGGAGGAACTCGTTCTGTACTGAGGAGACAAGAGAGGCGAAGGAGGTGTATGGCAAACCCATCAGCAGACTCAAGCCAGGCTTTGGCAGTTGATCCGTCGGCGAACCCTGAGATAATATCTGCCGCCAAGAGGCCTTGCATAAGGAAGACTTTGCGAATATCGGCGATCGCCAGCGGTTTCCTAGGTTGGTCAGGAACAGGACAGATCGCAAGAGCAAAAGCTCGAGTAAGCAATTCTGGTTGAGGGGTTCCATCGGGACAGAAAATCGAGCGGAAATACGATCTGTTTGGCTCATCTCGGGCAAGAAGTTTGGCCAAACTATCAACGGCAGCGGGTGTATATTTATGTACCGAAGGGTTATAAGAGGTGAACATGAGTCCGTCTGATGCAATTGCTGGTCCTGGGAATGGAGCAAACGACAGGAGAAAGTGTAGGAGGCTCTCTGTCTCCTCCTTACTTGGTAGATGGATAGCATGACCCACGTTACTCAGATATGTGACAGTGTCCTTCATAAAATCCAAGGTGTTCTGATGAGTTCGTAAGAGCATGTTCCTAGTCCCGAGATAACGAATAATGGTCGAAATAAACTGCACAACAGGCGGTGTTGATAAGATGTCAAAATTGGACTCGATGAAAGAAAAGTTCCGTAGGATGGTGGTGATACAGATAAGTCTATCAACAGCACGATCCAGTTCATACTCAAGGCTTCCAAACTCGGCAACGGAGGTTAGGGAAGTCCATTCGGACTGGCAGCCGCGTGTGATCTCTTCATAAGACGGTAATAGCATCATATCGGAGACCTCTGGGGAATGTTCTGCGAGCAACTCGGCCTGATCTTCCGCACATTCCATCAGACTATCAACCAGGTCCTCACAGTTGTCAAGTGAAATCTGGATTGCCGGCTCAGAAGAAATAGCAACTAGTGTATCCAGTGCCATGCGCATCTCTGCGTGGATACCTGATTTGATACTCATCGTTAGGGCGTGGATGTCAATAACTCCAAGCTCTCCAAACGTAGGCACGTTAGGCTTCAGTCTCAAGATATCTTCCCCAATTTGATACATTTCATCCAGAGCGATCGGTCCATGAAGGTTGTTGTTTTCCGCTAGCACCATAGGTTTGAAGGTCTCTTCAATCGGATGCTTAAGGGGTTGGTTAGACGACTGGTCATTAATATCAGAAGGCTTTCCCGTTGTTGAGCTAAGGCCTTTCTCGGACTGAACGGGCGACTGTGTCGATAATTGGCCATTTAGATCGTGGGGAGTTGCTGGTGGCAGAGATTGGCGAGAGATACTGAGGCGATGTTGCGATTGTTGTTTACTTTGTGCCTTGACTTGCGTCGGTGTGGCGAACCCGTTTGAAGCATTTTGTTGCGCATTGTTCGGAGTTAATGCAGTATTAGGAGACACTTGTCCTAATTGCTGAGGGTTCTCGAACACTTGGCCCTGCTTGGCTGCAGGTGATTGGAACTGGAGGCCTGATGGATCAGAAGGCTGCCGTGGTATGGATGGCTGCTGCTGGACTTGCTCGGCAAACTGCTTTTGTTGTGTGCTCAGGAAAACTTGCTCATAAGCAGCTAGATTTCGCTGGTAGTGATCTCGAATCTCCTGCACGGCCATAGGAAACTGCATTGGAGGATACTGGAGCTGCTGGGCTATTACTGGCCACATGTTCGCAGCAGTTATCTTCTTGGAGCCTCCTAGCTTCATGACTGTGGCGTAAAGCTGAACAAGGTTGATGGGTCGACCGCAGACAATCGGGTTAGGGTCAAGAGGTAAGCTTCTAGACATCATGAATTTCTGCAGTGACCGCATGAAACCCTCCGGGTTGGGGGGTTTTGACATGGTCTGCTGCATCTGCCTAATGGCGGCCATTTGTTGAGGATTAGCCATAGCATTCATTCCCGCTGCCATAGGCCGTCCCGCCATAGCCGGATTCATATTCATCGGGCGATTTTGGCCTTGCATTTGCATGGCATGTATTCGCTGTTGTTGTTGTTGTTGTTGAGCGGCCATTGCTTGCTGGTATTGTTGTGGTATACCAGTAAACTGCGCTTGCATGGGTGCCTGAACACTGGCGGTCGTCATTGCAGGAGGGGAGAATTGTGGCCCCATCCCCTGAGGGAAAGGCTGACCAGGCATGAAGGAGTTATTCTGTGGCGTGTTCACCCTACTTGGATGATCCGATTGCGATGGGGACATATGGGAGCCGACATGGGGGCCAGCCGACGAAAACGGGCTGGGGGAGGCAGTTCCCATCCTCTGTACAGCATTTTGGTCAAAATCCTGCATGATGGGAGACTGCGAGACATTTGGGGATGCGCCCTGTTGGAGGTGCTGATACTGCGCCGGATGATGAGGAAACTGTGGCGCTCCATTGACAGGTCCCTGATAGCCGGGGAAAGGCACTTGGTGGGGAGTTTGCGATCGCGAGGCAGCCAACCCACCGGGGGCTTGTCGAGGCGACATGGACATCCCATCCTCCGGCCGTGGTCGCTTGGATGGGATTACCTGGTTAGGATTGGTGAATCCAGGGGACGCATTTCGCGGTACACCGTTGAACATGCGCTGGAATTGATTCGGATCCGGGGGAGTGGGAGAGGTATGGAGGAAAGCTGCGGAGGGATCAATGGTCGCCTGGTGAAAAGCGCCATTATCATGGTTTGGGAGGTTCGAGGCGTCAGCTAGCCAGGCATTCATGTCGTGCGGTTTTACCAACCCATCTGCAAGACAAAAAGAGCTGTCAGAAAAGATGACACACATGCAACCTTTCCATCCATGAATATGCGACTGATAACAGCAAGGGTAACCAAGTCATCATCATTTTTCCATCCCAGCCATTGACTGAGATAAGATCCACGAATCGCAGACTGGGGAAGAGATCTTGACGCGTCCGGTTGGCGAGGAGCTTGCGGGTTGGTCGCGACTTGGTCTGCGACACGACCAAGGCGAAGCAACCAGCACACCCGAAACAAAACCATCCCAGCGTGTCAAACCTTGATGGGGAAACACAATAAAAGGCAGAAACCCCATTTAATTCGCACCAGACTGAAACAAACATATCAAAAAGGGATCAAAAAGGATGTACATACCGACAAGGCTGGACAACTAAAATGCCGACTCACAAGCGGAGGGTGGAAGCCGGGCCCGAAAACAGCAGTGGTTGGAAGCCTGGGAAGAGAGTGCGAAGAAGGTATGGAGGTCACGGGACCATCGGAGGTGGTACCGCAGAGGCAGAAAAAAAGAGGACCAAAGGACGGCTCTGGAGGGTGCGTGAAAAGAAACTATCAGCAAATGACAGCGGACTGGGGCTGCTGCCAAACAGGCATAACAATAACAGTAATGTAATATATAATTAAAAATAAAAAAACGTTGAAAATGAATCAGTACAAGGAGGAGTGGTAGTGGTGGTAGTAGTAGTATCAGGATCGGAGAAGAGAGGTTCGCAACGTGCGTGGTAGTACCAGGCCGGGTAGAAAGACCCAGTAGAAGAGTGAGTGAGTGGCCAGTACCAGGCACTAAGTGCGTGGCCACAGGTGTGCCAGGTGTGTAACAAATTCAATAATGACCGGAAGATAGGCAGCGGGGGTGTGGGAAGGGGGAATAAGAAATGAAAGGCGTACCTTGATCAAAGAGCACCACCATACACCGTAGTACGGAATATCCAGGGACTGGAACCGCGTATTTTATTTTAATATATTATTTTAATATTTCCTTAAAAAAAGGGTTTTCTCCTGCTGGACTTGGACTTGGGCAGGGGGGTCCTGAGGGAAGGGGATCGCTTGGGAAAGCCAGCCAGGTAAAGTGGAGGCACCACTGGGGGAAGTGGAAAGTGAGGAATGGGGACGGGGAAAAGACGCCTCGAGAAATCAAGAGGAGAAAATGAAAGGAACGATGGGGACTGGTGTATAACTCTCGTGGGTAAGTTATTTTACCAAATCTGAGCAGTAATATTATTAGGGGGGCCAGCAGTAGCAGCAGCAGAACACAGGAGAAGCAAGTCAGTTCGCTCGCTCCCTTTAGCAGACGGCGGTAAAAAGGCAAAAGCTAAAAAAAGGGGAAACCCAGATTGCCCAGCCTGGATTTATATTTGTTCCGCTCCGGAATGGATCCTGGTGGCCACCGTTTCGCTTCCGGCCGTGATTCACTTGTTGAGATCACATTATTCGATTCGGAAGTCGACTTCATATTAAGTAACTCGGGGGATATCACTTGGGACTAAAACCTCCTTCTTTGGATTCTTGAAAGCCGCGATATGGAGAGAGCCTCAAGTGATTTCATGTTGGTTGTTCTCGTTAGTAAGCAGCTCGGTTAGTTAACTAGTTAACTAACTAATATGCAAGGCTTGTACGGAGTACATCGTCAGTCTCCAGAAGTTTCAAATAACGAATCCTGAATGGGATCCATTGATTTAGAACTGGTGGCGATATGGTCAGTTAGTAAACGTGGTAAATGCTCCAGGTGAACCATGTAAGATATCTATGGCGGTAGAGTAGCTACCCCGGCCACCTGTACCTGTAGGTATATATATATCTGGTTGTTAGTAGAAGAAGCGTGGGGGAGGGGTAGAAAGCAAAAGGGGAAAGGAAACTGTAATGATCGAAGGCAGAGGAAGGAAGAATGATGACAACGGAAACACTCTAATGATCAAATCTAACAAGGAGAGAGAGGGGGGGGGGAAAGTGGGAATAGAAGAGGCTGGTTATGGTGACAGAATGAAAGGGTGCCTACTTCACTTATAACTGCTCACGTCCCAACCAACTCGCCTAATGGAAATGATCCGCCCAATCTTGAGTGCACTGACAGGTATGGATGGGCATCTACCAACTGAAACGCTGTTTGATAACCCCCCCATTGCACCCCAGCCCAAATATAGGCAAAATTCCATTCCCCGAGGTCTTATGGTTTTTAGGAGCCTTCGATGGCTTGTTGATTGTCCCACCTGCCACGTCCATATGATGCTCCACCACTGTTTATGGTAGGAAGTGGTTAGGTTACCTCTGAAGACATGGATCAGTTCAGAAGGGATGGATTACGGCCACAAAAGCATGGAGTCTGCAGCCATCCTGAAATGGAATTCATGGACAACTGAATTATCCTTCTGATTGCTGTGCCCAGGACGAAATCTTGGTTACTTAAACCTGGATTAGGTGCAGCATGGGAAACCAGATGGATGACAAGATGTAGGATCTTATTCCGGTTACACACAATGGGATTTGATTACGACTGATCTGCCTCCAAGGATTATTGAGTAGTCTGAGCAATACGGAGTAGGTACTTTGTTGGAACGATCTGGAAGACCAGATCGGTAGTTGGTTCCCTACCATTTGTACGGTAACTACCTGTAATCTCGGGCTGGTCTGTTATCATCAGGGGCAGGGGTCTTGATTAGGTCTCTTGAAATTTTACGTCTTTCTTCTACTATCCCGTAAACTCTAGATTTGAGGACTGTTCAATGACAGTACAGAGTATGTGTTATTACGAGCATGCATAAATATAACTCGTGCAGAAAGGTTGTGTAAATTGGGCTGGTTCTGACAGTTTCTTCGCCACGACGGTTTATGCGGCGCCGAGCTCCAAGTCACGTGCCAGGCTGGACGTGAGCTACGTGAGCCTGGTCCGCCCATCATGATGGATGCGCAAGCTACAGAGTTTCTCTAACTACACAGCTACGACTATTTCCATCCCTTCACCGTTCTTGAACCATCAAAATCATCTATAGAGCTTTGTTTTCTGTTAATTCCTCGCACACAGGCATTCGCAATGGGAGACGTCGCGGTGGAGAACGCGGCGAATAGCGTCACTTCTTACACGAAGCCAGCTCCCTTGGACACAATCCCCAACATAGACTCCCTTGAGGGCACAGGGACCGATGGCGGTGATGAATATGCTACTTTGAAGAAACTACAGAGACACTTGGAGTACGTTGTTCTATCTACACCAGTCTTCACTCTGGCTGACATGGCAACCACAGGTACATCCAACTCCAGGAGGAATACATTAAGGATGAGCAAAGGTAGCTCGCTACCCTCTCTATCAAACGATCTCGTATACACCTATTAACGCAATAACAACAACTAGGAGCCTAAAGAGGGAGCTTGTTCGTGCGCAGGAGGAAATTAAACGGATACAGAGCGTGCCCTTGGTTATCGGCCAGTTTATGGAAGCGATCGATCAAAAGTACTTTACCCCCGGACCAAGCTACGAACGTCTGCTAACTTGTTTTAAAATAGCACTGGTATTGTCCAGTCTTCCACCGGATCGAATTACGTCGTTCGAATTCTCTCCACCCTTGACCGCGAAAAGCTGAAGCCATCCTCCTCGGTTGCCCTGCACCGCCATTCCAATGCTCTTGTCGACATCCTCCCCCCGGAGGCAGACTCTTCTATTGCTATGCTTGGGGAAAGTGAAAAACCAGATGTTACATACGCGGATGTTGGTGGACTAGATATGCAAAAGCAAGAAATCAGAGAGGCTGTTGAACTGCCTTTGACCCACTTCGATCTTTACAGACAAATCGGTGAGTGGCTCTCTCTAGTAACTCATTTTATTGCCGGGCACATTTGACAAATCATCTGTCCTGCCCTAGGTATCGATCCTCCACGCGGTGTTCTCCTATACGGTCCTCCTGGAACCGGAAAGACCATGTTGGTGAAAGCAGTTGCGAACAGTACTACCGCTAGCTTTATCCGAGTGAACGGCTCAGAATTTGTTCAGAAGTACTTGGGAGAAGGTCCTCGCATGGTTCGCGATGTGTTCAGGATGGCCCGGGAGAACTCGCCTGCAATCATTTTCATTGATGAAATTGATGCTATCGCCACGAAGCGTTTCGATGCACAGACCGGCGCTGACCGTGAAGTCCAGCGTATCCTGCTTGAACTTCTCAACCAGATGGACGGTTTCGAACAGTCTAGCAACGTGAAAGTCATTATGGCCACTAACCGAGCAGATACCCTGGATCCCGCTCTGTTGCGTCCTGGTCGTCTGGACCGAAAGATCGAATTCCCATCTCTTCGTGATAGGCGAGAACGCCGTTTGATCTTTACTACGATCGCTTCTAAGATGTCGTTGTCCCCCGAAGTTGACCTGGACTCGCTGATTGTGCGCAATGAGCCCTTGTCGGGCGCCGTTATTGCTGCTATCATGCAGGAAGCTGGTCTCCGTGCAGTCCGAAAGAACCGATACAACATCATCCAATCTGATCTCGAGGACGCTTATGCTGCTCAAGTTAAAACCGGACAGGAAGCAGACAGGTACGTTCCTTCTTTTTTTTTTTTTTCCCGGTCTACTTGACTGGCGAGACTGACCAAGTTTATAGACTTGAATTCTACCGGTAAACTAGGAATGATTTTATTGTTCATGAGATGGGAGATGGGACTGCGGATAGCGAACAGGTAGCAATAAGTTGTATCACGAAGATCTTGGCTAGCATATAGGTACTAGTGCAATAGTTGATATTCGAGGGTACCGCTACCGTGCTCAGAATCTGTATTATGTCTTCGTAATACAAGCCCCCATGCCATCGCATGTTCTGGTTTAGATAGGCTCCATGAGTAGAGAAAAAGAACCTCTACTAACGATCCATTGAATCCCGATGTAAGGGTGCTAATGCGTCTGATAGCTAACATTTACTCTTTGCCCGAAGTCCGCCGAGGTATATATCTCCAATTTGGAATCTTGATCTGAGACGGTGGAACTCACTGGGTTTGTTTAACCTGGATGATCTTTTGTTTCTTAAATCATCTCCCCCTCACTCACCCCCAAGACCAGTCTTCGTTTCTGTCAACAATCCTACTGAATGGACACTTTACGTAGTAGATCACCTAACTTGCGCAGAGGGCAGGTAGTCGATCAATTGATTCATCATGAACAACATCTGCGTGTGGAGAAAACTATAAGTTTATTAGATATTACCTACCTGGACTTGGGAAATAAAACCTCTAACTATACTCTCTTTGAAAATAAAATAAAATTAAGAGTTCACATTAGAAAGATCGCCAGTCCGTTTCGGGTCGTGTGCTGCTTGTGTTAATGTTGGATGAGAAATAGATGTCGATGATTCTGATCCGTCATCTAAGAGCATAGGGATATTTAAGGACTTGTCTCATGGTTGATTACTCTTGAAATATGTACCATTTGCATGCTTGGTACTACTAGAGCACAGAGCTGGCATCCGAGGATGAGGTAGGACTAAGGGGTACGGAGAGGACTGGATAAGAGACCTAGGAGCTCATAGTGAGGCAATACTGGATGTCAATCTGTCAATCACAGCCTTCTTCAAGGTACTCTGACAGTAACTAACTACCTAGATAACTAACTAGTTCCTTATCTTGAGTCACACTAAGATAATTATCGCGTTCTTATCAGGCTCCAGCTTTCTTGCGTGACTGGAGTCTTGCTGTCTTCTGAGATGGTATCTTCTAACACCTACTCTACAGGATTAGGATTATTCAGGGTTATTGAAGTAAAGTAGCTAACTTAAAGAATAAGAATACCTACCTAGATAACTACCTAGGTAAAGAATTCACCTCCCTAAGTCTGATGACGCAACTAGAGTCTCGCTGGGTAGTGATTGGCTGGCCCATAGTCGCTCCGCAACCAGCCCAGAGTCACCCGCATCATTTCACTTCCGTCTGTTCCTCTTTCTCATTCCCCTTGTCCAACCTCTCTTCCTATCTCCATCTCCATCTCGGTCTTTCTCCCTCTCCCATCATCATCTCCTTCCATATTCATAGAGATCATTATTTAGATTATTTCTCTCGCTCTTTTACCTTCCTCTGCCGTTCTCCATCATGAAGTCGGCTGCCTCCTTGCTCGCAGCATCCGCGCTGCTGGGCTGCGCCTCTGCAGAGGTACACCAGCTCAAGCTCAACAAAGTCCCTCTGACTGAACAGTTTGTGAGTCGATATGATGTCCTTGCTCTTCAAACGGATCCTAGTGGAACACTGGGGGGTTGTGAGGTGCTCCTCGTTTATAACCGTTATTGACCAGGTGCTATAGTTCTCCCGTAGCATTGCCGACCACGCCAACGCTCTGGGCCAGAAGTACCTGGGCCACCTCCACCAGCAGGTGTTTGACGAGTCTCCAGTTAACGACCTGGGCCGTCATGATGTTCTCGTGGACAATTTTATGAATGCACAATGTATGGCTCCTTTCCCCCACACCATCGATGCATGTTGCTCACACCGCCACTGCTAGACTTCTCTGAGATTGAACTCGGAACCCCCCCTCAGAAGTTCAAGGTTGTCCTTGACACGGGAAGTTCCAACCTTTGGGTTCCATCCTCTGAGTGTGGCTCCATTGCCTGCTACCTCCACAACAAGTTCGACTCCTCATCCTCTTCCACCTTCAAGAAGAACGGTAGTGAGTTCGCCATTCAGTACGGATCCGGCAGCTTGAGCGGATTCGTTTCTCAGGATACCCTCAAGATTGGTGACCTGAAGGTCAAGGGACAGGACTTTGCAGAGGCAACCAGCGAGCCCGGCCTGGCCTTCGCTTTTGGCCGCTTCGATGGAATTCTCGGCCTGGGCTTCGATACCATCTCCGTCAACAAGATTGTCCCCCCCTTTTACCAGATGATTAACCAGGGTCTCCTCGATGAGCCTGTCTTTGCTTTCTACCTGGGAGATGCTAACCAGGAGGGCGACTCGTCTGTGGCTACCTTCGGCGGTATTGATAAGGATCACTACACTGGCGAGCTCATCAAGATTCCTCTTCGCCGCAAGGCCTACTGGGAGGTTGATCTTGACGCCATTACCCTTGGCGATGACGTTGCTGAACTTGAAAACACCGGTGTTATCCTTGACACTGGTACTTCTCTGATTGCTCTGCCATCCAACCTTGCTGAGATGATGTAAGTTTCCCGCTGGTCTTATTCAGAAAACACAGTTACTGACAAGCCCGAAGCAATGCTCAGATCGGTGCTAAGAAGGGCTTCTCTGGCCAATACTCTATCGACTGCGCTAAGCGTGACTCCCTTCCTGATATTACTTTCACCCTGGCTGGCCACAACTTCACCATTAGTGCTTTTGACTACACTTTGGAGGTCCAGGGATCTTGTATTAGTGCCTTCATGGGCATGGACTTCCCCGAGCCTGTTGGCCCTCTGGCTATTCTCGGAGATGCCTTCCTGCGCAAGTGGTACAGCGTGTATGACCTCGGCAACAGCGCTATTGGTCTTGCTAAGGCCAAGTAAACGAACGGCCGACAATTTCACCCTTCTGCCCACACGTTGCTTGTGTGATAGCGTGACAGCAATCGTGCTCCGTATATAGTCTATTAACAAGAAACCCATTGTCGTTTTTGCTTGTTATTTGTTATGTTGGGTTTCCCACTTAAGGGAAGATGGTATTGCCACATACTAGGTATCTGTTGATTGTGATGGACCTCCGGCTCTATTGTCTCAGATTCCGCATGACCTCTAGACTGAACCGGGGGTGTTGCGCTTCGTAATGTCTGTGATGCATTGTTACTGTATTTTCTTTCTCACCTGGTTGGTTGTTTTGCTACCTATTGTAGCCCCTAGACCTATTCTATTGTCTGAAATGAGTATCTTACTCATCATTAAATCCATCTTCTTCATGTCGTGAAACGCGTATCTATAAGCATATCAACATGCCGAACGATGGTGTGTTGAGGAGTCCAACTTCCGACCGCCAACCAAAACATGCGCTGGTCTGGTTGCTGCCTTGGCAAACCGGCAGCCAGCCAACCTACTTTCGCGGCTCGCGGCGGCGGGTAACCTCTCTTTCATCATCCCATCACCACCACCGCTTTCTCCATTTGCCTTTGCTTTCGCTCTCGCTCGACCCATTTATCGCCCGAGTCTTTATCTACGATCTCCTCCACTCCACATCATTGTCTCTGACCGGTCTGTGAACCGCGACGGGATTTTGTCCTGGCTACCTAAGCTTCTTTGCCGTGCTTTGGTCCGTCGCGTGCGCTCGTGCCAACCGACTGACTGCGGCTCTTTTGTCTATGTGCACCAGCTTCTCCGCACGGCCTCAATTAATCTAAACACCTTTTATCGTCAGTTCATCCCCGGGAGAGAACGAGAGTACCTCTTATCCAGGAAATTCCGAGACAAGACGGGGGCGACGGTTTCGAGCTATCTCATCTCGGTTCTCGGATCCGCAGTGGTGGTGGTTTGGGTATGGCTTCAGAATAGCCCTCGGGATACGAAGAAACTCTTGAGTGGCGGATCGTCTGCCCGTTGACAGCTTTCCCCGCATTTTTCCTCGGTTTGTTTGATCTAGCCGGGATATCGAAGCAAGGACAAGGAAGTATCGAAGCGGGGAGGAGGAAGAAGAAGAAGAAGAAGAAGAAGTAAAAAGTTCAGGAAATTCTCATAACTGATTCAAATCCGCGCTGCGGGAAGGGAGCATGCTGCTTCGTTTGCCGCCTAGTCTTCATTACCCGATCACCGTAACGTCGTTGCTGAAACGGCCCGGCGATGCGGTGGAGAGGGACGAGGCTTTGTTCTGGTATGTCTACCAGACTACCGTCACCGAGGGTGATGGGCTGGGCAACAGGGTCGATGTGAAGCGCAAGTTTCCAACAAAATTTGAGTCGACTGTGGATGGAACGATTGTGCGGTGGATGGTTGCAAAGGGGGACATTATTGACGAGCCGTAAGTTTGGGTACTTGGGCTGGTTACCCAGCGGATTTCTTGCTGACTCTGTATTAGTGTCGATATCGTTGAGATTGATGAGCCATGTGCGCATGAGGTTCAGTATGGAGGGCTTTGTGCGGAGTGCGGCAAGGATATGACCGAGTAAGTGCCTCGGAAGTGGTTTTCTTTTTCTCTCCAACGGGGCCAACTAACACTGTCACTATTCTAGATCAACGTATAATACGGAGATGACGGATTCCATGCGCGCGCCTATCCAGATGGTTCATGATAATACTGCACTTACTGTTAGCGAGAAGGAGGCCACACGTGTTGAGGAAGATGCGAAGCGGAGGCTGCTGGCGAACCGGAAGCTCTCTCTTGTCGTGGATCTTGACCAGACCATTATTCACGCTACCGTTGACCCAACAGTTGGCGAGTGGATGGAGGATAAGGACAACCCGAATCATGAGGCATTAAGTGATGTTCGCGCCTTTCAATTGGTAGATGATGGTCCGGGAATGCGCGGCTGTTGGTACTACGTAAAACTACGACCGGGGCTCGAGTCGTTCCTAAGAAATGTCTCCGAGCTCTTTGAGTTGCATATCTATACCATGGGTACCAGAGCCTATGCCCAGCACATTGCCAGTATAATAGATCCCGACCGAAAGCTGTTTGGTGATCGTATCCTGAGCCGTGACGAGAGCGGGAGTTTGACAGCAAAGAATCTCCATCGTTTATTCCCAGTGGATACAAAAATGGTTGTCATCATCGACGACCGAGGGGACGTGTGGCGCTGGAGCCCCAATCTCATCAAAGTATCTCCTTACGACTTCTTCGTGGGAATCGGCGACATCAACTCTAGCTTTTTACCCAAGAAGCAGGAGTTGGGCGCTCCAAGCAAAGCTGGCGACAAGGGGCCAACCTCGGCTCCTAAAGGGTCTACGCTTACGGAGCATCATGTCAACGGGACCACTGAGAAGGCTGATGTGGGAGAGGTCTCGACATTGGAGCAGCTCGTGACCATGGGTGGAGGAGACAACCCTAGATTACTGCAGGAACAGAGTGATGCACAAGAAGAAACAATCATGCATCAGGTCGAGGACCGCCCCCTCCTGCAAAAGCAGAAAGAGTTGGATGCGGAAGACGAGCTGGCCGAGACTAGCGACTCCTCGACTATGGATGAGTCGCAAGATTCAACCAGACACCGACATCATTTGCTGGAAGATAATGACCAGGAACTGTTCCAGCTGGAAGATCGGTTGGAGCAAGTACATCGACAATTTTTTGAAGAGTATGATAAGAAACGATCGCGGGCGCTCGGAGGACGAGTTGCTGTTCTCCGAGGCGAAAAGACGCCGTCGAAGGAAAAAGACGTAGATCTGAAGCTGGTTCCCGACGTGAAGGACATTATGCCGAATATCAAGCGACAAATCCTTGGCGGAGTCGTGATGGTGTTTTCTGGAGTCTTGCCTCTGGGAACAGACACGCAGAATGCGGACATTTCTCTGTGGGCTAAAAGCTTTGGCGTTGTTATTGCCTCGAAGATTGATATGAAAACCACGCATCTGGTGGCCGGCCGTAACCGCACCGCCAAAGTACGGGAAGCCACCCGATACCGCAACATCAAGATTGTTACGACACAATGGCTTTTGGATTGCCTCATGCACTGGAGGCGCCTGGATGAAGAGCCTTATTTGCTCCCGGTCCACCCGGACGACCGCGGCCAACCGATCTCGCCCAGCTCAAAAGAAATGGCAGAGAGCTCATGGCTTTCGTCCTCCGATGAAGCAACTGGCGATTCTTGGACAGACAACGAGGAAGCATCGGAGGCAACGGAAGACATCCTCAAATCGTCCGGACTAACGGAAATATCCCCAATCGGCTACGACGAAACCCAGCAAGCGGCCGTGCATGAAGAACTGAAGGAATTCCTAGGCAGTGACGATGAAAGCGAAAGTGACAGTGAGGCTTCATTCCTCGCAGAGGACGCTCCACTTACAGCGGGTAAGAAACGGAAGCGCGAGGACGGGGCCGACGAAGAGGAGACCGAGGAGGACGCAGACAACCAAGCTGAGAATGGCGAGACCCCCGGCTCTCGACTTTCCCAACGTATCAAACGATCCTACGAACGAAGCACGGGACTTAAAGAAGTCGCGAATGTAACTGGGACAATGACGCCTGCGTCTGCATCTGCTCCTAAGAATGAGAAAGAAATGGACGAACAACAACAACAACAACAACAAGAAGAAGAAAAAGAAGTAGCAGAAGAAGACAAAGAAGAAAAAAAAGAAGAGGAAGAAGAAGCAGAAGTATTAGCTCGCGATCACGAACAGAACAAAGGGTTCCGAGAAGATCCAGCAGAGGACGATGACGAGCTCGAGCGCGAGATGCTAGCAGCCTTCGAGGACGGAGAGTACGACTCTAAAGCAGACGAAGACATAGCAGCCGAGACCGGATAACCTGCCTGGTTGTATATATGCATATACGATAAGATATGATATATGCCTTGGCTAATTACTGTCTATCTGTTTCGTTCTGGGTTGTTCATAAGGATCTTCTGTGCCATCTCTCTATTGGAAAAGCTAGGATGTTCTTTTTCTTTTTCTTGTTTATAGTGTGCTTGTGGGGTCTGGATTTTGATATCCTTTTCCTAACTTCCTACCTAGTAAGTTGAGGGAGAGCGCGAAAGAAAGAAAAGAGAGACGAGGGGGAGGGGGAGGTACCTACTTGTACATTCCGTCGCGATCGTAGTAGCAGCTGGTGTGATGGCATAGCGATTGGCGTTATTAGGGGACATATATTCCCTCTAACTAGGTACTACGTAGTAGTATTCCGAAATAAATTCAATATGGTTTGAATTTTGAAAGAAGCAGACGCAGACGCAGAAGCAGAGAGTGAGTAGTGATTCAGCATAGACATACTCTGTACATATATAGAATAAGAAAGGAAAGAATATAAAGGTATACAATACACGGCTAGTTTGATCATTATTTAATCATAAGGGTAGTTGGTAGTTAACTAGTGCTATACAGACAAAAGTACCTAGGTACATACATCAATCACATAAATAAGATCCAGTCCAACGCCATCTATGCAGTCATATATCATCATCATAATCCATCCATCCATAACATAACATAACATAACACAATACCGCCCCATATACTAATCAATCAATTAACAACTCACTCACTAGTATTTCATTCATACTAGTCGCCAAAAAAAAAAAAAAATAGAATCAGAAGGGAAACAGGGTCAGGATCAATGATTCACATCCTGATGCACCTTCCAAGCTAAAATTATCATCCAGAAGAAGAACACTGTATTCACCAGTTCAAAAGCAAAGGCTGTTCGCCAGCAGTTACCTGTATTATTTGTATTCGTTAGATTTCACACACACACACACACACACACTGTGTATAGAGAGAGAGAGAGAGAGAGAGAGCAAATATGGAGAGAAAAAAAGACCTTACATATATTATTCTGCGCAATCCAAGCCATTGTATTAATATTATCGCCGCCGATCTTATTATCGTAAACCCAGATCTGGCAGTTATCGTTGACGTTGGCGGCGACGCCATACATTTGCAAGGACGTTTCAATGAGCCCTGTTAACCAGAGGACGAAGAGGATGAAGCTGCCCAGGATGATGATTCCGGGGAGGAGAAATCCCTGCGCGGCGAGCACGAGCACGAAGACAATGAAGAAGATGCCGAGGCTACCGGAGACGACCATGAATGGGAATAGCCTGTATTATGTTATGAGATTTGGTTGATTGGGGAAGGGGAAGGGGAAGGGGATGAACGAACCATGGGATACCTAAATCTAGGTTCGACTGGACATCAATAAACCAAGCGAAGATCCCGAGACAGATGGCCGAGGAGGCGAGCACAGTGAGGATCCAAACGTTGAGTTGGATTTCGGGCCATCGGTAGTGTTTTGGCCGGTATGTTTTGGGGGCATGTTTTTTTTTTTTTTTTTTTTTTTCTCCAGTATTTCGTGACTGTAGGAAAGAAGGGATCCTAGCTCATGAAGATAAATCTGCTGGGGAATATGCGGTTCGATGCAATTGTATATTCTCTCGCTCGGTCTCCTTCTATTTCTATACTGGGGTAATAGATAGGTATGTAGGTGCGCCACGATAGTGTCAACGATTGGAGAGTCAGAATGAGAAACCAAGGCCAATGGGGCCAGCGCATCCGCGCGTTCTTTCGAGGTCGCTCTGATCTGTCGGAAACACTTTCTTGAACTGCTTTTGTTCCTGAGATGCGATGCGCTTGGTCGATGGGCGTTACATAAGCGGGGGTTTCTTGTTTGTTTCGCTGGTTGGGTTGTTGGGCGCTGGGTTGGGAGGAAGAGAACTGGAATCGAATAGAAAGAGCCCAGACAGATTCTTAGGCAATTAATTGAGGTGGATGAAAAAAAGAAGGTGTGTAGAGAGTAGTTTGTTGTAATTGATGATGATGATGATGATGATGATGATGATGATGGTGGTGGGATCAAAATGGGGAGGCGGGGGATTTAGCTTGTTTTTTTTTTTTTAGAATTACGGTGGCAGGTCAACTCTCCTCCACTCTGCATCTCTTCTTCTATTTATTCATCGATTGTGGAGAATCTAATACGGAATATTTAGGAATCAATACTCATGGGCATCGTTATCTTTGTCTAGTGGTGGGATGTATGTTACACACTCTGAGCTGCCTCAGTAGTCTACAAAAGGGTATCGCCCAACGCACTGCGCACCAACGAACATCCTGTGCGAATCGTTTCCGAAGCGCCCAACGATTCTAGGCTGGGGTTGACCTCAACCAGGTCCATCGAGATCAGGTTGCCCGTCTCGTGCACGCATTCGCAGATAAAGTCTCCCTCGCGCAGGGTCAGTCCGCCGCGCACTGGGGTACCCGTGCTGGGCGCCCACTGCGGGTCCAACGCATCCACGTCGAATGACAGATGAATCGGGGTATCGTTTCCAATGTGACCCAGGGCCATCTCGACCACCCGACCGATGCCGTGTCTAGATATGTTAGCGGAGGCTCACGCTACTTGAGAAGAAAGGCAGGAAATAAAATACCGGTCAACGTCGTGCATGCTGAACGCCTTGATGCCGTGCTCACGGAGCAGCTTCTTTTCACCTCGATCCACGTCACGCAGACCGATGTACACCAGTTTGCGGAGGTTGACAATGTGCTCTTCCTGCAGCCATCCAAAGACATCCTTCTTCTCCTCGCGGGCAAGCCCGGTCAGGAAGGCCATAGGCATGCCGTGGATGTTTCCACTGGGGCTCATCTCGGGGATGTTGATATCGGCATGCGCATCCACCCAGATGACGCCGATTTCCCGACCTAGGCGTTCGCGAGTCGCCTTGGCAATGCCGGAGATGGTTCCAATCGCGATCGAGTGGTCCCCACCGAGGGTCAGGACGAACTTGCCGTCGCGCGCATGTTTGTAGGTCTGGGAGCTTAGAGCCTCAGTGACGGCGCTAACCGCGCGAGGGTTCTTCATGCCGCGGTGGTCGGGGTCATCTTGGGGAATCTGCTCCTCATAGTAATGGACCTTCTTATCGTAGTGGATCTCGTAGTCTAGATCGTCGTGGAGTTGGTCGAGAAGGCCAGCTTCCACCAAGGCCATAGGGGCAGCTTCGACGCCTAGTTTGCACTATTCCATAGCATTAGCTTGATCATGTGCGAAAAAAAAAAAAAAAAAAAAAAAAAGTATTAGTTGGTGATCGCCGAAGATATCCGTACCTGGCCGCCATTGAAGCCAACGGCGACGACGCCGAGTTGGTTGGGCTTAGAGAGGAATCTCTGGTGGATAGTAGAAGGTTGGGTCATGGTGAGATTGTAAAATAGACCGGGATCGGGGATTGGGTGGAGATTAGATCAAAGCGTCGTCTGGTGAGAGAAAGAGAGAAAAACAGAAAGAGGATCAAAAGAAGAAGAAGAAGAAGAAGAAGAAAAGTTGAGACTTTTTATGTTCGCTGGTGACCGTGGGACATCGCTAAGACCTGCTTTTAGGGAATGTGAGTTTCCCCTAAGTACAGGTCGAGGAGAGATGGTCGTGATCCCACTCCACCACGAGAATCTCCGGGTTTCATGAACAATCAATCCGCTTCGGTGAGACCGAATGGATCATTAATTACTAGGTAGGCACTGTCGAGGATCCCGCTGTCGAAATGTCCAACTTCTTTCACGAAGGATCGTGTTTTATCGCTGGGATGACATCATAGGGCTAGTGAAGTACGGAGTACACCAAGTTTACATTGATATCTTACAACTATAGTTACACCTTCTATGATGAATCCCCCCCCAGAATAAGCTCTCGCAGGATCGCATCCGCCTTGGGAGCCTCTACACGACCCTTCTCCCCCATGCGCATCATCTGTCCCACGAACCACCCGAGCTTACCGAGTTGGTTCTTGCGTCGGATCTGCTCAACCATCTGTGGGTTCTGGCGGATGGCTTCCTCCGCCAGAGCGATATATTCCTGTCGTGAAAGCGGCCGGAGGAGGAGATTTTCCTCCTCTAGAAGCTGGAGAACGGGTCGTTGGTCCCCCTCAAACACCATCGCGAGTACCTGCTTGGCGGTTGCTCCAGTGATGCGCTTCCGCTGAAGTTGGTCGATGATCGTCGCGAGGGACCGCGCTGTGACTCGTTCTGTATCCCACGCCAAGTCCCCTTTAGTCAAGAGTCCCCCCAGCTCGTGGAGAACCCAGTTTCCAGCCACACGGCCGACAGCATCTCGAGCCCTGGCATCGAGATCCTGCTGCAGATCGCGCAAGACGTCCACAACATCTTGGTAGTACTCAAGTCGCGCGCCATCCTCCAATTCAACTAGTGGCTTCGCATCTTCGAGCGGAAGGCTATATTCGGAGCCCATCAACATGTCGAGGAGCGCGTCGGGGGATGTTGGGAGGGTACCGGCTAGCTGCGACACGAGATCGTCACCGATGAGCAGGGGCGGGATATCTGGATCTGGCATATATCTATAATCCACTTCTCCTTCTTTCCCGCGAAGCTTCCTTGTTTCTGTACTGCCAATCGTCCAACCTCGTGTCTCACCTTCCACGGCTCCTCCGCTTTCTAGAACGGCAATCTGCCGGTTCTTCTCGGCAATAATGGCATCTTCCACTGCCTTGAAGCTGCTCAGATTCTTGATTTCGGTGCGCTGGCCCAGTCCTTGAACATCTCCGTAATGATGGGCACCGGACTCGTCACCACGAAGCCGGATTGAGACGTTGATGTCGGCTCGGAGGCCTCCTAGTTCCATTCCGGTAGTGACCGCGTTGCAAGACTGGAGAATTGACTGAACTTTACGGACGAATGCAGCGGCGGTGGCAGGAGTGTGGATTTGCGGCATGGTAATGATCTCAATGAGTGGGTGAGAAACGCGGTTGAAATCGAGGAGCTGGGTGGAGGGAGGGTATTCCTGAGATTTGGCCGTGTCCTGTTCAAGTTGGATCTGCTTGATACCGATGCGAACGTGTTTTCCATCTTCGGGCGCAATACCATCGTGACTGAATAGGTCCACGAACCCATTTCTTGCAAAGGGCTCTGTTGCGAATAAAATAAAATGATTAGCCGGCGCTAGTACATCAGGAAAGACCGACAATACCGTAATATTGGGTTATTTGATAACCAGCCGGTTGGTCTTGGTAGAAATAGTGTTTCCGATCAAAACGGCTGACTGGTTGGATGTCGCAATTGAGAGCGATCGCAGCGCGCAAAGCCGGGAGGAGGGTGGCTGTTTGAAATTCCTAAACCCGCCATCTATCAGCAACTGAGTTGTCCTCCCCAACACCCTTACTTTCGGGTCAACGTCTCCCTAACTAACCGGCTGACTACCCGGGAAGGCCAGGTCGAATAGAGCGACATTCGAATTGGGAAGGTCGGAGGATGAGGTTGGAGCTTCTGTTTCATGATGTGGACCAGGTCAGACAGAGAGCCAGTCATAGATGGAACACTTCTCACGCACTAGAAAATAATTTGGCTTGGGTATTGAGCTGAGCATGAATTTCCACCCCCACGGTAAGCTCCCACTTTTGCCGGGATGCCTCTTCCTGTTCTCGTCTCTCACGCTTGTGAGCTCTCACGGCCTTTGCGTCCTGTTTGAGTTGTTTTCGGAGAGGGACACGATCTTGTGAGTCGATGGCAGCGGTTTGCAGAGGGCGAATTGCTCGAGAGGGGGTGGACGAGGGTGAGTTTTTGGGAATAACTGCTGGGAATTGGAGAGACTCATGGTGCAGACATCGCGGACAGACAAGGGCACGGAAGGTTGCGCGGGGGCAAGTGCGCAGACATGGTCGGAGCATGTGGAGAGAATCGACTACTCTCTGGTGGTTGATTGCCGAGATAATATGACGAGCAAGGAGGAATTGAATGTTGTGAGGGTGAGAAGATACCGTATGATACTGGGATGGGGTGGGATGGTATGGTATGGTAATTGCTCACCGCTGCTTCATATTCGTGTTTAATCTGGTCTACAGAGTAAGAAAGTATGAAACTTATATGAAAATGCCATTGAGTGGATGTTATGCACTTTGTACAATCTAGATGACTCCGTACTCTGCATACATACTGTGTAGATTTTCATCCTGATGGGTTGGACGAATCCTACCCCTCCTTGACCTTCATCCTCACTCTTTTGAGGTGATGTTTGAGGTCCGTCTCAGTTTGACTCTTATTTTCTTTATTTAACAAGTGATTGCCTCATCTCTGTTCTTTTTTGGATTCCTTCTCGTCCCAATTCAGTCTTGTCTATACATACCATATCCCTATACTCATCGCTATTGTTTACGAACTCGAGCAATTGCCGCTTCTTGTCCTACATTCTTTGCATCGTCGTCACTCAAGCATTCCAACTGTCCCTTCCTCCTCCTCCTCCTTGACATGCCCCGATTGTTGCGCTCTCCTGCGTCCATTTTGATTCTACATGTTTCCTTCTCTTCGACACCCCCGGGGTTTGTGGCCTGAAAACTTCAAACACGCTGTGGATTGGTCTGATACTCTTTTATCCTTCTGATCACAATGCCGCTCTACTCCTCTACTAGCCGCTCCAAGAAGCCAAAGAAAGATGTCACCAAGAGAGCATCCGCATCGTCGACGGTCTCAACGACTTCGAAGGGTTCCAAAAACCCCGCAGAGAAACATAAGAAAGATAGCCCCCGGAGTCAACCGTCGTCCCTCCGAGAGTCTGGCGCCTCTGGGGTTAATTCCAAGGCACAACCACCTCCACCTCCACCTCCTCTGGGTAAGGTAAAGGGTCACGACGTCAACCCTCCAAATGTGTTTGAGTATCTCGATTCAGATTCCGATCCCGATTCCGACTCCGACTCCGACTCCGAGTTCACATCGTCAGATGAAGATGAGTTGAGCTGTCCATCAATTCCTCCCACCTCTCAATCGAAGACTGGAAATCCTGCGGCCAGTCGCAAACATATCCCAGCGACCCAACCTGGCGTTGGCCGTAGTCGAACGTCGTCGGTTAGATCCAAGGATTCTGCTGGTTTTACCCATCCACCTGGCGCATTTGATGCGTCCCCTCTCCCGGCGACGCTACAACTTGCCAGACAGAATGGATCGCATCGAAGGCCTTCTTCTACCGATGGAACACAGAGTGTGACTGGATCTCTGAACGACGGTACCCTCCCCCCGGAGCATCGCAACCTGGAACTGGTTCCAGAAGATTATTATTCTAGAAATCCTACCACTTTACACAGACCATCTTTCCCACCATCGCCTCCACAGAGCCCAGAGGAGGACCTCCACCGGTCCGGCCGAAAGATTAGGCGTACCACCAAGTCGTCCCGCCTGCCCACGGGCTATGGACTTCTAGCGTGGCGTCTGAGCGAGCCGGCGGAGGGCAAAGAGCCACGTCTACCTCCGCTCTACCGTCGTTTTGACGACGTGAACCACCGTGTTCTCTTGTACCTCCAGGATGAAATCTCCCAGCTGGAAGAAGAGCTCCGAGTCTTGGATGATTACGATGAAATGCAGAGGAGGGCCAACGCTGAACAAGAGGGGGCCAAGTTAGTACCCGCCTCGCGGCGTATGGACGTGCAAGCCCAGGTCTACTCCTCTTTGCATTATAGACGGGAGGAGGTAATGGGTGCACTAATTCAAAAAACTGAACAATACAGTAAGAGACGTTCTTGGAAACAGAAGCACAATGGTGCATTCAAAAACTAATAAGGAGTGCCTTAAATTAGACCATGCCCTAGGTGCATACAGTAAAGTGCTCCAAACCCTCCCCCGTGCCACTGCCGCGGACACGGAAATCTACCGCGCCTGGATGAAAGAGAACAACCCTATTGCTGTAAACGAAATGCGTTTCCTCGACCACGCAAAGGACCTAGTGTCCCTCACTCCACAAGCAGCCACCGTCTCTAATATAACTTCCCCCGTCTACACCGCCATCATCATCGCCTCTGCGGCAATCATTCTCCCCCTGCTAGCCTTTGGGATGATCTCCGAGTTCACGGGCCGCATTCTCGTCGCCGCCGTGGTCGGTGGTGCATCTGCCGCCGTCGCAGCCCACTACTCGACGGGAGCTGAACACCTCGTTAAATCGCAGGATGGCTGGCGATGTGCCCTGGTGTACGTTCACTTCCACCTTCTCCCCCCCCCCCCCCCCCTGGTTCTACATGCCATGGACACAGCTAACATCGTGACAGATATTTCGGCTTCATGACCATAGCCGCGATATGTATTTGATTCACCTACTATTCTGATTTGATCTAAGCGACACCACGTACTATACCCACCTGGCCTGTGCCTATCACTACCGAGGGCTAATGGAACCTTGGACGACGTAACGAATCTTCTTCTATGGGACGGCGTATTCATGACTCATTGATTCATCGACTGGCTGATTGATAATATATTAACTTCCGCTACAGGACTCTGTATGTTTTTGTTGTAGGTTTCGGGGAAATGCGCCAGGAGGGGAATTGACAGGAGGCAGGAAGGGCCTTTGATTATAGCACCAACTACTCCGTACTCCGTGCTGCGCGGTAGTAGCCATATAGTGATTCGAATTTTTTTTTCTTATTCCGATTTATCTTTCTGTATTGGTTTTATTTATTTGTGGCTGTATTATACAAGGAATATGTATGTAGTTCCAATGCCAGTGGCTACTACTACTACTACTACTACACTACTTTTATCATTATTATTACCATCTCTACAGAACATACAAAAAAAAAAAAAAAAAGAAACCAAGACCTAGACTTACAGATATAATGGCATTTCTAACGGATGCAACTGAAGAAACGGGGTTGGTTCGCGCGCGCGTTATCAACAGAAGAAAAAGGGGGGACGAGGCCAGACAACCAAACCAAATCAAATCCATCCATCCATCCATCCGTCCATCCTTTGACAATACTAAGATAGTAAGCAAGCAAGCAAGCAAGCAAGCAAGCAAGCAAGAAAAAAAAAAAAGAAAAGAAAAGAAGAAGACGACCACGAAAAAGAAAGAAAGGAATAAAAAAGGGAAAAACCAGGCCAGACCAGTCTTTGAGAAAATCAAATCGAATCGAATCCGCGCCAATTGCTGAAAATGCTCGGAAATGGTCAGGGGAATACCGATTAAAAGATAGAAGAAGAAGAAGAAGAAGAAAGAGGGAGAGGAAGGTCAGCTGTCTGTTGCTGCTTACACGTCAACCAAGAGAATAGGAATATAATAATCGGAGAGAGAGAGAAAAAAAAAAAAGAAGCATAGTAAAATAGTAATAATACTTGGTCAAGGTGGAAAGACATGAGTGAGAACTGAAAGTGTTCCGACCTGGGGTTAATTCTTTTCCATCTCGAGTGGGTGCAATAGCCCAGGTACGACCAGAATGGAAAGAAAAGCTCGGAAAATAGCAAAAATAGTGCAATAAAGAGACCCGTAATATCAGTAAACCGTTACCTAAACTTCATCCCTTCTTTATTTCTGCAAAAAAAAAAAAAAAAAAAAAAAAAAAGACCAATGTTGATAAAATGGAAAGACAAAAAAAGGTGAGACCTTAATGGAACAAACTGGTTCATGTAGGTAATGGAGTACCGTTCTGCTTGTTTCCAGGGGTGACACTCCGGTCTTGAGAGCTGCGGAGGTCAATAGGAGGCTGTGGCGTTGACGAGGAGCTCTGTGTCGCTGCGGCGAGCTGGGCCTTGTTTCGATCCATGAGTACAGCTTGCTCGGCAGCGCTCCTGGCATAAGTCATAGCTGCAGCAGAGTTGGAATACGTGTTTGCGGCTTGATTAGGGGGATAGTTCGCGTAGGTAGGCGGCTGCTGATGCGCCTGCGCGGGCTGCATGAATCGCTGTTGTGGGTTAGATCCCGGTGTCATATAGGAGGACGGCCGGGATGTTACGTAGGCCGGTTGCTTTTGGGGGGAAGTGCTGCGCCCCGGTCCGTAAGGTGCGGCGGCGTTGTATGGTGCTGGTTGTCCAGGACGTGGGGTGTATGGTTGCGGAGACGCTTGAGCAGGTGGTGGACCTGGCTGTGCCGTATAGGGGTTGTAGCCATTCGGCCCTGGTCGCTGGAATTGTGGAACTGGATTGCCCTGGTTATACTGTGGGGTGGGTTGTGCGTATCCGGGGAAGTACCCAGGTCGCTGAGAAGGTGTGGTCGGAGGTCGGGCCCCTGCGTAGGGCTGTGGGTTACCCGGTGTATATGGCCCAGAAGTCGAGGGTTGTCTTGATTGATAGTAGGGCTGTGGCTGTGGCTGTGGGGCTTGGAAGTTCCCTTGAGATTGAATTCGAACATTAGCGTTGTATGCACGTTGGTTGTACTGTGCCTGGTAATTACCGGGACGTGAAGGCGTCGAAGTTCTATTTGCCACTGGAGTTGCTGCCGCCGCCGCCGCCCGTTCTTGTTGAATTGAGTAATCATCCTTTTCCATGCTGCCATGGTAATCTGGAGTTTCGATCAGGATCCTCTGGCTGATGTTGAGCTCGGCCAATTGGTCCCCATTTAGTTTCGCAACGGCAAATGGAGGTAGTTTTGAAACCATGAGGGACAAACTGGATTTTAGGGTATCATAAACCGCTATTTCCGCTTCAGACGGTTGGTCTGAAGGTGCTTGGGAAGGCTGCGAATCCTTAGGTTCAGCACTTCTGTTACCTGGACTTGAAAGCTCGAGATTGCGAATTTTCTGATAGGAGCTGAGAGTTTCTAGAAGATCTGAGATGTCTGCCAATAGTTCGTTTGTTTCCTGGGAAGTTTCATCCGCTTGTTCTTCCTGATCCTTTTTCGCTGTCTTGGTTGAGATGGATGCATCCACGAAGTCTTCTGGATTAAATGACTTGACCATCTCTTCCAACGTACTTTCGTCAAGGTCACCGATACTTCCTGGTTTGACGATTTGTGCCTCCTCAGATATTTCCTGATCGGATATTGATAGCAACGTATTTAGACGTTTTTCTCCCCGTTTGCTCCACCACACTAGGTTCTTGGAATCGGCTTGTACAACGGCCCCAGAGCTATCAAAGGAAGGAGCAAATGAAGAATATACGCCCTGTAAGACGGCAGAATCTTCATCAGTCCACAAAATAGGATCTTCAAGAAGCTTTTCATCTGCTGGCTGCTGCGATGAATGTTGCTTTTGTCGGCGACCCCAGTAAGAAGGAGAGGAAGAAACTCCCCCATACTGCAGCCAAGTGCCGGAAGGAAGCTGCGCAAAGGCATAATTATTGCGGTCCCCAAGGAAGGCTTTATAGTTTGTAACCACTTCAAAGGGGTCAATCCAGCTGACCTGAGCAGCACGAGAGGAAGATCGGGGGCGGCGTGGCGGTTCTAGTTGAGGCAGGGTTGCTCGAGGCGTAAAGACCTCGCCGAAAGTTCTCTTAGGTTCTTTAGGTTTTTTCTCATCCTCGTAGGGAACGACCTTTGTGGTTGTAATACCGTTTGGCAAGCCAACTTCACGCAGGGGTGTCTGTACTTCGACATACTTTCTCGCTCCTGGGTCATCAGAAGACAGTGGAACCTTGACGGATTTCTGCAGACTTGAGTAAAGTTGCTTCGGATTGGCAGGGTTGCCGAACAATGTTAGGACTAGACCATCGTTCCGAACCTCTACAGTTGACGCGGGCTTTGAGGAAGTTTCTGTATCATCTTCCGATGTTTCCGCCTTGACATTGGACGGGCTCACGTAGGCTTGACGAACGAGACTGTTGAGCAGCTTTTTGAACGCTGCAATGCGATTGACCGTTTCCGTCACAGGCGTACTATCGGTGTGAGTTCCACTGGCTTGAGCTTTGTTCCTTTCGATCACAGCTGTCGACGCCTTCTCGATATCGCCCAAAAATTCGGAAAGAGTGCTGTAACGATCCGACGCGACTCGCGCTTGTATGCTCGCCCCTTCATCCTTATCTCCAGACACTTTCGCACGTTTTGAGCGGGGTTTCACGGGCGATGAAGGTAATGGGCAGGAGAGAAGATGAAGCTCGGTGTCATTTCTGGTCATGGTTAGCCATTACCCACGAATCATTGGTGTTGGCGAGATCAGTAGGGGGGTTCGTACTTGCTTAATATCTCAACAAGGTTACGCAGGGTTTCCTGCAATTTGACCTTCTCCTCTACTTGTGGTGTAGCTGTGTTGGTGTCTTGGGATAACTTGTCATCATGACTTGATACACGTTTTCGCTTGCCAGGCGTCGCCAACACGGATGGATCAGGAGTGGCCGTGTAGCGTTCGCCGTTTGTGGCCGGCATCGAAGCTGGTCCGCCTTCGTCTGCGCTCATGGCTTCGGAGTCGCGCCGTTGCTGCAGTTTTGTCTTTGACGCGAGAACCAAGGGCCTTCTCGTTCTTCAAAGGGGACCAAGCTAGAAGCACCTGGAATTAACAGGACGCGACCGTGCGCTTGTGATTGGGGAATAAATTATTAGAAGATGGCGAGAAACCCGGACGAATAAAAGAATCTAAGCCGGCAAAGTCAGAATTTGGTGATCGAGGGTTGCTTGACCTCCGAAGCGGATGCGCCAATAGTGACAAGGCCCAGTCGAGAGAATTGGAGCGCAAGCAGGGAGGATAAATTCACAAAGGAGAGAACCACCGCCACAACGACAGGAAATTGACCATGTGCAAAGGACAATCCACTGCAGGAGACAATCCAGTCACGACAAAGTGAAATAAAGTCGAAACCACGTACTGATGGCTGGGTGGGAGGACAAGCAAAGAGGGAGACCCGATCCTCTCTTTCTGTTCCTCACCCGCGCCATCCAAAAGCGCAACCCGTGACGATCAGTCACGTGCCGCTGGTTTTTATTCGAGTGGCCGAAAGTATATGATGAACGACAACTCCGGGTACCTGAACAACATCTTTAAAATTCAAAACACCACCGATTCTTCTAACGTGAGCTGGGTCCCGGTGATTCTATTCATGGATGTCATCGGCCTGGAATCATGCCCCCAGTCGCTTAATGGTGTCTTCCCTGAGAGCGGCGCATCTGAGCAGCCGTTCGTTCCGCAAGGTAGTTCTTCAACACCGCTGCCCTGTCCTAGTTTGGATTGGACTAATGGAATTCTTTCGCCTAGGGATGCTCATATAGTACCTTCTTTCGTCTTATCTACCCAAGGACCCAGGATTCACCCGCTAATGCCTTTCTCAATGCGTCAACCTCGACCGAATATAATAAAGCGCTTCAGAGCAGCCAGAATGAGGATTCTTCAACCTCCGAGTTTTGGAGCACGCCACGGCTCCAACCCCGGCTGAATCAACCATCCTCTCCCTCAGTAAACCTCTCAGATACTAGGCACCTTGATTCCTTACCCGATCAAGCAGACAATCATACACAACAGCCGGCTTTACCTGATCTTGCTCAAGAGCTACTGGATAAGAGTCGGCAACCTCAACTTCCGCAGTCCAATACTTCCTCCCCAGTTTCTAGAACAGGCAAGCCCAAGAGATCGTCGTATTATGAGCCGAGCCCTTCCGAATTCTTGATCGATACCCTCCAAAATCTTGTCCTATCTTCGAATGATCCGGATGCCCGCAACTGGACTTGCTCAGGGCAGAGTTTCAAAGAACCGATCATGGATCCCCTATCTATGAAACAGCGGTTCAAGTTTAAAAGGTCGCATAGAGTATCTTTGCAAGAGATAATCGCGGATTACATACAATATGTGGACCCTGTGCTTCAGAAATGGGGGGAAACCGCCATATTCAAACGCCCTCGTGCAGCATCAGAGCTTGAATATGCGTTGCAAAGTATGCTTCGTGACGATTATATCAAATACTTGTCCTCGCGACAGTATGAGCTCACTGATGTGATGGCGTGGGCATGGGTCCTCAAAAGCCATACTGCGTACGAGGCGATTCTTCGGGTTTTCCTTCTCGAGGCCAAAAACCCCAAACCTCAGAGAGTTCCCCCCTTTATAACACTTATGCTTCTACGGCAGAAGTTGGATTTGAAAACTTTTCGTTTACTCCTAATTTATTCTTTGCACCTTATTAGTGGGCAACCGGTTTCGAAGCTAGGTGCTTCTCTTGATGGAGTAGTGGATGATATGACGTTGAATAATCCAAAAGAGACTTGCAATCAGGAAAAGGCGAAGATCTCGGTTAATCCTAATATGTGTGCAACCTATATTGTCCGCCTACTACACCATTCTCGACAGCTATGGCCAGAAGCTCAACTGTCCATTGCTAAAGCATTCGCTTTTTATTTGAATACGCTTGAAGCCCAGAGGAGCAGTTCGACAACAGACCGGGTTGATCAACTTATGGCTCAAAAGTGTAACACGTGTCTCAAATTACTCTCTTTACCCTGCAAAACAACACCATTTTTGTCTGTCTCCATTCAGCAGCAAGCACAATTTGAGCTGCTAAAGGCTATGGCACAGCACCATCCTGTACTGCCCGTTACAAGACGAGGATACCAGGGTCTGATCGCAATCCAAATAGCTCATAAAAAGACGGTGGAGGAGCGACAATCCGCCGAATTAAAAGCTTCCTCATGGCCACCATGGAAGGAGGACAAGCTTGGCATCGACTCCCAGAGAGGTGTGGATGGCATGAAAAGCCGCGCCATGCGCGTTATGTCCCAGATGAGGGAAGCAGGATATCCACATTCTCGCTGGGAAGAGGTCTCGGGGATTCTAGCTGGCTGGGATACAGATCATAGCCCAACAATTCAAACTAGGACTTTGGTGCGTCGCCCAGAAACTTTGCGCGGGACTTCAGGAGATGCAAATCATCATGCAATCTGGGAAGCTCGTCTTCGCTCTACGAGGACAGTACGGGAGGCCTGGGCGTGTTTTTCGGCCTACGAAGCCCATGGAACTCCCCCTCGTAGCACTATTTACGCTGCAATGGCCGAAAAACTTATTTTCCGACAGAAGGCAATAAAAGCTCAAGCGGATCATACCAGTCTTGCGCTGGCAGGTGATGGCCTTGAGGTTTCTCCTGAACCTGCTTCCGCGCGTGATTGGATTTATACTCCCACAGAGCCACCCACGCTCGATGGGCTTGTGAAGAAAATGCTTTCGCAAGGGCTTAAGCCAGGAGGTAGGTTTCTGGCATTGCTTTTGGAGAATGCGCCAAGCCTCCGCGTTGGTCTGGACTACCTTAATTGCAGCAACCTAGCCACGGAACAGGTCAGAGCCTTATGCAGTGTTTTTAGCACATCAGATTCTGATGTGGAACATCAGAATGCTCTTGACGACGTGCCAGATTATCTTTTTTCGGCTTTCATCCATTTCTTATGCAAGTTTGCTGTTGTTCGGCAGGCGTCCATGTCACAGAGTGGCGTTAATACTGCGGATCTCTTCCCTATAATTACGGGCACTTGGTCACGGATTCAGCCAAGTACTACCGTGTCATCTCTATACATTGGAAAATCATTAACATGGAGGAAGCCTCGGGATCCAAGATTCCTATCATATGCTATTCAATTGCTGCAAAAGCGAAATCCTCAAGAACCACACGGATGGATTCAGTTATTATCGGCTCTGCGCCGTAGGCGTGTCCTCGGTTCCTCTCCTGAGGCTATTGATAGAAATATCCAGGTGATTCTTGCTTGGCATGAAATCTTGGAAACAATGAAGTGGCTGAAAGAAGGCAATATTGAAGTGGGGTTTGAAGGTTTCCACATTTATTGCAGTAGCTTTTCAGGCGCAGTAACTGCAGGAGTGAAGAATCCAAATGCTGTGGAGGAGGGGTTGAACATTGTGGATAAAGCCGTGCACGAAAAGCTACTTCACTTCGATTTTGCTTCGCCCGAATTTGAGGGTATGGTACAAACTGGTTTAAGTGTTCTGAAGAACCAGTTTGATCGGCTTGTCCTCCTGGATCCAAAGACGGATTCTTTATTTGAGCCCATCAAAACTTCGCTCGAAGATGGGACGGATTCCCAAGTTATATTGCCAACTTTGGCGCGTGTCCCCTCTCCTGCAGTCCTCCATGCGTTCGTCAGATCTCTTGGGTTAGCCGAGGACTCCGATGGTTTGTTGAGTCTTCTTCGATGGATGAGCCAGCACGCATTGATTCTTAAGGAAGCTTCTGATGAATATCTAAATGGCAGTCGAATGATGCGACGCACCGTTGTTGCCACCCGCCTCTTTCTTGAGGGGTACTGGGGGAAAGAGTACCAAGAACCATCAGGGTATGAACACGGATTTCCATCTCAGGTTACCCTGGATGACTCCAATCCGACATTCTCAGATCCAGCCCTGCAAGAAGCATATGCCATCGTCACATCGACCGAAGTCTGGGGTCCATGGCCTAGCGATGAAGAAGTCTGGGAGTATGTAACTCATGGGTCACAGTAGCCTGCTGTGCGGCATTCCTTTTTTTTTTTTTTTTTTTTCCCCTCTTCAACTGTGTATATATATATATATGAAGATAAATTTTTGTAACATAGATCAAATCCACCACAATAAATCATGATACCCTTAGCCTTTTCTCGAAGCACCCGCTTATATTCGGCCCAAGTTGGAGAAATATGTACACATAGTTAGTCGAGAGATTGTTCCCCGCACCCAGCAAGCCAGGTCCGCTTTCCCCACAGCGTATCTCCCAACGTCACAACCTCTGCTTGTGCTTCCTTTCTTCCACACCCTCTCACCCTGGTTTTGTCCCAAACCGTGTCAATTAAATTGGGCCGCATCCGTCGCCTCCGACTTTTATCATGCCTCCTCGTCTTCCACTTCTTGTACCCTCACTCCGAACGCCTGTCACCGTTTCTCTGCGCGTGAAGGTCTCCGGAGCGCAATTTAGTACTGCCGCCGACGATGCAGTGATTCAAACACAGCACGTCCCTGCTCCCGGATCTGGGAGTATCAGAGTTCTTTTACTGAATCGACCAAATGCTCGCAATGCCTTATCCAGGAACCTGCTGGGGACATTGTCGCAGCACATCCGGTCGATCGCGGCCGAAGGAGGCCATGGACCGACCAGGGCCCTGGTCATTGGTAGCAACGCGGACTCTGCCTTCTGTGCGGGCGCAGATTTGAAGGAAAGATTAGATATGACCAAGGAGGAGTGCGTTTTTACCAACTTCACATATAACTCTCCGGCCCTTCCCTTTTATTTTTCAGGGATTTAACATGGATGGATAAAAAATGGGTTGCTAATGGGTACTATCTATAATTGTAACAGAACCGCCCAATTCTTGTCCCAGCTAAGAGGTACCTTCAGCCAACTTGCCTCACTGCCCATCCCTACGATCTCTGCCGTCTCATCTATAGCCCTTGGAGGCGGGCTCGAGCTTGCCCTGTGCACGCATCTACGAGTCTTTGGCTCAAATAGTGTTGTCGCCCTCCCGGAGACCAGACTCGCGATTATCCCTGGAGCAGGTGGCACCTACCGTCTTCCGGCGGTGATCGGCGTAAACCGCGCCCGTGACCTCATCCTCACTGGACGACGTGTATCGGGACCTGAATCCTATTTTATGGGGCTTTGCGATAGACTGGTCGAGATACTCCCGGAGGAAGAGAAGAAGGAGGGGGCTGCGCGTGAGAAGGTATTGCGGGAGAGTATCAAGCTTGCTCTGGATATCTGTGAGGGTGGACCTATTGCCATCAAGCAGGCGCTGAAGGCAGTCAATGAGTTCCAGAGAGGCGAAGGGGCGGAAAACGAGGCGTATGACGGAGTGATTGAGACGGAAGACAGGTTTGAGGCTCTTCGGGCATTTTCAGAGAAGCGGAAGCCTGCTTTCCGGGGGCGATGAGAAGTCCCGCTTTCTACTATTTGTGCGGAGTGGCGATCCGAAGGGCATCTGTGGAAATCGGTGACTCAGTATAATATCAAATATTGAGTCATTTGCCATTTAGGATTTCGTTAAGGATGACCAAAATGTTCAGTGATTATTTGGAGACTTTCTCACGACCTTGCCCTTCAGTTTGTTACCTTCCTAGGCAGAAAAAGGTATTCAATGGTAGGTCCAAGTAGGTGCTGTATAGATCGTAATCGTGGCCACTATTTACGACCGAGCCAGACAATAACAGGCCACACAATAGGATTTGTGATTGTCAATCGGGCAACCCTTAGTTCAATCGGGGAATTTCCCAAGGTTCGACTTCAGGTTGAGTCCAATAACTGGTGCCTACGCGAGGCAATGAACCCTGGATTTGCCCTGGACTGTGTAGGTTCGAGTGGGTTCTGTGGACCTTTGTTCCACGTGTAGGGCTGAGATCTACTATTTCAAGACCGCAAAATGTTGACGACTTGTCATTTCTGACCCCATGCATGTTGGTGGAATTACATACAGGTTCTTCAGGGGCAGCCACAGGGCATAGACAGGAATGGGGGATTAACACAGCCTCGCATTCTGCAGAAATACTCTGTCCGGTATGTCATCATTTGTCAAACAAATCGTTATATGCTGAGGATATTATAGTGAACAGTCAACGTACTTTTCAAAGCAGCTAAGTTTTGTCCCTGTTATTTGTCAACAGTGCAACACACTTCGTGTAACTAACTATGTATTGTATCGGGCGCCACAGCCTTGTTAGGAGGCTTATTGTCTTCGCTTTCACTGGATGTCCACAAAGGGATCCCGTAAACCCAGGGGCTACGCATTGCTAGTGAATACTTCTCAAGGTTCGATCGCCCGTCACTCGTCAAATATTCCGGAGGGCCAGGATACTGTAACCGGGCAATTAGGAGGTTGACAAGGTTGAAGTTCCTGTGGGCACAAGTCCAGGGACTGGGACTGACTTTTTAGAGGTCATGCCCCTGGTCTTCCTGACCCGTAGCGGTTCCTTTGAAGTCAGCTTTCTAGTCATCTGGCTTCTAGCACTAACTTATTAGTTACTATCTACTTACTTATTAGAGACGAGGTAAGGCTCTCTCTCCTTCCTCCTTAGTTCTGCAGGTCGGGGGGAACTGCAGCCGTCTGACCAACTGTGTAAGCGCGTACATTTATAGGAAGCTACTCATCCCAAGACCTCTCTCTCTGCATTCCCCCTTCTCTCTTCTTACCCCTCATTCAAGTTTGTCTCGCTCGTATCGTCTTGAGAATCTTGCTGGTTCTCAACCACCAGCGCAGCGATGGATCCCTCGCGGATCAAAGAATTCGGACTCACTCAAGTTTACCAGTCTCCCGAAAAACCCCTCGTTGATATTGTTTTTGTGCATGGCTTGAACGGTCACCCGCACCGAACTTGGACTTCCAAGACAACATCAACATTTTGGCCAGTCGATTTGCTGCCACAGGTTCTGCCGAGTCAAGTTCGTATCCTCACGTACGGATATAATGCAAATGTGACAGCCTTCACGGATGGGGTGTCGAACGATCGGATTCTCAACCATTCTGAGACTCTGGCGGCTCAGTTGGCGGCCAATAGAACTGTCTGTCGCTCTCTCTTTTTTTTTTTATTTATTTATGTTTATCTGCCTCTTGACTTCGTGGCTGACAGAGTGACCATAGCTAAAAAGATGCTCCGATAGACCAATCATCTTTGTATGCCACTCACTCGGTGGATTAGTGGTGAAGCGGGCATTGATCTACTCTCGAAGTATCACAAATGAGAAGATCGAACACTTACGATCGATTTATGTCTCTACGTACGGAATTCTCTTTCTCGGGACCCCCCACAATGGATCAGACGTTGCCAAATGGGGCCTATTGCTGCAGAATATCTGTACCGCCGTACTCCCAAAGAAGTTCATAGAGACATCTCCCCACTTGGTCAAAGCCCTCAGAACCAATAATGAGACACTCCAGAACATTAACGGTCTTTTTACGGATATAATCCCCCGTTTTCATATATACTTTTTCCATGAGACCCTGTCGACCGATGTCAAAGGAACACGAGAGTTGATTGTTGACGAAACATCGGCGGCTCCTTACGCAGATGGGGTGGAGCGCATGGGTATCGAGGCAGATCATATCCATATGTGCAAGTTCGACGACGAGAATTCTCCAGGATATGAAGCTGTTGCGGAAGCGCTTTTACGATATTCTCAAGACGCGCCAACTACGATTCATCAGAGGTGGAACGAGGAGGAGAAGACCCGGATGATTTTCAGAACACAAAGGGCCAAGGAGATATTTGGGGATGGTACGGCTTTCCAGAGACCTACCTGAATTCTGAATTAGTAAACCAGCGTAACTAATACTGACTCTAGTCCCACAAGGCCCAAGTGTGCCGGATTATCGTCCTGCTCCTGGTAAGACTTTCTTGGCCCCAGAAACTGTGCCGCGCTCTATTACTGTGAGGGAACATGAAATCGAGGAGCCCTATGACACTGAATCGTCCTCGAAGACCCATATTTTGCATTTCTAGGAGGAGAACATGAGATATTGGCACGGGAAGCTTTCGCTACTCAGGTTTATCACCTCGCCTCTATTTGGGCGGAGATACGGCCAGTTAGCAGTTCATGACTTTTTTTTAGTTCTTCTTCATGCTCCTTCTTCTGATGGTCTTACGAGAAATCCTTGATAAATTGTTCCCCCTAAGTTTGAGCGTTCTCCTGTACCCTAGCATAAACCTGAGCAGAAATTCCTTGAAGTCAGATTTTGCTGACTCGTCTGCTAGTTCCTGCACACCCCCTGTATTTGCCTCCGCCAGAGAACAAAACATCCTCCGTATCAGATATGGCCGGCAGTATAGATAAATCTCTAACTTTGGCTCGATCCTGGCAGCATCTTTGGGTGGTGCCCCCGGGGTTTCACCGAAACGCCTCTTTCTTTGGCATGCAAAAAGAGATTGATGTCTTACATGCCAGATTATTCAAAGCTAAGAAGCGCGCAGAGAATCTTATGGCTGTTCTTATATGTGGAGTTCCTGGTTCAGGGAAATCGCACCTCGCACGACAATACGTCTGGACTCATCGTGAACATTACCCTGGAGGTATTTTTTGGGTTGACGCTAAGTCCTGTCAGTCAACATATAAGTGCTTATGGGACATTGCCCAAGCTGCAACATTAACAGACGGCCAGGAGTTTCAAAGTGCTGATGCCAAATCATCCACCAAGTATGTCGAGGCTGTTCGCAACTGGTTACAGTCTCGCGATGAATGGTTGCTTGTCTTTGATGGAATCAGTTTTGGCAATGACGAAGAAATCAACCATTTCAAGCAGTTCCTTCCGTTTAGAGAGCGGTGCAGCATTATTTATACTTCTGTTGACAAGACATTGCGGAAGAAGCAACGATTGTACGAACCGTACTGTCTCCTGATATCTCCCCTGCAGGCTGAAGATGCGTGCAAGCTGCTCTTCAAAGATCTCGGGATTAAGAGGCCCACTGCAGAGCAGGTTCGCAAAGCAACTGAGGTGGTCAATCACTACGAATGTCTTCCCCTGGCCATTCACGCTATTAGCCATCGATTAAGTGCCACAGATAAGCCAATCGAGAAGTATCACATCGACTCCCATTTGACGGATGAGAAACTTGCAGAGCCATTCTTGAGTATTATGCATGATTTATACCGGAGGGAGCATTTCGCCGCTCTTAACCTCATAAATCTATTATCCTTCTTGGGCCACCATGTCCCTGTCGGGCTCATCACCCTTGGGAAATCCTTCCTAGATGCCTGGAATATTGAAATTGTGACGAGCAGCAGGCATGGTGAACGAGGCGACTTTGATACGACACTAGGGATCCTGATCCGCTATGGCCTAATTGAAAGAACATCCGACATATATCCGCTTGATCCAATATCTTCGTCGCCACGGCTTGAAAAGTGTCCTGTAGATATGAAGACAGTCATTCCCGAATTATCCGAGTCACAAACAGAGAGTAGCCAGGAGGGCTTTTTCTCCGCGTATCAAACCTCCGGAGTGTCAGATGTTATCAAAATCCACAGCGTTGTCCAAGGATTCTGCCGTGATGAGCTCAAAATCCTGGATAAGGAACTCAAGGGGCGACTGCACTTAGGCAATTCTGGCAACACCGATGCTGGATATTATGATTCATGGCTTGTTGTGGCTACTCGGGTCTTCTGCAAGTCGTACGGGAACGCGAGGAGTCGAATGGACCGGGTCGATGACTGCGGTCTTGTAAAAGATTACCGCGAGTATGAGACCCATGCGTCACAGTTGATTAAGAATTTCCCCAAGAAAACCTCCTACGATATTGTTCGCGAGGCTCGGGATGAGCTGAAGCAAGTTGTAAAGAGCATCCGCAACGAGATCGATAGAATCTCTCCAAGCTCCTCGCAGGAATCAATCCGCAAGCATCGATCCGTTTTTGACCGGTCGAGCAGCTCCTCTTCCTTCCCCGAGTCTACGACATCTGATGGACCGTCACGTCAGTTAACTTGGGACTTTAGCGATGTGGTTTCTTCGAAGGCGGAATCACCCCAGGAGATGCGCATGTCACCACATCACGTAAACTTAGGGCCAATTATCCCTCATATTTATAGGAACGCGAGTCGTGATAAGTATGACGGCTATTTGACTGACGATGAAGGGCTAAAGGCTTTCACACGAACCTCTCCAGCGATGTCGCAAATTAGTCAAGGCACTGAAAGGCCAAGGTCGTCTCAAGCTTCTAGTCCTCCACAGCAGGTTGATGATGAGGGCTGGCATGTTGTTGAAAATCCTTCCAGAAATAAGCCAGCGAAGCCAAGGAAATCGAAGTCGACCGCTAGATTTCCTCGCCATATCCGCGATTCAAGACCAGCGGCCCCTATATTGGAAAGGACCCCAGCGGAATGGAGAAGTGTGAGCGACACAGACAAACGGAAAGCCGGTCCCCTTGTGTCTGCATCCGAGGTACTCTCAGCAGTACAGAAGGCAAGCCCACCTCCGGCGCATGCGAGCATTGTACGACAAGACAGGGACAAGGAGAATGTCATTACCTATGCATATGTAGCGTCGAGGTTCTCTCAAGACCAGCTGAACTCGACAAAACAGCGGTCATCTTCATCGCCTGGTGGGCGTACGCGCCCTGTATTTTCAGGTGGACAGAGCAGATCTTCTGTCGAGTCCTTACATAGCAATGTGCCGTTTTCGTCGCTGTCCACGGAATTCAAGGCTGATCCACTAAGCCAGTCGACGTATAGCGAACCCGATCAGGGCTTGCTGCAGGAATTAAATGCCCTGGACCTGAGAATTGCCCCGGATTCACGGTATAATGGCCATCGCATATCTGCTTCAAGGAGAGTTGCGCCTCTGGCCGACATGTCCGCAAGCACGCCATCGATTCTCAATAGCCTCCCGTACGATAGTAACATTGAGATCCAAGTCCCGCGGCGAGGAAAGGGAGTCTCTACGCTGGCCCTCAGCCAGACTTCAACTAACCTCAGGTCAATTCCTCACCCCTCTGCCATCATGCCGGGGGCCTCGCCACCATCCTCGCAGATTCTAGACGTATCTACCGGCTACGCATCTGATCCTGCATTAGAGCCTATGTCCCGCGGCCCTTCCGGACAGTCTCATCATTCCTGGTCAACCGAGCCATCCCGCCACCCCCCCGGACCCTCAGCACTACCCTCTCATCTGCAATTTGCGGGCCCGCACCACTTCGTACCCCAACAGCAAACGCTGTCTGGGGCTGGAAGCTGGGTATCAGACCTAGGACAGTACCCACGGCAACCCCTCCTTAGCACCAGCGCCCTCCATGTTGATACCTCGTACGCTGGCATCGCTACAAAGCGGGCGATTCCTCCACTGGATACAAATGTGAGCAATCTAGACCCTGTGTGGGATCCTCCCACGGCTTCATCGGTGCACTTTGGTGCACACCGCGTGGATTTGCACGATGCCCGCCAACGATTAGAGGGATATCGTCATCAATACCAGCTTCAAGCACGGCAGCAGTATCAAATCTATCACGACAATCGGTCAGGACCGCTACTTGCGCAGGAGCCAGCTGTTTGGCCTCTACAGATGCGAGCACGAAGCGGGAGCTCACCCTCTTCTCCGGGATTTAATGGGTTAGGATTAGATATTTGAAGGGTGAAATATGCTGTGGAGTATTCCGGCATATCATATCACTGATTTGGCCAAAAAAAAAAAAAAAAAAAAAAAAAAAAGAAGAAGAAGAAGAATAAGAACAAAAGATTTGGACAAGAAAATGTGGACCAAAAATAATACTGTATCAGCTAGAAATGGCTATCTGGACACCTTTTTGGCTGAACGGTAAAACTGACAGGAAACAATGGCATAAGAAGCATCAAGTTTAGATGGTGTCGGGCACATCAAAGCCCATATACTGCATATTTACTGGTGTTGGATGGCATCCCGGGGCCTTTTAAAGAGAGAAGCATATTTTACTACTGGACTGGGAGTATCTACTTACCATGAAAGACTAGAAACGCATGCATAATTGTGAGTTGGAGGATTCCAGGGGGCCAAGGTATAATATAATATGGTATGGTATAGGTTTCCTGGATTACTTTTCTCTCAATTATTTGAAAAATGTTGATATCCTCCTGGTTTTTGTTTCAAGTATCAGCATATAAATAACGTTACTCTACTATTGGTGGGATACAAACCTAATGATTATAATATTATTGAAGCATTCCGTGGCTCTATCTCCCTAGAGAGATATAAACCCACGTAGTTCCCCACTGACAAGAACATAAGAAACCAAGTAAGAGGAGACCCGCCTCTTCGTCTTGTAGATCTATAGGTTCGTTGCATTCATTTGTCTGTCATAGACTGCACAACCTCTTGGGAGGCGGAGAAACGATGGCGCCTACCTTACTTAACCTTTCTTTGCCTTGTTGTACGGAGTAAGCGACGTCATGACTGACAACCATACTACAACCCGCACTTGCCATGTATGACGTTGTGACTGGCAACGCAGTAGATGGGCTACCTATATATTGGAGGAGGTACGAGACGAGATTCAGTATATATTAATTTGTACAATACAATCTCCGTTACATACCCAAGTCCCCAAGTCCCCAAATCCCCAAATCCCAAATCAATTTCTCATCAACGAACGAAATCATGTCATTCCTCACGCGCTGCGCTCCATCTGTTCGTGCGCTTGCACTGATGAACCCCGCAGCTGGTGTGTGTAAAACAACCACCGCTACTACGCCTGTCTTGGCTATTGGGGGGTCCTACAGATCGATCTCCTCGACAAGAAAGAGGGAGACTGGACCCGTGGACGCTGCGAAGAGCACCCTGAAGAAAGCTGATCGGCTTGTTTCCGATGCTGCGGTGAAGGGGATCGAGACTGGAGGTTTGTAGACACTTTTTTGTTTTTTTTTGTTTTTTTTTTTCAATACCGGGTTTGTTCTGTCCTTGGTTTGGGAACGAGATACTGATTTCTGGGTAGAATCTGCGGCACATAAGGTCAAGGAGACCGTTGGCGTGGCTGGTAGCCAGGCCAAGGAAAAGTCGGCGGAGTTGAAGGGTGCTGCGGCCGAGATGGCCGGGAAGGGTAAGGGTAAAGCCCAAGAGACGCTGAGTGAGGTCAAGGGTAAGGCGAAGGAGGCTGCAGACAATGTGAAGTCATAGGGTCTGGTCTCTTCATTGCGGGTTGGCTTTTTTGTTTCGAGTATAGTACTGTACATTATTTAAGGTATTTACTGAATGACAAACTTTGGATATTGTTTTCGTTGTGCCGTTCTTCCTTGAGTAACTGGAACTGGTTCGATCTAATCCGGCTGGGTGAGCATGAGGACGTACTCGCGAGAACTCAAGCCAAACCGAAGCACGTCCTTGTCTCGGATTTCGATGTATCGTCCAGCAGGAGCCGGGCCTTCATTGACTGTTGAGCCATTGGCACTCTCTAGATCGATTAGGTACGGCTTGACCTTCCCAATGCGGTCTCCAAACTCGTTTCTTTTCTCGACATGGCGAAACTGTATGGCTGCATGCTGCTTGGAACAGCTCGGGTGATCAAGAGGGAAATCTACCACCAATCGCTCACGTCCAATCAGCCAGCAACTCCGTTCATTCAATTCGACCATTTCCAGTAAATCTTTGCCCTTGAACACGTAGAGACGCCAGGACTCCTTTGCGGGAGGTTTGCGCGCTTCAGGGGGTTCATGGTACTTGAGAACCACCGTTCCTCCGTTCACATCCACAGTATTACTTTCGGCGGCCAAGCGCCCGGTATTTGCAAAATTAGGCTTTTCTTTCTCAGGCGGAGGGGCGACCAGGTCTCCATCCTGTGAGACCTCCGTCTTATACGCGTCTTGCTGGGAGGGTAGCGGACCTTTCGAGCGTGCTGGGGCGCGTGACGCAGGACTTCGGGAACGTCTTTCAGGCGACCGAGACCGCGAATAGCTCCGGTGCCTTCGCGATGGCTTTTCCTTAGAGCTATGGGGGTCAAGATTGCGATGTCTTCGGTGCGAGCGCTCTTCTGGGGATCGACGTCGGCGCCTTTTGCGGCCGTCATCTGTGTTTTCCGCTCGCTCCGATCGCTCAGGATGACGGCGTTCATACTCCCTTCTATGGTTAATTCGGGTTGAGGGGCTGCGAGAAGATGTCCTTCGAGGACTATCTCGTCGGGAACTCCGATGGTCGTCACGTCTGCGAGAGCTGCTGCTGTACTCATCCTCGTAACGGGACCGCCGCCGCCGCGGATCGCTATTGGGATCTAGAGAGTCGGCCGGCATTCGCGATCGTCTGCGATCAGATGATACGTCTTCCATGGGGTCAGGCATGTTGTGAGATGGTGGCCAGGTTGCGGTTCTGTTGATGGAAAAGAGAGCAAAGGAAATTGAAAAATGACGAAGCTCCAAAGCGCCCACGTGATGGTGGTGGAGATCGGAAGTTCGGCGGAGAAGCTCTCACAACCCCCAGATCAAACAAACCCACCATCTCTCTCTTCTGCATGCCTTTGAAGATATCCCAGTAGGAGGGGGGTCTTTTTTTTTTATCACTCCTCTTCTGAAATCATGCGGCAATGCTCAAGAAACCTCATATCATTTGCTATAACGGATTGCAGCTCTTAGGCCAATCTTACTCTCGATCCTGGCCCGCTTCTATAGCTAGGCCTTACGCCACAGCACCAGGAGGGTTCTTGGAGAAAGAACTGTCATGGCCCTCTAGCCCCTCATTTACCCCATACGATGTCTTTGGACAAGACCGGCGCGCGCCATATTCGAAGCACCGCTTCTACGAGCTAGTTAAGATCTACCATCCTGACCGGCCCTGCAATGACCATCCATTGTGCAGAGATATATCCCCGGAGCGGAGGCTGCAGCGGTATCATATCGTCGTTGCAGCGCACGAGATTCTTTCGAATCCGAGCAGACGGGCAGCTTACGACCGATGTGGAACGGGATGGCATCTTCACCCCGCAGGGAACCACCAGCCAACTCCGTCCTGGGCTGGGACCGGATCAAGTAACTACGGACCGATCTTTCACAATGCGACTTGGGAAGATTGGGAACGGTGGTATAACCGTGATGCACCCAGGCAGGAGACTATAGTTGATCATCGGACTTTCTCGGCTTTTGTGGTTCTTTTGGTGTTGTTCGGGGGTGCGGTGCAAGCATCCTGGATTGGAAAGCTCAGCACCGGTTACGAAGATAGACTTCGCGACCTCAATGAGCAGTCTACGAGGTTCCTCAATGAACGACGGAAAAATACCGTGAATCAGTTGGGAAGCTCCGAAGCAAAGGTGCAGCATTTCCTCATTCGACGAGATCCTTCGGGATATGGATTGAAGGAGGAGGAGGGGCCTGTATATCGCGAGGTTCTCAACGTCCGCAACAACTCTTCCTCTGAAGATGCTGAAGAGGAGGAGACCAAGGAAAACCGCGAATATAAACATACTTCTTAAGGTTTAATCATAATTTCTCCTTCCATCCTGTCTGCAGCATTCTGGCGGTCTGGGGAAGGAATGGAAATATGGAAAGTATAGAATTCATAGCTCACTGGTTGACTATTTACTACATACATACTTCAATCGCATAAGAACAGGTTAACTCTCCTGGATTTCGAAGAAGCTTGTCGTTCAAGTGAGGCCTCTTCAGGATGTAGGACTAGCCTCACTCTTCTATATGAATCGAGGGAGTTTTGAAATGGAGGTTATAGTCGAAGAAGTCGAAGAGTAACCAAGATTAAAAATCCAATATCGCTTTGTAAATGAAACTATTTCATGAAAAGCTGGATTCTCTCTACCACGAGAAAACAAGAATAATAATCCTATGTGAATAATACATTGTGTGGATTCCCACGGGTGTAAATGCCGCGGCTCTGACAATAATCTTCACGCCCTCCACACTCTTTCTCCTGCTTGGTCCCTTACCGATTTTCTATCCCCTCTTCTTCCATCCTTTTCCTTCCCTCCTTTGCAAAGTTATCCGCCTGTTAGTTATGTCTAGCCACCTAACAGTTGGCAATCCCCCCCTGTGAGAACACAGCACAGCTTGGAAAATATTCCCTCTCCCGTCGCCATGAGCGCCCTCGGTAGTCCCATTGCCATACTCATGGCGCTCCTCATAAGGATACCACTGATCGTGAGAACAATTCTCCTGCATAGCATCCGCCAATCTCCAGCCACGGGAAAACAGGATCTCCGTACCGAGCTAACAGTCACTTTTCTTCGTTCGTTCATGAATGGTGCTGTCTCCATTAGTAAACAGCAAAAGCGGGCCATGCGTGACCCTGGCATCAAAGGCCCGCTATGGGTTTCTAAGGTGAAATTTCCTCAGCCGGAGCTCGACGACGTCCAAGAAGCCGTGATCAAGGCAATTGAGGAGCTGAAATTGGGCGGCGAAACGTTCGATCTTCCCGGTGTAGTGCCTGTTGAGGCTGAATGGACGGGTTATCGTCGTGGTGTGGGGAAGAATGCACCCCAGCCTGAGATGTCCGAGGAGCAAAAGTATGCGGAGTTGAAAAAGGAGTCGAGGGAGGACATGGTTATTTTGTATTTCCATGGAGGAGCATACTAGTGAGTTAGTTCCTTTTGTGTTCCCCGAGATGACGGAATAGGCTCTCTAAGTTTGGCCTCCTTCTTCAAGCCTCATGGACCCTTGTACACACCGTCTTCCAACATCCCAGCTGTCCAAGCGAACAGGTGCGCCAGTTCTATCAATTCGATATCGCCTGGCCCCTCAGCACCCATTCCCAGCAGCCCTAGTAGACGCTCTTGTAGCCTATCTTTCCCTTATTTCTCCACCACCGGGATCACTCCATGCCCCTGTGCCTGCCAACAAGATCGTGCTTGCTGGTGACTCCGCTGGAGGAAATCTTAGTCTGGTCCTCCTGCAGACCTTACTAACCCTCCATCGCACGTCTCACCGCGTCCGCTTCCACGGCCGCGACATCCCCATCGAGCCTCCCGCAGGTGTAGCCACCAGCTCCCCCTGGTGCGATTTAACGCGCTCCATGCCTTCTGTCTTCTCAAATGCCAAATTCGACTACCTCCCGCCTCCCAAGCAAACCCCTGAAACAGCCTGGGTGCCTCCTTCCATCCCAGCAGACGATATCTGGCCTACTTCCCCGCCGCGAGTTGACTACTTCGTCAACGCCGATGCCATCTTACATCCGCTTGTATCGCCTCTCGCGGCACCAAAGCACCTCTGGAAGGACGCGCCCCCGATTCTCATCTCAACGGGTGAGGAGGGTCTCTCCGATGAAGACCTAATTCTCGCTCGTAGAATGCACCAAGGCGGGGCTCCTGTCGTTGTAGAGCAGTTTGAAGGCATGCCACACTGCTTCGGACTTGTCTTCCCAGGTACATCTTCTGGGAGCCAGTTCTTCGACCGCATGGCGAAGTTCTGTCGTGACGCTGTCGCAGGAAAAGTCACGCCTTCTGGGAAATTGTCTTTTATTGGGTTTAAAGCTACCTCGAATCGGGAAATTCCTTTACCTGACGTTAGTCCATTGACAGATGAAGAGGTTGATCAACTCCTGCAAACTTCTGCGGAGTGGCGGATGCAGGGTGAGATGGAGTTGAGGAAGCAATGGGTTGCGAAGGCTAAGCTTTAGATTTCATTGATACCCTTTCCTTTGCGCATATCTCGGATCAGCCGTCAAGCCTACAAATCTTAAGTGTAAGGAAACGATGCGCTCTATAGTGATATTAGACAGGACACTTAACTAATATCATGGATCTTACCGAAAATCACGACATAGCTAAAGAGTAGAGGACATGCCGTATCCTCCTAACATCTAGACAAGCACGAAGGGAGAGGAGGAGAGGAGGGATAAAGCGAGGCTCTAGTGAAATCTGTAAGGAAGGAATAAATCTTTTGGAGATTCCAAGGAGTCGCTGACATGGTGAAAGATTCAAGAAAGGAGAATTGTGTGGTGGAAAAGAATGACAGCTTGAAAGAACAAGAATGTAGTACAGTTGGTGATCACCTGATACCCAGTCCCACCTGATGCCTGATTTCACCACCACCAGTAATATTGAATATGAAGCAATTCAACCATATATAATTATTATTATCGCGTGATCTTTTAGTGGATAAATATAGTTATTATTAGGACTCTATATATAGTTTTTAATTAGTCTAAAAGTGCTATAGGAGCCGGATCTCACAGCCTTAATAATTTACTATTAGAGGGGCCTCTAGGACTTCTATAGATATTACTAGCCTCAAATCCTCGCTACGCTCGGCGGCTTGCATATTAGTATGATAGCTACTATATTAATGTAAGTATGGAAGTTAGAATTAAAATAGGTATTAAAGTAGATATTAAAGGAGGTATTAGCAGGCATTAAAGCAGGCATTGAAGCAGGTATTAGCAGGCATTCAAGTAGGCATTCAAGTAGGCATTCAATGTCACGGCGACCACGTGACATGCAACCACATGCCGAACCACATGCCGAACCACATACCCAGTAACCAAGGGTAATTAAGAGAACAGCAACATTCAAGTCACCTGCACCATGCCAGTAACTTAACTAGGCAATATAAATAGTAATATAATAACCCCTAAAGTACTAAGAGGCAAGTACTTTATTTTATTACTTCTAATACCTTTCTACTATTCTTATACTCTATATAGCTTTACTTCCTTTACTAATACTACCTATACCCAAGTACCTTGCTAGTAAGATACTTATAATTTAAAGTACTTCTTAACTAAGTAAAGTAATATAGCAAGTATAAGAAGGACTACTTACTCCTCCTTCTAAGAAATAATAGATCTAAATTTTATAGAATTTATAATTATAATCCTAGAAATTATTATTAAGAAAGGTTTAATAGTACTAGTAACTTTCTAGTATTAATTTATTAAATTAATAAAAGATAATAAGCTATAGTATATAGCCTAATATATGGTATAAGTTATATAAATAGGTAGGAAGAAAATACTTAAACCTAAGTTCTTTAAAGTATAAAACTTAAAGAAACTTAATATCTTTCTAGAAAATCTCTAAAATTACTTTAAGTTATAGGAGAAACTTTATAAAAATAATATAATTAAAATTTACTATATTATAGATTACCTAAAAAATAATATAAAGTAAGTATAATACTTTAAGTATAGAGTAAATTTTAAAGAACTTACTTATATAAAATTTATTAAATTTTTATAAAATTTTCTAGAACTAGAGAAAGATTATAAATAAATAGTAGCTTACTAGCTCTTATATATAAGATAAGAACTATAATAAAATATATAAATCTTAATAACCTAGATAAAAAAATTTATTCTAATAATTAAAACTAATTTTAAAAGATTCCTTTACTAGCTAGCTATCTAAATAGCCTAGCCTAAATTATATAAGGAAATCTAGCAGGATATAATAATATTATAAAGTCTAATTAAAGTTATTAAACTAGGGGTAAGATATAAGAAATTTCAGAAATAAGAAAAGTAAAAAAAGTTAAATAAAATATAATTAAATTAATCCCTAGAATCTTATATATTAAAGAATAATTTAAAAAAAAAAAAAAAATAATAATAAAGTAATAAATCTCTAATTAAATAAATTCTAGTAAAAAGAATTAAAGGAGAAGTAATAAAATTACTAGAATTAATAAAAGAAAAACTAATACTACTAGTATAATTAAATTAGTTATATTACAAGGAAATACCTCTAGTATAAAAAAGATATTAAGGGGGCAGGAAAATTAAAGAATTAGAATTAATAATAATTAAATACTCTAGAATCTCTAGTACTTTAATAAAATAAAAAGATACTAGTAGGACCTCTTCTAGCTATTATAGCTATTCTAGTAGGCAAGAAATAGATTATAATAAGGATATTTATAAATATTAGAGTAAATAAGAACTTTATTTCTTATTATTTCTTAGCTAAAGAAAGAATAAATCTTAATAAGATAAAAATAAAATAACTTATATATTTTATTAATAACTTAATAGTATTATACTATATAAGATTCTAGATAAAGAGCTAAATTATAAATAATCTTAATAAAATTAGAGAATTTAATATAGAATATTATATAATAAATTTAGAAAAAAAAAATATTAACTAATCTTAGAATATAGCTAGTTAAGTCTAGTTAATCCTAATATCTTCTTAGTAGTAAATACCTAATACTACTAAAAAAAAAAGTTAAAGATTAAAATTAAATTACTTAAGTAATTTAAGAATATAATAAGATAAGGACTTATTATACTAATCTTAAGCTAATTATATAATAATAATAATATAGTAGGGGCTCTCCCTAAATATTATAAAGAATAGAAATTAGTATTTTTAGAGAAAGAAATAGAAATACTCTTTTTTAAAAAAGCTAGTTATAATATATTATTAGTTACTAGTATAGTATTATTAATAGGCTAGCTATATAATATATTAAGAATAAAATTAGTAATCTTAAAAAAGTATATTAATTAAATATTAAAAAAAAAATAAATCTAGCTCTTAATAAGTATAATAAGCATACTAGTACTTTTTATATAAAAAATTAATAAATTATTATAGCTCTATATAAATTATAAGGGCCTGAATATAATTATTATTAAAAATTAATATTTTTTCCTATAAATTAATAAACTAATAAATTAACTAGTTAAAGTTAAATAATTTATTAAATTAGATTTATAAGATATTTATTATTAAATTTATATTTATTAGGATAATAAGTAGAAGATAGTATTTTATATAAAGTATAAATATTATAAATATTTAATTATACCTTTTAAATTATATAATATTCTAGCTACCTTTTAAGTATATATTAATAAAATAATAAAGAAGATTCTAGATAAATTTTATATAATATATCTAGATAATATTCTAATTTATTTATAAATAAAAAAAAAATATAAGTATTATATTAGTAAAATATTATTATATTTCTAGAAATATAATCTTTATATAAAACTTTTAAAGTATAACTTTTACTAGAAAGAAATATATTTCCTTAACTTTATTATAAGAATTAAAGAAATTTAAATAAATCTTAAGCAGGTATATATTATAAGTAACTAGCTAGAACTATATTTATTCTATAATATTTAAGTATTTCTAGAATTTATAGAATATTTTTAAAAATTTATCTACTAATATTTTAAGATTACTACCTTATTAAGTAATATATTAAAAAAAATAGTAAAGAAAAGAAAGAGTAGCCCCTTTAAGATAATAGAGAATAGTTAAAGTATCTTTAAAATACTAAAGTAGATATTCTCTAGACCCCTAGTACTATAGTATTTTAATCTAGAATAAGAGATATTCCTAGTAACTAATATATTAGGTTTTATAATTATAGGAATCTTAATATAATATAATAATACTTAATTTATAAAAATATAGTATATTATTTAGTAATCTATAGTCTTTTACTTAAGAAAATTAATTAAGGTAAAAAAAAAATATAAAACTTATAATTAAGAATTACTAGTTATAGTAAAATACTTTAAAATATAGTATTATTATTTTAAAAATAATTTATATATAATATATATATAAATAAATTATATAAATCTAAAATATTTCTATACTATTAAAATTCTAAATTAATATTAGATTAGATAGGCTAAATTTCTAGTAATATATAATTTCTAGATTAAATATTAATTTAATAGCTTTAATCTAGCTAATATATTTTTAAGGTAAAAGAATTATAAATCTACCTAATAAAATATAATTAAGAAACTCTTGCCTATACTTTAGGTAAAGTTAGGAAGTTTATAAAATAATTAAAATAAAAGTAAGATAATAGCTCTCTAAAAAATTCTAATTATATAATTAAAAAATCTAGAACTTTTAATCTAAAGAATACTAGTATAAAGGGCAGCTAGTAATAAGTAAGCCTATAGGATATTATTAATTACTTTATAAGACTTATTTTAGGAAATATAATATAGGGATACTTATATAAGTTAAATTTAAAGTAATACTAGTAAGGAATACCTAGCATGCTAGAGGTATATTTAAATAGTGGGAAAATTATCTAAATAAGAAGTAATAAAATAGCTTAAGAATAATATTAAATAAAGGTAAACTTATAAAAATAGATAATATATTAATAATAATAAGCTAGTATAATATAGTAAGACTATTTATATTTCTTTTAATTAAATAATATATTAAGAATTACTAAAAATATATTATAATAACCTATATATAAGCTATTTTAGTTAAGAGAAGATATTAAATCTTATTAAATAAAAGTTTTACTAGAATACTCTATAATATAATATTAAGAAATATATAAAAAGTTATCTAATTTACTAGAAAATAAAGATACCTAGATAACTTTTACTAGGCTAGCTTATAAAGCTCCTAGTACTAGAATACCCTTAATAGGACCTAATTCTAGACTTTATTATAAACTTATTATTATTAATATAAAAGAAGTATATATATAATATTATTTTAGTAATTATAGACTAATATATTAAGGGAGCTAAATATTTCTTAATAATAGGAAATATTAATACTAAGAAGCTAGCTAATATATTTATAAAAAAGATTATATTTAAAATAGGAGTATTAAAAAATTTAATAAGTAATTATAGTTTATTCTTTACTAGTAAATATTAGACCTAGCTATATTAAGGGCTTTAAGTTAAAAAATAACTAAGTATTATATTCTACTTATAAATAGATAGCTAAATAAAATATTAGAACTAAATATTAAAGATCTATCTAAAGATTTATATTAGTTATTAATAAATTAACTAGATAAATTAACTAGATATAGTAGAATTTATATATAATAATATAAAAAATATATTATTAGAAATATCCCCTTATAAGATATAATATAATTACTAGCTAGTATTATCTAAGCTTATTAATATTAGGAATTCTAGTATAGTTATAATAGTAGGAAAATAACTTAACTAATTATAAGTAAAATATTATTAGCTAGAAGAGAGCCTATACTATATTATTAAATAGTAAGTAAGGAGCTATAATAAGAGGTATTACCTAACTAAATACTATATAGACTAATAAGTATTACTATTTATAAAGAATATTTATATATAGAGACCTAGTAAAAAGCTAGATACTAAATATAAAGGGCTATTTAAAATAGTTAAGATAATAGATTAATAAATATACTATCTATAATTACCTAGATTATATAGAAAAATCTACCTAGTCTTTTATATATTATTTCTTAAGGAATAGAATATAAGAGATAGTAATTTACTAGTACTACTCTAGCTAGTTATTATTAATAATAAGAAAGAATAAGAGGTAAAATAGATTATTATATAATAAAAGCTATATAATAAAGACTAATATCTAATTAAATAAAAAGAATAATTAATATATAAGAATACTTAATAATTAATAAAAGATTTAAAAAATATATAAGATATTCTAAATAAGTTTTATTATATAAATAAGATATAAATAAGATACTAGTAAAATATTATAAAATAATAAAATATAAAAATAATAAATTAATAAAATTAAGGAACTAAAAAAATTATAAAAATATATTAATAATATTATTTTTTTTCTTTTTCTTACTAGATTTTAAGATTTAATAAGAGTATATTATAGATATTAAAAAATTTTAAAAAAATAATTTAATTTTATTATATAAAAATAAAAATAGTAAAATACTTATATTATAATATTAATAAATTCTTAATTATTATAATTATTCTAAATCTCTTTATTATTATTCTTTAATTTTATTATACTACTCCTAATATACTGCATATTAAGTAGGCAAAATATATTATAGTTAATAAATTAAAGTAATCTCTTTATCTAGTCCTTAATTTTAAAATAATAAATAAAAATCTTAGTAGTATAAGCTTATTAGGTACAGGCTATTATACCTGCTATTTTATTAGATATTACCTAAATTTTTCCAAGACTAATTTATATAGGCAAGATAATAGGAAAGTACTTTTTATATAAGTAAGTATATTAAGTATATTATTATTCTAAGTTTAGATATATATAAGAATAGGCTTCTATAAGATTATTATCTATATATTATTAAGACTTGGTATAATATAGGTAATATAGTATCCACATAATGGTAGCCAGGCTAGTAGAGGTAACTAGAATAGTTAGAGTAGCTAGGACTATAGTAATAGTAGGAATAATAGGAGCCAGCATGATAACAAGAACTAGTATAATAATAGTAGCAAGAGTAGCTAGAGTTATTATAATAGAAGAAGTAGAAGGAGAGATAGCAAGAGTTACTATAATATTAAGAATAGTTATAGAGAATAAGGGGGATATAGTCCTACTAGATAATAAAGTAATAATAGCAGGAACTATAAGAGATATACTAGTAATAATAAGAATTATAGGTACTATAATTAGTATAAATATAAGAGGGTTTACTATAAGAGCCTATAAATAATTAATATAATAGACCTATACTACTAGAATAAAGATACTTATAAAGGAAAAAATAATAATAATTAAATAGGCTCTTTTCTATAAAGATATAGCTAGTATAGTATTAGATAGAAAATACTTTAAGGAAGCTATAAGATCTATAATATAGTTAGCTATTATTATAATATTTAAGTAATAATAACTTATCTAGTATAATATATTAACCTATTAAGAGGGACTTTTTAAAATATAGATTAGGCTAAAAGAAGTATATATAGAGAAGTATTCCCCTATAATATTTATATTATAATAATATTTTTATTTATTATTAATATATCTAGTAAACTACTTATTTCTATTTATTATTTTATTTAAAGTAAAATATAATACTATTTATATTTTATTTAATAAAGTATAATTAATAAAAGTAGTATTATATATATTATTATTATCTCTAGTATTAAATAAAAAAGTAGATTATATTATACTAACTAGGACTAGCTCTTCCTTAGTAGAGTACTAAGCTAGATTAGGTATAATATATACAGCACGTGGATATACTACTAAGAAAAGGGGAGGTAATTATTATAGTAATTATATAATATATAACTATATATTAAATTACATGCTAAATTATATACCTAGTAATTAAGAATAATTAGAAGAATAGTAATATTTAAGTTATCTATACTATACTAGTAACTTAACTAGGTAATATAAATAGTAATATAATAACCCCTAAAGTATTAAGAAATAAGTACTTTATTTTATTACTTCTAATACCTTCTTACTATCCTCATACTCCGTGTAGCTTTGCTTCCTTTACCAACACTACCCATACCCAAGCGCCTCGCCAGTGAGACGCTTACATTCAAGTAGGCATTCAAGTAGGCATTCAAGTAGGCATTCAAGTAGGCATTCAAGTAGGCATTCAAGCAGGCATTCAAGTAGGCATATTAGCAGGCATTAAAGGAGGTATTAAAGTAGGCATTAAAGCAAGTATTAGCAGGCATCAAAGCAGGCATTAAAATAGGTATTGAAGCAGGTATTAGCAGGCATTCAAGTAGGTATTAAAGCAGGTATTAAAGCAGGCATTCAAGTAGGTATTAAAGCAAGTATTAGCAGGCATTCAAGTAGGCATTCAAGTAGGCATTCAAGTAGGCATTCAAGTAGGCATTCAAGTAGGTATTAAAGCAAGTATGAGCAGGCATTCAAGTAGTCATTCAAGTAGGCATTCAAGTAGGTATTAAAGCAAGTATGAGCAGGCATTCAAGTAGTCATTCAAGTAGGTATTAAAGCAGGCATTCAAGCAGGTATTAAAGCAAGTATTATGTAAAGCAGGTATTAGCAGGCATCAAAGCAGGCATCAAAGCAGGCATTAGAGAAGGTATTGAAGCAGGTATTAGCAGGCATTCAAGTAGGTATTAAAGCAGGTATTAAAGCAGGCATTCAAGTAGGTATTAAAGCAAGTATTAGCAGGCATTCAAGTAGGCATTCAAGTAGGCATTCAAGTAGGCATTCAAGTAGGCATTCAAGTAGGCATTCAAGTAGGTATTAAAGCAAGTATGAGCAGGCATTCAAGTAGTCATTCAAGTAGGTATTAAAGCAGGCATTCAAGCAGGTATTAAAGCAAGTATTATGTAAAGCAGGTATTAGCAGGCATCAAAGCAGGCATCAAAGCAGGCATTAGAGAAGGTATTAAAGCAGGTATTAAAGCAGGTATTAGCAGGCATTCAAGTAGGCATTAAAGTAGGTATTAGCATAGTAATAACTTATAAAAGTAGATAATATAGGAATCTCTATAGCTAACAGGTTAAGCAACATCCCCAGGTTCTACAGCACGGAAAAGATGGCCCTGCGGGCCATAGTTCTTCCGAAGCACGCGTAGAACTCAGCACGGTGTACGGGTCATACCACGGGTGTTTGAGGGGGACTTTCATATATTATTTAATTAGCCTGGTTTCTATAGATTTTTACTAGCATGAAGCTTTAGAGACCTTCTTTAGAGACTTCTTTACCTACTAGAAGTTATTTTAAAGCTAGTAATCTACCTTCTTTACTAGGCAAGTATCCTCCTTTTATTATTTCTTTTACTCTATCTCTAGTAGCTATAATTCTTACTAGAATACTTAATTTCTCTTTTACTCTTTAAATAAGTATTATTTTTTCTCTTTAATAAGTTATTAATAGACCTTCTTTTACTTCTTTAATATCTTAGTAAGTTATATAGCTTTATTCTTTTATATTTAAAGATTATAAGCCTGCTAAATCTTTTAAAGAGAGTAAAAAATTATATTATTATTTTTAGAAATTATAAGCTTAAACTATAAGAGTTTCTTATATTAATATTTTTTCTTTTTATTCTAGAGGGCTAATTCAAGACCTTAATAATATAATTTTAAGATAATATTTTCTATAAAAAAATAATATATTATTAAACTTAATTTCTTAATATTTTTATTATATATATTAATAATAATTTAATTTAAAAACTTCTTAATCTTCTACTAGTCCTCTACCTATAGAATAAAGTATAAGAAATTACTTAAGGAGGGCCTAGAGTTATTCTATTTATTAAATTAAATTAGAATTATTTCTAGATTTAGTAGCTATATCTCTATAGTTTACTATAAAGAAAGGATATTTTTTATTAATAAGGCCTGTTTCTAGGCTAGCTAGAAGAAGTAGAAGAAGTCTTATTTAATAATATAATTAAAGTCTATTAATTTATATAGAAAGTCCTTAAGATTCTTACTATAAATAATAAAGAGAGAGCTAAAGATCCTAATATTAAATAGTTATAGTAAATAAGTTAAATAAAATAGATATATTATTAATAGGATCTTATTAGTATTATAGTAATTAATAAACTTTATAGTAAGGTAAGATCTATAATTATTAAAAATAAGAAATCTCTATTATCTATATATCTTATTCTTAATTTTATAGTTAAATATATTAGTTAATTAGGTATATTCTAGCTTATTATTAATCTAACTACTTATAAAGGAGGCAAAGAAGTAAGAATAAAGTTTAGGATTAAAGTTTTAAAGCTAGGAATCTTATATATTACTAGTAGAAGCCTGGTAAATAAGATCTAGTAAGAGAGAGATTCTATTAGTATAAATATAAATAATTAAAATTATTTATTTATAATTTCTATCTTATAAGTATTACTTAAGTCCTCCTCTAGCTATATATTTCTACTTTAAGAAAATTTTAAGATCTTTAACTAATATTTTAATAAGAAATTCTTTCTTATTTATATTATAAATATCTTCTAGCTATAACTTATATTACTATATTTTCTAGCTTAATAACTTGAAATATAGAGTATATTTATATATAGAATTAGCTTATTTTCGCGTGGTATTAATAGTTATTATATAGGTTAAAATAAGATTATCTTAGTAATACTTTATAAAGTACCTAGGCTAGTATTTTCTAGACTTCTTACTAGTAATTTCCTTTATAAAATTCTAAAGTATCTTATAAGATATAAAGAGGCCTTACTTAATAAATTTATTAATATAATTTATTAGTTCTTTTTTATATTAGTTAGTAAGAACTTACTATTATTTATATTAGTAGTCTTTAAGGTACTATACCCTGTAATAGTATCTTAATAATATTATTTAATTAATATCAAACTCTTTTATAATCTTAGTATAATTAATTAAATTACTAATTTTTAACAAGTTGATTACTTCTATCACGGCTTTAATTAAACCTATATTGGTTGAGATATAAGTTATTAAAAATTATTAAAAAAATAGTTAGTGAGGGGAAATCAGGCATCAGGTGGGACCGGGCGTCAGGTGATCACCGACTGTATGTAGGAGCACGTGCTGCTGTCGAGTACATATTCTTTACCCTCAAGTTTATTTCACTTCTTTTTTCCTCCTAAGCTTGAATCAGGATATCTCAAGTTAAAAAATGATGTAAAACCAGCTGTTAACTATTTTATATTGCTAATACTGGACCAGCCAAATTACCTTCAGTACAAGGAGATCCGCCTAAAATGGTCGCAACCATCACATTGCAGAGATAAAGCACACCTCTATAGCAGCATGCCAAATCAGGGATTATATATACAGAGGGTTGCAAAAGAGCTCATGCTAGGTGTCATTAAAGTGATAATTCTCATCAGAAATCCTGTAATGGCAAGGATATACCTTCAGTTTAAAGGAAAACGCCTGTTGACCATGCTCCTAATTCCAGCCACCATTTCATAACACCATTGGATTGCGTCCTCTCAGTCACCAAAAAGAAAGAAAGAACTGAAAAGGGCAAATCAAGATCTTGCATATTTCCCTTCTACCAACCTTAAATATATTCATCGTCATCCATGGAACCATCATCCCAGTGACCCCCCCCTGAATTAGTTGCTAAATTCAGACTTGGAACAGCCTCAGGAGTCTCCTTCTGTTCCTTCCATGGCCATTTTGGCAGAGAATTAATAAACCCTTGGCTGTCTGGAGTTGGGGTTGCCGAAAGACTGCCTACTTGAGTACCGTGGATCCAAATCGTGCCGGAAATGTTGAGTGCAGGGGGCTCGTCATCCACGTATCCATCCCAAAGCCCCAATACCTGCGCAGAGAACCGGGCGAGGGCGAGAAGAAGAGCCCAAAGAGGAGCCAGGATCTCTGAAACATGGAGCCAACGCCATAGCATCGTTGGAATGACGAAGGGAAAGCGAGGGGCGTCTAGAAGAAGGCAATTTCCCGTGCAGGCAGAGCCTACAAACGGATGACAGTAGTAATCACACATAGCAGTCTCCGATAGGTACCAGCTCAGTGCGAGAACAATACACCACCCGAGGGCAGTGAGACGCAGGGCTCGCGAAACAGGATTGCGTTTCCATAACCGTAATGACGGCAATGGAATGGTGGTAGAGTGGTTGTCCTTGGGCGTCCTGCATGTTTGACAACCCCCTTCTGCAGGTGGTGCCGCTGGCTGTGTTGACCCGTCAATGGATTTAGAAAGCGTCGAAAGCACATCGTTATCCCGAGATACTTGCACTTCCAAACTATCAAGACCCACCTTGACCTTGGCAATATTCTCCGTCAATGACTGGAGCTTTCCGTGCAGGCGATCCAGATCACCTATATTAGCTGATTCAGAATTTGCCAGTTCCAGTTGCTCCATGACTGATTGCTCGAATGCAGCGTCGTCCTCTTCCTCAGTCTTGAGCCCCGTTGGTCGCTGCTCCATGAGTTCTTGAAGCGACTCGATTGTGTCATCACCAACATCTAATAGATCTTTGTGATCCTTATGGTCTTGTAAAACAGTCTCTAGCGCACTCTTTGGAAGGTCAGGCTTGATCGGGGCCCGTTTGTTTTGCTTTCCCGTTTGCTCTCTGCGACTCTGCATCTCCTGTTCCTGGCCTCGCACTTCCTCGTCTTCATTTTTCTCCTTCTCTGGGAGCTTTTCTTCCCCCCTCGGTTCTGACTCTTCCTTTTCCTCAATTCTCCCTTCGGTAGGTTTGTAAGTCTCCCTTGGCCACTGTGGCTTCCAGTCTGTGGAGCTAGTCTTCTCGACAGCTTTCTTTCCCACCAGCTCAACCGGCTCGGTTTTGAGTTTCTTTGCCGGCGAGCGGGTAATGTTTTGAGACAGATCCTCTAAGAAGTTTGTGGAACGCTCAGTCATTGGGGTATCTATCCAGGCGCCTGTCACAACAGGCGTTTTGTCATAGATACGTCTCTGGCCTGTGGTTTCTGGAGTCTTGGTCGCGTCCGAGGTTTGGTTTTGATTTGGGCTTCCTGCTCGAGAAAGCCTCCTGAGAAGGTCTTGGGAGTCCCGCTTCGAGGGGCTGCGCTTCGTGAATGTCGAATTTTTGTATATAGTGATCGGTGTGTTGGGGATCTGGTCTCCTTCAGGTAGCTTGTCGACCATTGGTTTGAACAAGAATTGCTTGTATGTGTCTAGGACGTGATTCTTTTGCTGTCGGCCTGTTGAACGATCCCCGATGGTATCCTTCTCAACTCTAGCTGCTGTAGGGCTAATCTTTAAGCTCACATCGTTAGGAAGCTTCCGAGATGAAAAGTCTTCCGGCTCATCGATAGTCGATCCAACCTCAGGTTTACGACTCCGAGTGAGACTCTTCATCCATCCCTGATTAGATCTCCCTTTACTTCCCCAAGTCGAAGGGACGCTTATTGACGGTCTGAGATCATCTTCTTCCTCCCAAGGGAATTTAGCTTCCTCTTCCTCTTCTTCGCGCCGTCGTAGTTGCTCCGACGTCAACGCAGGAGAATTTCCAGTTCTGTTCAGCACCGGTGACTGATTTGCCGTAGCCCTTTTCAACCGCTGCGCATCCTTGGTGTAGTCGACGACCCTTCGACGCGGCGACTCGTCGGTGAAACTAGCATCGGACGGCGCAAAAAACCTGTGCTCTCGTATCGAAGACCCTGGTGATAACCTTCTGTTGTAACTGTCGGGAACGCGTGTGTAGAGGATGTCATCGTCGTCGTATGCTTCGAGGTCGTTTAAGCTCTCCACATCGTCAATCTGCCGATACGCCTCGACCAGCTCGTTTGGAGGGTTCGAATCGGGAGTCATAGTATTACGATTCTGGCGTCTTCTTCGGTTCGGAGTTGTTTGCATATATCCGGATACGAAAATGTCTTCTTCACCCTCTGTCGTGAAGGGTAGGCGCGATGCGGCTTCGAAGGCCCCTCTTAGAGTCCCTGTTTGACTGAAATTCCTCCGATGGTGCGCACTAGAACCACGGGAAGGGCTGAGGCCATGCGACGCGTCGAACCCCCCCGACTCAATCCGGGCTCGTCGGAAGGGAGAGTGTGGCTGTTGCTGTTGTTGTTGTTGGCGACGCGACCATGACGTTCGGGGACTGTTACGCTCGGGGGTGGGCATAGTGGCAGAATCTGCGCCATTCACTCTTCCACACTCGCAGAGAGGGGTTTAGCACGCGCAGTGAATAACAATAGCCCCAAAACAGGACTAATAGCAACAGGAGCAACCAGCATGAATGTATGGTAAATAGTCGAATAACACCCGCAGTTGGGGATCTTCATACAGCCCCAAACAGGTTAGCGGGCTTCAGGAACTTAAAAAAAAAAAAAAGAACCACCATCGATGACGAGTACAGACCAGATCTGGAGTTACTGTCTTCATTAACGCTCGGATCCAAGCTGAGGATGAGTTGTCAGTTGATCTGAAACAAGAGTACGTCTTCTATACTTGCTATCACTGTCCAAACCCTTCGCAACTAACCAACATGTGACCCCATCAGATGTACTGATCATCAGCTCTGCCGTCGACTTCGTGGCTCCCCTCCTATACGGCATTCCCATTCTGAAAAGGATATCAGGCTACGTCCTGAATACATAAGGCGTGTACGGCACGGGAAAATCTGGAAGGTCGATTTCACTCCCAACTTTCCGCAAAGACCAGCTAAACCCCCCCCCTAACGAGTTATACAACCCATAAACTCCGCACGCAGGATGGCCAAATCCGCAAGGCGATCAGCCAAGGGTAAAGCCCCGGTGATTTCCTCGGTATCTTCCTCAGGAGCCTCTACTCCAAGCTCGCAATCGGGCCCTCTTCCTCCATTTACCATCGCGCCGCATTCGCTCACTCCCTTCCTCGACCTCCTTTCCCCGGAAGGGGTGTACCTCGTGCACATCGACACCACTACACTAGAAGTCAAAAAGCAATCCTTCATCGTACCCTCCATCATCAATGTCTTTATCATCGCTCTCCTAGCCGTCCGCATCTACATGGGCCGCAAGGTCTACCCAGCCTTGCTGGCGACCGTGATAGGACTCACCAGCTCCATGAACGTAGACACAGCAGCAATGTCCTGGGAGGAAATTGGGAAAATAACTCTCCGCCGTGCTGGTCCAGTCATATTTGACTACTTCCTCGTAACTCTATTCCTCTCCTGGCCGATCCGGTTCTACTATGGACCCGTCAAATGGCGCCGCAAGATCGGGTTCCGCAACCACGAGATTATCGTCCGGTGCAGCCAGTCTCGTCTAAGCAACAGCCTCGAGCGCAATCGCTGGATCCGAGAGAATGAAGAAATGCGTGATAAAATCGTTGCCGCCGTGACACCAGACCGCATCCGAAAGACCGGGTATCTCCTCGTAGACGCGGACTGGGACTTGGACTACAACGCGATGATCATGGCGCATCAACTCGTTGATAGCACCCGCGACGGCTCTGGCCTCCCGCTCGACGAATTCCGCACTGCAGTCCTAGTCAATACCGATACAGATGGTTGGCTGATCTGGCACGTGGGTGACGAGAACACAGAAGAGGGACGAACACGATCGAAGCAACGAGATCAGATCCTGGCCTTCAAGGAGAAACTGACCGAGATGGGCAAGGAGGAACTTTTCTTCCGCTGGGTTGAGCTAATCCAGTACGAAAGCACCCGTCCTGGCGGCTTCACGCCGGAGAGACAGGAGTCCGCCATGATCCAGGCAAAGCAGCTCTTCGAGGAGGCGGATGTCGACTTTGCTCGTTTTTGGCAAGAGGTTGGCGGCATGGAAGGATTTGCGGATCAACTGGACTAAGTAATATATGATTTTGATCCTTTTTTTTCATTTCTTTCTTCTTCTTCTTCTTCTTCTTCTTCCTCCCCCCCCCCCCGGTACCTTTCCACTAGCAGTGATGGCGTTTATTTGGTACTATTACATCATCATCATCATCATCATCATCATCAGGCGCCAGGAGAATACCTGGTATGTATAGAACAGATCGATAAGGTAGTTAGTTGGTCATAACAACCTTAGGAATGTATAAAATCATACAAGAAAGCACAGCACATGGCACACTACGCGCTATAATAGCAACATCCAATTCTAACTCATAAGCGACAGATGGATAAATAGGTAGTAGGTAAATAGGTAGGGAGAGCAGTAAGAATCACCAAAAGTAGTGGGTAGATATATGATATGGACAAAGAACACTGCTTGCCTTGTTCCTGCATGCAGAAGGGTATCATTCACACAGCCAATATCGGAATCTGATAATTGGCAAATATATGCGCCATCCCAGATAGCTGGCGGAAGAAGAAAAAAAAAAAAAAAAAGACAAACCAGACGCGCCAACCCCCATGGGAATTTTTAATAACTAGATAGGTACTTCAAAACGCCCTTCTTGTCGTTCTCCCTCCCTTACTGAAACGTTACATGGTACTATTGATCAGGTGCAGTTCACTGATTACCACTTTCGAGACGATAATCAACTGACCAGAGTTTCTCCCACGGCCGATACCGGGCTGCCTGGCGTCGACTCGGGGTCGACTGGGACGAAGATAAGCCGCTGTTCGGGTTTGATGGGGAAGAAGGAGACTTGGCGCTGGCTGGATTGGGTAGGTGTTCGCTGGGCGTACTCTCATGGGTTCTTTCCACGTCCTATGATACTCCGTCAGCTTCGAGGAAGAAAGGGAATACGGGGACCGCGGATTATTCACGGACCCTGGAGTAGGTCGCGGCGAACCTCGTCGAAGATAGGGGCTGCATCTCGTGGGTGCGAGGTAGCAGAAGCAGCGTCCGCCTCAACTGGACGTGCAAGTTCCGATGTCGATTCGTTTGTTCGGTGCGTGAGCGGCGTGGGCCCTTTTTTGTTGGAGGCTGAGCTATTTCGACGACTGTCAAGGCTCTTGGTTAAGGTTTTGGTAACGTTGCCCCCGGCTGGAGTGCGCTTTAGCCGGATACTGCCTCGTGCGTCGACGTGGGCAGGGGCAACAGTGCTCTTTCCGAGTCCTGGCGTTGCAGGAGCGCCAGGCTTTTCTTCCGTTGCATCTAGGAGATACCAGCGCAGCCCATCAGACAACTCGAAGGGGTTTTCGTCGTCCATGGAGGCACCATCGCTGACCTCGCCAATGGATCGGCGATCGGGGTTAGCTCCATTTATTGACTTCGATAGATCTACCACTCTCTCTTCGATCTTGGTGATACGGGCAAGGAGCCAGTCCCGTGTTTGGAGTTTATGGACGTCCTGTTCGCGGAGGAAGTAGTGCGGTGCCCCAACATTGAAAGCCGCCCAAGACCGAATAGCCTGGTTTCGGGTTGGTAGGAACAAGGCCAGATCGCCTTCCTTGAAGGATCGATAGGCAATCTTATCATGGGCTTCACTTTGCATTCGGTGGTATTTATCTCGGTATCCCCGCGCTTCCTTTTGCCATTTGCGAGCAAGAACTTCGATGTCTTTCACCCGCTTAACCACTGCATCGCCGAAAATGTCAACGTTGAATTGATGCAATGATTCCATAAAGGCCGTGAACCTATTCTTTTCTTCCTCGGCACTAGCAGATTGCATCCAGGTGAGAAGTCTAGCGTCTGGTTTAACTGACACCACACCTGACTGGGTAAGAGTCTCGCCAGTAGCAGAGAGGGCATTGATCTTAGAAGATCTCTGGACAACGATCTCACCATCTTGCCGTAAGATGGTAAAGCCAAGTTGCTCCAACATGCGTTCCAATTTTTCAACCTGGCCAAAGAGTTGTTTTGAGAGTTCTTCGGACCGTGTAGCGCATAACCCAATCCTAGCTGCGGCCTGTTGTTCCGAATCAGTTACAGATTCGACTCGCTTTCTCCATGCAAGAACTTCCTCCTCAGATTGGCGCGCTCGCGTCTGGAGTTCAGCCAACTGGTGAGACATTTTGGTCAGTTTTTGCTCTTCTTCTGAAACACGCTCTCGAAGAGCATCGGAGCCCGTTTCACCGGCAGCGAGCTTGGATTGCAAATCAAGCAGTTTAGATCGTTCCTCATTCAGTTCAGACTCCACAGACGCGAATTTCGATTTTTCTTGCTCAAGCTGAGCTTGGGCTTGGGACAACTCCGATTTATACGTGTCTGAGAGCTTTCTTAAATCTTCAGCATCCGACTCCATCTTCTCTAGTGTCTCCGTGAGCGTTTTGTTTTCAGCTGCCGCCTTCGCCGCATTTTCCTCTGCATTCTTAGTGTGAATAGTTAGGCCTTCAGAAAGTATGTCAATTGCCTTGATGATGGCGGGAATCTCGTCGGGGGCTGGACCTCCTGGGGATAGGTTCATGAAAGCAGCCTGTAGAGTACTAAGAAGCTCCTGGTCCTTCTGTGCTTGTTCAAGCCCCTGCTTTTCCAGTTCATCAATACGGGAGCGAAACGCATCCTCTGCCTCTTTCCGGGACTGTATCTGCTCAAAAAGGCCGGTGGCCTTTTGCTTCGCTTCATCCGCATGCGTGTGGGCCTCTTGTAGCTCTGCCTCAAGCTGATGCATTCGCTCCTCAGCATCTTGTTTCTCGTGCTCACGACTGTCCGTGATTCTATCTAGTTCCTCTTCGAGCTCTTCGGTACGGATTTTGAACCGCTTCACTTCGCTCTCCAGGTATCGCCGTTCATCATCGAACTCGCGTTGTCGAGCTTCAAGATTTCCGATAAGATCATTCTTTGTAGACTGAGCTTCTTGCATTTTATCTGTATTAGACTGCCGCTCAACATGTGCTTCTTTTTGAAGCCGTTGTACTATTTCCCGTTCCGCCGTAAGCTCAGCCTCAAGATGAACGATACGATTCACGAGTGCCTTTTCCTCTGATGTTTGATTCGAAGACATCCGCCTTGACGATACCGATGATCTTCTCGATAGAGTATCTGGGTGAGGGGACGCCGGAGAACTAGGGAACTCAAGAGAAAAGTTCCCACTTGATGGGCGGCTCATATGACTATGACGATGTAGGAGATCTTCCAGCTTCCGAATTCGGCTCTCTGAGCCTCTAAGTTTCTCCTCAAGCTTCACCTTCTCATCTCTCAGGCTTCGCACCATTTCATCACTATGAAGTAAGAGAGAACTTCGGCTCAAATCAAAGATGCTTCCTTGCTTGAACGCTTTTGCTCTGCGACGTTGTAGTCGTGTAGGTGCATCAAGCTCTTTGAAGAGTTGCGTAAGCTCCTGGCAAATACTGGACATGCCAGGCTTTAATTTTAAATCCTCAATATAGGACTCAATCTCTTTTCGATTAACCAAGGGCCATTCATACTCCTGGCCACGTAAGTTAACTTCGATTCCCGGCGTTGTAGCATCAGTGATAGAAACGAAATCTCCCATGTTTTTCATCCATTTCTTTCTCCGACGCTGTTCTTCGTCCTGGAACACTGACATTTCCTCTGCTAGTGTCAAGGAGTCACTTTTCATCTTAGCACTGAACTCACGGCGCCTTACAGACTCGATCAGAACAGACCCGTAAACCAAAGGCATGTGAAAAACAGAGTAAAGTACATCAAAGGCGTCGCTTTGAAAATTAAGGTTAATAATTCGGGCTTGTACGTCAGCTAAGCGTGATTCAATAGAGGATATCAGTCGCATGTGGTTCAGGGCGGCTTTGGTTGCGGCGTTATATCGTCCAAAGGCTTCTGATAGACCCCCTTGGATTTCAGCTCCAATTTCCAATAACGATGGTAAAAGATCCTGCGTGTGGCTAAGGGCGAGTCTAGAGATATTGGCTAGTGTCTTTTGATTATTCGGCAGCGCCAAAACATGCTCATAGTCGGATTGGATCTTCCTAGATATTGTCTCCACTTCTTGGAGCAGACCATCGACACTGTTGTTACTTGAGGGGGAAACGTCATCAAGCAGACGTTGAGTGTCTGTAGCAATGCTTCCGACAGTTTTCTCGATATCCTCGAACTCGTGAATGAACCGCGACGATGCCGCGGAAGCTTCTGGCCCAGCTTTATTGACTTCCCCTGTATCCACGTAGTCAACCAGGGCCCCTGTTGTTCGGTCTGCATCTTTCTTCGGTGTTGATGGGCGGCCTAGGAAGGAGAAGTCCTTCCGAGCTGGCACGCTTTCAAGGGTAGCAAGAGCTCTCTTCCATCCTTCAAGGGCCGTCCGTTGCTCTTTCACCATTTCATTTACCCAGGTTTGCGCTTCCTGAAACCTATGTTCCAAGCTCCCCACATGTGTTTTGAGGTTCTCAAGAGCTACACCCGCAGCACGATTTACGATGTCTGTTCGCTCATTGTGCTCATGGGTGGTCTTGTCCGCCGATTCGCAGCCCTCCGCCAAACTCCAGGCCCATGTTTTCCTAGCCAGATATAGATTCCTCCAGGCTTGTAGGTCGTTTTGGTCCGTCAGGGTATCGGGTGGGTTGTCGAGCGCGAGAGGCTGGGGGGAGGGAAACCTCGGGGGCTCAACATTGTCTTGTTCGCTGACGTATCTTCTGTCATATACAAAGATCTCACTCTATTTAATATTTAGTGTAAGGTTAGCTTCTAGATCTCACAGGGGTCGAACGATGATGGCTAGATAGGCCTACCTCCGTGGCGAGTGTTTGAATCTTTACGTTCTTCCCACGAGAGGTCATCAAGATCTGCCTTTGGGGCGGGATCGATGAATTCTGTGTTATCCATGACCGAAGTGCATCCGTACTAGGTTTCGAGAGAGTTCACAGTTAGCTAGTCTATTCCGTGCTAGAATGAGGAGGCAAGCGCCTAATGGATAGCGTAGAATTGATAAGGTGCAGGCAGGGCACGAGAGCTTACGAAGAGAACGACCCCGGGTCTGCTATTAAATGCTCACCTGTGTGAGCAACATAAATATGCAAAGACATCCCCTCCTCACCAAATGAGCAAAGCAGCTCAGAAGTCGTATGGCGAGGAATGCGGGATGGGGGACGATAAGAAGTCGTCAATGTCGCAGGGCTTCCCGATGCCTAAGGAGAGCTTCCCCGACCTAAGCTGTGTTTGGGAATGACGCGGGCCCGAACAGCCACCTAGAGTCTCCACCGCCCAAGATCGCGGTAATCCAGGGATCTTTTTTGTCTTCTGAAGTGCTCACTGCTTGGGAGAAGTCTGAAGTAGGTACCGTCTTACTGGTTGGGATTTTTCTTTTTTTTTTTGGCTATCACACGATGCTTGTTCTGACCTGCCACGAGGATTTGCTATATGACATCGACTAAGGCCCATTCTTTCCCGAGCCTTACGCCGGGGGAGATCACTCTGTTAGACCGGGCAGGTGATGATCCTCGCGACACGATATCTTTCTCTGCGAAGGAGGCGTTGATCCTCCAGCTGTATCATCAGATCCAGGAACAGCAGCTAGAGAAGGCACTCCTCGAACAAGGTAGGTTATTTATTGAATTTTTTTTTACTACTTGTGTTTTGTTATGGTGGTCCGGTCGTGCTAACCCTTGCAGAACTAGATTCAGCCTCTGAGGACAATGATGAAGAACAGCTGGCTGTCGCAGAACGCGAGCTTCTGGAAGCGAGGGCCACTTATACTGTCAGAAAGAAGGCAACTAACACAGTGCTGATAACTGATCCAATTTTGAAAGCGGTTCATTTGAAGGCCGTATCTCCAGCAGAGCGGTAAGACTTCGATCAATTCCTCTAGCAGCTGCGCTATATCCCCGCGATTTAAGCACTGTATCCTCTGACCATACACAGAGCTCTTGCGCGTCTGATCAATCGCCGCGATGTATTATCTTTTGCGCAGGAGAATTTCACTACTGCACACATCTCAACAGTCAAGCAGCTCTCAACGCTCGAGGTGGAGAATTTACAACTTCACCAGAAAACCCAAGAACTCGCCCGGGAACTTCTAACCCTGACCAAAGATGACGATTCCTGGAAGGACCAGCTCGATGACCCAGGGCTCAAGCAGCAACTGGTGCAGCTCGAAGCAGATCACAAGAAGAGTAAAGCGAAGTGGGAAACGATGAAAAGCGTTGCGAGTGCGATTGTTGTGGGCAGTGGAGTAAATTGGGCTGAAGATGAAGACCTCACTGCTCTCGTACTGGATGAGTCTGATGACTGATGATGACTGGATATACTTTATCGTATTCTTAGGTAGACACTACCTAGGTATACTGTGGTTACTTCTTCATTCGATAGGCGTTGGCAGATACCCATGGCTTGTTGATGAGAACCCTTTTCCCCCCTCTTCTACATTTGATCCTCGAGCTATATATTACTCCAGAACCCTCCCAGAAAAAATACCCTCTAGCGAACTACGTAGCGCTATTATTATCTCGTACTCTGCACATGTCTTGCCCAAAAATAGGCACAGTGGTGACGGACCCACGTGACATCACGATCCACCCGCAGAAAAGAAGGCGTTTTTCATAGGATGTGTCAAATAGTGTTGTTACTGACGAGTCTCCGCCAGAAAGTTAGTTTGATCCTGCAAGGATAAGATGAAACCCTTGAGATGGCTGAATGATTCAAGGGGAGAAAAAAATAAGTAGTAATGGCCAATGTCTGCGCGTAATCGTCGTCGTAGTAAGAATAATAGTAGTGTAGCAGTAATAGTAACCGTAATATTTCTGAAGTGACGGAGGACAGAAAGAAAGCCTTGGGGAAAAAAAAAATACTGCATGAGTGGGAGCGGAGCCGGCGTTTCCAGATGGAACAGGAAGACTCAACTCCGACAACAAAAGAGAAAAGACTTACGCCCGAATAATGTCGATGATTATCATTAACTACGGAGGAGTTAGTTATGATTATTGTTGTCTATTATTAATTAACCAAGCGACCAGCAGGTTTACAATACCAAGGGCATGCTAGGAAAGCTGTGTGGCCCGTAACTAGTAGTAATACGATCCAGTAATTCTAGTTTTCTCTGGGTAAGTTTTGCTGGTGTTTGAGCTGGAATGCAGTGGCATTATTTATTTACTGGGTAACTTTGAATCAAGTGATGGGACCCGTTCCACTTATAAGAAATAACAAGAAAACATCTAGTTTATATTAAACTATATTTTGTCAATAAGAGTTCAGAAAGGAAACTTTTACCATGTTATAAATTGCATTCGGGAAGAAAGATCAGACAACCCCAGTCTAGCCGCCTTCTGGAATTCCATCAGCTTGGCTGATTACGGTATTGAAACAAATAAAATTCAGGGCCGACAAGTATCTAATCGATATTTTGGGGTCATACCTATCCTAGTATCATTCGGTGTGACTCGTAAATTTGCTGAGATTTGTTCATATTGTACTCCGTATGCATCTACTCCGTACTTACCTTACTTATAATAGACCAAGCGGAGGGCTACTTACGGTAAATGGCGCTCTTTCCGATCATTATTGGCAACTGTCCTGAGTGTAGAGGAGCGTAGGTACCTAGGTAGTAGTCACCGCATCCATTGGGAAAGAGGTTCAAGGTGAGGAGAATGCGTCTCTTGTGTGACTTCACATGTTGTTGCTATGTGTACTCTGTAGATAACAACTTAATCAAGAGCACCAAGAAACGAAGAAAGAAAGAAAAAATTATTTGAACCAGAGGAGTTGGATAATTAGACTTCCATCTTTTCTTACATGGTGGATTCCAGGCGGATGATAACCCCGAGATATCCCATCTAAGATACCTATCAGACGTTCTGGTACCTGGGAAACTTGGTACTTTGAGAAGATAATCCTTGGTCCGGTGTTGAAAGGGAGGGAGAAATCTGGTCTCTTGCACCTTGACTCGACACATGCAAGTGGGAGGAGAGCAAATAGTAGTACGCTGCGCTGCGCACAAGAGCCGGAAACTTCAGAGGCTGACAAATGTAGCTCATGTGGAGAAATTTTGTCATGTACTCCGTAGGTAGGTACAATATCCCAGGTGTACAATTTTGATAGGGATGGATGAGCAACGCAAAATAAGGAACTTTCTCTCCCCATTTTATTGAAAAATAATAGACAACCATCCCCCCACACCATCCTTACTTTCCTTTTCATTTATGGGTAAAAAATGGGTCAGCATTGCGAATCATGATTACATACCAAAATTTCTGGACGGATTTTGCGATCAAGGTTGTCAGGTCACCACCCCCCAAAGTGTGTGTGTGTGCTTGGGGAGACAGGTACTGGAATTGCCCGTGCCCGACAAAATCCCCTCATACCTGTATTTCCAGTTACTGAATGGAGAAGGCCTTAGGAATCATATTGATTTTTACTAGGCCTATTATTTGGCATTATTATGAGGTATTATTATGATTTTCCGTAGTAGTGACTTCTGCTAGTAGCACACACATTGGGAGATAGCTGCACCTACAGAAGTATGTCCTGGACAATAGTACGGAGTAGTAGTAATAATAATACCTAATAAGAAGAATGCTTGGGGAGCTTGCTACTGTTAGGACTAGTATGACTGTGAGTCTACTGGTACGGGAGTTGTACGGAGCTTTCTTGTAAGATGAAGAAAGCATGAAAATATGCTACGTACGGAGTACTTGGACGGAATACTAGGTACAAGTACACTCACACAGAGACTCTGAGCATAGAGTGGTGATTGACTGTATCTATGGTACCACTAAGTCAACTCACCACCCATCACCGTCCATGATGTGATATTTTACCTAAGGTAAATTATCCACATAATCTAGTAGTGGCGTAGGTGCGTGTATCGATGAGGTATTGTACAAAACCGTACAACCGACAACAGTGGAGGTGTGAGAGAGAAGATACAACCTCGATACTGGCCACCAGGAAAGGGAGAGAGATTCGAGGGATCAGAGAATTTACAGGAATCGAGAGCTTGCCTTTCCAAAGCAATTTATTTACCGTAACGGAGGAAAGTTCTGCAGCGCCCCATCTCCTCTTCTACGCAACAGGGAAAAAAATAGAGAGAGAAAAAAATTACAACATGAAGGGGGAAAAAAAAGCACAGGGTATGTATGACTGGGTAGTTGGAGTACGGAGTCGCCCCGACCGTTGCAGGGGGAAACCGAGAATATAACGGTACATAACAGGTAAGATACAATACAGACCATTCCCCAGCAGCCAGCCAGCCAGTGGCAGCAACGAAAGGCAGCTCGGTTTCCTTCCCTTGCTGTGCTCTGCCCCCCTCCCCTTTCCTAGTGGTAGTAAGTGAGTCTAAGTGTGTGTGTGAGGTAGGTCAGTAGTCAGGTAATGAATGGCCCGCTTCCCGTCTCTCCCTCGCTCTCTCTCTCCTACTACTACTACTCTCCCCTCTCCCTCTCCCACTCACTCACTCACTCACTCTCTTTCTCTACTACTGCTTCTCTTCCCATACAATTTGTCTCTCACCATACAAAAAAGTACACCCGCATCGGTGAGTATATAGAATAAACACCCTTATCCTCGAGCACTACTGTTTCACCACCACCACCACAATTAATCTTTTTCTCGTTTCCAACAACTTGTTCCCTTCTTATTCTCTTTCTTTGTCCATCGTCCTTTCCCTTGATTTTTCCCTTCATCTTTGCGCCATCTTGTTGTCGCACATTCACCACCACAGTTCTATAGTCCGCGAGCTGATCATCCCATTCTCATCACCAGGCAATAACGCCAGCTTCAAATCCCATCTTCTAATCTTTTTGTCGATTTTATTTCCAGGTAAGTTGCGTTTACGCGCGCTTTTTTGTTCGTGTCCTTCCCCCCAACCTGCGACCGCGCTCCCACTCTAGCTGGGGCGCGCGCAGCGCAGCTGGTCCGCCCTCCACGCTTCTCCCTCGGCGCGCACCGTCGCATCACATTCTGTTTCTTTTTCATCTCGTCCTTCGTGTTGCTTGTGTTTTTCTCTACACGGTTTTTTAATTTCGCTCGTCAATTTTTTCCGTGGCGTTGGGAATCCGTCATCACGTATCCCCTGTTCGTCTATCACTAACACATCGATCGTCGCAGTTTTCAACCTTCGTCATGCCTAAGGAGAAGACCACCCGCAAGACCAAGTCCCGCTCCGAGGGCGGCCGCAAGAAGAAGGGTAAGTACATTCATTTGTCGCGTTCTGGCTTGACTAACATCCTCTCCAGACCCCAACGCCCCCAAGCGTGGTCTCTCTGCCTACATGTTCTTCGCCAACGACAACCGTGACAAGGTTCGCGAGGAGAACCCCGGCATTAGCTTTGGTAGGATACAGTATCCCAATTCTTGAAGAAGATTGATTGATATCTAACTATCCTAATAGGCCAGGTCGGAAAGATGCTTGGAGAGAAGTGGAAGGCTCTGAGCGAGACCGAGCGCAAGCCCTACGAGGACAAGGCTGCCGCTGACAAGAAGCGCTACGAGGATGAGAAGGCGAGCTACAATGTACGTGCTTGAAAGTCTCAGTTATGAGCGAGTGATGCTGACCGGACCGCAGGCTGGCGATGACGATGAGGAATCTTCTTAAGTGGTTATCACTGAGGTTCTCCTGTCGCTGGACCAATTGGCGTTGTGTGTTCTTTGCTTCTATTACTGATAATCGTGTCAATTGTATTTCTTGCCTTTTTATATTTCCTTTTCCTCTGTCAACGGCTTCTGGGATGGGATGATGGTGGTTTCTCCTTGCTTTTCTGTTCACGAAGGATCTTCAATGGTAAATGTTACTTTATGGACTGGCAGGTTTGGGATGGTTTAACTTGAATCGGAGGGAACCCGGCGCTGAAAACAAGACCGGCGGGGTAACCTTGTTTTGAGGACCAAATGGTGAAATATGAATTGAAGCTGCAGAAAGCGATGTGAGGCAACCTCGCCTGCTGTATACTAGCATAATCCACCACATGCTTTCCTGTTTCAATCTGTGCAGTGCATTTATCAATTTTTGCGATGACTCCAGTTGTGCAAATATAAGGGGTCGTACCTCAAGTACATCAAAATAACTGCAGGATGCACCACTCACTACCTTTAGACGACGGGAGCTTTGTGACGATGATTCAATCGTGGATAGTTGAGCTGCTGAAGACTTTTGAAGGGGGGGGGGGAGAAAGAGAGCTGGCTGGCTGGCCCGAGCTCCCAACCATGACGCCGGGACGGGGTCTCGATTCTGCACCCCGACAGGTCATTTGTTTACCTTTACGGAGTACGTGTTGGACGCGTCTGGCTCCGATATCTCCGAGGTTTCAGTTTTGCCACCAATGATGGATAATGCCTGAGGCCGATTTCAACTCACCCTATTAGCAGTGCCTGTACTCCGTACTCGGTACTTTCCGTTTTGTTCCGAACAAAGATCGAATCTTTGGAATTCATAAGCGTGGATACTCGGGAGTATATGGAAATTTCCTATCTATTTCAACCCGCGCATTAGTACATTATACATTACCCTGTAGATGGAGCCAGCACTATCTATCCCTCTATCAAACCACACCCACGTAGCCCAAGCAAGGCAAACAATTAAATACTTGCCCCCCAAAAAGTATTGACTGACAACACAGTACTACTCCGTACAAATCACTGGAATACACATCTATCTATCTATCCTGCCTAACCTAATAACTAATAAACTAGCCACCATACATGACATGTCTGCATTACCCCATGCATGTGTCCTTGTTAAGAGGCTAAGAACAAGACTGCTTTGGGTACTGATACAGCCCTGGATCAACGGGTAATAAGCAACCAGCCAACCAACCAAGAATTCCCCAGTAAAAAATATATTATTCGTCTCTGCTCCAACATATATACTCCGTAGTAACCGTGTAGGGTTTGAAAGCATAGACTGATAACTAGATTACCTGGATTTGTATAGGTGAGCGAGCCTATTCAGATGTATTATTGGGGGAGATACCTGCGTCTCCAACTCAACGACACACCTATACAGTCCTTTTGTTCTGAAGTGAGCAGACACCTGTTGATCTCTAGAATCCGATGCGGTGTTGCTTGGCTGTCGAGTCAGAGGGATAATGTGGTTTTCTCAGAACTATTATCAGTGCCTCTGTTGCAAGCTGTCTGGGCCCCGTAACCGTCAAGGCAACGAGCTACCTAGTAACGTGTCTATACAGTCCATAGTAGGAAGTCCACCAATATTTCGCAGCTCCTGCGAGTCTCAGGCACTGACACATACGGTCGTTTTTGATGTTGTGGATAAGGAATAGTTATCATCAGGATCTTGTGGAAGGATAAGTTGTAGTAGGAGCTGATTCACAGGTTCCAAGTTCTATAAGTGATGTCCAAAAGTTGAAGATATTCAGATGCCAGAAATTACAAGGGTCATTACATAGCCCTTAACATGGCGTATTATGCATCCAGCGGGGTTGCTCCAATTCATCAAACATCATGAGGTACTCCGTACAATATAATATATGGACTAAAATCCCGCCACGCAGCTCTGCCGCCCATTATACACAGACACGTCAACGGCCCCTTAAGGCTGAATCTGTTTCATGGCCAACACTCTATGGGAAATTAAACAAGAGTCGGACTGAGAGCCGCATGTCACGATGAACAAGATCTTGCCTTCCTTACCCTCAGGATTCTTGTGCTACAGTCATGAGTGTGGACATATGACTTGATCGACTTCTCTTCCTCTGGTGGTATTATTATACTTCTCTGGCCCTAACTAACCTTCACGTCGATTCTTCTTCCGCCCCTTCTACGATCTATCGTCTTGTGGGAGAGCGAAAACTCCGTCAATATGCATCCGCGGGATGGCCCTACCTATAGCACCACATTCTCCAGTAATAAATAATATTCTGTGATTTTTGGATGGTGGGCTTCTATTACTGAGTTGTCCGCACTGTACCCCTCCCTCACCACCTATTTGAATTCGTTCCAGTTCATCGCTCTTATGTAATTTTTCGCAGTTATTTTGCTTCCCTCCTTCCTCCGTTTGCTCTCACCCTCTGCCATCTCTTTTACTCACCAGACACCCCCCGCATTTCCTTCTTTTCTTGTCGCTCTCCCTTCTCAAATTGCATGGACTATACTAGCTGATACTCGCAATGGCCTTGCGCACTTCTGCCGATAATGCAGAGGACGTGGCCGCGGGTTTTCGACGCTTCCGTGACCCTCTTCCTGAGCATGCCACCGAAATTACCGGCCTTATCGCCGATCTCTTTACCATAAGTTCCTCTATGAAGAGTTTAGAGGACCTGTCAAAAGATCGCCACTCCCGAACCAATCTACTTGTTGCGCGCCCGGATCTGGAGCTTGTCCGCGCCAGTTTGAAGTATACTCTTGAGGACATTGTTGATTTTTTTGGTGATCTAGAGGAACGGACAGCGTCCAGTCGAGATGCATTTAAACGGACCTGGATGGACCTGTGCCTATTTTTCCTGGAGGAGTCTCAGGTGTCCTTATCGACGCGCCTATCCAGATACAAAGTATTCCTGAAAGAATTGGAGGATTTAGTGAGGGGGTAAGTTCGTCTTTCTCCAATGGAGTCACTGGTATTGACCGGGCTGTACGCCAATTCGCAGTCAACCTTACGATGTGATTCACGTATCTGGCCTTCGGGAAGCTTTCAAGGCACTGTTGATCCAACAAGACAGTCATCTTGCCGCCCGTCTAAGTGCAATGTCCGTGAGCTCTCCATCCTCCGCCAGTAGCAACAGTACCGCACCTAGTAGTCCGGTGAGTGACCGCAGGCCCCGCAACCGCAGGTCTTACGAACGAGCCCGGCCCCCGCACCTCTCCCCCCAGACGCCTACCTCTCCTTCGTCTGGCTCGTTTTTCGATGTTCCTCCCCTCACGCCCGACGCTCCGGGTTCGCCTATCACGAGTTCAGCTACCAGTCATTCATTGGGATCCAATCCTTTGAGCGAACATTGGGCTAAACAGGTCTTTCTTGGGGGACGCACGGCAACTCGAATTCCCAATGTGGGTGAAAGGTGAGTTTTTTTTTTTTTATGGGATATGCCTGTACAAATGGTGCTGATAGATCCACTAGCTCAAAATGTCTTGGAGACGCGCGATCAGGACTGAAGCCATGGCTCCGCGATGAGCGGTTTGATGAGCTTCTCCAGCTGTAGGAATAGTTCCTCATACCTTTAAACTGCAATTAACAGAAATGACTGACCTTTTTAGGGACTTCACTGGCGCCTCTGATTTTCGAGTATACTTCTACCTCCGGGAGGACGATCACCGTGTACGGATCGTCTGCAGATCCGCCCGACCCTCGAAGTCGAGTGAATACTTCTGTTTACCGTTGAATTTGCTGGAAGTGATTCGAGATGGTTCTTCCTGTCTGCAATTGTGCCGACGGCGTCACAGTGGCCAGGAACTCATAGTGTGGGCCAACCTCAAGTTTAGTACAATCGAAGGTATGTCTTGCTGTATCAGCTGTTGATATATGGAACTAATAAATCACAGAAATGGTTTTTTTCTTCTGTACATTTTTGGCCCTCCGCTCCCAAGACTCAGGTCGACCAGTTGGCCGGATTCGCGACTACGAACTCGACGATGAGGAGGAATTATTCGGAGGGTAAGACGCTACACATCCCCTGCATTCAGAAAGCACTCACCGGTATAGACCTATAGTTGATGACAATTACCTCCACGCCTTGCGTGTGTACCGGGACAACGTAACCGGTGCTGTAAGGCTCCAAGCCTCGGTTCACAAAGGCGAGATGAAAAGGTAAAGGTAAAGTGTAAAAGACAAACGGAGCAGGCTGACCATCGAGCTCTGTTCACAGGGCACCTGTTTGGACTGCGTTCATATCCGAAAACGTCAAAATTCGAGGGTGGTATCGTCGAGTAGAATCGAAAGTTATCCTCTTAAGCGAGCTCCGCCAGATCATCTTCACTTTCTCCGAATACACTCCTCCACGAACAAAGAAGGGGGGGTATCTGTTGAAATTTACGAGTCGTGCTGGTATGGTCTTTCCTTGTCCCGAGAAATTTTTTTTTTCCCCAGTTCTGACATGCACATCAGACGCCGATGGTTTCATAGAAACCATGGCCGAACTTGCGAGTTTAGGATGAACCCAGCCCATAGTTATAACTAGCCCAGAATTTGTCAGAACCTCTTTGCTTTTCTTTGCACTAAGCAATGAAGGTAAAGGGGGGGAGGAGCGAAACAGGGCTGGAACGAAAACCAAAAGGGAGAATCCGAATTCAGGATAGGACTTGTAATACTTCTTTCCTGGATTCAAGTATTGATGACTGATGAATTACGCTTTCACGACAGATACGACTTGGTACTAATTCATTTGGATGGTTGGGGCCCAAGTCTTGCCCCAGTCTTTTGCGGTAACAGCAGCATCTCTTGAATTACACTTGTACTTGACTTGGACTTATGGGTGGTGGGCTTAGCAGGCCTCTGGGTTTTGGCGGCGCCGTGATGTGATCTATGATACAATGATACAATGATACCACCGGGTGAGCTGAGCATAGATGGAATCAATGATTGAGTCGTACTGAGTAATAATAAGCTACTGTAGATGTAGGTAGTAGACCCTATGTACGGTAGCAGGAATTTTTGTCAATAAAAGGGTATCTCAAATCGCAGGTTAACAAAATCCACAACTCCCAGGAGAACAGTCGAAAAAATTACCAAGCTATCCCAAAACTCCTACATCGCCCAGTCCAGCTAGGAACATTTCTGCGCGTCTTTTTGCACGTAGTTTATCAACCTCTTGCTTCCGATTCTCCTTTGCCCGCTCCCGCGCCGCGCGCCTCTCGCGTCGAGCATCACGCTCCTTTTGCGTCTCTTCCCGGGCATTCATAAGCTCCTCCATCTGCTGTCTGCGAACATCCTCATCCTTTGAAAAGGCATAGAATCCTGTTCCACGATTCCGAACCTCGGCATCGGCATCGTAATGCGTTTCCTCCGGCGTAGGTGACCGATCTCTCCGCGTGGCCAGGTACTCCATCTGCGAGGCGACATTCGCAGACGGATTGAATGCCTCGCTCTGCACCGCAGCCCCGTAAATCAGATTCTCCGGACGAGCCGGGCGCCAGCGCTCACTGGTCTCTGCCCCCGCGGAGTCCTGCTGCGCCTTTGCCCGTGCAGCCTGCGCAGCCTCCCTCCGAGTCCCTCGACGCGTTCGACCCAGCTCATCCTCGTAAGAGATAATAGAGGCATTGCCATCATCTTCATCATCATCTTCGTCAGACCCGGACCCGGACCCAGATCCCTTGGCTCTCTCGGTATCGGCCCATTTGCGATCAAAATCCACCAGGCCTTCTCGTTCCTTGCGGCGCAGACGAGCCAGGTACGCGTCTTGCGCCTGTGGTCCTGGGTCGTCGTCTTCGTCGCTGTCCTCCGCTAAGTAGAGCCCGCTCTTCATGTCGTCGTACATGCGAGCCTTCTCCTCCATGCGTCTCTTGGACCGGTAGAGCGTGGCGGCGTCCACGGCCCCGATGTCCCCGGAGCGCTGGTGGGTTTGGCGGACAGCGGTGGTGGCGGCGGCGTCATTGTCATCGCGGAGATCGGCAGCAGCGCGTTTCTGGGCGCCCTTGTTATGTCGTGAAAAGATGTCCGGTTTGGGGGCTTTGGAGGGTCGAGGGCGCGCGTGGCTTGTGGCGTTGTTGGAGTCCCTGGAGGCGATCAGGGAGGAGAGCGTGGTGGTAAAGGCGAGGTTTGCAGAGGAGGGGGGGTCGGACTTGGTAGTTTTTGTCCGGGGTTGGCCGTATAATAAGGGGTTCGACATATCTCTCTTCTTTTTTCTTCGAGTACAAGTGTATGCTTTGAAGAAGATCCTCATCTCATCTCATCTCATCTCATCTCATCTCATCTCATCCTGTCTTCGTTAAGTTAAGTTAAGTATATTTTGGTGGTTGGTCGGTGACGATGACTAAGCGGTAGTTACCCCATCGATCGATGCGAATCGAATCGAATCAAAAGTTGGATGGAGTCATGATTTCTTCCATCTCCAGGTCTCTGCTTTCGTCGCTTTTCCTCCCAGACGATAGAAATTGAGTGATTGACCCTAATTGATATGTCTACCCCTATCTATCTTGGTGTTATTGGTATGTAATCTGGCACCCTAGAAATCCTGATATAGAGGCATATATATATAGATACATCTTGAAAATGTCTCTACCCCGCCATGTTGGCTTTTGAAGGTCATGTTGTACTGATTGGCTATATTTAGGCGTTGGAGGTGTTGGGAGTGCCTTCATCAAACAGCTTGCCCATCTTCCCAATGCTCCAAAGCTTATCCTCCTCGCTCGCTCTAGCCAGACTCTCCTGGCCCCCGCTCCATCCTACTCTCCCGCCATCCCCGCTGCGGACTGGAAGACCGCCATTGAGACTCCTTCCCTGACTACCTCTGGTGCCCTGAGCCCCGAAGAGATCGCTTCGTACCTCTCCGCTGCCCCCGGCCGCTCTATCCTTGTCGACAACACCAGTGACGTTGCCCTCGCCAGCTCCTATCCCGTCTTCCTCCGCCAGGGCATCTCCATCGTCACCCCGAACAAGAAGGGGTTCTCTTCCGACCTGAGCCTGTGGAAGGATATCTTTGCCTCCGCCGCCCAAGGCAAGGCTCTTGTTTACCACGAGAGCACTGTTGGTGCTGGTCTCCCCGTGCTCTCCACCCTGCGGGATCTCGTCGCGACCGGCGACCAAGTCACCCGCATCGAGGGAGTCTTCTCCGGCACGCTCTCGTTCCTGTTCAACACTTTCGCGCCTGCGTCGGGATCCTCCTCTGCGAAATGGAGCCAGGTTGTTGCCCAGGCCAAGGAGTTGGGATACACAGAGCCTGATCCTCGGGATGACCTCAACGGCATGGACGTTGCCCGCAAGCTTACCATCCTGGCTCGTATCGCTGGTTTGGAGGTGCAATCGCCGGCCTCGTTCCCTGTTGAGTCTCTGATCCCTGCGGAGTTGGCTTCGCTGCCCTCTACCTCGGACGGCATTGCGCAGTTCATGGCCCGTCTTCCAGAGTTTGATGGCCAGATGACTGCTGTCAAGGAGGCCGCGGAACAGGTCGGCAAGGTGGTGCGCTTTGTGGGGAGTATTGATGTCGGAACGAAGGAGGTGCGTGTTGGACTGCAGCAGTTCGACAAGGACAGTGCCATTGCCGGGCTGAAGGGTAGCGATAACATCATCAGCTTCTATACCCGCCGCTACGGCAACAACCCGCTTATTGTGCAGGGCGCTGGCGCGGGTGGCGATGTGACTGCTATGGGTGTAACTGCTGACCTGCTCAAGGTGATTGAGCGGCTGCACTAGTGCATATATGAAAAAAAAAAAAAAAAAAAAAAAAAACTAGCTATCTGGATTAAAAGCATACATATATCTAGAATATAGTCTATGAACGCAGATACCCTTTGACAGCTTCTCCCCAGTACGGGCCTCTCTTATACGAGTGAATAACAGGGCACACTGCCCTCTTTCAAGCCATCAATCGCGAGAGCCAGATCCTCCTCACCTAGTCCTTCATCCTTGATAGTTTGAATTGGGTACGTATATACGTATGAAACGCAAAAAGCCCCGTCTCCCCAGTCATGACACTCCAGTTCACGCGCTGCACGAACTTGCCCGCCTCAAGCCGAGCAAAGAAGCGGTCCATGCTGCGCTGCAGCTTCTCCTTGTACCCGGGGACAGGGGAGTGGATGTCTGCAAGTCGGCGGCCGAGTTTGATGCGCGGATCAAAGCCAGCGGGGGCCGGGGGAGTAGGTTGTGTATGCTTGGAGGATGTACTTTTCTTCTTCTTTCCCTTCTTCTTTGTCGTTTGTTTTCTGGGATCCGCGTCCGGGTCCGGAAAGCGATTCAGACTCCGGAAGAAGGATAAGAAAGTCCTCGTCTACCCAGGTGCCGAGGGTATCGAGGCGAGCGAGCATTTGTTCTGGGGTTTCATCTGGAGCTGGAGCTGGAGCTGGAGCTGGACAGTGAGAACGAGAACGAGAACGGAATGGAATGGAATGAATGAATGAGCACCAGAAGAAAAAAAAAAACAACAATCCTAAGATAAAGTTGGGTCCTGGGTTGCATGGATCCGTATACCTGAACAGGAGAGATAAATGCTACTTCGAATTTGATATCGCTTCTCTTCCGATTGGTTCTGATTACCGCTCAACGCTGATTGATTGACGTGCCGGCACTCAAGGGAAGACTAGAGTCGTCGAGAGGGAAAGAAATATTAGATATTGTAGGTATATAAACATGCAGCCAGGGTATCAATGCAAAACAGAAGTACTAGGAGCAAATCAAAGCAGAGCAACGCAAAACAACAGATCTCCCGGATGTCTAACAGAGCTATCCTACCTCACCAGGAAGTAGCAGCCGCTCTGGATTCACACCAGAGAAAACGCAGAAAAAAAAAAAAAAACATCCACCCATCCACCTATCCATAATCAATCACGAGTCGGAACCTCGCGTCCTCCTTTGTTCACATCAACGCCGAATTCCTTCTCATCTGTCTCGTCATACGCACCCAGCCGTAATCGATCAGGAAGCTCATTCAAACTCGGTGCACGAGGGCGTTGCATCCCTCGCGCTCGCCCCCCAACAACAGGGATCTCGTACGTCAGTATCCGCCAAATATATAAACCGAAATCGAAGACAATCAGCACCGCCCAGGGAAGGATCGTCAGGATACCGAGGAGAATCTTTATCTATGCGTTAGCATCTCCCCGGCACCCCCCTCTTTACTTCGGCCCACCCGGCCGCCAAGGGGAATTGAATGGCACACATACAAAGATCCGAACAACCCAGCTCTCGATGTAGATCAGATCTGCGGGGAGGAGAGAGTACCACGCCATTGTAATCGAGTTATGTATCCCCGTTTCACTTTCGGCATATGTTTTTCTTCTGCTGCTGCTAGAGGGATAGATAGAGATAGTGGACGGGTTCGTCTCGACCTGTTGGTTCCCTTACCGTGTGCCTAGCTAGGCCCAGGAACTCTTCCCCGCACGGAACTGAAGTCCACAGCCAGTGCTCCTTTTATGCAACAAGAGTATAAGATTGGCCGTCTCCGTAAACAACCACGTAACTTGAAATAACGACTTCAATAACACCGAGTGCTAGCCACAATCAGAGGGTCACCTTCTCTTTCTCGGCTGGTATGCCAGCTACTTGCGGAGAGCTGCGGCGCCGGCGGAGTTCGGGTTGGAGTTCTCGACGGAAAGGAAGGGGAATCTCAGGTCGGGACAGACTGTCAGTACGTTCCGGGCTCGGGAACGACTGAACATCGCATTGTAGGAGGGATTGGGAGGATGGAGATGCCACGGTGGATGGAGAAGCCACGGTGGATGAGCACAAGACACGAAATTTGGCGAGGGAAGTGAGGATCGGCCCAATCGGGTAATTGGTAAGCAGAGCTGCGGGCTCGTCGATTCATGCCTGAGGTGCTCAACATGAGGAATTTAGAAATTGGGTTACACAGATTTCTTATTCTCTTCATTGTGAAGAAGGCATATACAGTGTCTGTTGATCTCTTCGTTATGTATTATTCACCAATCGCTATGCTTTCTTGTACAGTGGTATATATCCCTGACTCCGAGGTATGTCCAAAACAAAATCAAACAGAAAAACCACCCCAGGACCCCAAGGGTTTATCCAATATGTAACAGTAAAAGTATCGTAAAAGTATCAATCACAAAACAACATTGCCTATTTACAACATAAAGGAGAATTACCGTGCCATCCGGTAATGCTCGTAGGAGGTAACGCTACGCTCGTCCTGGTCAACAGGACCGTAACCTTCTCCTGGACGCCACTGAGACAGTGGCCCATTCTCCCGTGCGGGTTGCTGTGCCTGAGCAAGGAGCGATGTTTCGCTCTCATTCCGGTGCTGGTAGAGCCCGTCAGTTGCCGATATACTATTCTGCACGCGGAACGCGGGATGGATGTTGTCGTCATACGATCTCATCATAGATCTAGTAGAAGGTGCTGGAGACGGCGCTCGTGAGGAGGTCGGAGACCAGTCACCCATCCCGCTGCGTGGCGTTTGCGAACGCTCGGTCATCAAATCCTCTGGGCGTCCGTAGATGCCTCCGCTGAACTCGTCCCGGAAATCCGCCCGATCCTTGAAGTAGGAGAAGTCGAGGTGGTTTTCTGGAACCACTTCGAATGGAGCCGAGGAAACATCCTTCAGGGTCTTGCCAGGCTGAGAAGCCAGCATGGGATCCAGGACAATGTCGGAATACTCCCCTTCCATCTCGACTGTTCCCAGTCGTCCTCTGTAGATACGCTTGAGTGCTTCAGCTGCCTTTTCGTGCACCATAGGCGTAATAAGGGGCTTATAGAGGGCAGGATGACCAAACTTAGAGTGAAGCCGGTCCGCGGCGGTCTTGCTCGGCTTGCCCGGCTTGCCAGGTGCTAGCGCTTCGGCGTCACTCAAATTTGCCTTGTTGTAGTACTCGCAGTCATCATCGAACTTTTTCATGCAGTACAGCTTGAAGCCCAACATGAGGAATGGAAGAGGCACTACACAGAAAACCATGGTCCAGGTGCCTTTGGCTTTAGCCACAAGCGCAATGACAACATTGGAAAGAATTACCCCGAAAACCACGCGGTTGAAAAGGACTCGCCAATACTGGCCACCGGATTCTGTCTTGGTCACGAAGACGTACATCAACATGTACTTTTTCATTATGGCATCGAGACCGAAATACAAGGCGGTGACTGGAAGGACGATGGGTTGTAAGGTTGCAAAGCACAACGCGACTGTCGCATAGTACAAAAAGTAGTTATAGTAACTCGCATAATCAAACGCTGGCGGGGCTGTCCATTCGATTGTTTGCCGCGGAGTTGGAGCGAGGAACGTTTTGGAGAACCACACCCAGAACAGATTCACCAGCTGGATCAGGTCGATGGCAGCACCCATATTCCGTTGCAATAGGTATGTTACCCAGAAAGGCGATACCTGGCACAAGGCACTGACCGCTTTGATATAGAACTCCCCGTCCTTGACCGCTTGCCAGGGATCCTCGTTATTGTTCCTCAACTCAATGACGGCGGCAACAAAGGTCCACACCGCGGAGAAGAGAGAAAATACGATCAGATTGTTAAAAACAAAGAAAGCATAAAGATGATGAAGGACATGACGCTCTCTGAGGGTCTTTGACACGTCTCCGGCTTGAATTGCGAGTCGGCGGAAAATGATGGGTAAAATGAGGTAGAACAATGAGGTAATGGCGGGAGATAGGATACCTTGGACGGCAGCCCATGTTTTGGGATTGGCATTGAGTGAGGTTTGAAATGCGGGCCAGACCAGACCCAGGTTCGACAAGTTGGATAGGAAGATGGCGATCATAGCGTTAGGGGCGATCCAAACGATGGTCAACGCAGTGACCCAAAGGAAATTGATAAATTGTTTCCATTTGCGTGCTTGTTTGGACAAGGGAAGGTTTTCCCAGATGAGCTCGTGTGGTCGTGGTGCCAGACGAATGGTTGTTCCGCGGGGGTGCTTTTTGCGAGCCATGTAAGCTACGGCATGGGCATGCTCGATTCTGTCCCAGCTCAAGAAGCCGTAAGGCATAGCATTTCGTCGATCGACAGAACCACGGACGTATCGAATTTCCTCCTCCAGCCTTTGAATGCGATCAGTCAGGTAATCGATGGAGTCGACCTTACCGTTCCCGTTCTCCCCTCTATGTCCCCGCGGAGGGCGCATCGTTGGACGGTTGGGTGGTAAGCGATCTGGATTTTTGAGGTATTTCGCCAAGACGGACTCGAGATTGCGGACCATTTCGTCGTGTTCCTTGATTAATTTTGGAAGGTCTTTGACGTTTCTTCCGATCGAGGACCGGGGAATTGCTGCAGTAGGGTTCAAGTCATTGGTCAAACGCATAAGGCCTTCATCATTGCGAATTTCGGCGGGGATATCCGTGATCTATATACATTTTTTTTTTAAAAAAAAAAGAAAAAAAATTAGATTCACCCATTACCTTAGCTTTCAGCAAAATGGAAAGTAGTTGAGAATACCATTAATGTTCGCGCATGGAGACTGCGCTGGTAGTCGGAACTTTCAAAGTATCTCCTTCGTAAAGCGAGAACGGCTTTGTAGTTTCTCCAGAGGAAAAACGCGACAATGATATCAAAGCCCCAGGCACAAAGTACCTGACTCCAGATCGCCTTGGAGTTGACATAAAGCGGTGTCATTGTTGCGAAGGTGTTCACATTGTTGGTGTTGACACTTTGGGAGATGTTGAGGGGAATCATAACTCCACAGCCGATGATACTGATGAAAATAAAGATGTTGCGACACATCTTGGTGAATCGGAGGAAAATAATGGCATCAAGACCGATGCAGTCGACCAGGTCAGGCTCTCTAGTGCGCAAGACAGGTTTGATCCAGGCAAAAAAGCCCTTGCCCACGGGCGGCGGAGTGTGCTTGCGGTCGGCATGTTTAACCTTGGGAGCATAGACGACGGTATGACGAGGACGAAAGAGCGAAAAGAGGACGGCGAGGAGGACGGAGAGACCTGCGGAGGTGGCTAAGGACGCCCAGACGGCATTCGTTTGGAACTATTTTGTAATCCGAGAGTGAGACAATGTGGGCAAGAGAGGGGAGAGAGTTGCAACAGAATACACTGACAGCGGACTTGAATGGGTTTTGAAGGAGGGTCAGAAACTCCTCTGCGCCATCACGCCGCCCAAGAGCGTTCAGATTCATGATGCTGGGGAGATTTAAGAAGGCATGGATGGGCTCGAGAAAGATACGAGAAGAAACAAACTGCGAGGGAGTGGAGATGAAGAAACGTCTTTTGAAGAAGGAGGGGGGGGGGGGGTAAACAAGCGGAGGAGAAAGGAAGAAAGAAAGAAAGAAAGAACGTGCTGAAACAGGGACCGCCTGAAGGGGGGGGAAGGGCAAAAAAAAGTCTAGAATCTAGATTAATCCGGAGAACGACAAGCAAAGAGTCAAGACTGAAAATTGGATGGGTTCTAGAACACGTTCTGGATCTGAAGAGAAGGGGGATGAATATTGGGATGTTCTTGTGGAGGCGAAATAGGGACAAAGTAAGATTAAAATATGGGTATCGTCGGAGGGTCCTGTTCGTCATAAATAATACAGGGTGGGTTATCGATAGAACACAGTGTTTACTCTGTAATAGATTATCAATAGGTATGATGCTATAAATATCTCAGTTGATTCCAATCAAAAACATTCAAGTAGAGGATGGAGAGAGATGTCTTACTTCTGTTGTTGTAAGAGTGTAACTCAGGTACAGCGTCAGATTTTGGCAACTTTTGTACCGAGGGTCACTGGAGACAGCGAGTCACCGCCTGCCTAGAAAGGAAATAAGGCTGTCCATATCCCACATGGGACCCTGTACTAGGTAGGCGGTGAGTCTGTTCTACGGTACAGTACAGTACAGTACAGTCCATACACGCTCATCCCTGTATCAATGTACTCTGGGAGTGTATTGGTTTGTTTTACATCGAGGGGGTTTATTACGTGAACGAGATTTGATTAATCGAGATGAGTATGATGCCATTCGTCGCTGGAGAAAACTACCTAGGTCCTAGTTCTATATGCATCTCCCTTTTCCGTCAAAACAGCCGACCGTTGGTCCCAGACCTGATTCCCTGACCATGTTCGCATTCCTGGGGTTGAAAGGTAGCCAGCCAGCCCAGCCCACCCAAATACGAGGTGCGTACCTGATCTGATAGTCACACACCTACGTAGGTAGTCACAAGATCCAGCTTCAGCTCTCTTCAATACATGAGCGGAAGTATAAAAGGTATGTAGTATGTATAGTATAGACCCTACCAAATCCAAGTCAAGTGTCCCCGCCTAAAAAAAAAGAAAGAAATCCACTATGAGCGAGATTGCCTTCACCTGGGACACTTACTCATCCCTCAGCCAGACTGAGCGATCGGCTTTTGCTCACGAACAAGGGAAACTGTCTGCAGCGCCATCTTCATCTCATCTGTCAAGGGCGTTATATATCCCTCGTCACGATGGTGCAACATCACAGCTCACGATTTGTGACGTCAGTGACCGGTACGCAAACGCTACGGGAGACCTTCCGATGACATCTAGTCAGTATGCCGTGGATCTGGGGATGATGAAGAAACCAACTGGGGATGGGGCGGACGGGGTATCTGTTGTGTATGAGGTGGGAGTTCACGGGAGTGGGTTGAAAGATGGTGAAGAGGAAGAGATGTTGGTGTCGGTGTCAGATTTGGGGAGACCGTCTGGGGTGAAGGTTGAGGTGTAAGTTGTGCTTGGAGTTTTGACTTTTGACTCTACATGGGACTTCTCTCCCTCTAAAAAAAGGAAGAAGAAGGAAACGAAGGCTAATATCCTTTAGAGCCATCACCGATACCGAAGATAAAGACGGGTCTATCACCATGAAGATGAAGACTCCCAACCCTATCAAAGTCCAAGACGAAAAGCGAATCGCAATCCCAATAGTGATTTCATATCCCATTGCACCATCTCAAACACGAAAGGGCGAATTCAAACATCCATACTTCACCTTTACTCAAGGAGAGAGCTTCCTCCAGTGGCAGATTCACCCTGCCCAGCATGGACGACTGCGGTATACGCTGGTTAAAATTCCATCGCAGGGTCCGCTAGGCCAAGCGGCGGACGACGCTGCTACGAACCCCGATACACTAGAGACCCTCGCCATATATCAACATATCGGGGTGGGCGCTCCCTCTTTGTCGTTGTCGTATAGCGAAGGTATTCTCCTTCTCCCGTTGGGTGAGGATACGGGGAGAGAGACTGAAGCTTTGGTGGTGGGGAGTGCTCTGGGGATGCTTTGGCAGCTACGTGAGCTGCACGGGGGAGGAAAGCGTAAGAAGGACGGAGGGAAGAAATTCGGTTCGCTTAAGAGCTTCCTAGGTCGTAAGGTGTAGTAGGGGTGTGTGCTTTGAATAGTCCACTTTTTAATAAGTAGAGATGGTTTCTGTTGATATTGTTGATATAGGGAAGTAGTATGCATGAACCAGTCCTTGAATCTATATTGAACCGAAGAAGAGAAGTTGGCGACCAAGCTAGAGTCAGGGAAAAGTGAACTCCAATAGTGTCTCTGTGCCCATTGTCAATCTGTGTCATGGTCTTTAAATAGGACCAATTAATAGGATAAGAGGAATTCCAAGCGGCTGGCTTGCTGATCATATCTTTGTAACCCAGTCTCAGCCTTATTGAGAAGAAACTATTTCTCGTTTGTCGTCATATTGCCTGACTTGGAACGCATCTCAGGGCCATATTTAGACAATCCGGAGTCGTATACGGATACTCGGGGTTGATTTCCTTCCATTATCACCCTCAGTGTGACTGAATGTATCCACGAGGACACAAACCTCCCCAAGCAAGGTGAGCCAGAACAAGCGTACGTGGCCCTCGTGTGGACCGAAGTCGAAATTCGCTGCCCAGGTGAACAGCCACGTAGTTCAAGTCATCAGATAAGATCCAGTCCAGCCGACAGAAGTCCCTAGTAAATATGATCCTGTACACGCCATGCGTCGGATTAAAGAACAGGACGATCAGTCAGAAAAGTAAAAACAGCATCGTCATTCAGGTTGTGCACCAAATAGAGACGAGAGGGAGGAGATAAAATGACGTCGGGATCGGAGCCCCTTTTAACTCAGTGAGGAAAAGTTGTGGAGTTGAGAGAAAAAGTGAAGGTAAAGACGTTCTTTTAATATCCTCTTTCATCTTCTCGTCTTCATCTTCGAGACCTCGCTGGGATTTTTTTTTTTTTTTTTTACTCCCTCTCTTTCTTCCTGTTCTCGTCTTCATTTTCCAGATCCCTCTTTTTTTTACCCCTTCCGTCTGTCTCCATTATTTCCCTTATTCCGGAACTCCACTTCTTACAACTCTTTTTCCTTCGAGCCTGGCGCTCTTCTACCCTTCGTCTTGACCTCAAGAACACTGATATTCGACTAAACCCTCTTGAAAATGAGCTCCAAGGACTCCTCCTCGGGCTTGTCCGCCCAGCACAAAACCTCCTGGTCCAGCTTTCTCAAGGTATATGAACCCACGTGCCGCAAGGCCCGTCACTCACTGCCGTGCAAAGCTGACCAGAAGCCCTGATTCGAACCGTCTAGTCTATTGCTTCCTTCAATGGCGATCTTTCCTCCTTGACAGCTCCTCCCTTTATCCTCTCGGGAACCTCGTTGACCGAATATTCCGCCTATTGGGCTGAGCATCCCGCCCTCTTCGTCGCCCCGGCACAAGAACCCGATCCGGAGAAGCGCGCGCTTGCTGTCCTGAAATGGTTCCTCAGCACTCTCCGCCAGCAGTATTGCAGTCGCAGTGAGAAGTTAGGCAGTGAGAAGAAGCCTCTGAACCCCTTTCTCGGAGAGCTGTTTATTGGAAAATGGGATAGTGATGCAGAAGTTGGCGAAACCAGCCTGATTAGCGAACAAGTTAGGTGGGAGAGCAATATCTTGGGTTCTTCTCTTGGTATATATAAGTGCCATCTACTAATAGACAATTTATCAGCCATCATCCCCCAGCGACAGCCTACATAATCCGCAACGAAAAACATGGCGTCCAAGTAAGTTAGCTGTGCCTTTGCTATTTCCAACTCAATATGCTCATAGATTTCCCGCGTAGCTCGAAGGATACAACGCCCAAAAGGCTTCGTTTTCCAGCACAATCTTTATCAAGCAGATTGGACACGCCTTGTTGACCCTCACTCCTCCCTCCGCCGATAAGGCTGACCCGGCCCAGAAAGAACGATACCTCATCACTCTCCCTCACCTGCACGTGGAATCACTGATTTACGGCACCCCGTTTATGGAGTTGGAAAAATCCACCTACATTGCAAGCAATACTGGATATATCTCTAAGATCACCTACTCCGGAAAGGGTTGGCTGAGCGGCAAGAAGAACACCTTCACCGCGAGTTTGTACAAGGAAAGCGAGGGTGAAAAGAAGCCCCTCTACACCGTCGAGGGGCAGTGGTCCGATACCTTCGTCATCAAAAACGCCCGGACCAAGCATGATGTTGAGACTGTCGCCGTCCGCAACCTGGCCACTACCCCACTCAGCCTCGCCCCCACCGAGGAACAAGACCTGTATGAGAGTCGCCGTGCATGGCGCGACGTGGCAACAAACATTGAAAAGGGGAACATGGATGCCGTCTCCGTCGCAAAGTCCAAGATCGAGAACGCCCAACGCGAACTTCGCAAGGTTGAAAAGTCCGAGGGCCGTGAATGGGAGCGTCGCTTTTTCGATCGCATCGACGAAACAGACGACAAGGAGTTCCTGGACCTCGCCCGAAAGGTCGGTTACACTGCTCTTGAAAGTGATAAAACCGGAGGGGTCTGGCGATTCAACGCACAGAGGGCCGTCGATGCCAAATCGCCGTACCACAAAACTGGCGGTGAAGGTCTCGGTGTGACTCCTCAATAGTGCTAGTTAGTAGCAAGCCATTCATTGCCCGCCTGGGAATGCGACTGCGACTCGACATATATACGCATATTATATTGCTCATGAATTCCTCGCCTGCTCTTCTTCTGGTTCGGATGCATTGAGGATCGATTCTGGGATTTTCTCATATATAGACGTTGGATGTGATCTTTTGCCTTGGTTATAATGATACTAGTTCTTGATGTTGTTTGCGTCCCCTGGTCAGTGTTTTGAATCCTGGTCTTTCTTACGACGATGAGAATCGCCGGAACCAAAACTTGTCCTGTAGTTCGTGTCCCTCGTCCAATCCGATTGACAATGAAAGACCATGGATATCTTCCCTGGTATCCAATTAAGTCATGGAGATTCCCCAAGATGGCTTGCATGGGGGGTCAGAATATAGAATTCAATCTATCGACTCAAACGGTAAAACCAATTTATTATCGAAAATTTCAAGAGCAAAAGTTTTATGAACCCTTTTGATGTCTTCACTGTTCATTTTATGTACTAGTTATCTGGTTTTAATCCTCTTTGGAAGCGACACAATTTCCCAAGAAAGAAAAAAGAAATAAAAAAAAAAAATCATTTGTTTGTGTTAAGAATTATGTGTTTTCATGAAATGATATATTATTAGGGTTTTTTTTTTTTTTCTTTTACAACTTGCCAGCAGTGTCAAAGTCATTCAGAGCCTCCTGCACACGCTTGCTCATGGTCTTCTCGCCCTCACGGACCCACACGCGGGGATCGAAGTACTTCTTGTTGGGCTTGTCATCGCCGTCGGGGTTACCAACAGAAGTCATGAGGTAGTCCTTCTTGTTGAGCATGTAGTCGCGGATACCAGACATGTAAGCGTACTGCATATCAGTGTCGAGGTTGACCTTGACGACACCGTAGCTGATGGCCTCCTTGAACTCCTCCTTGCTGGAGCCGGAACCGCCGTGGAAGACGAAGAAGACGGGCTTGTCCTTGCTGGACTTGGTCTGCTCCTTGACGTAGGCCTGGTGCTTGCTGAGGAGCTCGGGGTGGAGACGGACATTGCCGGGCTTGTACACACCGTGGACGTTACCGAAACCAGCGGCAATGGAGAAGTAGGGGCTGATGGCGGAAAGGGCGTTGTAGATGGCGAGAATGTCCTCGGGCTGGGTGTAGAGAGAGTTGTTGTCGACGTCTTCGTTGTTGACACCGTCTTCCTCACCACCGGTGATACCGATTTCCTGGCTTCATTAGTTCATCGTTCGCTTTCCAATTAGGAAACGGAAGCTTACCATCTCGAGCCACTGCTTCATGGGGGCAGCACGCTGGAGGTACTGGGCGGTGGTGGCGATGTTCCAGTCAACGGGCTCCTCAGACAGATCGATCATGTGGGAGGAGAAGAGGGGCTCGCCGTGGAGCTTGAAGTAGCGCTCATCCTCATCGAGGAGACCATCGAGCCAAGGCAGAAGCTTCTTGGCGCAGTGGTCAGTGTGAAGGACGACGGGGATGCCGTAGGTAGGGGCGATGCTGCGGATGAAGTGGGCAGCGGCGATACCACCAGCAATGGAGGCGGCCTGGCCGTCGTTGCTGACGCCCTGGAAGAGAGAGATTTAGCAAAAAAAAGAAAGGGCCAGTATTATTTCTGTAGCATACCTTGCCAGCGAAGTAGGCAGCACCACCCTGGGAGAGCTGGAGGACGATGGGGCACTTCAGGTCACGAGCAGCCTCAAGGGAAGCAATGATGGTAGAGGAGGAGGTCACATTCTAGAGAAGATTAAGCAGATTAGAATCCCCAAGCTATTTCACGGTGAAGATGAAACTGGGGCGAAAGACTCACGATAGCGGGGATGGCGAACTGCTTCTCCTGAGCATATTCGAAGAGACGGAGGACGTCATCACCAACGATGACACCGGACTTGCGGGACAGCTTCTCGAGGGCACCCATTATGGCAATTGGCTTAAGATTTCAGAGGGGGAAGGAAGTTAGTTGAGAGATTGAAAGTAGGAGGATGATAGATGGAAAGAAAAAGAGAGAGAGGGAGAGGGAGAGGGAGGGGATGGAAGTTAGAAATAAATTCCCAGGCTTGACTTTACCGAAACGACGAATACGTTAGGAGAGAGGAGGGGCACCGAATCAGGAGTGGAGGGGCAGCCAAAGAACTCACCGGGTAGTGGGGATAATGAAGTGTTATGATGATGATATTTGAACGATCTTTCCGAGTAAAATAATTAGCAAGTTAACTAGTCAATAGTGAACTACTTTATAACGATCTTTTTATTATTTATCTTCTTTTATTTGATCTTTTCTGCGGTAAAAAGAAATGACGCGGTTGCTGGCCTCAGGCTGTCCCGAAAACCCCCGCATCATCACATGACATCATCACATGACATCATCAGCTCATTTCATTTGATTTCATTTGATTTTGTTTCATTTCGTTTCATTTCATTTCATTCATCTCATTGCTGGTGGTACGGTGCTATCTATAGGTAGTGGAAGAGAGGTAACGTCTTCTAAAGATATCAAGTATTCGCTGACTCTCTGATCAGACAACTAAAGCTATCAACAACAGGCCACTTATCACCTAGGGTTCTACCTAGGTACACACTCTTCCTCCTCCGTATTTCTTTCGTGCTTCATCCCAGTATCGGGGAAACCAGCGGGGTCGGTACTCCGTGATATTCCAGCCTTTTCGTGGTCCTTCTTTCCCCAGTTTAAAATAGGTCCAACCTGCCATACTACGGAGTGAGTTGCCTGTGCCTAGGTAACCATGATGCCGTAGCCTAATGCCAAACATCCGTTTTTCGGATGTATCTCAATCATATCTCGTACGGAGTACCATACGGATCAATCTGAACTTTGTTCGGGAATATCCACCTTACCTATTCATGACAAACATCCTCCAATGGCTGGCCATTATTATGTACCCGCATGATCAGAAATGAAAACAACACACAATTCAGGCTGTCGTTCTCTTGACAGCAGCAGGCATCGGAAGACACATTTCCACCTATCACATTCGCCATTTCCTAGGAAACCAGACCCTTATATACCTGCTCCCTAGAACAACCAACACAGAGTACAATGTATAATTCAAGAAGCTGCTAGATCCCTCTCAACTAGGCCTAGAAGTAGTAGACTGGGGTTAAGACCCTAACCCAGTTACTCTATACTTGTATACCCGTTCATACGTAGGCAATATCATCATTACTGCAGTTATACCTAATATCAATATCATTATTCGCATGTCAGCCAATGTCGTTAATACTGCCGCGGATCCGAAGTCTATCTGAACATGCATTACACCAGGGTATGAAGTCGTGCACCGAATTCTACCATAATAGACGCCACTTGATATCAACGCTGAAAGTTAATACGAACGTCCATTCCATCGCCTTGACCGATATATAATTCCCAGGTCCAAGGTTCATATCCACATGCGTCGAAATGTAGCAAGACGTCATTTTGAAGGCGCCTTGTAAGTTCCCCTGTTTGTATTCATCACTATGCAATCAAATCCATAACTTAGCTATAGGTTGACATATATATATAAGTGTGCTTTACCTGTGCTATTAGTTCTTTCTTTCTTACAGTCGAAATAACCACTGTTTTCCTCGTTGCTATACAGTATATACTACTCTACTACACTACTACTACTATCCAACCCTCTCTTCCCATTCTCCTCAACCCTCAACCCCCAGCCCCCTACCAGCCTCTCCCCTTAAGCTATCCCATATCCATATCCATATCCATATCCATATCCATATCCATATCCATATCCATACCCATACCCATACCCATACCCATGCACAAAACAAAACCAAAACCAACAAATATCGAGAACCCCTATACCCGGCCCTTCACAGAACCCGTCATGGAGCGGCTAACCATCTGGGACGCCCGACTCAGCACCATCCAAACGGAGCTCGAAAAGCGAAACCGGTACGATGGGATTCCGCTCTCGGAGCTCTATCTCGAGAACGAGCTGAAGAAGCTCGACGGGTATAGGAGGGAGCTGGAGATGGTGGTTGCGGGGATTGCCGGGTTCAAGAGGGACTTGATCTGTGCGTGTCGCGAGAGAGGGACGATGGCGCGGTAAAGGGTTGGTTTTTTGCTGCTTTGCTTCGTTTTACTTACTTACTTGGTTTTTTTTTTTGATCTGTTTGCTTGATTGATACCTAGGAGAATGTGGATTTATTTTTTTTTTTTTTGGAATGTAAATTTTATTGATCTGTACAGTGAGTGCAGATGAATATTCATATGGTGTATATCATCTATATAATAACTAACTATAACAGTAAAAAAAAAAAAAGTAAAGAATTAACGAATTTGAACCAAATCAGAGAGAGAGAGAGAGAGAGAGAGAGAGAGAGGGAAAAAAAAAAACACAACCACCCTTGTATCCTACTCTAATTAGTCGCTGTGTATGCTCCAGTATGCTCGCTGAGAAGAATGCTGTACTGGTCTCCCACCGCCGCAGAGACCACCCGCTTCCCATCAACCGCCATGAGAGTCGGCAGCTCAACAGTGTCTCCGTGTACATGCCCCGAAGCCCCCCAGGAAAAGGCCTGGCCCTTCCTTGTCACCACGACGGCGCGCTCGTCCGCAGCAGTCGCAAAGGAAACCTTGCCGTCGATATTGGTGACGAGCGTCGGCGTCATGAGAACGGAATGCTCGCCGTGGTCTCCAATCCTCATGACCTCCTCCTGGGGCAGATCATCATACTCAATGCCTAGGATCTCGGTGTCGACGCGGCCCCAGCTGAGACACCGGCCGTCCTCGGTAACCGCGACACTGTGGTGTCTGCCACCCGCAACAGAGGAGACCCGGTGCCCGCGCAGGCTGTACACCTCCCGGGGGAGGCCCACGAAGCCGCTGTCGTCCTGGTCGCTGGAATCGAACAGAGGACCCTCGCTATCCAGGGGGACGCCGGTTTGGCCGAACTCATTCGCGCCCCACGAGTAGACGGCCCCGGTTTGCCGGATCGCGAACGAGTGGTGCGCTCCGGCGCTGATGTTCACCACGTCGAAGGGGACCGCGCATGCGCGGGGCACGAAGCAGAATGGCACGTTGTTCATTCGGCCCTGCATGCGTCGACCGAGGGCCTTGCGCTCCGTGTTGCCCCAGGCATAGACGCTGCCCTTGGCTGTGAGGGCGAGGACGTGCTGCGATCCGGCGACGAGTTTCGTGACGTCGTGTAGTTCTGGAATGAGCATTGGGGAGAATTGGTGTCGGTTATTGCCTGTGAAGGCTTCAACCCCTTTGGAGTTCTATAAATATCACGTCAGATTTCCATTTCACCCTGCCTACCTGGGTGGAACTGTATCAGGAGAAGGGGAAGAAAGAAAAAAACTCACCTTAAAAGCACCCCATCCATACACATATCCATCCTCCGTCAATACAAACGTTGCATGATCAGTCACAGCCAGCTGCACAAACACCGTATCAGGAGGGAAATGCTTCCTATCCACTTCCCCGGGAAGCGCAGCAGAGGAATTCTTCGACTTCTGCCGGGGGTCGTCTCCACGGTCGATTTTTCTACCCAGTTGGCCCTGCGCACAGGCACCCCAAGTGAGGATCTTGTTATCGTGCGTGAGTGCGGCGCAGTGACGTCCTCGCGTCACCAGTTGCACGACCCCCACATCCTCTGCATTCAAGGTCGTGCTGAGAATTGGCTGCGCGAGAGACTCGGTCCGGTTCCCGATGCCTAGTTCGCCGGAGTTGTTGCTTCCCGAGACGAAGACGTCCATGACTATGCATGGTGCGTTATTCACGACGGAGGATGTTGCTACTGACGAGTATTAGTATTTTTTTTTTTTTCAAGAAAATAGATACACTTTGGGGGGAGAAAAGGGGGGGGGGGGATATATGGTGAATATTAGGAAAATGCAAGTAGAAAAACTTACTCTTTCTCCTCCTCCTCCTCCTGGGTCTTTCGACATCTTCGTCTTGCTCGCTATGCACAGTTGCAAATCTCGCAGGGTCTTCAGCTGGTATTATAATATCAATTGGGATATCATCGGGAGAAGGCCCAGGTCCGACTGCAGGACTACCAAGCCTAAGACTAGGAGTAGAGCTCGGCTCGCTTGGTTCAGGAGATGACTCCTGGTATGGAGGAGGCGGTGGCGAAATAAACTTGCGTTTTCGGTTGAGGATAGGTGACGATTGGCCGGTCTGGGGTTCAGGTTCAGATTGAATGTCGAAATGGGGCTTAGGTTGGGGTTCAGATTGAGGTTGGGGTTCTGGTTCAGCTTCAGATTCAGACTCGGATTCAAGCTCGGATTCAAGCTGGGATTCAGGCTCAGGTGCAGGCTCAGGTGCAGGCTCAGGTGCAGGCTCAGGTTCAGGTTCAGGTTCAGGTTCAGGTTCAGGTTCAGGTTCAGGTTCAGGTTCAGGTTCAGGTTCAGGTTCAGGTTCAGGTTCAGGTTCAGGTTCAGGTTCAGGTTCAGGTTCAGGTTCAGGTTCAGGTTCAGGTTCAGGTTCAGGTTCAGGCTCAGGTTCAGGTTCAGGCTCAGGTTCAGGTTCAGGCTCAAGACCAGATTGAAGTTCAGATTGAAGTTGAGATTCAGGTTCGGGCTCAGATTGAGGTTCAGGCGTAGATTCAGATTCAAGGTCAGATTGAGGTTCAGGCGTAGATTCAGATTCAAGGTCAGACTCAGCGTCGAGCTCAGGCTCAGGCTCAGGTCCAGGTTCAGGTCCAGGTTCCCCCTTGGATTCAGTTTCTCTCACTGTAGAGGCCCGGAGAGAGATATCAGTAGAGGACCTTGCTAAAGACATTGCAGACATCGCTGTAGATCTTGAAGACTTGGCCGTAGACCGCGCGGGTTTTGCTGAAGCCCTTGCGGACCTTGCCGTGGACCGTGCAGACTTTGCTGAAGCCGTCGAAGACATTGCGGTAGACCGTACGGACTTTGCTGGAAATCTCGAGGGTCTCCGCGAAGGAGCCAGAGACGTCCTCTGGGAGGGGCCCCGACTAGGTCGACTCGTGGACATATCAGGGAGTGTAGCGTAGGAGTAGAGTGGATTATAGTATGCCAGATACTGGGAAGGCCTTGGGGAAACAATTCTCGGGGACGCGGACGCTATTTCACAGGAAACGAGATTGAAGCTTTTAAGGGAATTCTTACTTTTTGTCCATGCCCATTGATCCATCCCACCTATCCAACTGGTAGGTTAGGTAGGTATCCTTTGTTATGTAGCTTCTTTGTTAAAGACCCCAGGCCACGTTTCACGGTTGAAGCAAGATGAAGAATGTAAACCATAATAATGAAAGAAAGCGTGACGAAAGGATAACGGCTATGGCCATGTAAGAGAAATCAAATGCAAGGCTGCAGTCAAGGTCTCTATTTTTAATTCTGTCAAAGGGCCCCTCGAGTTCTTAGGAAGCCAAAGAAGCAGAAGCAGAAGAAGAAGAAGAAGAAGAAGAAGAAGAAGAAGAAGAAGATCAGTTCTAAACAATCAAGAGTAAATATGTCCTCTATTTTTAGTGCTAAATAATAAAGAAATCTTAACCCCATGTACTGTATGTTTCTTTATGCAGACCCTCTAATCACATATATACCAATGCAGTAAATGTACGAAGAAGCTCGCGGCACTGGTGGCTGGTGGCTCTTTTTGGCAGTGGTAAATGACAGTATCTTCACGGCCCTTTGGAAAACTCGGGCCCATTGTTTGGCTTTTCCATTTCATAGAACAAAAGGTACACCTCTTTCTGCATGCCCAGCACGTCAGAGGTCTTGCATTCCTTTATTTTTTCATCTGAGATTCGCCACCAGCGATCAACCGGTTTGCGCCGCCGACGGAGTCGCGAGGCTGCCGTCTCAAGCCCTGAAGTTGGCGTGTTTCGTCCAGCGGCTGCGAGGGAGGTTCGAGAAGCAGAGCGGCTCAAGCGTCCGATTTCGAGAGAGGAACTGCGCGCGGCTAATGTTGGCGAAAGGTTCTGCTTTGAGGTTGATGACCTGGAGTGGGTGCTTTGGAATGAAACTCGGGAGCTCGATGTTGTCGGTCGAGGAGATGGAATTGATGAAGCGTTCAGGTGGGGGGTGGAAGGGGAGAAATCGCTTGTTGAAGGTGGTCCTGAGGGCTCGGAGGAGAGAGAGGAGGGGGGCTTGAGGACGGGGGAGTGGAAATGCTCAGGCCAGGCAACTCCGTGTCAAGGGTAGTACGAGCAGCAAGGTAAGGGCTAGGCACCCGCGAAGGATTTTCGCTCGTTCCTCTACTCTGGGCGTAGGAACTGAATACGTCCGGCGTCGAGAAGGGTGGATACAGATGATTCCGTCGGAACGATTCGTAATGTCCACTATTATGGCTACCTTTATGACAGACGATAGCCAACAGCTTGAAGTACTTCTGGCTCAGAATGCCTCCCAGCGGAAGGCGCTCCGGAAATGACACCTTGGCTGCGTTTTTTGTGGAGCTGCTTCGATCAAAAATCGACCGTGAGAGATGGATCGCAATGACCTTGGGGAATACCGTGATCCGCATGTGCCGGGCAATTTTACGTTTGGGTGCCGTCTCAGCTGGTGGAAGCGTAACCCCGTCCAAGCTGCTTTCCGGATCTATGGCGAGAGCCGTTTGAATCTTCTTTATCTCTACTTCAAGCGAGGCCCTATCCTTTTCTGAGCGAGACTTCGCCAGTTCCCGCGATTTCACCTCAAGCGCATGCTGTAGTCGACATTTATCGCATCGGAAATCATCGATATACTCCGTCTTCAGTAGTCCATCAAAGCACGCACTTAAAGTAGTGGAGTTCTTCTGCGGCACCTGCAGCGTCAAATTGACAAATGACGTTTGATTTGGCTTGTACTGGTATCGGCAAAACTGGCATTCAATCTGCGACTCCATTTTACCTTCAAAGGGGAACCCGTATTCACTGTCGATTTCCTTGAGCTTGGTATCGATGATAGCCGGTAGACCCGCCTCCGTTCCGTCATCGACCTGCACTTCCATCTCCATCGACGGACTTTTCGCCGACGGTGCCTCCTGGTTGGCCTCCGGCGGGGAGGGCTCAAGAGCGTTGTTCTTCGCTCTTTGTCGTGCTTTGACGCCGGCATGATACTCATCGGAGAGTCTCTCTGCTACAATCTGCAAAAACTCTTGCGCATCTTGCTGGTTTCGGCTGATGCGGGTACGATAAGCGTATTCCAAAGCCTGAATGAAGCTCCGCGCAGAGATCGTCTTCTTGTAGATTGGTCGCTCGTTCAGCCGATCCAACATCTCCTTCAGGGCTCTTGTAATCGTGCCCTGTTGCAGCTCCCGGATCCGATCGGGTTTCACCTCCCGTGACAACTCATTGGGATCCGGGATCTGATTGTAGACTTCGGGTCCGTCTAACTCACGCCGATGAAGCTCCCGGATCAAATACAGACGCAAGTCCCCCAGGCCAGCGAGTGCCTGCAGCACGGAATTGATAAAGCAGTCATTCGCGGGGTTAGCAAGTCCCACGATATTCTTTTTGCGATCATTTCCAGTCGACTCATCTCCATCAATGGTGTAGTTGGGCCCAAAAACGTAAAATAGAGCGACAGCCGCGAGGGACGCCCCGGCCGCGTACGCGGCAACTGTGGTGGTTTTTTCCTGCATCAACCCGGCGTGCCGATGCTTTATCCTAAGGCAGAAAAATCGGTTGTTCTATTGTTCTTCCATGGATCGGTTATGTCATAAGCATCAAACGGCAAATTCTGCGCGGGTCAGAGCCTTCGGGGAAACAGCAAAGCTATTTTATCTGATCTAGCGCCTAGAGTTGGAATTCTCTTCCTGCACCTCGTCTGCGGAGGTAGTTCGGGTTGAGCGGGTTAAGAGGCTGTATAAATATCAGCTATAATAATCTTGCCGTCAAACCCGCAAAAAGGCTGTGGAGAGAAGAATAGTTGAGACTGGGGTAAGACAGAAAGGGAGGGGGGGGGGGGGGGGCAGAGCGTCAATGGCAAATCTCACTCGAGGTGACAAGAATTGCTCCTGCCAGCAACCAGGTAGCACAGTAAAGGATGTAAAGAGCTTGAAGGGGGTGCAGTGATACAAGTGAACTTGTTCACAGAAAAGTTGCCAAAAGACTTCAGGCGGAAAGAAAGGCTGCTGGTACTTTTCCTTAGTCCTTTTTTTTTTGCCTTGGGTCCTGCTGTTCGGATGTTCTCCAGCCCCGACCGCGCGCCCGTGGCAGTGAACTCTGCTACTAGATATGTACAACAGTACAATCCCCGACTTCGCCGGCGCCCCCCCCCACACTTTGCTCCTTAGGCTCGCCGCTCAACGGTTGTTTTAATTATTGCCCTGGGAATCGGGAATCGATAGTCTGCATGAGATGCAATGTACAGCGCCAATCAATGCGCCGAACCGGCCACTATGATTGGGATCAAGTGGGCGAGAAAGACCGATTCTCGTCAATAGACTGTGTAGATCCCCTTGCCGATTCTCGACGCGGATGGGCGATCCTTGAAGAAAGCTCGTCACGCCTGTTCCTCAGCCGTGCCACCGGTGTATCTGCAGATCGATTTGTCATCATCAGGAAATAAATGATCCATGAATGAATGAATGAATGAATTCAGGATTGCCGTGAGGAGTGGGGTAGAGAGAGCTGGGCGGGGGAGGAAATAGAAATGAAACGTTGAGGTGGGATGGAGTAGATACATACTAATACATACCGATGCAAGCCTCAGGAAGCAAGGCAAAGGCTGTCGGCACTTGGAATTAATTTGATCATATACAGAGTATACCTAGGTAATTATTACCGTACGAACACGCCTATACTCGGGAGAATCCGTCCGGAAAGTCCAGACTTCTCTTTTCTGGCTTAGCCATGCTTACTCGGTATACTATTCCAGGCTACGACTGGGAATTGGCGCGCAAATCTCTGTGAATAAGATGCCGTCGCGCCCCCAGAAATCGTAGAAATACCGAAATATATTCATCATCTCACTCACTAATTTTCATGTCGATTTGCAACCCTAATCAAACCAGATCATAATAGGGCGTTTGACACGGGTCATATAATATACATTTCCAGTGTTTCCCTACGAAGCGTAGCCCGCCCAGTAAAAGGCATCCAAAAAACATCACAAGATATCTCCGGGAAATGCGGAAAGCTGCATATCAGGAATACCATCACGTATCTAACACACTTAAGGCAGAGTGGCAACCTTCTCGTTGAAGAGATCCTCAGCCTGCTTCCAAACACGAGCATTCTCGCGGTCCTTCAATTGCAGCAGACTGGGCATCAGAGCTTCACTGAACATCTCAGAGCTCTCACGGGGAAGGAGAGATGGAAGGTGGTCAATGCTAATCACGCTCAAAGGCGTGCCGTTGGTGCCGCTGGGCAGAGTGACAGGTACTGTGGGCTTGTCGAAGGTGGTGGTAATGTCATATACAGGGATCGGGTTGTTGGGGTTGGTACTGCAGACAAGGCCAAAGGACAGCTGTTAGGACTAAAGAGAACCTCAACAACATGAGGGGGAACTTACGTGTCGGCGCTAACGTCGCAGATAACAGAAAGACGTCGGCTAGGAGTGTTAAGGGTGTCAACATTGACGAAGTGGGGAATCTTGGAGGAAAGGTAGATGCAGTTGACAAAGATGTCAGCATCCTCGACAATCTCCTTGAAAGGACCGCCTATGCCTCGTGGTTAGCGTGTGATGCTGGGAAATGAAATGGAGGGCACAAACCCTTCTTGGTCTCCGCCAAATCCCATTCGATGATATCGGATGCGGGAATGCCAACGTCCTTGGCCAACTGAACAGCACCCTTGCCGCAACGTCCAAGCTACGCAAGACAAGTTAGATTATTGACAACACCACAATCCCCGCATCGAGAGTACTTACAGCCCCAATAACCAAGATCTTGGGCGACTTGCCGGACTGCTTCTTGCCAGCCTCAAGGGATTCCTTGACAGACGCAATCAGGAGATCCTGGTTAGCATAGGGAGTCTCTCCGGGGAGGAGTTGGCCCTCAGGGTGTGTCAATTGCCAAGCCCAGTTCTTGACGGCGAGAGCGGCACCTGCATCCGGATTTAATACCCTTGTATGAAGTCTGCACAGAGTCAAGAAGACCTACCAGCATATCCAGCAGAGTAACCAAAGGCTGCGAGACAAATATTAGCCGTGTCTTCTTCCTGGTGTTCAAAACTATGCGAGGCCTACCAGCAACTCGACGACCAACTTCATCGGTGAGGAACTCGAGGTCCAGAAGAGTACCACCACCACGGGGCCACCTGCTCAGAACCTTCTCCCAGCCTCCTTGCTGCTTGTAGCAGTGTGCAAAGGAGATGTGAACGTGCTCCAGAGGGAAATCATCCTCGGGGAGCTCCTTGAGGCCCAGGATGTAAGCGTCCTTGGGGGCATCCTTCACCCATGAACCTTCCTCCACGAGGGGGGCGCCAATCTATCCAGAGGGTGAATAAGGGTCGATTCGAAGGAAAGTGAATGCAAATAGACGGCCGTACCTTGGTGAACTCCTCGTCTGTCGCAGCGACAGTCAGTTTCGGTTACCAAAATGGAGTCATCATGAAAAATCAAATCAACCTTACCATCAAAGATGCGCTGTGTAGAGCGCTCCACAATGACTTCATATCCAGCATCCATAAGAGTCTTGCAAGTGGTGGGAGTCACTATTCATGGAGTCAACCGCCTGCTAGAAGAATCTCATATAGTAGTGACTCAAAAAAGGTCGAATGCCACTTACAAGCAGAGCGCGCTTCAGCGGGCTTTGTCTCGGCACGCAGCCAGATCTTGTTAGAACCCATGGTGTATAAAGGTCAATTGAGGAGTATATTCTAGCTGCTGTTGAAGGCTCCAATTGTATCTCTAAAGTGAGTGTGAGAAGGACAAAATAATGGTCAGGCAATTTCCCCCACCTATGACACCGACCTTCCTTCCCCCACTAAGAAAGAAATTCATCAGTTGTTCCGTTCCGGGGTGTGAGTCAGTCTCCCCATGTTGCTGGCAACCACCGGGACAATGACGAGGACAATGAAATTAGAAAAGGGTTTTGGGTGCTACAGTTCTACTGTTTTCAAGAAAAATACCTAGATGATCTGACATTTTTGGGTTGTTTCACTGGGTTACTCAGTAGGCTTCACCTATCGTCCACGAAAAAATAAGTAGTTACATACACAGTTCGCACTTCAATCCCAAATTGGGATAAATCCCTACAATCGAGAAAGTGCCCTGCGCACTCTAGTCCTTGTTTTATGAGTCGGAGGCAACCATTTTATTATTAAGACACAACCTTGGTCCGGCTACGAGTGCGACTACCGATGCCATCGGCGGGGATATTTCGGTTGATAGCGTCGTTCGTCTTCTTAGGTCGTCCCCCTTTCTTCTTCTTCTTCTTCTCTCCGTTGGAAACTTCGCTTGGTTTCTCAGTCGCGGTAGGGACAGGAGATGAGGAGGAGCCATGGGCAATTTCTGAGTTGTCTTCACCCGTTCTCTGCTTTTTGGGGCTTGGCTCTAGTGGATCATCGGTGCTAGGCTTGTCTGGAGCAGTGCTAGGTGCAGCTGCTTCACGCTCTCGCTTGTCACCTACCGCTGGCTGGCTTGTATTTCCATTTGACATGGGTGCTCCAGAAATAATGGTTGCTGGAGCAGAGGCTGAATCGGGATGCTTGGAGTCTTCCGTTAGTTTTGCCTCCTCCGTAGGGTTTACATCCTGAGAAGAGTTTGGTTCATCGACCGTTGGTTCCCCAGAAGTAGACTCGATCTTTTTAGTAGGCACGGGTATCTGAATGTCGCTATTTTCCTGCTGAGAGACCGGCTGAGAGGGTGGCTGAGTGATCCCAATGTCAGGTTTGCTGAGAATTCCTGAATCTCGCCACATCAGGATTAGGCTCATAATAAATTTTATAAGAGAGGAACGTATGGTGACAAAGGGGATAGTAAGGTATATGTAATGCGCATTCACATACCAGGGACGACAGGAGCGCTTAGCGATTCAGAAGTCATGGTTGTTCTAGTAGACGGTAGCTAAATGGGGTAGTATGAGAGGGAGTGGTTGGTTTTCTGGAGGGAAAAAGCAATCACAAATGGAGAGCGATCTTGAAAGTGGTTGAATGCAAAGGCTACCGGAGGAGCGCAAGCCGGGAAGAAAAAGAATTTGGCTAATGGAAGGAGGTCAGAAATGGCGAGGGATGAGGTTGCGCGGTGATGTTACTAAGGCCATCCAAGTGGATTAACCCACGGAGAATAATCTCGGCTGTCTCCCTCTGGGGGCCTCTCGAAGTCGAGAATGGGCCATCTGGGTCCCCGGGAGAGGGTAAAACAAAGGCCACACTCTAAAACCCTTCGAGATCCCGACTGGGGGGAAGTAAGCAAAACTAAGCCCTTTGTACATACATCATTACTTGTGGCCATTGGGGCTAGGTAAGCGTGCCAAGGAGACCACTGAGGCTGGAGTGTGGAGCGAGCGCGGAGAATTCCGTCAGCATTCAGTGCGTTCCCAACTTCCCGCACAACAAGGTTTTCGAACTTTGCCCCCAATTGGGAATCTATGCTGTTATAAAGCCAGGTATCCGAGGGGGCAGATGAAGAGCAGAGGTAAAATCCGATTGCGCTCCAGCTGTGCCCTTCCGGCTACACGCATCAGGTGAACGCCAGATCCAATCTGGCAAGGACATCCTTCATTTTAGATGGAGCATGGTCGCCACTTCGATCCAAACTCTTTTGCTCTGACTTGCCATGTAACTGCTGCTGCATGAAGCGCGCCAAGTATACGCACTCTTGCTCCTTATCCGAGTCAACCAAGATGTTCAGAGCATCGAAGCCTAGGTGCATGAAGAAATCCCGCTTCCTCTTTGGCCATGCTTCAAAGTACCCCGGCCGGAGTCTCTCCACGTAGCCAAGGAATGGGGCTGTATCGGGGTGGGTTGGGTGGTAGAGGGAAACGGCAGCTTCGAATAAGGATCTCGGCGTAACAGTGGACATCACACTCCTGAAGTCTTCGTACAAATGCACTGGGATTTCTTGGGCATGGGTGGGTGTTTTCACCACGAGATGGCACAGCACAAACCCGGCTCGCATAACTGCCGCGTCGGAGGATGATGGGGAGATTTCAGTACACATCTTGTAAGCGTCCAGGAATTGACGTACGCACGAGGCCAATCCGCCTCCGTAGCGCGCCTCCGCGTCAATAAAGTGATTTAGGAGAAGGGCAAAGCCTTCTCTAGACTGGGTGTCGGATATGGAACCATTGAGACCCCCAAGGTCACCACTGGCCAACATCCGCAGCCAAACAAAGACCACCCCAGACAGTTCTTCCGCCACCATAAACTTTGTGAGGGACTTGATCAATCCACTGGAGGCGAAAAGAAGCTTCCTCGTCTCCGAATCGGAGGCGAACCACCAGGCGACGACTTTGGAGCCCGCACGGGAGTCCCTCAAAGCCTTGACAAGCCCCTCCGGAGAATGAGGACTGGCGAGCAACAGCTGCGACTTCAAACAGTTGTGGAGAGCATATGACGTGACGGAGCCCGAGGCCACCAGCTCGTCAAAGACTACCATCGGCTCCTTGGCCAGTCTCTGCTTATCGATATTTCCGGCAGGCGGCGCGCCGTGTGAGGTGGAAGACTTGGGGGGGGATATGCTAAACAGGGGGTTCTCCAGGATGGTCCGGAGATGCCGGTCGGTCGCATAAGCGGAGGAGTGATGATGGTCGGTCGAACGATCCCCATCTGTACTATTCCCCGGCGTGGATGACTGGTCTGAAGAGGGGGGGGTAGTGGGATATTCACGATCGAGCTGACGACGGAAGGAGGACGTAAGGGCATTGAGCAGTTGCTGGGACTGGCGGGGAGTACGGGGCAACGGGACATGGAGTTTGGAGAAGGGGGAAACGGATAAGATCCGCGAGCCTTTCATGATGATTTCTCACGGCATGAAAGGAAGGGATCCTCAATAAAAGGGCGTAGTTGAATAGAACTTATGGACGGGAGGAAGAAAGAGTACTCGGTACGGAGTACTTGATGATCGAATGACTGTCTACGGAGTACTACGTACGGAGTAGTGGGCGGTGAGTAAGGGCTGCCAGCCAACGCTTTCACGAAATTTTAAGATTCCAGCTTAAAGAACATTCAATATTATCCCCCCTTGAAAGAAGAGGAGAAAGGCAAGGATAGGTCCAACATTCCTGCATTGAGTCTTTGTGTCTGGGGTCTCTAAATAGCAGCTAATGTTGACATCCCAAGAAGAGATTCCGAAGCGAATCAAGTAGGAGCCTGAGGAAGCCACAGATCATGACGAAATCCTCCATTTCTACAGATAGATCATTAGGTATCATGTAGGTAGTTATATTCAGTGTAAAATAGTTACTGGAAGAGATTCATGAATCAATTCTCTTTAATTTACAAGAAAAAAACTCTTTCCCAAGTAAAAGTAAAAAGTGGAAAAAAAAAAAAAAAAGCTGGGCCACTAAAACCCAACCCACGCCTCTTTCTTCTATTCTGTCTCTTTTCTCGCTCTCCTCCACTAAAATTCCTCCCTCTCAGCCTTTCTTCCTCTTCTTCTTTCTCTCTTTCTTTTACTTCTCTCTCTCTCTCTCTCTCTCCCTTCTACTTCTGTCTTATACTAATTTCTTCCTACTTTCCTCTTTCTCCCTCCCTACCCCCCATTCTTTATCATCTTATCGCTTCACAGCTTTTCCATCCTTCTCCCTTCCTCCCTTCCTTGAAGCTGGTTGTGTGGTGCGTTGACCTCGCTCTCGTGAGGCTGCATCTCTGATCATTACGGAGGACTACAACACTAACGAACCTCTTTTTACCCGCTTTTTTCTTCCCACTAGCCGCATCTTATTTTCTCCCCCTTCGTCTTCCTGAGACTCCTTCGGTTTCGTTTATTCTATTTTCCTTCTCTCTCCATTTTCTCCTTTCCTGGAGAAGCCGAATTTTCATCAACAAGATATGTCTGAAGTTCAATCGAGGCCCTCTGCCTCTCGTGGCAGGGTATCCGCCCGTGGTGGCCGTGGTGGTTACAGCTCCAGAGGTGGTCGAGGTGGAAGCAGATCTGCAAAGACGGACAATTCAGAGTTCGCTACATACGAGGATGAGGGAGAGCTGGGCCAGCTGAAGAAGAAATACTCAGACACCCTGCCCATGCTGAAGGAGTTGTTCCCTGACTGGACAGACGAGGACTTGGTTTCCGCCTTGGAAGACGCGGATGGTGACCTGGAGCAGGCAATTGATCGCATTAGTGAAGGTACTGCGTTCCATGCATGCCCTTTCGTTTATGTATCCTGTTTCTCCTCGTGTTTCGCTGGCTAACTGGCTCCTTTCCTAGGCAATGTCGCTCAGTGGGGAGAGGTAAAGAAGAAGACCACGGATCGAACTCGTCCTAAGGCCAAGGAGGTTCAAAGCACCCCAGCAGAGCCAGTCGTACCCGCTGTGAGAGGAGGACGTGGACGTGGTGGATTCGAGGGTCGTGGCCGCGCTCGTGGAGATCGCGGTCGTGGCGGTCGGGGTGGCCGGGCAGGTGCTCACACCAATGGAACACGCACAGAGATCGCCCCTGTCACCGACTCGGCTGCAGCTCCTGCTCCTGCTGCTGCTGCTGCTGCACCAAAGGTTACCGCCACGGTTGACCCGGACACAACCGCTCCCGAGACGGTCGAACCTGCAAAGGAGGTTCCTCAGGCGACGCTGCCGGAGGGCACCAAGAAGGGCTGGGCTTCGTTGTTTGCCAAACCTGCAGTCCCTCCACCTCAGAAGAAACCTGCCGCTCCTGCTCCTGCTCCCGCCCCTGTCTCCGTCCCTGCTCCTGAACAGATCACGGCCGATCTTGCCCCAGAAACTAAACCAGCCGAACCCGAAGCCGCCCCGGCCCCCGCTCCGGTCTCCGTTCCTGTCCCCATCCCCGTCCCCATTCCTGCGGAAAAGGCTCCTGAACCCGTCATTCCTCTCCAACCCGAAGTTCCCCAGGCTGTAACACCACCCCCAGCTGCAGTCGGACCCTCCAAGGATGATTTGACCAAGAACAACCTCGCCCAGATCCCTGATGTTTCTGCTCCCGCCCCCACCGCCACCGCTGCCAGCACTATCGGCAGCGCCATCGACCCCAGTGCTGCAGTCGCTTCGACCCCTGCTCGCCCCGCACCTGGTGTCTTCCCAACAAGCGCACTGAAGCAGAGTATCCGTACCCCCGGAACCCAGCGCCGTGTGATGGAACAGCAGGAGGCCGTGGTCATGCCCGGAAACCATGCCGTCGACCGTGCGGCGGTGCAATTTGGTAGCATGGGACTGAACGGCGATGCTGCTGATGTTGATATTGATGAGAACCGTGAAGACACCGAAACGCGTGCCCAACCTCCTCAGCATTCTCCCGTCGCACCCCGCGCTTCCTTGCCGCCCTCGACCCAGGCACAGGCCCCTACCGACACCCCCACCGTCGCTCGTCCCGCTCCCGGACTCCCCCCCGTCCCTCAGGTCTCTGCTGGCGATAACACCTTTACCGACTTCACTCGCTACGCCGAATCCCACAAGCCCTACGATCCATTCACCCAGCAGGTCACTCAGCCCCAGCCTCAGGTTGTTCAGGAACCCTTTGCAAATCAAGCCCCTGTTCAGCCTACTGTCACCAGCGGCAGTGAATACTCACCTTTCTACGCTGGCGACCAGCGTCTCCCTTACAACTACTACGGTACCTACGGCCAGTCCCAGGATGCCTCCGTCGCGCAGCGTGCTGCTGCAGGATTTGGTGTCTCTGGTGCTGAAGCACAACCCCAGGTCCCCACCTCTCAGCCTCCCAGTCGCTATGGACATGTTGAAGCCCCCAACAGCGGCCACACGACTCCTAACCCCACCCTCCCTGGAGCTACCCAGACCCCCGCCGCTCAGCACATGCCTGGTCAAGGTGCTCACGGCTACGGCTACGGGTACCCATACTACTCGAACCCCCATTATGCTTCGTACATGAGCCATCAGTATGGCCGCAACCGCCCAATGTACGATGATGCACGCCGATATGATGATCACTACATGCCTCACAGCACCCAGTACGGCTATGGTAGCCAGTACGGCCCATACGGCGGCAAAGGAGGGATGTACGGACAGCCCCACGGTTTCTCGTACGATCACTCTTCGTCCCCCGCCACTGCTGGAAGCTTCAACCAAGCTGTGCCCGGACGTGACTCGGTCTACGGCCGCACCGGATCAGCTCAGCCATCTGAGAGCCAGCAGTCGGCCGCGGGCTCCACCGCCTTCGTATCTGGTATGTCGGATGTCTTCAGCCGCTCCCAGGGTAGCTTTGGACAGAACCAGCCCATCACTCAGCAACCCCCTGTGACTTCGGAGGAAACCAAGACCTTTGAAACTCCCAAGGCCGGCGGACCTAGTCCGTCGCTGGCACAGGCTAACCGCCCCGGCTCTGCGACCAACAGCGCTCCGGGCCAGCCTCAAACCCAGTCTGGTCTTCCTCCCCTGCAAGGCCAACAGGGTCAGCAGAGCTTCAGCGGCTATCCCCATCTGAACCCTCAGTACGGAGGTGGCTTGGGCGCCCTTAGTGGACATCAGGGAGCAGCCAACCAGACCCACCACCAGGCAACCGGGTATGGTAACTACGGCGGCGCTGGCTTCGCCAACTATTACGGCAACACTGGACGTGGCGGTTGGGGTGGCAATTACGGTCATTAAAGGGATTATGGCGTTACATTTTTCTGGGTGATGACACTTCTTCTTCTTTTAAGGGCGGCAAACCCCTGGACTTTAAAATCTTATATTTTCACTTTGTTGACGCTGTTTCCTTTTTACTTTTTCCGTCACTCTCAAACGTGTAATCTCTACTCTCAATGGGAGCTTGGCTGGTGTATCTCCTTTGGACTTTTATGTGTTTTCCAGGCTGGGTTGTGCTCATGATGTACTGAACGGGGGAAAAAATGTTACTTATTTTCTGCTTTTGCAGGGTTCATGACATTTGGGCCATATCTCTATCTGATTGTTTTTTTTTTTTTTTTTTGCTTGTGATTGATCTCCTTTCCTATACCTGTTTTTTTTTTTTTTTTTTTTTTTTTCTTTTTCTTTTTTTTTTCCCTTTCCCTTCATATTCAATTTCTGACCAAAAATGATTTCCGTCTTCCCTTGTCGGCTGCGTTGCATACTTTGCGTTTCCTGTACTACATATTGGGTTCAATTGGGACTACATTAATGCAAAACAACTGGGTTGGGATGGAAGAATGGGGGAATGAAGAATGAATTGATTTGAGACGAACGTTGTGAAAAGTTCCTTGTAGCTCGTTCCTAAGTGTAGTAGAGGAGAGATCGATACCAGGTCATGGCTGCCTAGCATAGGCTGGTGCATATTTTCAAGATGAGCTATAATACTGCTAAGTATACATACTACTTGGTACTAACCCGATGTACCCTTGGCACTCATATATATTATATATAATATATATATATATATAGTTAGGTATAGATTTATTGACAGACGACCACATTCCTAAACAAACCAAACCACTGGAGCCTGCCTTATCAAGTCTAGTTTCTCCCAGACTCTCACAAATCAAGGTGCTGTAGTGTAGTGGTGATCATAATTCGTTGTGGCCGAATTGACCTGGGTTCGATTCCCAGCAGCGCCAGTGGCGTCTGACTTGATTTGACATCTTTTCTTTTTTTTTTTTTTTTTCTTTTTTCCTCATGCTCTTTTCTTCTTCTTTTTCTGTCTTGTTATTTATTCCTTGGCTTGATTTTTTTTTTTTTTTTGGGGTTGGCAAACTGTTTCTTTAATTAATTAATTCATCACACTTTGTACTGCATTTATGTGTATATATGAATGAATGAATGAATGAATGAATGAAAAGTTGCTTTTTATTGGTGGTCGTATACATATATATATATGACGGTATTGTATGTATGTATGTATGTATGTATGTATCTCTGAGAGAGATATATTCTCCCATTCAAGTCTTATGCATGATTATTCTACACACACACATACATATTTATCTACTGCAATTACCCAGAGCATTCCATCATAGACAGAGTCTGGAAGGCTGCTATGAACAGTTGGGATTTAAATTCTGGCGCACCTGTGTATAGAACCGGGAGATGTATGGAACTTGTACACCCAATTTACGTATACATATACATATATACACATATATATTCAGAGCCTTTCGAGCGATCCATGGTGAAAAGTATAGAGCAATAGTAGTAGGAGCACAGGAGAGTTGTGGGGTGGGTGAGGAGTATCCGGATCGTGATGATTAGGGTACTGCCTAGGTAGTTAGTATAGATCTATCTTAGACTCGGGAAATATCCGCGGTGGAGCAACTGGTTAGAGCATACTTACAAGTTACCCACTTACACGCACGGTGCACCACCAGATATGGCAGATAGTGATACTTATTGATGCTAATACAACTACATGCGTAGTATTGATTGACTGTAGTACTTTGACACTGGGGTTATCCCACATGCCGTTTCATTATTATTTAGAAACGACGATTCTACTACCATAAAAAGACAGCCGAATCTGGTATCAAATACAATGCATAGATAGATACATGTATGAAAAGAAACCGTCATTGAGTGTAAGGTTAACCCGTTACATAACGAAGCTCTCAATCATAGCGGAGAAATTCAAAAATTCGTGTGCAGAGACTGAAAACTCGTAATCGCGTTTCTGCTCTTGGTTCCGGTGTTGGCATTGAAAATCACTATATTTTGATTTTCAAGTTGACTCTTTTTTTTTTTGGAGTTGCATCACTGGGTATCCTAGGAGCTGCAACGAACTAATAACCAGACCCTAGAAAAAGGGAAAGGAATTGCTCGCGCACTTGATTGTCCTAACCGTTCAAGAGCTGGTGACGTGATCAAACTTGTACAGAGGCTCCAGGTAGGCGTTCTTCTGGCGGAAGATGTAGCGCTTAGTCCACCAGGGAAGCACCTTGAAGAGCTGGTAGTGCATGTGGGTGCGGGTTGGCACGGCGAAGATGTAGTCGAGCTCTTCGAGGGTGCGTTGCTTGGTTTCGGGGACCCAGAAGAAGATCATTACCAAGGCGGTTACGTTTAATCCACTAAAGATTTGAATTATGAGTACCGATATGTTCAAAAGAAGGCGGGGGACTTACGCGTAGAAGCCGAATGCGCCAGTGGCAGTCATGGCGTCAAGCATCCGCGGGAATGTGATAGAGAGAACGGCGGCCCAGCCGAGACAGGTGGCTACGGCCCAGGACATTCCGACCTCTGTGAAATTTTAGTATCTTTACCGCTGAAATCATGAAGAGAGAGATACGTACCACGGTGGGACAGAGGGAAGACTTCAGCGGAGTAGGTGAACGGAACAGGCCCTTCGCCCGGAGAGTAGAAGGCTGCGAATAAGAAAATGAACAGCGCGATGAGTCCCAGATGGGCCTTGGAGCTTTCCGGGATGTAGAAACAGAAACCGGCCGTGAGAAGGGTCCAGGCCATCTGCGGGAATGTGAATAGAAGTAGAGTTCGACGACCGTAAGTATCAATGGTGAAGACTGCGGGGAAAGCAAACAAGAAGTTCACTAGACCGAAGCCCCAAGAAGCCCAGAGGGACTCGGTATAGCTTGCACCAGCATTGCTGAAGATGGTGGAGGAATAGAAGGCAACGATGTTGATTCCACACATCTGCTGGGCAATCATGACAGTAAAGGAGGCGAGGGTTGCCCGACGGACGCGAGGAATCGTAAACAGCTCTACAAAACGTGTAACGTAGTTGCTATTCCCTACAATTTCCTGCTCGATCTTGATCTGGGCATAGATGTAGTAGAGGTCGCGAGCGGCCTGCAACTCGCTGTTACGAAGGCGGCAGAGGGACTCGTAGGCATTACGGAGTTTCCCTTTCTTGATGAACCAACGAGGAGACTCAGGACACATGTAGACACCCAGAAGCAGGGGGACGGCGGGAATAAAGGCAGAGCCCATTTGCAGGCGCCAGGCCAGGTCACCAGTACCCTTGACTGCCAGATTCGCCGAAGTTCCGAGGAAAATACCAAACGCAGTCCACAATTGCCAGCACATCACCAGGCCACCACGGATCACCGCCGGGGTGTTTTCAGCACAGAACACAGGGATAGTCGATGCCTTCAATCCCATGCCAATCCCAAGGAGGAGACGAGTGACGAAGAGCTGAGGCCAGGTCTGACTGACGGCTTGGCCGAAGGGCGAAAGAAGACAGAAAATCGCAGAAATGAAGATGGCACCACGACGGCCCAGGTAGTGATTCGCAGGATCGGATATCCAGCAACCAAGAACAGCACTAGCAATGTAGGGGGCCCTAATTGATTTGGTCAGATTGTCAGTACTAACAACTTTGCGCAAGAGCATATAAGGCACATACGCGTTGACGACACCGACCAGCCACTGATTTCTCTCGGCATTGGGGCCGGTCTCGGGAATTCCGAGGGCTTCAGGCATTCGCAGATTGGCACCTAAAAAGGGAGGACATTAGAGAGGCAACTTTTTTGAGTTAGTAGTTCGGAATCAACCTACCGTTGCTTCCCGTCTGATCCCACCCCCTGTGTAAGACTTTAGCGACTGCAGGAGAATAAGGGTGGAAAAAAGGCAAATCTTACTGCACAGCAGCACCAACGGAGCACAGGATGATGGTGAAGTAGAGAGAACGCGGCTGGCGCCACTTATGATCAGTCTCATCTTGAATGACCTGAAGGTCCTCAGGGGTCATGTCGGGGACATTTCGAAACTGCTCAGGGTCACGAGCGATCAAAGCACCCTTTCTAATGTTGGGAAGGATATCGGTCAACTTGTGCTCGTGGGCGAATTCCTCGACATCGCGAAGGACCTGTGTTTCAGTGAGATCTGCCAGAGGGTTCTTGATTCTGATGGAAATTAGCTGGGAATCGAACACAGCCCAAAGTGGGATATGCCTGGAGAGGGTACCTACTTGGCTGAAGTGTTCTTGTTCAGGTTGATGTGTTCAGTAACACCCTTTTCCGCAATGTCCTCATCATCACTGGGTCTATACAGTGATTAATAAAAGAGCCAGGAGGACAAAAGAGAAAACAAGAAAGAAAGAGAGAGAAAGAGAGAGAAAGAGAGCCAGCAGGGGAGACAAACATCTTCTTGCTAGGAGGTTCGACAGTGTTAATAGTATACTCAGGAGAAATCTCCTTGTTTGCTGTGCCTGCCATGTTCAATGGCGATCAGAATATGAAAGAAAGAGACAGCAGTAGTACAGATCGAGTACAGAAGACGTGCTTTGAAAAGACACAATACCGAAGACACAGAAGATGACACAGAAGACGACACCAAAGAAGATGCAGAGAATGTGAGATGGGGAAAGAACGCAACAGATGCGGGGTGAGGAGGAGAAGAAAAAGGAAGAAGAGATGCCTCTGACTGGGGAAAAGTAATAAAAGCAAGTAAGAAAGAAAAGAAGGCTAAAACGCCCCAGTGATGGGAGCAGACAAAGAGGCTGACAGAGAGATCCAATCAGACGGACAGCAGATCCATCATTACAGGAAGAGTGAATGATTTCCTGCGGGATTTAACCAGTAGTGGGACCAGCCATCATGCAACTATGGCTTGGAGTCTGGAGATGAGTTCTTTTGACTTTCTTTCCCTGGTTCTTTTGGCTGCGAGGGTGTGGAGGGATTTCCTGGTGAAGCCATCTGGATAGAAACTAAGATGGATCAGGATTGAAAGGGATGGAGGAGTGAATATCTGGTAGTGACATGATTTCTCTCTTCCCCCGCCTTCCTTCGCAGCCAGTCAGGAGGGGTTCCAACAAATAATTAGGATGGAGAACAATTCTCTAGGATGTCAGAAGAGAGAAAGTGCGGGTTGTAGAGTTGGTGATATTCTTGGCAGCCTGAGGCCCTAGGGAGATCGTGTCACATGTACAACTTCTTCATCTTCGAGTTTATGCTGATTTCTTGGGTTTGGGTTCTTCATTTCTTCTAGAACATGGCAAATTACAGCTGCATCAAAGAATTAAACCTCATTTAAAGCCACAAACCTTCCAGCTCAGCCCTCAAAGGAAGTCTATCTTTTATCACTGTTTCCCTTTGTTCTCCCCCATTGCTTGTTCCCTCGCTGTGTCCAACAGCACCAACGCAAAAGCGCCACCCCTAGTGTTTGATTACCCGAACCTGGAGGCGGGGGCCGTCCACTAGAAGGTTGTTTGTTGAGTCACTAGAGAGGAATTGGGGATGGTGTGCCTAGTAGGCTAAGGTGATTCAAGATCCATTGGCTACTCTTGGCTAGGATATGAGGGCTAGGTTGTACTCACTAACCCACAACTGTGTTAGCCCTGCTATTTACCTTCCTTCTCAAAGAGCCCAGGACGGCATAGACCCTCTCTGAGTACCTGTCCCGTACTCTGTACTCCGGACTGTTTGCTTCGAGGCCATTTCCCCGGGTACCGGTGACTGCCAGACAAGGGGACCCAGGCAAGGATTAATTAAAACGTCCCTGCGGCACCACCTGAATCAGATTCCTACCATCCCGCTCGGATAACATTAAACACCATCAAGAGTGCGTTGGAGTCCTGGATGCATCATCGTCATGGCTGCTGCCGATCTCCTTCGATGCTTCCGTGTAGCGGAGAATTTCCCCGTCACATTCCTCAATTCACGTGGCCACATCAACATGGCTCTTACTACATTAATAGTAATGCGACTCCTGCACTAGGCTAGTTAGCTCCATGGGCCGAGTTGAGGCGCCGACTCTGGAGGACGCCACCAATGCCCATACTTTTCACTAACCGAGGATCCCCTCACTGGGGCAGGCGGCCATACAAGCCCGCATTGCTTACTCTAGTGTAACTGTACGGAGTAACTCGAAAGAGGCCGACCACTGAATTGTGAGATGGAGATTACTTTCATTCGACAACCAGTCTGATGGGAACAACAACGTAGCTGTCTGATTATTGACTTTCGGGCAACAACAAGAGGACTCCGAGACCGTCCCTCTCTCCCCAGGTTTGAATTCTGGGGGCTGGGGTGGGTTTAACGCCGATCTTGGAAAGAAACGGGGTCCCAAGGGCGCCAAGATATGTACATCCATTATCAGTCGACGGCGGTCAACGCCCGAAGTGAGAGAGAAACTCAAAGGATGACTCGGTGAGTCGGCATAGCCGAAAGAATTCCCGTCCGAGCGGGCGCCACACTGTCATCAGACTGAATCTTGTGGGGATAGGCAAAATAATCGGCTTGGAGAAAAGACGGGGTTTGAGCGTCTGGCCTTGGAAGTGGGTGCTGTTCCGGGGTTGCAGGAATACTACTCCGTACCGCCCGTGCGATACGAAGCAGAAGCTGGCACCATGTGGGACGCTCTCGAGGAGAACAAGGGGAGCTCGATTAGGCTTGATTGGGTCTGGCAACGTTTAGTTCGGTGTGGTAGGATAGCCAAAAAAAAAATCAATAATTCTCCTATTCCTAGCATAAGTGGTCATACCACGCACGTCCAGTATGGGAAGCACAGCAAGTCTTTGACTGGTATAATTAATCTCCGTGGCACGAGCCCAGAAGCGAAAGCTTTTGTCTGGAACTTTTCAACCCCGGCATGCATTTCAATACTTCCCTCCAACTCATCGCACTTACAGAATACATGCCCTCCATTACCGGGTAAACTTTAGTGAACCCGAAGGAAGGCTCTATGATCAACACTCTTCATTCTGCTTTTCGAATAGACAGAGCATATTGACTCTCCAGGCGCATACGGCTCCCCCTCACCCAGCCTTAATCAGGCTAATCTGCTCTTGCCCGAAGGAAAGTCTCTACTCTCTAATGGTGTGACGACGATCCTTTCATTTGCTGTTGGTTCAGGCGAGTCGCACAGATTGATTCGAAATCTCCCTTCCATAAACTCGAAGAAACTCTCCGAATGAGCTGCGTAACCTCTCCTTGCTTGCAAAATGGAAAGGGGATTCATCTTTTTCCATCTGCTATTGTTTTCACGATAGTCTCCTGTTAGGATTTACCTCATATACTGCAGTGTACAAGCATCGGGGAAGGCTCCTTAGCCTAGTAGTCTCTGTACCAACGCTGATTTTATTAACGATCGCTGCAAAACCCGCATTTCACACTCAAGAAAGGCAATGGTGGTTGATTCTGACATATCATATCGTGGGATTCGTTACTCCACAAGCCCAAGAACAGACCGCATAACGTCGCGTTAGTAAGTGGGTGTAATGGCCATGCTTGTTGACAGCAGTAACGACACATAGGTACTCCGTACTCACCACCCCTTCATTGCTGATTACCTCAACCAGCCTCAAGATTGATAGTCTGAGTAACTTTTGAGATTCCAAGAAAATATGTCGCTATCGTTCTCTCCTCTGGATTGGCTCCGATTGAAGCTTCCGGGAACGGTTAGGCTGTAGGCAGTTGCTTTGGATCCTAGCGGGGTCCCCACGGGTTGGAGGCGCATTAAACAACTTGAAGTAGACATTTTATATAAAACTTCTGGTGGAGTACTAGCTTACCATCCTCCTGCTGCACATGAATGCCTAGAAAGAGTTTTGGGAAGTATATAGGTATCTTATATTCTGAAGATAAATGTTACGGATAGAATAGATTGTGCTACCATTCGTACAAGAAGGAATCGTCAGAGATCTAAGCTGGGGGTAGATAGGACACAGATACATAGTTATACAGTATATGCTATGTAGGAAGTTTTGTCCCACAACCTTGTAGAGGCTCGGCTAGAGCTAAGCCCTAACTTCAGTTTATACAATTATAGTACCTAATGTAGAACCTCTAACAGTACCGTCTTCCTCTCCCCTGATAGGCCGCCATACAGAGGCATAGAAACAAACATCAAAGTAACAACCCTCGAACACATTTCAGTTCTGAGCATATTCCCAGTCAGCAAAGAGTATAAGTAACCAAGGAAGAAAAAAAATTTCTTCCGAAAATACTCCATCTCCTTTCTACCCTCTTCTTTTCAAGATCCGAGCGTCCAGACCATAACCAGACCCCTGCTGGCCAGGATATTATACCACGGGTCCCATACAACCCCTTCACCGTGGCCCTCACCAGCATATTGTGCATAATTTTATGGATGGTGAATACAGGTACATTATCATATAATTAGTTAACTGCCTGGTAGTGAACTATGCCACACAAATAACCAGAAGGCAGTATGGAAGTTCCCCTTGGACAAATTTACCATCAGGGAGGAATGCACTCTGCATACAGCAGCAGGTAAGTCAGGCAGGACTGGTATTATTTCATACAAGGCTACATCCCTCCTCTATCAACACTATCTTGATCGCTTCTGGGGGTGTAGAGGAAAAGGTGATGTCACCATAGCACTCTGTTGGTATTTCGTGACACCGTACAGGTGCCTGGTTATTGGGGGCGCTGGTTATTTCCGTTGTTATCAGTGGCAGGCATTTCGGTGCAGAGGGAGAGCGGGTGATGTTATATATGGGGATGTTATATGGTTCGTACAAAGGAGTCTGGAGCTAGGATTTCGAAAAGAAGAGGGCACTCTTATGTATAATTTATTTCTAAATAACTGATATACTCTTAATTATTAGATTTATAGTCTGGTTTAGCTGTCGTGAACCCATAATTTACTGGAAATACCTAGGTCTGCAACGATTGATAGTGGATAAAAAGGTCACCCAGACCAAACCTTAGTCAACATTACTGCCTTATTTCGGCCTTCAAGGCCTTGTTTGTGATAAGCATGAAAAATGGCTTCTTACTTCTTAGGCCCTTTCGCCAGCCTGTGTATATTTCTCTTATTGTGGTCAACCTCCCGTCCATTCTCCCAAAACATGTTGACCATGGTACAAATCGTGTCTTGCACGAGCCTATTGAAGACGTGGAAAGATTCCTTGAATATAGATAGGTTCAACATTCAAGGCCCTATGGCAACCACATCTGTTTGGTGACTAGACCAGCAAGAACGAGTCTCTAATGCAAAGAATGGATCATGGATCAGCCTTTTCCAGCTTGATATAGCTTGAGCGCTAGCAGTGCAGCTCGTTCATTATGGAAACATCCTCCTCCAACTACTAGTATCCTGTGAATTTGATCAGTTATCTACTAAATAATTATATATAATTAATTAGATGATTAAAAGCCCTTGCCAGGAGTCCCATAACATAATATCTCACCTGTCTAGCTTGGGGAAGTAAGGTGAAAATATAATACTAGGAGCCAGGCCAGTATCCTTCTTTCTGACTTTGGTGAAACGTGTGCCCCAGAAGAAAAGAATAAAATTAAGTTTTATATACCTCTTCTGATCCCCCCTGGAGGCTTGATTTGAGCTAAATAAGCCCCCGAATTTCTCATCTGATATCTGGATACTTGCCTGCACTATCTGGGATGTCATAGTCTAAAGATTACTCTTCGAAGGCTTTCTCGCAAGCAAAGACAATATAACTTGCCAGCAGATTAATGCATTTGGCCTTTTGCCAACCAAATAGTAGAAAATAGCAGGCATCTTAGGACAAGTTCACCGAGTATGGAGAGCTAATTCAGCAATCCTCATCGCAATATGGAAGATTCGCCATGCTCAACAATAGCAGTAAAACCCATGATTAGTTAGATGCCGAGCAAGTCACTATTCCCTCGACATATTGTTGGTCATCCTGTCCAGCCTCCAGAAGACTGCAGTGATGAAAACATCGATCCTCCAAGTACACACTTGCTCCGAGCAGCAGGCAGGCATTCGAGAGAGAACAGAACACCAAGTTCAGGAAATTTAGTGCTGGTCGGGTAATCGGTAACCCAGGCTTCGGTTTGGGCCTCAAAGACATCAGGGATAAAATGACGGGGCGGAATTTTGGGTTGTTGATACTGCAAGTAGTTTCTTGACGTTGTTATTTAGAGGTATGACCATAGTCATTGTTGATGTTCTCCCAGCGAGTCGCCGCCCCTCCTCTTGTTCTCTCCTCCTCTTCCTCTTCCTCCACTCCTCCGCACAACGCGATCGCCTGCCATCGGATTTTACTTCCTTTCCTCTGACTTCAAGAACATTAAGAGAATAAAGGAACAAGGGGATTGTCTAGAAGAGGTCTATACCTTCGAGTCAACGGAAGTCGTCCACACTCATTTAGCCTATCTCTCCCACGTCGATCTGTGAACCCTTCTTGCAGGGGAAAACCCACCATCACGTATCTGACCGCCTCCACCAGCCACGACAAGCTACTAGTGTCCCTCGAGTTTCTTCTCCCTTGAGGTTTTTTTTTTTTTCTTTCTTTCTTCTTCTTCTTGTATCTTTTCCCTCCTCCTCCTTCTCTTCATCGTCAGATCTGCTGCATTCGAGTTCCTGGACGTTCTACGGAGTGTTTGTGATTTCGACTCCTTTCCCCGCCTCTCTTCCCCCTTCCCCTTCCCCCTTCCCCCTTCTTCCCTTCTCTCTTCTCTCTCGTCATGCCATGCTTCAAGGGTCTTGCCGTTAGTATACACACCCCGGACGGCCCTCTCCCCGAGCACTCGATCCAACGCCAGTCCCGGGTCTCTCGTATAGCCTGTTATATCCCTGTGCCTCCGCCCAAGCTTCCCGATAATCCGGAGGGGAAGCCCGAACAATCAACCTTTGCCATTTCCATCACCCTCCTAAACCCCGGACAGGATGTGCCGTATTCCACCCCGAAGCCGTCGTCCGATAACCCCGCTCCCAAGCCCAAGGTTGTGGGTGGTCTCCCCAGCCAGACGGAGCAACGAGGACAGTACACCAGCATGGTCACTCCGTACCAGGCCCTGACAAACTCCCCGAATGAGACCGTGGCTGCGTACATCTACTTCGATGGCCGGCAGAAGGAGGAAGTGGCTACTCTGCTCCGGAGAGGGGAGGAAACCTGGGTGAACTCTCGATGGGTCAGCGTGCCCGATTCGGAGGGTGGTGGACTCGCGGAACGAGAGTTCCTCTTCCGTGAGGTCGGGCTCGAGAGGTGGCTGAACGGGTTGGACTTGGAGGGCAATGACACAGCGGCAAAGATCGAACGGCGACGGCAGAAGATGGAAAAACGCCGGGCGAAACGCGACCAGGCAGACGGGATCGATGACCTGCATATGGACGGTAAACCCGAAAAGGGCGACAAGGGGATCATGCGATACGGCAATGATTCTAAATCTCCTTTGGAGGATGTGTCGGATGATGACATGTCGTTCCCTGATTCCGATGATGACCCGATCCCCGAGTCTGCTGGCCAGATCAAGGTTGCACTCTTCCGTGTTCTGGCCTCAGGGGAAATCAAGCGTGGGGAGTACTCTCCGCAGTTTGATGCCCACGAGGATGATGAAGAGGGCGGACAAGGCAATGGCGATGAGGACATCGACCACACGACCAGCTTTGCGAAGCCAAAGACACTGGATCCTAAGACTATCAGCACGCAAACCGTCACCGGAATTGATCCATCCGATAAGCCGTACGCCATCTTCACTTTTATGTACCGAGGACAGCGTAAGCCACTTCGTTTTTCTGTCTTGAGGAACTGCGGGGAAAGCTGACTTTTTTGTAGGACAATTACAAAAGATGGGAATATTGAAGGACCCCAAAGCCCAGGAGACTCCTGCCTCGATCAAACGCCGATCATTGCAGCCGGACTTTTCTAATCTCGGACCTTTGAAACCCGGAGGAACCGTAGGGTTCTTGAATTTCCGAGACAACACGGAGAGCCGAAGGAAAAACAGCAAGAATAAAGACATGGCCAATGATGATGATGATGATGACGACGACATGGATAGTGACGATGGCGATGATAACCGGATTCTAAACCAGGCGGACGACGAAGAAGCCAAGGAAGATGATCAACATCTGTCTCCGGACGATATCAGACGACAAGGCGAGCTGGCAGAGGGCGTGCGCAAGATCAAGGTATGCACGTAGTTTGATTTGGGGGGGGGGCTTTTTTTTGTCCTAGTGATCGTTCTAGCTAACTGGCTCACGTTCCCAGCTCAAACGTCAACACTCATCCGCATCCCTCGGAGCGAATAGTTCCCGACGAGGCACAGCAAGCCCTCATACCTCCGGACCTACCCCGAGCTCCTCCAGTATTTCCACGACTCCTCCTGCAGCAGCCGCAGTAACTGCAGCGACTGCAGTGCCACCAGCTCCCATCAGTGCAACCGAACCCGCACAGCTCGCCCAACCTGCCCCGAACACTTTGAACGGAGAATTTATTGGGAGCCCGTTGAAGAAGCAGCGCCCAAGCGTGTCGCAGGCGGACGAGTCTGCTTTTCGACGACGGATGGAATCGGGAATTTCGCAGCAGATTAGCGGGGTCCTGGGGAGTGGCAGTGGCAGTGGCAGTGGCAGCGATAACGATGGGGGTCCAGGCAGTTCCAAAGCTCCAATGGCCCCGAGCACGCTCGGGGAGAGCTTCCAGTCCCCCAAGTCAATTGCTCTTCCGGACCATGAGGATGAGGAGTTGTAGTATGGGTGGCCTTTAGTCATTGGATTCATAAGGCGCTGGTATACTGGCGGCTGAGATCGTTTCATCCCTTCTTTTTTTTGTTCGAATTTATTCCCATATTCTTCATGTTAACTCTTAACGACCGTGACGGATTGGCGTAAGGGGCGCTTTTTTGCTCGCCCATATTGGAACTATTTTTTCAACTATCATTTTCTTCCTTACTTTTTGTTGCTCTTATATTGTGATGTGGAATGACCCCAGTGAAGTTGCTAATTGACGCAGTCTTTGGGCTATCTAGGTTAGAGAGGTGTTTGTCCAAAAAAAAAAAAAAAAAAAAAAAAAAAAAACTAGGCCAGGAATATAAGATTGGGATAGAGATGAGTTTTTTTGTAGAGCCGGAAAGCTGGGAATTTGGTTGATTTCGCCGACGGAAACAAAACTCGCTTCTTTACTCCGTACATTCATTCTTTACAGCTTCCCCTCCACCGGTTTCTCCTCTTCATTCTCTATCGACGTGATTATCAACTACAATACCTATAAACACATACCCTGAGGGTTATAACAATGCCTTTGACACGATCTTTAGATCCCCTGGTGTGGATTGACTGTGAGGTTCGTCCATCCTCCTGAGCTACCCCTCTCCTAAAAAAAAAACAAAAGGGAGGGAGAATCTATAAATATATATATATAATATATATTTATATATATAAAACAATACTACAGATGACCGGTCTCTCCCCCGAAACTGACCAGATCCTCCAAATCTGCTGTTACATTACCAACGCCCAGCTGGAGCTCCTCGACGCGGCCGGCTTCGAAACCGTTATTCACCACCCGAAATCAACGCTCGACCAGATGTCAGAGTGGTGTATCACAACCCACGGCCGCACGGGACTGACAGCTGCAGTGTTGGCGTCGACCGTGACACCGGAGACGGCAGCGGCCGAGCTCCTAGCGTACATCCAGCGATTTGTGCCACAGCCCAGGACAGCACTGCTCGCTGGGAACAGCGTGCATGCTGATAAGGCGTTTTTGGCGAGGGGACCCTATGCGAAAGTGCTGGAGTGGCTACACTATCGAATTGTGGATGTGAGTACGATTAAAGAGGTGGTGAGAAGGTGGGGGGCGGAAGAGATGTTGGGCGCCGCGCCAGAGAAGAAAGAGGTGCATTTGGCCCGGGAGGATATTCTGGAGAGCATTGAAGAGATGCGATTTTATCGACGGAGATTGTTTTGAGATTTTTTAATTTCTTAGCGGTTAGTTAGTTGGTTGAAACTATTGAAAACTGACGTCTATACGTACCTATGTTGATGAGTGGGAGGATTGCTAAATCTCGAACTATTGGAATTGTCTCAGTATTTCTCTCTCTCTCTCTCTCTTTCTCCCCCACTATGAGTTCACTTTCTCCTCTCAACCTCGTCCTTCAACCTCTTCTCGTTTTATCCAATTGTCGGTGAAGATTCAAGCATTCCTTGATTCTTAGCTTCTTCTCCTCTCCTCTTCTTCTTTTAATCCCTTCTCCTCCTCTTTCTTCTTCTTCTTCTTCTTCTTCTCTCGTCTTTACTCCTCAATAACAACTCATTCATTCACCCTTTCCCCCCTCCCAAGCTAGCTGAGCTACCCCGCCACTGTCACTCTCCCCCTTCTCCCACCATCATGTCTGTCCAGACCGTTTCTATTCAACCTTTTGGTGACCAGAAGCCTGGAACGTACGTCTCCCTGGAGCTTAATTGCCCTCTCATCCTTTCCATCTCCTGACTGAATCAAATTCCAGCTCTGGCCTCCGCAAGAAGGTGAAGGTCTTCCAACAACAAAACTACACCGAGTCCTTCGTCGCTAGTATCATCCTCTCCATCCCTGAAGGAGCTCAGGACGCCTTTCTCGTCATCGGTGGCGATGGCCGTTACTACAACACCGACGTCATCCAGAAGATCGCTAAGATCAGTGCTGCCTATGGAGTGAAGAAGCTCCTGGTCGGTCAGAATGGCATTCTCAGCACCCCTGCTGCGAGCAATCTCATTCGCGTGAGGAAGGCCACTGGTGGTATTCTCTTGACGGCCAGCCACAACCCTGGCGGTATGTCTTTTTTTTTTTGCGAGATTTAGCTGCGATACCATACCCGATAGTTGTTGAGCTAACCCGGCTAAGGTCCCAATGCCGACTTCGGGATCAAGTACAACCTGACCAACGGTGCACCCGCCCCGGAAACCGTCACGAACAAGATCTTCGAAGTCTCCAAGTCCCTTACCTCCTATAACTATATTGATCTTCCCGAGGTCGACATCACCACCGTGGGGGTCCGTACCTATGGTCCCCTCGAGGTCGAGGTCGTTCACTCGACCGCTGACTACGTGACCATGATGAAGGAGATCTTTGACTTCGATCTGATTCGAAGCTTCCTGCGCCAGCACCCCGACTTCAAGGTGCTTTTCGATGGCATGCATGGTGTTACCGGCCCCTACGGTATTGATATCTTCGTCAACGAGCTGGGTCTCCCCGCCACCAGCACCATGAACTGCGTGCCCAAGGAGGACTTCGGCGGTGGCCACCCTGACCCTAACCTGGTCTACGCCCATGAGTTGGTCGAGGCTGTCGACAAGAACGGCATCCACTTTGGCGCTGCCAGTGATGGTGATGGTGACCGTAACATGATCTACGGTGCCAACACCTTCGTCTCCCCCGGAGACAGTCTGGCTATCATTGCCCACCACGCCAAGCTCATCCCTTGGTTCCAGAAGCAGGGTGTCTACGGACTGGCCCGCTCCATGCCCACATCCGGTGCTGTAGATCTCGTCGCTAAGGCCCAGGGTCTGCAGAGCTACGAGGTGCCAACCGGTTGGAAGTTCTTCTGCAACCTGTTCGACAACGAGAAGATGTCCATCTGCGGCGAGGAAAGTTTCGGAACCGGTAGCAACCACATCCGTGAGAAGGATGGCGTGTGGGCCATTGTCGCATGGCTGAACATCATCGCTGGTGTCGCTGCGCAGAAGCCCAATGAGACCCCCAGCATTGCCTCCATCCAGCAGGAGTTCTGGCAAACTTATGGCCGTACTTTCTTCACGCGGTACGACTACGAGAACGTTGACAGTGAGGGAGCCAACAAGTTGATTGCCAACCTGACTGAGAAGATTAACAACAAGGATACCTTCGTGGGCAGCACCGTCTCCGGCCGCAAGGTTGTGGATGCTGGAAACTTTTCTTACACTGATTTGGACGGCAGCGTGACCAAGAACCAGGGTCTGTATGCCAAGTTCGATGATGGGAGCCGACTGGTCGTGCGTCTGTCAGGCACAGGTAGCAGCGGCGCTACTATCCGTCTGTACATCGAGAAGTACGACAACGATGCCAGCAAGTACCTCCTGCCTACGCAGGAGTATCTCCAGGACAACATCGCGCTAGCAATGTCCCTGCTCAAGTTCCAGGAGTACATCGGCCGTGAGGAGCCCGATGTCAGGACTTAGATGCCTAATTTTTTTTTTTTTTTTTTTCCCTTTCGGATGATATGACGTGATGATAAGAGTTCACATAGCTAGCACATACAAGTAAAATGCAGTTGATCACATTACATTTCCCTATTTTAACTAGGGTATATATAGAGGGGGGAGAGAGAGTAATACTAGGGTAGAACAAATTAGACAATGCCAGCCTCCTTTAACTTGGCCTCCCACCACTCCCTCCATTTTACCACTTTCTCCTCTCTCCTGGCTTCCTCGGCTGCAAATACCACGGCATGGCTCCTCACCACATCCTCCAATGAACAGCCCACAAACTCCTGCTGTGCCTTCTCCACGTCCCAGCCCGCATTCACCACCTTGTCCACGGCAGCGACAAACCCCCGCGTAAGCCCGTAATCCCCACCACCATGCGACTCCTGCTCTTCGGGAGGCTGTTTCGGGATCTCCACCACCCTGGTTTCGCGCGTGTCAAACGAGAAGATTGAGATCGTGCGCGAATCGTACTCGATCTCGCCACGGGTGCCGTAGACTCTTCCGCGCCGTTCGCACTGTTTCTCCGTGGGCGCAATCATATGGAAGAGAGCCGTTACACCGGCCCCCGCACCAGCCCCCGCACCAGGAGTCACAGAGGGCCCACCATCCCAAGACAACGTCACCAGCTGATCGTCGCAAACGTTATTGTCGCTCTCCCATACACACCGGCCATACCATGGTCTCGTGGCGATTTCCGCCGCGCGGGTCGTCGCGTCCTCGGCCTCGTCGTAGTCTTCACGTAGCCGGGCCAGGAGGTGCGCTTCGCTCTCGTGCGGCGGGTGGTTCCCCGCGTACTCTTCGATGTCGGGACACACGATATTCACGGGCCAGCCGCGGATGCCGCGGGCGAGGTGGTGGTCTCGGTATATGCGCACGGCGCTGTAGAGGCATTCTCGCTCAATCGGGCACGAGAGACAGTTTGTTGCGGGGCCGGCCGCGGGGGGTTTCCGGGCGCGGCGGAACTGAGTGAGGTGGCCGGTGGAGGAGATTGTTCTTAGTTGGGGTTGAGTTGATTTCGATCGAGAGGTGGTAGTTGTAGTAGTCGTACCCGCAGTAGAAGTAGAAGTAGAAGTAGAAGTAGAAGTAGAAGAAGGAGGAGTAAGGGACGGCGCAAGAATCCACAGAATAAAATCCAAATCGTGGCATGATTTCGTCAGTAAGGATCCGTCGTCGCCCGCGGGCGTCGTAGCCCGTCTCCAGTTCCCGCGCACATAACTGTGCGCGAAATGCCAGTACCCGACAGGCTCGGTATGTTCGAGCGAAACGATATCCCCGATGGCCTTTCCCCGATGCAGCAGGTCCCAGAGGACAAGGTTATGCGGACTATACCGCAGGACATGCCCGATGGAAAACACAGCGGGGGCGTCCTTCCTCGCCGCGTAAACGGACAAACAGTCGCGCAGGGAGAGCGCCAGAGGCTTTTCGCATAGGATATGCAGATCCTGGAACGGGGTCAGGGCTTCCAGGATCTCGATATGGGTTTCGTCCAGGGTGCAGATGAAGACCCCGTCAACGACGCCTTCTTCTGCTGCTTCCCCTTGATTTTCCGGGTTGGCTTGGGCTGAGCGTCGACGGCTCTCGTAGGAAACCCACTCCCTCCAGTCTGAGAACTCCTGGCCTGGTTTTGGCTTTGGATCTGGACTACCCCAGATATAGGTTTCCCCGAAGACCCGACGTTTGTAAGGGTCTGGCTCTGCCACGGCGGAGATGCATGCTGGGGTGGAGGTTGTGACGGCGCGCGCGTAGGCGTTTCCTCTGGAGCCGGCGCCGATGACGAGGAATTTGAGTTGTTTCATTTCTCTTTCTCTCTCTCTCTTCTTGTTTGGTTCTTTCTGGGTTCTGGTTTTAGAAAGTATCGTATATGAGGGTGTGATGAGAGGAAGAGGAGAGGAGAGGAGAGGAGAGGAGACGAAAGAGGGGTAAGTTCAGTTACAGTAAAGTATACATACTATACTGTATATTTAGATGTAAGATTACTTACCTGGCCGTTGAATGACCAAAGAAGGGTTTCCATATCCTTCAATCTGCGGACAACTAGGGTTAATACAGCAGACCCTGAGGACAAATCTGCAACAACAATGTATTAGATTAGGTTACCTTGACTACTTTCATAGACCAATAACTAACAGTACTTGGTAACTGTATGTATACATCTTACAGGATTACGGGTATTACAGTTTCTGTATCTAACAGGTAATACAGGAAGCTGAAAATACATCCTGCCGACAACTATAGAGCACTCCAAGTCTACTCTCTCTATATGTGGAGTACTGTCTCCAGTTCCTCGGGGCCCAGGGATATTATTCAAGATCGATCGCCCTAGCCAAGCCATAAGGCGCATTTCAAACGCGCGAAGGATTAATAGTGCATATGTAGGATGGAACCTGCTCTGGGAACCAGCGGGAGCTTTTGACACACCGCTATTTACCCAGGACTTATTCGCAGGATCTCGGGAGATGTCTTAGAGTACTCTTACTTGGATGTGCAGAAATTTGATTTTGTGGGGACCGTTCTGTGTTGAGGTGGAATTGGTCGTCCTGGTATACATAGAACACTAGACTAACCCTCTTAACTTGGGTGCTTTGGAAATGCCCGGTTTTTCTATTGCCTTTTCCACCCCCTTAGTCTCGTTCAACGGTAGGATCCCAAAGGCTATCCGTAGGTGAGTATTCCCCGGTGTGTAGAAGCTTCATGTCGTCCTCATCCAACGCGAAGTCAAAAACATCCGCATTCTCTGCAATCCGCTCGGCAGTCGTGGTTTTGGGAAGTGGAACAAAGCCCTGTATAGATCCAGTGGTTAGCATGGAAGTTCCCAACACACAGCAACACCAATTGCCTGCCTCACCATCTGAAGACTCCACCGGATTAGGATCTGAACTGGGCTCCTATGGTGCTTTTTGCCCAGGGCTTGCAGAATAGGATCGCCCAGACGAGTCCCCCTGGTGAGAGGAGAGTAGGCCTGGACAATTGCACCGCGCTCACGTAGCCAGTCGACCAATTCGGCTCGTGCCAGCCATGGGTGAAGCTCATACTGGCCCACTTCAATGCGACCCCCTCCTCCATGGCTGATATATTCTTCCAACTCTTCCAGGTGATGCACCCCAAAGTTCGACACCCCAATTGAACGGGCCTGGCCGGCTTTCTGGGCTTCCACCAGCGCTCGCCACGCACCGAGACGGCCTTCTTTGCCTCCCCATGGAGTATGTACGAGAATCCTGCTGGACTCAGCTTGGTGAATTGCCAGAGACGTTTCGAGCGGGGGTTATTGACAAATCAAAATAGTCCGTCTGAGCGTTTTTAAGGCTTTCCTGTATAGACCTTTGGGCTCCCTCATACCCAGGATCGTCCGGATTAAGCTTGGTCGTCAGAAAGACGTCCGATCGCTTCAGTCCGGCTTTTCGAATGGCAGCCGCGCATCCCGTTTCGTTTTCATAGCATCTAGCGGAATCAATCTATATATATGCATGTTTGAGTAAGGAACATTCATGGGAAGAGGGGGAAATGAGAACATGAAGACGTCAACTTACATGACGGTATCCAGCCTTGAGTGCCTTCTCGACTCCATCTTCAGCGACGGCATCGGGTCTCAAACGGTATCAGTTTATATGCTTAATGTGGGGTTTCTTGCTAATAGCGTACACTTCATAAACCTGTAAACTGTCTTTAGGAGTTTCTCCTTTATAGCGACACCCAAACGGGAAAAGAACTGGGACCTTACTCCATATCCTAGCACGGGCATTTCAAAGCCCGCGAGAGTTTTCTTGGTGGCTCTAGGGCTCACCAGCGTCTCCTGGAGGTCGATTGGCATTTTAATGCTTGAGTAGTGTGGACTGGAAATGTTAATGAGTGTTGCTATTGACGTTCTGTCCTGCCCAAGGTCTTCGGCTTGAGTATATACGGATATCTACACGATATATTTTGAGCGCTTCAAGACAGAGGCTGGGCAAAGTGAAGATAAGCCGAGAAGCATTCATTGGTAGTAGAGAAACTCAGGAAAACATGAATCAAAAAAAAAAAAAAAAAAGATCAACGGAGCTTTCGGACTCCTTGCATAGACCTCAGCTGCCCCGCCGAAGCACAGTAGCCCTAATGTATTCCAATGACGAGTGGGACAAAGTATGTGACAAGCGTATTGACAAGCGTATTGACAAGAGAAGAGATCAACGCCCCATTTTTACGAGTCCGGAATGTGATTGGGAATTGAATGCGCCCCGGATGTGAAGTAGCTGGATCCGAAGGTATTACTGGAGTTGTTTTGGATATGAATGACTGATGGTTGCATGCCCGACATAAGCCCCCGAGAGCTGTCTCTAGATCTAATTTCATTTATACTTGCTCTCCTGCAAATACTTTGAAATATCGATTTTTCTCGAGTGACCCAGATACAATCATTGTCAGTTCGAAAGGGCTGGCATCATCTCATTCTCCTCATGTCTACCGTCCCAACCACCAAAAATGGACCGGAATCCCGTCTTCTCATCGTCACATACCCTCGTACGGCTTCGAACCTGCTGATGCGCATGCTCGCAATGCCCGACCAGCCCCATGCGGTTTGCGTGGAGAGCGGCGGCTACTTCTTCATGCCTACCAGCAACTATATCAGCCAGAACGGCCTGTGGGAGAAACCCTGTAAGCAATGGACAGAGGAGCAGCGAGTTGCACTGGAAAACAAATTCCAGTCTTGCTTTGAAGAGCTTCATGGGTTCCTGCAAGGCGCAGAGACGCAAGGCAAGATTGCCGTCTTCAAAGAACACGCGCCGTTTATCATCTCGCCAACGGTGCAATCGCGGTTCGTCCACGGCCCGGAGATAATCGCCACAGAGACAGAGCAAGAAGAAGAAGAAGAAGAAGAAGAAGCACCCTGGCGGGTTGGAATACCGGATCCCTACCGCGACATCCAACCGCCCGCAAACCTCCCCTTGAATGAATCTGTGTTCCCGGAGCAATTCCTCCTCCAATGCTTGCCTTCTTTCCTCATTCGGCATCCAGCCCTGGCGTTTCCGTCGTATTATCGCGTTTTCCTGTCCTTTATGAAGGGAGATCTGTCGAAAATGCAAGGATGCGAGGCTGAGATGCGAGAGGCGTTCACGTTGCGCTGGACTCGGAATCTGTACGATTGGTATGTCTCCGCGTGGGAGAAAATGCACCACCACCACCACCACCACCCGGGGGAGGAGCAGAAGAAAACCCCCATTATCCTCGATGCAGACGATGTGCTCAACAATCCTGAATTGGTTCTTCGCTTCTGTGATCTGGTTGGTCTGGATTCGACCAGGGTTCAGTTTACATGGAAGCCCGCGGGTCAAGAGCAATTGGAGAAAGAAGCCGCCATTCGTCTAATAACCCGGTCTACGCTTTTTGCGTCGTCGGGAATCAACGCTCAGGGGAAAACCTTTGAGGGCCTCAGTATGGAAGGGGAAGTCGCTAAGTGGAAGCAGGAGTTTGGGGATGTGGAGGGTGCGAAATTGGAACGATGGGTTAAGGATGCAATGCCCGACTATGAGTACTTGTTGAGTAGGAGACTTACTCTGTAGCTTTAAGAACCTGAGATAGAAACGTAACCCTATAGACTGTGGAAAATACGTCCTAATTTGAAAAAAAAAAAAAAAAAAAAAAAAAAAGGCATGACCCGATAATTACTCTGGATTATGAAGTTTCCGACTTGGGCTCACCATCTAGATATCGAAATGAAGCCACGCCTAGAAGCAGACAGAGTATGGCTACAGGAAACCGTTAGAAATATAAACAACAGGAAAAGCAAAGGCAAAAGCAAAACCTTACCTAGGATTAGATACATATAGTAGTATCCGATCATCTGGGATAACACCCCAGTGAATAAGGGACCAAGCATCATCCCAAGGCTATACGCCATCTCAGTCATCGAGAACACCCTCGAGCTGCCTCCATTCGCACCAAACAGTTGAGGATTCCTGGCTTGCAGGTCTTTCATAATACCTTTTTTTTTGTTTTAAATCTCAGTCAGATTTGACCAGACGAATCCCAAGGGGAACGAGAATAATCGACTTACGTGCTAATTGCACCGGTCCCGCACCACGAACAAGCATCGAAACCACCCCAAAGGCAAGAATACACCCGACAAACAACCGCGCTCCACGAAGCCCTGTATTCGCCCAGGGAAATCGCTCATCTCCGCAGATCCCCAGCAGCCAAAGCAGAGGCACGGAACCGATCCAGCCGAGAGTCGTCGGCAGCTTCAGCCCGACTTTATCCCGGACCCAGCCCATAGTGCCACCGAGAATGATAGGCGGCAGTTGCAAGAAGAAGAACATCATTCCGATGGGCAAGCTCCCCCAGCCAAAGATATCGCGCAGGTGCACGGGGAGCGTGGTGTTGAAGCCGGCCATGATGAAGGAGGTCATCAGGGCATTGGCTAGACCCGCGAGAACCCGCAGGTCGCCGAGTATGGTGCGGTAGAAGCCCTCTGCAGTTGCATTCGCCGTCGCCGTCGCCGTCGCAGTCGCAGTCGCATCTGCGTGCGAGGCCGGGGTCACCACCCCCGACAAGAGACCGGTAGATTCACCGGGTTCGGGCTGGCGGCTAGTCGGAGGATCCGGGCAGACCTTGGGGATATCCGCTGGATCGATGAGGACCAACCGAGCGATGATATCCAGCACCAGCACGCCCAACGGCACCGACCAGGCCCCCCAGTATCCGATCCACTCTAACAACACTCCACTGACCATGGGACCGCCAACAATCCCGGCCGTGACGAACGACATGGCAATTCCGATCATGTTCCCAACGTGTTCCCTCGCGACATTATCCACGAGCAGCGCAAAGCCAATCACCCAGGCGGCGGCGCCCGCGATAGCCTGGATAATGCGTCCGACGAAAAGCATCCATACTGTGGTGGTACATTGTCAGCGATATATTTCTTGCGAGATGAGACGGGGATTTAGGACAAGCGAAGAAGAAAACCCCCCCATTGATGATAATGGGCGTAAAGCATACCGGAAGCAGTGGTCGCGATGAGAAGAGTCCCCACGCAGCATCCGGCTAAGGCAATCAAGAGAGGAGTCCTCCTGTTGGGCGACTTGTCGACAAAGTGCGCGATGACTGGAGCAGAAACCAGAGTAAACAAGCCGTGGATGGTAAGGAGGGCAGTGGTGTAGTTTTGTGTTTCCAAGGGATCGGTGTGTAGACGGTCTTCGAGCATATACCTCAAGATCGGGACCAGGAACCCGTAGAGGAAGGTTTCTTTCTTGTCAAATAGATCAGATATGGTATTCTTTTTCTAGATACGTTGTTTGCATAATTTACCTGAGAAGAGAGCAATAGTGATAGAGGAGACGATGAGGAACCGGGACGAGCGCCACCGGTAACCCCAGGGCTTCGGGATTGAATTACTGGACATGATATGATGATGATGATGATGATGATGATGATGATGACGGTGTTTGATTGACGACTACAAAGTGACAGGAAGTTCAATCAATATTAATACGTCCAAGGAGTAGTTCTCTCGACAACTCGAGCCCGACAAGATCCGCCAGCAGAAAATCACACAAATTCCTTGACCGAGCACGGGTTCCAGAGGCATACTCGGTAGAATCCAGCTAAATGAGGTTGATTCAAGTGGCTTTCTTTTCCTTCAACTTGCATACAACTAGTACTAGCTTCGGAGCGATCCATCACACGGCTCGGAGTCGGGAAGAATCTGATCGTACTCCATGTGTGCATACTGCATATGGCCAGGCCTGAAAGAGTCAATCTGCCTTTGTGGAGCAGTTTGCTATACGAGAGGAGGAGTCCCCGAAGCCATAGTCTATGGAGTAATGCAGAGTTCAGCTCTCCAGCTTCATTTCCTTCGATCCAACTTTAGACACGGTATACGTCCTGAGTACATATTGGGCGGGTGCGTATTGGAATGTATTTCATTCATGTATTTACCGTAATCTGTATTTTACTGTATTGACCGTGCCCTAATTCACCTTAACTTCGACACTCATATTCTGATATCCAAAAAAAAAAAGAAAAACGAGCCCTGGAATGTTAAACGTATCTAATTTCTCATAACCCGCGTTCCACGGATCCGACTGCTCGTCAGCAAGGGCATGGCGATATCGATTTCCTCCGGGGGCATGGATCGGAGGAATCGCGCCACCAGTTCAGGCATGCCGTGCTCCTGTGCAGACTGAATCCATTGCGCAAGGGTCATCTCCTGGAACGACTCCTCTGCTGCCTGTTCCAGATGCCCTTTGAGCTGACTTGCAGCGACCTGCGTCTCGCCGGATTCATTGACGTATCTAATGAGAGCGGTCTCCGAGGATACGGCGACTGCCTCAGCGACGATGTTCGCCGCTGCAACGTCCACCGGGATCAAGTCCACAAAGCCCCTACAGCCGCGAAGATTCGGCACGGCTCGCATTTGACGCGAGTAGCCCAGTACATTGTTCGTGATGTCCATTGCTGGGGCATCGGGCCCGACAATGCTGGAAATGCGGTGTATGGTAAGTGGGATATTGTGCGTTCGACTGCAGTTTTCCAGGTAGATCTCACTGACCCATTTGGAGGTCAGATATCCTTGCTCGCCATCCGAGGGAGGAGGATATGGAAGCATGGAGATCTCGCCAACGTTGTCGAGTCCCGTAAAATGTGACAGCGCCGCACTGGAGATGTAGTGAAGCGGAATCGAAAACTGCGCAGCTACCCTAGCGAGCTCCTGCGTAGCACCCACGTTAGCTGCTTTCAGTAGCTCGTAGGGTTGGACAAAGGAGATGTCGGCCCCGCAGTGGATGATACTATCGCAGTCTTGTAGGATCCGCGCAAAAGTGTCCGCAGGCATGCCTAGGTTTGGCAAGCTGAGATCCCCCGCGTGAATGGTTATTTTGGGAGACTGGAGCAAGGGGGATTTTCTTGCAACACCGGCCCCATTCTCGCGCACTGCCAGGCAATGAATCTCCGGCACATCAGGGTGCTCGTTGAGCTGTCGGAGAAGTTCCTTGCCAAGGAACCCAGTCGATCCTGTCAATCCAATTCTCTTGCGGGTTGGCCTGGACCGGGCCGATAGAGAGACATTGCAGGCCGTAATGTTTGGGGAAGGAGTTGCCTCCGCGGCCCAGTCCCACTGGCGACTGGTGGCCGTTTCGATGCTCTGGTTGATAATTACCTCCAGAGTACTACTGGGCCGAAAGAGGTCCGGGATAGATAGAGCCAACCCCTGGGACTTGGCGATTGCAGCAACTTTCATGGCAGTGATCGAGTCTCCACCCAACTGGAAGAACCCATCGTCGAGACCAATTCCATCCTTCGGAACTTGCAATACCTGGGCCCATATGGCCTGCATTTTACGCGCAGACTCCGAAACGGGGGGCCGTTTGGTGGCCTGGCGCGGTTGGCGACGGTAGCTCTCGATCTGCTCACGCGTTAGATTCTGAACAGCCTGTCGCAGGCGTCGGCGGTCTGTTTTGTCGGAGACGGTTCGCAGCATGTGAGAGACCGGAAAGAACACAGATGGAACCATGTAGGTTGGGACTCTCTGGCGTAGGAGAGCTTCCACCGTGGCTACGGAGTGATGGAATTCTGCGGTGGCACGGAGGAATTGCTCAGCCAAAGTGTCGGTGACTGGGGCACCTTTGACCGAGACAAATGCTACGAGCTGTTCCTGACGACCCTCAAGAGAGACGACATCCACGACAACTTCATCGGCGTCTGGGTAGCAGGCGAGGATATGGTATTCGACTTCTTCGAGTTCAATTCGTTGACCCCGTAGCTTGACCTGCATGTCTCTGCGGCCAACGTAACGCAGGGAACCTTCGTTGGTGTACTGCACGAGATCGCCGGTCCGGTAGAGGCGAGAGGCCGTATCAGCTGGCCGGAATAGCTCCATCCAAGACGGACTAGCGATGAAGGCAGCACATGTTTTCTCTTCATCACCGAGGTATCCACGGCCGACAGTTGGGCCTTCAATAAGCAACTCCCCAACCGCTCCGATAGGCATTAATGTGTTTGGATCTATAGGATTGGTGACCCAACAGACACAGCCAGTGCCGTAGCCAATATCCCGCGGATCAGTCGCCCGAGTGATGTTGGCCTGAATGGTGGACAGCACACAGCATTCGGCGGGGCCATAAATGTTCAGGAGCCTGACATGCGGACTCCAGATCTCTATCTCCGCTTGAGACATCGGTTCTCCTCCTAAGACAATCACCCGAAGCGATGGCATCTGATCCGGGGAGAGCTGGCGAAGCAAAGACGGGGTGAAATCGGCCCAGTTGATCCCGTACTTGGCCACGACCTGAGCCAGCTCGGCCTTGCGTTCCTCCTCGGAGGGTACGCAGATGCAGCCTCCAGCTGTCAGGGTTACCAGGGTGTCTGATATGCTGACATCAAACGCGTATGATGCAAACTGTAAGGCACGGGTTTCTTGGGTCATTTGGCCGGTCTGGATGTATGATTTGGTGCTGGTGGCAAATGCGGCGTTCTCGATTATCACGCCCTTTGGAGCTCCCGTAGACCCGGAGGTAAATACCGCATAGAGGGCATTGGATGAGGATGAAAATGACGATAACTCGCTCTCTTCCGTAGCACTGTTGTTGTTGTTGTTGTTGGGGGTGGGTTGGAACACCTTAGCCTCCGCGCCTATGGGGATGATCGTGTCCGCTAGGGCTCCTGCCGAGGCGGCCAGAGAGATGGATGACAAGACACAGAGAGCATTAACTTTACGACAGACGGTCTCATTGCGCGATAACGGAGTGGAAGGATCTAACAGAACGAATGCCGCTCCGGCCCTCATAACAGCCAATATCGCAACAGTGGTCCATTTGGATTTTTCAAAGTATACAGGCACAAAGACCTCCGGGCCTACCCCGTGCGAACGCGACAAATGCGTTGCAAGTTTCAAGGACAAGTCATCAATCTCCCCATAGGTGAAGCCGCCATCCCAGGCACAGACAGCGGGAGAGCCTGGCTGGCTGCGACACTGTTCAAGAATTAGGTCATGCATGCAGATATCAACCTTGGGAGGCACTTGGCCGTTCCAATGCTTAAGTTCTTGCAAGTCTCTCGCGCTGACACTTTCAATCCGACTTAAAACCATAGAGGCATCATCATGCTGGACTCCAGCGATTTGTACCAGAATTGTACGGAACTGGTCTAAGATTCGCTGCATTTGCTCCACGGGAATAACCTGATCATCGTAGACGGCCTGCACACGGACACTATCATGTGCCAAATCACAGACGAGCGTCAGTGGGTATGTGCCAAAGGTTGCATGATTGAGCAAGTCGTGGTCCTGGGTTGTTTCACGTAGATACTTGTACTGGTATTGGGGAGGGGATTGGATCACTACCAGAGTTTGGAACTGGCAAGCGGCGGCGGTGTCACTCCCTAGATGGCCAATGTGGTACAGTCCTCGCTGCTCAAATGGAAGCATCTCGTCCGCCTTCGATAGAAGGGATTCCAGAGCATCAGTGACACGGGTAGTCGGAGACAGGTGCACGCGAAATGGGACAGTAGCGATAGTTGGACCCGACATGTCCCCAATACCGGGGAGCGGCTCCCGTCGCCCTGTAAGGGTGACGCCGAAAGTGACGTCCAGTGAGCCGGTAGACTGCGCCACCAGCAGCGCCCAGCCCAATTCAATCACAGCAGACTGTTCTGCCTCGGTCATGATATGAGCAAAGGGTACCTGTGTAATCATCGAGCCTCTGGCAGCCGCGATATATGAATCAGAGGGAAGACGAGGGAACCGTGATGCAGAGGCCCCCCCCAGTTGGGATCGCCAGTAGTGGGCAGAGTCTTCAGACTGTGCGGAGAGGGAATGTGCTGTGAAATCAGCAAATACCCGCGGTGCCAGTGGGGTGCCATCATATGCTCTTTCAATGTCTTTAAGCACGACATTGAGAGACCAGTCGTCATACAGGGCGTGATGTATGGTGATCACTAGAGCAGTCTGTTCCTGACCCTCGATGATGCCAACACGAATCAATGGCGCACCCGGTGGCATTTGCTGTTGACTGTCACTAGCCAAGTAGGTGTTCCAATTATCTGAAGAAGAAATCTCGACACCTTGCCGAACCACCACTTGCAGTGTGCCATGCTCACTCGCTTGGATTAGCCTTGTGCGCAAGATGGTATGCGCGTCAAGGGTGGCTACAATGGCATCTCGGAATCGGGTGATGTTGGTATCGCGGGGTAAGGTATAGATATAGCGGGCAATATAAGCATTCAAACTTTTAACAGAAAGAGCAAAGAGGCCTTCTTGCGCGGCGGTGCAGGGATAGATATCCTCAATTTGTTCTATCGGAACCTGACATTGTTGTGCGGCCAGCTGGAGGAGGGAATCTTTCTCAAGGTTCCCATCACAGAGGAAGGAAAAGCTGGACCCTGGCATCTTGAGGCTTAGATGATGATGATGATGATGATGATGATGATGATGATGATGATTTTTTTTTATTTTATTCTCCGGGAATGAAAGCAAAGAAATAGCGAGGAGCTTTGCAGGATATCATCACCAGGGCGAAATATTCAGCGTAAAATACCAGATTTCATCGATACTGTTATTACGGTACGGAGTTGTATTACCTGGAAATTCGCTAATCATACGAAAGTAACAGGTAATGCATATATATACATACAGCATATACTCCGTGCCGTGTTGATATTTTGATGGCTTACCCTGTGCTATGTCTGTTGGCCAGGGTTAAATTGGGATTGTTCTTTGTATTCTAGGGATTACATGTCCTATGCTAACTAGGGGGGATCTACTGTGTGATATGCCACTGATTTGCTCGCCAATATCCCTCTGGATCCTTTGCCTGGAAGTTCAGGAACGAAGCCCTATTCGCAGCAAGCTTCGGGATCTATGTATATATCACAGCATCCACACAAGTAGCTTCATCTGAGTTTTTGTCCATGTCGGGAACATCACAATGAGTACCCCATTCACTCTCTATACGGCGAGGGACCGCCCCGACCTACTTCGAGCCCTCGATGAACCGGACCACCCACTGAATCTGCCCTGGCCCGAGTTTCTCGACCAAGACCTGACCTTCCAGCTCTTCAGTTCAAAACTGACCCGGTTCGAATCACTAGCACACTTCCAATTCCTCGCCGTCGAGCGTGATGCAGCGACAGATGAGGAACACGTTGTAGGGTTGGCCCGATCAATACCCTTTTTCTGGCCTGAGGTCGCCGCGCTGGACCTGTCTTCCGGCACCGACAGTCTCTCTCGACATCCCAAGATTCTCAGCACCCTTCCTGATGGAGGCTACGACACCATGCTGGCGCGAGGAGTGCACCAATATCTCGCTCGGGAGGGCCGATTGCTAGAACCGCTGGCCCTCACTGCAGACCAGGAATCGGATTCTGCAACTGCTCGACGCCGGGACCCGCCCAATGCTCTCTCTGCGCTTTCCATTACCGTGCGGTGTGATCGTCGTCGAATGGGGCTGGCTGAGGCTTTCATTGCCCAGATGAAGCAGACCGCAATCGAGCAAGGACTTCTTGCGTTGGTTGTGCCCTTGAGACCCACTCGGAAAGCTGAACATCCACAAGTCAACATCTGCGACTACATCAGATGGCCGGTTGGCGAGGGATTGCCGCCCACAGGTCATGTATTGGAACAATCGAAACCATCCCTCTCCTTGCTGGGTAGTGCAAACTTGCCCTTTGACCCTTGGTTGCGCAAGCATCTCCGTCTGGGGGGGAAGATCGTCAAGGTTGCCCAGAGCAGCATGATCGTACATGGAACGGATGTACAATGGCACCGCTGGACCAATATCGATTTTGAACAAGTGGGGCATCCGAGCTCTGAATGTCTCAAGAGCAAAGAGCAAGACTATGTGGATGTGGTGATTCCTGCGGGTTTGGTGCCAGTGCGATATTACTATGAAAAGAGGATCGGCGTTTATCGAGAGCCTAATGTGTGGGTATTTCATGAGCTGAAAAGTAATAGACATTAGCTAGTAATCTTTTTTTATTATTATTATTTTTTTTCTTTTTTTTGCTCTTAGATTAGCTGCATTTATATTGCATATTATAGTATAGTATATTATAACCCGAGGACTTCGGAAAGAGCTACGTATCTTGTATCCACTACACCTTGAATATAAACGAGTAATGTCAAACAAAGTCTTTAGCTAATATGTACTGTAAGAGAGAAATCAATGAAAAGAGAGAAAAAAAAATAAAAATAAGATCAGATCAGATACTAGGGTCGATTGCAAAATCAAACCGCACTGTCTCTGCCAGTAAGAATCCGGCGCTTGTTTTTAGACGTATCACCGCGCAAGATCCCAAATTTGGCCTTGATCCAATTTTCACTGGTAAGGAAATCTTCCCCTTCAGGTAAACAATCACTGTTGAGTGGAACCATTGGTGCTTGGTTCTCCGGCCGCATCAAGAATGCAAAGCTGTACCGTTCGTTCATTCCCTTGCCGGGCAACGAGGCGACCCGGTGCAAGACGCTCCGGAATAAGCCCCCGGACCAGAGGCTCATTGCATCGCCTAGGTTGATCAGCGCGTGGTTCTCCTTGGGCATGATATACAGCCACTCGTCGCAGCCATCTGGCCGAATTTGGAGCCCTGGCGAGTCGGCAAAGAGCATGGTGAGAGAACCAAGATCTGTGTGAGGAGTCTGGGGCACACGGAATTCAGAATCACCCTCACCCGAAGGAGCGTATTTGAGGAGGCGGATGATATCGGGGGCCGGGGCGTCGGCACGGTGGAAAGTGGCTAAGGAATGGGACTCAGGGAGGTCAAGTTCAGCCGACAGAGCCATGAAGATATGCTGGGCAATATCAATGCAAGTAAGCGTAAAGTTCTGAAGAAGCGGCATCTGGGTGTCGAGGAGAGGTGGGTGAGGAAATTCGTTGAAGGCTAGGATGCCGTTTCGAGGGATCTATATATTCATTCATTACGACTTGTGGTCATTGACATGGGGGGGGAGGAGAGAGAGAGAAAGGTGGATTCTTACAGCATAACTCTCAAAGCCATCACGCTGGCCTTTGATGCCACCAATATTCCGACGTATGGGTTTGTATCTGGAGAGTGTATAAGTATTTCTGTCCTGGATAAGAGGGGATGCAATTGGGATTACCCGTTGAGCTTCAATTCCCCAACCTTGTCTACATCATACTTCATCTTCTCTTCCAGGTCCAGCGCAAAGAGAGACTTGCTAAAGTTGTAGATGCCCTCAATAAGGTCGGAGACTTTAAGCTCACCCAAGTCATCATTAAAATCCAGGTAAAAGATGCCATCCTCTTGGGCAGCGGCAACCAGCTTCCGCTTCTCCTCCAGGGAGCCGTCGCGAAGACCTTGAAGCCGAATGGTCTTCAGGGGAGCAAACAGTGATGGAGGCACATCTAGCTTCATCCTGATGGCAAGCCAGCAAGCAGGCAAGCTCTAGAAATTAGGGAGAGAAAATGGGGAGAGAATGGACAACAAGTGTTGCTACACTTGATCCATTCTTCCCAACATTAAGATATAAAAAAACTTCATATGGAATCCATCGTACTTTTGCAATAAAATCCCCCGAGTGTATAGTTAGTTTATCCCACAATTAATAATAGCTTTTGGCTGCATATTGGCTCCATCGGAGGCAGGATCTGCTGTGCTACATGCTCTCTGCCTGCATCGAAGGAAGGGCCCTAGATGGGGCAAATACAGGATGCAAGGACGAGTATTTCTCTACTGGTCATTACTCTACTTGTCCAGTCAAGTATTACAGCTGTTGTTACTGAAATGCTGTTTTGTTGAATCGCAAAATCCTACAGAGAACTACTCGCGTAACTTTCCCAACAGAACCCAGCCTTGCGCGGTGTACAATCTAATATGCATATATATGGCTAGGAGAATAGACACATACAGAGACTAATACAAAAATGGCGCTGTAGGAGATTCAATTTCATCATGGGCGTGGTTGGTGCAGTTGGTGAGTTGAGGAAGTATAGGCGTCCCATCGTACCGCGGGCTCATGTAGACGGGTTATTGAGCAATGGGAAGTCAAAGTCCACCGTTGCTTGCGTCAATTTTCTTGTATAGTTGCAAAGTAGTGGCTCAAGGCCGTCGTAATCTACTACACTTATATAGCGAGGACTGGGCTGTCGAGCAGATTGGCAGTGGATACATGGTACTTCCTGGATCTCCGTACGCTTCCATCCATTCCACCCGTGTCAAATTGGGAGTGGGAAGGAAATACAGGCTCGTCAATTTCGGGGTTTTCTCCATGTCTAAGGTAGAGGTCCAAGCCTCACTCAGAAATCTCCTCCACCGTTTGATTGGGCCATGTCTAGCCTTGATATGAAATTGTGAGCCACTTGCAGCCACACTCCTCACAGGGAGACAGTGTCCCTCGCTCTATCATGGTCTCTGGACGACGGGGCCCACGCGGAAATGGCACTGATCCCTTATCTTCAACGACATCGGCGTCATTCTCTGGATCAACGTATACAATAGCCCCAACCGTGCCTGTCTCCTGTGCATTGAACACTTGTTCGCCCCGGAATACGGTCAGGCTGTGTTGTTCTGCATATTGCGAGACCTGTGTCGCCTTCACAATGGGCAATCTTGCCTTCAAGTGTTATACTAGCGCGGACCAGCGCTTAGAAGTCGTCTTTCGAACCCAAGTTAGCAAAAACGTGTAAGGAGCAGTGACATTCCCGCTGATCGAGAAGCCACGAAGCCCGAGGAACGCCATAATAGCACTGCAAGGAGCACGACACAAGTCGCAGCAATAGGCGCGGGGGATTTAGTCCACCGCCAGTTCGACAGTGAATGGTTACGCTCAAGTCATACAAGTCAAAGTACAAGTACAATACCAGAGTACGTACGGTGCACGCATATACCGCCGTAAGTCGGTGATCGGCGAACCTCGAGATTCATTCGTGATAAGTGCAGAAAGCTGACGCCGTGGACCCAGTACTACATACGGGATGCTTTCAGCTGCTACAGACTCTGCATGGCATGTGTGGGTTCTTGCCATGCAGTCCCAGCACCGGCTATAGAATTACTACTACAGAGTTTGGATGGCAGGCCTAGTTGCCGCAAGGGACGAATGTGGTGGCTGGCTAGGGTATTTTCCAGCGAGTTGTGGCATTCAACTTGTCTAGACTCAAAAGCTTTTACGGGGCGAAGGATCGATCCTCCCTCTCCTATTTTGGGCACTCTTCACCAAATGGACGTGCGTCCCACCGCACGCGACGCAAATGTCGGTCTGGATCCTTGACCTCTTTCCGCGCATGCAGCCACCGTCTATTATCCAAGAGGATCAGTGTACCTTCGGGGAGCAGCGCAGGAGTGAGCTGCAGCACTTCCTTCGCGATATCTGGGCCGTGAAGAAGAGATCTGAGCTCTTGCAGAGCCGCTTCAGCACGACCGGTTAGCGGTGTGAAGATGTCTGCCCGGAATCGTAACTGTGGTCGATGGGGAGTCCCTGCGTGGCTCGATTTCTCCACGGCCAGCACTGGTCCAACGATCGAGAGCTGGTCGCTGTCTTTGATGAACTCCGGGGGGACCTGGATGCGATATTCCGCGGTGGAGAGTGCTTCGCGTGCACCGGACGACAGCCGGGCAAGCAGGCAGTCGACCTGGAGAACCGAGAGGATGCCTCCACCGCATTTGTCGGGATAGAGAACCTGGAGGGCGAAAAACCGGGGGGGGGAGTTTTCGTAGCTGCAGTCCGTATGCCAGGGGAATGTATTCATGGTCTCTGAACGCGCGCGGGGGCGGCGGCCTGCCGTCCCCTTACTAGTCGGCGTGGTAGGGGCTGAGTTGTCACATACGGGACGAACGTCCCAGAACCAGCCCCGGGAGGCGCTGTGGTCAATTGGGAGGCCGTGGCCATACTCTCTGTTCAGGCTCCGAACCACCTGCTCGAGATAGCGGCAGCTTGAATCCTCAAAGTGCAAATTTACTTTCAAGATTCCCGCAGTATCCAGAAAGTGGTGGATCTGGCTCACATGGGCCCTGTCGTGAGAATGGCCGACGTGGCCCGCATCCAGTTGAGGTACATTCGGCGGCAGTGTAATTTTTGCACTGGCTAATTTTTCTTCAGGGTCAACTCTATCCTGCACTCACTCCAATCCGTGTCTTGAGGGAGTCGTGCACGTACAGAAGCAACGAGTAGTCTGCCAGGGCTGCGCACATACTTTCAGCTGTTTCCCAGCCTGTCTTAGCAGCTGCCGCATGTTTTATGAGGGCAAAAGTGGAGATACAAGCAGCAATATCTACTAACTATTCTGTGCGCAAGGTACTTTCTCAACCTCCATGCGTGGAACGGTTGAGCGTAGTTAACAGGGTCGATGAATCACACCACTAGCCCAAGAAGATAGTGATTTGGCTGTAGCCGTTCTTACTACTCCGTACTCCGTGTGCACCAGGATCTCTAGAAGATACCCCCGACGTTCAGGGATGTAGTTGTGGACCTATAAGGCCCCCCGAAACAGCTCAAAGAATTTGGCTACCTTTAGCCATCCTAAGCCACCCCCTTACTCCCGAATATGCACGACGTAAGAGAATACAGGGGTTGATAGTACGGGAAAATCGTACGGCGACAGATACATGAGGAGTATCACCTTTCCACTTGGCTGCATGCCGCCTGCTTAACCGAGGTGAACACACTGAGATGAGCGCGCAGGAAGAGACTGGGGGGGTGAGACACTTACTAGAGTTATACTCAGTCTACACTGTATGGATTCACGGCTTGTATTGTTTACTGCGACGCTCTGAATCATGAGCCAAAGAAACATGGAAGATTTTCCAGCTGCAATAGTTCTGTGTCTGCTAACTATATCATTCAGCTCCAAGGTAGCTAGCTGATACAGTATTATTTGGTCCACATCTTGATGGTATTTACGGTATTATGTTATTTACTGTATTACAGTATTTACGGTATTGTATTTGTCTGTTCTTGTCACCAGATCCAGCTTGCCCTATTTTGCATTGATTCGCTTCAGTGATCATCAGCGATCCTTCACGATAAGTAATGGCATGAATGAATGATTTTGAAACCCACGGAAAAATTGTACTACTGTCCTCCGCTTATACTGAGAAAACACGGCAACATGGAAGAAGCCTTTGAGCCAGCAGTATTTCCTGCCCTGCCACATGACGCCTACCAGCCCGCGGCGACGGAGAGGATCGGGGTAGAAGTTGGTCTTGATGGGTCCACGCAGCGGAGCGTGCTAGCAAGCTTCTTGACGCTTTCCTGGGCCATCGTGTTGGCTACCTATACAGATGTCAATGATGTTGCGTTTGGTCTTCTGCAATCGCCGTCGCTGCTAGATGTGCAGTCATTTGCAGTGAGGATCGATCCCCAGCAGACTGTCGAGGCCGCCCTGAGCAAGGTGGGCGCGACACGCACAACCGTGGGTGCAAGTCGATGGAACCATGTCTTGATTGTCAGGGAGCAGTGTTCGACGGGCCAGGAAGATGGAAGCTCATACCCGCTGCAAGTTGACTGTGTCGTCGGCGAGAAGGGGGTTCGTTTGCAGGCTCTCTTTGACTCCAACTGTATCGCGCCCGAGACAATGCAAATGATGTTGTTTGAATTCCGCCATGTCTACGGTCTCATACAACAACAACAACAACAACAACAACAACATCCAGAGACCGTGCTTCGTGATATCCAAGGCATCAGCCCCGAAGGAGCCGAGCAACTGAAGCGATGGAATGCTGCAGCCCGTGTCCCCCGCGAATCATCCCATCTTGCCCACCACCTGATCGAAAAACAGTGTCGGCAACGTCCGTCCTCCCCAGCTGTCTGTGCATGGGACGGGAACCTCACCTACGAAGAGCTTGATGTGCAGGCGTCGAAGCTCGCCGCACGGGTCTTGCTCCCCGCCGGCGTCGGCCCCGACCGCTTCGTTGGTCTGGTCATGGAGAAATCCATGTGGACTACCGTCGCGATGCTCTCCGTCATGAAGGCTGGCGGCGGCTTTGTACTGCTAGATGCCTCTCAGCCTGTTGCGCGTCTCTCCCTGATCTGCGGCAAGACTCGACCGCAGTTCTTGTTGGCATCGGCCAAACACGTGCCCATTGCCGAAGCACTGAACGTCCCCTTTCAGGTTGTGTCGCGAGAGATCATGGATTCGATTGAGCCGGCATTGCGGCCGAGAGAAATCCCAGTGCAACCGCATAACATCCTCTATGCTGGCTTCACCTCAGGCTCTACCGGCGAGCCCAAGGGGTTTGTAATGGACCATTCGGCCTTCTCTAGTGGTCTGGACGCTTACTGCCAGCAATGCAACCTTGACGCGCAATCCCGCGTGCTGCAATTTGCGTCGTATGCATTTGTGGTGAGTCTCACGGACCAGATGGCTCCGCTCACTCGGGGGGCTTGTGTCTGTGTGCCCTCGGAAGAGCAGCTACAGAACAATCTCGCCGGGGCCATCCAGGGCCTGAACGCCAACTGGGCCAAGCTGACGCCGTCCGTTCTCCGGCTGATCGAACCCAGCGAGGTCTCTGGTCTAGAAACCCTGATTCTGGTAGGCGAAGGGATAACTGCCTCGGAATTAGCCCGGTGGCAGGGCAGAGTCCAGCTTTATTCACTTTATGGCCAATCCGAGAATGCCAAGGGGACCATGCTGTCCAGCCGCATGGAACCCAACTGCGATACCGTCAATATCGGCCGCCCATTTGCGGCTACCCCATGGATAGTCAGCAGCCAGGACCATAACGTTCTCGTCCCCGTTGGAGCAGAAGGCGAGTTGCTCCTGGAAGGCCCCTGTCTCAGCCGCGGGTATCTGGAGAACGAGGAGCAAAATCGGATCACCTTTGTGCAGGACCCGACATGGTTAAAGCAAGTTCATCATCATCATCATCATCCACATGGCTACCAGGGGCCCCGTCGATTCCTCAAGACTGGGGACTTGGTGCGTTACGATCCCAAGGACGGCACGATCCGTCTGCTCGGCCGGAAAGGAACGCGGGTCAAGATTCGTGGCCAGCGGATTGAGCTTGCGGAGATCGAGCATCACCTGCGAGGGCCGTTTGCATCGCGCGAGCCCCCCGTAGTCGAAGCCGTCACGCCATCTGACGACACGAACCCGATGTTGGTCGGCTTTGTGCCTGTCGGGGGAGACGGATCTTTATTCCTTGCTCCAAACGGGCCGTTTCGCCAACAAGCGCAGCAAGCAATCTCTCAGCTGCGTCATGCTCTCCCCAGCTTCATGGTCCCCGCTGCCTTGGTTTGCCTCGGGGCTCTTCCCAGAACGCCGACTGGGAAGCTTCATCGACGAAAGCTGCGAGAAGAGGCCTCCCGGCTCACCCGGGAGGAGCTCGCCGCGTATACTTCCGATGAGGTCGCGCATATAGACCCGGCCACGGAGCGTGAGATCCTGTTGCAACGCGGCTGCAGCGAAGTGCTGGGTCTCCCGCCTGGCAGGATCGGAATGCAAGCCAACTTCTTCGACCTTGGAGGCAACTCTCTCACGGCAAGACAACTGGTCACTCGTGCGCGGCAAAGCGGCTGGATCATTACCATCGCGGATGTTTTCCAACAGCCATCGCTGGCAGCGCTTTCCCAGTGCGATCGGTATAGCGAAGAAGCAGAGGACCAGAATCATCGGGTTCGAAATCCCGATCCGTTTGAAGCCATCCGCACCGAGTTCCTTGGTCAGCTCCCGGCGCCGCCGTGGACGGCCGCCCAGATCGAAGACGTATTCCCAACCATCGAGGGCCAGTCCACCTTCGCGGCAGCACATGAGCTCGACTACTTCCTGTTCGCGGTGACGGGCGCCGTCCGTCCCACGCAGTTGCACCGCGCTTGCCAGACCCTCGTCCAGCATCACACGATTCTCCGATCGGTCTTCACACCCTTCCAGGGGACGATCCTACAGGTGGTGCTGCGCCAGGTCGCCGTGGAATTCACGGTGGAACCCCCGAAAGACGGACACGGACAAGACGACGCAGTTAGCCGGGCCCAACGGTTCTGCGCCATGGATCTGAAGCGCCCATACCGCGCCGACGAACCCAGAGTCATGTTCAAGCTCATCATCCAGGACGCTGCTCCTGCCGCCGCAAGCGGGCCGCCGTCCGTGCTGGTGATGCGACTGCTCCACGCCCAGTACGACGCGCTCTGCCTTACCACCATCACCTCGGATCTATTAGCCGCCTACACCGGACGCGAGGACCACCTCATCCGAACCGAATCGGACTTCTCGTCCTACGTGCGCCAGTGCTTCTGGCACCGAACCCCGGCCGCACTGGCGTTCTGGAGGGACCTCCTCCGAGACTCTGCGCAGCCCACGCCTGCGCCCCTGGCGGAGCTCCCAGTGGGCGGCGGCCCGAACGAAGAAGGAGAAGCCAGCGTGAGCTTCGCGCGAACGATTCCGCTGCCCGTTCCGCCCTCCGGGACCACCATGGCGACCGTGATCAAGGCGGCGTGGGCGCTGGTGCTGGCCCAGGAAACGCGCTGTTCGGATCTGGTCTTTGGCCAGTTTGTCAACTGCCGCAGCTTCGATCTCCCGGGCATAGACAGGCTCCTGGGCCCCTGTTTCAATATCATCCCTACTCGGGCGCGCGTCCACCCCCACGGCTTGCGAACGGCGCGGGACCTACTGCGGGAGATCCAGCTGCAACATAGTCGGAGCGTCGACTTCGCGACCATGGGCTGGAAGGACATCGCGGCCAGCTGCACGCAGTGGGGGGGAAGCGCGCAGCAGGGCTCAGTGGTGATGTACCAGAATTTCCAGCGCGAGGTTGAGAGTGAGCAGGGGGGGCTGCGGCTTCGGAAGATCGGCCAGATGTTCAAGATTCCGCCGCTGAAGACTCTTTACGTGATTGTCTTCCCCTCGGAGACAAGCTTGTCGGTGACCTTGGAAGCGTCCAATGCGATTCTTCGCGAGAAGGAGGCGGAGAGCACGCTGGACTCTTTGTGTGGGAAGATAGAGAGGATTTGTAAGTATCCAGATGAGAGGATATGACGCCAGTAGCTACAGAGTTCCTGGGCACATCTCTATAACTTGGTATCAATTTGTTTTCACTACAACCTGAGAGTCAGGCTACGGGTCTCTGATCTGATTATTCTGAATGACTGGCCGTTGAGCAAGTGAGCTGGGGGATTTGAGCGCTACCCTTTGATGTCTATAGTATCCATCGCTGTCTCTCCTAGTGTGGAACGAGTCAATAGTCCAGCCGATGCCTGTCTTCTTTAATTATTCACGTATACAAGCTCACACATCACCTTGGCACACAAGAGACACTGTGTCCCTGATGACTGGATATCCCGAGAGCCGCTCGAGATAGCAATAGATCTGTACATGGGCAAGAGATTGCCATCACTCCTGAGACCGACATAGTTCGACACTCTTCTGAACGGCTGCCTCGAAATCAGGCTCAAACACCACGTTACCCAGGCCAGACGATTCAATCTAGAACCCCAGCCAGTCAGTACTGATAGAAGAAAGGAAGGAAGAAATGCACTTCCCAATTTCAAGCCCTGTTCAAAATTCGTTCCCTGCAGCCGGACCACGACAGGAATCTTGAATCCCCCAGTCGTGGCAGCAGCAGCAGCAGCAGCAAGGATCGACTCGGCGATTAAATCACACCGAACAATTCCTGTACAGAAACAGTAAGTCTCTTTCTTTTGTAGGGGCTTGTAGGTCCTTTTTAGGGGAAATCTATACTCACCCCCATAGATATTTATCAAAAGACCCTTGACTCGAGAATCCCGATTCAAGATCGAAAACGCCTTGGAGAGCGTCTCCTTGGTGGCGCCTCCGCTGATATCTAGGAAATTCGCACATCGCCCCCCGTACAGAGTGACCAGGTCATTCGTGGCCATGGCCAGTCCGGCGCCGTTAACAACCACGCCGATATCGCCGTCCAGACGCACGTAGGAAAGACCCAGCTGCGCCGCTTCGTACTCGTCGGCTTCCTCGGGGAGGTGTTCCTCGAGACTAAAGAGCTCCGGCTGGCGGAACTTGGCCGAGGGGTCGAAGCTCAGTTTCGCATCTAGGCAGATAAAGGAGGAGGGTGCTTCTTCAGTGGTGCGCACGAGAGGGTTGAGCTCGAGGAGCGTGGCGTCCTTCTCCTGGAACAGCTTGACCAGCTGGTGCAGGAGGCGGGCGATGACTTGCATTTCGCAGTCGGGGAACCCAAACTGGGCCTGGATGTAGGCTGTGATCTCCGGGGTGATGCCCGTGGGGAGATGGAACCAGAAGCGCTGCAGTCGATCTACGTTGGATTCGATATCGACGCCTCCGTCGGCCGACATGAGGAGCACGGGGGTGTATCGTTGGCGATCGAAGGTCACGGCCAGGTAGAATTCCTGCGCAATGTCGACGGATTTGTAGATATAGAGCTTTTCCACCAGGATGCCGCGCGGGGGGGTCTGGTTCGTGACGAGACGGTGGCCGATCATTTTGCATGCACTTTCGTACGCCTCGTCTGGCCTGGTAAGCTAGACATGTCAGCTTCTATCCCGTTTTCCTTTCCGGATTCTGTTTCTTTTTTTCTTGTTTTTCTTTTTTTTTTTTGAATATGAACCCACGAATTGACTATGCGGACTCCGCCTTTCCCATCGCTGCTGAATCTCCCCTTGCCACGTCCCCCTGCTAAAATCTGCGCCTTTAAAACCGACGGTGCGTCTATTGTAATCTGGTCTTAGCTGCAACCCTCCCTCCCCTTACAGGTTGATCACTTACTGATATTGTATACAACATCCCGCGCAGCCTCCGGACTTCGAACCACGAACCCATCGGGAACCGGAATATGGAACTAGAAACCCGTAAGCTTCACATCACTCACTCACTAGTACCTAGTAGCTAGTAGGGTCTCGGGGCTGGCCTACTTCCTTCAAAAGGTGGTGGGCATGGTGCTCCAAGAGGCTCAACTGACGCACTTGTGCTTTCAATGGGCCACGGCCACCATGACACTGCGGCGATTAGCTTCTCGAGCACAGAAGAGAGATAGCGAGGGGAAAAGCATACGCCTCGAAAGAGAGGACGAAGTGACCACCAGCGGATCATGAGAGAGAGAGAGTCTTTGTGATTCTTTCGTAGGGACTTTTTACAGACTCCCCCGGAAAGGTTGATTCCATTTTTTTGCGGGGTGAAAGCGATCGTGGGGATTAAGATGGGGTTGACTTTGGTAATGACATCAACAGTGCTTGGGTAAGGATTTGGTTCGTGCCGAATAACCAGCAGATGATTTCCTTGCTGGTATTAGTAGAAAAAGTATCCGGTCTTCAGCCATTGTCGCATCAAGGTTCTATAACATATGGTGATCGTCAAGGGTATAAAACCGAGGATGGTCTATTCACGATGGATTAATTACATTAACAGTCCTATATATACACAGGGTAGTATATATCTTATTATATACCTCATAAACTCTCCGTAAATCGACTGCCTCGGCTCCCATCATAGCTTGGGTGACTTCGCCCCAGCGCATCCGGCCGTTTTGGGATCGCCATGCTCGGCGTCGCAGGAGGCATAGGAAATGCTCCCGACGTCCGTACCGTGCTCGCCTCGGTCCCCGTGGGTGGGTTAGCCATTCCGGCCACGGGGGTGCGCGCGGGGGATGGTCGAAACACAACAACGTCGTCTTCGGCTGCTTCTCGGGTATAGCTGGCGTCCAGGGGCATCCCATACGGAACGGAAGGGGGCGGCTGTGAGATTGGAGACCGCGGTAGCACTGGCGGTAGGGTGGTACTGTAGTCGGACCCGGTTGGGGACCCTGCGTCGAGGCCGCTGGTGCTGTACTCGAGGCCGGGTTGTACGCCAGTTGGGAGCTTGCGGCCGGAGATCTTCTGGAACCCGCGTTCGCTAGGCTCGGAGCTAAGAATGCTCTCCTCGCCTGCGGATTGCCGCGACTGTCGCCAGCGCTTCATCAGCGCGGGGGCAAAATACGCCGCTCCAAAGATCGAATCCTTATTCGAGCTCCGCACGACCATCTGACGTGTGGACCCTTCTGCTGCACCCGCACCTGCACCACTTCCATCGCCTTCTGTCAATCCAGCCGGCGCTGCAAATAAGAGACCCTTCTTCCGCCGTCGAAGCAGCAGGAAGAGCAGGAGAAAAAAGATCGTGGCCCCAGCGACGCCACCAACCACGCCTCCGACTATCTTCCCCGTAGTCTGTGCGTCCAATGACCCAGACCCCGACGAAGACCCGGTGGGAGAAGGAGTCACTGTGGAGGTAGAATTCGAGCCACCACCTTCGTTACCCAATACGGTCCCGCCTGAATGTCCTGAATTTCCTGAATTTGAGGAAGGATCAGAATAGTGCGGGTAGGACGCCGTGCTGGTAGACGTCCGAGACGTGGTCGTCGTCGTCGTCGTCGTGGGCGTCGTTGGAGTCGTAGTGGTCGTGGAGCTAGTGGTGACGGAAGGAGTGGTAGTCGTTGTAGTTATCGGGGTTGTGGTGCTTGAATAAGCGCTGGAACTAGATGTTTCACCTGAACTAATCACTGATGTTGTATCTCGAACACTGGTGGTGGAAGTGGACGAGGGAAGCAGGGTAGCAAGTGAAACGACCGCCGTGGGAATGTCGATGCTAGATCCTTGGAACGAAAGGGTGATTCCAATGGAGCCCCCAAGAGTGTTTACGGGGGGGGTGGTGGTGGTTTTTCGGGGGGTAATCGAAACAGTTGGTGACGTGGTAGAAGAGGTAAAAGAGGTGCTAGCGGTATTAGAGGTAGTCCCCAAGGCCGTGGAGCCAGAAGTAGATGAAGGGGGAGAGGTAATGGGATCAGTAGTTGTCTCTGCTGGAACCGTTGTCTCGGTAGTCGTCGATGTCAACGAGGTTTCCGCAGCTGTCGTGGTTGAGATCGTTACGCTCGGGTCACTTGGGGGATCACTTGAAGAAGTTGAACCGGAGATGGTCGTGATCGGGTCAGGGGCAGCCGTAGTAGTGGTTGCTGTTATCGATTCCGGCGGAGGCAGAGTCGCAGTAGTTTGCGATTCGACCTGCTGACGCCTGTCCAGCACCGACGACCATTCATCGGCCTGCTCAGATGATTCCAGCACAGCCCTAGTATCCAACACCTTCTTCTCGCCATGGTGGTGAGTATCCAGCCGATGTTTCCTCAACAATCTTTCGTATCGACCATGTCTTGAAAGGCCATGGCTGGCCATGCTGGCTGGATTCGAAGGTGCGAGAAAACGGGGATCGCCACCAAGCCAACGGTTGAGTGGATGAGCGGTAGTAAAACAGAGGGAAAAAAAAAAAAAAAAAAAAAAAAAAAAGTCGCTCGGAGCAGCAAAGAGTGGGGGAGAATCGAAGTGAGATGTCTGCCTGCACGACACTCGGATAGTATGAGTAGTAGTTTGGAAGGAAATCGAAAGTCGAGTCGGACGCGATAACAAAAGGGTATTGACAAAAAGATCCAAGACGATACGAGAAAACTGAAGGAGCGACGAGATCAAGGAGCGGACATCAACAGACACACACTGCCGACAAAAGAGGGAAATCCAAAAGCATCCAGACGGATCTGACCAGAAAGCGAGAGGCAGTCAGTGGGACCCGCGCAGCAGCATCCGCCTTGAACCTACGTACCGAAGAAGAGAAATGAAAAGAGGATTTTTCTGGGTGAAATGCACTCCAATCCTAGTCCATATTTGCCGGAAGCAGGAAGAGAAAAAATCGATATTTCATTCCGTTCCGAAGCGCGGTTGAGATCCACGTTAGGACCCAAGGTTCTGGCCAGGGAGTACCTGACTGCTGGATGACAATCCGTCAACGGATGAAGGGTTATCTGATTGGGGAAGAGAATGGAAAAAAAAAGGATGGAAAAGAAGAGGGGGGGAAAGAGAGAAAAGCGCTGGAGAGAGAAGAAGAAGAAGAAGAAGAAGAAGAAGAAGAGAAGAAGAAGAAGAGAAGAAGAGGAGGAGAAAAGGAAGGCGTATAATTAGAGTCCGAGACTTGCAGTGGGACTAGTCAACTTGATCATCCTCATCCTCTTTCTCTTATTTCAGATTCTGATATTCTTCTTCTCCATCTAAGATATTCTACAGAATCCTGTTTCCTTTTTTTCCTTCCGGTCATAACATCACATCCATTGAATACCATCCAGCCGTGTCTGAAAAGTCTCCGTTTCACCACTTTTGCCCGATTCTCCTGTCTTACTATCTGATCTTATATTATCTTATATTATCTTATAATATATTATAATATATTCATCTGATGAAATGCGTTTCCATCTGCAAGGTACAGATTATAGATGCAAGGTACCGTTTACTCTTCTGGTCCCTATATAATGCTATATCCGGAGACGTAGATATCCACCCCCTGGGTTGGTTGGTGCTGCTATTATTATCTTCCTTTGGAGCGTACGTCGACCGTCATCTAAAGTGGATGAGATGTTTTTCTTCTCGACGATTCAAGGATATACACTCACACAACCTCTCATCTATGAGGCAAAGAGAAATTTGCCAGGAATGTGGGCAACCCAATGCTTATCTTGACGTGGAATGCTTCTTTTTTCTTTCTTTCCCCCTTTTTATTTTTACGCGAATCCGTAACCGGACTAAAATCTTCCCGAATTTTCGCATACTAAAACAAGAAATACCCCCGTCGGGTCTTCCCACTATACACAACACACGATTCACCGCTAGGTTGAAATCCATTGGCTGAATCATTCACACACAGTTGGGGGGAGAGAAAACAAGGTAGTAGGGGAAATGTATAATAAGGAGGTGAGAAAAAAGAAAAAAAAAAAAAAAAAAAAACAAAAAAAAATAAGAGAGAGAGAGAGAGAGAGAGAGAGAGAGAAACAAAAGAGAAAATGCCCAGTTCAACGCTGTTCAAGATAACTATGAGGGATATTAATATGACAAAACGTTCACCACCTCCTCAAAATGTCTCCAGCTCCTCATTGGGTTCGGTTTCGGCGGGGATCTCGAATCCTTCCTGTAGACAGACAGTATCAGACGGCTGCTAGTCCAAAGTTTATGATCATGCATCGTAAGGACCTACCTCGGTCGAGTAGAGAATGTTCTGGATCTGCTTCACCAGGGAATCATCCTCCTTCTCCAGTTCGGGGTCCATCTCAATAGCACTTTGCAACAGAAGCTCAATGTCCCGGAGCTTGGAAAAGTAAAAGTCCCGCTCCTTCTCTAGGCCCGCAATTGCCTCCTTCTGCGTGCTGATCTCCTGCTGCAGAGCCGTCACGTTGGCACCGCCGGCGCCTGCTCCTGCAGCTCGCGGCCGAGCAGCGCCGGTAGTGGGGGTGGTTCCACGGCGAGCACTGCTGGCAGAGCTTGCACCGGGACGGGGGGCTGTTGCAGCGACGGGGCCACCTGCAGCCTTTCGGCGGCCAACCGCGTCGTAATCTCCACCTGGGTAGTGTTGGTCCCAGTATCTCTTTGTCCACTGGAGGAACTCCAGGTTGTCCTGCATGCGGCACTTGGTGAGCTGCTCGACGGGGATGGGCTTTTCAACCTGGTGACGGGTGAAAATGTCTATCACCGGGAACTGGTTAGCGGCTCCGATCTTATTCCTTCCCGGTATCACATTCTGCCATTCTCGGGTGCAGGCCTTGACGTACTCTGAAGGACTTTGAAGTTTTGGAGATAGGCGTATTCCGTATTGACATTGAACTTTACTCGGGACATAGGCGCATCCACTACAGTGGGAAGGATTCCGTTAGTCGTTGGCTTCGTAAACGCCAGGGCCTTCTCGGCTTCTCCACAGATCACTTACTGAAGATCGAGTCGAAGATCTGACATAATGCCGCTCTGGAAGGATACCTTGTCAGCGTCTGGCCAGACTCAACGCCATCTCATCACCATCTGCAGATTTCTCAACAGCTGGGACTAGCTGCGAGTACAAGGGTGCAGTGTCCATCCTACCCAGTTCCACACTGTTCAACCTTGGTCAAATTCAACTGCAGCAGGTTGTTAAGCCATGCCAACAGCTCCTGTCTATTCATCCAACAATCAAATAGCGTCAGTGTCCAAATCCTGCCTCTGCACGAAAACTGTGTCTGAGTGCCCGACGAACCTGGACTCGCCCATGGTGGGGTAAGCGGTGCAGCAAACGAGAAATTCGGGGAGGGGGAAAGTTGAGGGAGGAAGGCGGGGGGGGGGGGGAGAAATTGGCAAGAAAAAAAAAAAAAAAAGAAAGTCTGTGTTGGAGCTTGGGCTCTGTTGGCTTGTTTGTGTAGGGAGACAAGAGATAAATAATGGATGGATATGGATTGTTTGGTTTCTGTCGACAAAACCCACGGCGCTCCTTGACGCTAAGCTCCTTTGGGCCAATCAGTGACTTTGCCAGGATTTCAGGCACCGAGCGTGATTCCTCAGGCAATACCCAAGCGCGGACTTTGTGGATTATGCGGATTATGGAGATGTTATACCTCCGTACCTACGTAGAGATGAGGAAAGATGTGAAGGAAATGGTAAACCCCTCATGGAATTGTCCCCCCCCCCCCAAAAAAAAGGCAAAGCAATGCAGATATCTAATCGCTAGTCCCAAAAGCAAATCCAAAAGCTAAAACGCATCATTCAAAAGCAAAAACTCCAAGCAACAAAGACTTTTCTTCCGCGTCATGCCCGCGCGAAAATCCAAACGTCTAGGGTCTATGCGAACCGTCTACTCTTCCAATAAATCAACGCCATCTAGTCCATATCCAAAATCCATGATGACAGCGCGTGAATCCTGGCTGGTCGCAACAATACGTCTATAATCCGATTTCACGCTCAACATCCAGCTGGTCGTCCAGCCGGGCAGGTCAATCGACAGCTCCCCGCTCTGGGCATCAAACACTTTGACGCTCATGTCATAGCTTCCACTAACGATTCGCTGGTTCATGCTATCCAGGTGCAGGGATCGCACGAGGCCGGAGTGGCCCTTGAGTTCGTTGACCATATCCCCGGTGTTTGCATCGAATTGGTAGATCGCCTGGTCATTCCCACCCGTGAGAATGGTCCGAGCGTCATCGCTGAATTCCACACAGGCCAGGCCCCGGTCTTTGCTGGGGAACTCTTTAACGCAGAGACCAGAGGTAATGTTCCACAGCTTGGCGACACCATCCCCGCTCGCAGAGACAACAAGATCGCCACGCAGTTGAACAGCATTCACTGGTCCGCGATGGCCAAGCAGCTTCTTGACCAAGGCTCCAGTGTTTCGATCCCAGACACAGATCGTAGTGTCCTTGGAGCAGGACACAATATACCGGTCATCGAAGCAAACATCCAGCACCCCGGCCCTGTGACCTTCGAGCCGGCGGATCGGCTTGTAGTCATTCTGGATATCCCACACAATACAGCTGAAATCTGAGGACCCAGTGACCATAATCTCGTCGTCAAACTGCAGGCACAGAATGGAAGCACTGTGATATTCAGAGGTTTGCTCCATCGGCGCGACAATCCCAGCGGAGCGGGTGGGAGGTGGGCAAATGGTGAGAAATGGCGGCTTCCCAGCGGATTGCTGGGCTGGGTTGTTGACCGGCCCGATGTTGGGAACATCACTTGGAGGGGGGCCAATGATCTTGCGGCAAGGCCATGGGTAATGAGCATCCCACACTCGAATCGTGCGATCGCGGGAGCCAGTGATAATCTTGTCCCTACGGAGCAAAGAGGTTAGTGGAAGGAGTAACGCAGACAGGAGTAGAAAGGGGGGGGGGGGACATACTGATCAAACTGAGCACAATAGACACTGTCTGTATGTCCGTGGAGATAGATCGCGGCGGCCTTGCCTTCCTTCCATCGTTGCTCCAAGGCCCGACGAACCAGGAACATTCTTTTCCAGTCTTGGTTGGGGTGCGACTTTCCAAGGCCGGGGGAAGGCTGCTTTCTGGTTCGAGGACCAGTAGGCCGACGCTGGCCATAAGAATGGCGGAACACGTGTCGCCAGATATACCGAGAGGAGGCCTGCTCACTCCAAGCACGAGAAACCAGTTCACAGTTCATCAAAGACTCAGGGTCGAGGTACGACAGCACTTGAGACATGATCTCTGCGGGGAGAGACCCTACCGGATCAATGCGAACCAGATCCAATTCTGCATCCGAAAACTCAGAACGATCACGGAGGTCAATGCCAATACCACTTTCAGAGTCGAGAGTAACCCTCATTTGATCCAACTTGCGCTCCGAGCGGGCCAATTCGTTCTGGGCTGCTGCTGCCGCTCTAGCAGCCGCACCAGCGTACACGTCATTGGGCAGAATCGGAGGCTCCAGGCCATTTCCCGGAATGGGAACGGGGACATAGAAATCCTGTAATGCGGAAATGCTGTTGAGAGAGGGCCGACGGCTGGTGCTGGGACCGTCGCGGACATTGAGATTTTGGGGGCCCGCCTCGGATTCAGCGTGCCAAGTATGATGGAAGGTGCGCGATGACTTGTTGCGAATTGTGACAGACAGGCGACGACCGAGGGCTCGCAGTCCGTCAACCGGGTGACGCAGGTTAGAGAAACTCTTCGCTCCACGACGCCTATGTGCGGGTTCGGGGAAATGGTTCATGTCTTCCAGCACCTGGCCTTCCAGTGTATCTTGGGAATCCACCGCTGACGACTCATTCCAAACGTCTTTCTCCAACGTCACACTTGGATAAACCGCCGATACGGTCGCAGTTCGGGGTCTGGTTCGGAAGGATAGTGAGGCATGTCTGCGGTGGGTGGGAACGACAACAGAGTCTCGCGGTGCCATGGCGAGTAGAATAATGATCTGAATGGACGTGAGATTAGAGGGGACGCTGGGTACCGAATATTATATTATATATTGACAGACGCGAGGTCCCCTTTTTTTCCCCGAACCTAAGACACGAGTTCAGGGGGTGGGTAGGAAAGATAAAACAAGAAGCAAGGAGGCGTCTATTTAAGTCTAGGAGCCCCTGGGTATCAAGATAGAAACTAAAAAGCAAGAAAAAGAGGGAAAAAAGAAAAAAGAAGAAGCAGCAAGAAATCCGGGGAGGTTGGGCAAGATGGGTAGTGGAGGGAAGGCAGATAAACTAAAGCGCGGAAGACCCCGATAAAGAGGAGAGATACAGAGAAAGTTGGGAGAAAACGAAGAGAACACAATAGAAAGAAGGATATCAACAGGAGAGAGAGAGAAATGAAGAACAAGACAAGCCCCAGAAGATGAGAACAGACAGAGAGAGAGAGAGAATAGAGAGAGAATAAATAGAGAGAGAGAGAGAGAGAAAATACAAGAATATTTGAGGATGCCTGAGGACGAAGGGAAGGCGGTGAGCAGGGTTTTGCCTCTTTTTTTTTTCTTCTTCTTTTTCTTCTTTTTGCCCCTCCCAAAAGTGTAAAATCGACGAGGAATAAAGTGGCGAAGAGCAGGAGAGGGAGGTTTCCATGGGTTTGTGTTCAAAAGTCAAGATCAGTACAAAGTATTAACTGAGCAACGTCTCGTCGTCTAGTCGATCAACTCCACCGTGGAGTCGCTTTCTGTATCCACTTCCCCGGATTCCCCCTCTACACAGAAAGACAGAGACTTCAAGGTGTTTGTTCTGAATAACTATAGATGCATGATCATCATTATTTATTCTGCTAACTATTAAATACCTTGTCATATCCAGTCAGTGTGAAGCGGTAGTGCACATCCCCCTGTTTCATCCGCAGCATCGCCTCCTGGAGCCCCTCCTCACCAATCTGGAGCTCTTCTACCCAACTCTTCAGACCCTTTTCAGCCGCCAGTTGCAGCATCTCTAACATCTCCCGTCGGCTCCCCAGATGACTGGCTCCGATCAATACACCGTTGGCAATCAAGTTCTGAGCCTTGATCACCTGTCCCGCCTCTTCCGGCAATCCCACGCTGATCCAGCGGCCGTGCACATCCATCATGGAGAGATACTTCTCAAGGTCAAAGCCCTCAGAGGAGTTGGCACAGTTGATGATCAGATCAAAGGAGCACCTGTGAGCCTTCTCCCATCCCTCCTCTGCGGTAGCGATATAGCCATCAGCCCCCAGCTTGAGCGCATCAGCCTCCTTGGCCCGCGACCGGGAAATTGCCCAGGTTTCCGCCCCCAGCGCCTTAGCGAACATGACCCCAAAGTGTCCAATGCCACCTAGGCCAACGATACCAACCTTCTTACCAGGTCCAGCGCCGTTGCGGACCAGGGGAGAGTACGCGGTGAGACCCGCACACAGCATAGGGGCCACGATGTTAGTCTCCAACGCCTCAGGAATCGGGAACACCCAGTGCTCGTGGGTGCGGATGTGCGACGAGTATCCGCCCTGGCTGACGATGCCAGTCTCGGGCCACTGGGCGCCGTATGTATCGATCATGAGGACAGGGCAGTAGGTCTCGTTCTCGTTCTTGCACTGCTTGCATTCTCCACAGGAGTAGGACTGCGCGCCCACTCCCACCCGCTCGCCCTCTTTGATCAGGGTAACCTTGGGTCCGACTCGGATGGCTCGACCGATAATTTCTGCTGCCGTCAGTATGACTTGACTTTTGGATTGCGAAGAGGTATCTATCCTATCTAGTTCTTACCATGTCCAACACAGAGAGGGAACTTCTGGGCTCCCCAGCCGCCTATACATAACAATCAGCTCCCCTGCACCACCTATTAAAGCAGCAGCAGCCATCTTCGTCGACCGGACATACCACTGACGGTGTGCACATCGCTGCCGCACACTCCGCATGCTTCGATTTTAATGTCGACGTCTGCATGTGTTAATCTGAATTCCTCATGCTTGACCACTAGACCATCCTACCATAGTCACCAAAGGGCTTCAGCTTAAACTGTACAGAGAGCCAATTGGTTAAAATACAAGATCCTTGAAAGCCAATGCATCCACTTGACTTACAAAGCGCTTGTGAAAGGTAGTAAAGGTCTCCGGGCTGTCAACCTGGAACCCCTCTGCTTCCTCAGGGTACGGCATTTTTTTGCAATTGGAATCAGGAAATGAGAAGAACGAAGAGAGGGAAAGGAAAGGAGCTTGAAAAATGGAGGGGAACCAAAAGATCGCCCTCAGTCAGGGCGTGGAGGAGGATATTTAAGAAATTTACCACGGCGAGATTAATTCCTCTCTATGAACTTTAGCTAGACGCTTCAGACCACAGCTCCTCCACAAGCACTGTATTTATTTACTGAAACGTGGGGGGGGGGGGGGGGGGACGGATCATCGCAACAACAATTATTATTCCATCCGAGTCACAAGTCCAGAATGCAGACATCGTGACAATTATCGATGTTGCGCGCCGCCTATCCCACGCCACCTGTTTTCTGTTTAGGTAGTTCCCTCAGGAATACTGCAATCTCATACACGGGATCAATTCAACCGGCGACTCGGGCGAGTTTGTCCACCTATAGCGTTTCGAATTTCTCGGACGAGAGGGGGCAAATTGCGGATTAGATTCATATTGGCTAATCCCCCCCGCGCAAGGGAAATATTCTACAAAAAGAGAAAAATTCAGAGTAGGTAATTAATTGGTTAGGTTCTCTTTTTCTGTTCCTCTTTGCGGTTCGCCCGCTTAAGCAACATCAGGCAGGGACTGCTCCACTGTCATGGCCTCCTTGATCCCATCCGCAACAGCCTGCACTTGGGCGTCACTCAGGCGTGCCAGAGGCCGGCGGGGGTAGCCGCCATACCCATAGTAAGACTCGATCGCACTCTTAGTGCCCGGGATAGCAGCCTTTGTGAGCACCCAATCCGCAGCACTGAGCAAGCCCTGTGTCTCCATGGCCTCCTGGAATCTACCCGCGCTCCACAGGTTGAAGACCTGCACACACAGCCGGGGGATGACGTTGGCGCCACCAGCCAAGATGGCCGACCCGCCCGAGGCCAGCGTCTGCAGGGTAAAGTCGGCAATCCCGCCGAACGCGACGTAAGGGTGGTTCGCGGCGGTCTTGGTGACAGGGACGGCGGCGGCGGCGGCGGCGGCGGGAGCCAGGGGGGATGGAGGGGTGATGGCGTGCATGGCGCGTGCGACACGGGTGAGCTTTCCGGTGTTGGCGCAGGTGAATTTGGTTCCGATGATGTTGGGGTGCTGGGAGATACGGATGATGAGATCCGAATCCATGTCGATGCCCGCGACAGCCCCGGGATAGTTGTAGAGGATCAGAGGGATGGGGGAGCCGTCCGCAACGGCCGTGAAGAACTCGTAGAGGGTCTCGTCGTTGCCCACGGCATAGCGGTAGTAGCTGGGGGGCACGATCAGGGCATATTCCGCACCAGCATCGAAACATTCCTTGCAGCGCTCGATGGTGCCGCGGATGCTCTGTTCGCTGGCTCCCGCGATAACGGGGACGTTCTGGAAGCCAGCCTCGTCGAGGGCGGAGCGAGTCTCGCGAATGACAGTCTGGCGTTCCTGGGGAGTGAGGTGGACGGCTTCACCGTTGGAGCCCATGCAGACCAGGCCAACCAGACCAGCTTTGGCGAGACGGACAGCATGTTTCCGGATGACTGGGATATCGAGATCTTCCGTGTCGGGGTTAAAGAAGGTCATAGTCGGAGCATAGACTCCGGGGCGGAGGGGGGTGAGAAAAGAAGGCATTGCGAATGAAGGACGGAGTGTACCTAAGATGGGAGCATTTGGGAGGAAGTTAAGTTGACCTCAGTATATTCACGCTATATATATACCTGGGTAGTAAATTATCCGGATTCCCTCTTTTCCCTTAGTATATGTAGTGTAGTGTATAGTGTACTCGGTATGCAAAAAGCCCAACTAAAAATACCCCACGTAAATTACCGGTTTTGTAATAGTACGGAAATCCACCCCACGTGCTCCACTTTCATGGGCGGGGAATTTCCCACCAATCGGAAGATTTCTTTGCTATCCAATGTTTCCCCTCCAAGAACTCACGCTGGATTCTATACCAGGGGAAAAACATCGGGACGTTCTTCCACCTACAATATCGCTCCCCAAATTCATCATGGCCCTTCAGTCCCTCTCTATATCTGCCGCAATCTCCCCACGCCCCTCTTCATCTCCATCTCATCCCCTCTTTTTCTCTCCCCTTGGACTTTGGTGTCACCACCACACCTCATAACCACAATTAATGGTTCCTCCGAAAGTGCTGATGGTGGGTACTGGCGAGTACACCACCGGATACGTGGGTGGCGCTGCTTCTGGATCCGACAAGAAAGTCGGGGTCGTTGGTCTGACGCTGTTTGATCTCCGTCGCAGAGGCAAAGTCGGTGACCTCAGCATGGTAGGTGTATCAGGACGCAAATTTCCAGGAATTCGTACGTAGAGCTCTAAAAAAAAAAAAAAAAAAAAAGATTCTAACCAGGGCAGGCGAACATCTCCACAAAAACATCAGCCTCGTCTATAATAATCTCGACACCTCCTTCACCTCCTACCCCGCAGACGACCAAACCGATCCCGATGCCTACAAACCAGCCATCGACGCACTCCCCGCCGGCTCCGCCATCACCATCTTCACCCCCGACCCCACCCACTTCCCCATCGCCCTGTACGCGATTGAACGTGGGATCCATGTCCTGGTCACCAAACCCGCCGTAAAACACCTCGACCAGCACCTGGCCCTTCTCGCCGCCGCCCGCCAACGCAACATCTTCGTCTTCGTCGAGCACCACAAACGCTTCGACCCGGCTTACTCGGACGCCCGCGCCAAGGCCCAATCCCTGGGCGACTTCAACTACTTTTACAGCTACATGAGCCAGCCCAAGTCCCAGCTGGCCACCTTCAGTGCCTGGGCAGGCAGGGAAAGCGATATCTCTTACTATCTGAACTCGCACCATGTGGACGTCTGCGAGAGTATGGTTCCCGAGTATACGCCCGTGAGGGTGACTGCATCCGCCTCGACCGGTACGGCGGTGGATCTGGGCTGTGTCCCCGAGACAGAGGATACGATTACGCTGCTGGTAGAGTGGAAACATAAGACGAAGCCAGGCAAGGTCGCGACGGGCGTGTATACCGCTAGTTGGACGGCACCCCAGAAGGCCGGAGTGCATTCAAACCAGTACTTTCACTGTATGTTTTATTTATCCCCTACGTGCTATGCTATGCTATGCTACCCACCCCCCATTCATAATTTTTTTTTTTTTTTGTCTTCTTATCATTTATATCAGGAAAAAAAAAAAAAAAAAAAATTCCATTCAGCTAACCAATCTCCAAAACAGATATGGCCGCTAACGGTGAAATCCGCATCAATCAGGCGAAGCGCGGCTACGACGTCACTGGCGACGACGCCGGTCTGAACTGGATTAACCCGTTCGTACCCTTTCCCTTTCCCTTTCCCCCTCTAAATATTTTTTCCCGACATGCATACTCACATTATGAAGATTCTACATGCGCTACGCCCCCGACGATGAAGGCAACTTCAGCGGCCAGACCGGATACGGATACATCAGTTTCGAAAAGTTTATTGATGCCGTGACAGCCCTGAACGAGGGCCGCGTGACGTTGGACGATCTGGACGCGAGACCCATCCCCACATTGAAGAACACCATTGCCACGACGGCGATTCTGCATGCCGGCCGTCTCTCGCTGGACGAGAAGAGGCCCGTGGAGATTCTGAGTGCGGATGGTCACTGGGAGTTGAAGTAGTCCGTTACTTCCTCACACATTCTCTCCGCCTTATTATGCATTAGCATCAATTGGTTTCGTACTAGATAGCTAGTAAATAGCGCATTAGTAAATAGTGAGGTCACTGTACTTTTTACCTGTGAAAGAAATGAGAAAAATGATTATTGATCTTTATAACACAAACTATACACTACAGTGACCGAAACAGTCGCAAGCAGCTTAAACTCCCTGCGCCATCCATCCATCACTTTGCTATGCTGAGACGCTGATGACATAAATAATCCAGAAATTGAATGGGGAAAAAAAGCCCGCCGAAAAGAAGAAGAAGAAGAAAAAAGGTTCTAATGTCGTAGTCTCGTGAAATCCAACTGTGATATTCCTCACCGACGTGAAGAATTACTCTTGATTATTCCGTCCGTGCCTTTATTAAACTTCACGCGACAGTCAGGACAGTACCATTTTGCCGTTCGGCTGGGTACCTCGGAAAGTCCAATGCAATCCAGATGGAACCATTCTCTGTCACACTTGAACCTAAAGTTAGCCAAAGAAAAGACAAAGGGGGGGCGGAAATGGGGACGTACATCTTGATTCTCGCAACAGATCATAGTTCCAAAACTGACATCACCACAGAGGCAGTATCGCGGCTCGTTCGGGTCAATCTCCTCGAGCACTCCATCCTCATCGATCCGAATGTCTTGTCCTACGGCACCATCCTTCGATGCTGGATCCCTGGACCCGACACGCTTTTTCCCAGGTTTGGCTTTGCGACGTCCGTAACTAACTGCCGCGCCGCCATCCTGACCAGAAGAGACTGGCCCCGGAGCGGGACGTTTACGGCGTCGGGGTGGCGCACTCACACTAGCGGCACGAGAAAAGTCAGGAACTGGGGTTTTCCTGGCAGGGGTAGCGCTCTTCCGACGGAGTTCCCTCCCAGAACCGACAATGAGAGTTGTTTCAGTTGCCGGGACGGAACGACGGCGAGAGGACGGGCGAGTGCCTGGAGGAGTGGGGGTATTCCCACTCTTTGATCTAATCGCTGAAACCGTTGAGGGAGGAATAGAAGAAGCAGCTACGGGCCGCTTGTGTGCCTCGGATAAGTCAAGAGTAGCTCGCGACGCGGTACTCACAATTATGGTTGTTGTCGTCGTGGTCGTTGAGGAGATCGCCGTTGCTGATGTTGCCCTAGTCGCCACATTATCCGAAGGGGAAGGAGATTCTTTGCCAGTCTTTCGGCGCTTGGTTGAACTTCGTAATGAGGATCGAATCTCAACGTCCGCGGGCGGAACGACGGGGGCCGTTGCTAGGCTGCTTGCTTCGAGTTTTCTTTTCTTCAATGCCCGGCTTGGTTTGCCCGCCGTCATTGCCGAAGAGTCCTGCGGACGATCAGCACCGTTGGAGATTAGACCTTGGGAGGTGGAGCCGAGCTGACCTAGGCGCTTGGCTGCTTCTGCCTCCGCGGCGGCTAGGGCTGCTTGTTCCCTCGCCTGGTTTTCGCGCTTGAGTTTCTTGGCCTCGTTCAATTTCATGCCACGGTTGCTAAGTTTGGTCTCGACTACGCCCTCAAATTCCCCCGTGGCCTCACTCCGGCGAGTTAACAATCCCGGGATATAGTTGTTCATGATATCATCACAGTCAATAAATTCGGATCCATTGGCCTCTGCCTGTGCCTTTGCTGTCCGGTAGGCTTCCCACCCTCGACCCCGGAGAGCCAGTTCGCGATGGATCATCACCTCACTGGGCTGCCAGACGGCATTCTTCTTCATCTTCTTGCGGAGTTTAGTCATTTCCCATTCTGTCAGACGTAGCCAAGGTAAGTCTTCACTTCCCGGTTTCGCATCGTCCGGAGGAGGCTTAAGCAACGCCAAGGCGTTACTCGTTGACATGCTCGTACCACCAGTATGTGCAGTCGTCACGCCTGCCGAAGCTCTTGAACGTCGATTTTGTTTCTCCTTCCTCCCCGCGGCTGCTGTCGGCTCGGAGGCGGGTTCTAACGGCGTTGCTTTGGAGTCTCCTTCTGCATCCGAATGCTCGGTACTCGCGATGGGTGAATCCGGGTGTAACCCCGCCAGATGCTCTGCCGCGATCAAGGATCGGCGAGTCCTAGATTTCTGTGATCCACTTGTCATGCCATCCAGCCGTAAAGTGATACGTGTAGTTGTAGTTGCAGGTGCCTCATCCCCCTTTTTACTCGTTCGGGGGCGCTTCGCATTGGTCAGGGGTTGTATGGGAGAAGTAGCGTCGCGTGATTCGGGTTTAGGGAGAGCCTCTAGCTTCTGCTTGATGGCATCTAGACGATTGAAGTGACGATCCACGACATCGTATAAACGACAAGCTTCCGCGTAGGCAGATTCGCGCGCATTGATCGCGCTGTCGAGCTGAGCAGAGATATCTCTGCGCAGCAGGCAGGGGTCAGGTCGCGACTCAGGAGGGAGATCGGGAAGCTGGCCGTAAGTCCTGGTAAGCTCATGAACCCCTTGCGCGCTGTCTAGATAGCGTTTATCCAGGCCACGTATGAGAGTAAGAGAGCGAATCAAATCAGCAGGGAGGTATTCGGTGTAATCGATAAAGTCAGTCACGGTGGCCTGAGCATCCGGGTCAAACGGCCCATCCAGAATTACACCACCAGTATCATGGTATTCCGCCATTCCACCAAATAAATAAACGGAAAGCGTGTACGAGGGTGTAAGATATCCGGGGGCGTAGGGAGTCAACGTGAAGAAAGGGGGAGGGGACTCTTTTTGGGGGGGGGGGGGGGCAGTTAGAGCTGGAAGGGCGGCACCATGCGAGACGGGGCAGCCATAAGGGGGCGGAAGGGGGATATCAGTGGGAAAACATAGACCTAGAGGCTGCGGCGGAGAGCAGGATTAATCAGAGGGGAAGTATGAACAATGAGTAGCTTAACAGCGAGGGAGATCGTTATGGGAAGGAGAGGCTGAGCTGAAGATGATGGATGATGGATGAGTGGAGGTTGGAGTTGTTGATGCGGATCAATTTTATTCCGGGTATCAACATTGCCCCAGGCTCGACGTGAGGATTTATCGAGTCTACAGTTCTGCTTCCTGTTTTCAAACTGGTATCTTAGATTATTGTTTCTCTATTTGATTGAATTGGAAAGTATGGTCCTTTAGTTCGGATCCTTTCCTGGGGGGAGAGGGGAAACAGGGTACTTAGGTATGTACTGGACAGTACCCTAGATCTATATAAATATCTCAACCAACTCTACAATCAAGCAGAGTAACTCTCTGAGACAGTAACCTGATGGAAGATAACAATATAATAGGAGACATGACTAATTTTTATTATGACTACTCACGTAAGCTGATATAGTACATAGTTATGCAGACAAGACAAGAAGTAAGAGCAAGATATAAAAGCCTAGAATAGCGTGCCTTTCAGTGACTGTCTGCAAGATCACTTATTCAGTAACCCTTCTTAATAGACAGTGAAAACAGAACATTCATCCTTATTCCCTAGACGGTGAAAGATGAATTGATCACTGTTTTGAGTTGCCATCCAAATCTCCCCCGTTTGCTTCCATCCCCAAAAGGAAGCCACTCTCCTTCCTCTCGTCCACCTTTTCCCTCCAACTTTTTCCATCTTATTCCAACCCACTATTAAACAGCTGTGGAAATGGATGCGGTTAGACGGATGCAGTTGCTCTTCAGCCAAGATCCGGAGTTGTTGCAGGTCAACACTCACCTTCGGGTGCTATCAATGACCGAGCTCCCCGTCGCTGATGCGGCCCAAGAACCCCAGCGTTCTGGGCTTTCTGAACGTTCTGAACGTTCTGAGCCTGATCAGGTTGAAAAGCCTCTCAGTAAAAAACAGCCGGGATTTTCTTCTCTCCCAAATCCAGGGCCCGTCAACTCCCTTCCTTCGCCGCACGACGGAGCCTTCTGTCCCCTCCTCGCAATATCAAAATTCCCATACCGGCACGTCCGAGGTGATCTAATGCAACAGGTGGCCAGCCGTTTCTTTGATAAAGGTCAGTTCTGGGAAAGAACATGGGATCTGTACGTATATCCCTCTCTTGACTCTAATTTGATCTAATGTGTCTCCTAGGTACTATATTCATGTCCCACCTCGTCTAGGCCCTCATCATCTGTTGCTTGTTCCGGCTGCCCAAGTGCGAGCGTTGCTCAGGGAAATAAACACCATCCTGGAATGTTCCTTGTCCCTCCCCTCAGGCGAAGACCCGGGGTTGCTGCTCAGATTCGACAGGCATGGGTTTCCTCAGCCTAGTTTTCTGGGGCGCAGCACCACCCGAGCCATGAAAGACCAGCTCGAAGAGAATATCCCCATCTCTAGTTTCAAACCTTCCCCAGAAGCTATGGATGAACATTTCATTGCCTTTGAACAGATGATAGAAGCTGCGTGTGTCGCTGGAAGGGGGAAGAATAAATCGAAGGCAAGGAAGCGGCGTCTTCGAATTCAACGCGAGCTCGAACTAGGCGAGTGCGTAAACCGAGCCCGAGCCTACCTGGGCCTGCGTGCATATGCTCCACTGGAGGAATTGACTGATTGTGAATGGGATGAGCAGCCTGATGCTACGTCTTTATGTCTGGCTGAGGATAAACCCGTTCCACATCCTTTCTGGACCGGACCCGTGTTTGTTAGTATTGATGTGGAGGCCAATGAAGCCTGTCATTCACAGGTGACGGAAGTGGGCATCTCCTCTCTCGACACACTCGATCTCCTGGGTGTCGCGCCCGGACGGCAGGGCAAAGAATGGCAATCTTGTATCAAATCCCAGCACTTCCGCGTGAAGGAATACGCACACATTGTCAACAAAAAATATGTCACTGGCTGCCCGGACAAATTCCTGTTTGGAGAAAGTGAGTGGGTGCAAGCCAGTGAGCTTGAGGATATAGTCACGACATGCCTTACTCGTCTTTCGTTCTGCGATGACCCCGAGAAGGATCATCTTCGCCCTATAGTGCTGGTCGGACACAGTCTCGCCGCCGATATCCAATTTCTTCAGCTCCATCATATAGATGTGAGCAGTAAAAACGCTAACATTGTGGACTTTATCGACACGGCAGAGCTCTTTAGAGCCATGCATGGAGAGGCACAACCGCGATCTTTAGGCGGCGTTCTAGATCAGTTGGGGATGATTGGATGGCATTTGCATAATGCGGGAAATGATGCTTGCTATACTCTGCAGACGATGGTGGCCGTGCTGGTGAAGGATGCTCTAGCGAACTAGCTTTTCTTCTCTTTCTTTCTTTCTTTCTTTCTTTCTTTCTTTTCAGTACAGCTTACCGAGGAATTCTAATGAAACCCTGGCCCTGTTTATCTAATCAATGAAATTAAAAGATCATGATCTTCTGTTGTCTGTGAGGCCCAATTTAATATGAAGAGAGAGGGAGAAGATACCTAATTATTAACTGCTATTCAGAGATGAAGGTCTGACCCCCAGTATAACATGTATAACTACCTAATAGTTAACTAACTATAGGAAAACACTTACTTGACTAAGCAGGCAGTGCCAAATTCATGGCTGGATTGTTGAAGCGGTTAAAGCGAACATCATGAACGCCCGAATTCTCAGCAATCCATCACTTGAGGGGGATACATACCAATGTAGCATCATCATAGATTCTTCGAGCCTTGATCATGGCACCTCTGACAACTTTGAGAGCTTTGAGAACTTTGAGAAGCGTTACAAGCGCGACACTCCCCCGATTTCATCGCACGCCCCTTTCCACTTCCCCCTCAAGAACCTCCAACCCCGGCAAGTTCATCAACATCGATTTGTTTGGTTTTTACTAATTTTTTTTAACTCAGACCAACCCAGGGACGACCCTCTCTTTTCTTATACCTCTGGACGCTGGCTATGGGACGAAGCAGCCCAGCTTCGTAAACGGTACCAGCCCTTCAATGTCGAGGAGCTCAAGGAAACAGCAGCCCGATCCGTGAATGCCAAATTCTGCGTTAAATTAACCAAATTACCCGAAGGCTCATACAATAAAGCCTTTCTATTGACAATGGATAATGAGCTCCAGGTTATTGCCAAAATCCCTAATCCTTACATCCCTCAGAAATTCATTACAGCCAGCGAAGTTGCAACGCTTGACTTTCTTCGTAATGAGCTAGGTGTACCTGTCCCGCGCGTCTTTGCATGGAGCAGCAAGAAAGACCAGCCTGTGGGAGTGGAGTATATTATCATGGAAAAAGCTCCTGGTAATGAGTTGAGCAAAAGTTGGCCTACCATGGAGGTATCGGATAAGGTGGACATTGTGTCTCAGTTGGCGAACATTCAAGCCAAAATAGCCGCTGTCCACTTCGGTTATCATGGAAGCTTATTCTATAGCGAGGATAGCGAGGGTGGCATCAGTATCCCTGGAATAGCTGATCGGTTTTGCATCGGCCCCAGCTGTGACATACGTTTTTGGGAAGAGGAGAGGGGATCCATGAGTGCATTTAGGGGCCCTTGTAAGTTAAACAACCGGGGAATTTCAGGGGATCTAACTAATAAGAGACCGGGCAAAATCAGGGTCGTCGGCCGGGGCGTATGCAATCGATATCGCCAGGCGAGAGAAAGAATGGATCACCCGGTTTGCAAATGCTCGTCATCCGGCAGACCCCTTGAGACAGTCAGATAGTCAAGAGTCTCCCGATTGTCACATTAAACTGCTGGACAAGTATCTAAAAGTGGTGCCGCATTTGATGCCATCGCATCCAGGTCAAAATCGGTCTGTACTGTGGCACCCGGATCTACACTTTGGGAATATATTTGTCAGGGGAAATCAGATTGTCAGTATTATTGATTGGCAAGGCTGCTCCAGTCTTCCTATTTTTCACACATGCAGGATACCAAAATTCCTGAAAACCCATGGGCCCTTGCTTTTCGACCTTCCTCCAGCCACACGCCTCACGCCGCAAGAAAAAGAGGAAAATCTACGGAGGTACCAGCTCACACAACTCCAGAGGCTCTATATTTCTAAATTCCGCGAAATCGACAATGACATCTTCTCTGCTCTGTCGTGTCCTCAAGCTCTAACACGACAGCAGCTCATTGATTTTTCCGGATACACATGGGATGACGATGGATTGTTTTTATTTCAAGAGATGATGCTTCGAACATTCCGCGAATGGACGGAATTAACAGGCCAGCCGCAGCCCTCTGTCCCTGTAACATTCACTGCCGACGAGATTGCGTCTCATGTTGCCGAAGGGAAGAGCTGGGAAGATCGCAGCGATCTCTTCCGCGCCCTTGGAATCCCCATTGACGGCTGGGTACATCTCGAAGACTTCGAGGCAAAGGTGGAGACGATGCGTAATCTAGTGAGTTCTGTCATAGACTCAGCGGATGACAAGGATGGCGCAAGGGAGGCACTCAGAGCCTGGAAGCTTTCGGACCTATCGGGTAATCTGATGGATATCATCTAGACCGTTCCCATATCTTGATTCTGAAAGCGAAAGGTGGTAGAGAATTCATTCAGAATTTCCAACATACAAAGTAATCTATAGTTAGTTAGTTAGAGCCACCAGTATTACAAACTACAAAGTACCGAGTACCCACTAACTAACTAACAAAAGAGAGCCACAACCCATCCATCCATCTACCGTATTCCGTATATTCTCTCCACTTACTTCCGGATCCCCAAACCCAGCCTCACCCCCAGCCTCACCTCCAACCTCAGAACGACCAAAAGAAACAAAGAAAAGAAAAGAAACGAAGAAAAGAAAAAAAAAAAATGAAACTAACCACCTACCTCCCAACCACAACCCCAACCGCCTTCCCCAACGCAACCACCCACCCTTTCCTCCGCCTCGCCGGCACAGGCAAGATCCCGAAACCGCTTCTCTCGCAATGGCTATCCCAGGACCGTCTCTACGCGCAATCCTACGTGCGATTCATGGGGCTCCTGCTCTCAAAGATCCGATTGCCATGCGCCACTCCGACTTCCACTCCGACTTCTTCCACTTCCACTTCCAAGCAAGCAATGAACATCCTAATCGACGCGCTGACGAACATCCGCACCGAGCTGGATTTCTTCGAGAATGTCGCGGTTGAATACGGATTAGATCTGGGCCCTTGTTCTTCTTCTTCTTCTTCTTGTTCTTCGAGAGAGATTCCCGAAGAGGAGGAGAAGGAGGAGGAGGGGAAGTTCACCACCAACACAGCCACCCCAATCACCCAGGCATACATTGATATGTTCATGTCCGCGGGAAGTGCGGCCACGTCGCTTCTGGAGGGGATGGTGGTCCTGTGGGCGACGGAGGTGTGTTACCTGCGTGCGTGGCGGTATGCGGCCGGGTTCTTGGATTCTGCTCCTGCGGGGGCGGATGCGGATGCGGATGGCGGGGCGCTGCGGAATCGGTTTATTCCGAATTGGAGCAGTGCGGAGTTTGGGGCGTTTGTGGATGCCATCGGGGAGGTGGTGGATGATTTGGCTGAGGAGGTTGGGGGGGAGGAGAAGAAGAAGGAGGAGATTCTGGGACGGTGTGTGCGGTGGTGGAAGCAGGTGGTTTGGTTGGAGGAGAGGTTTTGGCCGGATGTTTAGGGTCTCTCTCTCATGTCTTAATTCACCGAGTATGTAAGGTAGAAAAGGAGAGGGAAAAAAAAAAAAAAAAAAAAAAAGAAAAATGCGAATCTAGTGGTATGTGTGTATTCGTGTGTTATATATATGGGTTACAGTCTCTTTATATGGATGTCATGCGTGATGATGATGATGATGATGATGATGATGATGATGATGATGATACATGTTATGAAGCAGATCGAAGAAAGCAATCCCACAGCGCCTGTTCACCATTCCGACCCAAACCGAGTAATGCTCCGCCCCGTCATTGCAGATATTCATTCGTAGTCGGACATGCAGAAACAAACAGATGTTTGAACTAGAAAAAGACAAAAAAAAACAACAAACAATTTGAAAACAAGTAGGATCTGTACAAGATACACTAACTGGATATGACCTATGTGGTTGCGCTCGCTCGTGCCGCGTTGCTTAGTTGGCGATGATACGATCCGATCGGCTGGAAGCCTCTGTGGTCGTTTGTTAATCTTGCGGTATATGATTTTTTTGTTTTTTTTTGGTTTCTGTTGGGGTTGGAAGCTTACCTTGCTAGATCGAATCCTCCACCATCCTCCTCGTAGTCTTCATCGTGTAGATGCCCCCCTCGTTCTACACCATTAGCTCCAGGTTGTCCGCTGTCGTCCCGTCGCGAGGATAGAGGGCGGCCGTTTCCGACCCCATTAGCTGTCCCCGGTTTACTCGGGCTGACCAGGTTTGGCGGCGGTGGACTGCTGCTCGGAATGCTGCCGTCTCTTGGATCTCCCTTCAGCGGGCTCATGTCCGGGACCGGGCGTGCAGGTGTGCTGCCAATATCGGCAAATTTCCAGAACTGGGCCGGCGAGCTCATGGGCATGAACTTGGAGGGTATTTGAGCCGTGCTTGGGGGTGGTAACCGCGGTTGTTGACGTTGTGGCGCAGGCGTGATCATCGAAGACGGTGCGTCATCATAATACGAGGATGAAAGCACTGGTGGAGATCTAGTGGCATTGTCTGATAGTCCATACGCTCGACCAAGTCCAGCCCCACTACCGCTTTGTTTCGTCGCGGAGCGATTTGGTAACGGAGACGGTTCGTCATAGTCCCGCGCGTTTGGCGGTCGCAGGGAATGGGCTTCCATGGGGCCGTTCTGATTTGCACGAGAGCCTCGTTCCGGAGTATATGCTTCTACAGGTGCCACGGGAAACGAACTGAAGCCGGGAGAGGAAACGGGTGGGGATTTCTTGCTCGTGGAGAAAACAGACTCCATTCCGTTGCCAGCGGCCGCACGGCTGGCGCTGGGGTCTTTTGTTGCAGGTGACGACGGGGCCGAGGACTGGGTGCCTTTACGGAGCTGTTTCTTCCAGTACTCCTCGCGATATTCAGGTGCAATCTGCCACTTCATCCCCTTTCCGGGCTCGTCGGTCCGACGGGGAACTTTCTGGAATGCTTTATTAAGAGAGAGATTGTGTCGAATCGAATTCTGGAAGGGGTCAGTAATGCAAGTTGAGACGCAAAGAGCAGTGAAAAACCAACCTGCCAACCACTTTGCGAATGTCGATAGAAAGCGTACTTGTCCATGATCCAGTTGTAGATATTATTCAGGGTGAGTTTCTCTTCTTCGCTCGAGAAGATCGCCTGTGCGATCAGCGTTGCATAGCTGTAGGGGGGTTTCAAGTCCTTGGCGGAGTCCTTGCTGTAATCGATTTCCTCAGTGCTCTCCATCATCATACCGCGATTATACAATGGTGATTGTTTGGCAGTGCGCAGGCCGACAGTATCGGGGGACCGTGGTGGGGGGGTAACTTGGCGCTTCAGAAACTGCGGAGCGGGGGCCAGCGATGGGACGCTGGCTGCAGGCAGTGGGACAGCGCCTTGAGTCCCCGACCCTATCTGAGACTGCGGATGCGCATGTTGAGAAGCGTCCCAGGTTGCAAGGTCTTCCTCTCCGTTGGCCAGGCGTTGTGCGCGGTCGACGAAGGTGGGGTGGATGTTGGCTTTGTCTCCCGGGGTAACGAACATCATTTGTGTGTTGGCGATTTCGATGATGTCGCCGCATGAAAGAACCGAGTCGGTGCCGCGCTTGAGGATTGCATTATTCAGACGGACCCCGTTGCGACCGTTAACGCGAATATGCCAGGACGCGGTTTCCTCACCATCATAGAAAATCTCCGCGTGGAGTCGCGACACGAACTTGCTGGGACCGAGATCGACGTTGACTTCGGGGAGCGCTCGCGCGGCGATAGTAACGGGACTCGACTGCTCGTCGAGCTTCTGTTCGCGGTCGGGTTCGCGGCCGATGTTTACATGGAGGGTTTTCACGTAATAGGTCCAGTTTCTGCCGGCGATCTTGGCGTATGCGCGAATACTCTGTTTGTTCTCCGTCTTCGCATTCGAATGGTCTCGTAGAACGCGAACTTCTTCGCGAGCGACATCTAGATAAGAGATGACGAGGTCGACTAGATCTTGGTTTTCGGAAAGCTCATGATCGGGGGACGAATCGTCCGCTTCGTCTGCGGACTCTGCTTTGACGGGCCGTGCGGGATGGGGAGAAGCGCGATTATCGACCTGGTCGCACAAACAAAAACATTAGAACCATGATCGCCTTACCAGAAAACCAGCTCAAAATGAGTCGTCCTCCGAGGATTAAATACACACCTTGCGCTTCTTGTTTGATGGTCGCGTGGGCGATGAGTCTGGGGCTTCCGCATCTGAAGTTTCCTGCAGTTGGATTTCCTTGCGCCGCGCGCGACGGCGGTTGGATAGAGGCATAATCAAAACTCCAGCGATCGACTCACGAAGAACGGTGTGGATTCGATAACAATCACCAGAATATAGTATGCGTGGGGATTTTATGTTCTGGTCTTGATAGTGCGAAAAGAAAATAGAAAACAAAAAATTTTTCTTCGTAAGAGTGTTTAGGCCAGGATGACACAAGGTGAGATGGCAAAAACTCGAGGGACTTCCGTGGTGTCTGGAGCCGGCGATAGGGAAAAAAATCGAGACTGGACTGTCACGAGAGTTGATGACCTAAAGAAGCCGAACTGCTAAAGAGGATGGAAGAACCAGGGAAACGTTTGCCACCGTGCAGGAAGACGCGATGTGGGAGTGGCTCAAAAATGGAGGGCCAGCCACCGCGGGGAGTTCCGGTTGGATGTTTTGGCAGCGTGGGTGGAGAGGGGGCTGATAAACACGGGTTTCCAAGGGTTAGACTCTGAAGAGGGTAGATAGAGGGAGAAAAGAGAAGAAAACGAGAGAGGGGGAGGAAGAGAAAGAGAAGGAATAAAGAGAGAGAGAGAGAGAGAGAGAGAGAGAGGAAGAGAGGGAAGGATGAAGATGATGAAGAAGATGAAGAAGATGAAGAAGAAGATGAAGTTGAAGTTGAAGATGAAGTTGAGTTGATCGATGACGATTTGACGATACGCGCCGTTTGTGTCCTGAGGTGTCGGTCGGGATTTTGTGTGGGGAAAAAAAAAAAAGGGAACAAGTTCTATTCTATTGAATTGACACAGATCGACAATCGTTCTTTCTTCGACTTCATTAATTTCATCCATCCCCAAATATCCTTCCAAAAGAGGGAGAACCCCCTGGGTTATAAAGAATTCTCTCCCCCTTCAATACCACTGGGCAACCTTGATGATGATGTTTTTCCGGATGCAGAAACCAGACACCACTTGAGGTCCCACGATCTCACTTTGTCTCAACGCTTCCCGACCAGATCGAATACTTCGGAATCAATAATAATAATAATAATATAATAATCCAACAATCTGGACGCAATGAACTCATTCAATCCCATTCCCATGGATCCGCCCAGCCGCCCTCTGTTTGCGTCATACAAGCCTCCCATCGCTCCAGCCGGAATGCCTCAAATCTGCACTTGTTTCGACCTCACAGCCACCGTAACATCCACGGACGGTGCCACTCCGGCACCTCAAAAACAAACATGCCGTTGAAAACGGTACTTCCTTCGACTAATTCTACTCCTCGAGACACTTGCATCGGGCGGGGAATGGTAGCATTCAATGGGAAATACGTTTACATAGGGACTACTCGACTCGCTCAATGACACGGTATAAAGAAATACTTTCAACGGCTCCGATATCAGGCGGAGGGAATAGTTAATAGTTACACCAGAAAAAAAAAAAAAGAAGAAGAAGAAAGAAATAACAACCCCAAGGAAATTCATACCCATATAACGACCGGCCAGAAGCAACCATCCACATAGGAAAATAAAAAAAATAAAAATAAATGAAAAATAAATAAATAAAATGAGCGGGGAATAAACAGGCAATCTGATATAAAATATGACCAATGCAAATAAATAAATAAATAAATGTGAGAAAGAGAAAAAAAAAGGAAAAAAATTGAAAAAGAAAAAAAAAAAAAAAAAAGCCCGGCTAACTAGGGCATTTTGGAGTCTCCATCTTCATCCAACCCCTTCAATGTGGGGTACATGACCGTATCACCTCCCGTTTCACCCTTGACGGAGGGTTCTTCGGACCGCGGGGAACGAGGTGGCATGGGAGTGGCTTCGACGCCCTCCATATGACCATCCGTTGAAGGTTCTCGGGAATGAACATGGCGAACACGCTCTGCCTCATCGAATTCACCCCGTTCCAAGCGGGAAGCAATATAGTTCCGAAGGTACTCAATCAGACGCACATTTTCAACCCACTGTGCATCCGAGCGTTCAGCGACTTCAGCCGCTGCTTGTGCAGTGCGCAGAGTCTCTGCGTCGCTCGTGTCGCTCGGGGATCCCGAGTGGAGAGCAGGATCAATAAGGCTGGCAGAGATGACCGGTTTAGCTGGAGGCGTTTTCTCTCCAGAATCCTTGTCATCGCCCGAGAGATCCATGGTCTCGGATGCGGCCCGAGACGCGGGTCGTGCGCGTTGCAAGGTGCCTCCGGTGTACCTCCGACGATCATCGTTGTCAAAGATCCCGCCCAGAGTGGACGGAGGAGCAGCACTTGACGCAGTTGGGTAACCAGCAGCTATGCTATCAGCCATAGTGGTTGAAGGCAGACGTGGATACATGCTGGAGCCACCTTCATGAGGTGGCGAGACACGGTGAGTAGCAGGCAGGGAAATTGGAGAGCGGCCCGATGTGTAGGACTGCGCACTTGAGGGAGGAGTAAGAGCAGGAGTGCCGGCTGAAGGAGAATGAGCAGTAGTGGCGGTGAGAATGGGACCGACACTGGTAGCACCTGTGGCGTGAGAAGGAGGAAGTTGAGTGGGTGGGGAGTGGGTTGTGCGGTAGCTGATGCCTCCATGCACGTAATGCGCACCGGGTTGGGCAACCCCGGCTGCCGCGACGTTGTCGTCGTTCTCGTAGATCGTGTCCTGCATTTGTTGCAGGAATTGATCAATATTGATCAAGTCGTTTTTGGTCCGCACGTTACTCATAGGTGGTAGGTGATATGCAGGGGTAGGATGAGGGCCACCGGGGTAGCCCCCCCCAGCGACAGCAACCGGAGCAGGCATTGGCTGATACTCTGCCAAGGGACCACTGGCCAACACGGGTAATGAGAGGTTCTGCAAGCCCAGCAGCCGCTGGCCAACAGCGGCATATGAGTTGGGATCAAATTGGCGTCGCTTCAAGTCGCCAAAGAATTCGTTCAGGGCATCATATCCTCGCTTCTTTGATTCATAGGATGCTTGGTGGGTTTCGGGCCCATTGTTCAGCGCATAGTAAACGTTTCCATATGACGGATTGGATGGCTGTGGTGGGGCATGGGACGCATAGTACTGAGGAGGGCCGTGCGTGTAGCCTTGGCTGGGAACAGTGTTCAGTGCCGGCTCGAAGTAGTGTGCTGCGGCCGCGTAGCCTTGGTTTTTCAGGTTAGTGTCATAAGCCCACGTAAAGGTTTAAATACTAGCAGCATACCCTTGGCATTTGCCCCAAACATGATATCGGGGTTCCGAGAACCAGGCTCCGGCGACCGCACAAGGACAGAGTCATCCGCATGAGTCTTGACATGTTTTTTCAAATCCTGGGGACGCTTGAAAGCCTTTCCGCAGAAATCACACTTGTGTGGCTTGAGAGGGACGTGGACTCGGATGTGGGAGGTAATGTGATCGCGCTTCACAGTGGTAGTACGGCAGCTGCCCCATTGACATGTTAAATTGAGATTGTTCGTGCTCTTTCGACCGACATGACGCTCGCAAACATGCTCCTATAGCAGGGACAGATTAGCTATTGCTGAAATCCTCGGTCTTGTTGCGAACAACACGTGGCAAGTTGAGGATGAGAGTGTTGTCAACTTACATAGAGGGACTCTGGGCTAGAACACTTCTCAGAGCACCCTTGCCACAAACACGAGAGTTCCTCGGAAGGACGAGAAGTAGCCGGAGTGGACGAGGAGGCAGTCGCAGGCGAAGCACTGTTACCATTCATTGGGGGAGAGGCCACAGCTGCGGTGGCAGCAGCAGCTGTTGCCGTCACGGACGGGACCGCAGACGATGAGACGGGAGCAGTAGGCTGATCCGATGGCTGTTCCTGCAACATGGGCGCTGAAATGGGAGCGACCGCTGTCGAGGGCGAGATGTTGTCTTGGGCCTCCGACATTGCCAAGAAAAAACTCTTGTCCCTTTCTTGGGGGGGGGGGGGAAGCGGAAGAACAGCCCAACACACGATGCCCAAAAAAAAAAAAAAAAAAAAAAAAGGAAAGGAAACGACCCTTCTCAAGAGAACAGAAAGGCAGATAGATTCAGGTCACCTATGCTAAAGCAAGTATGTCTTGAATGACAACGCGTGGCAGCACACATTCACAGCCAGGCAGAGAAGAAAGGGGGTAGGCAACAGAGAACCACGGGTAACCAGAGGAGGGGAAGCAGCCGAGTAATAAGAGAGACGAGAAGGACAAGAAAAAAAAGGGGAAGAGAGGAAGTCTTGGAGGGTTGGGAGGGGGAGGCTTGGATTCTTGAGCCGAGCCTTGCCCAGAAAAGACCGCTTTGCACAGCCGGGCGGAGGAAGGGACAAGACCGGGCCAAGAGCCATGCGGGGCCGTGGCGTTGTTATTTTTGCCTCGTGACCTGCTAGCTGACAGGAAGAAGAAACAGTGAGTGCATAGTAAACCATGACTGACTTGGTTTGTGTTGTTTCCCACAGTAACACCATCTCAGAAATTCACATCATGTCGCGAGAAGTTGGATTGGATTCGACCTTGCGGTCTTGCCAGTGAAGTGCTGGCCGGCGAGTACGAATACGAAGGTATCCGATAAATACCAAGGGTCGGGTATTCAATACATCAACATTACCATCATCCCGGTACCTCCCAGACCCCGCGTCGCGTCGCCAATTCCCCCTGTTTGCTGGAGATTAGTCATCTCGGGTCCGGACTCTTTTCTCTCGACAGAATCCCCCGACATTAATTGATCTTTGGATCTTTGGATCTTCGGTCCATTTTGTTTTAAATCTCTTCTGGTCGAACCCCTCTACCACGGGGCTCCTTGGCGTGAGAAATCCCGCTCCGTTGTCTCAGGTCTTGGGAGAATGCTGATGGAAGCATTTGTCCCTTGGCACCGTTGACGCTCTGAATAGTGCTGCCTAGTCGTTCGACGGAGAGTGAAACGTGAGTCTCTCTCGAAAGGCCAGACAAAACTCTAAAGTATGGTACATTGATTGATTGATCTATCGTTTAGTGTGCCACGGATTGCGATTCCACCGGCGATCGCACAGTTCATCCACACCACATTTGAGACACGTTCTTTCTCTCCGTCTCTGCACAAGCCTTGCAAGATTGACATTCCGAATAAGAGCTCATTGTGATGGATCCAGTCACCCCTGAACTAGGCCTTTAGCCCTCTAGTGGGAGTAATATCATGTAGGACGAGACGAGGAGTAAGTTCCACGACAGTAGATATTACGCTTACCACCGGCAAGAACCATGAACGAAGCCAGATAAGACCATTTCAGCTACGCCCTTGTGAAGGGGGCGGGGTTTCAACGGTCAGCCTTGTTGAGTCTGATAATGTCTAGTACTTAGATCAATTCTCAGCGCTGTAGTCGCTTCCTGAGGATGGTTATTATATCCTTTCTTTAAGAGGAAGTAGCAGAGCACCAGCTATCCCCGTGGGTAACATCGTCTACCACCCCCTTGGTGCTGTTCAGCTCTCCCTTCTGGATTGTGGATCATAGGTTCAATAATCCAGGACCGCAAACTCCACTAAACCTTGACATCCAGGCATGGATACTGAATTTCATTCCAGAAAACAAATGTACAACAATGCTGCAGTAGTCGCCCGAACCGTCTGCGATCATGTGATGCTCTTAAAGCGGCGGCAGAGTCTGATCCACGATTTCAAGATCCTCCCAACTCTCCGCAAACTACTTCCGACAACAACTGATGTTATATTTTTGATATACATATATACTTCCTCTCGTTGTACATAGTCCATATAAGAGAGTGGGAGGAGGGAGAGAAAACAAGATAAGTAAATCAGTAATGTTCAAACTCTCCTCCCTCTTCTACCTCATCCCTGTTTATTTCTTCGTCATTGCGCCTCTCCTCCGCCAACTCCTTCCTTCCGATCCCTCGCCGTATTCCGACAATGGCAACAAATACGAAGAAGGAGGAGAAGAAGAAGAAGAAGAGAGTCCTCTCCTCCTGAACCCTGAGTTCCTCAGCATTGATGACGGAGAACCTTTAACATGCGCTCCCGATAATTACCGAGTACATCTTTTCTCTCAAACACCGCTGATCATCTACATTGAGGACTTTCTCTCTGTACAGGAGGCAGACCATCTAGTGAACATCAGGTAGCGTAATCAGCTATAAATCCCCCCCCCTGGGAACAACTAGAACGGAGCCCAAAAGAAGAAGAAGAAGAAGAAAAGAAGCTAACGAAAAGACAGTGTCCCAAACTACACGCCCTCCATTATTTACAACGGCCAAACAACCACCGTCGATCCCAGGAAACGCCACTCTGACCGCGCCCTTCTCCCCCGGGACGCGACGGTGCGCTGCATCGAATCTCGCGCCAAGGCCTTCCAGGGCTGGAAACCTCACCTGCACATCGAGCGGATGTGGGCACAGCGCTACAATGTCTCCGGCCACTACGTCCACCACTACGACTGGGCGGACAGCGCGCGCAGCCGCGGCGGCGACAGACTGAGCACGTTCATGGTGTATCTGGCGGCGGATTGCGAGGGCGGCGGCACGAACTTCCCGCGACTCCGGAAGCCGCGCGATCGAAGCTGGTGTCGGTTTATCGAGTGCGATGACACTGCAAGTGAAGCCGGTGGCGACGGCAAAGGCCAAGGGGTGACGTTCAAGCCGGTCAAGGGAAACGCAGTGTTCTGGGAGAACCTCCGACCGGATGGCTCGGGATATCCGGAGACATGGCATGCCGCGTTTCCGGTGACGCGGGGGGAGAAGGTCGGCTTGAATATTTGGAGTTGGTACCAGCCACCTCGGGGGGGGGGGGGGGGTGGTGAACGGCTGTACTGAGGTATAATAAGGTATATATACTGTACTATATTGTCTGTATATACGGAGTATGCGTTCTGTGTAACGATAGGTATTGGGGTTCTGATCTGCAATTGCTAAGAATTACCCTAATTCAATCTGCATTTCTCAACCTCGTCCCGAGGCATGTATGTATACTGCCAAAAACCGCACCCATAAGAACAGCCAACCCATACCGCTTCTCATTTCACAATCTCCATCCACTCCACTACGAATTAATACGACATGATTGACGATCGTCAAGACAGAACATTTCTAAGCAGTAGCAGCAGCAGCAGCAGTAGTTGACTCAGTGCCCCCGGCTTCGTGTTCGCACAGCATAGTTACCAACCTACCAACCAACCAACCTACTCGGTAATCATCTCGGATTTGTTCCTTCACTAGATCCAGTGAGAGACAAGGGACGCACCCACCAATGACTTACTAGTAGTCCTGATGTATGGTATGTATGCTAACTACCGGTAATCTTCAAATGGATCCATCCGTACTATCCCAAGTAGGTAGTAGTATGCAGCGTGTGGAGGTGTTGTCTCGGACTACGGAGTAGAGTATCATATGCATGCATAGGGAAAAAAAAAAAACATTGCCGTTCTGGCCGAGTTTTCGCATCGGAATGGTGCTTTTGCTTCGGCGAGAGCTGCTATGATATCGTATCCTCTGCGGGTTGATTACGGGGTAGGTACAACACAACACAACACAACACAACACAACACAACACAACACGCACGGGGTTGGGGAAATTATATACGGTTCCTAATCGTTGCTGGAAGGCAGTCGGGACTCTCTCCGTGGATTTGTAATTTGGATGACACATTCGGTGATGGTGTGGAGATCAATCTACTGGTAACTAGTTAACTATGTACAGGAATACCTTACATATACTCCGTGCCTGCCTGTGAGGCCGTGCAGTTTCATACCCACCCTGTATCAAACCCCACCGCCCAAGTCTCATCGATAAACGGCCACTGCAACATTTCGGTTTCGAGGTCATGAAACTCTCCGTGCTCAGAGAGTTCCAGGATCGACCTTCTTCTGGCTGCACTGGTGCTTCTTCCACGCATCGTTGGGGTCGTCGTGGACGCGGCGGGGGCGGCGATTGTTCGCCGTTGCGCGGCAGGTAAATCCGGTCTGGAAACGCGGATATCGCCGTACTCATCCAATGTTCCCGCCAGAGTAAGATGACCCGGACGATCAGAGACCGACCCTTGCTGGGTTGGTCTGGCGGTTTCGTAGAATCGGTTGGCGTCTTGGAGGGTTCGCCACTTGTTCCATTATTTGTTAGCCCCAGAAATCAAGAAAAAGAGGAGACAATACCCAGCTCTTCCCGACGTCCCAGAATCGGCATAATCCTTCCAGGTACTCGAAATTCATCTTCTTTTCGTGCTCTGCGCGCGCCAGACCACCCGGATACCGACCCGGACAGACAGTCCCGTACATGTTGATGTGCGCGGCGACAAAGACACTGAACCCGGCGTACGGGGTGATCACGGGTGTAGCGCAGCTTTCCAGAGAAGATAGGATCGCCCCAATATGTTGTGCTACTACGAAAAGATGGCCGATTGCCTCAGCGGTGTCGTCACCTTCCATCTCCGGGAGGTCACTGGCCCTCGGGTTTGAAAGAAGACAATCACGGTAGAGGAATAGAATACTGCATGGCATTGGTTAGTTGCAAAAAGAAACCCTCTAGAGCATGGATAGGAGAGCCCACCTCATAAAGTAAACCAGATTGATATAAGCAAACAGCTCCCCATACCCCAAAGCTACATGGACAGGCGCACTGGTCTCCGGATACCGAACGGTGATATCCTGCAGCGACCTCCACTCGTCGAGCTCTTCTTTTAGGGTATTCCAGATCCTCATAGAAGAGGAACAAGACCCCCTCGCGCGGTCTCTGCGGCTTTCGTTCGCGAATCGCAAAATCCGCACAAAGATATCAAAGCCCCGGGTTACAAGCGTCAATCCTTGATCAATGCCCAATCGGATTCCCATTGCATGTAAAGAAGCACAGTTCATATCCGCCGGTCTGAGCCGGGGGGTTGATTTTCCAAAAGTAAAGTCGGAATCGCTGATCGGCAATGGCACTGAAATCTGCCGGAACGAAAGAGCAAAGTGCTGCCGAGCCCCGGAGCTGAGTTCGCAGTCCTGCGCAAAACAACACCAGTATGTGCGGACAAGTTGTTCATAGGTGATCTGGTGCGAGTGGGCGTGGAAGTCATCGGGGGAGTGTTCCATGTGGTCATCAGCGGTTTTGAGAAGGGATTGGATCATGTAGGTTGCCATTCCTTAGGGCGATTGTTAGGCAGGTTTTTTTTTTTTTTTTTTTTTTTTTTTTTTTTTTTTGGAGGGGATGAGAGAGGGGAGATACCGCTGTACATCCACGCTCGGTATGGACGGCCAGATCCCCATTCATACAGTGAGATCATGACAAGGGATTGGGCCAGCGCGAGCGAAGGAGACTCAAAGGCACGATGGGCAAGCTGGGTGCGTGCATACTCGGCGTAGGTCTCGGAGGAACCGAGAGCATCATCGGTCATAAAACGGGCACATAGTGACAGAATTGCCGCGAGAAATATAGGTTCCACGGCCGTGACATCGTGAGAAAGGTCCGCAATCAGCGAGGGGTAGTGCAGGAAGTTGGTGACGGGGAATTTCCTGCGGTAGAGGTCACACGCCTTGATGAGGGTGGCAGAAGCGAGACCAGCGATGGGGGAGGGAGCTTCTAAAGAGGTATTGGTAGAGGTAGGAGGAGTCTGTGCTCGACTCGATCTGTTCGCATTCCTTCTTCCTGGTCGAGGAGTGCGAGGGGAGCGGGTGGTGGTGATAGTTGATGGAGAACGGGGATCGGTAAGAACGCAGGGTCTGCGGTTTAGACGATGGCAGCGTCGACAGGGAGGGTTTCCCTCGTGAACACACTTGACTTTCGACTGGCTAGGTTTATGAGACAGATGAAGCAACAAAAGGTAGAGTAAACATACCGACAGCTATCACAGGAGATGGATAGACGCATAGTTCTAGTTAGTAGTTGGGAGGTGAGGTCGGGAATAAAAAAAGGATCGGGAATGATAGGAGAAATTAATATGTATGTATGTATTAGGATTGGTTATGATGATGTGCTTTCCAACCACTCGCACAACCGCTCAACCTCCATCTCATCAGTGGCCCACGACGTCACAATCCGAATCACTGTAGTCCCCTCTCCCACCCGTTTCTCCCACTCGTAGAATCGGATCCTTTCCTCCAACATCCCCAGCATCTCATCCGGCACCGCCACAAACACCTGGTTCGTCTCCGTTGCCGCCACCAACTCCCATCCCATCCGCCCAACCTGCGCCGCAATTCTGCTAGCCATAGCATTCGCATGCCGGGCCAACTCAAACCACAAGCCATCCCGGAACAGCTCTGCAAACTGCACCCCCAACACCCGCGACTTCCCCAGTAAGCTCCCGCGCTGCTTGACATGGAACTCGAACCCGTCCGCCCAGGGCCCCGTCCGCCGCACGACAACCGCCTCCCCCAGCAACGCCCCCATCTTAGTGCCCCCAATCCAGAAGATATCCGTGGCATCGACCAAATCGCGAAACGTCAGCTCATTGCCCGCAGCAGCAGCAGCAGCAGCACACAACGCGACCCCCAGCCGCGCCCCATCCAGCAACAGTAACAGACCGCGGCGCCGACACGTGCGCGACAACTCCCGCAGCTCCTGCCGGGAGTACACCGTGCCGAACTCCGTGGCGTTGGAAATATACACGAGCCGCGGCTTCGCCATGTGCGGGAAGAACTGGTTCCTCTGCAGCACGGTCTCCAGATTCGCGGGGGTCATTTTCCCGCGCTCCCCGGGGACCGCGATGATCTTGTGGCCCGTGGCTTCGATCGCCCCGGCCTCCTTGTCGACGATATGGCCCGTTTGCACGGCGAGCACGGCCTCGTACGGCCGCAGGCAGCTCGCGATGGAAATCAGGTTCGCTGCCGTCCCGCTCGGCACGAAGTGAATGGCCACTTCGTCGTCGGTGGCGTTGAGCTGTGCGAGGAGGAGCTGCCTTGCTTCTTGGCTGTATTCGTCCGTGCCGTAGCCTGTTTGCTGTGTTGTGTTGGTGCGGACGAGAGCGTCCAGAAGCCTAGGGTGGGCTCCTTCGCTGTAGTCGTCGAGGAAGCTGTAGGGGGGGGCTAGTTTGGTTATCATTTTTGGGGGGAGGGGGAGGGGACGGTAGTTGGATTTCTTAGGTAGTGAGTATTAGATAGGGTGCATAGTTTGAAATCGAGAAACAGAACTGTCGTCGTTCTTTCGCTGCTTCCTTTTTTTTTTTTTTTTTTTTTTTTATGGACGGTATTTCCGATCGGGAATGGAGGGCTCGGGAATGGTTTTTGTTTCCTGAGGCATTTTCCTGGATTCTATTATTAAATATTAGTAAATATGATTAAATCTTCATTTTTATCCAGGAACAGCGTGGTTAGCCCTAAATGATCCAAATGACAAGAGAATCGTTAACAAAAAATCAATCCATTTATATACTAAAGTAACCCCCCCCCCCCCCCCCAACACCTTCCAATATGTACATGCATGTTCATTACATATCCTCATGGTCATCACACTTGACTTTTTGCGGTCTAGATCACTGACCTTACCCCGAATTCATCCATTGCGTCCACTCGTCGTTGGAAAATCCGGGCTTCGGTCCCAGTATGTCGCCATTGCCAAAGATGTCGTCGAGCGGCATCCGCATCCCCAGATCAAGACCTGCGCCGAGAGTAGGAGCATCGCCAAGCGGCATATTAAATGCCTGCTCGTCTCGCGTTGAGATTGGCGGCATGGGAGCGGTTTCACGGACCAGGTTGGGTGGTTGGAAGCCGTATCCTTGCCACATGAAGTTCTGGTTGGGGATAGACACGAGGTCCGGACTGTTGACCCCCTCGATGGGTGTGGATCCGTGGGAAACGGGAGATTGAAGTCGCGATCCCGAGAGTCGGCCAGAAAGCGCAGCGCCCATGCTAGCTTTCGGTGCCCCGCCGGAGAAGAGAGAGAAATTCGGAAAGCCATCCAGGGCTGGTGTAGATACGCCTCGGCTAATATTGCCGGAGGCACTGCTTGGGTCCGCATTAGATGAAGACTGCATCCCAGAGATCAACGACGCAGCCGTGTTTCCCGTCCCGTCAAATCGAAGGTGGTCATCCTCCAAGGTGGACATAGGCTGCGTAGGATAAGCAAAGGGGTCATCGGACGGGAACATAATGGGCATGAGGTCGGGGAACGCGGCGTTGGTATTGTGGAATGGGGGCGAACCAAAGTGGCTGGCGGGGGGCGCTTCTCGGATAGGCAACGCCTGCGAGATCGAGGGTGCGTTTGTCGAGGACTGGGTGGACTCTGGAGCAACGGTGCTCGAAGGGGTGGACACGGTGCTTGCTGGGACCTCGGATGTGGAGGGGAACCAGGTCGAGAGATGGCTGCTGCGCGGATTTGGCGCTGGCGAGCGAGCGGTAAGATTATCATCCATACTCTTGGGGGTATTGCTGGACTCGAATTTCGATGGTCTGGTCAGCAGGTGAATAGGGAAAGTGCTGGCCCTTTGTGGTGGCGGCAACTCTGACATTGCTGTGATTGTACTCGTCTGTGGGCCACTGCCAGATGGTGCAGGACGCTTCAAGTTGACTTGGATCGCGGAGCTCTGTCGATTTTTGAGCAATTCAGGGAGATTCTTGAAGAGGCAATTAAGACTTTGTGAACAGCGGTCTGCTGCCAAGCTCTTCTTCGCCAGTCCAGCCAGGGTGTTTTTGCCTTCCATGGCGTCTTTGAGAACGCCATCCTTGGCTGTTGGTGAGTCGGGGTTCTCCAGCACAAAGAAAAGCAGCGACAAGATGGCGAAGTATGTAGTGTACATGGTGAACCAGAAGGATCCATTGAGGAGACCTCTCTTATGCATGCCTGTAGTAATGTGGACGATATTCCGAGAAACACTGACACAAGCGGCAGCACAGGCGTAGGATCGTCGGTCCACCCCTCGGGCTTGGGAGCCACCAGAAACATAATGCAAGAAAGGCCGATACATCACCATTTGTGCGTGTGCGTAACTGATACGGAGGAGTTGTCGTATTCTAATATCCGGTTAGGATCTAATCAAGAAAGGTTCCCCGGGGAACAGAGGGGGAGAGAGAGCTTACCTTTCAATATGTGGAGATACCTCCGTTCCTGGTCGCAGTGCCGCAGGAAGCTCCTCCATCCAGGTTTGAAGATCTCGTTCGATTTCCCGAATTTTGGAGTGGCTCACCACATAACGCTGTTCCGACTTGGAGCGTTGCGCGTGCTTGACAGGGTAAACATATTTCACAATCTTGAGGATAATGTTGGACAACCGAGTGTGCGCATTCGCGCCAATCATGGAGTGTATACGACCCTCGGGAGTCGGCAGGATACCATCCTTGGTAATAAAGTCTCCGTCGATGGGTAAAGGATATTCTTGGTCGATATCATCATCGCTCAGCATCTGCGGGAGACCTAATAGAGTGCTCACGTAGACGTCCATCTTTCGTATGACCCAGAATATGCGTCGACGCATTTCGCGCTCGATGGGATTGAAATCGGCGGTCACAGCACGGTGCAGACCGAGTCGCAAGGCTGATCGTAAGGCGATTCCGATGTATGAATAACAAGTGCTGAGTTTTGCTGATGACTGTAGAAAAAGAACCATAAAGCAGATCGCTTGGAGTGACGTTAAATCACGACAATCCGTAATCTCCAACAGCTGCCGGCCAGCCTTGAAGAATTGAAATCTATGTTACGAATAAGGAGCAGCCCGTTATACATTCGGCGCGGGGGGGGGGGGGGTAAACTTACCCTTGGCCAATGGCACTTTCATATCCCGAAACGTCGAGGGTTCCAGCCCCATCGTCGGAGAATAAACAGCCAACGGATATAACAATGTAAAGCAGGGGTAAAAAGGAGTTCTCCTCATTGCCAAACTGGTCGGGAGGGGTATCATATATCCGATCGAGCATAGCGTAGAAGGTAGGTTCATGCACAAACCGCATCAGGGAACAAGCGTCTTCAAGGGCGTTGTGACAAAGTCGTCGTGCGACATCCCGGGTCGGCAAATCATGGGTTGGGGGCAAGGACGACTCCTGCGGCGATTCCGACATGGGCTTGGGACTGTCCAGGATGTGCTGCAAGGTGGGTCGTGGGCGCATAGGTATCTCAGCAGCCCCGAGCTGTTTCCGTAACCGTCGGATAAAGATGATGCCCGAGGTGTGACCGTGGTAATCCCAGTGACCCTGGTCATCCAACCCAAGATAGCCCGAATTATCGACCATTGACTCAAGTAATGACTCCTCCGCCCCAGCATTGTCTTGCCCCGAGGCTTCCGCGGAGCCATTTGTAGCGGATAGTTGCGGCGCAGGGTGCGACGGTGGCTGCTGAGGTTTCTCTCGCTTGATAGCCGCTAGCAGCTGCTCTGTCGCATGCACGTCAAATTGAGGGTCATCGAGGTTGAGGTCCGGGAGAACAACACGGAGGAGGGATTCAGCCTTGTGTAGGCGGGTTTCGAGCGCTTCGACATATTGGGGGGCAGGGTTGCGGCGGCGATTCGACGGTTGATCGTAGGTGCATTCTACAGGCATCAAGACCGGGTTAGACTGGATCTAGTCGATAGAGCAGGGACAAACGACGAACCATAGCTGTAGACTGTGCAATGCGTACAGGGCTGTTTCCCATCGCACTTGATTTTCTTGCGCCGACACTCATCGCAAGCACGGGTCACTCGGCGTCTCTTTTGCATGGGCAGCGGAGTTTTCCCTTCCTTGGCGTCTGACAACGCATTCTCTCCCGTAGTGAGATCCTGCGAGAGGTTGTGAGCAGGATTCGCGGAGGGGTCAGGGTCATCTTGGGGGTAAAAAGAGGGATCCGGTGAGGGGTCGTCATCGCCAGCATTTTCTGCGGCGTGGAACGGAGCGGGCGGAGACGCCATCGTCAGGAAGAGCGATGCGGGCCGCCAAAGCCGCATTCAACGGAAGATCGGTCAAGCGGGAGGACAGGAGAGAAAAGAGAAGAGAACGCCTGCGTGGTGGTGATCCGACCGTATCGCACCTCCACGAGGGTGGAATTGAGGATTCTCACCGAGTCATCGAAAGGGCACCAGGAGTTGGGGAAGGGAGACGAGGACCGAAAGAAAAGGAGACGATAGATGATTTCTTTCCTTTTGGAAGGGTGTTGTAGGAGGGGGGAAAGGACGAGAGAGAGAAAAAAAAATGTGCGAATCGCAGTGGAGGTGAATGAGTCAAGGAAAAATAAGCCCAAGTCTGAGGCACAGAATGTAATCGCAAGAAGATTGAAGGATGAGAGAATAGAGAGAAACTTCATCTGGAACCAAAATCTTTCTCTACGGACTATATCTTTGCCGCCCTTTGGACCGTGAAATTCTCTGAATCCCCCCCAAGGCCAAACACACTATCTCTCATTTTCTTCGAGGCCATCTCCTGTCATTCATTCCATCTCAATATTCTGGACGACGAAAACTACAGACAACCTGCCTGAGGTTGATGACATCATGAGTCTTTGGTTTACAAAGAATGTACTCCGTTCAGAGTACAGAGTCGAGGTAGTTGACTACTAGTAACTACCCCAATCTCCATCCCGATTCCTGCAGGACTTGTCTGTGGTGCTGATGTATCGGAATCTTCCATCCTGGATCCACTTGCGGGGTTTTTTTTTTTTTTTTTTTTTTTCCCTTGCTTAACATAGAGCAGGCATCACATAGCAGGTGGACGGGGCATCGAGGATTTCCTGCCGTAAAAGGGTCTCCTGCCGCGATACGCAAGGATCTACCAGCCCCATTGACAGGCAGGCAAAGAGTAGTTCTTGGACCCATAGCCACGAGTCGCGACTGAGCCGTTTCGTGACCTTTAACATGCGTCCGGCAAACCACGGTCGACCCCATGGGTTTTGCGTCGTGGGAGAATAGTGGGAGAAGTCGGGAAGGCTTAACCCGTCCAGCAATGCGGTTTCTGAATCGACAGCGATATCGTTACAGGCGAGCAGGATCTGTAGGAGGGCTTCGACAGAGCCACTCGTGTCCACTTCACTCCTCCGCATACTCTCCTCCAAGGTCTCCAGGAATGTTTCGGTATGGAGCGTGGAGTATCGATAGTCCCAGAGCGCAGCATTCAGCATCACGAGGGCAACGAATCGCGCCACAAACTGTTTACGATCCCCCGATGCCGTCAAGCGGAGCATCGGAGGCACGGTGAGGATTTGGTACAGAAGCGAAGTTTCTGCGAAGGCCTGGTAGCGCCGAGACCTAGGATCCTGGTTCACATCATTTCGGGAGGCAAGAGAGAGTTGTTCGCAGTGCTTGAGGAAGTCGACAAACTCGGTGCACTGTTGATGAATCTCGTCGGTCGGCAAGGAAGATGCGGACCACATGGGCTGGCTGGGAAACCCTGTATAAACGCCGTGCTGGTAAAATGGAGACGGGACGGAATGGGTCCCCAAAGGACCTGTGTACAACGGCTGGACATGTTGCCAGGCGTTTGGTTCGAAGGAGAAACTCGGTCCATATGTTTCATACCCGGATAAAATGTAGTCCTGCCAATTGATCAGCTTTGCCAGTCGTGTATTCCTAAATGCTGCCGGTCCACCACGGGCACGGATCATCTCCTGCGCCCCTCGCATGTGGTACCAGCTGATCTCCTTGTGCCCAGGACGCGGATCGAAGTCCTCAAGGGCTGCAGCGCTCAAACTAGAGATGATGGCCTCGTCGGAGATATCATTTCGATTCCGTTCCAGGAGCTCGCGCAGCATCGACGTTGCCTTGTCTCTATGAGCGACGGCATCCACAGTCTCTGTCTCCTTGCGGACCCAATTCCTGGTGTTGGCGGCATGGACGAGAATCGTATTTTGGAACGCGACAGGGCCTTCTAAGCCGAGCGGCACGAACACCTCGATGTACCAATTGTGCGCATTCTGAGAACGAAAGTGCGCGCCGTAAGAACACGCCGGCATGACATTGACGTAGAAATCGAACAGTTCCTTGCCCTCAAGGTCCAGCTCGATGGGGAGACTGTTGAAGGGATCGGTGCGTGCGGCACTCATAATGCTCTTGGGAGAAACGGGCATGTCGACGGGGGATGTCCCGGAGAATGAACAGGGTGTCAGCAGGCCAAATTCGAGGCTGTCGCTATGGCCATCTGTTGCCGGGCGGCGGAAAGGATCGTTGAGTGCAGGTCCAGAAGGCTTAGGGCTAGATCCACGAACGGGGGTGATGCTTGTATATCCGGAGCTCGCAGTTACCCGGACAGAATCGTTGTCAATGTCTATGGCATCCTTATCAGACAGCCTTCCCTGTTTCCGGGTGCCTTTCATCTTGCTCTTTCGGCCTCTTTTTGGCCGAATCGACAGGTCGCTGACTTGCTTCGGTTGTGGTGAGCTCGGACGCGAGATGTAACTAGGGTTGGGATGATCCCCATCTTGTTGGCCGGTACCATCCCGCTTTTGACGGATGTATTCTTGCATAACATGTCGCTTGACTTGGGTGAGATTGTGGCGGCTATCAGTGGAGGAGTCAATGAACTGCCACCTCGTCTGCACCGACGACTTTGGGGGAAGGTGGTTCGGAGCGATGCCCCCAGCCTTGTTCGACATGGTATCTGTCCTGGGACCGAGCTCTTGGATGCAGCAATGGCGACTCTTCGCACTATTGTCCCACTCCACGCTCTCCCTTCTTATTGACGGACAGGAGGAGACCAGCCGGAAAATTTTGGCCGCCCAGAAAGTGGATAATTCATGTCATAAAATCAATTCACAAAGCAGGCAGGCAGGCATCTATCTTGCATCGAAACCCTGGGTAGTCTCCATCTTTAAATGATATGATAAAAACAGGGGCGGACTGATTTAAGGTCAGCATCGACATTTTTAAGTGAGCAGATCCCATCAACGACTTCACAGCTCGAATTTGGCTTCGCACGCGCAACCCTGGGTCCCTGAGTCAAACGAGGACTGTAACCAGTGGTCCACCACCCATGAGTCCACCGCGCCGAGTCCACTATCTCTATTTCCTTCTCACTTAGCCCCAAGCTAAACCGCCCAGATAGAAGCTGGCGGGGTCCTAGTGGGTCGAGCAGCGGAAAAAGTCGAATAGAATCGGACTGCGAATGGACTGACGAAAACGAGGCACATCGGGAAGAAATTCTCACCGATGAATGTTCGGGAAAAATCCGTGACCTTAGATACATACTGGGGTTTTTTTTTTCTTTCTATTTTTTGTACTAGAGACCGATTGGGCTGCGCTATTGTAAGAATTCGAACCGGAGTACCGAGTTGGACTGTAGCCATCTGTCTGGTGTGTATCAGTGCTGCGGAACCATCTTGACTCCAAATCTTTGATGCTATTCCAGGGGATGTTGAAAAACCAAAAATGAGGGAGGGGCCCTCTTTTCTTTGGGGGCCATGGATGGAAGAAAGATCACGACAATGAGAGACTAGAGTACAATTATAGTAACAGATGCATGGCAGGGCAACGAGGTATACCGGGATGATCGCACAAAGTACCTAATACCGCCACTTACATGCACAGATTGTGATCATTTGGAAAAGACTTCACTGCTGTAGTACAACTACTCGTACCAACTGTACTTCTAGACTCCAAGGCCCATAGTGCCTAGTCCCGAGTAATGATTGATTATGGCAAGTTCCACGATCCCACGCCAATCAAAAACCAAAATAGATACTCGGGACCTGGAGCGATCATCACCAACGAGACCCTTGATGGAACGAAATGGCTGCAACTTATAGACCTCTCCGCCCTCTTCCAATGGCGTTAGCATGTACAATAACCACACTTGGAATAGGTCTAAACCTGTCAGTTGCGCGGTCGGTTCCATCCATGAGCCCCAGTAAACCTCGCCCTCAACTTGGGTCATGTCATTCTGGCTTCTTTCCAGCATACAGCCGTCGTTATTTACCAGATACTCGTTGGACCCTTGACTAGAAGCAGAGCAGGGAGGGTATCCTACTACATGGCCCTGGCATTACAACTGTACATCTTGAATTTGGCCCCTTGAACCCCATAGATCGGATGAATCTCTTTGTCGTTATACACCGCTAGACGCCGCTAGACACCGCTAGTTATTGTCCCTCCAAGTCATATATATATCTGCGAGGAATTAGACGGCATTGATAGCGGGTCTAGAGAGACTCTGCCCCGGTAACGACCGTAATCCAAATCAAGGCCTCCATATCGCATTACACTCCAACCCGTGAAGATGATTCGGCGTGGGAGGTGGCTTTTCGGCAGGCCGGCTGTGAATGTTAGCAAAGTAACCGGTTCCCTAACCAAGGGATGGTTGGAATCATATGCAAGACTTGAAGGAAGGTTGGATCAAGAAAAGATGGAAAGATGGAAGGAAGAAGCGAGAAGCGAGAAGCGACCACCGGCGTTTCTCACCGCCTTGGCTAGATTACGCTAGTGCCTAAAGTATCAGGCACCCATCATTATCAAGCCTTATCCCCAACTCCGCGTCCCCGACCGCGCAAATTTCCCTTCTACGCGTATACGCAGCATTTCGTTCCTTTTTTTTTTTTTTTCCCACTTCAAGGTCTTCTATTCGCCAGTCTGGAGCTTTCTGAAGCTCGTGGGGTCTTTATTGTCCCTTAGATAAGGGTCTTGTTATCTTGAAAAGTTAGAGCTGTTGTTGTCGCCAACCGAGGCAGGTCACCGAAATTCTGGCTTCTCTTTTTTTTTTCGCATTCAGCACTGAACACCTTCATCGTCGCTCCCTGTTGTGATAAAAAAAAAAAAGGATAATCCGTCCAGCGTCTTGCGAAATCTGTCCTCAATACACACCCATTCTGGGAACTCTCTCCGGACTTCGAAACGGTCTCCCATCATTGCGCCCGTTCCCTGATGATGCCTTGCACACATGTGACAAACGTGACATCCACCTAGTACCCGCGAAACCTTTCACAGTGCCACTTCCAGTATTCGTCGGCATCTATCGCGTTGCCCAGAAAACCTTTACTATTACCCGTTTTGCAATTTACGATACTATCAGCACAGCAGACGACCAGTGTTGGGGACTTAAGCGGGTCGCAGGGATACCCGCGCTGCGATGGCGGCGGATACAACCGTGCTTGCGAAACAGAGCCAGGCGAATGGCTCCGTTGACACCAAACCGAAGAAGTTCAATCCATATGAAACGAACCCGGATTTAGTGCCAAAAGATGACCCATTCCGTCTACGAAGCGTGCAATACGGACGGTATCGACCACAAAAGGACGATTTCCACCCTCGGTATAACGATTGGTCTCAATCAGATCCAGAAGCGATAAATTACTGGGAACAAACGGTGAAGTCCTTGTGGACTCCCGAAAACTCATTGAAACTACAGGGTACAAGAGAAGCATATGCTGCGGGCAGCGTAATCATAAGGGTTGACCAGGGAAATGCGATTGATGCTTTGGCTGACAAGTTCTCCTGCGTGAATGCAAATGAATTGAGCGCATCCAGGAAGGCGGAAGACACACTTAAAGAATTGGGGATTTCCGTTCCCAAAATTTACTTCTGCGGGACAATCTCTGGGAAGAATGTCACTGTGGAGACCAGGATCCCCGGTGTTTCTCTAGACGTCGCCTGGAGGTATCTCGCGGTGGACAAAATTGAGGCCCTGAAACAACAATGTCGTCGTGTTTTGCAACGTCTAAGTGGTGTGGGTGGCTCCCCTGGACATCCATCCTATGTGTGCAGTGGGCTCAATTCCCATCAACCGTCCAAAACCCAAGGCTCAGAGCGAGATTTACTCTTCAATGCCACTGGAAAATCTGACGATCTTTCTCTTGTTCACAACAACATGGTCTTAGCCAATATCATTGTGAACAATGACCGGGTTGTGGGAATTACTGGCTGGCGAGAAAGCGGATACTTTGGCTTTGAGAGAGCTAACAAGGTGCATCGACTGATCCGAGTGCCGCAAATGGTCTCATCCTTGTTCTTGGAAAGTGACGACCAGGATATTAAATCCTGGGCCGATCTATACGAAGGTCTCTGTAGTTCTCCTTCAGAGAATGGTTCAACAAACGAACACGGTATCTCAACACACCCAGTGAAAACCGAGCCGTCTTCCATGAATTTGGATAAAGTTCCCTTGAGTGAAGAAACCCGGGGGTTGCCTCAACTCGATGGCGCCGACTTTCCCGAGGAGCACCCGACCCCCAGAAAAGTTGCCAGCCTCAAAAATCAAGGCAATTCGAGAGCATCCTCCTCGGATCGATCCTCGCCGGCTCTATCCATAAAACCTGGAGCAGGCCCTGCTAAAAGACCAGCCTCTGCTGCAACGAAGAAAGGCATCGGAAAGAAATCTATTAAGAAACGCAAGCTCGAAGATCAAGATAACGAGAGCGTAAGCAGTCGCCGTTCGAATACCCCCTTGTCTTCCCGCCCGAGCAAGACGCCAGGGGTAAAAAAGCAGAGTTCCGCATCTATATCGAGTTCTCCAGCGCCGGAAAGCAAGAGGAAATTCACCAAGAAGACTGCCGCTGAAGAAGACGATGATTCCGACGATAATGATGAGATTTTCTGCATCTGCCGAAGGCCAGATAATCACACATGGATGATCGGATGCGACGGCGGTTGTGAGGATTGGTTTCACGGAAAATGCGTCAATATAGACCCGCGGGATTCTGAATTAATCGACAAGTATATTTGTAGGTGCCAGTGCCACAAACTGCGTTCCAGTGCTAACAATGTTATAGGCCCGAACTGCAAAGAGAATGGAAAAGGGTGGACAACCTGGAAGCCAATGTGTCGTCTCAAAGAATGTCGGAAGGCTGCCCGTTTTAACAGGAAGAATCCAAGCAAGTACTGTTCCGATGAACATGGCCTAGAATTCATGCGGCAAAAGGCTCAACATCTAAATCTGACGCCCAGGATGGGCTCCCAGAAGCCAATTTCAATCCAAAGGGCTATTGCCAACGGTATCGACCATTCAAGAGATGACGATAGCGAGTTTGAGGGATCCCATATTGAGGATGGGGTTGCCTCCGTCAATGGCGATAAGGCTGGAAGCATGGAAGACCTTGGAAGCAGGGGCGGCATTCTTACTGCTGGTGACCTTGCGGCCGTAGTAATGCGAGTTGTCTCAGCACAAGAATTTCGCAAGCTTGGTGCCAATATCGTGTCGCCTCCACCTGAAGACAAAGATACTGATGCAGAAACAAATTCCGGCAAAAAGCTTGGCTTGGATGTCCATATCGATGATCTTAATTATTCTCCAGACGAAACGCACAAAATTGCCAAGCTCCGCAAACGGCGAGACGAATTACACCATCGCAAAGATATGCTTACTGCGCGAAACGCATTCCTCGCACTTCTTCGCCAAAGATCCAAGAGTATACTTGAGGTATTGAAGAAAAAGGATCCAAAAGGAGGCTGGAAAGATATCTGTGGCTTCGACTCCAGATTAGCCTGGTCTGACGAGGAGTTTGACCAATGGAGGCTGTCGGACATTGGGAAGAAAGCACTTGAGGAAGGTACAGCTGAAGCCCTCGCGTTGAGCTACCCTACTTCCGTCGATGAAGACGGTGATACGGCTATGGATGGCGTCAATGCTGAGGATGAGCTCGCGGTTCTATCCCGAGGGGTTTGTACGAAGAAACGCTGCGAAAGACATAAGCAATGGCTTAAGGTCCAGCAGCAGGATTTACTATTCGAGGAAAATACCCTTGTGCAAGACCTCGCTGAATGCGAGAAAGAAGCTCAAAATGTTGTGGAACGAGTGGTGCTCAGGATGTGGGCTGAGAAAGACAACGCTCAAAATGGCAGCTAGCACACCGGTCTGGGTCGTTCCCTATTATTTCTCCTCAAACATCTTATTTTCCTTCATCCTTTTGCTTGCACCTGCTTTTCGGGCTGTTGGGATATACTTATTCGTCCTATTCGCCGATTTTTAAAACATGAAAGGACGTGTATCATGGAGTTCGGTCGGTTTGGTGGTTTGTGTTCCTCACGGGTTGCATAAGACAGGCGTATTTTGGTACCTGACAGGAAAGATAAAAGCTTGAGCATGCTTGGGATAGATATTGTAAGATAGTGTGCGACGCGGAATGAAACGTGACATACTTGTCCACCCTAACGGCATCGTGATGTCGCCCAAGGTAGTCGACTAGTCAGTTTTCACTTTTTCCTATCCCATGCGCACCATTTCCCTACATTATTCCCAAGCCGATCTTTGATCACCTCAACCACAGGAATCGATCTCGTATAGGATAATAAGAAATGCGTATCAATGCCCTGTTCCACCGTCCTCATCAGCAAACTGGGGAACAAAGACGCGTCGGCAACCCGGAAGATCGAATTGATTCCATCTTCCCGCGTAAAACGGAACTGCTGGTTCTCATCTTCCCTTCGAAATTGAGAATCCTGGGCCCCCGAAAAGCCCCCGGGCGCCATCGGTCCAACCCCGCTCGTATTCACAAGCATCACTGAAAGATTAGACCGATGCGTTCTCGACAACTGTGTTATAGTACGGATGATACTGGTTAAAACCGCTGCTCCTCTAACGGCATTTGAGGCGCGGATTACGCTCTCCGCTAATGTATCCAGACCAGTGATGATAAGAACCGTTGCGTGCCCTTTGCGCGCTGGCTCTGGCTCTGGGTGTGCGTGGTTCCACTGGTCTTCAGGATGCTCCCATAGACTATGCAATGTACCTGAGACTTCAGTGATAGCCTGCGCGGCTGCAGCCAAGTCAAAGACGGGGAATAGCTGAACGGAATCAAGGCAAGAGATTGCCTCGTTGCGGGATAGAGCAGGCTCGCGGGGCAGAGAGAGTAAGGATGCGAGGAGTTTCTTGGGAGAAAAGGCATCGAAATTCGCCGGGTGGATTATGAATGCTTTATTTCTAGGATGTGGAGCTGAAGAGACTTTGCATAGCCATTTTGTAAGGAGATATCGTGGAGTCTTAATGGAGGGCTGTTAGTATTGGGACGTAGACATAGGAGGCAGGGCATCCTACCTCGCCTATAAATTCATCGTCGTTTCCATCGGGGCTTCTCCCGCGTAAGCGTGAGAATCCAAGTACGGTTCCAGGCCGGAAGATGTCGTTCGGATAATGCTGCAGCCCGTTTTCAATGCTGGGCTTTAGATTCCACGCATCTAAGCTATTTGGCTCGGGTTTGTTATATCCTGAACCCGAGTCACCTTCCGCGTCTGAGGTACCAGGCGGTTGCTCTGGGAGTTGAAGAAGAGTATGAGCTAGAACTGGAATAGCGGGCTCAGTACAGTATGGATTGATGTCAGAAGACATCGTGATGTTGGATGGGTGTGAACTGGTCCAGAAGCTCAATGTCTCTGGAATTGTCGGCAATTAATTTTCATCTGACCCGGTGTGCAAATCTATTCAGTTAACTAGTTATCTTGGATAGATATTATTAATCGATAGTAATTTGAGCCATGATTCCATTTCTTAGAATTTCTGGCTGCTATGCTCCGACACGCGGGTGTCTGTAAGAGTAGAGTTGTAAGACGAGACGCGAGATGAATAGATGTCCCACCATGTTGCAGCCCGATTCCTAAGGCATCGATTTAGTTATACATCGAAATATTTCGACCTGGCTCATTGCAGTACATAGCACATTATACCTGTAGCCACCGCTAGTCTACTTGAAGCACGTTTATCAAAACACAAAGACCAGGGTAGGAACCATATGATACTATTTTAGTGTTGCCGGTATTTCGTAGGTATTATTAGATCGGTGAAACTATCAAAACGCCTATGCAGCATCCTCTACCCGAGCCAATGAGTTGTCTTCACAAGTAACTGTTTTTACAGGCTTTTTAATCCAAGTGCCATTGTCATCATGTGCCCATCCTCCCTGTTCTAGCATATCTCCAAGTATGGAAGATAATTCAGCCCGGAGGGCATCAAACTCATAGTCACATGCAATGAATTTCTCAAGACGGCCCATATTACCTGAGTCTCTAACATCGTGAGCAATGAGTGAGTATCCCGTAGCTAGCTCCATCCAGGGGTCGCTGGGATCCATAGAGCCGCGTTGTTCAATCTCTGTAATCCTATCATTTCGAGAAGGCCCAAGTCGAATAATGAGAGTCTGCAGGTTTTTCATTAGGCCTACAGCATCTTGAACCAACTTCACATGGTTGTAAAATGGGAACACCGCCACATAGGTGAAGGAGGTAATATTCTGCAGCGACATAGATAGGCGTGATACGTCAAGCTGGGAGTCGCTTGTCGCTACCGTGCCCCAGCTGGTGAAAAGCGATGGGACAAGGAAGAGGAAGTACTCATAATGATTATATGCCTTGAGTGAAGAGGACTCGTTGAAAAGCATGGAGGACCAGGGGCGAGCATCAAGCAAGCTCGGTGTCCCATCTGTTCGCAAAGCCGTTGTCGGGCCAGAGGTCCGCCGGTTGCGCTCAAGATGCAAGATTTGAGATGAAATCTCAAACGCCCAGCTGTGACCATCCATTATCTTCATGCCTAACATGGCTCCTATGAATAATGGTGGAGCTACAACTGTGATGCGTAACGGGTCGATAGAGCCCAGGACGCGTCGCCACCACAGAGGATCTTCACGGCTTTCAGGACTATCCTTTCCTATCACCACAATCGAGGTGACTTTGTGAGCCAGATCCGACTTGGATATGAATGACAGATATCCGTCCACATCTTTCACGTTGAAGCAGCTATGCGCGAAGAGCAAAGGGCGCACGAGATTCAGGAAGCGAGAGCAAGTTCGCGACAGGTATTTTAAATCACGGGTCTTCGAGCTAATAATATTGGTATTGGGTGGCTTGTGTAGCCCATTCAAGGAAGGGGGAGGGGTAGAAATAAGGGAAATAATTTGGTCGAGAAGCTCATTTGGGAGCAACTCAAACGGGGATGGCTGTGACGGCATTGTCTGAAGACCTGTAGGAATCAGCTTTCGGTGAGCATCACATCATGTAAATTTTCCACAGAAGGGCGATTATGAGCCTATCTCCCCAAGATCAACTGGAATTATGAGGTGACGTTATTTCGCAATAATCTCATGGTATTAAATCGTCAAAAGGGCAGTTGATGGAGTCGCACGAAAGCTGTGGGGTGGCCGGAGTACGGCAAGCCAAGTATCTCCGCCTGCGTTTTTGTGAGCTCCAAAGTCTATACAACCTTGGAAGCCAAAAACCATTAATTTCCACAGAGAAGAATTATTTATATCTCAGGGGTAATCTTCAAATCCTTGACCCTAAAGCTAAGGCTCTATTTCCCACAATTGGATGCTATTTTGGATACGTTGCAGTATGTACGTCTTTTTCTGCCGGTATGTTTGTCTTTTGGCCCTTGACCGCCCTTATTTGTCACATTCGGTCGATGCACGTGATCTACAGCATAATTTCTTGCCCAGCTACAATCAGACTACAATTATCCATCTCCAGGATCAAATATCTTTCCTAGGCTTGTCAACATGGGTTCCGTGGTTCTCCCCCATTTGCGTACAGCTTGGCACGTTGATCAGGCGATTCTTTCCGAAGAGGAGAGATTAGTGGTATGTATATCAAACCATCGCTTGAGAGCATGTATTGAGAGTTGCACATTCGAACAATAGGTGATTCGATTTGGACGCGACCACGATGTTGACTGTAAGTGTCCCGGGAATCCGTGTAGCCTAGCTCTGTGATAGTGTACTAATTATTCGTTGCAGGCATGCGCCAAGATGAGGTTCTTTTCAAGATTGCTGAACGAGTGAAGAGTGAGTCAACCCCCATGTTGCTCCAGTTTATTATCCCTATTTCCATTCAACGCCTATCTGTGAATGCGCACTGCAGATATCATCCTGGAACCAACAGGAAATACTGACTGCTTAAGACTTTGCCGTAATCTACCTCTGTGATATCGACGAGGTACCTGAATTCAACACCATGTATGAATTATTTGATCCGATGACGATCATGTTCTTCTTCCGGAACAAACACATCATGTGCGATTTCGGTACCGGAAACAACAACAAGTTGAACTGGGTACTCGAAGACAAACAAGAATTGATCGATATTATCGAAACGATCTACAAGGGCGCCAGAAAAGGACGAGGTCTCGTCGTTAGTCCTAAAGGTGAGCAGACAGCCTGCTTTCACTTCAATAACCCTGAGCTAATAAATGCTTGTAGATTACTCTACAAGATACCGCTACTGATTTCCTTCCGACTGTACGGAGTATGGCAAAGACTTCTGGCGATAAGCGCTTTGATATCAATTTAATGAATTTATGAATATTACCAAGACGTGCTAAAGATGACTTCTATTACGATGAATATTTCAATATCAGAAAGAAGCTCGAAATACTTGTCCGATCGGCTCAGCCAACCAAGTATAGATTTAGAAGGATAATAAACACAGTTCAGCATAAACCGACCCTCTTTAATCAGCGTCATCAAATACAACTTGGAAGTAGAACAATCTTAATCTTTAAAGAAGAAAGAGAAGTATTTATTATGGTAAAAAAATATTCTACCATTCCGCACATTCTCATTTTAATCTTGCACTTTTGTAAAATCCATCTGATAACTAAACCCGAGGCGTGCCCCATCAGCCAAATAAATAACTCAATGTACATATTGCGGCAAAATCCGCACCCCACAATTTCTTCAACTCTTCGACGCAACACCAAAATATCACCACCTCTTGACTCCATTAAATATCTCCCATAAGAAGCGTAACAAAGCACAAGCAAATCACGACACGTAAGATGATTGATCGCGAGATTTTCGAAAACCTCCAATCGAAGATTGACGAGGAGGCAGCTGTTCGAGATGTACGTTCCACAATTTCCTCTGCCCTGTCTGTCATCATACCAACCTAGGTAGAAGAGAAGATTAAAACTAACATGGTTCCTGTATCTAGGAGCTGCATGAAATCGTACAGAACCTTGCAAGAAAAGGTCCCCCCCCCCCCCAAAAAGTTCAGCTGAGATTGCTACGGGCAGGAGAGCTGATACGAGCAATCTACTACTACTACTACTAACTACTACCTAGGACGATCTACACAAGCGACCCTTTCCCGGGCTCATTCTACACCTGCGGACCAATGTATGCCACGCCACTTTCTTGAGCCTTCCTCTGTTCATAAAGGCTTTGCGTACCTAGGTGCTGATTACTACTTACCTACCTGATAGTGAAGCCGGTTCTTGCAGACGCCACCGAAGAAATCCTTGCTCAGCGAGAGGAAGTCTCCCGATTGAAGGCCGTAGCCGACAAGCATCCGTTTTACAAATATAACGGACTCTGGACGCGTGAATTACAGAATCTCGTCAGTATTTGTTTGGCGTTCTTATTCTCGTACTAATGTTTCATTGAAGGTCTCGTCTATTGAGCTGTGTGCATGGCTCGGCGGACTCCAGGAGTACAAATGCTCCAGCTCTGCCTCGTTCCTAACGATCGAGGAAGTTGGCAAGTTTCTTGATAGTATGCCCTCCCCCCCTCCCCCCATCCCTTTGCTTTTTTTTTTTTTTGTTTGTTTTTTTTTCTCGATGGACTTTGAACAATTGACACATACCCATCGAGCGATGTATAGTCCCTGTGAACTTGAAAGGAGAGGACGCCTTCCATCTTACGATTGAGGAGTATCTTCTTGCGCTTATCGCGATGGTTGAGGAACTGGTTAGTCTGGTTTTCTTTTTATCCTTCGGTCCCTTGGTTAGGAAGATGTTGCGTTCTAACTCTTTAGGCCCGTCTTGCTGTCAACTCGGTCACTTTGGGCGATTTCGACCGGCCCATGCAGATTGGGAATTTCATCAAAGATCTCTTTTCCGGGTTCCAATTGCTGAATCTGAAGAATGATATTCTGCGGAAACGGAGTGATGGGATCAAGTACAGTGTAAGTTTTTCTTTTTCTTTTTTCTTTTTTTTTTCTTTTCTCTATATCAAGATATTGAGTTACAGTACTGATCGATCGAGCAGGTCAAAAAGGTCGAGGACGTGGTTTACGATCTGTCGCTGCGGAATTTGATTCCGAAAGGAACAAGCGCTGCGCAGTAAACTTCTTCAATGAAGAATCATTTGCAGGAGACTTTTTTTTATGCAACAGTATGCAGTAAACAATGTTAGAAAAACATGAATCAACTGGACAATGACTACTAGTTCTCCAGTAGGCAGGCAACCCAAGTCGTGGCCGATTAGGTTCGGCAAATAAACCGATAGTTTGGAATTCACAAAGGAAAAAAAAAAAAAAAAGAAAAAAAAGAAAGTTGGTATCATGATAAAAAAAAACGAAACGTCCCCAGGGATTATTTACGCCAACTTCGCGGCTTCCCCCTCCTTAGCCTGAGCCGAGGCCAAAGTCCCCGCCTTTTGGGCGTTCTCGATCTCTTTCAAAATAGTAGCCTCCAGCGACTCGGGCTTAGTTGTACTTGCCCAGCGTCCGACAACCTTTCCCTCGGCAGAGATCAAGAACTTCTCAAAGTTCCACTTGATGCGCTTCAGACCGAGCAGACCAGGCTGCGACTCCTTCATCCAGGTCCACAGCGGGTTGGCCGTGTCACCGTTGACATCGGTTTTGCCGAGCATGGGGAAAGTCACACCGTAGTTTACCTGGCAGAAGGACTGGATCTCGTCGTTGGAGCCGGGATCCTGGCTGCCGAACTGGTTGCAGGGGAATCCGAGGATGAGGAAGTCTTCGGGGTGCTTGGCTTTAACGGATTGATAAAGGGTCTCGAGGCCCTTGAATTGAGGGGTGAAGCCGCATTTGGAGGCCGTGTTGACAACGAGGACGACCTTGCCCTTCAGATCAGTGAGAGGGAAGGCGTTGCCCTTTTCTATTCGTTTTGCGGTGGGTTAGTTTTACGATACCTGGGGGGAGGTCGAGAGAACGTACTGTCAGAAGGCTCAAAGTCGTAAAAAGTAGTCGCGGAAGACATGGTGTTGGTATGAGAAGATGTGAAAAGAGTCCGGGTGATGGGATGGAGAGGGTCTCTTGGGGGAGAGTGATGATGATGTAGTTGGAGGATTTGTATGCGGGGAATGCAAGGAGGATGGTTGGTTCGAAAATAAGGGGTGGTATGATGAGGGTTGGCACTAGCGAGGGCGGGACAAGACGACTTTTTTATCTTCGGGATAACTCCAGACCTTGGTACTAATCCTGAAATTATTGATAAGCAACGACGAGATGTTGCAAAATCGAAAGACATAGAATCGAGTCTAATGGATGGAAAGTGTGACGGATAGGTGGGATTTCACTGGGGAGCTTATGAGGGGCAAATAGGTAGTCGGATGCAACACGCATAACCGAGCCGATGTCATCATCATAATTGGAATAAAGGTTACTAGTACTATAAGTAATCAGTTATAAGCCACAACAAGTCCAGACCTTTGGATCGACAAAACGTGGTTTATGTGGAAGAAACGTGAAAAGTTGCAGACTGTGTTCCAGAAGCATGTATACAACAACCTTCATCTTACCTAGGTAGACTTGGGCAAAGAGACACACGCAAATTCCTAGTAGAAAATGGTATTACGGAGAATAAATTGATCATAAGGCTATATTGCAATAATCTAATGTAATTAGCATGCTGCGCCCCATACGACCCAATGCACCTGTGTGGCCTTGGTCTTGATATACCTCCCTGAGAATATACTCCAGGATGGCTTGGTTAGCGTCGGACGAATCGGTCGCGAAGGCGATTGGTTGATACACTCGTGAGTGGATGTTCGAGATATATTCCTGTCTTCCGGTGTGATGGGACTGAGACAGGATTGTATGGTGGTCTTACTACTGGAGAACAAAAATGTTGAACACAAATGGCACCAGTCCAGCCAACTTCATGGTTCATGTTTTATTTAAGCGGCGGCGTGTTTGAATTACTATAGTAACAATGATGCTTATCCATCGATATGAGGGATGCCTGGCCTTGGAATACAATGTCCAAAGATAGACGCTGCACAAAACGCTCGCAGGCGAAACATGTGGCCGGCCAGGCCAGGAGATCCTGGGCCTCGTAACGGTTTAACCTGGGCCTCTCTAGACTCTCAGCTTCAACCCGACAGAGCCAAGTCACAATATTGCAAGAGACTATTCGCGGTACTCGTTGCACTCGACGGTGCTTCGTCGCAAACTTTCCTGGAACATGGAAGGGAGCAGCCGTGGGGTGGTATATTCATTGCACACCACTTACCCACAAGACATTTCCGCTAGTGGTAGCAGAATCTCGATTCTCTTATGAGCCAGCCACCCAGGCGAAGTCGGTTCTTGATGACCTAACCAAGGCCCTTTTAATTTCCTCTTTCAGTAAACCCCGATCATTCCATGCTTTCCTCTCGCAAGACATCCACATCCAGTTCCTCCATAACTCCAAGAACAACACCCAAGCTCTCCATAAACCCGTTCACTGCAACTCTGAGCATCCGATTCGTGGTAGCCTTGTACGTTGTCTCGAGAACTGTCTTGCCCTCCTCATTGTCCAAGGCTTGGTCTGCTGGGGTTGGGCTTTTCAGGGCAAAATATCGGCGGACGAATGGAGATAGCTCGGTGTCAACTTCGAGAGCTCGGAGAGCTGACGAGGCAAGTCGGTTGGTAGGGAGAGGGAGCGAGATTGTGCTGTGTGCAGAATAAGAGGTGAGTGAGTTTGTGTTGTGCAAACGAGGGGTATTGGAGATTTACAGGGAGTATGGGAACTCAGTATCCGAAGGTTGTGTTGGGGCCATTCTCCAAGAGGTAATGTGTGTGCCGATAAAGTAGTGAAATGTAGAATTGACAAGAAGGTATTTAATTTTTCCTGCGAGATAAAACCGGCTTCGATGCTGAATATTTGAGTCGAGGCCCTCAAATTACAAAACATAAGGCGGGGGGTATTGACGATGAGTCAGCAAATCTAGGATTCTACAGTCTTATTAAGAATCAACTTCTCGAAAGGCCTTAAAAACATCGCCAACCTTCTCGAAGCTTTCATCAAGAGACTACAATGGATTACGACATATTTAAGCTTTGGATGAACAAAGATCAACAAAAATGACTTGCACTAAAAGGGTATTATTGAATCAAGTTTCCTCGTTCAAAAAATCCAAAGCCGCGGGCCAAGGGAACACCGAAACGAACATAAAGTACAACTTCGCGATGGGGTCTCTCAGAGTATTGGTCGTGAGAAGCATGAGCCGCTAATAGTTGAGCCGAACCATTTACGCCTGGGAGAGGACACCGTTGAGGACCTGGAGGCCAGCTGTATCACACGAGTCAATAAAGGTTGGATCATTGTGTTTCTTAAGAGAACTTACAGGTCTGGCCAAGGACGCTAAGAACGCTCTCCAAACCGGTGGCATCGACAGCACCGCTCTGGACGCGGCTGACGAGGGACTCAGCAAGGCTAGTCAGGCTGCTCACCTCAGTAACACCACCGAGAGCTGTGAAGTTCGTTAGAAACTCTGGTCTTGTTCAATATATGGGTTGTTTAGACGCTACATACTGCTGACAACGGAGGAGGCGGTTTCCTCAGCGATGGAAGTAACCTCCTGGACAACTCCGTTGGAGACAACGCCAGTGACGAGACCGCCAACGAGGTTCTCGAGCTTGTTGTGGATACCAGAGAGATCTGTTTTGCCTTAGCACACAATAGTTCCTCAAAAGTTCAGTTGCAAGTGGGGAAGAAACCTACCAGATTTGACGCTGGTAAGGGCAGCCTGAGAGACGGTGTTGGTCGTGGTGCCAACGAGACCCTCAACGGTTCCGAGAACACTATCCAGGCGGGTGATGGTGGACTGGATCTTGACGACCTGGAGGTTAGGGATGAGGGCAGCGGAGGCAGCGCCGGCGATGGCGAGGGTAGAGACGATTCCAGTGAACTTCATTTTGGCGGGTTGATGAGGTGTCAAATCAACGAAGGGATTAGATTAGGGTTTGGGTTGAATGAGTGACGGGAAGAGCTTGGAAAAAAGGAATGACTAGAGTGAGGACTCTGAATGCTTGGATGAGGAATGAATAGAACAGTATTTGTCTGGGACCGACGGCTGCATTTTATACAAACCACGATGCCTCTTTACATCCCCTTTTCCTCCTCTGCTCCTTCCAGACATGACATTTCTCTTGTTGATCAGGGGATTAGGGGCCGAAACAGGATGATATCCAGGAACGGGTAAGTTAGACGTTAGGCATTTCGCGGATGCAGAATAGCGATCGACATGCGAAGGTTGCTCTAATCCCATCGCTCCACCTTCCGTTTCTTTGGTGATATTACCTAGTCCCAGTAGATAAAAACGAGGCGGCAAATTATTAGAACGATCATAGCTTGAGAATAGGTGGTATTCTGGTTGACTTGTTGAGGCCGTGTTGGTCCGATATTTGGTACTAACTCGCAGGTTCCTTATCCTTGTGGAAGAACACCCAGGAGTCTATAGATGTAGCGTGTAGCTTGGTCCAAAAAAAGTCCTCAGAGGACAGGGGATAACAACGGGGCCAACTTTAACAGCCCTGGGCGAGCAAGCTCAAAGTCAACGTCAAATCCTCTGTGGGGAAACGGAGACAGGAAATTTGAGCCTGTCTTTTGGTTCAACCTAACATCGCCAGCCGAATCTTATATCAGGGGGAGGATCGTCGACAGTAAGTTACTGGACTCAGGCCTTTCATACAATCCCATCTTTCGGAGATTTGGGGCTTGCAAGTTCGGCAGTGGCTTGTCTTGGTATCTTACACCACCCACGATCAGTTCTCGTCCTGACATTCTCATTAGTATTCTCTCTGGGGATAGAGACTTAACTTAACATCCAGAAGAGTCTAACTGAACATGAAGCTGGGGAGACTTCGCAGTACACATACTCAGTCCTCTTATCCACCCCTGCCGATCTCCGCCAATCATTATGAAACCTTTTCCCTCCTCAACTGGAGACTTGAGGGCTTAAGAGTACGAGAAATGGATACGCCAGGTAAATAAATGGGGAATAATCGGCCGAGTACATATACGGCTCCATTATTTTCAATTCCTTTCTTTTTCGCCGGGGACGATCACCCTGACCGCAAAGGGCGATCAAGTGTCTCGTGGGTAAATAGGGCTAGTGTTCTCGTAGCTTCTTGCCTTGGTCCTGATGTTGAGGCAAAAAAGGACACTATTCCCAGATTGCGTCCCATGCTGATAGCATACTACTTGCGCGTGGAATACAGAATACTCCATAGAGGAACGACTTATTATTCACATAAAGACAGATTCGAAGAAGAATTCCTCATCTCGGCCTCCTCCCGGGTCTGGACCTCTGGCTAGTGCTGGTGGTGTGGAAACTTACCATATCTAAATCTCTGGTGCTGCCTGCCGTTCCTCTCAACTGGCCAAACTGGATTGCTATTCATCTTCGACGGTAACTAATTCTACTTCCCTCAAGAGAGTCCTTCCTGCTGTCCATTCTTTATTCATGAGTTCCCAGAAATATTCCCGGTTCCAGTTCAAACTACAGTTGATGCTTTGCGTCGGGATTACGATCTGTACATACAGACCCCATACCTGTCGTCTAGACAGAGAAGATTGGCTAGTTTTTTTTTTTTTTTTTTTTCAGACCTACAATAGCCAAAAAGAAATTGCTCCGTGCTGGGTTTGCGAAGAAATACACAGTATGTCTGGTGATAGGGCGCACGAACAGGTTGGAGGCGCGTTTGCTATAGATCCAGTCTTAGGCCAATGACTTCACGCCGCAGTGTTTTTCCATCTTCTGCTATTGGGCTATTCTTACCACCGGAATATTCTGTGATTCGGAAGCCTGTCCCTCGCATGAGCAACATGAGCGACCCTAACCCTAAGCTCGTCACTGTAATTCCCGGCTCAGAGCGTAACACATTACTTTCACAGGACCTACGAGTAGGAGGCCTAATTGTACTTAAGAATGGCATCTGATTAGGAGCTCGAGAAGTAGTAACACCGCAGTTTCTTCATGTTGTTAATAGTGTATAGCATCAACCAACTTCTGCCAACTATGTTCGGGATTGTATATATATATTTTTTCGAGTCCGACTATATATATACACTCCTCGGAACGTAGCCCGCACCACAAGCAATAGTGACTAAGATAGGGATAAATGACAAGAGATGAGCACCAAAGGATCTAGCTTGCCAGATTTGAGCTCTTATTTGGGCATTTCTGGAAGAAAAAAAAAAAAGAATTCCTTGGGCTTGAGTAATCAAAGTGTTTGTGGCTGGACCCCAGAGCATGTGGCGCAGTCATGGCTGGTGCTTGTTTTTTGTTTGTTTTGTTTGGTGTGGGGAAGGATCAGGTGACATTTGTTATGGGAAAGTGACGGGTTGCCTCAGGCACAGCCGCGTTGTCCCGTCAACGAAGGGAGCTAAACTGCTTAAGGAGCATAACAACATAACAGCAACCAGTTAGCGTGCTTGGTACCTGCCCCAAATCGTCTCTCATCGGCCTCCAGATCATCTCGTGCGGACATCTTTTTCTTGCTCCAGCTTCCTGCTTCATCTTCCCCTCCATTGACTTTTCCCTCACCTACTCCCCCCGTCGCATCTATTGTATATTCTACTGTCCTCAAAGCTCTCCTGCTTATATCCTTACCATCTCTGCAGCCTTGAGTTGCCATCTTGATCAAGGATCTGTCCCGTTGGAAGCCCAAATTCACCCAGACTATGATTGTTTAGGTTGGCTGTTTTCTCTCCCCCTCAGTTTTATATCCCTTATCGAAGGGATTATTTCTACTTCCTGTGAGATCGCGGTGGGAAATTTCTTTGCATAGAGACTCGTTCCTCTCTCACTGCCCTCGCATCGTGTTCCCTGTATCCTATTGTTTTCCGCCATTGTTTTGGGTCACAAAATTATCAACAACATCAACATGACTGGATATTCGGCTGGCTACGGCCAGGTGATTGAGTACATCCAAGGTTAGTGCTAATTGCCTGCTTTATTTTCCCGTGCGCGCTTGAGCTCCGGGTGAGCCACAGCTTGTTTTGATAGCGTTCTCGTGTGTGCGTGTGGATATGACCTCTAACCACTTGAAAATGTAGATCGCCTTTACCTTGCCTCCTACGACAATCCCCCAGATGCCAGAACTCCGTTCCCATACCCGAACGAGCAACCTAAGTCCCCAAGCAAACGCTCCACGCGAGCTCAGATGTCGTCTCCCAGCAAGAAGCGAAGCCCAGTGTATTTCACCGTCGATGACACTCTCCTCTATAACTCTTTCCATGCGGACTTTGGCCCGCTTCATATTGGTCATTTGTATCGATTTGCGGTTCATTTCCATGACCTACTTGGGGATCCTGCGAACAATGACCGTGCCGTGGTTTTCTACTCGAGGACTGATGCCCGAAGCCGAGCCAATGCTGCATGTCTGGTTGCTTGTTACATGGTCCTCATCCAGTCCTGGCCACCACATCTTGCGCTGGCCCCAATTGCGCAGGCGGATCCTCCATACATGCCTTTCCGTGACGCTGGATACAGCCAGGCGGATTTCATTCTGAACATTCAAGATGTGGTGTATGGCGTCTGGAAGGCCAAGGAGCAAGGCTTGTGCGGTCTGAGAGACTTTAGTCTCGAAGAGTATGTGAATGGCCTTTGAGAATTCTTCAGCCCAATACTTACTTATCCTTCAGGTATGAAAAGTATGAACGTGTCGACATGGGGGATTTCAACTGGATCACACCTCAGTTCCTCGCTTTTGCCTCCCCACAACACCAGCCCATCGCTCCAATTCCTGTTGACACCCCGGAATACGCTGCTCTGCCTTCAACCATATCAGAAGTTTGCTCCTCTCGACTACCTTTACCATTCAAGAACGTCCTGGCCCACTTCTCATCTCGCAAAGTCGGCTTAGTCGTGCGTCTAAACTCAGAATTATACTCTCCATCATACTTCACCGCCCTGGGAATCAATCATATTGATATGATCTTCGAGGATGGCACTTGCCCTCCGTTGCAGTTGGTCCGCAAGTTCATCAAAATGGCACACGAAATGATCAATGTGAAACACAAAGGAATTGCAGTTCACTGCAAGGCTGGGCTGGGACGCACGGGTTGCTTGATCGGTGCCTATTTGATCTACCGGTATGGATTCACCGCAAACGAAGTGATTGCCTTTATGAGATTTATGCGCCCTGGAATGGTGGTTGGTCCACAGCAGCACTGGTTGCACCTAAATCAAGGATCCTTCCGTGAGTGGTGGTTTGAGGATTCCATGAAGGAGAAACTTGCCCAATTACAACCGAACCCGATCACCCCCAGCCGATCGTCCGCCAAACACCGCGGAACTAATGCTGCTGTTGCTACCCCACCTAACAACGGCCACTCAAAGCGATCCGCTCTAGGCGAGATCGACCACAACGATGGCGCCGCGGTACAGAACGATGAAAACCTTCCGGCTCCGACACCAGGCCAACCTCGCAAGTCCCACAGGAAGGATTCTCGGCATCACCCTTACGCGCGTACAACATCTGGCAACTTGGTTGTTGATAAGGATGGAAATAAGGATGGGGAGCAAAAGGCCCACCACCGGCTCAGCACAGACAGCAGTGAGAGTGAGGAAGAAGCCCAACTCCGTATGCTAGCAAAGCGTTCATCCAAATCCCCAGTGGCATCGCCTGGGCAGAGATCCATTAGCTACTCAGCAACGGTCACTGCCAGCTATACCCTGAATGACGACATTCACGAAGACAGAGAGAACTGGGGGGATGTGGGCCACGCTGTACCCAAAACTCCAGTCAGCAGCAAGTCTGGCAGCGGTACTATCTCCGTGCATAAAGTTCGATCTAGCTCTCGGCGTGTTACCGATAGCAGGAGTGATTCCAGAGGCATTCGCAAGGCGAGTGCTCGAATCGGCAGCGCTGGCAGTCCTACGCGCGTGAAAGCATAAATCGCACAGGCTGTCTCATCTCCTTGTTTCCGAGCGATTTCGAACCTTTGGTAAATAAATTTCTCTCATTACTTTTTATGACTATTCACCTTCTACTTGGGCTGTTCTGTTCCTTTCGCCCGAATATAATCTTGCATCGTGGCTGCGATATTACCAAGTCGCACATTATTCTGTCTTTCCGAGCTCTGTCCCTTGGTGGCCCTTTTGAGGTGTTGTTATGGGTTACTCCTGGTTTCAATTGATGGGTTTTGGGTGTTTCATGGTGTCTGGGCGAACTGTTCATGTTTTAACGATCTAAGAATTGTCTTGAATGCATTAAATTTTGCGACAAGCGCCAGGCTTTGTTCCAGTCATTGCGCCTGTAATGCTTGAAGCGGCGATGGGTTGTTGATCGAGTTGGGGTATCTGTATGTTTGTTCACATTCCATCTACGTCGATATGACAAATTGGATCATGACCTCTCCGCGCTATGCGTTATCCTTCAATCGTATCCCAGTAGATGCGCTGGAAAATCACCTTTGGGTAATAACATCAGCTTACGTCTGGTAAGCCTAGAGCACCTATTCAACGAGGTGTTGGTAGTTGTAAGGGTTGTGATTCTGTATCCCGCTAGTTTGTTGCTAGGTGACTGTGCCGTCCATGATTATTTCGAAGGCCCCAAGGCCCATCGAAGACGCCACCTGATCCAGCCACCTTTCGATTGGTCCTGATCTACCAGTCGAGTGAGAACCAGAACCATCCGTGTCATTAGAGGCGCAAACCCGAGAGATAATGCGAAACGGTAAACCTCTAGGTATCCTTCCATGGCCACCGATGTTCTGTAAACCTAGCCTTGAATCTGAGCCAAATGTTGATTGGTACTGATGAGACGACAGGCTGGTTAGCAAGAGACCGAGGATCTTGGAGCCGATGTTCGTGCCCTGAAAAAGACTATCCGCGAATGATCTGGGGAAGTTTAAAGGCACCGGCCTAATAAGCTGTTCCTTGTGTTCGGGTGTTTGATATTCCTGTACTGCAACAGCTAGCTGTAGTTGAGCAGTGAGAAAGCAGATCAAGTCCCTACAGTCAAAAACACGGGCCTTGAGCGAGTTCACATCTCGTGCGTGCCATTGTGATGGTGACGATAGGAACTGGCTGGCCTCCTTCATAAGACGCGGGATCCTGACAATCTGTAAGAATATTTTATCTGAGAGATCGATGATGGCGGCAAGAGTAGAATTCACGCGTGGGTCAACCATGTCTTCCGCTCGGACCTGATCGATGAGGGCTTGCCATCCGGGCTTTTCAAAGATACAGGGAGTCATGAGGAGGAATGAATGGGCAACCACGAAGCTTCGAAAGGAGAGATAAAGACAACGGCCGAAGCCGGAGCGGTGGGCGTCCGGACCCCTTAGCGACATGAGCAGTGAGGCACCTGCCGCGTGTTGTACCCAGGAATTCGGACTAGTTTGTGAATATGTTTCAAACATACAGAGTAGCATGCAGGCGCTGAGAGTCTCGATGGCCTTTAGTGAACGTTCGTTTCTTGTCAACCGTTGGAACGAGGCGAGGGCCTTGCCGTACATTTCTCGGCTAGATCTTTGAAGTTGATTGTCATGATGTGCGCCGCCCATGAAGGCGGAGGTCATGCAGAAAACGGATTTATCGAACGCAGCGTTCTTGCCAAGGTTCTCGGCCACGAAGTCGATCCAGGGAACGTTCGCACGATATTTATTGAGGCCAAAGAAGCGAGGGAATGCAGCATATATGAAATCACTGAATACTATCGGTTGTTGTCGGGCCATCGATTTTGACATTAGCGAAGGCAGAACTTGCTCATCGATAGATGCAGTGCTGCTGCTCTGTGTGGGTGTTGTGTACCGTTGTTCAAGAGATGGGCGTTCGTCCACAAATTTGGCTGGTTTTGCATACCCAGGGCACTGCACTCCCTTTTTCATACAACGCAAACACGCTGGTCGCTGAGCATCACACTTTTATTGTCAATTAGACTCGGTATTGATTCTTATAAGTGGGAATACCGAACCGCATCGGCTACATACTTTAATCCGGCGTTGAAGGCACATACGGCAGCCGGTGCTTCGTGGGATACCAACCATGTTTAGACTTTGTTGCAATATTCCTGAATTATTGCTTTAGGCCTCTTTTTGCATGATTGCGCCGATTGACAAAATTGGCCAGCCTTTGACATATCAAGCCTTAGTTAAGCTTGCCAAAAGAAGATGCGGCAGCACGAGACCTTGTGTTCTGTGGAACAGGGGAAAATAAAATAAATAAAATAAAATAATTTAAAGGTGATGCCAGCGGGGAGTCGGCTTTATGTCATCCTCATCTTCGGAGCAAAATTGATGACTCGTTCTTCCTATTCCTCCGTTCACCAAGACCAGTTTGTGCTTCCTTCCAGTCTGGTCGAGGTTTATGGCTGCGATCCATGGATTTGCATTGATTCCTGCGGCGCTTCATATCAGCCAAGACTGACCGGATATTTGACAAACGAATGGGTCAGACTAACTATTTCCATGTGAATCTTCTAATGCTGGAAATGGAATACTACCTCAATTCGGGCAGAACCAACTTTTTTGGGGGATGGCTTGATTTATCAATAGAACCTCACTTTGTTGGATTGGGCAACCAATCGTAAAGGAACTGGACGTAATGGACCCGTTAGGACTCCAGCCGAGGTCCCGTAGCTCGTATAGTGAAAAATGCCGCTGGTTAGGAGTTCTGAAGGTTCCCACATTCAAGCTAGTTAGAAAGCGGATCCGAGAATGAACGGTGTTGAACGTTCTTCAGGTGCATTGTCGAATCCGACCAAAGAGACATAAACCTACCGGTTGAACTTCAAAGGTATGCTCCTGACCCATCCATCGTGGAAAGAACCTTGAGCGTTGTGGAAGAAAATGTAGTGAGGACTTTGGAAGTAAAGAAGAAAGTGATGGAATTTCTCCGATTGGTGACTACAAGGCTTTACCTTTTTCGGCTAGATCCGATATCGCAACGACGCTGAGACCAAACCGAGTCAAGTACTTTTACTTTCGAGTTACAAATTCCATCCTGGGCTGCGTGCTCTCTGTTGCAACGAAGAGTTTATCACCAACCCTTTGGGAGGTAATGAGGTTCTTTCCTTCTTGGGGTTTTTCGGCTCAAGGAGTGCGATTTGAATGCGAATGGTCGCTGTGTTCTGTCGCCGAAACCAGCTGGCTTGCGTTGCTCAGTCCGTCGAACGGGTTGCTGCAGCCTTGTGAACCCTGTCGCAAATCTAAGCTCAAATGTGACCATGGACGGCCTGTTTGTGGAATATGTTCCTCAAAAAATATTTCTCAGAAATGTTTTTACCACCCAGCTCCGATGACGAAGCGTGATGTCGTCAGCCAGGGTCCTCAGGACTACAGGTGCTAAAGTTCCTTCACCAACATAAGATATGGAACCTTCATGCGGGGCGAGATGGAAAATATGGCGACAACATTCACAATTCGTCATTGCTACCTGGATTATCTCTATACCCGCTTTCTCATCCAGAGGATCATTGTCAGGCGTATGAATTCTGGCCAGAAACCCTGTTCAGCACATCGAGGGAGCTTTTGTCCCTGGTTGTTGGAATCACTGCCGAAAGAGATCCAGTGCTAGACCTGAGTCGACACTACTCTTGGATTGTATGTATTGCATTTTGCTGTGTTTTGTAGGGTTAGGCAGAGGCGCTGATATGATGCAGGTTCTCTACTATGGTCTGCCGAGTGCCAGCATCCTTACCCTTGAGCTTCTGCGCCACGCCCAAGAGATTGGGCCGCATCCAGTAATACTCCCACGAACTGAGCTGATCCGCAATCTAAGCGTATTTGTGTCTTGTTTATCATGGGTATCAGATCAGGTCCAGGACATGGCAACTACCCCACATGCAAAACCGTTGAGAAGAAGCTCTCAGATATCTTGGATCAAATTCTGGACCCGCAACCCACCCAGCCTGAGATCTTCGATGGCGATGATTCTGGCCTGTACAGTCTGCTGGACTGGTATAACCCCGACAATCGGGATTTCAACCCTTGTTATTTCCCATCTAAAGATGGGTTCCCTTTTTGAGAGTGCTGTTTACGAAAATCTGCGATATTTGAATTTTAACCTCATTATTATCGTGACTGGTATCATTCGAAAGAAAATCATGCGAAAATCATGCGGAAATCATGCGGAAATCATGCATCGGGCACCGGACACCATGCTAGGAGCAAAACTCGGGGGGGAAAAAAAAGACATCACGGCTAAATCCCAAACATCTATCAATCATACTATCCATACCAAGTCGGTACTGGGGCGCGTTTCTTGAATGAAATATGCTCTGTGGCAGAGAGGGCAATTAAAATGGTCTTGGAGATACCATTTGTCTAGGCATTCTCGATGGAAGACGTGGAGGCATTTTAGCTCCCGAATTTCTTGGGATCGCAGGACGGACTCCAGACAGACGGCACTGCGAACCAAGGGGGGTTGTTTAGTCAAGCCATCAAAGGATAAAAAGAGGCGCAGAGAATTCGCTAAAGTAGTCCTGAAGTTACGTACCACGTAAAATGGGTATCGACATTTTCCGAAGGTAGAACGGGTCCATGGGCCTTGACCGACCATTCTTCTAGAGTGCGAGTGGGAGACACAGCGTCTAGTTTGCGCAGCTTGTCATTTGAGGCTTTCTTGCCTTTGAAGGGCGGCCGGCGATCGCGACGGTTTATGAATAAAGTCAAACTAGTAGTCGAGTTAGCCCGACGAGACGAATAATGATGGATCGCAGCGACTCACATCAAACACATTATGGTCAAGACAACAACTCCAAGTCCAACTCCCAAGACGATACTGATATGAAGGTTATCTATTTGACCTTGCGTGTTGTCGTTCTCCGACGACCCCATTTCTCGAAGTGCCGTGGGGAAAGACGAGACACCGTTCGTGCGAGTGGCCGCCAGGTATGTGGTTGCGCGGACTTCAACACGTACCTCTCTCTCTCTCTCTCTCTCTCTCTCTCTCTCTCTTGCCGTGACTCGTGGTTAATTCCCAAGCTGATTTTCAGTTGTTCTTATAATCCAACCCCCGTGGTCGCCCGGAGAGGCTCTTAAAACAGATTTTCGGCGTTCGTTGTCCACTGGTGGGGGTGTAATTCAACGGCGATCATACTTTGATCAGTCAGGCCATTCCCAAGCTAGTTATCAGGAGACAATCTAGACTAAGCGTGACGTAAAAGGCAATGAATGATATACAATGTACTCCCACGATCTATTGCATCTTGAGAAAAAAAAAATAATAATAATAATAATAATAATAAAAGTAGTGCCCGGGCAGTTGGGATTTAAGACACAAAATCAACCCTGAGCAGCAAGCAAGCGTGCAAGGTGAAGAGAGAGAGAGAGAGAGAGAGAGAGAGGAATAACAACAAAGAAAAGAGAATATAATGCAGATTTCCCCCCCCCCCCCCTCCCCCCAGAAAAGTTTATAGCCAGTAATCGACCGTCCTAGCTATCTGTCCATCCATCCATTCTTTCATGGTTGACATCGCTTTTTGGTGATGGTGGTGGTGGTGGTGCCAGATGCCGCCCGAGGCTTTGCGGGGATTATGGCAGATGCCAGCACTTAACAGCAAGCAGTTCATTTCCGAGAAAGTCATTGGAACTCGGCCTGGGCGACGAATGGTGTTTCCACATCGGTCCATGCACCGACAATGTGATGCTTTTTTTTTTTTTTTTTTTCTCTCCTACTTGGTGCGGGCGAGATGGGTTGCCGCCTCCCCAGGGAAATGGAAATTCTGCTTGATCTCGTGAACATGATGATATGATAGCAGCTCATGCCATGCCATGCCATGCCATGCCACGCGGGCACCAGATGATAGTTATTATAAAGGGAGATGGATTTATTCAGTGATCAAGGAAGGGATGGGAAGTTCCATCCTCCGTACTCTGTAAGCTAAGCTAATTTTCCTTCATGTATGTATTGTGACTGTGAGGGATCTTCTTCGCCCCGCACTTTTCCACAGAGAATCATGTGAATCATGTGAATCATCAAAGAATCTTCATCTTGAAACAACAACACTCTATTATTCTATATTATAGATGCGGGGACACTATCTTATCTGTGCTTGTCCAAATCTCTTCTCCTTCTTCATCCCGATGACTCTCTCCAACTTGCCTCGATCTAGATAAGTAGTTAGTTATTGCATGAATTCTCGATCCATCTCCCTATCTGGTACATAAGTAAAAATTAAGCCCTAAAACCGAGACTCAAAATGCCGCAACTCCAAACTTCAAATACGGAGTAGAAAAGGCAAGAAAAGGAAAGGGAAGGTATGAAGTGAAGTACACCGCCCTGTCTGAGATCTCCCCCCCCCCCAGCCAGATTCCAAATCCGCCTGATTCCTAGATGCATCGGAGATCAGCCAACCCAAGCCGGCAAGGCAAGATATACTGATATAGGTAGGATGGGTTTGATACGTTTTGTTTCTCATGTATAGCTTGGGTGTGGAGTGAATAAATGAAATCTCAAACCCAGCTATCAATTTTTTTCTTCTTCTTCTCCTACTCTATAGGTAGGATCTCCACTACTCCGTACTCCGTACTCCTAAGCTAAGGGAGGGAAGTGAAGGGGGCTGCACTTATATTTAGATTGAGGATACCCTACAAGTACAAAGTGCAGGGGTGACAAAAGGTTCAGGGGTTTACTCCGGGTAAGAGAGTGCGTGCAAAAGTACTACGTAACTAGATAACTACCTACTGACTATGTAGATAGATGGTCTAGTTAGTTAGTACTCCGTACTTAGGTACAGAGTATGGACAGAGATGGAGAGTGGGGAAAGGGTTAGGGTTCTCTTTAGCTTAGCCAGCTGCCACCCACTCTTAGCGTAACTAGTTAGCTACGTGCTTAGAAGGAAAGTTGAAGAGGTCTCTGACAAACTAGCCTGGCTAGCCGCTAGAATGGTTCTGTCGCAGTGTCGCTTCGTATTTCTTCGAATCCTTTTCTATTATTTGGGTGGTGGTGGGGATGCATACGCCACCCACTCTGCTCTTGCTCACCGGACCTACTCCGTAGATAGATAATAATACGGCTTGCTACGGAGTACAAGGGGGGGGGGGGGAAGAAACCCTTAATCATTAATAAACAACCCCTGTAGAATAGCTAGTTAGAAAATGGAGTCAATGGATTGGATATCATATCATTGTACTCCGTACGGAGTACCTAGAACGTGCTTGTCACGCCTGGCTTTTATACTTGTGCTCTGTCAGCACAATATCGTCACCCTTGGTAGTGACATCCTCGGGCGGGCTGCCCAGACCACGACGTACGAAGAGGAGATCGATCTCCTCCAGTGACTTCTGTTTTGTTTCCACGAAGAATAGGTAGATACACGGAAGAGTGACAAGGATATCTGAATTAAATTAATTAGGAAAATAGTTTTTTTTTTGGGGGGGGGGGCGGGGGGGAAGGGATCCACAGTTACGAGAGACTTACTCCACGCGGCAAAAATGAAGTAGAATTTCCATTGGATCTTGCCCAGCGCAATCGGCGAAACTTGAGCCCAGAGGGTGCTGACGGCCCAGTTACCGACACCAGTCGCGAAGGCGTTTCCACGACCGCGAATTTGCATAGGCATGACTTCAGCCATGTAGACCCTGCCGGGTTTTGTTAGCTTGGAGGATTCCCCCCAAATCGTCACGTAGTGCAAAGGAACAAACATACCAACTGCATGGCCCGAAAGAGAAGGAGAAAATAACCGTGACGCAGAAGATGAAGAAGACCCCTCCAATACTATATCCGTGTCGGGTCCCGTCCTCGTTCTGGGAGTTCAGGGCAGCTTCGCAAATCAGGGCGAGAGTAATACCGACGGCGCCAAACATCATAGGCTTACGACGGCCCACTCGGTCAAGGACAAACAAGATGAAGATCAGGTTAGCGAGAGGCCCAAGGCAGTTGTAGATACCAGCGACGAGAATGTTGCGGCTGCCCGTGATTCCGAGAGCGTTGTACATGATGGTCTGGTAGTAGCTAATCACGTTAATCCCAGTCATCTGGGTAAAGACTTGAACAGCCACACCGTGCCTATACGTTTGTTAATAACATGTAATAGCTTAATCCTGAAAGAAGAAAGAAAGAAAGAAAGAAAGAAAGACAGGGCACACAACATACAGTAAACGTGTCCGGTACTGGGGAACCTTGAACATAATGAGCCATCCCGGAGCGGCGACAGCCTTCTCGGCCTCTATAGTCGATGTGATTTCAGCGTATTCCTGTTGAATCCAATCTTCATTCGTCCCATCGTAGTGGAGCTTCCGCAGGATTTTCATCGCTTCGTCGTACTTCTCCTTCTCGACGAGATACCGGGGGGATTCTGGCAGGAAGAATAATCCAATGAACAGCAAAAGCGCAGGCACTGTCTGGAACGCCAGCGGGAATCGCCATTGAAATTCACTGCTTTCTGGTGCATGCAAGGAACCGAACCCAACCCATCTGAACCGCGGGTTAGACCCTATATTGCAGGGATGTAGCTCAGTAAGAGTCAGATGGAGGACTTACGTGCTAATAATGAAGCCAACGCCGATCATTTGCTGTGCGAGACCAATAATCATCCCACGAGTCCGGGGATGAGCACACTCGGCCTGATAGACGGGGACCGACATAGACATGAGACCAACAGCCCATCCGGCAAGAATACGCCCAACAAGAATCATGGCTAGGTTCTTAGCCGAAGCTTGAAGAATTGCACCGATCAAGCAAATAAAGGCGCCCATCTGAATTGTGAATTTACGGCCGTACCGGTCCATTGTGAGACCTCCCTGGAGAGCACCAATAGCAGCTAGGATTGTCAGGGATTGAATACCGAATTATTAAGAGAGTCGGAAAAGGAATCATACCTCCTCCAGAGAATGTACTGTTGATGGCCCCGACGATGGTGGACGTTTGCGTAGTATGAAAGTACGCCAGGAAGTTCTTTGATTCAATAACGTCGGTCATCACACCGCTATCATATCCAAACAGGAAGGACCCTGTCGCCGCGAACAGAGCGAGGCTGAAGGTATAGAAGCGACCCATCCTGAATAGTCGGGGGGAGCGAGTGATCGTTCGCCCTCAGACCGGGGGGGGGGGGGTTAGAGCAAACCCGGAACAGGGTTGAAGGGAAAGCGGAGGCAATAAAGAAAAGAAACAGAAAAAGAAAAGAGAGAGAGAGAGAGATCCAGGACCAGAAACTGGGGGGGATAAGATCATCTATATAGACTAAAATTTCAGCATCTGCGCTGCCCAAGCGCAATTTGCTTTAGAAAGCCATTTGTAGTGAAAACTCGTGTGAACTGGGGGTGTCAAAAGGGAAATCTGGGGTGGTCCGTTAGTTCGCTACTATGTACTGTTTCTTCCTCCTCAACCCACCAAACCGGGGAAGTGATTGGTGCACTGGAGAAATGAAGCCAACTACGCCATTTCCCTCTTCCTCTTCCTGTATTCCGATTGACCAGGATCCAAGACCATCCTGGGGTGTATTTATCACATCACATTTAGCCTCAGTGCCTGGCAACCAACGAAAAAATTTTCCGTTTAATTCAAATGCTTGCAGGTGCAGGCTAACCCAAGGAACGGCCTCCATGCCATGTTACGGGCAATTGTGACCTGCGATCCGGGGGTGGCGCCGGCGTTTTTCGAGTAGACGAACCTTACTATTCCTGATGGAATACGGCCAGGTTCTCCATTCCCCCCGGGATTCTACGCGTCGGATAGAGACAGCCAATGATTCTCGGGGATGCGAGCTCATGTGCTGCGGTAGGTTGTCTGGAGGTTTCAGTTGGTCAAACCCGAGACACGGTCAGCATCTGCATTCTGGTAGCAGTGCATATGGTTGCTAAGTAGTCGTAAAAGTGAGATAGAGGAGGGTCTTTTTCATACGCCACCATCGTTCGTAGTGTCCCGAAAATCTAGTTCTCTGGACAAAATAAAACCGAGGCCAACGGATGGCTACCTGTGGTTCAAGGTTGCTAAGCAAGCAGTAGTTAACTATAGTAACTATAAGGAGACACCCTCTATACTTAGATTCCTACAAGGCGTTATATTGAAGCTTGTGTTATAATAAAACGAATTCATGTAATAGATTAGGCCTATATTAACTAGGACCTTTATAAATATTATTTAAGTATGCTATAGTTCCCACCTACATCTGCTCTAACATCCAACATTTGCATACGTGCAATGCGTATAGTAATAGCCCGAGAGCAATAAGATCTCAGTATTCTAATATAAGGCTTAGAACCTGCTAGAAATCTAAATTCTAACAGCGTTTCTTTGGCGGGAGAAGGGAGGTTGCATACTTGCAACTGGTAGACAAGATATTAACTACCTATATCTTGCCTAGTTAACTGTCTTTCTCCAAACTGCTATACCATAAAATTGCACCAAGCCTGGTACCTAAGATAGGTCATGTCTGTTGGCTAAGGGACCCAAGCTCATCAACCTCGGCAGTTTATACCCTTGATCACGGGCAAATAAAAAAAAGCGTGGATGTGAGGTATGGTAGAATACCTATTGAATGATCTACTCTCTGGATCCCCCCTCTGGTCACAGGAGGACCACTCTCCATAAGCTCCACAGCTCCACAGAAACTGTCATCAAGCGTCCAAGACGACATAGATTCGGAATTAACCGTTATAGGAAGGCCTGGGGAAGAGGGGTTCTTCTAGCATCTTGTCTTGAGAGTGGTGCATGAGCGGCGAGATGGCGGAATGAAACTGCTTAAAATGTTTAGGATGCAGCCCGCCGTGGGTCGAGAAAGGTCACTGTAAGCTAGTATTTCTTGGCATAGTCCCAGCCTAGTTAGTTAGTTACTTGATTACGAACGTCAAGATTTCCACTTGGGAATACAACGGAAATATTCAGGGGCTTGGAGGTCATCTTCAGACTTCTAGTATCTTCATCGATGTAGGCCGATTGTTATTCCGGTCCGAAGTCGGATGGTGGATATTTAGTGGATTCTTTTTTTTTTTTTTTTCGAATTTAGCTTCACCAATTTCTCTTGACGTTTGGGATACCATTCGGCACCTAGTGGTGTCCTATTCCTATGGTTATCGTCTCTGTCTCATCTCAATGCCTATTTCTCTCTTTTAGCCGTATCCCTTGCTAGTTTACACATTGTCGTCCCTGGGTCGCTTGAGGACGATGGCACCAATACTACCCTCGTCTGCACCTTCGGGGCCAGACGCGCTGATCCAGCCCAGAAGACCGAGTCTAGACCCCCAGGGCGAAATTCTGTCCACTCGTGGTCAATATCTTCCCACATTAATTCGCCGACGATCTTTTTCGACTCAGAAGTCAGATGTGCTTCGTGACAATGAATTCCGCGATGAGACCGCTTCCTTTCGCGAACGAATTGAACGTCCTCCATTGGACCGGGCCAGGGAGTTGATTGGGGAGAGCACGGCCATCTACAACTGGTACAAGCTCCCCCCATGCGGCTATGTTTCAATGCATTTATTGATTGTGATGAAGCATACACATACCACGTACACACTAACATGGATTCAGGCATGAGTACTATCAACCCCCATACACTCTCAAGACACTATCGAGGCCATTGTAGGTAGCCGCCGTATTTTTGTTCAAGCCTAGAAACCTAAGAATTACAGGCGCCGATTCTATGAACAGAGCAACGATCTTATTTCACAGTATGTATATATCGACAAGCTCCTAAATTCATCATTACCGCACCGCTTGATTGTGGACTATTACCACCATCGTACAGGCTCCTTTGAAGAGCCTGAAGTGGCCAGCGGGAATGCCCATGAAGGGCATGACTATGGTACCAATGGTGGTTCCGCAACAACTGAGCCACCAAGGAAGATCAAACGAACTCCTCGACATCTGTATCGGATTCCGAGTGAAAGTTCTCTTCTCTTGCCGCCGACAGTGGATGACAGTGAGCCAGCGCTACCAGATATCATGCCGAAGGGTAATGATTTTGTGGACAGCGGAGACCGTATAGTTACCGTCGCCATTTACGTCAACTTTATTGCCAATGTGATTTTACTGGCGGCCAAAATCGTCGCAATGCTGATGACCAACTCTCTCTCAGTTCTGGCCAGCTTGGTAGACGGGGCTTTGGATTTTCTGAGTACTACAATTGTTTGGGTGACTGCTGTTCTTGTGAACAGACAAGATCGATACAAGTATCCTATTAGTCGGCGCCGCCTCGAACCCTTGAGCGTTCTTGTATTCTCCGTTGTGATGGTAACTTCGTTCGTGCAAGTGGCTATCACATCGATTAGCCAATTGATGTCCCCCGACCACTCTGTCGTGGAGCTATCCGTACCCTCGGCTGCGATAATGGCTAGCACTGTGGTTGTTAAATTCATATGCTGGTTCTGGTGCCGCTTGATCAATAACTCCAGCGTCCAAGCTCTGGCGCAAGATGCCATGACGGATGTGGTTTTCAACGCTTTCAGCATTGTTTTCCCACTCGGTAAGTCTTTCCCCCTCTCTGTTGAGAATAATTCTAAATTATAACGCGTCGTAGTTGGCGGCCTCACAAACATATGGTTTCTCGATCCTCTAGGCGGGTTGCTCCTTTCTGTCTATATTATTTGGAACTGGGGTAAGACCGCTGGTGAGCACATCCGCCATCTTACGGGAGCTGCTGCATCTCCCATTGACCACAGCGTCCTTTTATACATGACGATGCGGTTCTCCAAATCCATCCTTAAGGTCCAAGACCTAAAAGTCTACTACGCCGGGGATTTGCTCAACGTTGAAGTGGATATTATCCTCGAGGGTAAAACCAGTCTGCGGGACTGCCACGACCTGGGCGAAAGTCTGCAGTATATGCTTGAAAGCGTACCCACCGTTGAGCGGGCCTTTGTACATATGGATTATGACCCATGGAATATCCCCAGTCATATGAACCAGCAGGCATCATAGAATGTAATAATACTGCAAAGACTTGGATAAAAATCAAGACAGAGTATAGCCACGTCAATAAGTGTCGAACGAGAAGACCAGAACCATATCCTATTCCTAATCAGGTAATCACTGCTGAACACTGGATAGAGTGCTTTTAAAGCCATAATTTTGCTTCCTTCTTTATTTTTTTAGTATTATTTTTACTTGACTATTCAAAGCGTTAGATAGATAAGTCCAAGAAAATCTTATACATACTATATCTAATCTAATTAGAAATACTACTGTGTGGAACTTGGCTATTAAAAAGAGAGATAGTGTGTATCTACTAGCATTATTTCTTCACCCAGTCAACAGGCCTTCTCTTCTACCCTGCTTCCCACAACACACCACATACACGAATTCTTTGGATACAGTGAATTTATATAATATTGCCAGGTTCTACTGTATACCCTCTAATGGATAAATCAGAAATCCAGCACAGTCTGATGATCATGTAATTCAACTTACTGTCCAACAAAGCGCCGATTTCAGCGTTAACCTGCACCTGTTCTACATTCCTGGAGAGCTATATATACAGAACCTACCTATCCTTGTCCAAACGAAAAAAAAAAAAAAAAAAAAAAAAGCTTCCGAGACTATTCGCCTACCAACTGTCACTGAGATCGAGGCCTCGACAGAACTCATAAGCACACCAGACAAATACACCAAAGTTGTCGTCCGGGTGCACGAGAATTTCGCAGTGAAAATGGGTCCCAGTGTACCCCTCATCGAGGCGGAAAACATGAAGTTCCTCGTCGCCAACAGCAAGGCCATCTCCCTGGTGATACGCTTCAAAAACTATTACCGTCCCTGAACACGGTGGAAAAAGCCACGATAAGCAAGTTGATTAAAGACGCGATGACAGAGCTACGGAGCATCCGGCCACCAGATTACTTTGTCTGACTCTGTGGCGCGATCGACTGGTGCGGAATATGGTTGATCGGACTCTGAACGGCCACCGCACTGTTTTCACCCGCACGGGGGACCGACCTGCAACCGAAGAATATCATGGTTGAAAGACTTGGAAATGGCGAAGGGGGGCCCGGACTGGGAAAGTGCTGGATGGTATCCGGAGTTTTGGGATTTCTGTAATGCTACTATCGCCTGTCGATTTAAACCCGACTGGCTTGAGCTTTGTATTACTAGGTAGATAGAGACAGAAACAGCATCAAGGATAGAATATATCTAGGTAGCAAGTTGTAATAGCCAGCCTCCTGTCACGTGAATTCGCGTTCTACGCGTCCAGGCAAAAAAAAGCGACGCGGTGGCCAAATAGAAATTTAAATGCCTACGGATACCTCTAGGTAGGTATACTCCGTACGCGGAGTACGTCGAGAGGAAAGAGGGTGACGGAGTCCTATGTATGTTACATTTGGTGCATCATCTTCTTGTGTAGATGTGCGTAGTAAGTACTCCGGTGTGTACAAGCTCATACCACTGTGACTCTTCGCGAATGTAGACAGCAGAATCGTCATATTCAGCTGGGATAGATAATTGGATAGAAAAGTACACTCGATGAGGAGAAAGAAGAAGAGGAGAAAAAAGAAAAGTCCAAGTATTGAACTGGTACCGGGTGGAAATGGTCTCGGCAGTGGCCGTTCTCCATACAACTAAAAGTAATCACTGCACGCTTGCACCATCCGCGTCCACCTCGTCGCGACGCGATTAGATGAAGCGTCTTTTTTTTTTTTCTCCCACACGGTCTCGCTCTCATCTTCTCTCTTCTCGCTGGGGAAGAACATTCATTCCCAATCTCCAGCTTTCTTCCTCTCTTTCTTTTCCTTTCTCAATTTCTCCCACGGTATGGTATTGAGGTTTTACATATCATCTGTTCCTCTGTGGTTTTTTTTAATTCCCTTCTCCCCTATGCTTCGGTCTTGACTCCCAGCCCACCATGTCTGATCCCGAGCCCTCCACACTGGCATTTTCCTCGTCCCCGCCCTCGACTCAGACATCCGAGTCTGCTGCGGTTTCCCCCAATTATGCCTTTCTCGTACATTCGCAGAAAACTCTAACCCAGAACCTTCCACCGCGTGTTGACAACAAGCTGCTTGCCCGTCAGAAGCGTCGTCGGACGAGGTATGCGTGGAAATCGGACTTTCCTATTAATCCTCCGTTGGAAATAGCATTAGGACGCGTATGGCTGACCAAATCCACCTCGTTGTATTAGTCCCGAAGATCACGCGATTCTCGAGGCCGAGTATCAACGCAACCCGAAACCAGACAAGGCGGCCCGGACAAACATAGTCAATCGTGTTTCTTTGGGTGAAAAGGAAGTTCAGGTATGCTTTTCAAAGATGGCTGGATGATTCATTATAATTTCCATTTAACACGCGTTTTCTTCCAGATCTGGTTTCAGAATCGTCGCCAGAATGATCGTCGAAAATCCAAACCTCTCCAGCCCCATGAACTGATCGCTCCCCGCTCCGACGAGTTGAAACCTCTGCCAAGTGATGATAGTATGCCCGCCGAACCAGATTCCTCCAGCGGGCTGGAGCAGGACACCGACAATGGACATGATCAACAGCCAACTGTGCTATCTGGAGCAGACTCGTTTGAGCCAGAGGCGCTCGGCGACAAGGAAGAACACGATCCACTGGGGCCAAGCTCACAAACAAGTGTAGCAACTTCTGAAATCCCCAGTAGCCAACTGCCCGCAAGCCAACCGGTTGAAGATGTAGGGGAGGTCCGAAACCCGGAGAACGTGTCATATAACGAATCACTACAAAGCTCGGCAAAGAGGAAACGATCTGCATCTGACATTTACACAATAGCTGCCGGGACAGAATCAACTACCCCCGGCACCATGCTCCAGAATTTCAAATCTCCGCCGTCTTTGAGACTATCCTTGTCCTTTGATGGTGAAGCCATGGTGCGGAAGGAAGACGAATTGACCCCGTCGCCGCCTCATGGGCGAAATGCACTCCGAATTTCCATGTCTGCTGATGGAAAAGCAGTCATCCGTGCTAATGGCGAACCCTCCCCGTCGAAAAACCGGATCTCCATGTTTTCAGTCCGTAAGCCCAGATTTCCAGGACTGCGAAGGAGCAACAGTGCAGTGGTCCTTGGTACACCCCGAGGCTCGTTGGAGAGAGAGAGAAGCTTTGGAAGGTCTCGCGATCCCCGAAACTGGGAATCTGCTTTCGATACGGACGCAAGAAGTGCCATTTCCACCCCAACGAGCTCACAAAGCGTGCCAAATTCCGCCTCTGGCCTTTTTCGATCCGGCGGTCCGCGCTCGTTAACGAGGAGCTTGTCTGCAAAGCACAGTTCCCTTTTCACACCTACCTCTTCTGACCATCTGAACACACCGATTTCCGAAGCCATGCGAGAAAAGAGGCGGAAGCTTTCGCGTACGGTTTCTTCTCTGGGTCGATTGGAAACTAACCGCAAAGTGTTGGGTGAAAAACATGTCCAGACAACAAAATCCAAGACTCTGAAGGGCGACGAAGATGGTGATTCCGATAAAGAGAACTGGATTCCCGGAACGCGAGTCTCGCAAGTCCGTCGACGAGCCGCCTCCCATCATCACCCTCAGCGGCCGGCCCTGAAGGAATCCGGCTCTAGAGACGGCCGGGCAAACAAAACCTTGACCTCCGCCCGCTCTCGGTTGTCACAGGCAGCACAGCGCAAAACAAGCGGTGGTTCCACAAAATCCTTGCCCGGTTTAGGTGCAGATGTCTCAGCGTTCATTGCTGGCGGGGGAGGTGCAAGTCAAGAAGAAGACCTTGACTGTATTCAAGGCTTACTTTCCTTGAGTCAAGGTGCATGGAGATGACAAACATGATGACTCTAACCTGTGTCTCTCCCATCCATGAAATCTATTTTCCTAGGTTCATCTTGATTTGATTTTGTCTCTTTTTCTTTTTCTTTTTCCTTTTCCTTTTCCTTTTCCTTTTCCTTTTCCTTTTCTTCTTTCCTTTGTAATCACGTTTGAAGCTGCAAGCCAGCAAGCGGTGACGGTCTGTATGATTTGTGAGCGACGCTCTCTTTGTGATGATTGTGCTACTATTACTTGGCCATACGGGTCAGCTGTTGAACCCTTTTTTTTTTTGGAAGGCAATTTTGCCCAACAGCCATGTCATGGATAATGAAATCCTGTCTCGAAGCACCAAGGCCGGAATGTAGATATCTCGAGGATAACCCATACAGTATAGTATAGGGTAGGATGGTAATTAATGCGAATAGAGTGGGGTGAGAAAGACATTTAGATACCAAACAAGGCTTGATTAACTTTTCCTTCGCAGTTTCCAAGTTCCATCAGCTTAGATAAAGTGATCGTTCCATCTCTGTAGCAGATACTTAACTAACTTATTGCAAACATGGGGATTCATCCTACCTATGTAGGGCTCTTTCCTACCTTCAATTTTGACCTCCACTCTCTCAACTCTTCGCCTAGAAAAATAACAAACACACAGAGTGCCAGAAGTGGAGGGGAAAACAGCCTAAAGTGGCGGTTGGAGACTTTTCAGATGCTGGTATGCCATCTATAAGATATACATGTTGAGAATATTCGTAGTACGATTAATTTTCAATATCGCGCAATCTGCAAACCTACGACTAACTAAAAGGATATTGGAGTCAGTCATTCGAGCAAGCCCTAACTAACTAACCGTCCACTTGGTGGTCCCGGAGCTGAGCTGAGCAGCCCCGAACTTACCAATACCACAGTCATCACGATGGAGGAACTCGCTAGGGCTTTGGTGGTCCTCAACGTAGCCGACCCCGCCCACGGCCTTTTCTATATTTACGAGCACTGTCATGATTGTTCTGGATGCACTTGTTGTAGCTGCGGAGCAAGGGACGGACTCACCGTAGCCAGCTAGCCTGAGAATATCTGGAGAGAATGTCCGGACGATATCCATGGGCGTCGAGGCGGTCTCATCCTGGTTTCGACGAAAGTAATCCCGCTGGCTGGGAAGCATATGTATGTATGTAGGTTAGAAACGATGTACGGATTAGCATGGGAAGAGAAGCTATACTTGCCCGAAAACGGCAAAGAGGGTTCGGAGAGCGTTGGGGTCGGTCGTTTCGCATTGGTTTCCGCCAGCGCCGTGGTAAGTAGCTTTGGGAGTAGTTCCGGAAGTAAGTATTCAGAGCAAACAAACAACAAATAAATAAACCGAGAGGAAGATCTTCTTCTTCTTCTTCTCTCGTCTAGCAGAGCTTAGGACTCACAGCCAAGTGTAAACAGCGCTGATCCAGCTTCCATCTCCGCATACGTGCACTCCTCAACGTTGGGCATTCGATCTGACCCCCACAGATGACTTCCGGGAATAACGGCAGTAGCCTACAGAAACCATGAGATCGTGTTCCGTTAAGCAGTCTGCTGCAATCGGTGACAGCTTACCCCATTCTTGTACGTGGACTTGGATCCCGCAATCAAACAGCCGAGCATGGGTGTGAAGAGGGGGTTAGCGGGGTCAGGTCGAGTGTGATAGGCGAGTTGGTCCTAGGAGTCGCATTTCTCTTTTTAGCACAACCTGTTTTTGTTTGTTTCTTGGGTTGAGTCAGAGTTGGGGGAAGGACAGGCCAAGTACCCTGTGTAATGGCTGTGGTTTGGCCCCGGGAACTAGTCGCAGGGCTGCGCTGGTTGCGAGCATGTATCCGCTCTTCTGGGAGACGAGTGTTTCTCCTGTATACGAGGCAAATTCGTCGCTGGGGAGAGGAGGGGGGAATTTAGTGATCAGTGAAGTTCCAATGTGATTAGGATGAATATCTAGGGCGACGTACTTTAGGAAATGCGCCATGACGCCTTGCCAAACTGGTAGACGTATGATCTTGACTATCTGATCTGGGATCTTGGCCAGCAGAGCCTGGGAAGTAAAGTCAGAATCGCGGGATGGCTATTGATGAAGCACCGGTGATTCATACATAGACGCGCTGGGATCCATACGGGAAAAAGTCCGGACCAAGCTCGCCGTGGGTTGCTTTGGAGTTGTATATCTTGCGATCCAGGAAGAAGGGCTCAACTATGCGATGGCTCAGCTGTCAAGAGTCCCATGCTTTTCCATGTTCAACGCCTTACTAGCAGTCATCAACTCCGTCAAGAGTTCTGGGCTGAGGAAATTGGAAACGATGACACCTCCATCTCTCGCGATGATATCGTTGATCTTGTCCAGAGGCTCGGATGCATCGACGGTAACTAGAGGTGGCGCCATGACGGTGTTTTATGTTGTCAAGAAGACAATTCAGGAGAGACAGATAAAATATCTGCGGGCAATGCATATATATATGTATATATATATATATATATATACCAGGTCTAGTATAGCAGTACGGATTGCTCTTGCCAGCATCATTGGAATTGGCTGGAAAATCATCCAATGGACACCCTTTCCCGAAGCGAGAACGTTGATCTTGCCTCTGGGCCGACAGAATACTATCAGAACAGAGGCTGTGCCACTATTTATAAAGAACAAGATTATGGAGAAGCATTTTTTTGGCAGTTTTTGTTTCGATCTCCTGTTCCTAGTCAATTTCTGTAGGGTTCTTGCGGGGAGACATACAAGAGGCATGTCCCAACCCTTATTTTGACTTGGATTGGACTTCCAGCATCTGTCAATTATCCAGCCTCTCCTTATATTCGTCTTTATAGAGTATTATATCCCGAAGAAATCTTTATATGTGTTTTGTCTCCCAGAACAAGAGAATTGCTCAGTGATCAACTGCACGTGCAGATCATAGTGGGGGATCCAGACTCTAAAAAAAAGGTTCACTTCACTGCCTTCTTATCTTTCTCCTCCTTTCCAATACTCACCAGCAGGCCCCTATATCTTGTCTAGTATTTCTAGAAAGGCGCATTTTCCTTTTCTTATTTGTAAGTTGTTTCCTATATATATGTTTTTCTTTCAGTTCCCCACAGGATGAGGTACATAATGAAATCCTTGATGTCCGTGGTGGAGCTTCTTGACCCAGACAAAAGCAACAGCAAATCCAAAAAACGGCCACTCAGTGTCTCTCTTCTTTCTCCTTTTGAAGGAAATGCTACCCTGCCATGGTCTGCTTCGGATACATTGGTTGGAGCTGACCAGCAGCTCCAGCAGCTCCTGCTGGTGCCTGCAGTCTATAATCTCGGCACGAGCTAATCAAAGTGGTGCATTACAGAGCCGCGATCCCCCACTGTGCCATTCCAGAGATTTCTGCCTATTTATCACACATTAAGCTTCGCGGGCCAAGAGAGGATACAGTCACAGCCATGACCAGGCGCCCGCATGTCGCTATTATTGGCGCCGGCTTTGCGGGGTTGAGATGTGCAGATATTCTGCTGCAGAATGGTGCCCAGGTGACCATCTTTGAGGCGCGCAATAGGGTTGGAGGAAGGGTATGTAGAGCCTGGTTGGGTCCCTTAAAAAGTTCATTCGTTTACTTATCACCATGGATAGGTCTTTCAAACTACTGTTGGGGGTCACGCGGTAGACTTGTAAGATCCCCTTTCTCTTTTTACGCTCTATTATCTTGCTTCTAAGTGTTGGTATTGATTGTTCGAAGAGGTCCAAATTTTATTCACGGCAGTGGAGCAAACCCAATCGTCTCTCTTGCGCAGTTGACCAGTACGGAACTCCTAGATGTTGATGGGGCCCCAGCCTTATATTCTGGGGATGGAAGTTTAGTGGACGAGAAAACTGCAGGCAAGGTTGCCGAGTTCGTGTGGTCGACTATTGGAGAGGCTTTCAAGTATAGTAACAGCCACAAGGACACCATCCCGCCCGAAAAAAGCCTGCTTGACTTCTTCCATGAGCAGCTTGAGAAGACAGACTTCAGCCCGGAGGAGAAGAGGCTATGTCTCGAATCCTGTAAGATGTGGGGGGCATATGTCGGTGATCCTATTGACAGACAGAGTCTGAAGTTTTTCCATCTAGAAGAATGCATTGATGGCGGCATGTCTCTTGGGTTTCCTATATCAATTTCACAGGCTAATTCCCATTGCAGCCAATTACTTTGTTGCGTCTACATACAAACACATCCTAAAACATGTCTCGAACAGAGCCCTGCAAGACGCAGAAATCCGCTACAACCAGCCCATTGTCAAGATCGAGTCCCGTCCAATCATCCAGGGCACCAGTACTCGTCAGGAGATAACTCTAACCACCGAAGCGGGCGAAACCTCCCAGTTCGACGAGGTAGTCGTCACATGTCCCCTAGGCTGGCTAAAACGCAACAAATCCGCCTTCATCCCAGAGCTCCCTCCCCGCCTCACCAGTGCCATCGACAGCATCTCCTACGGCCGACTAGAGAAAGTATACGTAACATTCGCTCGTGCCTTCTGGAAATCCGAACCCGTGAACATGGTCTCCCTCCCCGTCAATGGAAGCGAAAGCCACACCAACGACCCCTCCACAGATCTAACACAAAACCAAAGCTCTCCATTCGCCCAATTCCTCCACCCAGCCTACACCGAAGTCCCCGCCGGCATCCCCTGGAACCAGGAATGCCTCTCCATGGCCTCGTTCCCAGAAGACTGCGCTCACCCAACACTGCTCTTCTACACCTACGGCCCCTGCGCCACCCATATCGTCTCCACTGTATCTGCCATGGACCCCGCCTCCAGCGAGTACTATACTTTCCTCGACAACTTCACAAAACCCTTCTACTCCCGCCTCCACGGCTACTCCTCTTCCTCCCCCGACTGCACTCCCAAGGCGTTCCTAGCCACCCAATGGCAAAACGACCCCTACGCCGGCAACGGCTCCTACTGTAACTTCCAGGTTGGTCTGCAGCAGGGCGACGAGGATATCGAGGTGCTCCGTGCCGGGGTGGGCCTTGACCATGGGATCTGGTTTGCCGGCGAACACACCTCACCGTTTGTGGCGTTGGGGACTACCACAGGTGCGTTTTGGAGTGGGGAGCGCGCAGGGGGTCAGATCTGTGCTCGTTATGGTCTTGGGAAGGCAGGGGTGGGGTTGGAGAGAGATGATTCTTTGCCATCGGCGGCCATGGGGGAGTAGAAGCTCTCCATCTCTCTCTATACTCTATTTCCTCATTTGGTTCATCGGGGCGATGCATGCTTTTACGATAGAGGCATGAACAAACATAAAGCAGGTACTCGTATATATTTTCAGCATGTAAAGCTTGTGGATACTGGATTTGATGTACCCTTTCTTTGTTTTGGCCATACTATTCGTCAGCTCTTGCGATTTGTCCATATATATATATATATATATATGTATGAGAATCATACATGGTGTAGATGTGATATCATATCATTGTACAGAGCAGCGCCTCCACAGTATGTACAAATTTGCAAGTAATAAGTTAGAATAAAAAAAAAAAAAATAAACGAGGATCCTTTCCATAGCAGAAAAAAAAAAGGAGCAATGCAGACAAGCCAACCAACCCATAATCCCAATAACGATGGCCCGAGAAGGCTGTGGGGAATCACAAAGATAATGCTGTGTTAGTCTCCTCCGAAGATAGTAAGAAACAAAGGAAGAGGGAGCGTAAAATGGGACAATAAAAAAAAAAAAAAAACTCCAGCAGAGACAAAGAAAAGAAGAAAGAGTCAAAAGAAATGAGACCCTAGCGCTGACTAAGGGCCGACCCAAGAGGTGAAGTTAACTAGAAAATAAACTGGAAGAATCAACGAGCCTGCGCGATCTTCAAATTGGGCGCATGTGAACGAGTAGGAAAGAAAAAGAAAAAAGGACAAGCAAACAATACTATGCATGAACATGTGCCACCAAGACAAGGAGAAAAGAAATGTTTGTGACCCCAGCCCATGCGAGATAGAAAGAAAAGTATGATACAGCAAACAAATTCATGAATTGCTCGGATTCAATCCTCCCAGATTGTTTCAAGGTCTAGGTCCTGGCGACGTTCTGCTCCGCAAACACTCCATCGCTTGCGCTTATCGTTCCGGACCAAATAGTTTCCCGAGCCGGCGCGCATATTTGGGATGGAGCTAGAGGGACCTGATACGTCTGATGCCCCGCGCCGCCGGTTGCTGTTGTTTGCGTCGTCTGCTTCATCAGCCCTATCTGCAGCGGCTTTTAGGGCGGCAATCCGGTCTGCTTCAATTGCTGCAGCTTCGGCGTCTGGGATATCAGGGATAGTCTCCAGCGACGAAATACTAGGGCTACGGGATCGGAGGCTCGTAGGGGTCGAGGGTACGGACGAAGCGGAGGACGTTGAGTACCCCGGGAAGGATTCGTTGAAGCGGGAGCTGAGCACCACGGGAGAGGAATGCGCAGAGGGAGAAGGGCTGCTAACTATCTGGCTAGACGGGGTCTGTGGGTAGAAGTGTAAAGGAGACGAGGGTCGTCGACGGCTCACACGGGGTATGGCATGTGGGAAAACAGGCGAAGGCGAAGGATGAGAGTCAGGTCGCGAGACGGACGACATCATAGAAGTATCTAGCTCTGCGTGCTCTGAAATGGTCTCTGAGATGTTTTTTCTTGATAGCATCCTAGGCTCGAACGAATCCGAGGTAGGCAACTGTAGTGGCAGGTAGCGCTTCGCAGGGCCGTCGACCATATTTGTAGGGATGCCGCGACCGTGGACGAAGATATATCTCCCCCGCGAGTCCAGCCCCGGCGAGGAGTGAGCGCGCGTCATGACAGGAAAGCTGGGGCTATCTGCGAGCGATCGCGATCGGAAATGGGATCGGGCGAAGGGCAACCGACTCGGGGAGGGAGTAGGTGGATCGGGTGTGAGCGACAAAGTGATCATGACGTTCTCCGGGTGTTCTGGTTCTCTCCATTCCTCCGTTGCGGGGGATCCCGAGGAGGAGCTCGAGGCGACCGACTCAACGGATCCTACGGGGCTTGGAGGGAGCATGACCCTTTCTGGGGATATACGAGAGGCTTCCATTGTCCGTCCGCTTCTCTGTCTCTGTCTCTGTCTCTCTGTCTCTGTCTCTGTCTCGCTGTCTCTCTGCAAAACAGAAGCTCTGATTAAACGGGCCGCATCGCTGATGTGTAGAGGGGGGAAAAGGTGTTCCAGAAACAGACACGAGGCGAACCAAAGAAGGGGGGGAATCTAATGTCCCGAACCAGATGTAACCGCAAGATATGATAAAAGGAAGAAGAAAAAAATTTGCCTCCAGGGATATAATTTCCTGTGCGAAGAGCCCACCAAGTAGTCGGGCAGCACTGTGGAGACGTCAACGAGCGCTGAAACGGGGTAAGGTTGAATTTTGGGTTAGAGGAAGGGATAGCTCAAAAAGAAGCAAAGAATATACTCCGTACAGGGACGTACTATTATTGGATCTCAGTCCCAGAGAGATGGGGGGGGGAAGATGGGGTTAGTCTGAAGATTAATGGAAGAAGAAGAAGTGGTGAAGTCAAGGACACACACAGAGAACGGTAAAGAAGCCGAGCCGTGGAAAGTGAAAGTTGAAGCATCTCATCTCACCGCCACCCCCCGAAACAACCGTTGCTCCTGAGATCGTCTTGTCGACTTTTGCTCTCCTAGCCGATCAGCAATTAGGAGAAAGTCGTTAACAGCGAACCACCCGGTCCACCCCTACAGAGATGAAAAAAAAAAAAGGAGTGGGAGAAAATACATGTCCAAGGCAGCCAGCCGGGCTTGCCGGCAGGATGACTTGCAGGAAACAGACCAGGGCAAAAACGATGCTTCGACTCTCAGCAACTCACACGGTATTTCGCTTTCGAGTTGTCTTAGAGGAGTCTGGCCCAATCCAGCCATTTTGAACTCTTCTGGGCTCATGTACAAATATCCATATCCCCGAGAGTTACCAGTATTTGCTGGTGGAACGTGCGAGCATACGGGCCCATGATTCCGTACCGCGCGGGTCTTACTTTCACATGCTGGCTCTACTCCTCTTTTGGGAGATTGAAGAGAAAAGAAATGACAAGATGGGGTACCCAAGGACCAATTAAAACCTGTGCTAAATCGGGTATTATTCTACTACCTATGGATAGGAGGAGTATAGCGCGCGGAGACCTCAGAAATACCAACAAAGACGTTATACAAGGAAAGCTAGGGGAGCAACGGAGAGAAAGGAAAGGAAAGGACAATAGTAACAACCAAGGATGACGCTGTCATCTTGCTAGGGTTTGGTGTCCTTGCACATCTTGGAGAAACTCTTTCGTACATAGATCTCTCGAACAACGTCTCCTTCGTGCCCTTGCACCACCCATTCACCGATTCCATACTCCTCTGGGGCTCGTCGGACTCCACGTCCGCCGCCTCCAATAATCAGATTTCCCGGACGATAGTTAGAATCCTTCATCATGCGACGGATCGCAGATACGTGGATGTGAGCGTCGTTGGGAATATCGCGCACCTCTCCGCCGGGTAATGGCCAACGAATCGGTTTCCATGATCCGTCTGCCTGGAGGTCCATCCGGCGGAATGGAAGATACTCCATAAACCTCCATGAAATGACAGAGGAAGCTGATAGGCCGTTGCCAAAGGATAAACAATCGTGCAGTAGACCCTCTGTGCTAGAGGTGTACAGGGCAGCTCGGAATTTCTGGCTTGATTTGGACAGGGGCTTTGTATCTCCATTGGCCTTGTACATACCCTCCTCCTCCTTTGCGTCGCCGTCATGCTCATGCGCAGGATCTTGGCACCAGCTTTTTTGCCATTTGATATGATCTCGAATAGGAGTGTATTCGCCGTCATACTCCTCACAACACTCGAATTGTTTGAGCTTTGGCGTGTCAAATTCCAGGCCCGCACGCTGGGCTTCCTGGACCATCCAGACCAATGGCGCATGGCTAAGTGGCCAAGTCTCGCCTTTTTCGAGTTTCCAACCTCCACCAATGTCGGCGTGGCCACCTGGGAACCACACTTCTTGAATGTCCTGCGCATCGTTCTCCTCCTCGTCGTCATCATTACCAGCTTGCGATGCTGATGGTACCTGCAGGGAGATCCCCGAGTGGCCGCTTCGAATCGAGTTCAAGTCCTCCATGGAGCCCGTAATCATGGGGACTGCCAGGCTGAGCTTTCTAGCTGCGGATGATGGGGACACCGCACGGTACATGTGTCCGGAATGTAGGCTCTCACGAGAGGCATGATGACTACTACGGTAAACTGAGGCTGTCTCCTCTACATCTGGATTCTCTGGTCCATGGTCCTTAGGGTCATTGACGTCGGCTTCTTGGTTACCGTTCACGACGATCTCAGGCACGTGTGTCGGCTCCTGGTCTCGCGGATGGCGGAGTTGGTTGATGTACTGCTGCCCCCAACCATGACGCGATTGCTTCTTCCCAGACCAAGGCCTTGCCTCAGAGATTAGGTCCTGTCGGAACTTCGCGCGCCGCTCATCAATGCCCACGGCATGTCGGATGACTTTGGCTGAGCTCCGCGCAGTGTACGGGAATTTGCTACGCTGCATCCATGCTGACTCAAACCTTGGAACACTGTTGACAGTATCAAACAACCCCATGAATTTAATCCTCGAAATTGGGCGACTAAAGGTTTCGCGAAACGCTTTCATATAGCGGAAGAGTTCCTTTTTCTCCTCCTTGGCCTCTTCGCCGTCTCCTCGGCGCTGCTGCCACTTAGCGAAAGTTTTCCAAGCGAATCGCGTCAGTTCCTCATTTCCCGCTTCAAGCAGGCCGATATAATCAAGCATCTCCGCGAGGAAGCGCGCGATGTAAGCGCCACGACTGAACCCAATGAAGTAGATTTCGTCGCCGGGTTGGTAATATCTCATTAAAAACTTGTACCCGCCCATGACGTGCTCGTCGAACGAGGTGCCAATTGCGGAATCTTTTGCCTTCAAATATGCGGATTTGATGCGTTGAAAGCGGCTAGTATTGGATAGCGACGTGGTCGTCACGTATGTTCCAATTCCTGGCTGATAGTAGTGGAACTGATGACTCTTAGAGCGATCAAGCATCTTTTGTCCCACGTCTTTCGAGTCAGCGGCTGAGGTGCGCATAAAAATGAGGGTTTCTCACGCGAAAGATTTTGAGAACATTGCTGTCCGACTCATCGCCAGCGAATTTATTCCCTGTGCCGTCAAAGCAGAGCACAAACTGCTTTGTCACCTGCGCTGGGCCAAACGGTGCGGTATCCATTGCTGACAACTTCTGTCTGAGTTTCCAAGACCTGTCACTGGATATTTTAAGGCTGCGAGCAGAGAGTGCAAAGATCAGAGTAAAAAGGGTGGATGGGGCTGGCAGCGTTGCAGCGTAAGTACGGAGTATGCACGGCGGGTTGACAATTCTTGGATATACTCCGTATACATGAGCCACTGATAAAGGGCCCGCAGTACATGTGCGAAGATGTCGGTGGACGAGAACTTTGACCCGATTATTCGGGGATCACCCAGAAACAAGAACTAAAAATGTTGATGATGCTACCTGACCTTCCAGTTTCTATAGTCTCGGTTCCTGCAGCTCTATTGGACCTAGCTCAGTGGGCGAGGAGTCAAGCCTGTGAACACCCCTGGATGGAGCAAACGCAGGTGGTTGGTCAAACCAGAAGACACATTCCTAGGACGGACTCCAGCAGACAAACTGGAGGTACAGTAGGGGGGCCAAGAAAAGAAAAACTGAACTTGACGGGAACCGATATTCATTTTTGATTAATTTTGGCAAAAGGTATTTTTGCCAGGTGGGATTGGCGCCCATCCTGCCGGCTGTCAGCTGCAGTAACAGCGGCCAAAGCTGACGAGAAGAACTAGATGCATAATATTGAGGTTAGTGCCCTGGATGGACTCCGTATTTCTGCGAGGAAGAATCCTCCGTCAAACCACACCTCGACGGCATGGAGTCTTACCCCGTGTGTGTCTATCTACCCGGAGCTCTGTTAGCCTTTGGGGATCTGAGCGGAATATTCTTTCAGTAGCAGCATCCAGATGTGACAATCATCATGACCGAGACTGTCCCTGAGCAGAGTGGATGGTGATCGTCTCTTTCATTTCGAGGATGGGCATCCCATTCTTGTTCTTCTTTTTCGGGTTCTCCCTCCTTTGACCTCCAGATCCGAGTCTTCGTGTTCTTCGACAATCAAAACTACTACTGCAACCTCGATGCGCCCTCTCTGAACTCGAATACTATAGGCTTCAAATTGTATCATGGTGATTCTTGAGCCTGTCCTTGTTATGCAAGTTACCCATTAAAGAACCCAGGCCATTTAATTATTATTATTATTATTATTTTTTTCAAGTGGAGAATGCCGACACCATGGTGGTGGACGGGCGACGAGTAACTGAAAAGCATCGCCAATAGCCGTGTGGAGTCCTCCTTTAGACGCATTGCTTTTAGTGGGAGAAGCGTGTACTTGGTAAACTCGAACCATGAGGACTAACTGGCCAGACAAATAGTGAGGTTTCATTACTTGAACCTTTTGGAGGGGAAAAAAAAAAAAAAAAAAAGGCACAGGCAAGGGATGAAAGTCCAAATTCATGTCCTCTCCTCCAAAGGCTGTATGTGATAGGGGTGACAGACAGCCTGTTTGCGCGTTTTCATCCTAGCCGGGTATGGATCTGGGTTCTTCAGAGAGAACCGGACGAGGGGGATTTGCTGGGAGGAACGGATCCAGTCAAATCTATCGAGTTCAATAACTTTAGTGCTATCCTGCACCTCCAGGCGAACTTGGTCTTAGTCTACATACATTCTCCACATACACGCACACGATTCAGATCATCCGCCATGAAAAATCTTTGCCGATTACCCATTTTCAAAGAAAAGGAAAGGGAAAAGGAATACAGAGTACGAGTCATGGTAGCACCTTGGATCCCGAAAGAGCCGATGATTAAACGATTAACCTATGGATTGAAGTTCGAGCGGAATCAAGTTCGAAATGGAGTGCGCTCTGTACTCCGTATGTACATTATCATCATGCTTTACTTCCTGCAGGAGGATTATCATCGGCCGGGGCAGCTAAACTCCTCCTCTGTATTTCTCAAATTGATTGTGACAGATTCTTCGTCTTTCCTTGCCGCCAACTTTACAATCACCAAAAATAAAAAATAAAAAAAAAGACTTCATGCAGATCGATGGATTTATTACTGCACTTGAGATCCTAGTCTCGCACTATCACTGACAAACATCAGCTCCCCATTGACCTCGTGCTTGGGAACGCGTGGGTACTCTAGTAAAGGCCCGTCCCGATTGGACTCCACCCAATCTCTGATAGGTAGATGGATACTAGGTAGTTAACTATACCAAGTGCATTCGTTTAGGCCGCAGACATCCTCCAATCCCAACCTTAGTGGGAAGGTCTCAAGTCTCGAGACCTACACTCCTTGTGTCACCGGTCTTATTCATTTCGGCTCGTATTGCAGAGTATATCTCCCTCTTTTCCTTCTTGGCGTTACCGTGGCTCGTCATCAGATGGTATGAGGGTGCTGCGTGAAGGATGAGTTTGAGGAATGTACTATGGAGCCCTAGCTGCTTAGGTTCCTTCCTCCTTGGGCTAAGCCTCATGATAGACGAACCATCTCCGATCGGATCGTCTTACCCATATCTTGGGAGAGAGGGAGAGAAAAAGAGCTCTTCGAAGGCTAGGACCATTCCCATGATGATTGGTCTGCGGTTTAGGACTCTGGATCCGAGGGGGAACTATTAAATTCAGCCAGATTCGAACATCCACAAAAATAATAGCTCATGACATGGGAATAATCCCTTGAGTGCCTGTATTAACCTGCAGTCTGCATCGACATTGGGCTCCACAGCGCTAAACACGGAGGGGGACGGGCATACCTTAGGTAGACTTTGGATGTGGCTGGCGGGACACACCGCAATGGACCAAGATCAACTTCATCTGGATGGAGATGATTGGGTCCATATCAAGCGACAACCAAATAGATGCAAACCTACGGTATACGGAGGATTCTTGAATCTTGACCAAGGGCTGAGTCCTAACCTAACGTGCGGGGCTTCCTCCCGCCTAGCCATGCGATGCTTCATTGCTTACTCCGTATGGAAGCTAGTGGATTAGATGTCACTCCAGCTGCTCGTCGAAACAAATCAAATTCACACAATTATTTGCCTCTCTTCCCTTGAGGACTCCACTCATGGGGTTCCTGCAAAAGCTGAACAGAAATGAATCCGACGAAGATGGTAACATAACACCTAATCAGCGTTAGTATAATCCTAAGCATCATCACCCTTTTGACGAGCTCATACCAGCCACACTGTCTCTTCTTCTCCCCGCGTTCAATTGTATTGCCTGTATTGCCCTCAATCGGATTTGATAAACAGGGTCCACATACACAGAAAGTGGCGCAATTGATCTGAATTGTTGCCGATTTTGCTGAAGCTGTGCGAGCACACGTGGAGACTGCCTGGTTATCCTTTTCTCCTTCATATGATTCTCCATATTTATCTCTGATAGTGTGGGCTTTTTTTTTCTCTCTTCTAATCCAGCCTCGTATATATTTCTTTTTCCCCTGCTCCCCCCTTCCGTTCCTCTGCACATTTTTAAAGAGCTTCCCTCCGGGCCCTAGACACCTTTTTTTTTTTTTGATCGTCACACATTCCTTTGTATCTTATCCCCCAGGCTGCCAACCATGTTGCGCAGATTTTCTACAAATTTCAAGAAATCCAAGGGCGAGCGCGAGTCGAATCCTAATGGCTCCGTAGCCAATGGCACCACCGCGGGCACTACCAGCAGCAGCAGCAGCAGCAGCAAACGTCAGTCCAAGCTGCCTCCACCACGCAAGTCAGTCTCGGACAGCAGTCCTGTAGACCTGAAGGAGGATGCTCCCGCGGCATTCGAGAAATATGGACAGGTCCTTCACGCCTCTGTGGCTCCCTTGCCTTACCAGGGTGGAGAAGCCGCCTACCTGGAGAAAGAACACCCATCAGGCTTGTTCCACGACCTGAGGTCGCTGGGAATCAAGGATTATGCGTCGCTTGGGGATGTGATTAAAACTCGGCTGAAGGGAGAGCTTGTGGATGATAAAACAATGATTATGGAGCGAATTATTCAGGTACGAATATTGAAAACTTGTGCGAGGCGAGTAATTGAGGTCACTAATGGCTTTATTCGGGGCTCGTAGATCGTCAGCAGTCTTCCCGGAAATTCGAAGATGCGTGAAGACCTCACAAACATGTTTTTGAACCAGCTTTGGGACTCGCTGCCTCATCCTCCCCTCTCGTAGGTTTTTCTCGGATCTTGACACCATGACGGTAGAATTGGATTAGCTGAGAAACCTCCTCTAGGTACATGGGAGACGACTACGCATACCGGAGCGCGGACGGTTCGAATAACAACCCTACCCTTCCATGGCTGGGTGCGGCCAACACTGCTTATGCTCGCTCCATTAGACCATTGACCATACAACCTGGTGGTCTGCCTGATGCTGGCTTGGTTTTCGATACGCTATTCGCTCGTGAGAAGTTTAATCCTCACCCTAACAAAGTTTCCAGCCTTTTCTTCGCCTGGGCGTCTCTGATCATTCATGGTAGGTACGCTCCTCAGAATAAGCCAGTCCACTAAGCTAAACCCCATATATAGATATCTTCCAAACGGATTACAGAGATCCTAGCAAGAACAAGACCTCCGCTTACCTTGACCTGTCGATTCTCTATGGCGATAATCAAGACGAACAGGATCTCGTCCGTACCTTCGAAGACGGAAAGTTGAAGCCAGACAGCTTCTCCGAGTCCAGACTGCAGGCTTTCCCTGCAGCTTGCTCTGTTCTCATGGTTATGCTAAGCAGATTCCACAACTATGTTGTTGAGGAACTAGCGGCCGTCAACGAGAACGGCCGCTTCACCAAGCCTAGACCTAATCTCCCCGAGGAGCAGGCCAAGCAGGCCTGGGCTAAGTACGATAATGATCTCTTCCAGACCGGACGACTGTATGGCGTGCCCTCAAGCCCTACTACAGCTGTATAACTTGCTAATTTTATCCAGTATTACTTGCGGTTTATACATTAACGTTACCCTGTATGATTACTTGCGTACTATTGTCAATCTGAACCGGTCCAACAGCACTTGGTGTTTGGTAAGTTGTGCAAATTAATATTTCTTCCGCGGATGCTCCTAACGTTACCCAGGACCCTAGAGCACAAATGCAGGGCCAAGAGACAACCCCCTCTGGTCTCGGTAACCAGTGTTCAGTAGAGTTCAACCTGGCCTACCGCTGGCACTCTGCGATTAGCTACAATGACGAGAAGTGGACCGAGAAGATGTATGAAGAGTTGATCGGAAAGCCTGGAGAGGACATCTCGATGCACGAGCTTCTCATGGGTCTGGGCAAATATGAGGCTAGCATACCCAAAGATCCTTCCAAGCGTACCTTCTCTGGTCTCAAGCGTCAGGAGGACGGTACTTTCAAGGATGAGGATCTCGTCAAGATTCTTGCTGATGCTGTTGAGGATGTTGCTGGTAATTATCTTCCTATGCAAACTCGGGAACAAGGAAGCTGACATTTTGCTTAGGTTCATTCGGGGCACGCAATGTCCCTAAGGTTTTGAAGGCCGTGGAGATCCTGGGTATCGAACAGGGCCGCAGGTGGAACACTGGTTCTCTCAACGAGTTCCGCAAGTTCTTTGGCCTTAAGCCGTACGGCACATTCGAAGAAATCAACTCCAACCCTGAGGTTTCTGATGCGCTGCGCACCTTGTACGGCCACCCAGACTACGTCGAGCTCTACCCTGGTATTGTCTCTGAGGAGGCAAAGGAGCCCATGGTTCCTGGTGTCGGAATTGCGCCGACTTACACTATCTCCCGTGCTGTCCTATCTGATGCCGTTGCGCTCGTCCGTGGTGATCGCCACTACACCGTAAGACTCGACCACTGCTAAAAAAAAAAAAGGAAAGAATTATGCTAATGTGGACCAGGTTGACTACAACGCAAGGAACTTGACTAACTGGGGTTACAACGAGGTCCGCTACGATCTTAACATCAACCAGGGCTGTGTGTTCTACAAGCTTGCCCTGCGTGCATTCCCCCAGTACTTCAAGCCTGATTCCATCTACGCCCACTACCCCATGACCATCCCCAGTGAGAACCAGAAGATCATGAAAGATCTGGGAAGAGAGGCTGATTACTCATACGACCGTCCCACATTCACTGAACCCCATGTCAACTTGACCTCGTACGCCAATGTCAAGCTGGTCCTCGAGCAGCAGAAGGACTTTCGTATTATCTGGGGTGACTGCACCGCCATTCATCATGGCAAGGGTGGTGAGGACTTCTGGAGCAAGGCTCTAAACAATGATGAGTGGAAGCAGAATATCAGGGACTTCTACGAGAACACAACCCTGAAGCTGCTCGCCGAGAAGTCTTGCACTCTTGCAGGCAATAAGCGGGTCGATATCGTCAAGGAGTAAGTAATCAACTGCGATGTATTTCCATTAAATATTCGGTATCTAACTTGAGCAGCGTCGGAAACCTAGTGCCCGTGCACTTTGCCTCCAAACTTCTTTCTCTGCCTCTCAGGGACAAGGCGAACCCTAAGGGTGTTTTCACCGAGTACGAGATGTACATAGCCCTCGTAGTTATGTACACTGGTATCTTCTTCGACGTAGACCCCAGCAAGTCGTTCCCTCTTCGAAAGGCTGCGAACGCGGTCTCTGAGCAGCTTGGCCAGCTGGTTGAGAGCCACGTCAAGTCCGTCAACTCCAGTGGTTTCCTCTCCAGTATCATCCACAACCTCCACGATGAGCACAATGTCCTTAAGGAGTTCGGTGACCAGCTCATCCACCGTCTACTGGAGGGCGGCCTGGGGGTTTCTGAGGTCACGTGGGGCCAGATTATGCCTGCCGCTGTGGAAATCGTCCACGGCCAGGCTCGCATGGTGGGTTGCATTTAGCTGGTTATGGTGCTGGATCTCCACTGACATTGCATAGTTCGCCCAAGTCATCCAGTACTACCTCAACGAGGGCAAGGCGCATCTCCCTGAAATCAACGAGCTCGCCCGGAACGACACCCCCGAATCCGACGAGACGCTGTCGCGTTACTGCTTGGAGGCTATCCGCCTGAACGGTGGCACTGGAACCTACCGCAAAGCCGAGACGGACCTCTACGTGAAGGAAGGTGACAATGATGTGAACATCAAGCCTGGCGATGAGATCTTCATTGGCTCGGTGCGTGCTCTCCCCGAGAACATGTTAGACTCGCTATGTACTAACAAGCTCCAGATTGAGGCTAACCGCAACGCGTCCGTCTTCCCCGACCCTAACGAAGTCCGCCTCGACCGACCTCTAGACGCCTATCTCTCCTACGGCATTGGTGCCCAGAGTGGTCTCGGCAAGGAAGCCACTCTCATCGCTCTGACGGCCATGGTTCGTGCCGTCGCCCGCTTGGACAAACTCCGTCCCGCTCCTGGTGCCCAAGGCATCATGAAGACGATCCCTCGCCCTGGCGGCTACACCGCGTACCTGCGCGAGGATCATGGCGCTTACGTCGATTATCCAACCAGTATGTCTACCCTTTTGCCTTTTTGCTTGTTGCTCTCGGATGTTTTGCTGACTGGCTTCTTAGCCTTCCGTGTGCACTACAATGGTCAGGTGCCTACCTTCCAGAAGAAGGTTACATAGTGCATAAGCAGCTTGATCCTCAAGATATATGTAATATGTGGAATTTTTTGATTACGATATCCAATTTGGTTTTTTTTTTTTTTTTTTTTTGATTTCTTGGTATAATTCTAGTTGTTAATAATTGATTGTCTACTAAGTGTCTGTCACTGTCTGTAAGTTTAAGATGGCCTCTTTGTGTCGGATATTCGATAATCCTTATGGGTATGTAACTTAGTAGAACGTAGTGCAGAACCATGAGTCGTGGCTTTGTAGCACCGAAGATATTCACATCAAAAGCTTTGTTTCCAGGAAAATATTTTCAATTATCTCGCTCTGGAGCGAGCATAACGGAGGTTTGATGCTTAGAGCAATACGTATCGATCTTTGCGAAGATATATATGAGTCCTCTCGACTATTCATAAAACGCTCTCTAGAACAGCCCGACTACATTTTTTGGCGACAGGACCCTCGGTACCGGGTTCACGCAGGTGGAATCACTGGTGTCTGGGACGCTTAATATAGATTTTGGCCTCCCTACTCCTATGAACGAGCTACAGGAGAGATTTTTTTTTTACCGACTTTGTCTTCATATGGCGCTTCTATATCGATGACCCTTTTGACGGTGGCGGTGCAGTTCTACTGTCTTCAATGTCCTATGTATAGCCTTTCTTCGTCTTGCAGCCTGGGATTTCGAATTATCTTCTGGCTGTACATAACGTAACGTTGAGCTTCCCATATGGTTCGCCTCAATCCCCTCTTGGAATTGTGCCACGGAGGGCATATACTGGTTTCATGGTTTCCTGCAAGGCATGCAATGGTACGGTAAATTATTCCTTGACCTTTTCCGTATATAAATAGGGTATTATCCTAGTCAAGCTAGCTAGTTAGTTATTCCTCTACGGAGTACAGAGTAATAGAGTAAGATATATATGTACGGAGTACTCCGGAGTATGGAGCATTTACTTTCTCACCGCCTCTACATACGTATTTCCGCACAGAGGTTGTCGTTAGGTATGCCATATATACAACCAACCAACCAACCAACCAACGACATCACCACACTCACCACCAATTTCCAAAATGCCCCCCAAAGCAGCCAAAGGCGAATACATAGAAACCGTACCCCCCCCCCCCCCCCCTTCCTCCTTCCTTCTGCCACACCTCCCCCACCACTCAAAAAGCGCAAGAAACTAAACAACCGCCAAAACCCCCCTCCTAGGACACCGGCAACAAAATCTCCCGTCGCTCCCTTATCCACGGCACGCAGCATATCATCCTCGGCGGCAAAACCGTCATCCAAGCTGAAGCCGTGATCCGCGGCGACCTCTACCGTTCCCCAACCACCGCCGCCGCCGCCGCCGCCGCAGCGGACGCTCAGCAGCAGCAAAGCCAAAGCCAGCCGTCCAACCAACCCTCCGTGGCGATAACTATCGGGCGATACAGCTATGTATCGCGGCAGGCGGTGCTGCGGCCTCCCTCGCGGATCCACCGGGGAATGGTGATCTTCTACCCGCTGAAAATCGGCGACCATGTCTTTGTTGGGGAGCGCAGTGTGGTTGAGGCCGCGCAGGTCGGGAACCATGTGCATATCGGGCGGGATGTGGTGGTGGGGGCCATGGCGATTCTCAAGGATTTCGCGTATGTGCTTGATGGCGCGGTGGTGGCGCCTGGGACGGTCGTGCCGAGTTGGTGTGTTGTTGGCGGGGCGCCGGCTAGGATTGTAGGGGAGGTTGGGGAGGGGTATGGGGTTGAGGGGGCCGAGGGGGGTTGGCGAGGGAGAGGTATAGGGTTGTTGGGAGGTGAGGGGCTGGGACATAAAAAAAGGTTTTTTTTTTGTGTTGTTGTTGTTTTGTGTTATATTGGGCTGTTTGGATTTATAGGTTATACCCCCTTTTCGTTCTTAGATAGGATTTTTATTGGTTGTTGTATTATATATGTATTGTAGGTAGGTAGGTAGCTGTAACTAGGCTTAGCCCATCTTGCTTACTTCTACTGCCCGCTTGAGTCGACTCTCCCCAGCTGCGTATGGTGTGCCTGCTTCCTCACGCGCCATATCGTTGATCCAGCGCTCGCTTGGCTTGAGCTTCTCGCCTTTGGACAGCTTGGAGGCAATATAAAGCCAGTTCAGCGCGTTACCGACTGTACTAACCTCATCACAGACATGATCCAGAGCAAATTTGTGCATGCGATGCCATAACTCATCATCAGTACACAGATCGAAGAGATGCCTCGCTACAGCGTCCGTGTCTCCAACATCAACCAGGAAGCCGTTCTTTTTGTCGATAACCTGTAGTGGAATCCCACCTGCTCGAGTTGCAATTACTGGTCTGCCCTTGTGGATCGCTTCAGACACTTTCACTTCAAATCCCTCGCGAGTAGAAAGCTGCAGCGCAACTCGGGCCTTGGACATGATTGCGTTCAGGACCTGGTCAGACGGACCAAGACGAACGATGGAAATCTGCTCCGCGATTTGCGGGATGGAGCTTTCAATGTATGTCACCACGGCGTTGTAAATAATTGCACCGTCTGGGTCATCGACCGACCCGTGTCCGCAGATCAAGAGTTTTGGAGGGTTCTTGTTCGGATGCGCTTCTTTCATAAGCAGGTAAAATTTCTCGTAGGACTCTACAACGTCGGGGATGCCCTTTGATGGGTCAAATCGTGCAATCTGAACAATATAGTGGTCTTGGCTTCATTAGTTCTTTCAACAGAACAAAAAGAAGAAGAAGAAGGGCGGTGGTGACGCTTACCTGCTGGATAGTCGATTACCGGCATTCCCGAGTTCCTAACAGTCGCATTGAATACCCGTCCATAGTATGCCGTGTCCCATTCTCTCATATTTTTATTGAGTCCGTCCAGCCAATCTGTCGACGCAGGCATATAGCCCACCTTCTCCCGTGGCACAGTATGAGGCACAAACGACCGTACGGGGTGGCTGATGAAGAGATCTGCGTGCTTAATCTGGTCCCACATCCTACCCCATGCCTCAGCTTGCGGACTGCCCTCTTCGGCTACCAAGTCACTACGGACCTGAATATGACAACGGAAGATGACTGGCCTATCGGGAGCTATTTCCTTTGCAAGAGGAATCAGTGCCGGCATCTGCGGGTCATCAACGACGATCACATCTGCACCGCCTTCAGACGGATGGGTAAGCGGGCAACCTGGAGGTAGCCAATATCGCTTTGCATTCTCGTGAATCCATTGTGTGACCAACGCCCACTTCTCTTCGGTTAATCGCTCCTCAGGGAGGGAGACGCCTTGAAGGATATTATGATTGGTTTTCGTGATACGGAAAACTCCAGGTCGTGGTTTAGGAACGTACCTACCATCGACGTGAGAACTACCCCTTGAAATATCTCTTTATTTTACACTTACCACTTAATATCTGTTCCGAGAGAATGTGAGAATCTTACAAGAGCATGTCTCATCAGAGCAACTCCTCCACCTTGTGGTGTGGCGCTGAAAAACGCAATTTTTATTTTTCGTTTCTTAAGGTCCAACGCATAATACTCGACAGCTTTCCAGGTGCTAGGCCCAACCGTCTTTTGAAAATCGTGGAGGTTGGTCAGCTGGACGTGGAAGCCGGTGTCAACTTGAACCAGTCCGGTGAGTCCAACCTGAAGCAAAGGGATGGTTTCTGGGCCAAACAGTCTGTAGTATTGTGAGTTGCGGTTGTAAATATAAAGAACCCACCGGATGGACTGACCTTACGCATTTCCGGGCCATTGATTCCGCCTGCTCATCGATCCTCCTCAGCTCCCAATCCACTGACTTGTGAAAGTCATATCTCAGCTCTTCACCTAAATCCAGCTTGCTATCATCTGCAAGAACTAATGGGATGATATCTAATTCTGACCAAAGTCGTGAACAGAGGTTCGGGCATAAATGAGCCAAGTGTTGGGGTATAGCTAGCCCAATAAACTTCTCCAGGTGCTCCTCGCTCCAATCATGCAGGCGCTTCAATATATGGTCTCCTATGCGTCGATCTACCGAGTTTCCCTCATTCAACACGAGCCTCTCTTGGTTAAAGTCCACCAAATAGGTCGAATCACGGATAGCCAGCGCAAGCAACACTTCGTTTTTTTCAAACAATGCCGATATACCGCCATAGATGGTCTAGGGAGGAATTAGAGCCTTACTACCAACACGAAATGAAAATCTGGGGATTGCATACACCTGACGGGGGTGCGCCCCACGAGTGCTCAGAGAATTGTGTCGAAAGACGACGTCTTTGTTGTAGCGAAACTCGACGCGCGAAAGACATATTGCCGTAAGCTGATAGAAAGTAAGTGATTTCTAAAAGCTTCAACTCAAATTATCCAGTGCCCATTGGAATAGATGTAGTTTTCTATTATTGAGATACACGTTTGGGAACCGGCGGAAGGCAAACAGTGACCTCACCAGTGAGGCGGATGACGTAGCAACATCATCCATCCATGGGACCAAGGCCGAGCAGACCTCGGGGAACAATACAATTGATTGAACCTTGAAGTATATTGATCCAATACTAGAGGCGCTATCCTAGAACGGAAGAACTCCTAGGAACCGGACCGGGAAGCTGTAGAGATATCCATGGAACCGAATGTCCTAAAAGCAGCATGGCAGTAATCAGTTCCAAATTCACTGAAAAGGGAAAAAAAAAAAAAAAAAAAAGGCTTACCCCGATATTATATCCACCGTTGCTACTCCGTATTGACAGGCTGAAACAGATTAATATATCGGATGCAATCTGTGGAGGTGAAACCGCAATATGCTTGGTTGCGATTGCGGGGCGCTGAGTCAGCATCGCCAGCAGCCCCTTTTACGGAGTCACTCGAGCGCAGGAAAGGGACAAGGAGACAAAATGGCGGCCCTCGTGTGGATCGTTACTTACCAAAACCCTGAAATTATTCCTGAGATGTCACTCAATTAATGTTGCTAATTTGCTTTCTCTCTTCTTGCTGCCTCCTTTGATCATCCGTGCTGCCTCTTTTCCTCTCTGCTCGTTCTTCAACCCCGAACCCAACGTGAGTTTATCCCAGTCTCCGTTCTGCTTGTCCGTGCACTGACACGTTCAGGACATTGCTTCTCTGACACAAGCTAGACAGGGGGTTTCAATAATAACAGCTGCACCACCTCGATCCACGAGCCAAATCCCCCCCTCCCCCCTCGTTGCTCCTCTTTCGACGCAATCGCTGAACATTTTAAGTTGAGAATCCCCTATCTCGCCATAATCCCTCTTCCTCCCTAGTCATAAATCTATTGCCACAATCGCGTGATATTATTCAACATGGGTGGCTCAGTGTCCAAGATAATGGGCAAGATCTTCGGAACGAAGGAAATGCGGATTCTCATGCTGGGTTTGGATGCTGCTGGAAAAACAAGTATGCTTCATTTCACTTTAGGGGGGGCGAGGACGACACCCAAATATAGGAGACGCTTGCTGACTTCGATTTTCTTTCTTAGCAATCCTTTACAAATTGAAACTTACCAACCAGGATGTCACTACGATTCCCACAGTCGGCTTCAACGTTGAGAGCGTTACGTATAAGAATGTGAAATTCAATGTTTGGGATGTCGGTGGTCAGGACAAGATTCGCCCTCTGTGGAGACACTACTATTCTGGTACAACTTCCCTACCTCCTTCCATCACTGTACAATGCTGATGCAGTTTGGTGGATCTACAGGTACGCAGGGTTTGATTTTCGTCGTGGACTCGAGCGACGTTACTCGAATGGATGAAGCTCGATCGGAACTGCACAAGATTATCAACGATCGGGAAATGAAAGATGCTCTTCTGCTCGTCTTTGCAAATAAACAGGATACCCCACAACGTACGTACTTGTCAGCTGCTCGCAGTGGACTAGCACTGACCATGTCATAGATCTGAGCCCCGAGGAAGTCACCGCTGCACTTCAGCTCACAAAACTCAAGGACAAGCTGTGGTATGTCGCGCCTAGCGTGGCGACTGAGGGTACTGGTATCTTTGAAGGACTCGTAAGAACCCCCTGCTTTACCCTAAGGCTTCGATGAAATCTAACAGTCTCCAGGCTTGGCTTTCGAACAACGTTAAGACTCAACCTCAGAAATAAACCACGATTCTAGCTTAATTCGGGAGGGAGCGATATCCCTCATGTACAACAATGCCATCCCATCCGACTCTTTTGTTCCATGTCCGTTTTGACGACAGAAGACGCAGCATTTGGACTAGTTGCTTTTTCTTTCCTTTTCCCATTTCCCCCCAATTACGTGCATGCCTTTCTTCCCATTATTTCCTTAATCCTATCATGATATCCCACTGCTTCCCTGCGGGTTTTTGTCCAATACCCCTTTTAATTCTTACACCCCTTTCTTCTCGTTGGCTCGTTTTCTTTTCTTCTGTAGAAAGCATTTACAATAGAAGGAATTTGACCAGCACATATTTCATGTTTTGATGTCTCAATGTTTTCTATTTATTTATATATATATATATAGCAAAAAAATGTTATCGTTACATCTTAGTCTATTTCGTGTGACATAGCTACAAACACCCGAAGCCTAATTGCACACTTAACGAATACATCAGATCGGATTCCGGCGGTTCTAGCCCGTCGATGTTACTAGAAATTCGCCATCGGTATCCCAATCCAATCCCCAACCACTCAGTCCAAAGTTCAAGGTTACGTAGACAGCCTACGGAGGACTACATCCGAACCACTCTAGGGAAACAAGTATAACAACTAGCCCCAACATTGCCCAACTTCCTTGAGAACCCGCAAAAACGAAATAAAACTTGAAGACATGTCAATCTGACGGCAGTGCCAGGTGCTGAAATTAGCCACTGACGGGGCTTAAAACGGCTTGTTTCGTCCTGCAGAAAAAAAGAAAGAAAAACACAAACACACAAAATACATCCATACATACATCTCTAGCACCCATACCACGACGGAAGAATTAATTACTTGATTTATAATTGCCATTAGCACTCCGTACTTATTATAATGCCTACCTACTCTCAAGGGAAATCCGTTCCCTACAAGCCTGTTAGAGGTGAGTGAGTTGAGTTGAGTTGAGTTGAGTGAGTGAAACAAACTTCGTCCGCCGACGATAGTAGTAGCCCTAGTGATCAACAATCTACCCAAAACAACACCGAAACATCACCAATCCCCAGGCCCGCGATCGCATATTTCCGAGGTGCGCACTGGCCCGAGTGAGTTGGCTGGGCGCCAAGTGGCAGCAGCAGCCAGTGAGGATGAGCCTGGATATGAGGTGTGTAACTACCTACCTAATAATATTCTTTTCTATTCTGAGAAGGCAGTGTTGGTAACTTTCCCTGGCGCCCGGAGGAGATTGAAAATATCCATATGGACTCGGGAGACTTTTGCTATTAAGGAGTCGAATATCAATTGGGCGTGTGGAGGACTTATGTATATTTAGCCTTACCTGGTAGTAGTACCTAGGGGGTCAATTGAGTGAGTGGTATGGTTAGGGATGAGGCCGGGTGATGAGTTGATTTTTTTATATGATACAGTACGTATCCGTACTTGGGCAAATTAGTTCTAGAGCTGTCAATAACTTGTAACTGCAGCTATCTCGGAACTTGATCGAGAATTACTAGGAAAGAATATATATAGTTATCGCTTGACTTTCTTTGACTTTTTTTTACTGCCCCGTTGGAAAGGATCTGTATTGGTTTTTACTTACAACCATTCATAGGTACATAAATTCTATTCTTCATATCATCGTCATCACAGCACTTACTGCATGTGTCTCTCGTATTTGGATGCTATTAAAGCTGGCCAGGCCAGATATCGTTAGCAATCTCACGGACAAGCTTCAGCTTGTTAATCATGCCCTGGCGGTCAATGGCATTGCCGTCACGGTGGCTAGCAAACCCACACTGTGGGCTGACACCAACCTGGTTTAGGGCCTGCTCAACGGAGACATCGTTGCCCTCGGCGATGAACTTAGCAGCATCATAGACACGCTTCTTCATCTCCTCCTTATCCTCGAGCTCGGGGAACTTGCTGGTCACCACACCCAGGATGACGTTCTTGTTCTTGGGAAGCTCCTTGAGGGGCTCGAACCCTCCGGCACGGGGAGTGTCATATTCGAGGTAGTAGGTGTCAACGTTGAGCTCGTTGAAGAGCTTGGTGGCGATGCGGTCGTAGCCACCCTCGGAGAAGTGACGGCTGCCCACAAAGTTACCCCGGCAGAGATGCACACCGATGTGGAAGTCAGCGGGGCGCTTTGCGACGCAGTCGTTGAACAGCTTAATGTACAGCTCGAACGTCTCGTCGGCGGAGTAGATGTTCAGGGAGTCTTCCTTCCACCCGGTAAGCATCGTCTCAGAGCAGAAGACTGTGGTTATCGGTATTAGTATCGTTTCAATAAATAAATAAATAAAACTTACAAGCAAGATTAGGATCATCGAATTGGACGTTACGGCAGCCAGCATCATAGAGGATCTGGAGCTCATCCTGATAAGCCTTGGCAATGTCGGCAAAGTACTCATCAAGAGAGTTATACACATCCTTGGGGTAGGCCTTGCCCTCCTTGTAGCGCAGGTGATACCAGCTAGGAGCAACGAGGGTGAGCTTCAGATTCTTAACCTCCTCCGGCGCAACCAGGCTAGCCAGGTACTTGAATTGGTTGACATATGTGCTGCCAACATGTTTGATCTTTCCAGTACAAACAATGCTCTCACAGGGCTTATGCTCGGCTTCACGGAAAGCAGCAACGTCAGGAGCATAGGGACGGAAATTTCCAATGTCAATATCCGCAACCTCTTCGAATCCATCTAGACCAGGGAAGAACGAGCCCCAGAACACTACCCACAAGTTAGCCTCCTCTCTCCCTGTTTTTATGTTCGTGGCTCCGCGGAGCTGAATTGGGGTTCGCTGTATCTTATTTACTCACTGTGTCTGCAGTACTCTCCATCTGAAAGAGCCGGATAACCAAGCTCCCTCTGGAGCTCAACAACGTCCTTGATATCCTTCTTCTCAACAGCCTCCAAAACAGAGTGAGGGACCTCACCCTTCTCATAGGCAGCCTTCACCTTGAGGAGTTCATCAGTACGGAGAAGAGATCCGACGTGCTCAACACGGAAGGGGGGATTGCGGTGGAGAGACATGGCGAAAGCCTCGAATTTGCAGGAATTTCTGTCAAACTAGTGGTTAGAGATGTCCTGCTTGGTTTGGGATTGTGCTCACAGAGCTCAATACTACCTAGGTATGCAACAACATGGGACTTACCAGGCACGAGGATATACCAGTCAAGGAGGCAAGAGGAGGGAGGAGGAAAGATCCAACGACATGAAATGCTTGAAAAGGTGCAATAGCACCAACAGGGCGATGTCAATTAGCATCCGGTTCCTGTTCATGCTGTATAGTCTGTGAATGCCCCACTACTTATGAAGGAATTGAGTATTCACCTCACAAGTTAACATTGAGTATTCACCTTATAAGTTAACATTGAGTATTTACCTCATAAGTTAATATCAGGTATTTACTTCATAAGTCAATATTAGGTATTCACCTCACAAGTTAATATGTGGGCATGAATTTATATCTTAAAAGATACTTATACTTTGGTATAGGGCTAGTTTCTGTCCCTGTGAAGTGTCTCCAGGTAAATTCTGATAACATCTATCCTGGTCCCTGGAAAATATACCTCTTTCAGTAGACGGGCAAAGAAAGCCATAATGAGTATGGAGTACGGAGTAATTCAAGAAGAATCTTTGAGAGAATGAGCCCCATCATGATTTAAGTGCATCTTTCCCAAAGAATTGTCATGGCACATACCTCTCCATACCAAGGTTGTTGGAGAGTGTAAAACAAATGTTCTTTAGGGTATTACACTATAGAATTCATCTGTTTAGGTTAAATCATAATTTCCAAGTGATTGAAACATGTATATGCGGGGAAACTTGGGGTATGCAAGGTCCTGTCAATTCTTCTTAATGAAGCGACTAGGCATATCAAGGAGATAAACATAGGGGTTTAACTTATCTGCTACGGCATGGTCTAGTTTTGGATGGTTAACTGTACCTATAGTGCATTGGTTACCACGTATATAATGACAAACTCCAGGTAGCTTTGGTCTTCATTTGAAAGAATAGCTAGGTGTAATAAAGGGCCTCCAATTCATTTGCGATCAATGTTCTTCTCCAATCAGCCGGATGTACCGACCAAGTTGATGAAAAAAAAAAGGTGGTTCGCGTCAATCGGGGGTAGTGTAAGCCCGATGACACTGTGCTACAAGACATGCGCAAGCACAGAGGTCCTGTTGCAAGATCCAAAAATGAGATTAATCAATGTTGTGTTCCTTAGAACACTTTCAGAGATTAAACTGAAAAGAACAGATACTACACTTGATCTAAGCCAAAAGGCAAAGAGAGCTGGAAAAGAAAAGAAGAAAAAAATTCTACAAGAATGCGGGCAGTTGGTTGTATTTATATGTGGGTGAGGTGGTCCGTGTGGACCGAGGTTACTAGTGTCCTTTAGCGTTGTTTTCATGTAACATAAGCGAGGCTGGGCAATGCTTTGATTGGCTACTGAAAATCCCCGATTCAGCCCTGTCAGATGATATCCTCAAGCCCTTATTAAGGCCCTAAGTCACTGCCTAAAACAGATTAGGGACTCGCACTCCTGGGGCTCCACCCGCAACAGATTCGCTAACTATCTTCCAAGACAACTTGAACTTTTTTCCCTCCTCACCAGGCGCAGGATAATCACCTCTTTGCGACCAGCAACTTTATACTCTTTCATCCCCTAAACCCCCCCCCACCTCACAGTCGCAATGGCTCCCGCTGTATGTTTCCATTCCGCAAACTGCTTTGCTGTTCCCCCTTAACGGGAGTGGGTGTTTGTGTGCTTGTCTCTGTCCTCGATACTGCGGCCGAAATGCCCAGGGGAAAGATGGAAACAGTAAACCACCAACACAACTCCCTCGGGGTTCGACATTATGGAACAGTAGGCTAATCGAATTTCTTTTCCGATTGAGTAGGTCCGTGGTCGCAAGGCCCAGAAGGTCACTCAGAAGGTATGTTCAAAAAGAAATAATCTTCAAACGCGAATCGGGTAACTAATATTCCTTGGTTGTTCCAGTTCATCATCAACGCTTCTCAGCCCGCCAACGACAAGATCTTCGATGTCTCCGCCTTCGAGAAGTTCCTCCACGACCGCATCAAGGTCGAGGGCCGTGTCGGAAACCTCGGTGACAAGGTCGTCATCTCCCAGGTTGGTGACGGCAAGGTCGAGGTTGTCGCTCACATCCCCTTCTCTGGTCGCTACCTCAAGTACCTGTAGGTTTTCTTTTTCTTTCTTCAACCAATCTTCTAGGTTGCAATGTTGAAAAGACGCTAAATGATTCTGTTGAACAGGACCAAGAAGTACCTTAAGAAGCAGCAGCTCCGTGACTGGCTGCGCGTTGTCTCCACCTCCAAGGGCGTTTACGAGCTCCGCTTCTACAACGTCGCCAGCGAGGAGGCTGACGAGGATGAGGAGTAAATTCTTCCTTCATTGGAATGGATTTGAGTGTCAAAATGGACTGAATTCTGTGCTCGATTGGGGGTTTCCACCAAAAGTTCAAAAAGTTTAAGTTTTTAGACGGGAGCAATGAGTCGGCACGATCAGTCCGATTTGGGTTGTGGATTTCTCTTCTTGCTTGTTCTTCCGAAGTATCGGCTGAGAGGGGAGAGTTTATCCTGAAAAGGTGGCTTTCTTTCTCTTAGTGTTTCTGGCTAGTTTGCTTTGGCCTGTCAGTGTTGATATTTTGCTACTCATGACGTTACGAATGGTAGATGAATGAATGGAGCGGATCTAGCACCCAAAAAATTCCTCTTCTCTCGCGTAATGTATTGTAGATGTTCTAGTATTTGCGTAGAAATAATATAAACAAGCCTCGTCAACCCTCAGCGGAGTTCGATCGTTTTTGGCCAGCTCCTCGCCCGAGTTTCCACAAGCTGGATGCAGCCGAGTCTTCGACACCTGGCGGAGGTATCAATTCGCCATTTTGGATTCCCCACCCCCTCGACTTTAGGATCTTCCATGTCTCTGTTGCTTTCACTCTAACTAGATCTCCCGTGGCGACGGCATCCTCTTTGGAGTCATGACCGCGGTTGCCGCCAGTCTGGATATCACGATCTAGATGTTTCTTGGACAGGTTTTTCAAGCTCATCCGGTACGGAAACCCTCCAGCCGGATGGGGGTAAAGGATAGCTGTGTCAATGACCGTCGGGTGTATAATTCGACAAGCATTCAAATCATTGTCGATGGCATGTCCAATTAGCGGGGTCGTTGGCTGCAGCAACTCGAATAGCAACGCGCGGGCTGCTGCGGGAGAGTCAACAACCTGTAACGGGGCGGATTCGGGTTTCCCAATATCCGAGGAGGAGGTTTCTATTGAACCCGAAGCGTCGTAAGGAAGAGCCTTCTTATAATGCTCAGGGAAAACACCAGAGAACTGAGAGTTGAGATCAAGAACTTCGCCAACTGGTCTCACCAGTATATCAAGAAGCCCTTTGCCTTCCGGCCAGCTGACTGCAGTAAGTCGGATAAGCTCCAGCCCCAAAGTCGTGAAGCCCATTTCGCAATCAAAACCAATGGGAGTCGTCCGTCCTTTGTTTGGGTTTTCAGGAGTCTTTTTGAATTGAAGAATTGAAGCCAGTCGTTTCGTTTCCGATACTTTGAAAACATGAGTCTCGCCTTTGGTGCACCCAGAGGAAGTTCCCAGCGTCTCATTGCAGCAAGAATAATATGCCTCCCGGTGGCCAGTGACATGGTCGGTCTTCTTTCTGGGGGGGTAAAAGGACTTCCCGGGGTGATAAGTGCATTGTCCTCCACTTGTCAGTGAACCGTCTTCACGACGCCCAGGAAAGACCTGGAATCGCCCACCACATCGATCACACTTTTCCCATCCCTTAGACTCAGCCACACCTTTCTTCGCAGTTTCAATTTCTTCAAGGGTGGGTGCTTTTGTCACATAGCCATACTGTTCCAATCCTTCCAGCGGAGTTACGAGTCTCTTGGCGATTGCGATTTCTTCTTCAATGGTCAACCCCGTTGTAAGAGCTTTTGGCTCTTTCTGGGCCTGGTTTGATTCCATTTTATAGTATCGCTTGTTGAGATGATCCCTAACCTCCTTTGCCCACTCGTCCTTGCCTAATTTTGAAAGTTTCACTATTCGAAGCTTCACAACATTGGAATATACGGTTGGGTTATCTTTTGCTGCCTTCTCCTCTTCATCCAAGGCCATCGTAATGAGCTCGTTAGATGTGAGGACCAAACTTTTATCTTTGCGCTCTTTATCTTTAGCTAGCTGGTCATTCAGAGAGCTCATGGTAGAATGCAGCTTTTTTAAAATAGCAAGTCGAGTAGTATAAGCAGCCGGAGATTTCTGGAGCATGCGGGGGTTCAATGTTTCTTTCGGAGCTTGCCTCGGTGGTAGACGAGACGCTGGCTTCTCCAGTGTCGATAGGTCGTGACGAGCAGATGTCGTATTTGGCTTTGTGGTGGTAGATTGGGACCTGGCGGCCGGGCGAGAGTTTGTAGCCTTGATCGCCGAGGATTCGGGCCATTTGGGCGCCGGAGTTCCTAACGCAGGTTTTTTGCTTTTGTTTTCAAGCGATGACGTGTCCTCTGATACTCCTTTGTCCGTACTAGATACGGACTGCAGTTTGATCCTTTTCGAAGGTGGCGGACCTGCGTCTTTCTGCCCCGAACAATGATCTTGCGCGATATCGTTCTCCTGGAATGAGGGCTCAGGATTGCTGTGGGAGAACATACACGTCAGAAGGGAGCATTCTTGACCCCGAGGGCAAGGTATGTCTTTGAATAGACCCAGGGGGGTGAACATTGTGATAGATATGTGGGATCAGCGTCACTTGGCGGGGAAGAAATATATTTTGAGCTCGCTGGAAAGACCACACTTCATTCCTATCATCACGGCACACGATATGGAAGAATAGTTGTTAAATGGCTTTTCTATACACTGTGCTGCATGGGGTTGATCCGGCAAGCCAGCGCTTCTTAAAGAGTTCACCAAGGTAGTGCCGGGTGGGGGACATTTAAGACGTAAGGTGGAAGCTAGATTATCGCCATGAAGATGGAACCAAAACAAATTCCAAACAGAGGTCGTTGGTTTAAACTCCAAGCTAGAAGCATACCCAGGAGAATACGAGAGTAGATTTATGCACCATGTAAAGGGTTGTCGTGGTTGTTGTCATTTGCAGATATGCAACTTGGTTCAGTAGGACAGGCAAACTGACTCAGAGTGATTCGAAGGAGTGGAGACCACTCTGTAGTCAGCTCTAAAGTAAGTATAAATTGAAAATCAACCAAAGGGTTCAAAGGAGGTTGTACAGGCGTGTTCGACGATGGGGTAAGAGGCTGGACGAGGTGAGAGAGATGGAGTGCAAAACAAACGGTACAAACTTTGTGACTTAATTTTCAGGCAGCAAGACTGGAAGGGACCATGATTCCTGTGACGGTTATCCATCCGAGTCAATACTAACTATACGGAGTAGCTAGTTTGGATTGTTTAATAATAAATATATTAAAATGTATAGAATCAAATACTGCACCTTTAATTCTCAGCAGTGTCACCTAGTCTGATTGCAGCGCTCCGATATTACTGAGCACGGCGCCTAAATAACTACTACTACTCATTCCCTGCCAATCCATGATTATCCCTCCTCCATCTGGAATGGCCCCTGGATGCATGAAAAATGCTAAAGCAATCATAATAGTCATAGTAAGACAGCTGATACAACCCTCTTCATCACTCCATGCTGTGTGTGGAATTGGCACGCCTAAAAGTGAGGGGTATAACAGCCTTGCATTACTCTCCTACATGTCCTCTCCTGCAAATTTATTTTCCCTCGTGTTCGATTATCTCTCTCCTCCTTTATTATGTGGCCTTAGGAGTAGAGTATCCTAGACTCCTTTCTAACCCCCCCCCCCCCTTTTTTTTTAATATTTACTTGCTACTTTTGTTAATGTGACAATGCGGCCTTTGTTTCTTTTGCTTTTTTCCATATCCCTAGACGGCGCTTATGCTGCTAGCCCTCATGTAATGAACTGGTCCTCCCAGGCCTATGGCCCGGATGGCCCATGGCAAGCTGTTACGATCTCGGTGGGGAGCAATAATCAATCCGTCGATCTTTATCCAGGTGCCAATTGGGCCAGCACGATTATGATGGACTCGCTTTGTACAAACAAAACCCTGTCGACAACGTGTTATGCAGCGAGCGCGGGTACTTATAACAACTCCGAATCGACTTCGGCCATCTCCTTGAATACGACATCGTGGCAGACTTTTTATTGGGGTGTACAGGGAGGAAGTATAGAAGGTGTGATTGCTGACCAAGTCAACATTGGCCCAGTTGTGCCAAATGTCAGCTTCACGGGAATTTACCAGACCTACCAGACCTATCCCAATGGGCAAGACTATCCCGTCTCCGTAGGAAATCTTGCACTGGGGGCCCCGAAATTGAAAGATGAGGTCTCGAATTTAACCCTCAATATGATTGCCTCGTCGCTTTATTCTTCTGGGGACATTCCGTCTTACTCGTATGGGATGCATATTGGGTCCGCAAACGCAGCTATTCCAGGCTCTCTTGTCCTAGGTGGTTACGATCAAAGTCGGATTCTGGGGGACGTGAGTGCGCAGTCAGTGAGTCTGAATGAGTACTCGAGTGGTAACCTGCAGATTTCGTTGAAAGATATCGGACTTGGTGTTGCAACCGGCGGGTCACCATTCAGCTTCACCAGTAAGAATGGGTTATTCCTTCAAAGCAGTGGCGCCGTAGTTCCCAAGACAGTTGCTATTGACCCGACGAAACCCTACCTGTATCTCCCCGAGGCTACCTGCAATGCAATCACCTCGTCCTTTCCCGTCTTTTTCGACGAGGGCTTGGGCTTGTACATCTGGGACACCAGCAACGGCGACTACGACAGGATCACCTCGTCAGCGACATATCTTTCCTTTGTGTTCAACCAAAATGGTATCAACAACCAGAACATAACCATCAAGGTGCCCCTCTCGCTGCTCGCACTGACCCTGCAAGCGCCACTTGTGAACCAAAACGCCACATACTTCCCTTGCTTCCACTCAACCGATACCCCGGTTCTCGGCCGGCCGTTTTTACAGGCGGCCTTTGTTGGCGTTAACTGGTTTGAAGGCGACAACACCGGTACTTGGTTCCTTGCCCAAGCTCCGGGTCCCGGCGCTGCCAGTGCCAATATCACCACCATTAATATTGACGACTCGACCTTGAGTGGATCGAGTAGGTCCTGGGAACACAGCTGGGCTGGATTCTGGCATCCTCTTGCAGAGAGTAGCTCTAGCAACTCAACAACCGGTAACTCAACCGGCCCAGGGGCTGATAGTAGCGGTCTTTCAACAGGTGCAAAAGCAGGCATCGGCGTTGGGGTCTCAGTCGCAGGTTTAATTCTTATTGCACTGGTTGTATGGATTGTGATGCTTCGTCGCAGACGCAAGAATGCACCTCAAGATTCTCCAGTGGAGGAAAGAACATCGGTTATCAAACGCGTGGTCGAATTGCCGGGAAGAGATAAAGATGGGCCGGCAAAGGAGTTATATACGCAGGGTAATAATGTACATCCTCGCGAAATTATGGGGTCGCAGGAGCCCCCGCGTTACGAGTTGGATTAATTGTGGTTTATACGCTTGGTGCGTTAGGCATCTTAGCAATCCATTTTGAACAGCATCTGAAATAACGACTATATTATCAATCATCTTACAATTCCATTGACTATTAGTTAGCTCGTGAGCTTGGTGATCGATACGACATTTAGAGCGGAAGTAATAGACTGCACCATAGAGCAGAGTTCCTACATCCTTGCCGCCAAAGACAACACCTAGATGGATAAGTATTGATTACCTCTACGCGGTGGATTTGCTTCTCTTGATATTTAGGCATCTACAGCCAAGTATGTATGAAACTGAAATACGGAGCAGAAGAGGAGGAAAACCGCTAATCGGATGGACAAAACTCCGGCATGCTTAGTCATCCGGATATAGGACAAGTGAGTCTTCAATACTCCGAAGCGCGGGAATAGGAAGCGGTAAAAAGGAAAGGGGGTCATCGTCAGCATTATGTGCCTAATTTCACGCCCAATAAAGTAAAGAAGACAAAAAAAAAAGATGCAACAAGCAAGCAAAGCTTTACTGTTTATAACCCCGACAGGTAGCCCCAATTGCTTGCATGCTTGATTCTTACTCCGGCTAGTTCCTAGCGAGGGATACCTTCAGTAAGATCGTGATTGTCGTTCTCTTTGCAGCAACCCAACGATGGATCCTGACCGGAATCGAAATGCCACACCTGCATCCAAGGCAGATCACCTCTGTGTCCTAGTTCATGGGTAGGATTTTCCTTTGCCCCGTGCATTGATCCGGCCAGGCTTATACTAAACTGTTCTGGGCACGGTAGACTCTGGGGTAACCCCTCTCATATGGACTTCATAGCCGCTTCGTTGCGAGAGCGCTATGACGAGGACCATCTGCATATTCTCGCTTCCGACCGGAACAATGGCAATCTCACCTACGATGGCATCGAGGTTTGCGGTGAGCGACTGGCTCATGAGATTGAGGAAACGCTGGAAACATTCGGGGACCAAGGGCAGAAGATCCGGAAGCTGAGCGTGGTGGGGTATTCTCTCGGAGGATTGATATCCAGATATGCGCTGGGTTTGTTGTATGCTCGGGGTTGGCTCGACAGACTGGAACCTGTGAACTTTACAACATTTGCATCACCACATCTTGGTGCCAGGGTGGCAGTCGGAGGTGTTCATAGCTTCCTTTTCAATAACTTGGGGCCTCGAACTGTATCGACATCTGGAAAACAACTGTTCATGAAAGACACTTTCCGGGACTACGGAAAACCATTACTCAGTGTTTTAGCAGACCCGGGTAGTATCTTTGTTCAAGCCCTCACAAAGTTCAAGTATCGTTCCGTCTATGGGAATATCATCAATGATCGGACCACGCCTTTATATACCACCATCTTCTCGAGCGTCGATCCCTTCAGGGACCCTGAAAATGTGAACATTAACTATGTGACGGGCTATGAGCCTGTCGTGGTTGATCCTTACGTCTACACTCTACCATCTAAGCCAAAAGCAAAACTGCCTTTTATGCGACGCGCATGGGGGGAGGTCCTAGTATTCGCTAACAATTTGAAGTTTTGGTCCATTTATACTCTTGTCTTGACGATTGCCATTCCGACTTTCCTCGTCTATGCCTTCATTCAGACCTGCCGCAGCCAAGCACGGATACGCATACACGAAGAGGGCATATCTGAAGACCCTTTCAAACGCTACCGCATTCCCATCGTTGTCAAGAAGGTACAAACGGTGATAGAAGAAGTCTTTGAAAACGCAGCTTCCAGACAAGACCCGGATTATTTGACACCAAGTGCGACACGCTCAGTATTGGAGTTCCAGTCCGAGACATCAGAAACCAGATCATCCATGACTCTGCAGGATGCAGAAACATTCTCTCCAACGCAGAGCGCTGAACACGATAATAAACTAACAGGCCGCGCGTCAGCAGCACTGCCGGACGGCTCCAGTGTGGATCAACAATACCCCACACTCGCCCTTACCCCAGATCAATTCTCCATTATTAAATCGCTTAACCGCGTGGGTTTCCACAAGTACCCGATCTACATCCACAACCACAGGCACTCGCACGCTGCGATCGTCGTGCGGATCCAAAAAGAGGGGTTTGAAGAGGGCCACACCGTGATCAAACACTGGCTTGACTGTGAATTTGAGCTCTAATACAAATATGTATTACCGATCCCCACAAAAGAACAAAAATACACGGAAACGCGTAAAACGCGGTACAGCCGTGGAGAGACGGGGATCTCCGCTGCTACAACATTTCAAGACGGACGGTAACTCGCCACTCTAAACCCGGTTCCGTTGAATTTCACAACAATAAGAAGCATGGAAAGTACCTGCATCCCCGAGGCTCCTTTCGACCCTTGGGATGCATTCTGCTCGAGGGAGGGAGGGCCGGCCCCTTGTGGACGGAGGACGGATCCCCGCCCCGCTCCGTAACCGCGCGGCTTCAGCGAATCCCAGGAGCTCGGCAGGTGCACAGCAGGTGCAGTGCAGTGAGATCTCCCGGCCTCATATTGTCATATCCCGCATCCTGCCCGTCCATGCGCAAGGCGACCTGCAAGAGAATATGGATATGAAAGATGTGCGCGTGCGCACTTGTTAACACTACATCGCGCTACCCTACTCGAAACTTATAGATCCAGACAATAATAAGAGTGAAATATAGATAGATTTCCCAGTCATACAAAACCCAGCGCCTTAAATGATCAGAATCAATACTTATCCATACAGTCAGCCAGTAAACTAATTCACTACAGAGTACCCCGGTAGAATCTCTATCCTACTCCTCCACCCTCGCCATCAACAACTAGAACCAGTAAATATATATAATAATTGACTTATAAGGAATCACCAATTTGCCTCTTCCGTTTTCCGTCTCGAATTCCCCGGGGGCGGTTGAACATCGATATCGTTGGTAATTGGCCAGGTCCCAGCTTCAGCTTCAGCTTCAGCTTCAGCCTCGAACTAGTTACCTTAGGTACTAACCTAGTAGGTTCGGATTGAACTACTAATTGGATATTGCAATCTTGTACTAAGTAGTATGTCGGTGTGTGTGTGTGTGTGTGTGTGTGTGTGTGACTGTAACTGTCATTTATTACTTCGTGCTAGGCAGGGGTACTCCGAGTCTATTCTTCTTTCCTTGGTCTTCTTGGGAATCTGGGGGAAGAAAGAAAGAAGGGGGCAGGGACGAGGATTGAACATGTATACCCTAGGTACGGAGTACCGTCTGTCGTCATGATGCGTGGCTGGCTAGGCAGGCTACTGGTAGTCTCAGCTACGTGGAGAACATACCTAGAACATAGGTATGTATAATGAAGTAACTATATTATTCTTATTAAGGAGGGGGAAATAATAATACTAATACTATACTAATACTAATACTAATACTAATACAAGACAAGACAAGAAATTTCCAGTAAGGAAGTGGTGGCTTATCTTTTGGCTTACTGTCTAGAGAAAGGCGCAGATACAGTCTCGGGCTTATGCATGCTGAAGATCATATATTGTGATTCTCATACGCCATACGTCGTGGCTAGCAAGCTAAATTCAGCAAATTCAATTGGCTGTGAGACCGACGGACGGACCTCAGCTCGTTCTATCATAGGTCATAGTCATAGGTAATAGGTAGTCTATAACGTCCTGTCTGACATTAAGCGGACGGGACGGAGCGAAGAAATTCATGATCAAAAGTAAGACAACTCAAGAAAAACAAGTGGGGGTGTTTCATGGAAACTGGCTTATCTGGCAAGCAAACATAATTGAAAAAAAAGGAAGAAAAAAATTTATGAAGGTTAGTGCCGACATGGGAATCATCTAGGTATGTATGTCATCTAGTGGATCATAGCTTGGTAAAAAGAGCAAAGGGAAAAAGAAGAGCAGGGAAAGTGAAAGCAAGAAAAAAGGAGCAAGAAAATAAATGTTCTTTAAAGAAATGCATCATCTAGCAGACGCCATCCCAAAGAACGATTAGACCGTTATGAATCCAGTTCAGTTACGGACTGCCCCATTTCCGGATGGAGTTGGCTTCTGAGTAAGCTCGCGATCGATTGCGAACTTGACGGCGTCGAGAACGGTCTCGCAAGTTTTCTTAGGAGGGTAGCGGGGAATAGTGCCCTCTTGATAAACACCGGTCTTGACAAGGATCGAGAACCAGGTGGCCTCGCTGATCTCGTTAAACTCGTTGGTGCCACGAATGTCCGATTCGGGGGTATCGCCCACAAAATACACAGTTTGAGGGGGATTGTCGATGCTGTGGGTATCTTTGCGCCACTGACGGAGGAGCCGGGTGGCGAATTCAAAGGTTCCGAGTTGTGGTTTGCCGAAGGCGATCGTGGTCAATTCCTTGCCGGTCACTGCTTTATATAGGGCTTCCAAGGAGGCACGAAGGGCGCCCATGCCAATGCGGGAGTGTTCGTGGGAAGTTGACCAAACCACGTCGTTGTGGGAGAAAAAGATGGGAGGGCCTTCGTCGAAGGTCTCGGAGCGTTCGTCCAGGCGGCCGTTCTTGGACATCAAAACGTCCAGAATGATCTGCTGGTCACCAGCCCAATCGCGGCTATCGGCAAAGACGAAGACCGCTTCGATTTGGATCTTGCTGAAATCTCGGACTCTGGAGTTCCTGTACTCCTCCTCGGTCAGTTTTCGGAATGGAGTGGTGTCGTGCCGGGTCTTGATGATGTCTCCGGGGGTGACGACATCCTTAAAACCGTAGCCTTCAGCTACAACTCTGCATTTCTCTCCTTCGCCTCCAACAACCAGAACAGTGTTGTACTTGGCAGCCATTTCCCTCATGGGGGTGTGGCCGCAAATAAACTGGCCAGGAGAGACTTCCAGTTCAAGTTGTCGGCTGAGATCTATGCATCGCTCCTCCTCTGTCTTTCCACCACCGTTTGTCACAAAAATGTAAGGACTATGATTAAAATTAGTACAATGTGGTTAAAAAAAAAAGGCGGGCGTTAAAAAGCAACCTACACTTTGATACCATACGGATTAGCTCCGTTGATGTACTTGAGGGCGTCAATAGCGGCGGGAATGGGCTGTCCGCCTCTAATGAGGACCCCGTCAATATCGAAGGCCAAGGCAAATTCATCAGTGGTGGTGGTAGAGGCAGGAATAAGAGGGGTTGTGACAGGCGAGCCAGCTCGAGGAGATGCCTCTGCTGAGGAGCTCTCATCTTCTAAGTGCTGTTTGGCCATTTCCATCTCCATGGCGATTTCTGCGGCGTCACTGGAAGCCATGAGATGTTTTGGAGGCACCAGGACATTCGGGCCACCAAAGAGATCGGCCCGAGAGGCGGAAACGTTGGACAATCGGCGACATGATGGGTTGCCCTCGGTAGTGATGCTGTTATCAAGAGACATGGTGGATTGTGGGTATTCTGGGTCGAAAGAAGAAGATATGATAGGGTAGGAGAGGGTTACTTGCAAGAGAAGCACCCGAGAGAGAAAGTGTGGGAAAACCAAGATCGTCCTCGCAAGGACTATCGTGACGACAAACGTGGGGAAAAGAAAAGGAAAAAAAAAAAAAAAAAAAACCGGGGACCAAGGTTGATCAAGTTCCAGCGATGAACCACCGTCCCACAACGACACTATGACTTGATAATAACGAAATGAGATCAGAGCCGCAGCAAAGGATCGGAGCTGTTGGCGCTGACAGCAGATGGTGTGGAGGTGAATGAGTCTAAGGAAGGATATTCAATCACAGTGGGGTAGGAAGAAATTGAGTAGATGAAGGGAAAATAGGTTGAAGGTTGATGCTGGAGACCAGAGCCATTAATATAAGAGGGGTGGTGGAGCAGAGGATGAAGTCTGAATCCACAGGCGATGCGGCCCCTGGCTCCGTCATCGACCGCGTGTGGAACAAGGCATCCTAGAGGGCCAGAGGCTTGTAGATTTCTTCCTCATCGGAACCTTGGGACTCCACCCCGAGGCAAAACCTTTCGAAAACCTTACCGCTCCTCTCCCGCTGTATGGTGTGTGTATGTGTGTGTATGTCATGGAGGTTTGGTTGACCATGGACTGCTCTGAAATGATAGGAGGATGCAAGATGAGAAAGGCTATGATTCGCCCCCAGCATCGGGAAGGGGGCGCCAACAGGAGCCGAAGTGTAAGAAACAAGACGGCGTTCCATCTATCCAGGATGGCGGGGAAGGTGACGTGCAGTGGAGTAAGGAGTCGCAGGGAAAGGAAGAGGAGAATGGGTCTGGCCAAGGACAATGTTCATCATTGCATATTTGATTGATCCAGAGATGGGGGGTGAAGAGAAAGAAAGAAGGACAGAAAAACACCATCATCAATGATTGTAGTTGATGTCATCATCAACCCAGAAAGAGAGAAGAAAACGAAGTGGAAGGAAGTACAATTGGATTGGAAGATAAGATGTCTTGTCCAGTAATTATCATTAGTTACTAGATACATCTGATTACATACATAGTAGTTACAGTAATTCATACAGATCCATTACGCCGTTAATACCATCCGATTACCCCCGCGCTGATTCGTCTACAGGCGGCAAAACCTTGAAGGCCCAACCGGCGTAGAGGCTACCTAGGGACAGGCTAATAGGGAAGATGAAATCATGGTTCTTTATGAATACCTAGGTAGTCGACTCAGGACATTATAGCCTTGTTGGATCATCATTTCTGACATCATTAGTAGTGGATTGTCCCAGCCCAAATTACCCTATCATCTTATCAGGCGACGGTACAGAGCTTACCGTACCATTACATGAATCGCAGCCACCGTTTGAGGGTGTCAAGTTACATACAGCTTCTTGGTTCTACTAAGGTACTACTAAGAGGGCAATAGAATTAAGAAGAACGTGTACAATTTCTCTGGATCAGATTCAATGCAAGGAGACCCTCAGCACGAAATAGAATAGGAACAACCCCCAGAAACACTTCCTTGATTGGGCCAAACCACTTTCCAGCTCCCTATCAAATACCGCATACGGATCATCATGCATGCAGGCCTCGCCATTAAGAGTCCTTGGCTATATTATTACTGCTATGATTGTTTGGAAGAAGCACTGAGAATGTACTAGTCCTGTCAGCTATGTTTACAGAGTACCTACTCTGTCCACCAGGGCGTTGTGCATGTGAAGTGTATTGTTGCATTTCTTACTAGTAAACATACTCTTGATGTCTACTACTACTAACTACTACTAGGTACTAAGTAGTAGTACCCTTAAGTCGTATCTAGGTCTGTATAAACCTGGTAGGGAGAAGAATATTGTTCCAAGTTCCCAATTACCTAGATAGACAGCACAGATCTCCGTATCTCGTCAGACTGAATTCTCTGCATATCCATTGCCTGATACTCCATGCCCTATATACCTAGTTATACCTAGTTATTAGTTACTACCTAGTACTTAAGAGTAATAACAACACCATTCTTCTTTCCCTCAGCTCATCCATGTAACCCGCCTTGGAAAGTTTATATATGTTACCCTCAGCATAACCGTCCACTTAAAACACAGCAAAGTCGAGACTAGAAATGTTACCTCCTACCTAACTCACCAAGCTAAGTAGAACTAGTACTAAGGTAGTAACTAACTAGTAGGAGTTAGTTAGTGCCACTTTTGAGGGGTACTTGAGAGGGTTTTTTTTTTTTTGCCGGGGTTCCTTTTTCCACAGAGGTGAGAGATACTTTGAAGGTTCGAAGCAAGAAACTATACTGCTAACTACTGCCTACCTAATGCTAATACTGTCTAGTGATTTTCTTCGACGTGGGTAATCCTGTTGTATAACTAACTAGTTAACTAGTTGACTCGCTAAATGCCTATATGGACTCAGCTTAACTATTATCTGCCTACGAGGTCTTCCTTGACTACTCTGACGGGGTGGTTATGCGGATGTAGAAATAACTTTCTTCACCGGCTGGTCAGTCAATTCACCGTATCCGATTACATCAGTAGGTAGGTAAGGATGGATGTTGATTCGGATTCGGTACCAAGCTTCAGGGCAAGAATCATGCAGTGATGTATGCTTTCTTCCTAGATGGTGGAACTCGTCAGGTTACTCCTGTTGCTGCTGTTGCTGCTGCTGCTGCTACTACTACTACAGCTCATGTGCGAGTGTAATACGAAAGCATTCTACATTCCAAAGAGGAAGTACGTGGAGAGGCTAAGCATAGTCATTCATTCATTTGGGATTTCGGATCGATTGCTTCTCACATGACTCCGTGGTGGCGCCTGCAAGTTAATACGGCAACAGCCAATTCATCAACAACCCCAAGTGTGCATTGTATACGGAGTATATAGACAAGAAATTGTGCACGCAGTAAGGGAAGAACTCAAAAAGAGCGCTAATGTGCAAGAAAAGTATATATCCATAGATCATGGGGTAGATAATACATGGTAGAGAAAGAAAGTAATATGCGATGCTTCACACCCAACACATGCTATTCGAGAGTTCCATTATTATTTTCAGTCCACTTGGAGTATCAAGTCAGAGCCTCTCCGGGAGGGGGATAGGTTACGCTGCTCCAATGGCAACGGTTTTTTCTTGGGCATACCCATTACTGTTTTTTTTTTGGGGTGCGTACTTGAACTCCCCGGAAATTCTGGCCGGAATGTATCCTTCCCCTCCCAGTAGTTGTCGGGGCAAAAGGGGACGCCAAACCCTTTGGCGGAGGGTTTGCCTCGGCGTATTTGCACACGTTTAATATCATCTCGTCGAACAATCCTGGGCCTTGAAATTATCTCCTTAGTTGGATTGAACAATCCAGAGGGTGGTTCTGGTGGAGATATTGCATGTTCAAGGTCCCCGGATATGTTCTTGCTCAAATATGTCCGTGGTTCACTGGTCGGTGTCTTGATCTCTCTCACAGGGGTGAGTGCTCGAAAATTCCCAGAGTGATGGGACGCTCGACGGGATTCGGTATTATCGTTGATGTCGACCGTCTCAAAGTCGGGTCCAAGAGAGCCCCCAAATGACTTTCTTTTCACCTTAGGACCAGGGAAAGAACGACGTGCCGTAACACGAGACGGTCCCGCTCCAAACCCTCCAAGCCCAGCGTCAGGGGGCCGCCAATAACTATCGAAATCATTACTCTGGTTAAAAGGATGGGCCTGGGGGGGTTGGTGTAGAGGAGTTTCATAAACATTGGCTTGTGGAGAGGGCTGAACCTTCTCTTTCGCATTCGTGAAGATGGGCTTCTTTCCGTAATCTTGCCCATTCATCGCTCGCGTATCACCAACCCGGCCTCTCCCAAATCCATACAACATCGCACGTGGATGCGCTGGAAGTCCTGCAACCAGATGTCGACTGAACCCACTGTTTCCATATGATTGGCCTGCCAATCCCGAGAAACTCGATTGCTGGGGTGATGAACTAGGAAAGTATCTTGGTCCCATGAAACCATCCTCTAACAAAGTTTCACCACTAGAGGGTCCCAGCTTCTTCTGTTGACTCCATCGCAAAGGCCGCGGACATAGTTCATAAGTAGGCTTGTCGGGAAGCAAGTCGGAAACTGTTCGAGATGACTCACTAGACGCGACATCAAAATCAGCATGGGAGGACGATTTCAACCCCATACGATCTGTGCTATCCGTAGTCATGCGGCTGTAGCCGTACTCATTATCCGGTTCGGTAACAACGACGGCTGGGTTTTGATAATTGTGATTTTCGGTTTCAGACAGAGGCGCAGGCCTCGCACTCTCGGAATCTGGGTTCAGTATGCGAGGTGAGGGCTGGAGTCCTAGTGGCGGACGTTTTGGTGGAAAATCGAAATCCGGAGGCTCTGACATAATGCCTCCAATTTCAAAAAAATTTCGATCTCGCTCATGCTGATTCTTACGTCTAATCTTTCTACAGCAGAAGAATATGACGACTCCAATAATGAAGAATCCAGAGACTCCAGAAGCAACAGAAACCCCGATAACAGCACCGGGGTCAAGGCTGGTGCCGTTGGAAGGTGAGGAACCTGGAGATTCGCTCAAGGTTGCACTAGGAGAAGAAATTGAAGATGTACCAGAAACTGTTGGCTCCTCGGAGTCTGTGTTGGAAGGGACCTGGTTGCTATCCGTGGCAGATACTGGAGTCTGGAATGCTGTGACAGAGGTGGTGGTTGTGTGTTTGGTTCGCGTACTCGTAGGTTTGGGATCTGTGATTGGAACAGAGTCTGTAGTTAGTGCCTTAGTCGTCGTTATCGCCGCAGAAGCAGCTGTGGTAGCAGTAGGGTTAACTAGAGACATGGTGGTGGCAACGATTGTAGCATGGGTGCGTGGCAGAGCGCTAGCTACAGAATCACAGATTCCGTAGGTATCGAAACTCAATGCCACCTCCATACTGCACGTGGAGAGACTACACCGCAATGCCCCTTCCCCAAGAGTGTACCCGCTCGTTGTATTCGTCGTGCACAAATAAGTGAGATCACACCCCTTAGAGCAGGAACTCTTTGGATATTCGGAGATTATGAAGTTTTCGATGCAGGTTGCGGCGCATTTTGGCATTAGATCGAGCAGCGACACAGCGGTTGTACGGCGCACGTCTTCTGCGAGACATGACAAAATGAAGGAAGCTGCAATAAGTGTCCATCGCAGAAGGTATAGTAACATGTTGTGGGAAGCCTGTTAATGATGCTCAGTTAGTCAACTGCAACACTTCAAGAACAACGGAGCAAAACATGAGGCACAGTAAATTGTCAAGCATATTGCGAATTTTACATACCCCTATCTTCGAGCTACAGAGGAACTACTTCCCCTGAGGCATATGTAGGTTTAGTATACCATCCTAAAGTTAGAGATTAAGAAAAAGAGTAGAGCTTGTGAAGGTTCCAACTTTAGACAAGGGCATATGCTCGCATCAAGTAATAGTAGACACGGCCAGCGAAAAGGTCTGGTAACAAGGTGGGAGTGCGATATCATTATTTAAACCTAGGGCGCCTATAGCCATCTCGTTACTATTGGAGTGAAAATGAATTTCAACTCCATCTGGCCTGGCGGCGACTGACTGGGCCATAGAACCACCACAATCCGAGACGGGGCGCATCTAGCTTGCTCGTACGCGCTGCGATGAAACGCAAGGTCCAAACCCAGATACTTGATGAAGAAATGACTCCCGGGGAAGGAGGCCCTCTCTTTGGATGAGAAGAATGGAGTTGTCTGGGATAGGCGCCGTGGTTAGCGCCGATGCTGCAAGATGAAGAAATCAGGATTCAGGTCAGCTGATCCCGGAGTCAGGGCGCTTCGAGGAGCAAGAAAGAATTATATGTGGAAGAACTATCACCTTGTAAATATGACGATCTAAGTATGCTTAAAAGTTCTTTGGTCGAAGCATGAGATCCAGGTGAGGCTGTGCACAGAAACCAGAAAATTTCGGATCTACAGGAAACCTAGGTTTCGCTGAGTCTTCAATACGGATATTGAAACCAATGGCCCCTGTGCTAGCTTTGATTGGTGTAATATTGATCTCAAGAAAATACATTAATTTATTGCGTCACTAAGAAGCGGAAAGTAATATTATCATTTCCATGGATTATTTCAAGCTAATCACAGACAATAAAACAGAGCGAAGCCCAGTAGTACCATGAGCTGGTATCATCCAAAGCAGAAGAGAAAGAAACGAACTTGGGACATAATCGACTAGCATAACGGCGACAATAATCGGTCATCAACATGCGACTGTCGTTATAAAGGATATGGAGGGAGCGCGAATTAGAGGTGGCACGCTAAGCGCCGGGGATGCTCTAGCCTCGCCCTTTCGCCCGGAGCTCCACGGAAGCACGCGGACCAGATAGAAATCACCTGTTGAGCTTGATTGCGACGATAGAACGCAACGTAGCGAAAGAGGTTGAAGATCCAGCGACAATTATTAGGTGGTTTAGTGCTTGAATATAATGTAGCTGTTGGGAGTATAGTTAGTAAGCCAAGCCTGATAGCTGCGATTTGCGCAAAGGAATACACGTACATCGCGTGGATGATACCGGGAAGCCAGCCCAGAATTGTCAAACAGATGTTAATGAGGAGATCGGCACCGCATCCTCGCTCAAGGAAAACACCTAGAGGAGGAAGGATGAAGGCGAAGATGAGCTTGCAGATATCACTACAGAAAATGACGTATTAGCAATGAAAGACACAAATTTTTGAACCTTTTTCTCCTTTTTCTCCTTTTTTGTTTTTTTTTTTTTCGGCGCAAAAGGTAGACATGGGGGAGCGCAATCAGACGCTGAGAAGAGAATAATCTAGGCAAATTGCGACGCGAAGGATCGGGGTAGAAAGAAGGGGGCGATGATGGAACAATAAGCGGAATAGCGGTGACTTACGAAGCAGTGAAAGGCATTGTGAATTAGATTGAAGCAATAGCTTTCTGTGAGATATTCGACCAAGATAGCAGAGGGGAAATGGCAAAGGGAGGTGTGAGAGGTGTGAGATGTAAGAGACGGAAAGGAAAATCAAGGATACCAGGGAGAAGGTGAGAGGAAAAAAGGCGGAAGCGGTTCTTAAATCCTTTTGGATTCTGGAGCGGGGGGGCAAAGGCTCAGTTGATACTAGCAATTTTCCTCTAGATGAAAGAGAAAAGATCAACGATATCACTATTTGGGCGTTAGTAACCTTGAATTGGACCTTAACTAACTAGTCAGAGCTCTGGACTTTATTAACTAGTAACTAGTTAGGGTCCAGTAGGTTATAGTAGTAGAATCTAGATTACTACCTGTAACTAAATAGGTAGTTTTTGAGGTTAGAAAGGTCATACGTCATACTACTCCGTAGTTATTGGCTAAATCTCTCTATGATGACCGGTTTGACTTTTCTCATCGGCTGACTTTTGCGTCGTTTCGACGTAGGATCATTATCGTACCCATTATTAGGTTGTCTTATGGATGCTGAAAGAGCTGAGCGCCAATGCTTCATAATATTAATGCGGTTGCCTGAAACCGATTTTCTTGGCCTTCTAGCGTTATGTAGTCACTTTTTGCTTCGCCGCAGTCTTCCGTCTTCTGTAAGAGGCTTCGTAATTACCATGATCGCGGTTCTAATCATCTTCCACTCCATTCCGAGGCTTTTCTTCTGATGAAGATTCCTGCGACCTATGGCCCACATCCCTGCAGCCCTATCATTTTTGGTATCAACTCATCCGCATTGCCGATTTTTCAAGGGATCTCCAGACTTCCAGAGGCTGGGATGATATCATCCGATCCGGGCTAAATTTAGTGTCAACCGTCCCAGCCATGATTCTACACACAATTTATTTCGAGAACCTTGCCTAATGCTTCAGGGGAAGAGTACACTTTGGTATGGCGTAATATCTCAAATGATACAATGTGACAAGTAGTAGTACCAAGCCGACAGCGTAGTAGTTAGGTACCTGTACTTGAGTTGAGGTCTTGCTTGGCCAAAGCAGTTGGGTGATGTAATCAACACCGCATTTTTACTGTAGAATGTCATTAGAATCTCTATATGGATGTAACCCATTTATTTCGTAGAGTACTAAATTCCAGCAACAAAGAAAACTTCCTAAGGTAGCTGATTAGCCTCTTTCTACTCCAAAATGGTTGGTGCTCCGTCATGAGTCTTGGCAACTGAACGCCAGCAAAAAACTCCCTCTGCATGTATCCAACCTCCTCGTGTCTCCACGCCCCGCGAATCATTCATCAACTCCCTCCATACTACTAGCATCTGGATTTGCCCCGCGTGCAATGCCGCGGCTGGCTCTGACACCAGAGCTTCCTCGGCGAATGGCGGCATGCCATCCAGCTTCTCTCTGTTTACGAACGCACAACCATTTGCGAAGATGGATTAGCTCGCAAGGGGACGCTACTGCTGGCCGCTCATTAGCTTGCACCTGGCTAACTACAACGCCTGAAAAAATCGTAAGTTTTCGCTCATTCCCCTTTTTCAGGCTACCTGCTCATCGTTCATGAGACTCCAGACGAGATTCTTTCTAGTTCTCCCATTCCAGAGCTCAAACCAGAGCATGGATACACTCCAGTTCTTCTCGTTACCCCTGCATTTGCCCACCTGGTGGACTCCAGCCACAATTTCCTCGAGCAATGGATGAATCGGCTTTATTCTAGCCCCTCGGACCACACCTCCCGAACCCCTCGACATGCCGTCGTCGCAATCGTCGACCGCCTGCCCAACAATGGTTTCACAGCTGGTGATAAAACTGTGACTGAGGCGGATGGCGTTGCCATTTTATTTTCGAAGGCAGAGGACATCCAAGGGAAAGTAGCCCCGCCACGTCAAGTCCGCGCTCTGGAAGCTGAGGAACCGACTTTGCTCTTTTCATTCCGAAAGGAAGTTGAAAGCACTGGCGACGAAATTACATATCGGCCAACCCACGAGATCGGCCTACGGCTCGCCAATACCATATTTGTAAATGGAAAGGAGAGCACACTATTTGGAACTCGCTGGGTCTACGACCCTACTTTGAAAAGGCTCGCCCTGGAAAAGTTGGCAGATCTCTCCACGTGCGTGGTCACCGTAAATCCACAAGATATCCGCCAATCGCTCGAGCTTCCTCTGCATCCTATTGGTGAGCGACGAAAAGTTATCTCGAGCATGGGGAATATTCTACGCCAGATAGCAAAACATACCGACGCTCAATCAAGCGATCCGATGCCAGCTTCGGCCGAATTGGAGAAGGAACTTCCGCGCTACATCGCTGAGCACGGGATTGCCGATCGGAGAGTTTCGGTTTGGGCTTTGGTCGAGACGACTGCTGATAGTGCCTTCGCCAAGTCAGGCTATACGGCAGACAGTCTTGCAAAGTCGATCCAAATGGGCGGCAAGCTCCATCGCGTCATGAGTGGCGGAGGTGGGTGGGGAAAGAAACAAGGCCTTCTATCGCTGGACCCCGAAACAAGCTTTCACCAAGCTGGCAGCACTCAACTATTCACCCTCAACTATATCCTCTCTTCAGATGCCGATATCTCTGTCCAAGAGACTTTCCTATCTTGTGAGAAAGGACCGATAGTGGAAGATCTATCAACATTGTCCCAGGCTGCAGGAGCTGGGGATTACATTCAATTTTTTGCCTCTACAGAGCCAATCCATACGCAGGAATCTCGTCTTGAAGCTCCGAAAGCTGCAACAGAAAGACTCACCTGCCATTTTGGCCTAGTCTCCGACGCTGAAACCGCTACAAGCCAAGCCGGTGAACAAAGAAACCTCCTGATTGCGCCCAACTTCTTTGGGGCATTATCAGAGAAAGCCATTACGTATCTCCAGCCCGTGGTCGGGGTTAGCTCCAACCAACCTCTCCTAGAAACTCGCACTAAGATTGATATTCCTGGATCCCGGGTTGAGCTGGTGCTAAAGTGAATTGAGTCCCAAAGCAGATACCTTAACCTTTCCGCCCTTTTGCGGCGGGCCATTAAGACATGTATTCATATTATATTTTGTATTATAGCCATAGCAACTTTTCATACCCAATATACCACTCCCATACCTTTGTGATATTTACCGACTAATTCTATCCCGAGATTCTGATGTTTCGTCCGCCCGAATGGCGCCAAGACCCTAGTCACGTGATATACAGAGGTCAGCCTCCCGGAAGCAACCAGCGTGTTCGCCTTCGACTCCCATATCCGATCCTGCACCGTCAAGCCTTCACTTCATCGTCTTAACGGGAGTTCTGCTGTCCTATTCCTGTCCCTTTCTATTGTCTCTACAGTTTCCTCTGGAATTTTTATTTCCTCCAACCCCGTTTAATAATCAAAATGGCCACTGAACTCTGGTACGTAATCTTCAATGCCCTCCTTTTTCTCGTGTTTTGACCACTGCTTCTGTGGTAATCCCCTATCCTATGTCTTTGGTGCTAGCTATATGTCTGGTCTATCTCAAATACTAACTCTGTATCGATGTAGCCCCGTCTATGCGGTGAGTTTTATAACCTTGAAGTTCCGTTGTTCCCAAGGACTGCACTGGCTGCTATCTTCCCGATACCTCGGACTCTCCCCATCGCAGCACGAACTCAGATCTCTTTATCCCCAGAACACCCGATCTAACAACTAACGATTTTTTATTTTTTTTCCACATACTTAGCCTTTCTTCGGTGCCCTCGGCTGTACCTCAGCCATCGTCTTCACCTGCTTCGGTGCCGCCTATGGTACCGCCAAGGCTGGTGTCGGTGTCTGCGGCATGGCCGTCCTGCGCCCTGACCTGATCGTTAAGAGTATGTTGGAAGTTCTATAGGTTACTCGTGATTTTCCTAACTTGATGTCACTCGCAGACATTGTTCCCATCGTCATGGCGGGTATTATTGGTATTTACGGACTGGTCGTGTCCGTTCTGATCGCGAACGATTTGACTCAGAAGCTTCCCCTGTACACAGGGTTCATTCAGCTGGGAGCTGGTCTGGCTGTCGGTTTGGCAGGTTTGGCAGCTGGGTTTGTTACCCTTGACGCCACTGGATTTGTATGGTTCAATCTAATTTTTCAATCATAGTTTTGCCATTGGTATCGTCGGAGACGCTGGTGTCCGCGGAACAGCCCAGCAACCAAGGCTCTACGTCGGCATGATTCTGATTCTCATTTTCGCTGAAGTCTTGGGTAAGTTCGAATAGAATGCTGTGTGGTAATGCTTTGCTAATCGCGCATTTCTATTCTCCAGGTCTTTACGGTCTCATTGTGGCTCTTCTTATGAACTCCCGTGCCAGCATCGACGTCAAGTGCTAAACGAGCACACATCACCATTCGTGATGCGGACAACCGCCATACGAGACAAACTCAATTCTCACTTTCGTATACGGCACCCTCTGGAGACCTGGACTCGGATACTTGAACGTACTTGATATGATGGTGTAGTTAGTACCTTCCCTACTCGGCTTTCGAGGATGAATAGCTTTCGTGCTTGTTTTTCTGGAAGCTTCCAGCAGTGGAATATATTTTTTTTTGGATGGATGGATGGAGCGATAGGGGGAGGAAACGTTGGATTTCTATTTACCTGGACGAGAAATTTTCATAATCCTATCCCCTGGAACTCTAGCTAGAACTCGGGGATGGAAACTTTGTTGGTAGATACATTGCATGGTTTGCGAAACTGTACTTTATGGGAGTTGCTATTGATCCTGGTGCTGGATCTTTATTACTCTGCAATGCTGAAATGTTTTCTTTTTCTCCTTTTTGTTTTTTTTTTTTTTTTTTTTTGCTGGTTTTATTCTGCTCTTATTATTTATTCTTCCGTATTTGCTCAGTCAAGTTTAATTGAATCTCTAGATGTTTGGTTTTCTCTCCGCTTCTCAATCCTCCAGTTTGCGCGTTCAAGCCCGTGATCCAGTTTACGTTACCCAACTACAGAGTACAGAGTAGGCCGTCTCATCCTCTCGTTCTCTTGACACATAGGTACCATCTCCCCTTCGAATTTCCTGGTATCACATTATTGGTTTACTTACATAACTATCTACTTAGATGGAAGTGGTACGAGTGGCACCGCTGCCCGAGCCCATGGTTCTAGGAACGATTTCGAAGCGGCGACAAAACGATACAGCTAGGCACATATATATGAATGATGTTTTCATATTGTCTATGAAGCGCACAATGCAGAAGATATGCAATGTTTGAAGAAACAAGCAAAAGAGCAGGACAGGAAGTAACGAGGAGCATGAGAGCGTATGAGCGAACAACCAAGAAACCCAAGCAGAAGATCGGGTCTCAATGATATACAAGTCTAATAAAAAAAAAAAAATAGACCAACGACACAACACGATACCCTGGTGATTGGAGAGTTTAGATAAGAAAAAAAAAAAAGCAATTGTACGGGAGGAAAAATTAGACACAATGAAAATAAAAAAGCGACGCAAGATGGGAAATCAAGCCTTGTCAAGCTTGCGTCTTAGGGTTCTCGTCCTGCGGAGGAGCTTCTTGAATTTATGTTTCTTCATCTTCAGCTTGCGCCGTCTGCGAGTGCTGATCGCGTGCATGGAGCCGTTGTTCCGTACGCGCTCGACGTAAGAAGTTTGGGAGTTCTGAGGGATATCGATAATAGCCTCGGCTTCATCAGCACCGGGAGCTTCCATAGTCCGAGCTTCGTATGTCTTGTGTCCGTCAGCGTGTGTGGACTCGTGAATAGTCAAGACAGTCGAGTAGCTGGCGGTTTGCTGAGAATCCAGGTTTTCCGACTCCGCAGCACCGGCCTCTCTCGACTCGTCGAAGGGAACAGGGGGCGGGGGAGGGTTGAAGGGGCGAAGGCGCTTTGTGAGTTCCTCAACGGAAACTTTCAGGTCGGACATGTCAAATCCGTCGAAGTGGTTTCCCTCGACTTCAAAGACGTTCATAGAGTTGTCGGTTTCAGCAAGGCGATGGGCAGCATTCTCCATGGTGTGGACAGCAGAGGAAAGGGTGAATATCACATCTTCAGAGTCATCCTTCGAAGACTTTTTAGAAGTGAATATCGAGTCGAAGGCTTCCGAGCTTGAGGGCGGAGGGACGGTCGTGGAGACGGAAATAGGTCGGTGGATGGAAAAAAAAGACGCAACATGAACATCTACACCGGAAAGAAGACGGTCAGCTCATGGGAATGGTTACCGTGACCAAAAGCAAAACTAGCATTTTTTTTTTTTTTTTTACTCACCATGTGGCTGAAGGTGCTGGGTTGAGGGAACACTGGGGAGCCGGGAAAAAGCTGTCGGCGGGCTTGACTTGGAGCCACCGCGACCATTGCCATCTTTTCCCCTTCGTCGAGAGGGCTTGCCCTCACGCTTCTCTCCGGAATTCACTCCTTTCGTTGGTGTTTGAGAGGAGGCATCAACTCGCCTCGAGCCATCACTAGGTTTGGAGGATGACGAGGAGTATCGGCGTTGACGGGCATGTTGCGTGGTGCGGATGATATTGGTGGACGAAGCTGCAAGAGCTTGGCCGGACGCGCGAGAAATGCCAGAAATTGGCACTATTGGGGCCCAGGCTGCCCTGCGCAAGGAGGATGACAGCATTTTCAGTGTGGAAGAGTCCCAGCAAGTGGGAGAAGGTGATTGTCGAGAACAAAGACCGTAATGAGGCGAAATCGAAGTTGAGCCGATCATGCGGAAGTCGGATTAGGTAAGTCCCCGGTGCTTGCCTCAGGCATACAGTCCGGCAGCCAAGGCAAGTAGCTAGGTACTCTTTGTATACAATTCTACAGTTGAACAAGGAGAGAGTTCCAAAGTTGCTTAACCCTATTGAATTATTTAGATGAAAACAATTACAATACAGACTAACAATAATGAAATAATTCCATGAAATTGGTATAATCACTAATAAATTAATTTCATGAGTGATTTGATCCAGTCGGCCTCCCACAGTTTCCGGCAAAATAATTACCCTCGGGTATAATCTCATAGTCTGTGAAGTGAGTTCTGAAGAATGCTAGCATGCAGCCTCTGAAGCAAAGTAAGAAGAGTGGCAGAAGGAAAGGTAAACAAGGAGAGGTAGTTCGAGTGAATAGTACAAGAGAAGATAAAAGAAATCGTTAGGTATGCCAGAAAACCCTGACACAGACATCAGAAATTGATGGTATCAACTGACATTATTAGGAAATGAACCAATCGCTGAACCAGAAGAAATAAAAGCCTGCAGGGAGTATAGCCTTTAACCAAAAAGAGCGTGGCTGCAAGTAAACCGCATTCAGCAGATCTCTCACTCACTGAGTGTGAATGCAAGAACAGAATATATAGATAAAAGAGGCCCAATCAAAGAAAAAAGAATATGCAAAGAAGTTAGAGATCAAACGCTCAGTTGAATGCAACACGAAATCATAGAAGTAGAGAAAGTGGGAATCTCATGGTCGCGGAAAACCTCATGAAAACCAATCGTTCAATCGAAGGAGACTTATAAAATCAGAGTGTGGAGGTTCTTTTGGATAATCATATCCTGTACCGAATCCATGGTAGCTTTCAACAGCGTTGTGTCTGTGGCATTGGTGTGGTGGATGTAGATTTCACGGTCAGGGATGCGGTTAATTCCTCGGAAGCGATCAGAGAAGTAGCTGGTGGCAGCATCAAAATCCATGTTTGAGCCATTGTAATCGGGGAAATGCTTCGAAATGGGTGAAATCTGGAGCTTCCCCTTGAAGAGATCAATCTTGTTAAGGAACAAAATGATAGGTTTCCGCTTGAACCATTCACCATTTACCAAAGACTCAAAGAGCATCATCGCCTCGTGCATTTGATTCTGTGGAAAAGAAGGCTATTAGATCGGGGCATTTCGAGAGTTGCAAATAATGGCTACTCACAGCATTTTGATCCTCAACCAGACACTGGTCATATCCCGACAATGCAACCATGAAGAGCAGGCACTGGACGCCCTCAAAACAATGAATCCACTTCTTCCTTTCTGATCGCTGTCCACCCACGTCCATCATTCGGAAGTTCATCTGACCAAGTTCAAAGAGAGTCTCCGTGATCCCCGTCGTTCGAAGGCGAGCCTGCAGCATATCTTGATTGTCCGGAAGCCAGCCAGGTGTGAACAAACGGTCCAGAGATTCAAAAAAGCTTGTAGGGATTTAGCATCGACTTCCAGCGAAGATAAGGAGGTTCGGCGCTTACTAGTGGAGATTATCATGAAGAGCAAACTCGTGTCCTCTAGAGACGGCTTTCTGCACGCCGATATCCTTCCACATTTCATTCATAGCGTCTCGAACTTCTAGGTCAGAGAATGCCTCATCGTTACCCACGTCGGGTTCGAGATTATCGATGATATCCGCCAAAGGCTACGGGCACAGATTCAAGTCAGTACGGTAACTCAACCCCCCTCCCTCAAAAGTATATGAGAGAATTCCAAATGTTTTGTTTGAACTCACCCTAGTGTTCTCGTGCTCGAACTCGATGCCCTCTGTGCGCATAATTTCCAACAGGACTTTGAACGCAATGACAAGATTAGAATAGATAACTGCACGTGTCTGGCGGCGCTCATCTTCTGGGAAACCACCAGAATGAATAATACGCATCTGCTTGATAATAGTAGACTTTCCAGATTCACCAGCACCTGCAAAGAGTCAGATTTGGCAAACAACAGCAATTTATGAGAACAAACCAAGAAGAAGAATTTTTATTGTCCGATCCATGAATTTTTTGTCATTTTTCAAGGACTTTTCTATCCTAGCATTTTGCTGAGCAGCTTCTTTATCATCCGCCGTATTAACGGCCTTGGAACCCATGCAGCCCATCTTGTACAGTGTTGTCAAGGTTGTAATCCACGACAAATCAAGTGCGGTAGCGAAAGCTATGAGTATTGATTAGCGATAAAATTCAGAGCCAATTTTACTCGATATTTGAGGAGAAAGCCAATGTCAGCAATATTCAGGGTGAATCAGGGATACGCTCGAATAAAGCTGAGTAACCAGTCCAAAATTCACAATTGAGACATGACTCAATGTTGATTGGCAAGACAGACATGAATGGTTCATCTTTCGTCTCTTTCTTCTCTTTTTTTTTTGGCTGTCATTTTTGGGGAGGTAGGGCGAGAAGGAATCAGAGCAAAGGAAAATCACCAACCAAATCACAGAAAAGCAAAATCCAGTGGTGTTGAATTCAGCCCAGTTTCAAGCGCCAACTAAAATGCCCTGCGGATGACCCTTCTCCAACGAAGTGCTAGCAGAGACAACAAGGTGCTTCAGCTCTCTTTACTAGTACTCAAATTTGAAAAACTGTCCAACGGCTAGGTCTTTCTTTTTCCTCGAATATCTCTTGAAACGCCCGGTCTGGATTTGCCAAAAATCCGCCCAATGTTCAAGACTTCAGCGCAACAGTCTCAGACTCAACCTGGTCGGAACTATCACGATTATTTTCTGGCGGCAAAACAACCCCTCAACGCAGCGCAATTCGAAGGCGGAGTCGGTTGGGGGATGACACGCCGGTTTTAAGTGTTCCAAAGTCCCTGGAGCTGTTCGAGGAAATCAATTACTCGAGGGTCGAAGTCCAAAGATCCAGTACGTCCAATGGTATGTAAATCGACGTATGTCAAGCTCCTTCGACGAGGCTTCCGGCGTTCTCGATAGGGTCCTACTCGAACAAGAGGCGCGCGGACGAGATGAGGAGGAGGAAAGCAAAGGTAAAAGGAATCGACAGTCAGAATGACGGTTGGGACAGGTGCATCTCTGCCAGACGACGGCGGCGAACAAAAGGAAGAGGAAAGAAGCGACGGGCGGCGGGAAAATAGGTTCTAGAAGGAATCGAAATCCTACAGCAATAAGCAGCAGCTCTCCATAAAGGTGGTGTGAGAAAGACGGTTGCTGAAGCGTCGCGCGCAATTCGTTAGTTATATTCATGCGTCCCCGATCGGAGGAGGGGCCATTTGTCTTAGTCGAGACAAGGCACGGAGAACTAAGTGCTTTTAGGGAGTAGACATTCAGCGGTGGATTTTTTTTTAGCTCTAAGTGGTCCTTGACACTACGGTACCTAGGTACGGAGTAGTATGTAAGTCAGGAAAAGAAAATAACATTATTATTGCTATTATTTGGGGAGGGAAAAAAAATCAATAAATTAGGGGGGGGGGGAAAGAAAAATCCAAAATCCAAATAATACTACACTTGGAAAGGAAAGAGAGATATCATAGTATGGCACACTAATCGTAGTAGTCTGCTTAGCTCTCTTTTAGTGAATGCCAGCTAAACGGGTAGAAATTCCCCCAAGATGATTCCCTACCGCTTTGGTCCTAGAAAGACCTGCCACATCCACTGTGAATGGCCCGGCCTTGTTCTCTCTATCCACCTGGTCCTCCCTTCATTGACCCTCAAAAGCAGAACGACTGTCATGATTTCTTTCTCATGACACCTCGAGGACAGGACTAGGGGGAAAGCGAAGAATGAATTCCGTGGGCGGAGGCTCCATTCCTGGCTCTCTGACCGGTACGCTCAATAATGGCTCAGATTTCATCCAACACGATACCCTTTTTATTTACTTTGAAGGCTGATACCGATGATATCCGTCTATTACGTACTTCCTGAGGTATAAACTCTCTTCATATTTCAGATTCCAGACTCTTTTCCCTCCCTTCCGCTAGCAAGAAGCCAGTTTAGCGATCCCCTCTGCTTGAGGTCTCCACCCCCGAATTCCAGCTATGTGAATTCCTTCTTGAACACCGTTTCCACAATTGTTGCTAGTGTACGGAGGGAGTAGGTAGGTTATCCGCCAAGGGCGGTAAAGCCACGAGGCACAAATTCAACGCATTATTACCATGCACGGATCGACAGGTATTCGGTTGGAGCTGCGTCGGCTGCGCAGGTGCATGGTACAGATCTACTCCGTTTTGGATTTCGTAAGGAACGGAGAACCTACCCGATAAGAACGACAACGAAAATTCGACAGATAATAAATAATTGTTCTGCTCTCAACCTCAAAAAATATTTGTCCGACGTTACCAACCAGATTTACTAAAAATAAGCCTCGCGTTTCCAAATCCATTGATGTTCGACCTCGCTTACGGAGTATACCCTGGTAAGCGTTCAATCAGAATGTTCACCGTTTGTTGGTGGGAGACTGGGCTAACAAGACCGAGGGCCATTATCCAAACTGCTTGGGACCTTGGGTTGGCTCCTGGGAGCTCTCTGAGTAATGGACTGTGGAGCAATTCTTCTTCCTCAGCCCTTATTTATTGGCTGGTTGGGTTCCGGGCTCCTCATGCTCCTGTGCTGATGTGTCAAACCTCCTAACCCATCAGACAAAGTACCAAGTGATGTGTTTGCCGTTGATAAAACCTGTGCTATTCCGGTGTATTGGGCATTATCAATCTTCTAGCGCAAAGAGAAGGTTCAGGTTCATAGTCTGTATGATACATATTTTCCAATGTAAAAGCAATTGGATGGGAAAACCCCTACAGAGTAGAATGGAAGTCATAGTACTCCGTAGTCGGAGCTCTTGCTGAAACGAGGTGGATCTACTCATTTCCGTCCTTCCGGTTTCATCTCTCTGACGAACAATATACACTGTCCGTCCACTAAGGCAGGGGTACTCCGTAGTATTTCCAAATTCCAAGCCGTCATTGTCCATCAATCCTGGGCCATGTTCGACCCTCATTGTTATGTTATTCTGGGGTCTGCAGAGACGCCGTCCCGCGCCCATAAGATCCCTCCTTTTCCAGACAGATCATATGCCAATAATATGTATTCTGGTTGCGTGGGTCATGCATATTCCGGCTCATGATTAACCACCTCATTCCGGAAAAGGCAAAATTATCTTCTATTCCAATGCATAGTGCGGAGTAAGCAGTAAGCACTGAAGCAATCCCCGAGACGCTATCGCGACTAGAACCAAGTGAAATCAGAAAGCACTGGATTTACTGCATCTGGAAGATCCCTGGTTTTTGTTTTTATTTTTATTTTTTATTTTTTTTTTTATTTTCCCCTAGCCTGTGCTTGCTTTGTTTACATATGTATGTCCCTTTCCCTCGGAACTCTATCATACCTATTGAAACTTCAAATACGAATGGCGCCAACACCCAAGTGGAAAATTATTCAAGATCAACAAACTGTCAAGTGTGTTGGATTATACTCAACGGAGCCTCGCCTTCCGGAGTGGTGTCGAATACTCGATAGTTCCCAGTATTATTGGGTACATTTCTCCTCTTCCATGGCATTCCGTCACCTGGATGCTTGGTGAACAAGAAGAAATACATGACTCGAGCAAGGCGATCGATCTTTCAATCGTCCTTGATGTCAATCTTATTCCGTACCCGGAAGGAGATACCAAATAGGTTTGCACATGGGGCACTATTCCGAGCTTTGCCCTCCACGCTAAGAAGCAAGGTGTGTTGGACCAAGTATGATACCGAGAAAGGTTATGTATGCCCTCAAGGCCACTTACAGAGTAGGTGTACGGCCAGAACATCCGCCAATGGGTATAAAAATATATTTGTCACTATTTAACTATCGCTTCGCTAAGGGTTCCACTGCGTAATCGTCTCCAAGACGAAGGATCGCTTCGTTATAAACCCTTCATGCCGATTTGTTTCACTAACTGACGTTGTCAAGCCTCCAAAATCCAAATGCCCCCACATGACGGGTGGAGGACATACTCTGTATCCATGCCTTTCTGCCCACCTAAACTGCTACCCGCTTTAGGTGCACCACACATTCTTCACGATCACACATTCTTCGCGATTTTTGATATTTCAACTTATTTTTATTATTATTACAACATAACATGCTTAAATTTCTAGATTTTAATAAATCTTACTTGCTTGAAGCTATTGCCATAATTTAAAAGTAAAAAAAACTAAATATCATAAAGATTATATAAGAATTTAATATACCTGACTTTATACTCTAAACACGCCTTAAAAAACTAAAGATACTAGTAATACTAATAATAATAAATAAGAACCTTTTATAGTTATATTAGGAGAAGGCCTTAATTAACTAGATTATATAAATATAGAAATAGAACATCCTACTAACTCCTATAGTTATTATAGTATAGGCAAATTAGATACTTACTTGCATGGGGTTAGATAAGTAAGTTAGTAAGATATAACTATATTAATTTAAATTATATATACTAGTAGATTTAGGACTTGCTCTAGTAAAGTAGAAAATTAAAGAATTAAGATAAATATAAATAGAGGATACTAGCTTACTTTAATACTAGTATAATTTTTTAAAATTACTTCTTTATAAGGTCCTGGCTTGCCTTATCTATAACTTTAATAAATATAGTTTCTAACTAGGCAAAGATTATAATAAGAAGATTTTTAGGGATCCTAAATACCCTAATCTTATAGAAAGTAAGTAAGGTAAAAATATTACTATAATTAAATATATTACTATAGATAGTTAGGTAATAGATCTATTTTTTATTTTTAAAATAATAGATAACTATATAGAGGTCTAGTATTATAATATAGAATAATTATTACCTAAAATAATAATAGTAATATCCTTAAATAATTAGATAACTAATAAGCTTGTACTTACCTGGCTATATTAATTTAATACTAAAATAAAGTATCCTGATTATACTAAGCAAGGTAAGAAGTAATATCTAATATTTAATAGCTATAGCTTATATCTTATACTTGAATTTCTATAATATTATAAGAAAAATAATATTATTCCCTTTAGTTTTATAACTTATTTAATATATTTCTATTAATTTCTTAATAAAAAACCTTTTCTTACTTATAAGACTAATTTTTATTTTAAGAATAATAAGCTATCTTAATAGGGGGGTAAGCTATATAAGAAAGTAGAGTTCTTGAAGATTATCTAGCTAATTTATAACTAGATCTTTTGCTAGTAAATTATTCAAGATACCTTTAAAGAATATAGTATCTAGCTAGTTAATAATACTAAAATTATTAAAAAACTAGTAAATTAGATAGATATACTAGATATATTAATTAATTTTTATTAAATCCTATCTCTACTACTATTACTATTCTCTAGTATTAAAAATAGTTCTCTAGTAATAATAAAGGCTCTTCTAAAGAATTAGGTAAAGGTTATAAAGGAACTTAATAAGGTATCTAATTAAGTAAGGTAAAATATATTAAAACTCTTTTAATATTAGGTAGAGAAGCTCAAGGAGCTAAAAATAACCTAGGAAGTAATTTAAAGGATTAGGGCTGTATAAGAGCCTTAATACTAGGTTTATACTAAGTACTAGATTAAAGGTCTATCTAGTAATGGGGTTCTAAGAGTTCATAATACTATTTAATTAATTAAAGATAGGAAGGTAAAGGATGCTAAACATGAGTAGAGGAGATTAGTAAAGTAAAAAAAGAAAGTATATAATTCTTTACCCCCTCTATACTTGCAGAAATTAATTTAAAGAGGAATTAATAATATAAGATATGCTAAAGAAGCTAGAGAGTTTTTTTATTTTAATTACTAGTATTATTATTGTTGTATAGCTTCAAATATTAAAAAATTATGAAGAATATGTGATCGCGAAGAATGTATGGCGCACCTAAAGTGGGTAGCGGTTTAGGTGGGCAGAAAGGCATGGATAAGCCTTCTGGGAAGTCAAAGTAACTATACTAGGTTGGCCTTGCTAACTCCTTGCTCCATAGTTACTTTATATTGGTTTTTTAAGTGGGTACACTGATTTCAAAGGCAAGACCGACGGGCCGAAACCTTCAAAATAATAGGAGCCACCTGCCAACCAGCTGTCAAGGAGCTTTAGAAATAGCAAGCAGATAGCTAACTACTCACTCCAGCCTGCTGGCAGGTAAGCAATACATAGTTAGTATTTTCACAATATTATTATGGACTCCTCTTGGTCGACATTTTTTCCGGACAACGATATCATAACCAAAGGACGATCCTCATGAGCAGGGGGCAACCTACTCCGTACCTAGGTACCTATCTGCCCTTTCCAGGTTATACACACTGTAAGCCCCCGTGAAAAGGGAAGTAATATCATATAATGAATGCCTTATGATTCCAAGCCCGTACTGAATTACTTTTTAGCATGCGAAGGTTCTACCCCCCGTGTAGTCCTAATGATCGAATCTTGGTGGTGTTTGCCGCTCCATGAAGCAATTTAGGGCGAATTTCAGCCGCAGACACCTTCTCACTCAGAAAGAAAGCAGTACCACCAACTGAGCTGGCAGCACTTAGTTGAAAAGTAGGCTGAAAGTGAAGCTAGATAGAATGCTTCGTACAGAGAGCGCGGCGATGGTATAGATATGCACCATTGGAAAATTCACGCACCGAGCCGCCAAGGATCATAGTACTCCGTACCCCAGGGATTTACCAGAGTCAATTTTGGGGATAAATTACCACATTGACTAGGTATAGATTCCCAGATTATTAGGTCCCGTTTAGTTAATGTTAGCTTTACCGTTCAGCTAAAAAGGGGTCAAGACGTCCGTATTATATTGGTCCACAGTTAACTAGTAAAGTAGTTGGTTATAACTTGAAAGGGTTATAGGATGACTCAGCAAGCATATAACATGTGACGACATCTGGGGAACAAAGAGACGATGCAGAGCTGATGTTGCTTGAGATCACATCTCACCAAAGGACAAGGTGTATACAAATGCACGACCCTTTGTTGATTTTTTCTACTAACTTATTTCCTGGATGATATTATCTCTTCTTTATTGATGAAATGGGTGACCTGAATAGCTTGCCTAACTCCCCCTTGAGGTCAGACCAAATAAATGATCGCCGTTTGCGTGCATGGTGAACAAAGGACGCTGACATTGTGCAGCGACGAGGGTTGTGAAAGCACCTCTCTTTTACGAGAGCACTCCGAGCCGCAGCTCGAGAAACGCCGAGTCTTTTTTGGTCACACTGAAGGTGTTCGTACCCCAGGCCAACACTATGTGAAGACTCGCCGGTGCAGCTCGCTCAGGACCTGGCTCCCTATAGTCTGCTACAGCGCTTTGTCTTTGACGGGCATCGTCTTGTTTATTTTGGTTGGCGGATACTTTGGAGCTTTGTTCATTTGTATGCCCTGTGCCTAAGTATCAAGTCTTGCCGTCTTACTGATTTCCCTTTTTACAATATGTAGACGGACCGCCTGAAAATGAGCCTGTCCGTACAGAGGCACCTTCGATCTGCCAGACGCCTGAATGTATCAATGCTGCTTCTGAAATCCTGCGAAACATGGACCCCGATTACGAACACATTGACCCTTGCACAAACTTCGACCAGTATGCCTGTGGCGGCTGGAGAAACCAACATGACATGCGGCCTGACCAGGGATCTATTTTTGCCGGGACACTCATGCAAGAGGCCTCTGAGACTCGTCTTCGTCACTTGCTTGAATCACCTGAGCCGTCGGATCCTGCCGATTCGAAAATCTTTAAGAAGTTGAAGTCGGCTTACAACGCTTGTATGGATGAGAAGACAGTTAGTCGCCGTGGTACTAAGCCATTGGCCAATATGCTGGAGGAATTTGAGAAGATATATGCAGTCAATTCTGCTTCTGAGGGGTCTGATGTCGACCTTAACAACGCTTTGCTATATCTCATCAAGTCTGGAGTCGACGCCCTTCTGACTACATACGTTTCGGTATGTTTTCTTTCCTACCTGGTTCCACTCGTGCATTCAAAAATACTAACGTACTCTATAGCCCGATGATCGAGATCCGGATAAAGTGACAATTTTCGTAAACCCACCTCGGGAGATTGGTCTTCCGTCGAGGGAGTACTATAACAATACGAAGACGGTCGAGGACTACAGTACAATGCTCGATAAGGTCCTGGGAGGCCTTCTCGCTAAGGAAAAGCACGTTGTCGACGACATTGTATCATTTGAGTCAAAGCTGGCAGATATCTCTCCGGACACACAAACCCAGGCGGATGTGACCAAATACTATAACCCACGCAGTATTGAAGAGACACGGTCACTTTTACCCCAGGTTTCGCTGTCTGATATCATCTCAGACCTAGCTCCATCTGATTTCAAAACGGACCGTCTGATTATCGGTTCTCCGTCATACATGGAATCTCTGTCCAAGCTCTTGGACGAAACTCGAAGGGAAACCGTCCAAGCGTTCTTTGAATGGAAAATCATCCAGACGTATGCAGGTCACATTGAGGATAAAAAAATCAAACCTCTTCGTGAGTTTAATAATGTCCTCTTGGGCAAGGACCCTCAAGCTACCCAGGACCGATGGCGGAAATGTATCGGTAGCCTGGATGAGGATCTTGGGTGGATTCTAAGCCGATTCTATGTTCTCAGCGCTTTTTCTGAAGAATCAAAGAAGCTTGGAGATCAAGTTGTCTCTGATATCAAGGAGCGATTTGTCTACACATTGCATCAGACTAGCTGGATGTCTCCGAAAGTGAGAGAATTGGGCATCCAGAAAGTCGGCAACATTGTACAAAAGATAGGATACCCCACGAACAGCCCCAATGTGATGGATGCCACAAACGTGGAAGAGTATTACCGGAATCTTTCTATTTCGAGCGAGAGCTTCTTTGAGAATGGAGTCGCTGTTGCGAAATTTGGCGTTGGGAGAGCCTGGGCGAAACTGGGAAAGCCCACCAACCGGAATGAATGGGGTATGACTGCTCCCACCGTCAATGCATACTACAACCCTCCCGGAAATGAAATTGTCTTCCCTGCTGGAATCATGCAGCCCCCTGTCTTTTACGGCCCTTCCGCTCCTCTTTACTTGGCATACGGCGCTTTTGGAGCGGTTAGCGGCCACGAACTTTCTCATGGTAAGTGGATTGGAATATTGGGGTATGTCTTGCTCAGACATTGGCTTACACTTGAGCTACAGCTTTTGATTCAACCGGTCGACATTACGATGAGACCGGAAACTACACCAACTGGTGGGATGAAAAAACAGTCGAAAGCTTTAAGGAGCGTGCACAGTGTTTCATCGACCAATATTCCGAGTTCACTGTTCCCGGGAAGGACTCGGAGCCTTTGCATGTCAACGGCCGCCTAACACTCGGAGAGAATATTGCTGATGCCGGTGGTCTTGGGGCTGCATACCACGCTTGGAAGAAGCACGACGAGTCGCATCCAGATCGCCATCTCCCCGGACTTACCAAGTTTAGCAAAGAGCAGCTTTTCTTCATGTCCTATGCCAACTGGTGGTGCAGCAAGACCTCTCCTGAGGCAGCTCAGAGAGCTATATATGTGGATCCTCATGCGCCTAAGCCTGCACGAATCATTGTGAGTCTTCTTTACCCTTTTCTGTGCTCATTCGAGCATGAGGCTATAAGCAGATGAGTTAATTTCTGACGCCCGGTAGGGAACGATGTCAAACTCGGTCGAATTCAAGGAGGCGTTCAGCTGTCCCAGCAAAGAACCTGTGTGCAAGCTCTGGTAGCTAAAACCAGAGACGGGAGGTCAGTCTGTTGGTTGGAACAGCTGGCAGAGATTCAGTTATTGCAATCTATTTCATGCGCCAAGTTATGTTATCTCTAATCAACAATCAGTGTACTTATGCTCGATAATTGTCCTTAATATATTTCCTATACGTGATTCTCAAATAGAGTACGGGCTATCTCCCGGCCAATTTAGACCACAACGCACTAGACATATATAACTACATCCTCCTGGGCTAGAGCACGCTGTATCCATAATCCAACAACCTACCGAGCAACTGGATAACGAAAACCCTAATCAAGTGGGGGGAGATCATCCTTTCAACTAAGGTTCCAGCATCGCATACCTTAAAAAGAGACAACAGACCTTCCCTCCTCCTGCCAAGCTCAACGACCTCTCGTTCGCCGCTCAGTCAGTTCCAACCGTGAGAGTCGGTTCTGTTGGCCTACCTAGCTTCACTTAGAGTAGATAGACATCCTAGTTAGTTAGTTAGTTAGTGTGTGGATCTGACAAATGATATCCATCCTGCTGGGACTGGATAAACTTTAATAAAGTTACCCATGGTTTTGGGGTTTAGTTTTCTTTGGTTTGTAGTTTGTACTGGGTTTTGTATATGATACATATTTTATAGTAGTGGTAGTAGTAGTTGTTGTTGTTGTTATTGTTGTAGTTGTTGTACTCCTGTGGTTATGGGCCACCGGTGAAGGGCAGAATAATAGTTAGTTAATGCCTACTAGAAATCATCTCTCACATACTTTGGGAAAGAAGGATTCTTGCAGTGAGATTGAATGGAGGGGTTCCTAGTTATGCAAGAGAGAGGGATCGGTGTAGAATCCGCAGAGAACTTGGAGGCCACAAGAATGGATAGATGATAAATTGGATTGTGAGATGTGATGTATCATATTTTATGGAATGGAATGAAAGCTTTTTTTCCTCATTAATGTAGATTACAAATGGGATAATTTAAATTCCCCCACACATTAACTATACATACCTACAGTAGAAATTAGAGTAATATGTAGCAATTAGATACTTCCATCAGTTGATCATTTCATTTGCCCAGGAATGATGAGTATGATACCCTGCCTGTAAACCTTACACAACACTTAAGGAGACTTGTCACTTGTCGTCAGTGCCTACGGGCTAGCTCCGGCTAGATGGTTATTCCGACGCGGGATTCTTCTGACTTTTGCTCTCTTCGATAAGTTTCTAGAAGAATCAACAAACTACCCCCATTTGCAACCTATCATCGCGTAACAAGATATAAGACAGATCCTTATGTTGACCTCTCTTTGTTCTGTGTTTTATCTTGGCTCGTGGGTGACGCGGGATTTCCAGAGAATGAGATAGATAACCCAGTCCAAATTAATAGGGATGATGTATCTATCATGTCTGGTGACTCTAGTCTTACTCTGTACAGGTTACATCTTACTTACCTCTGTGTTTTTTAATCTATGATATATCGCCATGGAACAAGGCTTAGCCTGGGAGACCGCGGTACCTCTTCCGTCCTCCGTACGGGTTATGATTCCGGCTCAAACCGGAAGATTGTCGCGAGCAGACCGTGCAAATTACCGAGATGGGCAAGACGGAATTACTGCCATGCCCTATTCCCACTTGGTCGATGGCACTTAACGGCTGGACGCCTGGAGTCCTTAGTCGACGAACTAAGACGATCGGAAGACTCACTAAGAGAAACTAGGACGTGCCCCTATTTTCTCTCCTTGATCTTGTCTTGGTTAGTCAAACCCCCTTCAAGTCCAGCAGCGTACGGAGTAAGAAGGGAATAAATGCGATGTGTTCTTCTGGCTATTGATTGCATTGATTGGGTCCGGCCCAGACGAGACCAGTCGTAATTTGGATTTTGGAGTATGGGCGGGGAGATTCTGGTGGGTAAGAAAAAAAGCAAATCTAGAAGCAACGAGCATCATGCAATCTGGATGTCGAAGCAGTGGAGGAGCTGAGATTTTGGGGGGGGGGGGGGGGGGCGTGGATCTTCGGATCCTCCAGGAAGGCCTTTATAGATTACAGGATTTACAGAGTAGTTAACTAACCATTTAGCAAGCACCCTTAATCATCCAGTGGATGAACCTATTTTGTTGTTGTTCTTCTTTACTCTATGCACAGTACCTAGGTGTACATAGTAGGGCTTTTATAATACAAAAAATACCTTCCTAATACAGCCTGGAATATAAGAGAAGTAAGTCACGTGTCTCACCAGCCACTAGGTACTTAGGTAGGTACCCTAGTAGTTCACTGGGAGTGTACGGAGTACTCCGTATCTTATGATTTTTCAAGTACTAGCCTTCACCTGACTAGGCTGCATATGGCTAAATATGGTTATTATTTATAGAATATGTAAAATTCCCTAAAATCTAGACTCTTAATTGATGTTTCTATGTATTCTGGGTAATGTTGAAAGATAACTACCAAAAATCAGTATAATACACCTTCACTAAAGATGGACCGCAGACAGCAATCTGAGTAACTCGAAGTGAAAAATCTTTCATTCCATTCCAAGGCGCATGCCGATAAAGAGATCTCGATCTCAATCCAAGTGCTCCGAGGTTGCTAAACAGCGACCCCTCCAGAGACGCGAAAGAAGGAACAAGAAAAAGGAAAAGGGCCAAAAAATGAGAGGGCCGGATTTCCCCCTCTTTTTGGTCTCAAATCTAGTCAAATACTCCGGAGTCGAGGCATCTAGGTATACATAGTTATACTCCGTACTGACACTGAGCTGCAGGAGTGGGTGGTTCCGTTCTCCTGGAACCCGTTCAACCACCACTACCCCGTTCGGAGTACAGTAGTTCCTAAAGACTGCTAGCATCTGCGCGTCTCACGCTCTCCACCACGCGGCTCCTGCTTGGTCTCCTCCACCACACTGTCTATTTTTCTCTCTCTTCCCTTCCTTTTCCCGTCTCTCTCTCTCTCTCTCTCTCTCTCTCTCTCTCTCTCTCTCTCTCTCTCTCGTCCATTCCTTGGCCCTTTCCCTTTCTTCATCTCTGGTGGCGTTGTTGTTGTTGTTGTTACTGTTGTTCGTTCCTCTTGTTGTGGTTAATTTTATTTACTACTACAAACTATTCATTTCCCCTTCACTCCCGTACCGCTAATTATCCATCCCCGAACTCTCTGTTCCTCTCTCCTTTCTGCTCCTTTGTTGGCCTGAGCTTTGGCCCGGCGGTTTCGTCATCACCTTGCGAAAAAAAAAAAAAAAAAAAATCCATGCTTGCGTTTCCCCTCTGAACCGAACTCGCTCTGGACCTGGTCATGTCGGTTCACGGGCACGCATTGCGATCCCTGCTTGGGCTGTCTATACCTCAGTATTCTGTCAACCTCAAATTTTTCTGAGAAGGTGAAAGTCCCTGCCTGGGGGCGCTTTTAGACGATTCGTCTTATTCCTAGACGGGTAGCAATCTTTTGTGCGTCTCACCCCTCCCGCCGCTATGGGACCCGGTGCAGCCAGTTTGGATAGCCTTCCGGGGAAGTCGGAAGAAGTGCAAGTGAGTGTCTCATCTGTCCTCGAAGGAGCAGATCCCAGGACCAATGAGCCGGCCAAGCCCCCGTTTGTGACGCCTACCTCCCTCCGACGCGCCCATACCGTTGCACAAGGAAGGTACTTGGGAGGGAAAACAAACGTCGCTTCGAGTTCGGCAAAGGAAATGATATCGCTTTCCTCGCTGCGGTCCAAGGACAGCCATGAATTGCTGCGCAAGCGGCCTACCAAGCAACCAGGCGATCCCCAGCAATCTCCAAGAGAGGCATTCATACCTGCGAGGGAATCTAGCCACTTCACCGTTGGGAATGTTGGCCAGAATGGCAAAATATTTCTAAGGTATGATGATCTGCCCTTCATTTAATCCTATCCACTACCTGGTATCACAGAATTTGAGCAAACGTGCTAACTAATCCGGTTATTGCCCAGGCCTATTCGAAATCTGTCCCTCAAGGAACCTCGTCGCCCGCCGACCTCCCCGCCGATTAATCAACCCAAGCCGGAGTTTCTTCCCCCGCAAGCACAAGATGGCTATGGACAAGAGGAGCCTTCGCGATGGTCGAATTCGCAACTATCCGAGCTGCGCCCAGAACTTATGGAGGGAAGTCGCGAGGACGGCGCCTCGATCATCTCTGGATCGGCCCGGTCTGAAGCACATTACCACACCCGCCAACATCCTCTCCAAAGATCTCACTCCTTTTCCACTATCTCAGACCAGCGGTCGGCATCGCGTGCCGGGGGCCGCAGCGAGTTTCGTATTGTCATCGATCGGCCTGGCGATCGACCTAGGTCCGCGGATGCGTCTTTCATCCAATCCCTAGAGGTTTCTGTTCCAAACTACCAGTTGGGTGTTTCGCAATTCTCTACAAGTGACAATGTTTTGCCAAGCTCGATATATTCTACAGAAGCATGGAATTCTAGCATTGCTCCCAATGCCTATCTAGATAACCCGGCTAGGCCCTCCTTTGTTCCCTCCATGTTTTCGGGCGTATCTGCCATGGATTTGACTCGAACCACCGCTGTCAGCCCCGATCCCGTCGTGTATGACCAAAAGGAATCCATCAAGCCCTCCATATTCGAAGCAATGGCATCGGTTATGGATGATGAATCTGTTGTTCGCTATGTTCCTGGAACGAAGAATATCGGGGCTGCTACCCCTGCGCGTATTGTCGCCCAGATCTCTTCCGAATCATTCATGGATTACGAACTTGTATCCGATTTCTTCCTCACCTTTCGACTTTATCTCTCTACCGGTTCTCTTCTCTCCCTTCTCCTCGCGCGGTTGCAGTGGGCTATCAATCGCTTACAAGAGGACGGCAGGATCATCCGAATTCGCACGTTCGCGGCCCTACGCCATTGGATTCTTAATTACTTTGCCGACGACTTTGTCCCGGATTTGAAATTGCGAGCGCATTTCTGTGAGTCAATCAACCAGCTATACGGTGATGTAAAGGCCCGACAAGGCGGTGGCATGAGTGATCTGAAAATCATCATCGATCTCAAGCGTTGCTGGCACGGTAAATGCTCGGCTTATTGGGATATCCCCAATAAGAACCTTTCATATCACAATCCGGATTACCCTATCGACCCTGGCGGCAATGAGCCGGCGTTTGGCGAGGATTTCCAGAACATCATTCGTACGGACAGCAACCAATCGTCGGCCCAAGGGGAAGTTCGAAATCCACCACCAGCAGTCCGACACGATCGAAATAATTCTTCTACTACAACAAAGAGCATGCCAGTTTCCATCGATAGCGACTGGAGCGCGCCTGCGATCTCCTGCTCATTACCTTCGAAATCCCCCAAACGGCTTTCTATACCCTTTACAACGGTCAAAGCTCCGCATCCGGTACCTGTAATACCACCTAGACAAATAGGCCCTCTACCCGATCCATCCTCACCATTGTCCCCGATTAGCTCAAGACGACATCCTTTCTACGGCCATGCTCACAAGCGTAGCGGGAGTTTCTCAGACTCTGTTCGAGATGGCAGAGCCCCGCTCCCGTTACTCAGACTCGACAACAAGAGCTCCTTTTCCTCTCAAGAACCCTGTTACCTTGGAAGTTTGATACGTGGTGAATTATATGCCCCGGTTGAGTCGTATATGACCATATTAGCGCCTCCATCCCCACCTCTCCCCTCTTCCGCCAATACGGCATTGGATCGTCGAAGTACTGCGGGTGCTCCCCCGAAGTCTGCCACTTCTGGCTCGGGCGTAAAGACCATAATTGGTTCAATTCGCCGCGTTTTCAATAGCAAACATGTTGGCCATGGATTCCATCCACACCCTGTAAATGGACCGTCAACGCGAGGGAAGACATCAGCTCTGCCGACAAATGTAGCCTTTAAATCTGATCTCTATAGGGAGAGAAAAGTGGCCCCTCCTCCCAACAGGCCAAGCAAGATTGATCTTCTTTGCGACGAAGTTTTACGGCAGTATCATGAAGCCTTTAATGGAAACGTCAATTCCCAGACTGACAATGCAGATGGTCAGCAACGGCTCCTTTCCGGTTCGGATCCAGTACCGGACAATTTTCTCGTACCGGATAATGGTCGGGCACCAAGTCAATTGACTACAGGCAGTGAATCGATCGTTATCGTAGACGGTACCGGTCTGGGATCTCCGACAAGTCTGGAGCAACCCCCGAGGTTTTTGACTGGAGCGAGTTTCCCTCCAACTCCTAAAGCATATACGTTTCTTGCGTCATCTCGAGGTTCTACACTTGCTCCCGATGAGTATTCGCTGCCAATTTATTACGAAGAGAGTATCCGAAGGCCGTCGAGAAGAGTGTCCACGTTTTTTCGTCCTTCTGGCGCTTCCACATCACAAAGATCATCATCTCTTGAGCGGGCGTCTATTTCCTGGAAAAGGCCATCGGTTTCCCTGGGCCTTCGCAAATACGCATCCTTCCAGAGTGTGATTTCAAAGCGTCGGGCCGCTCAGGCTAGCGAGACGACAGGTTCGGTGACGGATTCTTTCGATAATGATTACTCAGATAAGCGAGGTGGGCCTACTCTTAGAAGACGTCCTGGAGGGGATTTGCGTCAAATGCGTGATGTTGGTGGAGGAGGAGGCCACTCCTACCCCGACTCCGGGTCGATCTTATCTGATGCCACGTACGACAGCATGGGGTACTCTCAGGAGGAACCAGCGTCGAGACCCCAGACGATTCTTATGCCCCCCAACCCTCGATTTTCTCTCTTGAAGACACATCCATCTCAAAATCTTCGACGTTCGTTTGAGGCGGCTATTGCACGATTTGCTGAGATACCCGACGACGGTGATGGGGGAATTGAGTCGACACTACTAAAACTGGAAGGCAAATGGAAGGCCCAATCTGCCCAGGACGGCGGTAGCGCTAGCGCCGATACTAGGCAATTGTCTGAGTCTACTCAAACTCAGCCTGACATCCATCGTGAGGAAAGAACCTCGTATGACCAGTACCTTGGCTCAAGTGTGGGGCCTGTCAAGGGTCATCCCAAGATTGGTGACAACCTGTCCTACTCGCAAGTCCGAGCAAGGAGCCTTACTCCTGGAGCCGACTCTGAATCCATCGTAGAGTCAGAAGATTCCTACAGCTCCATACCTCTTTTGGAGCGGGGACTTAGCGATGAATCAATGAAGAAGCCTGCGGCAGATCTGGTCTCTCTGCGTGGTGCCGCACAATCTCGAAGTGGCCTAACCAGAGAAATGTCGGATAATGGATCATCGCACCCATCTATTGATATGGTGAAGAAAACGGAAAGTTTGAAACGCATTCCTACGGGGTCGACTCTCCCTGTGTATAATCCCGTGGACTTTAAGGCCAGGAGATCCCGTCTGTCCGGCCTTTCATCTGAGATCTCATCTGACCTCATCGAGACACGAGAGGCTGTAGATCAGCGACTGTCCTTCGACACACGAAGCCTTGCTGAATCATCGCTTAACATACCCCCTCACCCTCTGGCGCACCCACCATCTCCTCCGATGACTATACAGCAACCTCGATCTGTGCATTCTTATCGAAATTCATTAAATCCAATTTTTGCCAAAGCGCAGCCTTTGACCCCGGACCCGTCACCCATAAATACGGCTCCAAGGAGGACACATATTCCGTCCGGTGACATGCATCATGTCTCCGGTGACGTTCTTTCCCGTTCCGAAGCAGATCACCATCCGCAAGGGCCAATTCAAGTTCAAGGTCCGCATCATGTACCCTTCGTTCTTTCGTGTGAATCACATATTTTAGCTCAGCAATTCACACTTGTCGAAATGGCTGCCCTTGGTGAAGTGGACTGGAGGGATCTTGTTGATAGGAAATGGAATAGCGGCCCACACCTGACCACAAGTTGGGTGCAGTTTCTTCTTGAAGATGGGCGCAGAGGCATTGATCTGGTCGTGGGACGGTTTAACATCATGGTGAAATGGGCTCTCTCAGAAATTGTGCTCACGAATGACATCCATGAGCGAGCCCTTACAATCACTAAACTTATCCACACGGCTGCCCACGCACGGAGAATGTGTAACTACGCAACAATGCTGCAAATTGCTATTGCACTCTCATCCACTGATTGTTCTCGTCTCCGGGCCACGTGGGCTCTCGTCGCGCCTGAGGATAGGCGTGTACTAAAGGATATTGAATTACTCATCCAGCCCGTTCGCAACTTCCATGAACTACGTCTAGAGATGGAGACGGCGAACTTGCAGGAAGGCTGCATCCCGTTCGTTGGTAAGTCCTTTCCGCCCCCTTTTCGGATTCATGTTGATCGGCACTTTAATTAACCGACCTCCAGGCCTCTATATCCATGACCTTACGTATAATGCCCAAAAGCCGGCGCAGTTGGCAGCAACCCGTGATGGAGAGCCCTTGATCAACTTTGAGCGCTATCGAACGAAGGCGAGAATCGTCAAGAGTCTTCTTCGATTGATAGATGCGAGCACAAAGTACAATTTTGAACCGGTGCCAGGCATCATCGAACGCGTTCTTTGGATTGCATCATTGTCAGAGGATCAGATCCAAACTCGCAGCAAACTGTTGGATTAAGTAAGTGAGGAAGGATGAATAAAGATATACATGGACAAGCATCGCGCATTGGATTTACCTATACCACTAATACCGGTAGTATATACCGACTTGCTTTGATAATACCCACCATACTTTCCATGACTTTTGGCGTTTAGCGATTATTGATATCCTTGATTACCCTAATTTTGCAGGCATTTAAATAAATAATTGAATGTGTGAGTATTTTCTGTATAGTAGAATTCAGTCCATTCGAGTGCCCAGCAATCTCGTGAAGCTACCTTTCTCTATAGTGTCATGAGTACACATTGTTCATTAGATAGCCAGATTTATTTCGAAATAATAATTCCAGTGATGTCACAGTTTCCGAAATCCTTTATCCACACTGATTGATCTTGAAACTTGGAAATTTGTGCAAGTGGAACTGATGTTCCTGGCCGCTCCGTTTCGCGCTTCGGGAATTGCATCACTGGCACTCTTGATCTACGTAGTCCTTCTCCTTCTCTCCCCCATGTCTATGGTCAGGAACACCTTTCTATCTACACACACGTACACACACACACACACACACGCTCTCTCTCTCTCTCTCCCCCTTCCTCACCTTTTTCTTCTCTCATATTACCCGCTCTCGGTGGCTTTCTGTTATTCGCATTCACCTACTTGCCACTGATTTCTTCATCCATGGAGCTAGAGCTCCCTTTGTCGTGTTCCCCTCCCCTCGTTGGCTCTTGACTTGTATTCGATTCAGCAACCCACCATGGATTCCCGCGAGGCTTCTCCCGCCCACCTCGACCAAAGCTTCAGCGACCCTGATTCTATGAATCTCCCTCACAAGCAACTCCCGGATGATTTACCCAAATCATTAGACGATCGTCGTTCTGTACCTAACATGCAGCAAGAGACAGAGATGTACGATGCCTGGCAAGGTTCGCGACATCTCTCTCCTTCCTTCTCCACATTCTTCTTCTCTCCCCCATCTCTTCGTCTCCCTCCCGGTCACATGAGGTACATACTCCGGTCCTCCGATGTTAGTGAAACCGTATACCAATGATATGGGATGAGATATGTACACGGCAGACCCGGTCGGAGGTGAGAGAAAGTGGGAGAAAGGGAGAATGCGATGTCGGAAAATAACAGTACTATTATTATCCTGATCAGGGTGTGTCTTACTGATTTTTGCCATTTGTGCTGCTATAGGTCAATCCCAGTTCCTTACTCCTGTGGCGGCAAAACCGTTAAGCTTTAATCTGGCCTTGGACGACCATGCGCATGACGACGAACACAGCATGCACGCGCATTACGGGCTCGGTTTCGGATTGACTACGGATGACGATAACGAATCGACCCTTACGGCCCGATTGGAGGATAGTGATGCTCGGTTGATGGAGATGCTTGCTGCGCAAGCTGCCCACCGCGAGGTGGACTCGCTGGATGCGGACGAGGATGCAATAGCAACGGATGAAAAGCTAACAGATGAGAAGAAACGTGATATTTTACAACGGAATTTGAATATGGCTGCTAGTAACGGCGATGTTGATCGTGTACGGAAATTGGTGCAGGGGAAAGCGAAGGATTATGTGGATGTTAATATGCCGGATGAGGAGGGCACAATACCCCTGATATATGCTAGCTGTTTTGTAGGTGACTTGGGTCTTTTCTTTTTCTTTTTCTTCCCCCCCCCCCCCCCCCCCCCCCCAATCTCCTCTTTGATATGCTATGGAGTTACCATGGCTAATATCGCCCAGGGACATCAAGATGTTGTTGCGGCGTTGCTTGAAGCCGGCGCCCGCGTTGATCAGCAAGACCGGAATCAATGGAGTGCCTTGATGTGGGCCATGACGAACAGACACAAAACGATAGCGAAGATTCTCCTTGATCACGGCGCCTCTCCGGATATCAAGTCCTCATCTGGAGGGACGGCGTTTGACTTTGCTCAGCCAGGCAGTGAGATCTCTGAGTATCTACATGAAAACGGCTACAGTTTCGGGCCGAGTGCCATAGAGGATGACTTTTACGACTCTGGTTTTGCGCATAGTCGGTTTGAAGAAGAGATCGCTGAGAATGAGATGAAGCGGCGGATGATGATGGAGGAAAGCGCGATTAACCTGGAAGTTGATTTGTCGAGCTTGGGCCTAGATGAGAAGTTTGACGTATGTGAATTCTATTCGACAATATCAGAGGCAAAGCTAACATTGTGTGTTCCTTCATTACTGGTAGTCCCTAGACGAAGAGGAGCTGGAAGCAGAGCAGCAAGAATTTGTCTGGGATCGATGTCTAAATGACCAAATGTTCGTCTTTCAGGACCATGAGTTGGAAAGAATCCTTAATATTATTATCACGAACATGACACCGCAACGATCGCCGTCACAAAAGCCCGTTCCTGCGAATCTTCTTTTCCTCAGTGCGCGTTATGCCCACTACCATGCAAGTCCAGAACTACTGGCAACGCTATTAGTTTCGGCGACGGACAAAATCAACGATGTGGTTGAGCGTTATCAGTGGGACATGACAATCCTTGCATTTTGGATGTCTAATGCCACCCTTCTCCTTCATTATCTCAAGAAAGACTCCGGACTTGTTGAGGCGACTGTAGAATTTCAACTGCACTTGGCTGAACTCATTAATGAGATTTTTATCCTCATCATACGCGACGCGGAAAGACGAATGAACAAAGTGCTGGATTCAGCGATGCTAGACCATGAAACAATCCCGGGGCTCGACGATATCCCATTCCAGAACGAATGGAAGCTCTTCCGCTCCAAGAACAAGTCGAAAGTCCCTGAACCCGCCGAGAATCGATTCCGACCACCATCCCCCAGGCGGCGAGCGCAGATTTCACCCCGCAATATCACCTCACTTTTGTCGTCCACTCTGTTTGTCCTGGATCTCTACGACGTACACTCGGTCATCATCTCGCAAATTCTCTCTCAACTCTATTACTGGTTAGGGGCTGAGCTTTTCAACCGTATTATGTCCACTAAACGTTATCTGGCCCGAACGAAGGCGATGCAGATTCGCATGAACGTATCGACCCTAGAGGATTGGGCACGTACGAACAACCGACAACCGGAACACTATGAGAACGGATCCACAATATGCACTGGAGAAAGCACAATAGATTCCGCCCGAAGGCATCTGGCACCCGTGATCCAGCTTTTGCAGTGGCTCCAATGCTTTTCCTCGCTCGGGGATGACTTTGAGTCTCTTGTAACCACATTACTACAATTGCAACGACTTACACCCGCCCAGCTCCTCCATGCGGTTAAGTCCTATCGGCCGGAAGTTGGGGAGAAGGGCCTGACCAAGTCGGCGATGAAATTCCTGATGGAGCTCCAACGGGACCGGGGCCTACTATACAGTGAATATGCGAAGCTCCAGGAATCCAAACAACAGGCGGAGACCAAGGGTTCGGAGTCCAAGGGAGATGGACGCCCGCAAACTCCTCGCCAAGATCAAGGGCCAGCTGACTTGGCGGGCTCCCCCGAGACATCAGCAGCTTCTCTTGCATCCCTCGAGTCAAGCATTGCTTCTCCTCTGCCGGGAGCATCTGCAGGGTTCGATGAGCGCAGCGAGAATACTAACGCAGTATTTCTGGATCCCGCGATGACGCTACCATTTTCTCTTCCCACAAGCACGGACATGTTGATCAGCTATGGGGCAGGCTGGGGCGGAACTAATCGAGAGCGCGCGCGCAAGTACATTCCGACGGTGCCGCCCGAGGTATTGACCCGATTTGATCGTGACGGCTAACGAATTCTTGGAAAGGGAAAAGGAAGGGGGGGGGATGAACCCACTATGTTGGGTGATGGTTGAGACCCAAAGGGATAGTTAACTGCATTCGAGTATATAATTTTATTTTTGTTCTGAAGCAAGCCATGGATTTGGTTGCGGAGCAATGGAGGACATGCATGTTTTCTATTTCAATCATAATAATGCTGATGAATCAAATGACAGAGAGCATACATACATCGGCATGTACATACATCTATCATACTAACCATCGGTATTGACCGGTTGGGTTGAAATTTGAGCAGGCCATACACAGTCCAGGAAGTGAAATAGTCCCGAGTCCATGAACAAGAAGATTATTACTACTATTATTAATATTAATATTATCCAACCCAAAGAAATGGAATGGGTGGAGATGGAAGCCACTGCTGGGTACCTTCATACAGGCATGTATAGGGATAGTCATTAGGGTTACTGGAAAAGGGCGGGATAGACGAACCGTGAGTCTTATCATCTAGATGAAACAGGCGTTGAAGAATGCTAACCTCGTCTATGAGAGTGAGTTATGATTACGCCAATGCTTCAGAATAATCAAAGCCACTTCTTGAGCCCAAATCCCACTCTTGTACCTAGTCCACGCTGGGTCAGCAATTCTCCCTCATTTAGACGGCTCGGAGTCAGGACGGCCTCGACTAGCTAAGATTACGGGGTACTTGCACGCTCTATCTACCCACTTTTCCACTTCATCTATTTGATTGATATTGACTACCTAGTACCTCCGCTGTCTGATACTTCAATTATCGAGCTGCACGCAACACCACCAAACACCTGGCCGGACCGGGCCGCGGCATTCTCTCCTATCTAGAGCGATTGAGAAATCATCAGTAGGCTGGAACTCTCACCGGAGCGAACAGGGTTAGCAAAAGAAAAGAAATCGGTCTAGATATACTCTGTACCTCCAGGCTCGTCGTCATCACCCAATAGCCTCCTCCTCGAAAGCGTTTTTCACTCTCCTCTACCTCGGCCGTCCTTCGCATCGAGCACGTCACGTAACGTGGCATCCTCAGGCACCGGTCCTTGACCCGCCTGTTGTTTCCTAATCCAGACTAGCGTATCGGGCGATCCTGCCTCCTTCTGGTAAGTATGATTTTCCTCTTTAGGCGCTTGCCTATTTGGGCGATCTGGGGTGATGAACTACTTTTTGTTCTTTCTTTCTTCCTTCTTTCCTTCTTGCGTTTCCTTCTATGCCTCTATCCGCATCATGACTTAGGTGACTTGCTTGCTTGAGTGCATGCATCCATGTCAAAATGTGGTGGTGATCTACTGGCTATTTCCCTGTCTGAGGAATTACAGCTCCTCGATCGCTGTCAAATGTCCAACCTTTTCTTTTGGCCCTCCCCTCCTTCGCCCTTTCACACTCAACTCATCCCGCGCTATACTTTGAGACATGCTTCTCACCCTCAAACCCTCGTCCCAGAATGGGATCAAAGGTCCTCATGAGTATTCTGTTGTTCGCCAGTCGATTCCTACCCCACGGTCTCTTTCGCCCTCCCTGCCTGACCTCCCTGCGTCTACGATGCCCTCGACCACCGCCGTAGACTACTCAATGGACTCCTCCCGCACAGGGCTCCCCCCTCCCTCGTCAATAACTTTACCCCCACCGGATGTCGGCTTCGCAACCATGAGTACTGCCATCAACCAACAGCTACCACCTCCTCCCGCTCAATGGCAGAATTCCGACGATACTATGCACCATTGGCTCCAAGCTAAAGCCGAAGAGGATCGAAGGAAGCAAGAAGAGGAAAAGACGCGCCAGGAGACCCTGCGTCTTGAGCAGCGGAGGGTTGAGCAGAGCATGCTTCGGGATTCTTTGCAGGCTGGTGTTCCTCCTCATATGGTTCCCCTTATCTTTGCCGGAATCGGTCCGAGTGGTTTTCACCAACCTATCCTTGAATTAGCCCAGCAATATATAGCCCAGTCACCTGGTACTCGCGGAACAGCTCCCCAGTTGCCTTCTTTAGCTCCTTCTCATTCCCATTCCCAATCTCAACGGCGCCCTCCACCTCTCCGCCGGGATTCTCGCTCTATACCCGCTAGTCCATACGCACCATCGGCCCCGCAGGCAGTGCCTCCTCCAGGTGTCCTCTTGTCCCAGAATTTGCTGTCCAATAGCGCGGCGCCTCCTACACCGCAGTCGCTGGGTCGACCGTCAATATCGGGCGGTCCTGGTGACCCTCGAAGTGGGTCGACGCCTCAGATCCCTACCAGCGTCTCGCAGGCTCAATCGGTTCCGATTAATCTGAGTAATGTACAGTACGCTCCTGGTTCGTCAGTCCCAGCTTCTCAAGCTTCAGGAAAGCCTGATTCCCACTCTCGTCAATCTCCCCCTTCACTTTATTTTCACCATTGGGTTCCTCCCAGCCAACCACATGCTGGCACGCCATCAGGGAAGCTTCATCAAGAATCGCCTTTATCGTCTATTATTCCTCGTCGCTCGGACCCTTATACTTCACCTGGCCGGAAAAGGAAGGCTTCTGGCCCTCATCAATCGGCTCCGCTTCCCTCTTCTCGTCTCTCTGAATCCGTGCACGCCGACGTTCAGACCTCTCGACCAGGGTCTCCAATAGCTGGGACCCAGCACGTGGGCCATACGATCCACCGACGCCAAGCCAGTGGTGCGTGTGCCTCTTATGAAAATCGTCTCCTGGAACATGTAGAACTAGAAGATTCTGGGGCGAAGTCAAACTCACGAGATGCTGCCCCTCTCGCAGCAGACACTGCGAGAGTAGAAAAGGTTCACCATACAACGCAAGATTTTGACCGCAGAAGAGATCTAACGCTACCAGAGAGCTCTGATCGATATGCTTCGCGGGGGCTTCAAGCTCCCTACACTTCCAGCTTAGACACTGAGCCACATGATTCAGATCTAGAGAGCAGTCCCGGACCATCTCCAATATCAAGGACCCCGCTGGAATCTACTCAGCCTAGCGTCACTCCAGGAGGCTAGTCATGAACTTTTCAGCAGTTGGATGGCTGGATTTGTCCCCACCTCACCTTTGGACTGCTGTTAGGTTAAATTAGGCTTAAGTCCTTGGGCACGAAACATCATAGTTGTAGATATCTTTTGTCAGGGATTTTCCGAATTTTGTGAAGGATCTTTTATTGGCGTTCTATATGGGCGAGGGGGGGGGGATTTTTGACCTCGTCTTTCTCGAGGGGGTTTTTATATGTTTACGGACTCGACATTAACCGCGATATGCTTGTAGGGTTGTGCATGGGTTGCCCAGTTTTCTGGGTTCATATTCCCCATCAGCTGGACTGTTGGAGCTGTTCAAAAGCTATTGTTATGCAAAAGATAGATTGATACAGAGTGTCATCAAGCAACTGAAAATGGAACTTTTAGTGCACAAGAACAGAATTCTGTCACTGCCAAAGGATAAACTTATACTCAATTAAACCGTCAGAATATAGGGATTGACTTGAATATTATGAAAGATATGTAGTTTATAATACGCAGCACAGGACAGGGACAAAAAGAAATAACCCAGCCAAACAAACATGCATCTATTTCTAAGACTCTGGTTGACTGAATGTCTTGTCTACAGTTGCTTCGGCTCTAGACTGCCCAAAAAAAAAAAAAAAAAAAAAAGAGAGAGGGGACAGGATACAAGAGGAGGTAGTTTGAGTATTTGAAGGTAGGGAGAGAGAAAGGGGGGCAAAGAAAAAAAAAAAAAGACAAATAAGATAACAAGCCCGGTTATAAATAGTAGTGGAATAACAAGGATGAGCATGGTATGGTGGATTGATTCATTATGATGTGAATATAGATTGAAAGAGAACACTACTTAGATACTTACTTTACTGTTCATCCGGTTCCCATGCTAGGGCTCGCTCCTCCATGTGTTTCATCTTTTGCAGCAAGAGAGACTGCATCTCCCTCTTTTCTTCGTCCCCAAGGAAGCCCAGCCGTTTCCCCCAGGCATTGTCTACGGTCTCAACAGCCCCCCAAAAAAACCGCCCATCAATCTTGTGCCAGTAAACTGAATCAAACGCAAAGTTTTTTTTTCGCGCAGCATAATTGACCCAGAAATATCCCCCCTCTCCCAGCTTTCCCGCATTGATACAGAAAGCCGTTGTTGTTGGGGTTCACTTAGACGGGCCAGATTGTATCAAGGCCATCCATCTATCTTCACGTTTGTGTCAGCACCTTCAAAAAAAAGTTTCAAGACGGTGTTCATATGCCCTTGTCCAATCTTCGATGCCTTCTGGCCAGTATTCGGGCTGTTCGAGAAGCAAGCCACCACGGTTGGCGCGGAGGAAAATTCCGCTGGAGCAGCATAGGTAAATTCCCAGTCAATAACCCCGACGACTTGCATTTCCGCATTCACCATATTTTAAACGGTCCACCACCACCACCACCACCACCACCAGCACTTATCGTGCTGTGATTTGGACGATGTTAGGCGATGTTCTGCCGGCAAGTCTGCAAAACAAATGCCGTGCCACACATATTTTCGCTGGAAATCCTTTTTAGAATCTATCGCGTCGTTTCGCTGGTGCGTCAGGTGCTCCATGTGCAGCTCAGCTAGACTAGTGAAATAGTTTAGGACGAGGAGGATTCAAATATAGCCGTTGGTAACTTTGTTCGTGGTAAAGTCCCTAAGCGCACTAATTCATTCATATGGATTGACAGTGGTCGGTGTTTAATTTCATAGTTAATATCATCATCATCGACTTGGTCTAGGGACCCAATTTTCGGGAGACATGTTTGATTAAGCTGAAGCAGAATATCTGCAAGTTGCCCATACAGCATCTCCAGTCTCGGGATATCAATATTTGGATCGAGGCGCGGTCGGTCCTTCAATGCGAAATCCCAGGCGTGTTCAGGGCCTTGCTCATGTTCATTTCGTGCTCAATGTATTCCATGATGATAAAGGGGCCTAATCCAAGTGGACTCTCCTCTTTGGTACCCCAATGCAGAATAAAAGGCACTGGGATGGACGTATGATCCTGGAGATATCGAATGGCGGCGACTTCGAGGGTGTTTTCATTGGCAAAAAGCTCGTCTACCCAATTATCCGAAATCTCTTCGCTTTTCTCCCAAGCGACATCATCAAAAGGCATACGTGGCTGCATTTTTTTTTTTTTTTTTTTTTCGTTTTTGATAGATGCGCAAGGGGAGCAGAGTTGTCTGTCTCCGGGGAATGAAGTAGAAAAGAGGGTTTAGAATGACAAACGACCCAGCGGCCCGTCCACAACAAATCATGGCTCCCAACCCGGGCAAGGATTCAAGCCAACTAATTTACAGTGGGAAAATTGAGAAAGAAATAAAAAGATGCTTATTATTATTATATATATATTCTTGAGTAATTTGATCAAGTAATCGTATTAGTAGGAATAGGACCCATTCAATGATATTCCGAGTCGTGCTAGATAACTGGGTATTTTGGCTGCCTGCCATTAGATGGGCGTATCTCTTCTTTTTCTCTCGACTCAAATCGTGACACGGATGGCAACAGATTGAAAATCTTCGAACTGGATTGACGTGGAAATGGGGAGGTACTTTGCAGATGATGATGATGATGATGATGATGATGTCGTAGATGGCCCGTGAAAAAAAAAAAAGCAGTCGAGTATCAGAAAACCGAAATATCAACCGTAAGAATAAAATAATAGTGATAATTATATTATAGGAAAAGAAGAGCAAAGAAGCGACTTTTTTTCAAATCATCACATATCGTCCAGCCGGGGTAATTCGTAATAGTCCTTCGGGAGTGCTCCCAAGGGTATCGTACTAAGGATGATAAGATAAAATGAGGTGAAGTAATTATAAATGTGCAAACAGGCCATCGCGATCATATTGAAGAATAGGAATCAGGTCCGTATCATCATCATCCCGACTTCTTTCGATGATGGACTTTCCACTCTGCTTTGGCGACGCGCATAAAGAGTTCCACGTCTTTGATTGGAACCCAGCTGGTAAGAACCTTCATGGAGTTCTCAAAATCGGATTCGAGAATAATCTCTCGCATGCCGTCAATAAGAGCGGCCGATGTCGCATGAAGGACATCTAGGCCCTTTCCAAAGCTGCTTGGGCTCGTTGCCTCAGTATTGGTACTCTTGCCACTCGAACTAGATGGGGCGTGGTCTTCAGCGTCACCGAGGAGCATGAAAACATCCCATACTCGAAGCTGGGCTGGAAATGGAATCGAGTAATTGAAAAGAGTCAGATACCACCGGGTACCGTAGGCCGTAGGGGGAATCCCGAGTTCATTCTATAATACCCAGGGTTTATTAGCATGTCTCAAGAGTCAAGTAGGGCTAGCTAACTGTCAACATACGAGCTTCCCAGCGACTTCCCCTCGTTCTAGCCATTCCCGTTCAAAGTCACCTAACGCTTCTAAGAGGCCCGCAAAGCCCGAACGGTAGAGTTGCTCCAATCCACGTAATTGCCACAATCGAACAAGCATGATGAATGTATGCTCCTCGTCGTAATAAGCAAGTAATGTAGCTACAAGAGCCGCCATGCCTTGAACGTATCCTGTATCCGGAAAGTACAGAGACATTGCATGCAGCACACGGAATAGTAGTCGCTGACCACCACGGTATCGCCGCCGGAACATGATGTGACTACTAATGGTCCTTGGGACATCAATATCAATTTGAACATCATCAGGGGACGATACCAGCTGGTATTCATGAAAAGCATCGATGAGTTCCTCCTCTGTGGGACTATCGCTACGCCTTTTGGCGCTAGCTTCGAGGAACGCATACCAAGCGGAGGATCGCCACCGGTCTGGGATCCCCTTCCACGTCCGTTCAATCAACTTTGAGCTTTTGGTGTCGAACTCGAAGGTCATACCGCCCCCGTCTTTGTTCTTTTTCGTTGGTTTGGCCATTTTAGTCCACTTATCTTCTCTCTCCCATTCCTTCTTCCTCGCAGCACGAGCAACAGCAGCGTCTAACTTATCGTCGGATGTCGAAGAAGGGACTGGATGTGTTAGCATATCGCCGGCCTCATCTTTAAAGCGGCGATCACGATTGTGGGGGAGGTGGTTTGTTGCTTGGCGAAACCGAGAAGTAGATCTCCGTAAGTGGAAGCTATAGGTACTCTGCGAAGAGGATGGGCGCATAGATGGCTGGGAGTTTTGTCGAGAGGGAGATCGGCCGGTAAATGAGCGGTTGCTGGCCAAGGCAGAGGTTGGTCGAATAGAACGCTTCCGTCTTGGTGTCTCCGAAGCAAGAAGTAAGCTGGTAGATACCCTTTGAATAGGGCTAGGGTCAGCGCCGTCGTTAGAATCTGACCGCGAAGCACGAATGAAGCCGTATCTATCCACATCACCGGCCCTGATATTCTGCCAGTACTCAATACCTCCAGCCAACTCGTTTGCTTCCCTCTTAAAACCGGGCGTCCCATCAGGGTCACTAGATGGCGTTGGGCTCTTGGTTTCTATCCCAGAAGAGCTTTCCCCCGAAGCATCAGTGTTTGCAAGACTTGGCTCTTCCCACAAAATTCCATTTTCCATGGCGAACGATTTCGCCACCTCCGTGTCGGTCACATTTTCTTCTCCCTTCGCGTACATTAATCTGACTCTGCGCGAGAGCATGTCCTCATCCGCAGATATAGCTCTGCTTGGAATAGCGCTTCGCCTAACGCGAAGCAATGATCGGGCTTTCGGGCGGCTTCGAGGGGTTACAGTATTATCGTCCTTCAATTCACTGTAATCTTGAGGGTTTTCTGCTTCCCTCTTCTGACTTACTTTTGTTTCTTCTTCCTTGAGCTTGAGCTCTAATTGTTGTCTTTCCTCTTCATTGATGAGGCTCCCGCGTTTAGAAAACCTGAGGGACTGAGGTGCAAGGCCGTCAAGTGATCCGTCGGGTATATTTAGGGCGATGGGATTGAATTGTGCTTCGATTTGTGGAACTGGTGGCGGTGATTCTGGTCTGTGGTTTAGTTCCATTGACGCCCTGCTCCGCAAACCGCCCCATCTCCGCTCCGACCACCTAGAGCCCGGGCGAGACCCTGGACGAGATGCAGGGCGGGATCCAGTATCGTTGACTACAATGCTTGGAATGCTTCTTAAGGAGCGCAAGCTTACAGTCGACATCCCAGCTTCCTGTAGCGATGTAATCCCTTTGAGTCTGGCGAAAGGTGTGCGAGGCGCTAATCCGGAATCTGGCGTGGTGTCTTGGTACGAGGGAGGATCACACGCAGGTTGATCAGGGCCACTCGACGATGCGCTTGTCGCAATCGACTTCCGTTCATAACATAACGACGGCTCAGCTGGGGGCGGCAATGAGGAGAACTGGGTGGTTGAGAGTTCTGGCCCAATAGTTTCTTCACAGGGAGAATTTGGCTCGGACATGGCGACGGGGGATGAGGGGGATCGCGTGTCTCCCATTATCCTGGCATGACTTGCGCTCGGTTCACTTTTGTGACTCCAATGTTGTGGAGTTTGTATGTCCTTGGTATATTCTTATAATATTTCGCGCTCGACTTCCTTCGTCTTTCTTTGCTTTCCCGGGGGGAGGGGGATAAAAAAGCTCTCAAGGGAGCGAGGGAGGCGGGGGAGGGAGTCGGAGGAGGGGAGTCGGAGGAGACAAAGGATCAGGTCTGTAGCACGAATCTCACAAATCGATGACAAGCAAATGTATATATTACGGGGCACAAGGAGGAGAAGGAAGGAATGACAGTGGTGAAATCGCATGTACAGCACAGCAGAACATGACCGCTCCCAACGGTAAGAGGATGCCCAAGAATGAGAGAGAGGGAGGAATTGGGTTTGCGGCTCCTTGAACGCTTGGCTGATGGACAAGCTTCGTTAAAAGTAAAAAAGGGGGGGACGGTGGGAACGATTCGAAAAGAAAGTGGATGGTTATGGAATTAGTTTGAGTTGGGATTATTACTATTATTTGCATTAAAAGTCAGCGAAAAAGAAAGGAGAGGGAGGAGAGGGAGTACTAGTACTGTACCTTGTAGCTAATAATTGAGCATCGCTGGAGAGAGCTCTCTGTCTGCCTTTAGGAGTCTAGGCAGGGGTCAAGAAGGGGGGACCACTAGGCGGGAGGGCGCTTTATATACAAATCTAATTTGAATTCTTCTGAAATTCTTCCGGGGAGACCGTCGTGGAGCGGTGGATCATCAACCATTGCTGAGGGATGGGAAGGAGAGGATATGATGGATAATAATAGTAGTCGAGATGGAGAAATGGGTGGTGGTTGAAGATGGAAGCGGGAAAGTCGTTATTAAACTGGAATCCACCGCTGGTTGCGCGTCCATGGTTGATGGTTTATATCTTCAGCCTAATTTTTCTCTGCACAAAACAAAGGAATTGTCAATTTTGAATTTTTCCTTTTCTTTCTTTCTTTCTTCTCTAGGAGGGGTTGAATTCAACAAGCAGAGCTGAATTATGAACTATAAACTACTAGGTAGGAATCTGCTACTTTGTAAACATGTCAAGGAGGTTGATTCGGGTTCCTGGTCCACTCCAGTGCCTATCTACATCCTATATAAATGCAAGGACCACCTGAATTTCCTGTTCCTGTCTGTCCCCTCCGTTTTTTCCTGTCTCCTCTCCACCGTTGGTACCGACATGCCCTGTTCAACAGCAACATCCTATTTATGTTTGCCTCAAATTTCAATCATATCATAACTCCATAACGGTCAGATGCCAGCTGGCCATAAGTGCAAACGGTGATAAAGGTCTTATGTACACACAGTGCACAAAATTTTTCCACCAGAACATATGTAAATAATTGTAAGAGAAGAAGTAGGCAAAGAAGACAAAATTCCCTTTCTCACGCGACCGCAGTAGTGTTAACAGCCGAGCGTGAGGGTTCGCGTGCGGGACGTGTGGGCTCAATGGGCTCCTTGGGTAAGAGTTCAATCTGTCGAACCAGGAAACTCTTCTCATCTGTGAACTGATCGTCATCCGTGCGGTCCTCCAGGAATTTCGGCAGGAATTTCAACAGTCGATCTCGATTGTTGATAAGAATCCGCTGTACCGCCACTGATTTGTCTGGGTTCGCAACAAATACCTAGCCACATATTTTGTCAGATGGCTCGCATCCCTAGGAGGAATTTCCCACATACCTTAAACACGTGAAATCCCTCATATTGAACCATCTTACGATCATCTCGGAGCAGTTTCATGCAAAGCTTGAGGTTCTCTCCACTTTCAACATATGCCATCATCACATTGTAATTTGCACGGTCCAATAGAATCTCGCCTAGCAGCTTGATGCTCTGTCGTTTGGTGACGTACGAATCAGATTGCACGAGAACACCGTTAAATTTGGCAAAAAAGTAATCAAAATTAGTTGCCAGGTACCCCGTTACAAGGGACTTATGGCGAGTTAAAATTTCCTAGAAAATGGTTCCATATTAATCATGACTCGTCTGGAATTGGAGCTCGATGTTTGCTTACTCTGAATGTAGTGAATGCATCAGCGCTTAGCTCGAAACTCCCCCTATCAATCCAATGGAAAAAGCGCCAGAATATGCCAGTCCCTTGTTGAGGAACGTGGGGTTGGACTTCTGTGAGCCGGATGGCGGGCTCTCCCTCGCTGGACTGGTCATAGAGAATAATCGCTGCGATCACGTCGAACTTCAGCGCCTCCCTTAGAATGGTACCGCACGGCATCGCGCTCTGACTATGTTCGTAGCCTTTACATAGCTCGATAACAACCTCTGGTCGGTTGTGTACGATGTAGGAGATAACGGGAGGGTCAGCGTTGTTAGAGACGGGCGGTTTGAAGCGAAGTATATGAGAGAATATGGTCTGTGTATCCTTTCTAGCTTCGAATGGGAGGCGATGAAGGCCACGAGCAAGCTCATACAGTAGATCCTCCTGGAGTGTGGCTTGGACTAAAGCATGAACCTGTTCTGGCGATGATTCGATTTCTGTGCGTAATTAGAATCTAAATGTCGTAATAAATGAATGGTACTCCTAGGAACACAAACCTTGGGTTCCCTGGACGATTAACTTCATCTGAGAGAGCTGTTTGGCCAATTCATCTTCAATCTATGGGTGAATTGTGATATAAGTAAGTCTATGCTTATCAAAATAAAGAAAGGACAGGCATTTGAGAATAGTCAACTAACCTTGGCTGTGGTTGGAGATTCACGAAGTCTCACCAACAAGTCTTTGATTGATCTCACCACATCAGATGGTTGCCGGGATCGACCACGATTAAAGAAGAAGGCCATGCTTGTTATCTTGTCAATCCCAGCAGCTGCAAGGAAAGAAAGGAAGCAGAGCTAGCTGCGTGGATGTATAGGGATCAATGGGAAGGTGTTCAAGGCATCCAAGGTGAGTGTAGAAGCAAAAAAAAGCAATTGGTGCTTTGCCTTCCTTTCTTGATACCGGGAGAGAGAGGCAGATTATCGATGTCAGCGTGAGCCTGGGAAGCGGTGACGATAGTTGGCGGGGAAGCAGCTGATTCTTGCCTGGCCTGGCCTGAGGCTCGTCTTATCAATTCTGGGCCCAGCCAGGAAGTGTAAACAAATCAAACAGGTCCAACAGGCGGGGCAACCATTTTTTTTTGGGATTTTTTTCCTGGGCTGTTTCCAGGTCCACAACGAGTGTCCAGGTCTACATTCATACCCCCTGACTACTCATTTTATTTCAGGCAGGGCTTTATATTCCAAAGTGTATTTACACTGGGAAACTCTTTGTCTAGCTGAAGGTTTTTAGATATCCTTTTGAGCCTTGTGATATTTGTGATCATTTTGCGTATATATCTACCCCGCAATTGTCACCATGTCCGCTTCTCTGCCTTCAGATCTGCCCCCGAGGGATGTTGACCGCGATTCCGTTTCCTCTGGTGATTCCGATGTTAGTGATGAAGAAGGCTGGGAGGATGTTGAGCCCGATGATGAAACGCAACCCGTGGTCGGACTCTTCTCCGACAAAATATATCCCGATGCTCGGTCTATGCTCAAAGAAAGCAAGGACAAGCACAATTTTGATATACGGAGGATCCAGAAGGAGTTCGGTATGTAGATACTTGATTTAGACCTGAAGATCCGAGTGTTCCGTTCGTTGCTCGAGTCTAGGCGGCATATGCTTGAATGTGAACGATGATGGGAAACTTTGCTAACTGATATTTCTTTCCCTCGTGTCACCAGACCTGGACTTCTTGGAGACCATCAAATTAGTTAACTACGTTCGCTCCCAGGTTAAATCTGGAAATATGACTCCCGACGTTTCCTCCAAAGACAAGTTTGAAGACGAGATCTACCTAAAGCCAGTTCTTGAGGACGATGCGCTTTTGTACAGCTTGGACGATATCGAAGAGGGTGAATTAGAAACCACAAGCGGCACAGAAGCTGACAGACGCGTGATTGAGCTCCAGGAGGATCTAGAGCGCCTACAAAGTCAATTTTCGGAATATAGACTGGCGGTGCAAAAATCATTGGAGGAACAGTTGACGAAGGAGGACGAGAAGCTTGCTCCCGTTGAGCAGTCTGCGAAACGCGCTACCAAGATTGAGGAAATTGATTCGGACTACTTCACCTCCTACGCGTACAATGGTATAATTGTCCCACTGTCTCACGAAAGAGATCATTTGCTAATGGAATCTGCTCTTCCAGGGATTCACGAGTCCATGCTCAAGGACGCGATTCGTACCGACTCGTACCGCGACTTTATTTATGATAACAAGCATATCTTCAAAGACAAAGTCGTCCTGGATGTTGGCTGTGGCACCGGGATTTTATCTATGTTCTGTGCTAAAGCTGGCGCTAAGAAGGTGATTTCGGTTGATAATTCGAATATCATCGACCGTGCCAAAGAGATCATCTACGAGAACGGATTTGGCGATGTTATCACGTACGCATGCTAATCTTCCCTATCTACCCGGCCCGTGCTGACCTTTACTTTTATAGGTGTATCCGGGGTAAGATCGAGGAAGTCACGTTGCCTGTTAAGCAGGTTGATATCATTGTTTCTGAGTGGATGGGCTATGGTCTCTTGTTCGAAGCCATGTTTGATTCGGTCATCTATGCCAGGGACCGCTATCTCGCCCCCGACGGACTCATGGCCCCATCGCATGCTACACTTCGTGTTGCTCCGTTTGCTGATTCTGATTTCGTCGCGTCGCATATTGGATTCTGGCACAATGTCTACGGCTTTAATATGAAGAGCATGCTTACCGGTATTTATGACGAAGCCCTCGTGAGGACTGTGCCACCTTCTACAATCCCCGCGGAATCGGAAATTTTCCTCACGCTCCCATTGCATACCATCACCGTTCAGGAACTATCTTTCTTGAAAGAGTTTGAGGTCACCATGAAAGAGGACGTCGACTCACTGGATGGCTGGGCTATCTGGTTTGATATCTTCTTCATGCCATCCAGGGACTCTGCCATTCCAGATAACGCCATCCCTTCGGAAATGCAGAAGAAGGGGGTTGTAGCTTTTACTACGGGTCCGGATGGAAAGGAGACTCACTGGCAACAAACTATTCTCCTGATTGACCACGGCAAGAAGAAACCTGTCGCTTTGAAAAAGGGACAGACGATTAAGGGCAAGGTCGGTTATCAGAAGAAGGAGAAGGATGAAAAATCTCGATCCCTGGATATCACCCTGGAATGGGATGTGCAACAGGGTGAGAAGGGTGCTCAGCAATGGGCGTTGCAGTAATTTATAGACCCCAAATCAAAAGTTTTTGCTTCTTGTTCCCTCATCTGCTTCAAGCATATGCATTCGTAAGAGCTAACAATTCATGACTTCATCAAAACATATTTGCAGCCGATATAGAGGCATTCTGTAATGCTGGGCTCGCAGAACCTGACAGCTACTTTGTATGGGCCAACTCGCACACTATTGTCGTCGATGATATCTTGAATCACCATCGCCTTCACGCTGGCTACCATCTCTGATTCGGTGGCGATGATGACGATCACGTTGATAATGCGAAGGAGACTTGGGACTGATAGGTCTTCTGTGCGAGCGATTTGGAGATTTATCACGGGAATGCCGGTGATGCTTACGCGATCGTTGGTTACTCTCTTCGCGATGTCTATCGGGTGTCGCATCAAGTTTGAAGTCCTCAAGGCTATCCGTCGAGGGGACCCTCCTACGGCGATGCGATCGAGTTTTCTCGGTGGATCTTAGAGATTCAAGTTCTCTATTTCTCTCTTCGTTCCATTTTTTCCTTTCCCCTTCAATGGACTTTAGCTGGCAGATGCCCTTCTTCATCGCAACAAGGGGGTCGTTTCGGTCCATTCGCGTTTTCTCCCTCTCCTTTCTCATAGGATCCTCGTTGCCCCAAACATCAGTGCTTGGGATAGAGTCTGGAGCAGCGCCATTACCCTGAGATGATGAATACCAGGGGTTTTGACCGACATTTTGACGGAAGCCCGCTGCATTAGAAAATCGCATGGTATACTGGTCTTCGTAGCTTCGCTGCTTTTCTGCTGCCTCCTTTTCTGCCTCTGGGTTTTTCTCCACGTACTTGCGTGTTTCCTCTTCGGGAAATAAGTTGATGTGTCCAGCACGATCCCGAAGCGGCGCATCGCTTTTATGAGAGAGAACCAGCTCCTCCCGCTTCGCGAGCGCCAGCTCTGCATCTTCTCGAGCTATTCTGATATCGCGATCCGTATCATTTTCACCTGCTAGGCGTCTTCGCTTCTTGGTGGGCCCCGTGCTATCAGGGTATCCTTTCCTTTCTAATCGGGAGATGGTCGGGTGCGACGGCGGTGGGGGCGGAGTCGGGGGTTGTTCACCACGGAGGATGTGGATTCTTCGCTCAGCATCGATCTCCTGCATACGCCGTTCCTCCTCCTCTTCTTGTGCCTTTGCTTGCGCCTCATCGCGCCGGACGCGGGCGATATTCTCTTGATTATAGACGTTCCAAGACTTCTTTCCGAGAAGGTGGCTATTGAAAATGGCTAATCAGTACTTAAGTATCTGCTGTCAACGGAGATGGAAGAACTCACAGAGGCATTTTTAGTATATACGGTCAAGTTCCAAAAAAACAACTGGCCGGGGAAGAGGTGTAGTTTAGAAACAGCATGCAAAACACAAATCCAGTGGATAGCTAAGAATACAGTTGCGGCGGAGGAACCTGGAATCGGCAAAAGCGGAGCTCCGGGAGCCGGTGGGTGGCTATGGAGCTCCCAAGCGCGCTGCGGACAGAGCTGCAATGTCGCCACGTTCGCATTCACATCAACACTCTCACACTTTCTGTTAATTCATCTACTCTTATTCTACCTTTACTGTACAGATTAAGGATATTGATATTTAGTCATCATCTTCAACGCTCGCCAGTTTTGTGCTTCATTGATTAAGCTTCATCGATCAACGTGACCATAAGCTGCCGGCAGCCACGCTTTACCGCCACCATTTCATGCACCTAGCTTCACATCGATTTTAAACGTATATACACCTATATTCGTTTTACTTCACTCTCGGTATTTCGGGGTTTATGGGCTACAATGTTTAATCGCAACAACTATTCCATGCCAAATCCGTTTGGCTCTCACCCCCCTCAAAGAGATGGCTACTCACGCCCCCCACCTCAGCAAGGTCATCCTTCAAGAGACGCCGGTCCGAATGTAGGGTATGAACTTGGATGGCCTATGAAAATGTCGCAATATATAGCTGACATATTCCAACTTCAGAGACTACGGAGCTCCACAACAGGCTCGACGACCCGTAGGGGGTCCAGCCCCTCGTCCAACCCCGGGGCAAGCGCCCATGGGAGGCAGATCCCCTGGAAGCGCAACCTGGGTGTTGAACCCGGTTAAGAGTCCAGATAAGGCATGTATTTTCGGTAACCTGTAAGTTTGGAACATTTAGACAATTTCCAGGGTGGAAAATTTGTTACTGACTAACTTGTTTCTAGTGTTGCCGTTTCAACACAGGATTTCCCACGCTCTCGTTTTGGAAATGAAGATATTTTGCTTCTTGCAAAAGGCCTCTATGTGTTTTCTGCCCGCCCGCTCGATGAGATACTGTCCGGACAAATCGGCATGTCCGACCCCCAGCGCAAGTGGGCTGATGTCGCTTTCAAGGATACGGTTGAGGTGCAGATCTATGATCCGTTCCACCAGGGCGGAGAGGCATATCTAGGGTCAACGGATATTGAGATTGAATTTGCCGGATCTAAAAAGACGGATACTTTATATGATCAGGATGATCTGGGCGCGGCCGTGATTAAGGTATTTCCACATATTCTAACTTGCGCACACTGTTACTAATATGAATAGAATTTCGAAAATCAAATATTTGCTCCTGGCCAAAAGATCTTAATGGACCACCATGGCGTCCCACTCATCTTGAGTGTCAAGACTATCCAGCGAGTCAACTTGGCTTCTGAGAAGCAGAGCGTCGAGAGGGTTGAGACTGATCCTTCCGCCAGGGGTATTATTACTAGACATACCTTGATCAATTTTTTCAAGGATGCTCGTAGTGGGATCAAGATTAAGCCCTCAAGTCGTCGACCAGTAGCGAACGCCATCATCCAGCCCGATTTCAAATTCGAAAACATGGGAATTGGAGGTCTTGATTCCGAGTTTTTCACAATCTTCCGTCGAGCGTTTGCATCGCGTATCTTTCCTCCTGGGTTGGTTTCAAAGCTTGGTATCCAACACGTCAAGGGTATTCTGCTTTACGGACCTCCTGGAACGGGTAAAACCTTGATTGCTCGTCAAATTGGTAAGATGCTGAACGCAAGGGAACCGAAGATTATCAACGGTCCCGAGGTGCTTAACAAGTTTGTCGGACAGTCAGAAGAGAACATCCGAAAACTCTTTGCCGACGCAGAGCAGGAGTATAGGGAAAAGGGCGACGAAAGTGGACTCCACATCATCATCTTTGACGAACTTGATGCTGTATGTAAGCAGCGTGGAACTGGAACAGGCGGTACCGGCGTGGGAGACAGCGTGGTGAATCAGCTGCTTTCCAAGCTGGATGGTGTTGACCAACTCAACAACATTCTCCTGATTGGTATGACCAACCGGAAGGACATGATTGATGATGCATTGTTACGACCCGGCCGTCTTGAAGTGCATGTTGAAATTTCGCTTCCGGATGAAGAGGGCAGAGAACAAATTCTCAAGATTCACACCCAAAATATGAAGGAGAATGATTTGATGGATGCAAGTGTGAACTTGCCAGAGCTAGCGGCCCTGACCAAGAACTTTTCAGGTGCTGAGATTGCCGGTCTTGTGAAGTCAGCAACTTCCTTCGCCTTCAAGCGTCATATTGAGTTTGGAAAGACCGTCAGGGTCAAGGAGGATGCTGCGGATATGAAGATCAATCATGGAGACTTCCGCCAGGCTCTTGATGAAATTCAGCCGGCCTTTGGTATATCCGAAGATGAGCTCAATCAGCGTATCCAGTATGGAATTATCGATTATTCCGATGAAATCGATCAGATCCTGAAGGAAGGAGAGTTGTTTGTAAAGGTTGTTGGCGAGGCTGAGCGCACGCGTCTGTTTTCTGTCTTGCTATATGGACCTCCCGCAAGCGGAAAAACTGCCCTTGCCGCTCGGATGGCTATTGACTCGGGTTTCCCTTTCATCAAACTGATCTGTCCTGAAGATATGGTTGGGCTCAGCGAACCTGCTAAGGTTCAACACATCAGCAGGGTATTTAATGATGCCTATAAGAGTCAGACAAGTGTTGTCGTCCTCGATAATGTTGAACAAATCATCGATTATGTCTCGACAGGGCCCCGATTCAGCAACTCCGTATTGCAGACCTTGATCGTCTTCCTTAAGAAACAGCCTACCAACGGTCGTCGACTTCTTGTCATTGCAACCACTAATGAGAGGGCGCTGATGAAGGAACTGGGTATTTATAGATCCATTAATTCTGACGTCAAGGTTCCGAACGTTACAAGACACGAAGAACTTGAACGCATTATGCAAGAATCCGAGGCTTTCACAGACGACCAAATTCGGGCTGCGCTAGGCCGTATTGGTGACATGACGGAGGATACTGCAGTTGGCGTTGGCATTAAGAATATTCTTCTGGGAATTGAGACGGCGCGCCGGGACACTGAGAATATGGTGGATAGGTTTGTACATGTGATCAACAAAACAATTGATCAAGGACGTCTTCCTTCCAGAAACAGGAACGCTGGTAGGTTTGCAGAACGAGAGCAAGAGGAGGGAGAAGGCTTTGCATAGATTCCCTTTTCAGGTAGTTATGATGGAATAGCGAGGTGTTACTCCATAGATATGAAATAATACATTTTTCAAGAAAGAATAACCGGTGTACCTAGCTAGAGGCCACTCACTAGGTATTCACTAGTTGACAATTGCCCTAATGTGCTGTTGCTGAGTGAAAACACGGCAGTTACTTAGGTCATGTTCTCTCCAACACTCCAACACTCCCACATAAATACTTAGGTACTTTCCCCGTGCCTCAGACAAGATGTGTTGTTCTTTTTTCCCTCGCCACATTCCCATCTCATCCCATCATCTCCTTCCATATTTGTCCTGTCTCACCTCACGCTATCATCAATCCCATTTACCCTCATCCATCGAAAACAATGGACCATTCAACCAACAAAATGACCATGTCACGCCAATGCGCACCCAAGGAAATCTTGAAAAAGGAACTCTCCAGTAGAGAGTACTCCCTTTTCGAGGAGTGGGCCCCAGACACCCTGAAAACTTATTCTGCCAGTATCCCTCCTCCTGCCACGCAAACAGAAGACCACCAGCGCCAAACCATCTCACCCGTCAACGTTCAGGGTTATCCCAACAGTCCCAGACGCATGCAGATGCGCTCATCCTCGCTTTTTGAAGAATGGAAGGCCCTGGCTCTGCGTGGTACCGATAAACTGAAAACCGGATCGATCTCCCCGTTTACGCCAAAGGATACCAATGTCATGGGAGGCAGTTGCTTCGCTATGGAGGGTAAAGGCAGCATGAGAAATTATGCCCGCGATGGAGAGAATGATGAAATTGGACCTACAAATGAACGATGCCCGCGCTATCCAGGAGCAAATAAGAAGTGCGAGGGGTTTTCTATAGGTAAATCCATGAGATACATCTATCAAAAAGGGAGCAACCGGCTGATTCCTTGTCCTGCGGATTAAGGTGACCACACTCAGGCGTACACCAACGTCAAGAGCAACCAAATGATGAAGAAGAATAGAAAGAGAAGATCCAGGGGATGGAAAGGCAATAAGCAGGAAGATCAGGATTCTCAGCAACATAATCTAGAGGAAGGATACATGGCTCCGAACGGCTCTCTGATCAGCAAGGAGGAGTTAGTTAAGTTGTCTGCAGGGCTTAGGCTAGATAACACCGACACCGTATACTTCCTTCCTAGCTTTATCGAAGAGCCGTGGAAAGGTATGAAGGCTGTTCCTGCTTTCCCCCAAGCTTGAGGGCGAGCAATTGTGTTATTTTCCTGTTTTACGTCGGGGCAGGATCGCAACAAATAGCAAAATCCAGGACTGACACAATACCCCTTTTTCTGTCTGATGAATGATCCATAATGCATGATTTTACCTTACTTTGTCTGGCATTCAATACAATCCAAATATCTGCTCTACACAGTTAGAGGTGCAATTACACACAGTTGCCTAGATATAAATCGCAGGGCGGTATAGCGTGGCACAATGCCAACTATTGGACCTGACCTGTCAAATCTCGCCGCTTTCCCTTTCCGTATACTTGGCACGTGACCATATATTCATGTTGAATTGAAGGGGTATCTCGTGATGTACTTAGTAAGCAAAGGGGGGTTATTACCCTATATTAAGGCCTTAGGCAAGCACACAACCCCCTAATAGACACACATATTAATATATCCAATCACCTACTTCTATTGAGCTACCCCTAGGATCATTATATATCTAATAATTAAGAGTCTTATATTTACTTAAAGCATGTGAATCTATACTAATAATCCCTACTAAAATCTATTAATTATTAAAATACTGACAATCCCTACTAAACCTACTAATTAGTAAAATACTAAGCGTAATGCCTCTAACTACTAATAATAAAGATAATGTAGTAAGGCTTACTAAGTAGGAAGACTAGCTAATATAGTAATCCTTATTTAAAGTACAGGCAAGAGATAACTATTTGTAAGAGATAATAGAAAATAATAAGAGTTATCTATAATAACTTACTAGACTAATTAGGGATAATAGAGAGACTTTACTAGTAAATAGTACTAGGAGTTCTATAATATTATTATAAGACTTTAATTTTAAAGTAGTACTCTATAAAATAGAAATAGATAAGTATAACTATTAGAATATAGAACTTAAGAAATTAAAAAAATAGATCTAATATACTATTTTCCTAAAGGTTTACTATTTTTATTATAAGTTAATAGAAATTCTAGAGAAGTAGTATCTTAAATTAAAAGAATATATAATAGTTAACTAAAGATAAATTTAAAATATAGCCTATAATACCTATATAAAGGTAATCTAACCCCTGAAAGATAACCTAGTTAGTTAGTTAAATAACTAGGAATTTACTATTTAATAAATAATTAAAGTAAATTTTAGAGTTATAATATTATTACTAGACTAGATAGAAGACTTCCTAAATATAATATATTATCTAGCTCTATCCTAGACTATATTTTATTAGTTAGATTATAAAAAGAAAATACTAGTAAGAATATTATTATTCTATATTATAGTAAATAACTTTTATAATACTATTAATATATTCCTATAGTAGTATAGTAAGACTAGTAGAGGGGCTTTTAGACTAATATTTATTACTAAAGATATAATAAATATAACTAGTAATAAAGAAATATCCCTACTATAAGATAAGAGAATAAAATATAAGTATAGATATAATAATATAGAAAGAATAGACTCTAAAAGGAGTACTTTTAAGAACTTATATTAATTATATAATATATATTTTTAAAGGCATGAATAGATATAATATTTTTATTTATTTCTAGAAAAGGCGCCCAAGGACTTCAAGGAAAGGAGTATAATAAGAAAGCTAGTTAATATATAACTTAAGATAAATAAGGCTCTAGCTAAAAAGGTAGCAAAGGAATAAGAATAAAATAAACAAGATCTAGAATAACTAGAAGGAAGAAATAACTAAGGAGTAAGTTAAATAAAAGATAAGAATAAAGGTAAAGTTAAAGCTTTATTTAATACTTAATTTAAAACTATACTATATTTATTATAGTACTTTATTATTCTTAACTTAGAATTATTAATTTATATATTTAATAATTTATATTAATTTAAGTAATATATAGAATTAATATAAGATAATTATATATAAGTAGGAGACTCAAAAGTATCTATTATAGGATATAAAGATATTAGTATATAGATTATAACTTAAAGAGATAAAGATTGTCATGGGGAGCAGGCGGGCAGTAGGTGTAGCTAATAGCAGGGTGTATATTCAGGCTATCTACATATAGGTACAATAGGTAGGGATTAGGTCAGGACAAGGATATAGCTTAAAGAGCTATAACAGGATTAGGGGCAATATAGCTTAAATATAGGAGTAGAGGTAGATAATTAGGGTAGAATCTAACTAAATAGGTATATAGCTATACTATAATAGTATCCCCTCTCTTAGGCTAAGCTCTAGCAAAGTATTCCTAAGGTTTAGGCTTTCTAGGGTAGTAATAATAATAAGTAATAATATATTTAGTAATATTCTTTAGGTAGCTAGTAGGAACTTTAGTAATAGTAGGATATTTAACTTATTTAATAATATACTTTAAATATAGGTAATTATCTTAATTATAGTAGTTCTAGTAGGAGTTAATTATTTTCTTAATCTCTTATTTCTTAATACTATTAACTTTAATATATAGGAGTTTAATTTTCTCTTATCTAGATAATAGATTTTTAATAATTAAGTATAATAATTTAATATAAAATACTAGATATATTTTTATATTTTTAGGTAAGTCTAGTTTATAAGTATAAGAGCTAATAACCTTCCTAATAAGGAAGGGGTTTAGATTTTTCTAATCTAATTTTTTTTAAGGGTATAGGATCATGATATTCTTAATATTTAATTAGATTAATTAGCCCTTAGTATAGTATCTAGTAAGATAGTATTTTTAATTAGTATAATATTTATAGTAGGCTTAAGTAATAATTATAGTAGTATAGTAATATTCCTATATTTACTTTATAATTAGGGTAAATTAATAAGTATTATAAGTTTATAAGTAGTAATTAAATAAAATAGACTTAAATCTTATATAGGGGTTAAAACTATATAAAGTAAAAAATAAAAAGTATCTAGTAATCTTAAAATTAGTATTATTAGTAGTAAATTCTATTATAAGTAGCTATTTAGCCTAATTATTTTATAGGTAGTTAATATAAATTTATAAATATTATTTTAAAATAATATTTATATATTTAATTTACTTATTAGTCTTAGAATAGTAAATAATAAATAAAAATAATCTTATCTTTAAAGTATAATTTAAATATATCTAGAATATTAATATAAATTAGGATCCTTAATTAAATATAATAAACTTAGGAAATTTATAAAATCTTTAAATATAATCTTAAAATAAATAAGTAGCTCTCTTAATATTATAGGTACTATTATAAGGAATATAGTATTAAAATTTTATTAACTAGTTAATTATTACTATAATAGTATTAAAGCCTAAGCTTTAGAATAAATATATAATAAAATTAATAGATATATCTTTTTAAGGATCTTTAAGTATAAGTAAGAAATAAAATACTTCTTAATATTTATTTTAATAAGATATAGATTATTTATAAATATAATAGTTATAAATTTATTATTCTATAAATTATAATATTCTAGGCTAGTAATATAATTATAATAGTAATTTATAAATTTTTAATTTATTTTAATAATTAATAATTATATTTTTATAATATTTATATATTAGTTTTACCTTTAATTTTTCTATATTAGGGATATATAGTTAATTATAGTAAAATAGGAGTTTAGAATAATAAATATACTTAAATAATATAATTAATAGATAATAATTATAGTTCTTTTCTAGATTTTCTAGAATATTATTAAGGACTAGATCTTATTTATAACCTCTATCTAGATACTTTCTTAATTATTTAAGAAACTAGATAGTCTTTTTTTCTTTAAGCTTAGGTAGCTAGAAATATATTAATTTCTTTCTAGTAATAGCTTAGAACTAGATTAATTATAATATTTACTAACTCTATAACTTCTCTAAGTATTTAAATAAGAAGCTTGCTAAATTTTCTCTTTTTAATATTATTTAATTCTAGTATAGTAAGTATTTATTCCTTTTCTTAGAAAGATTTTATAATTTTCTAGTTAAATTATCTAGTTTTATTCTATACTTACCTAGGTAATAATTAATTATAAAGTTAAAATAAGATAGAAATTTAGATTATTAGGCTTATTATTAGTTTAATATCTTAATTATTATAAAATACTCTAGATTTCTATAGTTAATTATAATTTTAATTAGATACTAGTATCTTTCTAATTCTAGAATTTATTTTTCTAAGTAATAAATAATTACTAGTAACTTTTTATTATATATCTTATAATTATACTTAATTAAAGTTATTTTTTTTAAGTAGAATCTTACTAGGTATAGAATTCTATTATTATTATATTATAATAATACTCTAGTAAATATAAAGTCTAAGGTATTAGTTTTTAAAATAGCTAGTTAATCCTAATTAAAGGACCTTAGTATTAGTTTCTTAATAAATTTTACTTTTAGTATTTTAAAAGTAATCTAATAAGTTAAAATTTATAAGAATAGGGTTCTTTTCTTCTTTAAAGTAATAATAAACATAAGAATCTATAAGAATCCTTTAATAAAATATTAATAGAATCTAATAAATCTTATAAAACTCTTAATATTAGTAACTATCTTAAGTAGCTTTTAATTTACTATAGTCTTAATCTTCTTAAGATCTATATAGGTATCTTTTCTTCTAATAATAATATTTAAAAACTTAATTTCTAGCTAGTAAAATTTATACTTAGATATCTTTATATATAGGTTATTATCTTTTAAAATTTATAATATTTATTTTAAGTATTTAATATATTCTTTTCTTATATAGTTATAGATTAGAATATTATCTAGAAATATATTATAAAATATATTTATATACTATTATAGAATATTATTTATAAAATATTAGAAAGTAGCTAGGATATTAGTTAGACTAAATAATATAATTAAGGACTTATATAGCCTAAAATAGGTTTAAAAAGTAATTAGGTACTCTAACCTCTTCTTAATATAGATATTATTAAAGGTAGCTACTAGATTAATCTTAAAGAAATATTATATTCTTTATAGGTTATTTAAGATTTCTTTAGTCAGGAATAATAGATAATAATTCTTAATTAATATAATATTTAGTCCTTAGTAATCTATATATAAGTAGAGGCTACCTCTAGGTTTA